TCGTAGGGGTCGAACCGAAAGCCATCTCGTGACGGGTCATCATAGGCGAACTCTCAATGGCACCATCTGCATCTGCGCTCTGGGGAAACTGTAAAGACTCCCTACGCTGACGTGAAGGCAAGCTTGAGGAGCTACTGCCGTTGACGCTGCCGCCAGAGTCGACAATACGGCGAATAAGCGTGCGAATCTTCTTGCCGTCCTCACGGTCTTTGGCGGAATCCCATACTATACCAGCACTGGCGCATTCCTTTTGCAACTGAGGGTAGACGGTCTTGTGCAAGAAAGCGACGTTGGGCTTGTTACCTTGAGAGCGGCCAATCTCAAGGAACTGCGAGCCCTGAATGTTAAGATGCTTGAATGCTTCTTGCCAGATATGAGAGAAGCCGTTATCGGCGAGCCAGGCGATGACTCGTTCTAGAGGCCATTGCAGGTCGTGGGGCGAAGCTGGTACGTCTAAAGGTAGTTGCTCGCGCGGCTGAGGGAAGGGAGTGGGATTGGAATCAGCGAAAGAGAGCATATGTGGAGCAGGCGAAGAATGTTCTTGAGTCTCTCTGGCAGGCAAGACCACGACTCTGGTGTTTGAAGGAGTCGGGGGGCATTGGAGAGATAGTCCCTGCTCTGCTGAGATCGCAGTTGCTGCACAGGTTGAGATTGTTGGTAGTAATACTGATTGGTGTTAGACTGATTGTACTGAAGCCATCTGCCATCGTCCATGGGATCAAGCGGGTATTGAGGAGTAGGGGGATGTTGCGAATAGCCATTGTGGTACTGTTGCTGATTTTGAGGACGACCAGGAGTGCTGGATGGCGGCGGTGGAGGAGGCGACGCATGCAATGGTGGGATTCCCACACCAGGACCAAACGAATCAGCACCAGGGATGTATGTAGCCGAAACTAATGGCTGGGTATCGGGAGGCAGTGGAGGCATCGAAGTATAGGCCTGGTAAGCTGTGGGATCGTATGCGCGAGGTTCACGGGGTTGAGGATACGGAGACTGCTGGTGTTGGTGTTGGTGTAACGAGTAGGGGTACTGTTGTTGCTGTTGCGGATAGGGAGGTTGCTGCTGCGGATATGAAGGTTGTTGCTGTTGCTGCTGTTGTCTGTTCCAAAGAGCCCAGGCATTGAGAGCCGACTGTGGAGCGCTGGGCGGCGGAGGGAGCATCATGCCATTGTGCTGGGAATTACTGGTGGGCGGGCGAGGTGGAGGCGGTGGAAACTGCATGGACGGAGGATTGGACATGGGCGGTGGCGGGGGCATGTATTGCTGTTGCGACTGCTGCTGCTGTTGCTGGCGCAAGACCTGCTCGGCAGCCGTGGCCGACACATGGCGCTGCTGGTTGGGCGGGTAGTTGGTCGGCGGCATGGTGGTTGGGGTCAGGGCCTGTGGCAGCGAACGTCTCGTGGAGTCCTCGGGGTCGGTGAGGTATTTGGCATGGACAAAGGTGCGGGCGCGCGGACGGGGACTACGCGGACTTGGTTGGATGGTCGGGTAGGGCGAATTGGTCGCGGCCGTCGACGTGGGCCGCAGGAGGTCGCGTGAGTTGAACTCGGGCACGTCGTTCAGAATGAGACCGTTCCCGTTCTGCGCTCGGTTGGCGGGCTTGGGTCGTTGTTGGTGGTGGTGGTGCTGCTGCTGCTGGGATCCAGTCGGCTGCTGCTGCGACGAGTCTCCAGCAATCATTTCAAGGCGGATCGATCAAGTCTCAGAGCGCTGCCTCCATGCCGGCCGACAGAGGAGCATGCACACTTGGTGTGAGGACGCTTCTTCCCACCTCACAGTGGTTACGGGCGGACGCGATGTCGACAAGAAAGTGACCTGAGAGATTGGATATGAGGTTTGGTTGATTGTGATACTCTCGACGGGAAGGCCGACGCTCGGCGCAATACCATCCGCTTGCAAAGAAATGGCTAGAATCTCCAGCGCCCGTCGTCGCTCGACACAGAGGCTGGTCAGAGCAAATCGCCTGGCCTCTGTCCTCGCATTGCTGTACCACTCGATCTTGGACCACGACACGGCCGACATGCAGCCTACATCTTGCAGCCTTGCATCCGAGGCAGTTGCCATCCACCAGCCACAGTGTCGCTCTTGTACTTTACAATCACCACCTGCACCTTTCCATCTTGTGCTTCCAGTCTCTACTCGAAGCTCTCTTTCTGTTCATGTCCATTGTCTTCGAACAATCTTCCACAATCTCGCTGCTCAAACTCGGCTCCTCGTCGACAGCTCTGTATGTATTACACTTTGGTCTGTGACTTTTGTTCGGCACGTCTGGGCCGACCCGCGACGACTTTCCCCACGGTGCTCAGACTTTCCTGCCAAACCTACTCGAGTATATTACCTTCCAACCGATCTATCATCAGAATTCAACGACCGGCGTTAGCTATCTACAAGCTTGCACCAACTCTGAAGTCACTGATCCAATCATTGTCCATGGCCAAAGTCAGATGTGACATTGAACAAGAAGCCATTCATTGCTTTTGTGTGCAGTTCAGCTCGTCAATACCCCAATAATTCTTGGACATGGCCTAATACGGTACGCTTCAATTGCACTATACAATATAGCGGAGTCCCAAGCATTACCGATCCCGTCTGGTTACTTTGTTTACTTGCAGCTCGGAGCACAACATGCATGCTTCAGCCTCTCTAGTGCACTGCGCGACTTGCCGTCCGTTGTTGTTGAACGGCAAAGCCGTTTCGATCCTGCACATTGTCTCAAATCCTCGAGTTCCGCACGCAATCATCACCGCTTCCTTCAGCATCCGACTCCCACTTGACCTCTGCTTCCGTCAAACCTCTTCTTGTCTGACATGCCCTTCGAATCTTTCTGCGAGGCACAATGGCCTTTTACGAAGACGAGCATGGCACTGTTCAGATCGGCGCCCTCAAGGGCTCCAATACCGGAGACCTGTTCCGCCTTTGTATTCCCATGATGGTCTTGACCACCTTGTCCGTCGCTTTGCGTGTCTACGTTCGCGGCTATATGACGAGGACCTTCGGCATCGAGGACTGGCTGATTATCCCTGCATATGTATGCCATCCTGTTCCCAATCCACGCCCTTATTGACGCGTTTAGATCCTGTTCATGGTCTTGTGTATCTGTGCAATTGTCATCGCCCAATGGCTGCTGAGTGAAGACGTTATGGTTCGCTATGCCATGATCATCAAAGTAAGCTTTCGCGAGCATTTCCTTGACCTCTAAAACTGACTGATATAGCTCACCATAGGCAACAGTGTCTTGTACATTGTCGACCAGGTTCTCATCAAAATTTCTATCGGTGCTTACTTTCATCGTATATGCGAGCGATGGCAGCGTTATGTCATCGTTGGCACGGTCACCATCTTCTCCTTGTACAATCTGGCCTTCGTATTCGTAAGCACCTTCCAATGCGGCATACCCACCGTCTCAAACCTTGTCAGAGCAAACAGTGATGGACACTGCATTGATTGGAAGCATATCGTCAGGCCTCTGCTGTATGTTGGCGTTGTACTTAATGCAGCGTGTGACTGGATCTTTGTCCTAGCATGTCTTCCGGTGCTTGCTAAGCTACGTCGAATGCCAATCGGCGAAATGGGTTGCATCTACTTTCTAATATTTCTAGCCACTGGAGCTAGTGTCCTCTCTCTGGTGCGACTGCGGTTTCTACCAGCAGGGGGGACCGATGTCCTCCTTCTCAAGCATGACTCCGACTTCGCTGTGCTGTCATTCATCGAGGCCGGCACGGCTATCATCACTGTCTGCATGGCGACTCTCCATCCACTGTTCCAGGCTTGTGTCCGAAGGAGAGGCACCTCCAGATATCCCGCAACTAGCAGTCCCAGAAAGCCCGACTCTTCAGAGCCAGTCTCGGGTGAGAAGAAGCAAGCAGGACCCGTCAATATGGAAGAATTGTCGACCGAGCATTCAAGTCTCGGCCAGATAGGCATACTTCCGACAATCTATGATAGCGAGATGGGTACCATGACCGAGCGCGATTCACCCAGACTCGGATACACCAACGATTGGACATGAGACGTGGCGCAAAGTTTGACCAAACAAACATACACTGCCAGCATGTCATGATGTGTCTTGAGTACGTGACAAGCGGTCATCTAAACACCAGGATTGGGTTATACATCAGCCCACCGGACTGTCCTGACCCCAAGAAATCAAGCCTCCGACCCCGGAACGTATCAAGACCCCCTTTCGACACAATCGCAGCATGCCGACCGTTTAAGAGTCGACGTTAATCGCCTTGTTACAGACCTATTCTCAATGGCTGCGACTCTTCTTGGCCCGTCATGATTTGTGGTAGTGAGGACATCTTTGTCGCTGGCGCCGGATTATACTTTTGGTTCTCAACACATACTCAGGAGTGCAGTACGACATCCCCTTATATCATCTAGATCCAGATGAAGAATATGAAGATCCCGAGGCAGGCTGCAGCGCCAGCGGAGATGATATTGGCAGTGGAGGCGATGGAGGCGGCGGTAGTGGCGGCGGCGGACAAGACACACCCACTTTCGACCTTCCAGATCCAAGTCACAACCAGGTCTCGTGTTGTGGTACAGGACAGTCATCCAACAACAGAAAGTTGGCTTACGCGGCTGAGTCTTTCTGCTCGATCGATCTAGCGACAATGGCACGGGACACGGCAGTTTTCTTTGAAAAGTTCTACTGTTTCAACAACAAGAATCCGCCGGGCTCTTTCCGTACCAATCTCAGTGTCGAGGTCAAGAGCGGGTGCGAGTCGACTTTCAATGAAGCTGAGTGTCTTCGCTATCTAGAGGTTTTGATCGACATCTGTGATTGCGACGGCAAGGATGGCAAGCATGGTGGAGTCGTGGAGAATTCGTGTATCATCTGGCGGCTTGACCCTAACACTGGAAAATGAAGCATCCCAAGCTTAGCTTTATCTTTTGTCCCAGCTAGCAAATGCGAGGTATCAAAAGAAGAGGGCTCGTTCGTAGCACACGGTCACAAATTAGATATGAATCATTGCCGGCTTCCCAGAAACCCAACGCTATGCATCTTGTCTCTGTTCGGGGACATTCTCCCTCGCTCGACGCTCAAGCAAGTTCTTGGCGGTCTTTGCCAAAGTCCTCCAATGATCGTCAACGTTGGAAGGTGTCCAACCCTCATGACCATCGATTCTCAGAGGACTTGGTTGACTGGGTCGTACGATCAGCAAGACATGCGGATCCAAAGTCCAAGATCCAATCTCGCCCTTGACAAGCCTCAGCTGATGATCCAAACTCCGCAACCAGGGATGCGCGGCACCGACATATTGCCCAACATTGACGAAATGACCCAGAGGAGCCACGATTTCCAACTTTGGTCCTTCGTCGCCAGGTCGATCTTGACCGCAAGAATGCACCACAGAGCCGTCGGCGTCAAAGCATGATCTGAATTGCGGATCGTCCTTGTCGGCATGGAGATCATGTGCTTCCCACCATTTCCCAGCGTATTCGTCCAGAGGCTCGACCGAGACGGGGATACTGGATACCGGCGGATAGGTGACGGATGCTTTGCTCACGGGGTGATCTGCCGAAAATCGTTCCTGAGCAGACGTCTCATCTGTTGGATCTCGAAGAACCGTGATCGCTCGTGAAATGTCATCGTCTGTGAGTTTCCAGTGTAGACGCAAAAAGTCGGCAGAGGCCAGCAGTTGGAGACTTGTCGACTTTAGAGTCTCGTAGCTTGGATAATATGTGGTTGACATGTCTTTTTTTTTTTTTTTTTGCGAACAAAGGGCTGACGCTTAAAGAAATGAAAGTAAAGGAGATATAAAACTTGCTGCGTGATTCTTTGGATGGGAGATGACACTATAACCTTCGCGTGTAGGTGGTCCTTGTAGCCTAACCGAATGATAAGACGCTCGTCTGTCGTCGCCCGGACAAGTGAAATAGCCGTGATAGTTATAAATACAAATCCGCGCCAAGCTACGAACGTACACCAATAATAAATCTACTTGTTCCCTTAGTGTTAGCGGAAACTACGTGAATACCTATCGTATATAAAAGTAGTAGAAAAACTATCAATAATTTATTTAAATCTCCTACTTTCAACTCGGAGTATATTAGTGTAACTATACTTGTGACACAGACAAAATAGATGGGCAAACATCTCGTTTGCGACTTGGATCTGCGAGAAGAGCATCTTTTCTGCTTTCAAGGATAGGATATGATATTAGAAAAATGTATTTCTTTCGTGCGGGTCAGACAAAAAGGAACAGTACCAAAACGCCTTTCATGATCCCCTATGCATGTAACAAGATTGGTGCCAACATACGACAAAAAGGAATGATGAAGATGCAGTGCTTCTCTAGGAACGATAGAAAGGGCAAGAACATGGTCTTCAGACTGCTGCGCAACGCTGCTGGTTTTATCTGCAACAAAAGAAAACAGAGAAAAGAGGTCCAGAATCCTTGCGACGAATATGGTAGATGCCAGCGAAAGAGTTGCGTCTCAAAATGTGCAAAGAAAAACGACCGTTCTGCCAGAGACCGCTTTTTTAGGTATTAGGATGTAGGGTGTTTGTTGTAGGGTATAATGTCATGCAGGCGATCACCGGGTGATGATGAGGCCGAAGCCATCGAGCCACTGTCCACAGGTACCGTAGACACCGGCAATGCTGTATCCTCTGGGTGGAATCAAATTGCANTCTGTAAAGCTGTTAGCAAAGACTCAAATCGATCGCATCACCGCAATCACTTACCCGCTACCACCGTCTTTGTTGCCATACCACTCGCTGCGACGACCACCGCTGGTCAAGATCTGAATACCGTCAATCCAGAGGCCAGCTCTCAGATTGAAGCCCAGTAAAGTTTCGCCGAATCGTGCATTGATGGGGAACTCATCACCCCCTCCTTGCCGCCTTTTTTTTCCGAAGAGTTGGTTCTCGCCATCCTCGTACACAAACTCGATGCCGTCCAGTGCAAAGCCATGGTATACTCTGATCGAGACCAAGAGCTTGCGCTTTTCGTGTGACGATCGCAGGAGCACTTCTTGAGGTTGGGTGCCGTCCATTTGCGAGAATCCAACCTTGGAGCCTCTGAAGCCCACCCTGCTGTCGGGAAGCTTCAACTTGGAATCCTTACTCACGTGCTGAGCAAAATCGGCGACTTCATGATCGCCCTGACCAAGAGAGAAAATCTTGATTTTCAGCTTCTTGTTCTTGTTACCCTCTCCGACTCTGGTCCTGAGATCGGCCTCTGTCAATGTAACTTGGCGGGGCGCGCCTGATGAAGAGCCAGAGGCAGGATCCAGATACTCGATCCAGTGACGACAAAGATCGTCTCCCTCGGTGTATATTTCAATAAAGGCTATACCTGTACTCGCAGTGACCAGAGCCGCTCCTTTGTCCACGGCCCAAACTTGAATGCTATCTTCTGGAGGAACGTTCAAATCCGTTGGCAGAGCGAAACAGGGGTGTAATCTGAACCTCAAAGCATCCAGTCTGTGCCACGCACATTCATCTTGTTGCAGACAAAGACGCATGCCTTGTGATTTAGTGCGGGTAGAGTAAGGTTCTCTGGTGGTGAAAGTGCGGTTCAAGCGAACGTAGTCACGAAGCATGACGCCAGATTCTTGATGAGGGCAGCCAAACAAGTGGCCGGTTTCGTGCATGTGAGCACCGATCCCAATATTGGCGGCCTCCCAGTTGCTTCCACTTTCGTTGCAATCATTGGCGACGTATTTCGTGTCGGTTTTTGTGCAGTCAGTGAAGGCGGGCACGACTTCTTCTAGGTGCGCGGGATATGATTGCAGCGAGTGAGAACCGAAAATGGCAAGCTTGACCTGCTCGTCACCACCTCCCAGAGCAGCATGACCTCTCACCGTCCCAACCTTGGCATCCCAATGTGTATCCAGGAACATGCATGATACGTACTCTTTCTGACCCGGTCGAGGCTTGAAGTGGGTTTTAACAGCGTCCATTGCAATGGAGAAAAGATCGCCCTTTTGCTTCGCAGGCTCATACTGTTGGGCGATGTTGAGATCTTGAATCTCGGCCACGGTCTTGTTCAATGTGATGATGTGAATCTTGGCCTCGTTGCGCATCTGTCCTGTTGTGAGGTCACGACCTGTCAAGGTACCTTGTTGCCATTCCTCCTCGAAGCGGAAGCAGCGGCGTCCGAAGCCATGGCGGTTCATCTGCTCACCAGTAAAGGCTTGCCATAGATAAGCAGCCATACGGAATTTCCGCACCGCCGTTTCTAGGCCGTTGCCCTCGGACTTGATACGGTCAGGAACAGCATCATATGTCCTCGGAGAATCTTTTGCAACCAGGATGGCCAGATGGAGAGGTGGTGAGGAGTTCATGGGGAGGTAGTTGATCTGGAAATGGGAAGAGTGGGCGGGCTGACCGTTGAGCTGGCCTTGCGAAGGTCTACGCTGGCGAGGAATGAAGTCGAAACGAAGTCGATTGGGACCTGGTTGTAGGTATACGAGGGCCTTGAAGTGTGAATCGCTGACAGGCCAAGTCATGGGCGGGAAGCAATCTTGATGCGAGCAGACGACAATATCGCCGTCCAGGAGTTGTGACGGGTCGCCGACTTGGCCGTATACGAGAAGAACTTTCTGGTGGACCCATGAACCTTCGGATGCTGAAAGAATGCGAGGAGCCAACGGGGACGTGTACTGGGCTGGCTTGGGAGAGCCATTGACGGAGCCNCTGCTCTCTCATTAGTGCTCTGTGGCCGAGACGCAAGCATATCTACTCACGACGATGCTGTAGCGACTGCTACTGTTGTTCGACGGGCCTGGTCGGGAGCCGAGTGGGGGAGTCTTGTTGCCGTTCATGGCAGCGAGGTTCGTGTTGGAGCCCGAGACAGAGGGCAGAGAAGGAATGGGAGGGGATCCAGCAGGCATGGGCGGAGACTTTCCTCCAAAGACCGAGTTTAGTGTCGAGGACGACTTGTTTCGGGGCATTTCAGGAACGGCTTCGGCGGTGGTTCCATCTTGGGAGCGCGAGTCGTTGCTGCTAGAGTGTGAATGGCCGTCGTTTCCAGAGCTCGTCTTGTCCGTCTTGAAGCTCGCCTTTGACCTCCGGCGGAACTCCTTCAGGAACGAAGGCATGATGGTCGTGGTGGTCGTCTAGGATGGCAGCGCGGTGCGACGCTGTAGGAGAGAGCTGTATGCACTGCTCTCAAATATGGCTCGTTGGCAGCAAACAGAGGGGTAAGCCAGACGAACAGAATATGCGACGGCGGTGGTGGTACGGTTATGCGCGACACGGCGGTTGGTTGCTGGAAATGCTGCACTCTGCCGCAAGACAAGTCGGGTCCAGGTACGCGTATCAGAGAGGCTGGCCAAGCAATTGCAACAAGAGAAAGTCGACTCGGGTCTGACAAGAGGAAGAGCAGAGATTGAGCGTAACGAGGAACATGTAACTACTCTGGGCTCAGCGGATGTTCGACAGCCGCGCGCAACCTGGAACCTTGACCTAGATCCTTGAATTTACAGTACATGTTCGTTGAGCCTGCTGCCACGAATGTTCAACCATAATTGACATCATGGTATCAGCGCACGGTTGGCGCCGCCCGTGCTCTTGGGGCTTGCATCGGTCTCCTCGGACGCCATACCGAAACGAGAGTTATGCTTCTCCATACATCGGTGCATAGCGCACACCGTCGCAGCCACCCGTTCCTGGCCCTTCGCTGGTCACGCTGATGATCCAATACGCCATGTCTCTGGAGAACGACGGCCAAAGCACTTTGAATACCAGACAGGACAGACATCTTGTTACTTTCTTTGCTGCGTACAAACGGCGAGAATGATACTTCTATTCATATCTCAAGCCGATCCTCACGGAGCTCGTGAGCTAAAAAGAGTCGTATCTGCCGAGTCGCATGCAATTCCATTTACTCCTCTTCCCTCTTCTTCCAAGGCAGAGGAGAGCGGGCCAAGGAAGGCAATCTGAACAATCCACTCTCTGTTCCTTTGAACCACATTCTGAGATTGCCTCATCTGTCCAAATCAACTACTCCAGGGGATTTGAGAGCAAGGGAACTGTGGTTAGAGATTGATTGGCGAGGAGCAAAAGTGTTGTTGTTGTTGCTGTTGCTAGACAACAAAAGACATGGATATGCCTCTTTGAGCAGGTACCTGGAATAAGCAAACTGGAGAGGCACCAAGTTGGATCTAATGACGAGACGAAGCAACGGGCTGGCGATACTTGGAGTGTTTGATCGTGATTCAGACCAAGAAGCCCCTCGACTCCGTCCCACAGTTTTGCAAACTTGACAGCGCTTAAGCCTTAGCGTATAACTGCCCCAGCAACATGACCATTGACCATGCATTCCACCACTCTATGCGCCGAAATCTCGTGCATAATTGCTCTTTGACCACTCTTTTCTCCTTTGACCAAACTGTCGGATTTTCTCCTTAAACCCATACTCCTCAGCACACAGCTGCGCATCTCGTCCGCAACCACCTCATACCCTCGAGCGCCATGGCCGAAGCCGACGCTACCGGCAACGATGTCGCCAACAGAGTGATGCGCCGGCTGGAGGTGTCCAAGGTATGCGAGCTCCAATGTTGACGGGCTTGTTTATCTACGTCACTGACACTCTATCACAGANTGACCAGAGCTTTACAAGACAGGCTGGCACTGGCCAATGTAAAGATCAAGCATGGCTGGGAGAACCTCAGCATCGATACCATCGAGCCGCACATTGACCAACAACTCAAACGCAAACGGACCGCCTCGAGCATCAACGACAGCTACTCGGACACGTCCTCCAGCGTCTCTAGCCGCTTCCACTCCATCGGCGGCATGGCCTCATCGCCCTTGACCGCCCCCATCTTCTCCGACGACATGCCTCGGCTAGGCAGCTCTCACAGCAGTGTCCATGGCAGCACCCACAGCAGCAAACGCCCGAGATTTGCCGACGTCCACAGATATCCTGCATCGAGCAGTCAGACTGGTCGCAAGACTCGCAGTGCTCTGGCCGTCCAGTCTTGGAAGAGGACACACAGGCTTCCAGAGTCGTCTCCTGTATACCACAACAGGACCGCCGTCTTTCCTTCGACCCTCCACGTCCCAAAGCTGTCTTTCATCTCGGAAGGTTCTAGCCTCATCGACGACGCTCCCTCTCCCGAACTCTCCGAGGACGACGACACCGATCTTCCCGTACACTCATTCAATGTCGACAGCGACCTCTACAATATTCGCTCATCACCCCCAAAGACGCCACCTCCTCAACACCGCTTCTCGCGCACATCCAAAGACAGTGACAACGCTTCTGGAATCATGGGATTATACAACTCTCCTACTCCCGCAAACGGTATCAACAGTGCTCGAGTCATTGCACCGTCTACACCCCCATCCAAAACAACACCCCTACCGTCGTCGATGATGCACACACCGGGAGGAAGCAATGGTCTCTTTGGCTTTGCGTTGAATACCCCTTCCAACAACTTCAATTTCGCCGACTTCTGCAACGTTACGCCAAGTCCTGCCCAAGTCAATTGGGCATCCAACAAAAGTCCTTTATCTGCACGCGAGCCACATCGAAAACTCAATTTTGATGGCCTGTTGCAACCAGGTACCAGCCCTGAAGTAGCAAGACACACGAGTGGTGGCACGCTGGAGCTAGGAGCCCTTCTCCAGTGAGCTCGCTCTCAGCATACATTCCTTTCACGACGATACGATTTCTAGACAGACGTTTGGATTTCACGACCTACCTGGGGCACACCCAACATCGATACCCGCATGTTTTTTCTTCAATCAATTCTCCTTTGTTTCCAGTGGTCGGGAGGTGAGGCGCCTCGACGGCGCCGGGTCAAGGGGTTTCGGGCGGTTAATGGCGTTGGACGCGGTTCGTGTTCATTTCGCGTGTTTTTGAGTTTCTAGTTTATTCGGCTGGCGGCAGGTCAAACATGTTCAATGACGAGGAGAGGAGTTGCACCAAGGGGCCATTACATAGCTAGCATAATGACATGCCTAGAACACAGGCTGGTATTTCCCAGATGGAGTTTTGCTGGCGTAAAGCACCAGTCAAGGAGTACAGGGGCACGCGCCCGTAGTTAGATTGAGATTGATTGTAGAGAAGGTCGGTTCGAGTTGCCGGCGCGCATTAGTTAGGGGTCTAATCACCGAAACGCCTTTGATGACCGTCGCACCTGGACTTCTGTACACACAAGACATGCGCCCGCGATGAACACAACCAGTCACCCTCCAGATGCCTTGGGCAACGCCCTCGAGCTCGTCAACCAGGCCTTCGACCAAGTGCAGAAGATTCCCGGCTCCTCGATAGTCATCCGATACATCCGCTCCAGCTACCAAGATGATCCCGTGCGCTCCGCCATGGAGCTGTTCCTGTTCCTCTTCGCCGTCTACTACCTGGTCTCGCCGGCATACTCGACAAAGAAGCAGAAGCAGATTCCCTTGACCGAAGAGGTGCGTTCCGACCACAGCCGTCGAGGTCAACGTCTTTTACTGACACGACACTCAGNNGAGATTGATGAGCTCGTTGATGACTGGACCCCCGAACCACTGGCAGCGCCCGTGACAGCCTTCGAAGAGGCTGAGAATGAGAAGAGACCAGTCATCGTTGGGTGCGCAAATTTGCTATACGCTACCGAGAGCAATCCGCTGACACACAATACAGTCNCTTCAGCACCCAAGTCAAAGCTAGCGAACGGCCGAACTGTAACAAACCTTGCCACCTACAACCACTTCAACTTCATCAACTCGGAAGCCATCAAGGAGGCTGCTGTCAAGACTCTGCGCGCTTATGGTGTCGGTCCCTGCGGTCCTCCTGGTTTCTACGGTACTCAGGATGTTCACCAAACCCTCGAAGCCGACATTGCTGCTCACCTAGGCACACCCGCTGCCATTGTATATGCCCAATCTTTCAGTACCATCTCATCCGTCATTCCTGCCTTCTCCAAGCGCGGCGATATCATTGTTGCCGACAAGGCCGTCAACTTCGCCACACGCAAGGGCATTCAGATCTCGCGCAGTACAATCCGGTGGTACGAACACAATGACATGGAAGATCTTGAGCGCGTGCTCGCGAAACTGGTCAAAGAGAATGCTCGTAAACCCCTGACTCGCCGTTTCATCATCACCGAGGGTCTCTTCGAGAACGTAGGCGATGTTGTCAACCTTCCCAAGCTCATTGAACTCAAGCAAAAGTACAAGTTCCGCATCATCCTGGACGAAACGTGGTCATATGGTGTGCTGGGCCGCACAGGTGGCGGTGTCACCGAGCAACAGAATGTGGATGCCAGCCAGGTCGACATGATCATCGGTTCGCTCGCCGGTTCCCTCTGTGGTGGTGGTGGCTTCTGTGCTGGCAGCGAAGAAATCGTCGAACATCAACGCCTCTCTGGTAACGCGTATACCTTCTCGGCCGCGTTGCCTGCTATGCTTGCGACCACTGCTAGCGCAACCACTAGGATGCTGCAAGAACAACCTGAACTTCTGGTCGCATTGAGAGAGAATGTCCGCGCCATGCGTGCCCAGTTGGATCCACGCAGCGACTGGGTTATTTGCACCAGTGCTGTTGACAACCCTGTCCTGATGCTCATTCTGAAAGAAGAAGTGCTTGAGAGCAGGCAGCTGACTGCACCAGAGCAGGATCTCATCATGCAAGATATTGTTGAAGAGGTAAGCCGGACTTCTGACTACATTTTGTGCCGTACTGTTTACTGACTGGGACTGAACAGTNGTCTTGCCAATGGCGTCTTGATCACGCGACTGAAGAGTATGCCACCACCACTAGGTGGTACACCCCGCGACGAGGGCTGGCAGCCTCAAGCTGCAGTCAAGGTCTGTGTTACTAGCGGTCTGTCGAAGAAGGAGACGGAGAAGGCTGGTGTGGTCATCAGGCATGCCATCACCAAGATTATGACGCGCAGAAAGTAAACAAAGCGAAAGCCGTCTCGTTTTGAGGAAACGAGTTCTAGTCGACGGCGTTGTCTACCGTGAAGCGATTTGCTTCAAAGTCTGTATAAGATATATATCCCTTGTAATTGTAAAAATGCAAGTTTTCTCTGTTCCTTCTCGAAGCTTTTCGAGGGTGCTGTTTTGGAAGATCAGCCGGATCGCGATGGGTTCAATTTACGATAGGGGTCCAAGCGCTCATTACATCATTCTAACCATGCATTGGAGAGGCCGCGCAAAGAGCGAGGCTTGGACATAGGGACAAGAAGTTTGAATCAACACTGCCATATTCGATCCTGATTGTACTCGAGCCCACTACATACTGCTCTTTCATCTGTGCATGCAGAAAGGCCGTCTTTGTTGACACAATGTTGGGTCGTGGGAAGCCAGTAGCGTCCATGCAAAAGACATATGACGACTGCTATTTGACATGCTCGACTGCTGTGTACTTCGAGNGGCCAGGTGAGTTGCGCGTGGGCAGTGGCCAGATACAACAGCTGACGATGAAGCAGAACAACGAGGCTGAAGCTCTCCGATCATGGCGCAACGCACTGGACCAGATATACTACCACAACGCCTATCGCATGCCCACTGGATGGCGACCACGTTCTGAGACCGAGAAGGCCCTGCAGGAGTCCTTGCGACAGATGGAGCTGCAATGCAAAGAGCGCGTGGATCTGCTCGAGGCACTTCGGCAGAGTCGGGAAGAAGCTGCCGAAGGAGAAACACAAGCAAAGGCAACAGCGTCTAGCACAAGCATTCAACTCCAGGAAAGCGCAGACCAGAACAACTCCGCCGGTGTGGGTGGAGGCAGCATCCCTCCAGTCGGATACGCTGACATTTCACGCCCTACGCCTCCTTCTCTTCCAACTCGCATCAAGCGACCATCTTACACTTCGAAGTCTAGCTCTTCGACTGATGTTCCGCGCAGTCGCAGGTCACCCCTGCAGCCCGCTGTGTCTGCCTTTCCTACACCATCGTCATCAATGCTGGTACCTCAACCATCATCCGATCAGCGTAAAGGCTCGCGAACCCCTAGTCCGGAGAAGAGAGGAGGTATGCTGAGGACTCTGCGCGCTGGTGGAAAGGAGAGGACGACTTCATCCGGCAAACTTGCCAATGCCACTTTCAGGAGGCCAGCTGCTGCTTCCAAGGCCGCTACCCAAGCATGGGGCATCACTCAGCGCAATGCCAGTGTTGGAAGCTTGGATCAAGCGAACGGACATCTGGACGGCCCTCCTAGCTCTGCTACTGTCTGGGACCCTTACACGAGAAAGCTTGTCGATCCCACTAATATCTCCCGACCAACTGCACCTAGTCACACTGCCTCCGCTCCTCCAGTCCCTTTACATTCATCCAGCGATCGTTCGTCTCAAGAAAATCCAAGACCTGCTCGGAAGCATGTGCGACCACCGAGCCCATCCGACTACTTCGTCCAGCCACCTGCTACAGACGGATCTCAGCAGGAGTCGCAGAGACCGCCATACCCCGATCATTCTTTGCTGAACCCAGTACAACCATCCCAAGCATACGCTAGCAGTTCCGAACACCTGGGTCCGCCTTCACCAATTACTTCTCCTCGTCAACGACCAAATGCTGCCTTTACCGCCAATACTCCTCAGGCGCGAAAGCAATCACCTGTTCGTAGATTTGAACCTGTCAGCTTGCCGTCCTATCGTAACGAGTATCTGCCTGTGCAGCCGAGCAAATACAAGAATCCGCCAAATGCCAGGCCGCCGAAAACTTTGAAGGATCTAGAAAACCAGGTCTCATCTTCGGTGCCTGCTGCAACAAGTCAGCCAAAACCCAAGGTAGCACCGCCGATCCCTAGGAAAGCAGTCGGTGTGGTTAATGCGGCGAAGGCACGGCAACAACTAGACGACAGAAACATCTCATCAGGATATAGCGCGGATGAACATAGCAGTGGAAGAGAAAATTCAACAAGAGTGCGACGAAAGAAAACTGCGGCTGTCCAGGAGGAGGCTCCTGCGCCCATTGTTGAATCCGTTACCGAGCATCCTGAAGCACCTACGGAGCCGCAAGACGAGTTGTCAGAGTGGGATGAACGGGTCAAGAGCCTACTCAACAACTTACCCCGCGGCGTAGACGAAGGAGCCGCAAAACAAATCTTCAACGAGATCGTTATCCAGGGTGATGAGGTACATTGGGATGATGTTGCGGGTCTGGAAATCGCGAAGAGTGCGCTGAAAGAGACGGTAGTCTACCCGTTCTTGCGTCCGGATCTGTTCATGGGCCTTCGTGAGCCAGCGCGTGGCATGTTACTTTTCGGTCCACCAGGAACAGGAAAAACTATGTTGGCCAGAGCTGTCGCAACGGAGAGCAAGAGTACATTCTTTGCCATCTCCGCTAGCAGTTTGACGAGCAAGTACCTTGGCGAAAGCGAGAAGCTCGTACGCGCACTGTTCTCTATTGCAAAGGCACTGGCACCATCCATTATTTTCGTCGACGAAATCGATTCGCTGCTCTCGGCGCGTGGTGGATCGAGTGAGCATGAAGCTACACGTCGCATCAAGACCGAATTCTTAATTCAATGGAGTGACCTGGCAAAAGCCGCTGCAGGCAAGGAAACAAGCGAAAAGGACAAAGAACGAGGTGACGCGAGTAGAGTGCTGGTGTTAGCAGCTACTAACTTGCCTTGGGCGATTGACGAAGCAGCGAGGAGACGATTTGTCAGAAGACAATATATTCCGTTGCCCGAGGACTGGGTGCGCAAGCTGCAGCTCACGACGTTGATGGCGGCGCAAAAGCAAAACATCAGCGTCGAAGATCTGGACGAGCTGGTATATTTGACTGAGGGTATGTGCATCATTCTCTGTATTTTGGATCAATCATGCTAATCTTGCAACCTAGGTTTCTCAGGAAGTGATATCACAGCTTTGGCGAAGGACGCCGCCATGGGACCTCTACGCTCTCTAGGAGAGAAACTGCTACATATGTCGCCAGACGATATTAGGCCGATCGATGTGACGGACTTTAAGGCCAGTCTAATCAACATTCGACCAAGTGTATCGGCTTCTGGACTCAAGGAGTTTGAAGACTGGGCCAAGGAATTTGGCGAGCGTGGTGGTTAGTCAATAGTATATGGGTCACAATGGCTGAAGCAGCACTTCTTTACAGTATTTATGATTCTCCTCCCTAGGTTCCTTTCGACTCCCCGTCGATGTACACGTATTCACCTCTTTATTAAGTAATGTCATTGTGAGTGGCCGGAATGTTTGACAGAAGCCGAGAAATCGTTTCACTGTCAACATATGGACATGATACACGTTCGCCCTCACCCGAACACACTCCGGGAAACACAATATAGCTCTCGTAAGTAGCTAGCTAGTCTGTGCCTATCACTCGCAGCGATCTGGCCCTTTTGTTGCCATTGTATGGAAGCCTTATGGGTATGACAGGGTGACACCAGCTCCATGTATTTCTTGGCACTGTACATGAGGTCTCACCAGCGGCTACTTACCACTTTCTCCACAACTAAACCTGATCGTATCGCTTGAAACGAGACTTGTTTACATTCGCGTTGCAATGAACCGGATGAGCAGCTCTGTCGAAAGGCCGTCCCGAACTGCGAGAGTAGGACCTGCCAACTACCGATACCACGACCACTATGGCTTGACCGGTCGAGGTCCCTGCATGTCAGAGAAATCCTCCGCTCGCGACTGAGCTTCATTGGACGCCAACTTTGCCAGCCTCATTTCGCCTCGTCTATCTTTAGGGCCTCGAAACCGAAGGATCCGGCTTCATAGGCCACTGGTTCGTCGTGTGTGCCTGGCTAGTTTCCCAAGTACATGATACAAACGCAAGTTGAACCGCTACTCTTCGCTCTGCAAGCACATGGCGCACCTCTTATACTCGTTATGGACTGTCGCACATGATTTGCGGTCGAGATGCGTATGCAAAATCCGCCATGCAACAGTCCTTCTCATGTACAGGTGCTGCTTTGTAACGAGGCTGAGCTGCAGTAGATGAATCTCTTAAAGGTACGGCTTATGCTCGAGCTACTTCTCGAGCGACATGCTCAAAGTTTTTCATTGTGACAACAGCCATGGCGAAGGTTTTATATGTCCTGTCTTTCGTGTCGTGCTTGTCGATTACGCTTGCTGCGCGAGTTCCGAGGCAAGTGGCATCGACTCAATACACGAATTCGTCAGTCACGACCAAGTCGTCGACCGATCCTTCCGACTCTGGCGATTTTTGCTGTCAGGTCTATGCTCCAGTAGCTGGATTGAACTGGTGGTATACAAGTGCCACCATTTCGGCTGTACAACAGACTGTCGTCACAGAGTACCTAAAGTACAACAACACTATTGTACCTACTGCCACGGTCACAATAACCAACTCATCTATCGCCGACTTGCCAGGTGACTACGACCAAGGTGCAAATAGAGGCCCGTTTGTACCAGGGGTTCCAACAGACTTGAATTTTCCAACTCCCGGAATTGGTCAGCCGTACGATCATACGATTTTGCTCACCGGGACCAAAGTTGACCTTGGTTATACTACCATGTATGCCACTGAATCGTTTCTAGCTTCAGCGTCTTGAAGTACATGCTAACATGTTTCCAGCACAGCTCCAACGCCCTTCATCGCGCTCGGCTATGTCTTCGTATTCCCTGGCACAGTCAACGATGCAGGAACGTGTGTGATGTCATATAAAGAATCACCTACACCAGCTGTCTCGACCACCGAGTATGATGTATCCTCTGCAGCCGGAAACTGGTTTGCAGGGGCTGCTTTCGAGCCTCTTGGATATCTCTCTGGTTGGCTTCAGTATGACAGTTTCATTCTGTCGACGCCATACATCAGTGTCGTCTCTACAAAACCAGGCGAATGGTACTCGAGCACGAGAATTTCGACACTCGACACCTCATTCATTACGTATCTGGCACAAGACCCAATAGCTCTATCTGCGTTTCCAAGGATCAAGAGTTGCTCTGCGGTCTCAGGCGCAGGTGCGCCAGGCGTTCATGTCCAGGTCTCGTTCCTGACCACTTCGAGTGCCGTGACGAGTACCACGAATGCACTATTCATCAACAAGGCTACCACAACATCAGCAGTTCCAGCTAGCAACGTTCCTCCAATTGGTCCTATAAGCACTACCCCATCAACCATTCAAGTGACCGGAGCCACTCAGACTCCATCAGATCAGCCTCCTGATCAAACATCTGTTCAGCCAACCAACCAGCCATCTGGACAGACTTTCGAACAGCCAAAGCCTTCACCTTCCACTACTTCACAGAAAGTGTCAGAAGAGCCTGTATCGCCGTCGCAAGGTCAACCCGGATCTCCGAAACCCTCAGAAAACTCACAAAATGAACCTGCCCAACAACCCACACTCACCTCTGACAATTCCCCTCAGCCGGCCACACAACAGACAACTGCGGACTCTCCCACTGCCCCAATAAAATCATCGAATGAGCCGGTGTCCAACGGACGCCAACCTGCAACTGAGCCAGGGGGCCAAGCTTCACGTCTGACAGAGCCGAAACCTGTGCATTCGCAAGGTGCTTCTCAGGGAACTTCTAAGGTTAATACAGTCCAGAACACTGCAACACAAGTGATTGTGGTCGGTACGTCGCCCGCTGAGACTTCTCAGAGCCCTGCACCAGTCGTGATAGGTGATATCACGGCGTCGGCTGCATCCTCTGGCGGATACATTGTGGGAAGTCAGACACTTATTCCTGGAAACTCTGCCATCGAGGTTTCAGGTACGACCTATTCTCTGCAAGCGTCCGGCGGCACTGCTGTTGTCAATGGCCAGGGCGTTCAGATCTCGATTATAGCATCCGCTTCTGAGACGGCTGCGCCAATTGTGTTGGGTGACTCGACGGGTAGACCTGTGTCATCTGGCGCTTATGTTGTGGCGGATCAGACCCTCAGTCGTGGAGGACCAGCCGTTGAGGTAGCTGACACGACTTACTCACTGGAACCCTCTGGAGACAGAATCGTTGTCAATGGTGAAGCAACGCCAATATCGGCCCTGGAGGTAACTCCGCAGCCAGCAAAAGTTGTGATTGGAGATGTGACGGCCGCCCCTGAGTCATCTGGAGCTTACTATATCGTTGCGGGACAGACGCTCTCTCCTGAAGCTTCAGCGATAGAGGTCTCGGGTGTGACATATTCTCTACCAAAGTCCGGAGCGAACATTGTGATCAACGGAGCTACCTCTTACGCGAATGCTGTCAGTACTCCTCCATTGGGGATCTTGGGTAGCGTGACTGCTGCATCGTTTATAGGTGGCGGTTATATCGTGTCAAGCCAGATTTTGAGCCCAGGAGGTACTGTCCAGGTCTCAGGAACTACGTATTCTCTGGCTGCTTCTGGGGACACTGTATTCATCAACGGAAAGCCGACTGCGATTCAAACCGCCGCCCCTCTCACCGGCGCCACTTCACTCGCTAACGCAGAGAGCACACCTTCGCCTGTGATCTTTGGCAGTGTTACCGCTACTCCGTTCATAGCAGGAGGCTATATCTTGGCGACCCAAATCTTGAGTCCTGGAGGTACCGCCGTCGAGGTATCGGGAACGACATACTCTCTAGCCACGTCTGGAAACACGGTCTTCATCGATGGAAAGCCAACTACAGTACAAACTGTGACTGCTGCTGCTGCACCTATCACAATCGGATCGCAGATTTTTACTGCGGTGGCTGCTTCCGGAACACCGTTGGTCATAGAATCACAGACGCTTGTTCCAGGCGGCTCTGCTATCACAGTAAGTGGCACGACATACAGCCTTCCTGCCTCAGGAACAGGCAATATAGTCGTGAATGGCCAGACGACCAGTCTAGCACAAGCATCTGGTGTTGCGGTTCTCTCAGCCGACTCACAAAAACTCTCTTTTACGCCACTGAACTCTGGTATAGTGGTAGCTTCACAAACACTTTATCCTGGTGAGGCTATCACAGTCAATGGCGAAACACTGAGTTTGGCGAGCAGTGGAGGTGTCGTGGTTGTCAAGTCAGGAGACAGTACGACCACAGAAGGATTGGGTGACTACATTTGGCACGGTATTGATGCTTCGACCTCGGCTTCGACGACAGATTCTGCTTCTGGTTCGAGCAGGACAAGTGGTTCGGCCACTATGAGTGGCTCGAGGTCGCTGGCAAGTACTGCCACTACGAGCAGATCGACTGGAAGTGAAGCTTCAGGCTCGGGTGCGGCTGCGACTACCAGTGCCAGTTGGGCAAGTCATGTAGAAGCGGGAGTTGTGAGTTGGATATCGATCTCGATGTGCTTGGTACTGGCTCTTCTGGCCATGTAATGAAGAGGGGTCAGAAACAGGTGGAATAGTAACACACTCGATCAAATTACATTCTAGCTACTGAGATTCTGATCGTTGAACATGATGCCGTTAATAGCTGTCTGTAGTGTAGTATCTTTATATCTGCACCACCATGTCGCTTGAATCCACTCGAGTCATTGTCAGGCCGTTCACATTTTGCAAAGCTGGCGCCTAATACTCAGGCCAAATACACTTCAACTCGAGAACCACGCACTTTACTGAGTCTGTTCCCTCGTGAGTCTAGTTGGACTTACGTCTCAGTCAGTCATGAAGATATTCTTCGGTGTATTTTGGCTGCTTGCATGGTGCTCCACTGCCTTGTGCAAGTATACCTTGTTACCCGAGAACACACCACCATTACGCGATTACAATCTCGATTGCTCGTATGAATACTGGAAAGACGTTGACCGTAAGTACAAATAAGAGAAGATGTAACTCATCATCTTGATGTTGTTCTTATTCATTCCTTCCCCATCATGCTAACATTTTCCACCTTTTGACTCGAAAAAAGACCCACGCGCCTATGGATGCGATATCGATTACTACAACATCACTTTGCAGTCCAATCATACAGTACAACAACATTTTGATCTCATCGGAAAAGACCTCAGTGCTCACCTTTTACGCCGCTATAAACACGGATACATCGCACACCTAGAAAATCGCACTGATGTCGAGCTCCTGCGACGAGATACCGGGCTTCTGCGACTCGAAGGCGCCGTCTTGGTTGAAGTGATGCCTCTAAACATGACTTTTCCTATCAAACCATATGGATTCGTAGGAAAGGATTTTGTGGAAGAACCTTGGGACGAGTTTCATCCGAATTGGCCGGCGTGGCCGAATGAAGAGATGAGGAGGCAATTGGCACCGTCTACGCCTTCTCGGTTGCCGGAAGGGATGTTGCGGCCGATCTCACCGTTGACTGACGAAGAGATGAATAGCCCTTGGGCTCTCCCTCAAGAGCATGAGTATGAAATCTCGCTACAACCCGGCCACACCCTGGACGATCACTTTTCCATCATTGGTAGAAAGTTCCCCGACAAACGCATCAAGCGTCGACAGAGACAAGATCCCGGGTACCGCCAGACTGCTGGCTACACAATTCTGCTAGAGCAAGGAGATGTCATGCGAGATCTAGACGCCATCAGGACCGACTCTGGGGTGCAATATGTGCATCAGTTGGTAGCGTGGCAAGCCATTCAGAACGAATACAGCCGTGATGTGACTATAGAAGAAGGCAGGAAACTTCTTTCTGGAGAGCTATTCGATGCGTGGCTCGGAGACACCGAGGCGAGGATTGCTGCTGGTACACATGGAGGTTATGAGGAGGTTCGTATGGGGTTGCCATGGTTAGATTGGCTTGTAAATAACCCTGTACTCGTGGAAAGGTGATGTCTCTGTGTAAGCATGACTTGGTGTATAGAAGCATTCCTCCAGAATCTGCTGTTTCTCGAATGTGCAAGAAGGGGTAAGGGTTTGTTGTAGCTCTCTCTCAACTGGACGATTGGGTATGAACCCTACCAGCTGCTAGCCACTTTGCCTGCCCTGTCTGGATGTAGAATTCCAAACACAACATGAGCAACCTCTGAGCTGAACTTGTCTCGACCCCTGACCGAGCCCCAGGTACAGAAACTTTCGAGCTCGGGGCATTGGTTTAGGATGGCTTGTGCAAGCGCTGCGACTTACTGACGCCGGGCATCCGAGCTGTAACGATTGTTCAGTATTTTGCTTTGTTCATCAAGGCTGCGTGACTTTATATCGCTAGACACAAGCTCAAGCTTGAGCTTCCTCAACGTCGTCAAGGATGGTATCAACTTTGCAGTGGCGGACCGCTCATGTTGTACAACCAAAACACCTCAAGTGTTGGCACTAGATGATGGTTCAGATCCCAGTTAGCCTTAGTAAGCCACATGCCGAGCACCTTGCTTGAAGAAGCTCGTGGTACGCCTAAGGTACATGTCGCGCGCTTCCCCAAGACGCCGGGCATTTCACTCCGTCATCTGGCATCACTTCAACGTATCTCATGATCCGACACCAAACAAATTCACTCTTAAGCGCCATCACCAACCAACTCTTCATTTATAGATAGGGACCATCCACACCTTCAAGCGACAGAAAACCAACCATGTCCTCAAACGCAACACCAACCACAACAACCGCACCACCTCCAAACCCAACACCCACAACAACAACAACAACACAACCACCCCTCCCACCAGCCCAAACCTTCGACATCCTCCCACCCCTCCACGCCCTGCTCTCACGCCTAGAACCCTCCCTCAATGTCTATACTCCTGACACTTCCGCCGCTCCACAAGCAAACAATGCTGCCCACACCCCCGTCACCTCTGCCTCTGCACTCCCCAGCCCGGCGCCCCAGCAACTAGACTACAAAGATGCGGCCGTAGCCGCGCAGTTCCTGAGGAGTAGGATTAGAAAGGCGTTGGCTGATTTGGGTGGGTTGGCGGATATGCACAGAGGTGTCGAGGAGCAAGAGGAAGAGATTAAAGGACTAGAAGATAAGATTGAGAGACAGAGAGAAGTGTTGGCTAGGTTGGCGCGATTGGCCGAGGAAAACAGTTGAAGAGAGGAAGGGGGATTTTGAGAAAGAGAGATGTACAATCAATCTCTGAGACCGCATAACGACATCCCTCGGTTGCGACGGTGCATGTCGCGTATACAACTTCTGGGATGGCACCGAAAGCAGAGATGGCCATACTCAAAACAACTACTCCGGCAATCTGCGATGCGCAAAGGCTGCTTAGTAGCCTCCGTCAATTGCCTAGCTCCGCGCAAGCCAATGAGCCATCTGCAATGCTCATCCAGGACTCGAACAACCACACGACACACCTCATACTCAAGTCAACGACCCAATGTCAAAGAACTTGTCGTCAGAGTCTACATACAAGGCCCTTCTAGCCTAGTCAGGGCTTACCATTGCAGCAAGGGAGTCCACTCCAAAGCACACGAATCATGAACACACGACAAAAGGGACAAAGACACAATCATCAAAGAAGGAGAGAAGTAGATTGAAGAAAACCAAAACGCCAAAGTCTATTTTCGTCATAAGAGGAGAAGCCAATTAAGTTATTCGTTAATAATATTCACATGAAAAGCCCACTTTGTATGCGGTCTGGAATCCTTCTAGGCTCCCTGGACCTTTGCGTTTCTGCGCTCGGCTGCAGATGCAGTGAGCTTGAGTGCCTCGGGAGCGTCCTCCTTGGGCATGTACATCTCAACGAATTGCAGATAAGGAGCAGCGTTGAAGTTGTCGTCGGCCATGAGCTGGTCGAGCTCTTCGCGTGTCTTGACGGTGTAAGTCTTGTACTCGCCCTCCTTTGCGCCGAAAGCGGGCACCAAGTCCTTGTACTTCCACTCCTGGACGTCGTTGTACTCGGCGTTCATGCCGTGGATCATGCGCTCGATGGTGTAGCCGTCGTTCTGGATGAGGAAGATGATGGGCTTCAGCTTGCGGCGAATCATGGTCGAGACCTCCTGCGCGGTCAGCTGGAACGAGCCGTCTCCAGTGAGTAGGATAGTGCGGTGCTTCTCGCCCTTCTCCTCCTCGAGCTCCTTGGCAGCCAAAGCAGCACCCTGGCAAGAACCAGTAGCGTAACCGATGGAGCCCCATAGGACTTGAGAAATGAGCTGGACCTTGGCAGGGAAACGAGTCTCCCAGATACCAAAGTTGGCAGTACCGGTCTCGGTAAGGACAATGTCTTGCTCGCGTAGCCACTGACCAAGACGAGGCCAGAAGTACTTTTGTGTGATGACCTGGGTGTTGTCCTGGCTGCTTGTGCGGTTGGTAGGTTTGGGACCAGCCTCGACGTTCAACTTGCCCATCTTGTCGACGACCTTGCGGAGGACACCGTTCATGCGGACCCCAGGATATTGCGAGTAGCGGACTTGGATGAAGTTGGAGTGGAAGTCAATGGTGGTCAACTGACTCTGGCGGAATGTGAAGCCTGCGGTGTTGAAGTCTGACTTGATGGCACCAATGCTGAGGACAAGGTCGGAGCTCTCGACACGGTCGCGAACACCTTCGTTTGAGCCATCACCAGCGTACACACCACCATAGTTAGGAAGAGTCTCGTCGACACATCCCTTACCAAGAGGAGCGACGAATGTGGGTAGACCAGACTTGACGACCAAGTCATATGTCTCCTTCTGGGCGCGATGACGAATGGCACAACCATCGACCAGGATGACGGGGTTCTTTGCTGCGTGTAGGTATTTCAAAACAACATCGACGACGTAGTCTTCTTGCTCTTCGGGGTTGGCAGGGTATGCCAGGTCGATGGGTTGAGCAAGTCTCTCGCCCTCAATCATGTCCTCGACAATGTCGCAAGGCAGACCGATGTAAACGGGGCGCGATTGGATGTAACATTCGCGAATGACGTGGTCGATCTCGGCGGCAGCAGTGTTTGGGTCCTTGAGGTTGGCGACGGCGCAGGAAACGGGGCGGAACATGTCAATGAAGACGTCGTAGTTGCCATTACCAAGAGTGTGGTGGAGCAAGAGGCCATCTTTCTGTGCTGACGTTGCGGGCGTACCGACAACGTGAACGATTGGGACATATTCTGAGTAGGCACCGGCAATAGCATTGATGGCCGAGAGCTCACCAACACCAAAGGTGGTGACAAGGGCGGACAAGCCCTTGATTCTGGCGTATCCATCTGGACAACAAAATGTTAGCCCGTGCTGTTATGAGAGCCACTCAATCTACCTACCAGCAGCGTAACCAGCATTGAGCTCGTTGCAGTTGCCAACCCATTTCAGGCCAGCCTTCTCCAGGTAGTCGAGAGCGACCAGGTTGTAGTCACCAGGAAGACCGTGAACAGAGCTAACGCCACATTGCTTCAGACGAGCAAAGAGGTACTCGGTAATGGTAATGGGCTTCTTGAGCGAACTCGTGCGGATGTCTTGGGAAGCCATGGTGGGGGGGGAGGGGTGTGAGGATTGTAGGGTCTCTGAAGAGGATGGGAAGGCAAGTCTATGCTCGGGAGTCTGGTTGGCTTATATTCGAAATGCTGGATTGATGCGGAACGAGAATGTAGGAAAGTCAAACTGCTGAACTGCTTCCTGGAACACCCTGGGAGCTCTTGCCCGGCAACGAGTATGACGACGCAGCTCGGAACCTCGTGGATAGGCCCGACCAACAAGTGTCACCCCATCACCAGAACCTCGCCATCTTCTCTGCGGCCCTATTCACGAGTGCGACCGGCTCCACTCATGTTAGACTTGATCGCCATATTCCCAAACCCATTGCCCCTGAGAGATTCATGACAATTCGCATTATACAGCATGCCATATTTCGGAGCACGCTCCACAATAGAAGAATTGGGACCTTGATGACATCGTCTTCGATCATCCGGAGCTTGGACCACTAAATTTGAGCGAGTCAAGCCATAGCTTCGGCTGCTCCCGAACCTGCGAACCTCTTTCCTCTGACCATCACGCGCTTGCAGACATGTCGGCACCACTGATATGATATTGCTCTCGGACCATAACGTGGTATGCGTCCCAGCTTACCTGCGTGACTACTCGTTGGCCTCAACAGGAGGAGCCTGTGACATGTGCTCGGTATCACATACTCTCGCTCACGATACATGTCTTCCTCCGAGTGTCCACGGTACTCGGAGGTTTCATCTAGCAGTGAAGCGTCTGTTTGCCTTGTCCGATCTCTGCCGAATGTCGAACACAGCGCAATGGTTGCCTCTCCTTTGCCTCTGATACACAACCTCCGAGCAGCTGCCGATGTAAGCTGAACACACATATTTGTGATGCAGGCTATGTGAAACCATCGTGTCGACGATAATGTTCAGGATCTGATAAAGATCTCAGACCACTTCTGCAGTATTGAGTATTATCGAGCAGCCTGCCACCTTTTTAACTATGATTCTGAAAGATGTTCACTCACAGTCATTGAGGCTCGGCTAGGTAATGACTCAAAGAGTCAGCTGGTGAGAATCTCGGTGTTGGATATGGCGGCGTGCTTGTGGAGCCAAAGTGTCTATAAGAGTTCGATACGTTTGCAGGAAAGAAGCACAGCGATTCAAAAGTATTGATAGATTCAGGATAAGCAGTCGATTATACGAATTGGCAACACATACGTAAATCGTCATAGAAAGTCGTAATACAACAAAAAGAATGATGCTTTCTATTAAACAAAAGAGTAGTTTTTTTTAAAGCACGCCAAGATTGCTAACCTCACCGCTTTCCTCACGCGATTGGCCGCCAATAACGTAGCTGGCGCGCCAACGCATGCGGACAGCACTTCCTTTGCCCGGAGGGACGCCTTGTAGGCGGATGGCTTGCTTAATGCCGTCAGCCTGGTTTGGTGACAGGTTGCGACCGGATTGTGGTTGAAGTTGCAGGGAGAATGCCNNTGGGAGAAAATGACGTTAGCTTGCTAGATATCTCGAAGAGGGGTGACTGGATCTTGAACGTACCTTTGTTACTGCGAGTTGCAGGGTAAAGTCGTTGACGGGCTGAGGGGTCTTGTTGGATATCCTGGCGTCAATGGCTAGGTAGTCATTTGCACCCGCCGGCCGTGAGACATTAAAGACAGCTCTCACGGTTGAGTCAATGACAGTAACGGTGTTGGACTGGGGTTGCTGTGGTTGGGTAGGCAAAGCAGACGAAAATGTCCACTCGTCGTCCCCGCCCAATAGTGATGCAGCTGATTGCGGGACTGCGGGTGATGCTGGAGGCTTGGCAGACTGCTGGAATTGGAATGGTGATGCGGTGCGTGAGTTGCCGGATAGAGCAGCGAATGGGTCTGCCGCCTTGTGTTGTTGTTGTTTGGGTTGTTGGAAGGCGTTTGATGCAGGAGCCGGGGAAGCAATCATGCCAAAGGGATCGTAGTTGGCTCTGGATGCTTGAGGTTGAGCAGGGGGAGGAATGCCAGCGGGTGCAGGTGTCGGCTGAGAGCTTGATGGACCGGCAAGGTCGGCCAGACCATTGTTGGGTGAGCCGAGGGTCAAGGCACCACCAGAACCATACGTAGAATCGCCCATTGACAGGCCAAGCAAGTCATCCTCCAAGGCATTGCCCTTGGACTGTGGAGCTGCCTGAGAAGATTGAGATTGAGCCGGCTGGGCGGCCTCTTCCTCCTCTGGGCCACCAAAGTCGATAAGAGACAACTCGTTGTTAGGTCCGCTCTTGACACCGGCACCGCTGATACCAAGAGTGCCAGCAGCGATTCTGTTGGCACCCTCGAGATCGCCCTTCTTGATGAGCTTGTATCTTTCGCTTGTACGATGAATACTGTCGTTGATCTCGAAAAGCTTTGCGACAGCCTCGTGGTCCTCCGACTCTTCCTCACACATTTTCTGGATCTTAGGGTGCGCGCTGGCCAAGGCGTTTGCAAGTTCNCTTGTGTCGTCAGTACGGAATCTCAATATGAAGCAGACAATGCTACTCACCTCGAAGACATCGCCCTCCTTGATCTCGTCGCCTGGCTTATAGCCCTGCAACATTTCCTCCAACAATCTCGCCTTTTGTTGAATCTTGCCAACCTCCTCGGCAGCCTTTGCACGGTAGTCGGTCTTGCGGCGAGTGTCAAAGCCGGCCATGATCTTCATAAGCTTGTTGGCCTCTTGCAAATCATGAGGGGTACCTCTGCGGATGAGCTCCTGCAACTTTGCTGACTGAGCGGCGCGTTCCTCCTCCTCCATCTCCTCGGCGGATCTAAGATCGTTGGTGGGATTTAGCACAGCGGCATCCTCCTTCTTGACCTCGGGGAATGTGTAGCCCTTGTAGCTCAGCAAGCGGTGCATGTCGCGAATGAAACCCAGATCCTCTCTGTACTTTGAGGTGACGCAAATGGTGGAGCGCCATTCTTCGATAAGCTCGAGGATGCGGTTCTGGACACGAGTGACGCGCATAGGAGGACGCTCGGGGAAGCGACGGACGAGCTCGTTGAGGAAGTCCTTTGTGCTGACTTGGAGGTGGAAAGCATAGCCGCAGTTCTTGACACAGATGTCGAGCAGGGTCAAGGCAAGCATGGAGACATTGGGGTTGCGGTGGTTGACGTATTGGACAATGGCGACGGCGGCTTCACGCGGAGCGTTTCCCTTCTTAGCATTGATCAAGTCGGCGATCTCGAGGTCCAGGGCCAGGTTTGGCTCGAAGTTTTGCGGGTCGCAGGCATTANNTCTGAGAGAGAGCGTGTTAGACCGGAAGACGCTTTCTATGTGGTACGAGGTAGACAGACGAATGTAGCGCTGCAGCGGGGTTTGGGGAGCAGGTCCCTCGTGGACCCAGCGGTCCCGGGCCGCGTATCTAGCTGATGCTGCCTCCACGATGGGCGAGTTTGGGGGTGGAAGACGGTGGAGAGTGAAGGTCCTCTGGGCGTGTGTGAGACCGGAAAGGGAAGCGTGGTAAAGATAGCTTATCGAGTGCAGGCCGCTGAGCGGTATGCACCACGTCGAGGTGTACGGAGAAGCTTCTTGGCGGAGTCCGTTGACGTAGTTGCCTGACTCGCGTCGATTTTGCGCGCGCTCCATCTCGAAATTTGCCTGCCCCTCATCTCGTCATCTAACCACTCGAGTCCGTTTCTGCAATCCATCTGGAATTCATCTCGTCGCCTGTGCCATACTTGTACATATTCCACCCATATACCGACACCAGGACGAACCACCACAGCCAGCATGGTCCGCCACAAGAAGGACATGTCCAACAAGGGCAAGCGCTACCCAAACAGCCGTTCTGCTCGTCCTCTGCCTCCAGCTCGTGGCGAGGAAGGAGACGTCGACCCTGCTGCCTCCAAGCGTCCACCGTACAAGGCCGCCGCCTGGGATCTCGGCCACTGTGACGCCAAACGATGCAGCGGCAAACGCCTGATGCGTCTGGGTCTCATGCGCGAACTGCATGTCGGCCAGAAGTTCGCCGGCATTGTCGTTTCGCCCAATGCAAAGACCATCATCTCGCCTGCCGACGCCCCTCTCCTCGAGCAGTACGGTGCTGCTGTCGTCGAAGCCAGCTGGAAGCGTATCCAAGAAGTCCCCTTTGGCAAAATTGGAGGCCCTCACCAACGACTCCTCCCCTACCTCATCGCCGCAAACCCTACAAACTATGGAAAACCCTGGAGGATGAACTGTGTTGAGGCTCTGGCTGCCTGCTTCTACATTTGCGGAAAGAAAGAGTGGGCCGAGCATATCCTCAGCACCTTCAGCTATGGTCAGGCATTCCTCGACATCAACGAAGCTGTCTTGAAGAGATATGCCGCCTGTGAGGACGAGGCTGGTATCAAGAAGGCCGAAGAGGCTTGGTTGGAGAAGATTGAGAATGAGTACACCCAGGATCGCGCCGAAAGAGAGGCCAACGAGGATGACGCATGGAGAGGAGGCAACTTGAACCGCACCCGTATGCTCGACGAGTCCGATGAAGAAGGCAGCGATGAGGAGAGCGATGGTGAAGAGAGGGAAGACAAAGACGAGGATGATGAGGACCAGGAGGAGGAAGATGACCACGATCCGTATGGCATGCCGCCTTCAGATGACGACGAGGAGGAGATGGCCGAGCTCCGCCGACGCGTGCTTGCCTCGAAGCCTTTCCAGAATCCCGCTCCTCCCGTTTCAGACGACAAGCCGCAACCAGGTCGCATTGCACAGACCGAACCCAAACCTCTACAAGATTCCGACGATGAGTCAGGTTCAGATGTTGGTGATGCCGAGGATGACGACTTTGACAACATCATGAATGCAACACCCGTCTTGGACCGCTCGGGAATTGCAAGGAAGCAAAAACAGAAGGCACAGGATCAGATCAGTGCTCGTTTCTCGAGGACTGTGATTGATGCACCTTCAAAGTGGCCTCCAAGCGCTTGAGCATCATAATTCCATCAACTATATAATGCATAGCAAAAGCTGTCGATTTTACGTATCAACTGCAAGAGCAATACTTGGCATGCACTCTGATATTATTTCGCGCTCGTCCGTTCTTGTCCATGCCGTGCAAACAAGACCTGATCTTGGTCAGGTTGGCACCAGTCGAGCAGAGCTTGTGTGCACATGGCAGCAAACCAAATGCCGACCTTTCACTCCGTTGCCGACAATGTGGAGCCCCAAGCAAAGTTTCCGTGCTGCTCCGGCTTTGCTCCAGCTCTTTCGACATCATCCTCTCCACCATGACCACAGTGCACCTCGACGCGGGGTCGGTACTGCGACCATGAGGCAGCGATCAGCAAGCAGAGTGGAATTCTCTATGGCGATCGATGCAACCTGATGGCCGAACCCTTGCTGGTGAATGAGTATTTATATAGACGGCCGTGTCACGCCGTTTGTGCTGTAAATACATTTCACTCTCCATTTTCAGCATTATGTACGCCTCTCTTCTAGCGGCACTCAGTGTGCTGGCACTTGCAGTTGCCCGAACAGTCGTCACCGTCCCTGAACGCGTCTGTATCGTCGAGCCTTGTGCAAATGGTGGCGACTCTGCTCCAGCCATCATTGAAGCCTTTGAGAAATGCGGCCACAACGAGGAACCTTCACGAGGAAAGGTCGTCTTCCGCAATGAGACCTACAACATCCATAGTGTCATGAACACTACTGGCCTGAAAAACGTCGATGTAGATCTGAACGGTTTGCTTCTCTGGGACACCAATATTCCTTACTGGCTCAATCATTCTCTTCCCGTTGGCTACCAGAATCAATCGTCTGCTTGGTTGTTTGGCGGAGAGAACATCAACTGGGATGGTCATGGTCATGCTACCCTTAATGGCTCGGGACAAGTTTGGTATACCTTTGTCAACGGAACCAACAACTAGTAGGTGCTCATGTATCCTATACCACGATGTATACTTATTTTGGTGTNNAGCCCTGGCAGACCCCATCAGATTACTATCACTGGAACCAAGAACAGCAACTTCTATGGCACCCGGTTCGTGGATTCGCAGATGTGGACGATGACGGTCATTCATAGCGAAAACGTTCTTCTCGAAGACATCTACGTAAACAGCACCGGCAATGAGCCCGTTGGCTTCGACTTCTCGAGTTTGAACACGGATGGCGCGGACACTGTTTATGCAAACAACATCACCTTCCGTCGCTGGAATGTCACAAACGGAGATGACTCTATCGCTTTGAAGGCCAACAGCACCAACATCCTCATAGAAGACTGCAACTTCTACACTGGACTCGGCGTTGCGATTGGCAGTATCGGCCAATACAACAACACCTTTGAGATCATTGAGAACGTCACTGCTCGCGACATTCGCTCCTACAACATGAGATATGGCGCTTATGTCAAGACCTGTTTGTGATATCGTGCTCCGTCTCACAAGACAATGTGCTGACTTGTTTAGNGGACCGGTATTGCCACTGGTTATGCCCCTAACGGAGGCGGAGGCGGTCTAGGTTATGCCGCCAACATCACGTTCTCCGACTTCGTCTTACACAACAACACTGGAATCTACGCAGTGACTCAGTGCACCTCTTATAATGGTGTTTCCGGTGGCTGTGACACTAGCAAGTTCAACCTTCGTGATATTCGTCTCCAAAACTGGACTGGAACTGCTGTCAGCGATGTTGTCGGTGCTATCCAGTGCTCAGCTGCATCTCCTTGCACTGGACAAGAGATTATTGGTATTGACATTCTCGACACTGTCAACGGTACTGCTCCTAGCCAGTACTTGTGTGATAATGTGTCGTCTGTTGGCTTCAACTGCACTGGTCCAACATGGGAGGAGAACAGCAGGTAGACATTGTTTATCAGTACATAGTAAGCCAAAAGCATGCTTCTTCACTCTCGGCCTTCGACGATGATGACGAAAACGATTTTACTCTTCCGTTTTCCTTTTTTATAGCTTAATTTCAATCATATAATCGCTCTGGAAGTTGAGGCGAAAGTCGGGTTATATGATCTATCCTTTGCCAAATTCGTGATCGTCTTGTATGATTCTCATCATCACCAAAGCTACGGTCTCGATGGACAGACCAAAATTCCAAACTCGTTCGACACTAGACAGTCGCTTGTCAGAATCAAGCTGATTGTATTGACCCTCGGCCACGAAGTCGACAATGGAGTCTATGTTGGGAATTCAAGATTCGACAAAAAGGGATGTTCGGCAAGATTTTCCCAGAAGCCTAGATCAAAGTCCCAAGCTTCCAGATTCAAATTCGAAGCCCAAGGTCCCATTTGTCCCGGCGCTGCATCTTGATGAGTGTCGATCTGACCATTGGGATGATGATCATGTCTCTCCTCTGAATCGAGGAAGTTTTCGATAGTCTGCGCGGCTCTGGTGAGTAAAGCAAAATTCGGCTCTCTTGGGTGTGATAATGCGCCGATTTGTATCTCGGCCACGAGGATTCTTAGGTTTTGTAGGACTTTGGCGCGAGATAGACCACCGAAGTGGTAGGGATTGCGTTGCTCGAGGATAGCGAGCAATATAATGCCAGAAGCTGGTAAGCCATAGAGGATGACTTTCCATACAAGACCGCTTCCAGAGTTAGCAAGGCGATCACGAGCGAGAACGGCTTGAACGACCAGCGTGAGCATCTCATGCGCTATCTGGATCATCTCGTCGTCTGGCTGGGCTAAACTGTTTAGCAAGATGAACCGCAACAGGAAACGAATATGTATGTGGTCCAGCCGAGCACTAATAAGGAAGTCGCGCTCGAAGGGGCTCCTTCTGTAGTCGTTCAAACAGCCAACATCGTAGCGCATGTGTGTGGGTAGCTGCTGCCATTGTGCTTCGGCCTTGGCATAGATAACACTCGCTCGTTGAACGCAATGTTCGCGATTCTTCTCGATAAACAGCTCTAAGATTTCTTCTTTGAGTAGCGCACATAGAGCCGCCCAACTGCACCCTGCTCTGTAGTCAATCTTGATCGCGTTTGCTTGTCCGACAGTCTCAGTCCCAGGAGCCGACACATTGACCTCAAACGAGTCCAAAGCAATTGGTATTCGGAAATGACAAAATCTTCGACTTAGACGAGGTGGTCGACCAAGAAAGATGGAAACTTCTTTGTCGTCGGTGTATATGCGTGCGAATGCACTTTGCCGTAGCTCGACCAAAAAGTTCGGTATCCTGGATCTAGTCTCGACTCGTTCGTGGTAACCAAGAGCAAGCATAGAGGCAATGACATCTCCAAGCCTCCGCCATGAGCTGTAACTTTGATCTCCATCGACGAACGTATGCACAATGAAATTTTCGTATTGGAAGGCAAGCTGAAGGTCATTCAGACAGTCGAGTGATAGGCAAACTTCCAAAGCATGGTCACTTAATCGAGTCGCCAGTTTTCGAAGCCTGAATTTGTCTTCGTCCGACTTGTATAAGGTCGGAAAGAATGGAACATCATTTGTAGCTCTAACCACTGCAGATAGAAAGATGCCCAAGGTCTCCAAGCGAGCATTGTTGCCAGAGAATTGAGCTGCATATGCACCAAAAGTTGTCTCAGGCACAAAGAGCAATGGACTTTGCGAGTTCCGGGTCAAGTGTTCCATACATGTGTCTGTTGGCTGTCCAGAGTTGAGGGCTTCGTCCATGCTATCCACACACGAATCTAACAAAGACTCGGCATGTGAGAGACTGATACCCTTGGCGAGCCAGAATGAGACCAAGTCTTTGAGAGTGCTTAATGGGTACTCTTCCAGAAGTAGCTTTATCAATGATGTTCCTTGTCGACACGCGATATCATCATTGTCAAGCAATGCAGGCACGGACACTCCAGCTGGTACAGTATCAGGTTCCGGCTGAGCAGTTCCCGGTTCGTGATGTCGAGGAGAGATATGACTGAAGATTGCAGCAGAACTCAATGAGCCTTGGAAACCTGGATTTGGATAAGGCCGAATGGTTGGCGTCGCGGCTGCCGTCGGAGGTGGTTCGGATTCTCTAGACTGANNCTGCCATTGCTATCAATTCATCAACAACCACACCAAAAATGGTGAAAACTCTGCCTTTTCGTACCGTGAAATATTCGTCCTAGGCGAAGGACCTAAATCTGTTCGTCTTCGTTTGAATGGAGATATCCGATACTCGCAGGCGTCGGCTCTGTTAGCACCCAAGCATCGAGTGCATACCGGTCGGACATGATCACAGGCTAACTTCGACCTTCTACAAGGCTCACAAGCTGCCTCACGAGGTGGCATAACTTCCTGATGCGAGTCGTGTTATTTCCTTCTGCTGTAAGTTGGTCGGAGTAAGGAAATGCCACATCACTCCGATTCGATAGGAGTCTTCGGAGTCTTCGGCTGGAAGCGGCTTGGCAAGGTCAGTGAGGGGTGTGGGGACGCCTCGGTCGTTGCTGCCCCGTCTACTCCGATGACAACGACATATCATGGTTTCTGAGCGTATGTCTCATCGGTTCTCTTTCGTTGACAAGCATTTGCATCGGAGTCCGACTTCTATTTCTGTCTTGTGGAGTTACTTGACGTGAGCTCGTTCTCAAACCATTGGATCCGAAACCACCTCAACAATGTCTTCAACATCACAAGATACCATCACACTTGCCGATTATGTCTTCGCAAGACTTCATCAGCTTGGCATCAGATCTGTTTTCGGAGTTCCCGGCGACTACAACCTTCGACTGCTGGACTTTGTTGAGCCTGCGGGCTTGCACTGGGTTGGCAACTGCAATGAGTTGAACTCTGCATATGCCGCCGATGCCTACGCCAGAATCCACGGCGTGAGTGCACTGATCACTACATTTGGTGTTGGAGAGTTGTCGGCAGTCAATGGCATTGCTGGCGCATACGCAGAGAAAGCTCCCATTCTCTCCATCGTTGGCACCCCAGCCAGAGCTACACAAGAGGCTCGTACCAATGTACATCATACATTCGCCGACGGTGACTTCAATCGCTTTGCCGCAATGCATACACATGTGACAGTCGCCCAGACAAACCTCTTGGATCCTCGGACTGCTCCGGAACAATTCGATGTGACTGTACAACAGGCTCTGATCCACAGTCGCCCGGTTTACATCCAACTACCAGCCGACATGGTGGACGTGAGGGTTTCTGCGGCCGGTCTGAAGTCCAAGATCTCTCTGCCTCCAATCTCGCATGGCGATAACGAATCGAAGGTCTCCGGCCGCATCATTGAGATGATGCATTCTGCCAAGAAGCCTCTCATATTCGTGGATGGTGAGAGCAGATGCTTAGACATCCTTGACGAGGTCAACGAACTCGTCAAGATCACAGGATGGCCTGTATGGACATCACCTTTCGGTAAAGGTTTGGTGAACGAGCATCTGGAGAGCTTTCAAGGTATATATAACGCCGATTTGGGTAGCGAAAGCGCAAAGACCTACTTCGAGTCAGCAGATCTCGCTTTGGTATTCGGACCTCACTTTAGCAGCACTAACACTGCTTTGTTCTCGACCACTCCGAAGCAAGCAAACTCGATCTCATTCTCCGAACGTCATGTCAAGATTGGATCCGAGATCACTCGTGATGTTTCGAACAAGAAACTGATAGCGTTGTTGCTGCAGCAGCTGGATCGCAGCAAGATATCGAAGCCTGAGAGCCCCTCAAAGCCAAGTCAAACACGACCATCTATTGAACCATCTGGCTTGCTTACGCAGAAAGACTTCTACCGTTTTGTTAATCCGATGCTCAAACCTGGCGATATTGTTATGGGTGAGACAGGCACCGCCTCTCATGGCAGCCGTGATCTTGAGCTCCCAGCCGGAAGCTATTACTTCACCGCTGTTACGTGGTTGAGTATTGGCTACATGCTACCAGCCGCGCTGGGCGCTGCAATCGCTCAAGTGAGTTGTTTTCTGTGTGATGCTTCTTAATTTGACAGGTGGGTGCTGACCTTTTGTGTGATTCAGCGCGATTCGGAAAACTGGAGAAAGAGGTCAGGCAGCAAAGATGCTTCAGAAGATCGAGTGGTCTTATTCATCGGCGACGGAAGTCTGCAGATGACTGTACAAGAAATCAGCACCATGATCAGAGAAAAGTTGAACATTGTCATTGTGGTCATCAACAATGATGGCTACACTATCGAGCGTGTCATACATGGCCGCAAACAAGCATACAACGACATTGCATCTTGGAGATATCTGCAAGCTCTGAACATGTTCGGCGCCGCAGAAGACGAAGTCGAGACTAACACTTTCTCTGCACGAACTTGGGGAGAATTAGAGGCAGTGATAGGATCAGGCCTGCTCACAAACGGCAAAGGTGTCAGAATGCTCGAGGTGTTCATGGGGCGCGAGGATGCACAGGGCTTGTTGTTGAAGCTTCTGAACAACCAAAAAGCTCGTGAGTCGTCCAAGATGTGAGTGCGGCAGAAGTCACAGAGTACAATCATCATGGCAGATGAACTATATGACGGCCTTGAGCAATCACCAACGATGCCATCTGCAGATGAGGCTACGAAAATACTGCTAAACGGTAATAATTGCCACGGAACGTGTTGGCGATTTGGTACTACATAGATTATCCTTATGCTCCGGATGGAAGATATGGTGCTTTTTCCGTCTCAAAAGCCTGCAGACTTGTGCTGAACGCATCTCTGTGTTCAAGAAAATTACCAATTATTGATATTGTTGTCGATCCTTAAGGCCGTATGTAGTCCGTGTCACGTCGGCTTCCAGCTTCCCCTATCGGATTGGCTTCTGCTGTGAAGTCGTTCCACCCGGTGCGGCTTTCGATTGCTCTGTTATCTGCACTAAGCAATCGTGATACGCAAGGGGTTGAATGCTAAACGTAATGGCTTACTCCGAAGGAGCGAAGCACCAAACGTCCATACTCCGAATTGTCCGACTACACTATCTACTCACCACCTATATCTATACTGCGCTTTCTCCGACTTGCCCTCGATGGTACATTGTTTCCAATCGACGACTCGAATCCAATCTTTTGTTCAGTACAGTTGTATCAGAAAAAAACATCAATTACTATACTACAATTTTCTCTTTGGATAGTTCTTTTCCGTCAAAACAATTCGTTGTAAATCCATAATGTTATCCCAAGCAATTGCCAACTACACCTCACACCGGAGCACCTCCGACCCCCTTCCTTCAGGCCCCGCCCCTTTTACCTCCTCCGAATCTTTTAAACTCTGTCGACCAGGCACAAAGCCCAAAGCCAAATCTTGGGACCATCACCTCAGCACCGAATGCCGCAACCGTCTACCCTCAAATCTGAAAGCATCGGCAAGCAGTGTAAAGCCTGGTCTTGATGGCGCCCCTATCATCCCGCAACGGCAAATCAGTCTAGGCGCCGGACGACCCATTCCCGAGTACTTTCCCTGGGACTCGCTGGAGCTTTCTGGCAAGCAGTCGCGAGGGGCTGCTGTTGATGAGGCGGTGGTTATGCCGTGTACGAGGGGAGAACAAGACTTTGACTTTGCGGTCGCGTTAAATTATGGGTATGCTGCTGGATCACCGCAGCTGTTGAGATTCATCACTGAACATATTGAGATGATACATGATCCGCCGTATGATGACTGGGAGACTTGTTTGACGAGTGGAACCACTTCGGCTATGGACACTGTGTTCCGCATGTTTTGCGATCGAGGAGACTGGATCATTACTGAGGAGTACTCTTATCCTGGAGCCATTGAGGCTGTCACGCCGCTGGGCATCAACATCTTGGGTATCAAGATGGATGGGCAGGGTCTCATACCGGAAGATTTGGAGGCTAAGCTGCGCTCTTGGGATCCGGCTAGAGGACGCAAGCCATCTGTGATGTACATTGTCCCCTGCGGTCAGAATCCCACCGGTGCTACTCAATCGGCAGAGAGGCGGAGGAAGATCTACCAGGTTGCCGAGGAGCACGACCTATACATCATCGAGGACGACCCATACTACTTCCTGAAGCTGCACTCTAGGTCAGAGTCTGGAGAAGACAAGCAAATGCCGGTCGACGAGTATCTTCGACAGCTGCCTCCATCGTATCTATCCATGGACGTCTCTGGTCGCGTTGTCCGACTAGATGCCACATCGAAGATTCTCGCACCTGGACTCAGATGTGCATGGATGACATGCTGCTCTCAGATTGCCGAAAAGTACATGAACTACACCGAAGTGGGCAGTGTTGCTCCCTCTGGATTCTCTCAAGTTGCCATGTACAAGCTTCTGGATGTCACCTGGGGTCATGAGGGCTTCATCCGTTGGCTAGCATTCTTGTCTCATCAATACCGTCAACGACGAGATGCTTTGGTCTTGGCATGTGAGAAGTACCTTCCCNCAGATCTCTTTACATGGGTCGTACCCGAGGCTGGTATGTTCCTCTGGCTTCATCTGCAATCACCCACTCCACGTATCTCGTGCTCGTCTGGCTCGGACTGTTCGATTGAGAAGGAGAAGACTGCTCTGCTGGATCTTGAGGAGAGGATCTACAATCGCTCCATGGAAAATGGAGTTGTGATTAGCAAGGGAAGTTGGTTTGCGGCTGAGCCCGACCAGCTCAAGGGTATCAAGCTTCGTCTGACATTCGCTACTGCGCCTTTGGACAGTTTCGACTGGGCGGTCAAGCAATTTGCAGATGCAGTAAGAAGCGAACTGTGAAGGTGTTAGGATAACTATCTCGAGTGTATAAAACGCCCAATGTTCCTAGAACCCTTTTCACACAATGGTTTGGAGAGTGACCTTCATGCTTTGAGAATGATTTGAGAAGGCTGGTAGATACTTCGGCGTATACCTCAACCAGTCTTCAGCAACACGTGATGCAAGTTTCTTCGATGTGCCTCTGGCCGCAAGTTCTTAGGCTTCGAAACATCAATCTGTGGCAAGAACAACGGATGATGTGAAGACGCGCCCGGGGTCATGCCAGCGGCAATACCGCCTGTCATCAAGTATCCGCTGACTCCCTTGCGAGTTGTCGTGCCTGTAGATCCAGATGCCGCAAGGGCAGCTCGCTTCTTGACAGAAGGGGTTTGGCGCCACTTTGATCGTGTTGAGGACCTCGCTGACGGTGTCGCTGTTGCGCGTTGGATGTGGTGATGTGGCGGTGTTGAAGCAGAGACCTCAGGGTGCCGCCTTGGACAAATCGTGTGCTTGTGGCGACGGTGTGGTATCTTGTTGTTTCTGCTGGATGTCATGACGAGTGCCGAAAATAGTCAATGTTCCTGGTAGATGATAGGCGATGGATGAGTAGAGTGAATAGGTCCGTGGATGCAACAAGAAGGCATTGAATTCATGATGGACGACAGAAGTATTGTATGGAGATCAATTTGGATGGAAGAATCAGGAAGCAGGAGCGACCCAAGCATGAATCTACCTACGTGGCTCTATTTAGTTTCCGAGCGACTTGCTCACCGACACCTGCCCCATCATCAGCGTTGTTATCAGGCTGCGACACAGCTTCCTTGACGCTTTTTCGCAGACCAACACTAGCTGTACTATTGTGCTTCGCATTACTCAAAATGCTCTCGCCAACATCCATACTAGACGGTTCTTCCATCAGCACCTTGCCAGTAAATTCCCCACTGGCCGAGCTGGGTGATACGATTGGCGCATTGTTTGAAGATGTAGAAAGGCGAGGAGAGTATGGCTCATGGCTTCTGGTGGGTCCTAGGCCACGATGGACTTCAGTCGATTGACGTCTTTCGACAGGACGTAGGGTGCTGTCGGTGCTTTGCTTTTTCGGAGCACCACCACCACCAACCCAAGTCGCACCGTCGCCTTCACCTTGAATCAGGTGCAGAAACCTCTGCACTTTGGCCGCGTAAGTTTCCTCTTCGTCGTCATCATCGTCGCTGCCCTCGAAATAGATATCGTCCCATACAGCGGAACCTTGTGGATTGAGTTTGTGCTTGATGGCACCACTAGTACTCTCTTGAAGGGGTTTCAATTCATCCCGATCTTCGCGCATGTCTGACGCACGTCTAGTAAGGGGCTTTCGCTCATTCTGTCCTTTGACCTCTTCACCAGCCTCGTGATCGGCTTGTGAGTAATCCTTCGCACGATCAATAGCAGGTTCGTCTTCGTCTCTAGTGGTTGCGGTAAAGTTGTCTCCAAAATGCGTGTCGCACAGATGCTTGACTACAGGCCAGCCATAAGCATTCGCAAACATTCTTCGCACAATCATGTTGTTGTGTGCATCGGGCTCAAGGCGCACCAAGACTTTTCGCCAGGATAGGTCTTTGTGGTATGCTCGGGCAATCTTCTCCTCCACTTTCATGTTTCCCATATCGATCGAGGCCACGTCATCACGAGATTGAGTTGTTCTGAACGATGCAGAGTCCGAAGAGAATGAACGCCCAAGTCTACTGGGACGCTTCATCGGAGGCGGCGGGATGTCTTCGGGATGATAGATTCTGTCATGGAATATGGTACGATCGCGGGAAGCTGGGTCGATAAGCCAAGTTGTCGATGGAATGGGAGGATGGAGGATATCGCTGGCTGCTTCGAAAATAGATGTACTCGGAGGTGCTTGTGCATCAGGGTTGGAGNNTTCATCGATCCTCCGCGTGTTGCTCCTGGACGCTTGCTCGGCCTCATTGTCGGATNNTATCTGTTGTACCTCTGCTGTTCCGACGAGCTCTTTGATGGATCTCTTCNNGCCCAGTTGATCTCCATGCTCATCATTGGCTTTTACATCAACAGTTTGGCCGCGACGCACGGCCTTGATGGTTTTCGAAGACTGACGCTCGGGTGAAGGTCCAGGACGGAAGAAGCTGAAAACACTGTTCAATAGCCCGCCACTTTGGTTCTGGTTTGCCACACTCGTCGAAGAATCGGCACTTTCACGGTTCTGTGACCTCAAGAATTGACCCGTTGCTGGCTCTGCAGCAAGGGTTGTAGAGTCCCTATTGTCATCTCTCGTTGCTTCCGATGGTGGTTGAGGAACATCGTCGCCTTGTTGTCCCGTTGGTGTATCGGCGCCGGAGCCTTCATCTTCGGTACCAGCAGTGCTTCCTACACCGTTGTTCTTGATTGCTTTGGGCAGTGCATTGGCACCAGTAAGCTCAGCCCATCCAAATTCGGCCAATGTACCTATCAACCCGTTCTCGCGGCGTGCCTTGTCCACCTTACCAAGACCACCCCAATCGAGGAACAGCAGACAACTAGTCCGCAGTGGTACGATACCATCATTGACGACGTTTGAATACACAGTTCTGTTGCGGAACATGCGTAGGACTGTATGAGCAGGACCAGTAGGGAGAATGCGCAAAAGAGGCTTTGCTCCTGGGTCTTCTTGATGTTCCTCTTTTGTACCGGCTCCAAATCCTCCCATCATGGCGTTCCAACCAGATTTCGCAATGTTAGGTGCGCGCCAAGTCAGGCCGAGGTCTTGACCAGTACGTCCAACGAGGCCAAAGTCCAGGGCAAACTTTACATACATAGGGTTTTCGTTGCTCAGTCCAAGCATAGGAGAAGCCATACAGATGAAATTAATTGGGTGAATCTGTTCGAAGAAATGCGGCGCATGCTTCTGGATATAAGCAACTGCATATGTTTGGATTAGACCACCCAGACTATGCCCGACGAAGCTGATGCTAGTAAAGGTATAAGGAAGCTCGTCAGCACCGCTGTCGTCATGGTGAATGCTGCTTCCCTGGTGCGCAGGCTCGCCATCTCTGGCATTCTTAGTGGCCTGAGATTTGAATTGATCCGTAAAGGACCTCGTCATGGATTTTTTGACTGGTTGGAAAGGCTGGTCGGGATAGGTGAAGTTCAGGACAAATTTTGCCAGACGCTTGCCGAGGTATTGAATGCCCTTTTCGGTCTTGATAGCATTGCCACTGAAGCCACGAACAATGACTTGCTCTTCGTCTTCGTCACCGTCATCCTCGAGGTCTTCTTGGCCTCCTGAAAGAGGTGCTGTAGTGGCTTCTTCGTTCGGCTTGTCGTCGGTCGACGGATCTGGCTGTTCTGACGAGGAGGCAGATTTGTTTTGCGATTTCTTGTAGGCAGCCTTTCTGTTTCTTGCATCGATTCTCGCTTGTCTGACTGTAGCATCTATACTCTCCTTCATGTAAAGCATGTCGGCACCAATGTTGCTATGGAGGCCATGGGTAAGAACGACCAAATGTATCTTCTTTTTCTTCTTGGGAGAGTCCTCCTTGGCCTCTTCGGTGCTGATCTTCGTTTCCTTGGACTTGCGAACCGAGTCTTTCGAGGAACGGGGACGTTTCTGCGCATCGTTGGAAGGGAGAGCGGGCTTGTCCCAGAGCGCTTGAGTGTCCTCGACGACGAGCTTGACAGCGCGTGAATAGAGACCTTTNTGTTGGCCAACGTTGTCCCTACGTTTGTCCTTTTGATGGTCGTGTATCTGACCAGGACTACCATGGCCGTGGCTGGCGACGGCTGCAAATCCGAGGTCTAAGCTTCTCTCGTCCCGACCGACCAAGAGCTCGAAATGGACGGCGGCTGTGTTGGAGAACAGGATCTGAGAAGCGATCTCGATGATCCATGTAGCGCTTGGCGGACCTTTCTTGTCATCTCGATGGGCGTCTTGCGAGGCACGATTCTGGCGACCGGATGCGAAAGTGTTGCCCGTCTCTCGGATGTTCTCGGGAACAGTCAGCTTGGTAGACCAGCTGGAACCTGCTTTGAGCAGTGGTTCAAAGTCCGGCACGCCCTCCTTTTGCGGGTCCTCGACTTTGTGATTGGGGTTGAATGAGGCTGGATACGAGGCGACGTGCAAGTTGTAGGGGCCATGGAGGTAGGCGGCACGCAGAGGGATGGCCGAAGTGTTCTTGATCTTGAGGTGTAGATGCGAAGGGCTGGGCAGGATTCGATCGTTGCTCGGAGTGTAGGTCAAGGTGAATCTNACAGAGTGTCAGAAAGCTGCACGTCGGCGCGTTGATGTTCTTGATCGCATGACATACCGCACCACCTCTCCCACCTTGACGCTGCCGGCTTGATGGACGAGCAGCATCCTTGTCGCGTCACCACTAACAAGTACAGTCCGCAGTTGACGAGGCCTCGAGCCTTTGATTTTGCGATGGTTCTATCAAAGTGTGCACCTGACCATCCACTTATGATGCAATTGTCTGGCTCATGGCTTTGTTCGTGTAGGAAGAGATACTAGCTGAGAACAAGACGTGCGATGCACAGTTCTACGTCTAGATGGCTGACAAAGGAGATGGGTTTCTCATCTGGCACCGTCATAGTCGCAACCGTCACCTTCAAATGTTTTGATTCCGTTCCGGAGGCCGGTGACGCTTTGGCTGCTCTGCCTGCACAGCCACACCAATCTCCCGTCATCCGTTCTTGAATACCGACAACTGGACTATCAGACTATCATCAAGGACATGATCTCCGGCTGGTCTACGGATCTATTCAGTGCGGCCCTGCGACGTCTGCAGTTCGAAGACGAATTTGAAACGCATCGATATGTTGCACCTGCTCTCTTCTAAGTAACGTCGTGCGCGGTTTGTAGAGCCGCATCTGTCACGAACTACGAGTAGTGCATGATATGATGACGATATCGAGATACACAAAACATACAGAGCTTCCTCGCACCTGTCACGGCGCTCAGAAGCATCATGTCTCGAAGGCTCTTCGTGTCTGGTATGAGGTCTCGAAGCAGGAACAGCGATCGAAAACGGAAGCAACGGGCGCCAAGAGCGACGATAACAGATAAAGAAGTGAACTACCCCACCTTGAGCGGGTTTCGAAGGCATCATGAGAGGTTATATACGGCCTCACTACGCAGACTTGTGCTGAAGCCAATACCGGTGCCTAGCAGAGTCGTCGTGGCCCTTACAAGTAAAAGAAGACAGCTAGTCGTGTCTCAGCTGGCCTGAGTTATCCATCATCCTTCCTATCTTCAGACCAAGCGTCCTTTCCTTCTTTCTACCGATACATCACCTAAGCTTCACGGCAACCAGTCAACCACCAGCCATCCGCCATGTTTGGTTTCGTAGCTGATATACTCACGTACGAGAGGCAGCTTCTCATTCTGATGGTCATCACTAACACTCTTGACATAGTTNCGGTGACGTCGATCCTCTTCCCCATCTTTGCATCGTACAAGGCGCTGCGCAGCTCGGACCCGGCACAGCTCGCACCATGGCTCATGTACTGGACCACTCTCTCGCTCGCCCTCGCCGCTGAATCTTTCCTCTATCCCGTCCTCAGCTGGATACCCTTCTACTCGTGGATCCGTCTCGGCGCTCACCTTTACCTTGTGCTGCCCGGCCAGCAAGGCAGCGTCTTCGTCTACCAAAACTACATCCACCCCTTCCTCTATGAGCACGAGCGTGAAATCGACCGCTTCATCACCAACAGCCATGAGAAAGCAAAATCAGCCGGTCTGCAATACCTCAAGCAGGGCATCGAGTGGGTCAAGGTTAACCTCCTCGGTATGCAACCTCGTCGTCCTACTCCTCCCGCGAGCAGACAGGTGAGCTACAGCCAAGCTCTGTACAACCGCTTCGTCATGCCCTCTGCTCGTCCCGAAGGATACAGCGGTCCTGGAGTCTCGCAATCCGCCCCCGGTGCCAACGACCTGTTCTCCTTGCTCGGCAATGTAATGGCTCAAGCTGCAGGACCCGGCGGTGCAACTCGCTCTCGTGATGCACAAGCCGAAGACCTCAGCGCCAGCGGAANNAACCTCGTGCCCCCACACATGTCAGGCGACGAACGCAGCGCCTACATCTCCACACAAAAAGACCGTCTACGCACTCTTCTCCAGGCCTTTGACAACGAAGCCTCTCGCGAACACACTCCCGTCTCTTCCCCACCTTACCCCACCAACGACGGGCCCGGTCCAAACTTCCAGGACTACCTGAAACCTGTTGCTGAAGGCTTGCTTAACAGAAGCAAAAGCGAGGCTGAGTTTGAGGATCTAGGGTATGAGCACGTGCCTACAGGAAGCAACAAGCCCAGCCCCAGAATTCACGACAGAAGCGGTAGTTGGAGCAAATGGGTCTGGGGCAACTATGGCGAGAAGGACTCTGCTGCTGGTCAGAAGAAGAATGACTGATCTTACTCATCTGAGTAAGCTGGGTGGCCTGGGCAGGTAGGTGTTCGTCAGAAGGGTTGGTGTTAGGGAGGAACCGAATGAAACGGAATGGAAGGGCTGGCGTTGTATCTCGGAGGACATATTCTGTGGCTTTTTGCTTTTCCTTCGATACTCTATGTGTTCTTCCTACAAATCAAGACATCAATTCGTCCATAAAAGCTCGGGTCACAATATTCCACCAATATGTGAAGAGAAATGGAGATGCTTTATGCTGTGAACGCTATGTATGACGAGAAGAAGAGAAAACAAAAAGTCATCATCTAAAAGTACAAGATTTTTGAACAAGACATGACAGCTTCCCCTTCTTCAATTGGTAGGCTTCATGTTCTCGAGATCGTTTTCGCGATTGTCCGCTCTTGCTTCGTCGAGCATCTTGTCTATGCCGCGTTCCTTGAGTGCGCGCTACACACAACGCCATCAGTATCTAATCCTCGATACAGCAAGTATTCGATATAACAGATGAGAGAGAGAGAGAAAGAAAAAAGAAGAGAAGAGATAGAGAAAGGAAGACAGGACTTACACCAAGACATTGCTTGTACTTTGCGAATAGAGGCTCGCATTCATCTGATGTTGCTGTGCCGCGGAGGTACTCTGTTTGAGACACATTAGCCATCGTGTATACCTTCTTTCTCTCAAAACTTTTCCAGATGTCTTCTGAGACTGAATGGTTTCTGCTTGCTTTCGCTGAACTCCTCCAAAGAAGCATAAAAGAAAACAGTACAAGAAGACTAAAGGAGCAAGCAAAAGCTGTCACCCAATGTAGACAGAATGACCAAAAACGATAGTAACACAAAAAAAAAGAAAGAAAATGAGAACCAAAAGAAAAGCGCAATAACAAGAGTCAGAACCAGCAACAACAAAAATGGAAGGTAACATAAGAATTTTGTACTTACTCTCGCTATACCATTTTAAGAAGCAGCTGTCGTAACGCCTGTTTTGAAGCAATAGGTAAGCCGAATGTTTTTCTGTCCCAAGCCTTCACAAAACTCTTCCCATCGTGTTGACAGAGTTTAGTCCAGATCGGAGAGAAGAACTTACTCCTTGACTTCGTTGCACTCGGTCGCCAGCGATGCCGACATGGTTTCTTCTTTCTTTCTTGCGGGTCTTGATGCTATGTTCGAATGCTTGATGATGCTGGTAGAGCTGATCCGAGTAAGGCTGTAGTGAAAAGTTCGACTCGAGGGTTGGGAGAATGGTGCTGTGTAGTTTGTTGCCTTGGAAGATGATGATGGAGTTTAGAGATGGAGGAAGAAGGCGTGGTCGGCTTGGAGAGTTGTGGCGTTGAAGCTGTGGCGCGTGGAGACTGCCTGCGCCACTTTCGAATATCTGGTCGTGTGAGACCAATCGTTCTGGAAAGAAGCGATGAAGCATTCAGTTCTGAGCGTTTCTACAAAGTATACGACACGTCGAGTACCTGAATTTTCACAACATGCTATGTAGTGGACAGGGCTTCTTTGTCGTTCTCACCGTGTTCCTTGCGATTGAATCACATCGATCAGAGACACAAGGCATAGTATGAAGAAGAAGGAAATGTAGATGGTCTATGTCCGTGTAATTCATCAAACTCTACACATCAGTCGAGAGTAAGCTCGCTTGACCCGAACTCATGCTTAACATCCTTTTTCCTTTTTGCGTGTCGAATCAAGCCCTCTCCCAAAAACTGAAAAATATAAAACGCCTAGCTTTGATCGTAACACAAAAAGGTATTGTGACACCCCAGCCCCCAAATGTTCTGCCCTTTTTGAAGGAAAAGAGTTATGAGGTATCGTGAAGAGAGAAATCGAAAAACTTTTGCGGCTTTTTTTGTTTCTGCTGCTGGTTTTTATCTTTTTCACTCCTTCTCGATTTACCTGGCAACGGCAGCGCTCAGGACCTGAGTGCGGAAGAAACCGCCCTTGGTTCTCTCAATGACCTGTTGGTACACTGACTGTGGTGGGTGGTTCATAACGACGGTGCCCTCCTTGTAGTCAATCTTTGCGTCGACACGAGTGTCACGGATCAGGTTGACGATCCACTTCTCACCCTCATCCTCGGACAAGCCAAGACGTTTGGAAAGGTCCCTGCAAAACAAAGTCAGTATGAAAGGTCAAGATTAAGTGATTTGTCAGGAATGCACGTACTTGATGTCTATTCTCTGGTGAATCTTGCAGTATGACTCTGAAATGAGATGTCTGGCGGCATCCTTGAAAGCTTCGCTGGTAGCGACAAGGAAGAAGTCGCTGCGCAGGATCTCGTCGGCCTCGCCGAGCTTCTTCTGGGCCTCCTCAAAGTCAAAGTCGACGTAGAGAGCCTTGACGAACTCGCAGACGGGGTCGCTGTACTCGTAGGTCTCTTGTCTGACGATGCGGATCAAGTCCTTGAGCTGCTTCTGGTACGAGTTCTGGCCGTTCTTACCAGCGGGGCGGTTGCGGTTGGTGATGACAGCAGCAGCGAGGTAGCGCAGAATCCAGGGGCAGGCGGTCTGGATGGTGTTGATGTATGTGGGGGAGAAGAAGAGGTCGGTGAGCTGGTCGCGGGCGGGCTCGTAGTTGAAGAAGGGGAAGAGCGACCAGTGAATCAACCAGCTACGGTGCTCGAGTTGGGCCAAAGGGTTGCTGAACAGGCGTGTGTCGATGTTCTCGCGGACCTTTTGCACCTCCTCCATGGCGGACTCCCAGTTGGTGGTAAGAATGTCCGAGGCGAGTTTACCCCATGTTGCTGCCGAGACCTTGTCGTTGTCGGTGCTCTGCGAAATGTGTTAGTTTGTGTTGAAGACTTGGGCAGAGTCGCAGCGTACAAGAATGCGGAACTGGTAAAGCAGCTCAGAGGCGCTGTTGTAATCACCGCAGCTGTACTGGAACTGGCCAAACTCGTACAAAGCGTCGACCATCTGGTCGGTCACGCCGTGGTTCTCCTTGAGGTAGTTCAAGTTCTGGACCTTGTCGGAGCGCAGGTTGTTGATGACTTCGGTATCGGCCAGCAGGTCCTGGATCTTGGAGCACTCGTCCTGCAGCTGCTCGCGCTTCTTGAGAACCTCGTCGCGCTTTTGAACGTACTCCTCCGGGCGCTCGTCCAGGTTGTTGATCTTGGCGAACAGGTCGCCGACAAAGTCGGTCATGTTGGTGTGCTTGAGCAGCTCAAACTTGAGCTTGGTGTGCTCGAGCGAAGGCTCGTCGACATCTTCCTGGTCCTCGAGGAATTGCAGCAGAGGGAAGACGAGATGGCGGTCGAGGTGGGGGATCAGAGTGGGCAGGATCGATTGCTGCTTGACAGCGTCGGCGGTGGCGGCCATGATTGTGAATGCGCGAGGCGGTTTGGGTGGACGACGAGGTGGGAAGTGACGCTGGTCGCTGGCTTGTCGTCGCTGCCACTTTGGCGAATTTCTCGTTGGCTTTCAAACCACCGAGCCTCCGCACTTTTGCACACTTTGTGCAGGCTTTGTGCACAACTCTTGGCACTCCCGACATGCAGCAGCTGCGACAGAAAAGTTGCCCTCCACAGGCATCGATATACCACAACCAACCACAGTCATGTCGTTCTTGCAACCCGTCATGCCTTCACTACGTCTTTTGGCGGTTCCTCGCTCAGTCGCCGTGCGCCAATGTCTGCGCTTTTCGACGTCCACGATCCGATCAGGTATGTCTTGCTCACTCCTCGCATTCTAGACATATCACTAACACTTCTCTANNGACGTCTACACTCCTCCCTCAGTAGACCCCAACCTCGTCGCCTCGCGCACCGCCTCTCCCTCATACCCTCCGACTTCGCTCAAGTCCATCCCGCGACCTCTCACATCACACGCCTCACACCGCACCTCGCAACCAACAAAGATCCGCAACTATCCCGACCGCCAACCCCAAAAGGACCTTCCCGTCTCCGAGGCTCCTGCTCTGCCAGAGTCGGAAGTCGCTCCCAACCTCCCTTACTTCGTCACCAGGACACCCTCCAATGAATTGCCCATCTACACCCTGAGGAAACGCGGCGGCAACATGAAATTGACCCGCGTCAAGAAGATTGACGGGAACATTGATGTCCTGCGCGATGCTCTGCAAATCGAGCTCGGTGTCCCGGATGCCGAGTGTGCCATCAACAGACTTACAAACCATGTCATGATCAAGGGCTGGCACAAGCCGCGGATAGAGGCTTTCCTCAAGGCCCGCAACTTCTAAAGCACCTGTTGAGCGCCTTTTTCCTTTTATCCTTCTCTTGTATACCATTGTATCATATCAACATTTGCACCGTCATCTCGTGCTTACCGGATATCCTGTATCGCGGCGTTTGGAACAATTATAGCAACCTCTCTTTTGGACATGGTCTTGACGATGAATGCTTGTCACAATGCACAAGACTTGTCTATGCAAAAGTCTCTGTCTGACGATCGGCCGAACTGATGCAGTTCTGAATGGGCTACGGCACGTACGGCTCAAGCTCCCACCTTACAAGGCTTTAACTAGATCTACACCTGATTCGGCTGCTACTCGCTTGGGGTCAGATCAGATCAGGGCTGGAAAGAGAAACAGAGTGATCTAGTGTGTGTACTGAGTACCATGAATGTAGAAATTGTGCCGCGTCGGCTGAGGGGAATATCAAGCCTTGATACGGCTTCCAACAAAAAAACGCCTCGCTATGCCTACCCTATGCCTTTGCTTTGATGCCATGGTCGTGATTGATATAAACAATGAAAGAATTCGTCTACTGCTCCGCGTCCTCCACGTCCTCTACAGTCACTGCTCTGCCTTTACCCTTGTCGATTGCTTTGTGCTGCTCCTCAGAGCCAGTCTGCTGGGCGCTGCTTTCGCCTTCGACGTTGTCGATACCATCAACGCTGTCAAAATTCCAGCTCGAACTTTCTCCCCATCCGTTAGATCGAGTTGTCGGCAAACTGGAGTCTGATTGTGCTGGAACGTCTGGTTCCAACAAAGTCTCCCCAGTGGCTTCTGTGGGAGCTTCTTCAGCTACATCGGCATGGTCGTTATTGCTTGGAAGCTCTGATTGCTCGACTTGACTTGATGAAGAAAGACCCTGCGAAGGCAACAACGAAGGGGATTCTTGGTTTTGACTGGAAGGTTCCACCTCTGGTACTACTTGTTCTGGTACTACTTGTTGAGTAGTGTCACTCTGCTCGATTGGACCATTGGCAGCGGCAGTCTCCGTGATATCCGAAGGCGTTGGTTCTTCGATTTGGTTTTGTTCAGTTGTGATGTTCATCGTCGGGACTGCAATTGTAGGTGTAGGTATGGGAGACTGTGTCTGTGTCTGTGGCATGGCGCCGCCAGGCTGCGAAGTGCCTTCGACTCTATTAAGAGGCGCAATGGTCCATCCTTCAGGTATCACAAGACCAGGCGGCAGTCCCTCATGTCCCTGTGTCATTGGCGCTTGTCCAGGGCCAGGTTGAAATACTTGTGGTGGCGCAAAACCAGCGCCAGGGGCCATCATGTTAGGACTCGGGAAGAAGTTAGGTGTCGCAGACCTTGCGCCAGCTGATGGACCGGGAATGCCGTTACCAGCCTGGTTGTTGCTGTGAAGTGCGCGGAGTCTTGCCAATTCTGCTTCCAAGGCACGAACAGTCGCGAGCTGGGTTTGCTCGATCTGTAAGCGGCGGGATTCCTGCATTAGACGCTCTTCTACCTGTAGAAGCTGCAATTGAGTGCTCGCTCCAGCCAATGCTCCCATTCCTGGAGTTGCTGCCGGTGTTGCTGTTCCAGTGGCATTACCATTATCTTGTGCTCGTCTTTGATTTAGAGCTTCTCGCACGCGATTCGCAGGTCCGTTATAGACACCGATGCGTATCGGGCCAAGATTGAGCATACGCAGGCGGGGTTGAGCTGGACGATTTCCATTGGCATTGCCCGGGTTAGGAACACCAGCTGGAGGGTTAACTCCTTGTTGCGCACCTCCGTTAGCACCACCATTTGCGTTCTGGTTGCCAGCTCCTGCGCCATCGGCAGCAGGAGTTCCAGTAGGAATGACAGGGCGGCGACAAGTTGGGCAGGCCTGTTGTCGTTCGAGCCAGGCTTTGAGGCAGCGCAAATGAAGGATGTGACCACATGGTAGTTTCTTCGCGCGCATACCCTCGTTCAGAAGACTGGATCTAGGTGCTTGTCCTGCGGCATCGGGTTGCCCCCATGGAACCATGACTTCTCTGCAGACGATGCAAGTGTTGTCATTGGTCAATTCTTCGCTGGTGGCGTCTGGGTATCGGCTGTTCATGTTCTGAGTGGCCTTGCGGTAGTTGTTGTAGTCGTTGACACGCTTGACGAACGATGCAGCGGTCAGATACACGTCGCGAATGATGTGCATGGGCAGTCCCATGAAGGTCAAGGAGATTCCAAANAAGACGGTGTAAACAATGAGCTTGATAAAGTCTGTGNNGTATGTTAGCTTTAACGATCTAGACTGAAGCAAGAACGACCGACCTGTAGCAAGCTCGAGGCCAAACAACCATCGACGCTTTTCTTCCCATCCCGGAACATCGATCTCGTTTTCATCCACGTCTTCTTCGCTAGGCAGAGGAGGCAGACTCTCAGGGTCGGTTGACTCGTCGCGCTCGCGCTCCAGTTGTTCTCTCTCTGCGCGGATCTCTGCTCTCCTCTCGTCCATCTTGGCTTTTGTTTGTTGCTTCNNCAACACACGTGCTTCTGTCAGAGCTAGGGCGTAGCGTAGAAGGGTGAACAAGGAGAAGATCAGAAGAATAGCGAATTCGAAGGTGAAGATGACCATCATGCCAGGGCGGGGATCATCCTTGACGGTAGCGATACAGTATCTCAGCATGGCAGCGCTAAAGGCGGCGGATACGAGCAGCGACGAAGCAAGACGTGCGTGGAAGAGGCGGGGGTTCTGTGGCGGTTGTTGCTCAAGAATGTCGACACGGCCTTCACCGATCCAGCTCCAGACCTTGCCGGCCAGCAGGAGAACGAATACGGCAAGCATCCAGCCTCCGACCTCGTCCCTCAGCGAGGGCATGGCCAGTAGCGTGTCGAGGACGGCATACCAGGCCTTCTCGGAGAGATGCTCGATTTCGATGGGCCGGAGGGGGCCATAGAAGAGACGCTGGAGACCGTAGATGAAGCTGCAGGCAGCAACCAGGGCGAGGTTTGTGAGGATNCTGGATGGTGACGGAGTTAGCGGCGTCTGGCTGGCACAGCAGGGGCATTCACTCACAAGAACACAGGCATTGCTCTGCGACAGGTAGACTGTGGCCGAGTAGAAGTTGGGCCGCTGGTGGAAAGCCTTCAGTAGAGCACCGGCTGCCACCAGCGCAGAGGTTCCAGCATAGGCAGCGAGCCTCATTGTGTCTTGTCGTCCGGATGGTCGAACATGCACATGCACATGCGAACACGTAAACGTCCTGGATGGAAACAACGCCAACATCCGATGCCGACGGGAACGTCACAGCGTCTGTGCGCACCTTCCCCACGCTCTCTCGCAGTCTCGGTCCGAATCGCACATGCCTCTCTGAATCTACAACTAGCCTCTTCTTTTCGGGAAGCAGGGCACATGATGCTCCATCTGATTCTCAACCCTGTCGACAAATGCAGCCCGTCCTTCTCCACCCTCACGAAAGAGGCAGTGTCGTGCAGCTTCACACGGCTACAGCATGAACGTCGGCTGGCACGCGAACAACCGCAGTTCGCAGCAGTCGTCCCTGCAAATCCCAGCCGCGAGCCAACATGGCAGGTAAACCTGAATGTTGCTCTCCATGCGGGGCGCCCACGCCTTCTTGTCCCGCAGTTCGCTACCCTCTCCAAGCATCAAACTCTATCACCGCCAACGAACGAGCTACGACCATACACGTCTCCATCGTAGCATGTCCAAGCGCCGCACTTGTCCATCGTCTCGGGAATTGCCTGTCGGCTATCCCATCCTCTCTGCTTGACTAATTGTTGCGCGATATTTGAAGAAGCTTTGGCAGTGGCAGCACCACTTGATGACTTACGAATACTCATTTTTCTTCTGCATAGTTCCACCATTTTCCCTCCGACCTAAACCGAGCTTATCACAATATCAACAGATCTACGTACTACCGCGTAGCCCATACTAGAGAGATCTCCCATGCCCCTGTGCAACTCATGTAAACCTGTCGGCTCTCTTCGTTTCAACTGACCGCTGCTCAAGGATAGATGTCATATGACAGAAAACCGCTCGTTTGCATTGGGACCATAGCTTTACCGTTGTGGGGCCCCGGACGTGACAGAGTGCTATCTCTGTCGGTCCGACACTCTCGGTGGCTTGATGTCTTTGCGATCGGCGTCATATCCTTGTTAGCACGCCTAGAATATGTTCTGGAGCAACTCAATTCTTTGCTTTCTTCAACTTTCTTGCCTGCTTTCCCCATTCGAGCCCCAGGTCTCATGAAACCTGTAGATATATAAACCACTAGGTCTCGCCTCATACTATCTTTCATCGAGCAAGTCCTTCCATCCTCCTCCCTCCTACTCATCTCTATACTCCACCATAATGAAGGGCTCTCTTGCTCTTGCTAGCCTCATGGGCGCAACTGCCCTTGGCCAAACCTTGACGACTTCTATGATCGAGTCTATGGGCAACAACACACTCTTCACCAGATGGCGTCCTCAAAACCATTTCATCGCACCAGCAGGCTGGATGAACGATCCATGTGGCCTGATGTATGATCCCACTGAGGATCTATACCACGCCTTCTACCAATGGCACCCCGAGCACATCAACTGGGGCAACATCTCCTGGGGCCATGCCACATCGAAAGACATGATCTCTTGGACAGATGTTGGTGGCTGGCAGGGCAGAGATGCTCTGGCAATGGGACCATCCGGTAACGGCAGCTACAACGGCCTTGGTATCTTTTCTGGTACCGCTCAGCCTGTCAACTTGACCGGCGGCATTGATGGAACTCTCCTCGTTTTCTACACCTCTGTTTCCAAGCTTCCTACCTCTTGGTCCATTCCTTACCAGAATGGAACCGAGAGCCAGAGCTTGGCTATGTCTACCGATGGCGGCAAGACATGGAAGCAGTACGAGAACAACCCTGTCATCGAGGGGCCTCCTGGTGGTTTTGAGAACGGCTGGAACATAACTGGTTTCCGTGATCCATTCTTCGAGCCTTTGCCTGCTCTCGACGCCATTCTTGGTCGTGAACCTTCTTACTACGCCGTTTTCGGAAGCGGCATCAAGGGCGTCGGTCCTCGCATGCCCCTCTGGGCCGCACCTGCATCAGATCTGACCAAGTGGACTTTCCTAGGCTCCCTCTTTGAGCCTGCCAGCAACACTTCTCTTGGCTCAGTACTCTCTACAGGCTCGTACGGCTACAACTTCGAGGTCTCTGGTTTCTTCACTCTCCCTGATGAGGACGGCCACCTGCACTACTTTGTCAACATGGGATCTGAAGGCGGCAACGTCTCCTTCCACGAGTCTGCCCACTGGGCTCTCTGGAACGAAGGCCATGTTACTCGTCGTGCAAATGGCTCTGCTCAGTTCACTCCTATTTCTGGTGGTGCTGGCGATTGGGGTCTCCTCTATGCTCTTTCCAGCTTCAACGACACCAAGAACGACCGTCGCGTTCAGTACGGATGGGCACCTGAAGACATCACCGGCGACGGTGGTATTTTCTCTGCTAACCAGCAAGGTTTCCAAGGTGCTCTTTCTCTTCCTCGTGAACTCTTTGTCCACACTGTGAAGAACGTTGTGAACATGGATGGTATGGTCACCGAGCTGGGCAACTCCTACCTCGCTCAAAACCTCGATGGCAGCTTTACAGCACAGACTCTTGGTGTTAGACCTCTCGATGATGTTGTCGTTGGTCTCCGCAATGGCTCGACTCAGCACTCGTGGCCCGGTCGTACTTACAACGGTAGCCACACTCTTGTTGCAAACGGCAGTGCTCACATGGAACTCAGTGCTGTCGTTTCTAGCGCTACTGGTCCTTGCGGTGTAAGAATTGGCATGAGTCCCGATGGTCGCGAATACACCACAATCTACTACGAGCCTGCCAACAACACTGTTGTCGTTGACCGTAGTCACTCTTCCCTCATTGATGGCTTCGCCAACTCATCCGTCATCGGCTACTTCCACCCTTACACTGTTCAGGGCGAGTACGGCAATGCTACACAGGAGCCTCTCGCGTGGGACATCTTCGTCGATGGCTCCCTGGTTGAGGTTTACATCAACGAGCGTTTTGCTCTCACCACCAGAATTTACCCCAGCATGGAGAGCAGCACCGGAGCCGGTGTTTACGTTCCTAGCGGTTCTTCTGCCACTTTCGACAGCATTGACATGTGGTCGTCTCTGTACAACGTCTTCCCCGAGAGACCTTTGAACTCCTCGAGTCAGCTTGTCTGGGATACTGTTCAGCAGACCAACAACCGCACTTGGTGGACCGGTAACTAGGTCGGAATCGGCATCAGGATCCGTTTCGTGTAAGCAAAATTTGTTTAATGTGTAAAATCAAAAGCCATATAGATGTATATAAATCACGAATGTTTGGGCTACCAATGACCCATAGTCAAACTGTACCTTGCCTGCTGTTGGACTGTGCTTTTGTGAACATGCGGTCTACCCAATTACGCATGGCTGCCTCTATCTCAGTGCTTCTATCAGATGGTCTGATGGGATACTGTGTCGTACTTCTATCTCTCGTGGCGATTTCTACTCCAAGCATGCCCTGATATAACCCCACTCGGGCCTTGGATCGTGGATGAGGTGATGTCTTCGGACCGACAAAGCAAGCCAAGAGCAGAGACATCCACATTTCCCCCAAGCCACCCCGAGTTTCCCGAACTCAGACCCCACTTTCACCCACAAAGTGCCGTCACTCGATCCTGGAGACGATGTTTTCCGCAAGGTCTCAGTAAGCAAAATCGGCCCTTCTCTTGCATCAATATTGGCGGCTCGCGGCATCGGTCATGGCAAATATCGTGTGACGGTGGTCTCTTTACCCGCCATGCGAGCAATGACCGTACGGCCCGTATCCAGCACTCTGAGGTCCGGGAGAATGAGGGCTCAGCATGGTAGGATCTACAAGATGCCAACATAAATAGTGGGCAGATCGCCTTGAGAAGAGGAAGGAACCCAACAATCACAATGCCTCGTACTTTGTCCGTCTTGTCTTCGCTGCTCTATCTGGGCTCTGCGTTCGCACAGGATGCTTCCACCACATCGGCTACAGTGCCAACAGGGACGCCCGTACCCGGCAACTATGACGGTGCTTTGAGACCTCAGTTACATTTCTCACCCCCAAAGGGCTTTATGGTATGTCCATGTTAGCTAATTCTGAGATAGATGGTATGCTGATATGGGTGTTTAGNNAATGACCCAAACGGTCTCTTCGTTGACGCCGATGGTCTTTACCACGTTTACTATCAATGTCCGGTTCTCTCATCACGACAAGTATGGAGCCAATGCTAACATTTCATAGACAATCCAACAGCAGACGTAGCAGGAAACCAGCATTGGGGTCACGCAACAACGACTGATGGTTACACCTTCGAAAACCAGCCTATTGCGCTTTTCCCTCCAAACAACGAGACATTCGTGTTCAGCGGCTCGGCAGTGGTTGATGTAAACAACACTAGTGGTTACTTCCCTGGCCAGGACAATGGTGTAGTTGCCATCTACACTTTGAACAACAGCACGTCGCAGAACCAGAACATCGCATTTTCCAAGGATGGTGGTTACTCTTTCGAGCCTTATGAAGGCAATCCGGTGATTGATATTGGCTCGACTCAATTCCGTGATCCTCAGGTAATTACCAACATCGATTAAGACCTTGTCCATCCTGACTAACTGAGCAAANAGGTCTTCTGGCACTCTGGAACCCAAAGCTGGGTTATGATTACCGTCTATGCTGCCGAATTCACTGTCGGCATTTACACCTCACCCAATCTCACATCGTGGGAACATGCCTCCAACTTCAGCCATCACGGCTTGCTAGGCATTCAATACGAGTGTCCTAATCTGGTCGAGATGCCCGTAGAGGACTCAGACGAGACCATGTGGCTTATGTTCATTTCCATCAACCCTGGCGCCCCTCTTGGAGGCTCCATCTCTCAGTACTTCCCTGGCTTCTTCAACGGTACACACTTCGAGGCCGTCGATCCTGTCGCTCGTATCTCCGACTTTGGCAAGGACAACTATGCCGGTCAGTTCTTCTCTGGTATCCCTGGCACGGAAAAGCGTCTCAGCATGGACTGGGCCAGCAATTGGCAATACACCAACGATGTTCCTACCGCGAGTGAGGGTTGGCGAAGCTCCATGACAGTCTTCCGTCAAAACCACCTGAAGAAGCTGCCCAACATCGGCTGGGACCTTGTCAGTTCTCCTTTCAACATCAGCTCGCAATTCTCGCAGGTCCTTGCTTCCAACTCTTCGCTGGGTAACAACAGCATCTTGCTCGACTATAGCAATGTACCATCGGGTGCACTTTACTTCGAAGCCAACATCACTGGCCTGACCCCTTCCACTCTGGCCGGAACTCTGAATTTCACATTTACCTCGTCTGTGAGTGGTGAAAACGTCCAGGGCGGCACTGTTCCTGGCGGCGCCACCTGGTTGTCCCGAAGAAACACAAACTGGGGTGCTGAGAACCCTTACTTCACCGACAAATTCTCCGCCAATGGCGTCTACAGTGGTAGCGAGAACGGCACCTGGACTCTCAGCGGAATCCTCGACCGCACTATCCTGGAACTGTTTGTCAATGGAGGCGAGCAGAGTGGTACCATGACATTCTTCCCTGATTACCCTCTTGACACTCTCAGGATCGGAGCCAAGGATATTCCTCAAGGCGCTGGTGTCAGTGTGGCTGTTTGGGGTTTGAAAGATGCGTGGGCCAGTCAGGCAAACAGCGAGGGCCTTGTTGTAGGCAATACCACAGCTACAGCATGAGTCACCAAACTGATGCTTCCCGCTCAAACCTCAAGCTACTTCTCACCTCGTCTGCTCCTATATAATCTGTAGATGAGAATCGTTGTGTTAAAGTCCTCAACGCGAGTAATCCTTGAAAATGAACCATGATTTAGAAATTCGGTGCATTTTCCATCGTGAGGCCGATATCTCGTAGGCTCTCTTTGGTTACATCTCTAACCTGGAACCCTTCATGACAAATTGTAGTCCAACAGTCACTCTACTCTTAGGAGGGAGCGGAGACTGCACACTTTTGCACATGTGGAAAATGTGAAAACGCAAAACAAAAACAGCACCAACGAGAATTGAACCCTAACCCTTCAGTTATCAAGAAAATTTACGACCAAAATAACAGCACATGGCAGCCAATCACTCATCACCCTCAATCAAACCCCATCAACATCACCACATTACCCGTATCTGCAACCAAATGATCAGTACTAAATATCAAAAAAGAAAGAGAAAGAAACAAGACAATGGCCAGAGCAAAAACGTATTGGTCCATCAGTTAGCAATTGGTAGCAGGGCCGTGAACTCCCTATAAGACCCCGGAAACCTAGGCTTTGTATTAATTTCGTGGCTGATCAGACCACTACACTAAACTGCCATCCTCGATTTATTATATTCATCACTGAAACATCAGAGTATATAAGGGTTGGTGGTGCAAATGTCACATGCTTGCACTTGTTTACACGCACTCGTCACTGTTCAAGGTGTTGTTGGTGATAGTGATAGCCAGGAAGTGTTTCTTCGAGCTTATGAGGATATATATCGCTTCGGTATCTTTTAAATCTCGATACTTGACATGTGTACCATTCACAATGATGGCGTCCTCTCTCCTTTCCGAACCGCCTCGATTGTCGAGCCGCTATTGTGAGCAAAACACTTTACTTAACTGAGGCAGTCACTGGTGGCAACATGTTTATGACTCCAATGGTGCACATCCTTTGTCTCGCATTTTGTATCAACGGCAGTCTTCTATTATGATATACACCGTGCACCCTTCGGATATGACACTCTCCTTCGATTGCCTTGTCCGTATCATGCCCTTGATCGTCATCATTGAAACTTGAACTCGCCAAAGTAGGCGCAGAGAGCCNNTAGAAAGGTCAGTCGAGTACTATGTAGCAACGGCTTCTCGCGGCTCACCTTGCTTGACCCATTCGTGCAGTAGTGTACGACTTCAAGTTTCTTATCATCGGGAGCATACTTGGCCAGCTGATTCAGATCGGAGCTTCGGGGCAAGAAGAGCACGAAATCCGGGACATAGGCTGAGAATTTGTCGTAGATGTGTTTGAGGTTGTAGGGTTGCATAGTGCTGAGATCGAAAATGTTATCATCGCTGTACTGAGGACCTATAGGGGTGTCAGCATGTGTACTATGGAAGCCGCTCGGCGAGAAGACATACCTCCCNCAAGGCGGACTGGCGAACACGATGGCATCCTTGGCCAACGACTTCAGCCGCTTCTTGAGGACGTCAAAGCAGTCGCCCTCGATCCACCAAATCTTGGATGCTACACCGTATACCTCAGCGTTATGGCGTGCACATGCAAGGGTTGCAGGGTCTTTCTCGATGGCAAAGACCTGTTTGAAGCGACCAGAGAGGGCGAAGGCGATGGCGTTGCCACCGGCACCAGCAAATGCATCTATTATGATAGACTTTGATTCTGGCCCGCCAGTCTTGATATGATCAGCTATACGACTGTAAGCAGTGTCAATGTTCAGAGCTCCAGAAAAGTGGGAAGGGAATATGTACTTGGCTATCGGCTCGGGGGTTACACCGAACCAGACATCGTCGGTCATCCAGATACCTTCATCATAACGAGACCATATGTCGTAGCGTTGATGCCAGTACCTTTTGGCTTGTTAGTGTTGGTTTTTTCCAGAACTTGTGATGACTGACTTTTGGATGTTCTCGGGCATTTCTGATGACTCGTCGTAGTGATGTACGCCTTCCGGCATCGACTCATCTGTGCCACTCATATTCTCTCGACTTGATCTGACCGTCTATGAGTCTTGTCTTAGTTTGTATCGATGCCTCGGCTTGTGCTTGTTGATGCGATGTCAGGTGAGTTGATTACCGACAAAGTTTTGAGTTGCTCGGAAGAGAAAATTGATCAACCAGTTTTTGGAAAGAAAATCGCGATTGGTGTGTTGCAAGACGTATAACTGCTTGAGTAGATAGCTATTGAACAGGTGGTAGTCGGTGCTGTTATTTGCAGCGTGATAGTGAACTTGTTGTTGCTGATACTGAGTAACAGCACATAGCTGGCGCGACAGAGGTTGACACTGCAAGCGGCAAGATTTGCCGAGATGGAAGCTGCGCCTATAACCCTGTTTCCTCTTCACTTCCATCTTCACCTCCTTCATCGATCCATAACGACACGACGACAACCACGATCCGACCTGATGACGCTCTGGACCATACCTTGACTACGCTTCTCTAAAATTATCGCTTTTTTTCTTCCCACTGCTGCGATAGCCGGCTACTCAGAATTTTGCCACTGTTTACCATAAACAACATGTCGAACATGAACAAAGTGCTTGGGTTTGAGCGCATCAACGAACGCGTCAAAAGACCAAATGGCCTGATCAACTTCATCAAGCCATTGGAAGGCCCGGACAAAGTCTTAGCGCAAGACTTCCTGGAAAGAGTCGCCGCCATTTGCTATCCGATCATGAAAGAGAACCACATCGTTGTCATGGCCCTCGAAGAATACCCGTCTAACCCTGAATTCATCGGACGCAACTTCAACGCTGGCGAAGTCATCCAACTAGTTCTCAAAGCCCCACATACCAACCAATGGTTACCCTTCAAACACGTCCAGATGGTCATGATGCACGAGCTGGCACACTGCAAACAGATGAACCACTCACGCGCGTTCTGGAAGGTCAGAAACGCTTATGCTGATGAGCTGAAGGTTCTCTGGGACAAAGCGTACACTGGCGAAGGGCTGTGGGGCAAAGGACAATCTCTCATTACAGGACGCTACATGACCAATCACATGCCCGAGGCTGCCAATGCACCAGCAAGCCTGTGTGGTGGAACATTTAGATCATCGGGTGGTCGAAAGAGAAGGCGGAAAGAGGATGTTCCAAAGATCACCTATGCTGAACGCCAGCAACGCAGGATTGCAAAGAAGTTCGGTGTAAATGGTATTGCCCTGGGAGACGATGAAGGTATTAGAGCCAAGCTTGAGGCTGGTCAGAAGGGTGTAAAACAGGCCGTCAAGCCGAGAGTAGCAGGCAGCAAACGAGGAAGAGAACTCCGGGCTGCTGCAGCATTGGCACGCTTCGAGAACGTGAAGAAAGAGACGGTCAAGGCCGAGCCCAAAACAGAAACAATCAGTGACGATGACTACGAAACCGATTCTGATTACGAGTACACGACTATCGAGAGGACTATGAATCCTGAAGATGGCAACATGGTCAGAGTCTGCGAAAACGAAGACTCGGAGGACAAAGATGCGCAGCGAGAGTTCGACGAGCTGCGCGAGATCGACCAAGCCATGCCGAAGCTACAGATCAAACCATCCGCCCAGCTGTCACTCAACGGAAAGGAGAGACAGACGATTCCCTCGGCCGATACTTTGACGGAGAGTGAAGACGACCGAGACCTGGATGCGCCACGCAACTTCGTCAAACCACCGACCAGGACACAACCAATCACAGATGACCTGTCTACAGACAGCGAAGACGACATACAAGACGTCACCTCCATTGTTCAGGAGAGAGACAAGCAGAAGGGGAAGAGCCTGTCCAAAAAGCCGTCATCACNNCGAGAAAGCAGTCCGAACANNGAACAGCAAGAAGCCACAACCACCGCAAATCGACAATGAGGATGACTCGACAGCGAGCGAAAGCGAGACAACCGGCGCATCAAAGGAATCATCAGCGCCGTCTCCATCANNGCCACAATCACCGGTACCGAGCCAGGCACGGCCGCCTCCCGAAGCAAGCCACAGAAACATCCACCATCCGTTCCTTCCTCGGCCTGTAAGATCTGCTCGCTCGAAAATGAACCCACAGCAGCCCTATGTGCGGCTTGCTCTCATGTGCTCAATCCAGCCCTCATGCCCAATTGCTGGAAATGCACGAGCACGGAATGTCAGAGTGTCGGATACGTCAACCCAGGCGACTATGGAGTCTGTGGGCTCTGTGGATCAACGAAACCGAGATGAGAAAAATGGTGTATGCAAGACTTACATGACGAACATACGAGGTCACGCAGGGAAGGAAGTGTGTATGATCAGCTAGCTGCTATTGCTTCCATGAAACAAAAAGGTTACTATCCCTTTCCATAATACCTACCTACCTAGCTAATGCATGACAACAACAACAACACGTCCAACAAAAGTAACAAATATGAAAGACAAACCACAGAGGGAAAAAAGCGGGTCTTTTGCGTTAGAAACACGCCAAACAAGAGTGGTATCGAAGGTCGAGAGAAGGAAAAAAAAAGAGCTTGTGACGAAACAAGCAAACACAAGCCGAGACGGGAGGAGTTACTATATAACAGAAAAACAAAAAAGAAGGAGGAGAACAAAAGGAAAAACACACGACTCGCTTGTGCAGAACCACGCTATGAGGGGGAATAAGAGTGAGGTAATAACAACAACAACCAAAAAAAGAAGAGATAGCAATAAGCCAGCCCCAGAGATTCAAAAAAAAAACAGACAACAACCAAGAAAAAAAGCGCAGGCGGATTTTTTGTGTTTTACGATTTGCAGGCCAATACGTGAGCGGGCAAGGAAGGAATCTAGAGAGCAGAGACCCTTGTCCTCAATGCTTCCACCTCGTCTTCGTCGACTCCATTGGTTTGGGATGGCGGTAGAGGTAGTGCCTTGTCGAGACTATATCTCTCGTCTTTGGGCGGTGTGGGGGTCTGTCTNCGTTGGTCGCGCAGGCTGTACTTGTCGTCCTTTGGCGGCGTCAGCGGACGGCTGAAGTTGTTGACACCACGGCCGTGATGCTCAAACTCAATGGATCGCTTGGAGGAAGGAGGGCCGTCGGTTTTCGGAGGCGTGGGTGGCGGCACCTCGCCGAGGTTTTGGCTGGCAAGGTCGAGTTTTCGTGTAGCGACCTGACTGTTGCCGCTGCGACCATTGAAAGACTCCTTGGAGTGCTGAGGAGTGATTGTGCGGGTGGGTGTCCTCGAGGAGGGGCTGCCGTTTTCTGCAGCCTCGCCGATGACAGGCAGCGTGATCATGTTCTCATTCTCGGCATGCGGGCTTCTAACAGCGCCGATGGCGCGGTCTGGAATGTCGTCCTCATTGACGCCACGGTGTCTACTCTTTTCTGCCTGCTTCTCTGCCTTGCGCATAACCGTCTCAGTGCCCGCGGGGTTCTGGTCGGGAGATCTAAGGATATTGACACCAGAGAGCTTGGGGTCGTTGAGAGTGCCCTCAATGTTGCGAATAGCCAAATTATTGAGTCTGTCACTACCCTGCTCGAGATTTTGTTCTTTTTCTGCCTCGGCACGTTCGCGCGTCTTGGTAACGCCTGAGATAAACCTGACAAAGCGATCTCCGTAACGTTCTGGTGGTATGGCAGAAATCTGTGACTCTGGAGATGAGAGACCTTTCCAGAAGTGTTCGAAGCGTTTGATCATAGAGTACNNTGTAGCAAGTCAGTGTACACTTCAGTTTGCGTGAGCTAATCGACTTACATGTGTCAAGCAATCAATGATTCCGAGGTAGTAGATCTCTTCTCCAGCCATGTTGTTTTCGTGGGTTGCCCTAAAACCGCCGTCGTCACTGTAGAAGTAAGACTGCTTTCTGTGACCCCCGGCCATTTCGTCAGGCATCTTGTCCAAGCTTTGACCCATCGGTATGGGCTTTTCGTTCTTAATGAGCTCTCGCAGTTCCTGTGCCTTTCGTGCGTTTTCAAGCTTGCTAGGCGTCCGCATCAGCATGTTCGGCGGTTGGTCTTCAGGTTTGTGGCCTCCGGGTTGGAAGACCTGCAGTGTCTTGTCTCGTAGGTTGTCTTCGTTGCCTCGCTGCAGATCGTGAATGCCGACTAACATCGAATAATCCATAATCTTCAACTTCTGAAGGAGAGCGACATCTTTCTGCATCTGTTCCACGAAAGCATCCTTCTTGGTTGGGCCAAATTCTAGATGGAGATTTCGTCGTAGCCAATTCAGATCCTTGAGTGTAGCCCTCGGGTTCTTTTCCAATTCTTCCTCCTTGAAGTCTCTACCAATGGTACTTCCTTTCAAGTCGAAAGTTCGGTGAATGTCTCGATGAGGTGGGAATAAGTTGTTCATGACGACGAAGTGAATCTTTCTCCCGTAAGGAATCTTAACTCTGTGGAGACCGTAGAATTGACTGAGAAGTGTGTTGGGATTCTCCTGAACGTGTGAATAATAGTCTCTAAGGATTTTGCGAAGGAATTTGTGTTCGGCGTGATGAATGGTTTTGATGATGTATTTATAGTCGCGCGAGAAATAGAAGAAGCTGCCGGATTTGCCAGGAGAGCCAAGTTCAGAAAGGATATACTTTGAAGTCAGGGAGACCAGGTAATCAGCAGGGTCCAGACCGAATTTGTGGCGAAGATGACGGAAGACCCAGGGAGCGTAGTCCTTGAATTTGAAGTCGTACTTGGCCGAGGGAGTGAGTTCGTTGCCGGTGATATCGAATGAGAACTTGTGCTTTGCGTCAAAATCGGCGTCGGTCAAGTCCCTGCCAATCTTTGCATTTGTCCTCGACACGCAGAATCGGATTCCAGTAAGCATGTTGTATGCAGTCACCCAGTTGACGTGGTTCTGATCGACTTTGGTGCCAACAACGACACGTTCGTCGTCCTCGTCTCGCTTTCGCTTGCTTGCTCTCTTTTGCTTGATATGCTCGGCCCATCGTGCAGCATCGTCGTCTTGTACGACCTCATCGAGATGTGCGTCTGATTGGATTGAGCGTGTTCCACGGCGGACAAGCTGGGAAGAGCCCCTTCTTCTACTAGGAGTGGTAGGCGAGAAACGACCGGTGGCAGATGCGACATTTCCATCATGCGTAGAGGGTGCTTGGCTGTCACGGGAAGTGCGGCCAGCCACACTAGGGACTTCAAGGGTATGTCGGTGAACCAATCGACCTGGAGGTTGGGACGAGACGGAGGCCATGGACGAAGATGTGTGAGAGAAGGCCGGAGGAGAAGAGGCACGATGTGTCGATCGAGGTACGCGGAGCATACCATCGGTGGCAGAAGGACCAGCCTCACTTACGGGTGGTAGCACGGGGCTTGGCATTGTCTGGAGGGGCAGAGCAGATGAGGTCGGCGAGACGTCTTCCGGTACGGCGAGGGCGTGTTGAGATGGGTTCGGTGAGCGAGGGGCTCCGTTGGGTTTGTGTGCAAAGTAGCCGTCATCGTCTTTCGGGAGCGAAGACACGTCGACCGACCGGACGTCATTGTCACTTTTTGATGATAGCATCGAGGGCATGCTACCCTTGGACGAGACGGTCCTCCCGCGTGTGCTGTGCGACTCTGACGACCTCCCGTTAGGCAGGGACGATATAGCGCTGTCTGCTCCATACTGCAAGCCATTAGGCAGACCAGGCGTGGGTTTGGGCCATGCTCCGGGCAGAGAGTCAACGGCGGGGGTTTGTTGTTGTTGTGTCGGGATCGCTGGCGATAAGGATTTGGGGGAGAAAGAATTGTGGAGGTCGCAGTCGTCGGGCAGGAATGATGGCATGTCGACCTTCTGCATCAAGTAGACGGCATTGAGCGGGGACGTGACCTTGCTCAATGTGTCCCCCTCTGGGACATTCAAGCGCGCGGATTGGGCCAGCGTTGCTGATGCGTCGAGCACAAGGGCGGTCGGGCGGTCGGGGGCTGAGGTCGACGGAGGGCTGTAAGAAGGCGGCTGAGAATGGGGCTTGTCGATATCGCAAGGTGCAAGAATCGTCGAGGGTCGCGGCATGCACACAGCAGGCAGCGAGACGAAGTGCCAGACGACGTTGGTGTGCGAGACGATGGCGCGCGTTCAGACAAGGCCGGCCCTGCTTAAGCTTCTTGGCTGCACTCGCTCAGCCCTACGCGACCCTCGCAACCCTCGCAACCTCGTATAGCACCGTCGGCCCAAACAACTTCCGACTGCTTGTTGCTGCTAATTTCATTTGCGACCCCGAGCGCCGACAACACTCTCGCCCGTCCTCTATCGGCCACGACAGTCGTCATTTCCAATCAACACATATCGTAAACAGAATGAAAAGAAAGCAACGTGTTTGCAATAAAATACTAATGTCGTATGTGTCTGCCGCTGCTGGTGAAATAAAACAGCAACTGATCGTGAATCAATCAATCAACCCCAAACGCCCCCTGCCTGACCTTTGAACAGAACCCCCTTGCAAAGCAAAATCATCTCGTAGCAGTCCCAGTGTTGGTATCTCGTCAAGTGCTCCTTCGCCCGTATCGCTACACCGGACGCCCTGTCAATCACATCCGTCAGAGGACCCTTTGTCCGTCATAACAGTAGAAGAAATCATCGAACTGCCTCCTTTAAGCGGCAGCCTTCTTCTTGGGTGTCGCCTTCTTGGGAGCAGCCTTCTTCTTGCTGGCAGCTGCCTTGGTGGCGGGTGCTGAGGGTGCGGTGCTCTTGGTGATGCGGCCTGACTTGGTCTTTCCGAGAACGACAGGAGCCTTGTCCTCAACAGCGGGTGCCTGCACTCAGATCAGTAAATGCTACAGGAACATAGGCGAGTAGACGTACGGGAGCGCTCTTTCTGACCTTGGACACGTTGGCCTTGGTCTTGGTGGCTTTGGCAGGTGCGGCAGCCTTCTTGGTGGCAGCCTTGGTAGCGGTCTTCTTGGGCGCAGCAGCCTTCTTAGCAGGGGCCTCCTTTGCAGCAGTCTGGTTCACATCAGTACGAGAGTCTCAGGAAACATGGCATCTCCGGCTTACGGTCTTCTTGGCCTTAGCGGCAGTCTTGGGTGCAGCCTTGGTGGTCTTGGTCTCTGTCTTCTTTGCGGCGGGAGGAGAGCCAGCCTTTGCCTTGGCAATCTTCACAGGTCCAGAAGCACCTGTATCTAGTCAGAATCGTGTCGAACAAGTGCAGGTCCTGTCGTNNCCAATCCCTGGGAAGGAGATGCTTACCCTTGGGGCGCTCGAAAACGCCAGACTCGCTACCCTTGGCGAGTGCACGGTTGAATTGGGTAGTGAAGGCGGCCTCAGTCACGCTGGAGAGGTTGTTGTTGGCCTGGACGTATTTCTTGAGAGCTTGACGGCTATAGGCAGACACGGGTCAGCAAAGAGCGTATAACGCGACGGGAATGGATTGCAACGCGACTGACCTGCTTCCTTGACGGTCCTTGAGCTATTGCTCGAAAAGAACGCGTCAGTAATGGTCCATAACGAAGAGACGAGCAGCACCGGGTCCTGGACGAGACTACGCGCATCGTCGCGAATCTGCCAGTCTCGACCGCACGCGTGGCCGACGTGATATACTGACATTGATAATAGCTTCCTTGATCATCTCTGTAGAACAGAATCAGCATACATTCGCGACACAGGCCAAACAAACGCGACGGCGACGCGACAAGTCTGTGAGCTTGTACATACCTTGGTAGCTAGCATGGACGGGCTCCTTGGCGGCAGCCTTCTTGGGGGCAGCGGCGGCTTTCTTGGGAGGCATTTTGGTATGTGGCTGTTGTTACTGGATAATTGAGCTGGTTTCGAAGATTCCAATGATGGGTCGAACGCGTGGAATCGAAGTTGGGTCTTGTGTTTATGATAGCGTGATGGAAGTCGAGGGTGGAGGAGATGCGGGTGCGGGGGCCCAAGCGGTTTTAAAAGGTTCAGAAGATCTCCAAGTCCAAAATCAAGCGGTCTCTGAAGCCTGTGATTTTGTTTCCACGACAGTCGCTTTTTCTTGTTTTATCTTTCTGCGATACTACAATGCTAGATGAGTTACTATACTTGCAGTCAATCCCAGTTTTGGCATACCATATTCGCTAATTCGACTCATACACGCCCATATGTCGAGATCATGAATTCGACCCGCTAGACCATCTTCGGACTACATGGTCCTCTGATTCCAGACCAGATCTCAGCAACCTGACGGGTCGTTTCTTCTTCTCCGCACATGACCGCTTAAATGGACAGTCATGATGTCGGCCTAGACTGGATTCGAGTCGTCAGTTGGATCTTACTGGTTATACATGTCATCAAGCGTTGTCGTCGAGTCTCGTTCGCAAACATGTTTTCCTCGAAGAAGCTCAAGCTCGAGATCTCTCCATATGGCCCGTGCATTCAAGGGACGTCCTGTCCTGGTGATCCTTCGATCCGAGGCTTCACAGGAGAGCTAACACCACCAGTCGCGTTGTTTGATGCACGGGATACGCGTATTCTGTACCGTCCTCTACGGCGTTCGAGAGAGAAATTCATCGGACAATCTTACAAGTTGAAATGTCCCGCGCATGAGGACTTGCAATGTCGCGTACAGAGGTAGGTACAGTTTGAGGCGTTCTTATACTCCCAGGCAATCTTGTGCATCCCGGTCCAAAACCTGTAGTCTATGTTCTTTCCAGGCTGCGCTCCTCTTCGCTCAGTCCTGCTTTGTTTTCAAGATATTTTTGTATGTGTCTTGTCGTGTGGAAAAGAAGGTTTGGCCAATGGGTTGGTATTCTGAACATGCCATACGACAGATGACAGTCATGTTCTTCATTTAATTTTACATGATGTTTTGCTTTTAAGATCGTCGTTACCTGCTGGCAGATCTTGTCTACCTTCTGGGCATACCTCTTCCTCTGCCGCGCATCGCCCTTTGGGCAGCACCAGGGGGNAGTTGTTGGCCAGGAGCCTGAGGAGCCTGAGATTCTTGGTTCNNTCTGTCGATTATGTTAGCATGTTTATTTTTGCAAGCTTTACAGGCTGACTGTTGCTTACTGATGGTCTCGTCAACACTCAAGATCAAGCAACTGGCCTCGGTAGCGGCTTGAATCGCGTTGATCTTGACGAGACTGGGCTCCCACACAAAGGCGGCCATGTTGTCTCTGACACCCTCGTTCTGGAAATCGACACCAGCCCAGAGATTACCCTTTCTGTGCTCAACACGCAGTCTGTTCAAAATGTCGGTAGCGTCGAAACCAGCATTGTCGCAAAGCTGTCTGGGAATGACCTCAAGTGCCTTGGCGAAGGCCTTGATAATGCTTTGCTGCTTATGAGGAATCTTGCTGTCGGCGTAGGTGTGAAGGTATTTGCTGATCTCCATTTCGCAAGCACCGCCACCAGCAACAATGCTCTGGTTCTTGATGGCACGCTTGACGATCATAATAGCATCGTGCAGACTGCGCTCGACTTCGGCAATGAATTGTTCAGCACCGCCACGGAGGACAAGGGTGCAGGTCTTTGCGCCAGGGCAACCTTCGAAGAAGTTGAATCTCTCTCCACCAATTTGACGCTCCTCGAAAGTCTCGCAGGTACCGAGGTGGGATTCGTGAATGTCGGAGCAGGTAGATTGGATTGAGGCGCCGGTAGACTGGCAAACACGCTCCATGTCGTCTGAGGCCACGCGACCAGCACAGAAGATGTCACGGTCGGCAAAGTACNNCTTATCAAGAGTCAGTATGGGTGTATTTCCATGAGTGAGTAGATCAACATACTGTGTTGCAAGATCACCAATGGGCAGCTTGCTGAGAACGATCTTTGCGCCAGTCTTGTAGAGAGCCTCCATCTTGTTGTAGATAATCTGCCACTCAGCATCGACAATGGCCTGGTATTCCGACACTTGCTCAACACGGACCTCGGCGTTGTCCTTCTCGCTCTTGAGTTCAAGCTCGACGTTCAAGCAGACGATCTTGGGGTTCTTGAAGGCCTTGGGCTGTTGCTCAAAACCGGCGTAGGAGAAGGTCTTCTTGAATGCGACACCGTTGACAAATAGGGAATCTTGCAGGGCACCACCAGTGATCTTCTTGATACCGATGAGTCTGTTGTTGAGGTCGTTTTGGTCGAGGGAGAGAACGGCGTCGACAACCACTGTAGGGCGTGTTAGCGGACGTCTGCGAGAGCGCACACGATTGGAGACATACTCTTTNGTGAAGAAGTCGGCATTGCGGTGGATCAGCTTGCTGCTCATCGAGGTTGCGGCGAGTTTCCGCAGAGTCTCTCTCTGGTTGTTCTCCTGTGTGTCGACGGCAATCTCCTTGATCTTGTTGACGGCCATGGTGCTGGCTCTTCGCAGACCCTTGATGATGGTCTGACTGCTGACACCGTGCTCGACGTGCTCCTTGATCTCCTTGAGAATCTCTCCGGCCAAAACAACAACTGATGTGGTGCCATCTCCAACTTCGGCGTCTTGCGAGCGGGCAATGTCGGTCAGGATGCGGGCGGCAGGGTGGACAATGTCGAGCAACTTCATGACGGTGGCACCGTCGTTGGTAATGGTCTGCTTGCCATTCTCGTCGACAAGCAAGAGATCACCTCCGTAAGGGCCCAGGGTAGACTTGATGGTTGACTGGACGGCGAGACAGGCGTTGATGTTGGAGACGATCTGACCGCGACCCTGCGACTGGTCGGTGCCTGAGTTTGGCTAGTTAGCTGGATGCTGCGCGCCAAAAGATACAGGGTGAAGCGCACCCTCTCTGAGGACAACAATAGTCGGTGTTTGACCACCGAACGACATTTTGCTGTGATTTCCTGAGGTCCGGATAGAGTGCTGTGTGTTTCGAATCACTCTTGGGACCGGGTATGTACACAAAAGGGCGGATGGCTTGGTTGGTTATGGAGATTATGCCGTCTCGGTCGTCTCTGTGTCTGGCAACTTTTCGATGGTCCGAGCTTGCGGCCGTCGTCAACTTTCGAGAGCTTCAGACGGACGTTTCCTTTCACATGCCACACGATCTCTGTCCCGGCAATGATTCCAACTTCTGCAGTTACTTCAACATCTTGATGCGATATCTGATTTACCTGTTTCTGATCCTTCAAAGCCGTAACGACAAAGGCCTTCCTTATGCTCTGACCATTCCATACGTGTAGCAAGAAATGAGGATGGCAACACGGCGGCTCCAGAGCGAAACACACTTGACATGTTGACAACAACACCTGCGTGATGGACTTGTGTTTGTCCGCATCTCCACCGGCCAGCTTGGCCGAGATAGCATTTATATATGAGTCCACCTGTTGTTTTCGAGATTCTACTTGCTCTCTCCACATTGTTTCTTTGTCTTGATGGTCAGCATGTCTACCTACTCAGCACCTTCGTTCTATTTGTCGCCGTCCAAGGCCGCATTGCAGTTACAGTATGTCGGCAAGAACCTCCGAGAGGTCCCAACTCCTGCAGCTGTCTTGGACCTCGCTCCAATTAGGCGGAACTGCAAGGCGATGCTCGAGGCAACCAAAGCTCTTGGACTTGGTTTCCGTGCGCACGTCAAAACACACAAGGTTTGTCTTGGTGCATGGTCCCTTCCAAGTCAAATGACTAATGTTTGCCAAAAGACTACCGAGCTCACTCAATACCAAATGGGCCACGACTCCAAAGACATAAGACTGATTGCTTCTACTGTCTCGGAAATCGAAAATCTTGTACCTTATTTGCTTGAACGCAAATCCCAAGGCGCGAGCATCAATGCAAGTTTCTCTACACCATATTCGTCGATATATCTGACCAGTATAGNNATTCTATATGGCTTACCCGTTGCTGTTTCTCACATACCACGTCTTGCAGCCGTTGCACGCGTATTAGGCGAGGGGACCGTCGGACTCTTCGTTGATCATCCTGGGCAAGTAGAACATCTCGCGAGCTTGGATGATTGCAGCTGGCCAGGTCCTGTTCCTCTCTACATCAAGATTGCCGCTCCCATTTCACGAGCTGGGTTGCGTCCCGAATCTGCCAGCATCGAATCTTTGGTCCAAGCTATTGCACAGACTCCAAGGGTCCACTTGGTCGGAGCTTACGCTCACATGGGTGAGAGCTACGGATCCAGCAGTCCGCAAGAGGCCCTTGAGTTTCTCATGAATGAGGTCAGAGATGCTAAGGCAGGAGCAGACCAGATTACGCAGGTTCTGCCAAAGAGATCCACAGGCAAGCTAACGATCTCGCTTGGCGCAACTCCGACCGCTACAGCTGTTCAAAATGCTCTTGTTGAAACCGAGTGGAACCAGAAGTTCCGAGTCTATATTGAAAAAGTCCAATCGACATATCACGTCGAGATACACGCTGGTGTCTACCCTGTACTGGACATGCAACAACTTGCGACACGCGCTCGCCCGACAAGTGCCGAAGGAAAACCGTTACTTTCTACAGAAAACATAGGCTTGCGCGTCTTGGTCGAAGTTGCAAGCACGTACGATGAGAGAGAAAAGCCGGAGGCTTTGATAGCCGCCGGCTCAATAGTGCTCGGTCGAGAGCCGTGTAAAAGTTATCCGGGATGGGGAGTGGTAACACCCTGGACAGACAGTCCAGCTCCGGTCAAAGCTTTTTCAGCATATGACTCCGAGGGTTCCAAGACGGGCTGGATCGTTGGACGTATCAGCCAGGAGCATGGAAACCTCACCTGGGAGGGACCGACAAACGGTATGCGCGAACTCGAGGTTGGCGAGAAGGTAATGATCTGGCCGAACCACGCTTGCATGGCTGGGCCGAACTTCGGCTACTATATTGTGGTTGATGGCGAGAGTTCTGACTCTGACAAGATCGTGGATGTCTGGCCTCGCTGGCGTGGATGGTAGTTCATGTACAATGCTCAGCACTGCATAAAGAATTTATGCAGGCTTGGCGAAGCTCCTCACACGTTTCTAGTCAGATTCTGCCTCCTTCCTTGAACGACCAACCACAGATCTAAGTGATTCCTCTGTTCGAGGCGGTCTGTTGTTCACGGTCAGCTTAAAATCAATCGGCCGTAAAGTTTTTCTCTCTCAATCTTGTGGTTCACGTAGAGGGTCAGAGGCAGAACGACACGATGCGCGACTGAGGCCTGTCCTCGAGGGGTTTGGAGTAGAAAGACAGAGTCATCGATCAACAAAATGTGAATTGACCTAAGTAGGAGGCTGGGTGATCAGCTGTGCCCCGAAAATGGTTTGTTGCGTGGTTGTCGGATATCGATTCAAAGTCCCCTTGCGACGGGACTACTAAATTGGAAAGAGCTCTTCGTTGGATCTGCTAATATGGACGACAGCCCCTTCCTGTAGGCTTCGAACGATGACTTAGCGTCGTCAGTGGTTGCGACTTCCAATGTTCGCCGATTTGAGTCTGTTGACCAACGGCTTCGCAAGTCGTGTCCATTTGCAATAGGCAATACCTTCGTTCCATTGCTTCCGTTCTCTCGTCAGACCGCCCTCGTTCAGGGACTTTGGATAAGACACCATATCCGGTTGCCTACACGATGGCTTTATTGAACCGGCAGCGATCATTCGATGGCCGCACCAGCCGTGCGTCCACCACCTCTGTACAGTCCAAAACACTTGCGCCTCAAACTACTCAAGGCTCTGGCGATATGTTGAATGCCGCTGCTCCCGGAGTGCTTTCTATGCTCAAAACATCGACCGACGTTGGAGACGTAGGTGAGTTCTCGTACAACACGGGTCGTCTTCCAGCTGCTCTTCGCCCAACTCATCAACGGAGAAACAACCCTTCTCGTCTCTCGAACTCATCGAACCACTCTGCGTACACTTACAACACTGGTCACAGCCGTGTACCTTCTCATGGATCTAGGAAAGCTTCCAACGCCCATAATCCCCAGGGATGGGATGCCGTTTCAGCCATGTCTGGCGGCACAGGCAACGGCACAGGTGGAAGACATGGATCTATGGTCAGCCTCCAGACACTCGCAACAATGCCACCCTACGACAACAGAGCACCTCCAATGCCTCGAGGTCCCCCAAGATCATCACCCTACGGACCCCCATATGCTCAAGACGGCCGCTCCTATTCCTTGACTCAGTCTCACCATGTCCCTTCGCTCAAGCCAGCCAAGTCTGTGACAAGTCTAAGAAGCCAGGGCGGCGGGCAATTCCAGCCTCCGCGTCCCCCATTCGCGTATCCCCCAAGACACAAGCGTCCTGGTTTCCGGACCCCTTCTCCGGCTTTGAGCGACTACACTGGCGGTACACACCAAGCCTTATACAACCAAGTCCATCCATTCGAGACCGATCAGAAGTATCCAGGCGAGCAGCCTTCGACCTACTACGGTCNNCCAACGAACCCACGTATCATCCTCACCCCACTCAAACCCAAGAGTCGTATCAGGTCCCCTCATCAGGTCGAAGCTNACGGTCCAGCGGCCGGCAGAGGTATGCATCGACCCACTATGCCAATGTACACTGGAGACTATCCCTATGGCGCACCGCCTGGACCAAGATGCTCAAACCAGCAGCAGCCCACGATGCCCTTTCCTATGCAGCCCAACTTCCAGGAGTCCCACTACTACGGTCAGTACGGCCCTCCAGTCCATGCTTTACCTTCGCTAGGTTATGAGTCAACATCGAGACTGGGCACCCCAGGATTGGACGCTATGCCCTCGTCTTCGAGACAGGGCTCCTCATCTCCACGATCGCTGAATCCGCCCACACCCAGAGATACGACTACGGTTCAGACCATGATTGACCCGACAGTCCCTCAGCCCGCTCTCAGCGAGCTTCCAGAAGAGCACTCTGAGTACAAGAGTGTTCAGAGCTATCTCAGATACACAGAGCAATCCACTATGTACGAACTCGACGCTTCCCAGCCTGCTGCTGTCGAACTCGAAGCAGATACACCTACTGCCAAACGAACCGGACTCGTGCAGCGCATCAGGAACTTGCTTGAAGATCGTGCTGCAAGTCAAGAACATCTATCGTCTAGTCAAAACCAATCTCAGCAGGATGTCTCGAAGCTCGTCGTCCCACAGCCATTCCAAAGTCTAAGACAAGAGCCTACCGAGCTTTCGGCCAGCAAACGATCATCTGTGCACGAACCTGTTGAGCTTGATGTTCCTCCCAGAATCACAAGACAGTTAATTCAAGCCAACACTGCACCGTCGTCCTCTGAGCACAATACAACAACGTCGCTTGCTCCTGAGGAAACGGTCAAAGCAACCCACGACCACAAGATCAGTGAAAGACCTCCAACATCTTCCAGAGAAGATCCAGACAATGGCCTCGGTGAAAAGACTGACCATGGACTGTTCTTCAACTATTCGGACAACCAAACATCTGTTTCTTCCTCGCAACCCAATAGAGCAGGATTTGGTGTGCAAATTACGTTGTCGGAGCCACTCTCTTCGTCTGAGACCACCGATCAACTTATGACGAACACCGATGACAGGACAAAGCAAGTCAGTGACGATCTACAGAGTGGTGGTGTCAGTCCGTTACGCCCTGATGAAAGAGTGGTCAGAGATTCGATCGTCAGTCCTATGGCTACTCAGACTCTGCATATCACTGCTGTTCAAGAGCAACTCAAGGTCCCAGACCTGCAATCCAAGACCACGGAAGGTTCACCACCTGATCGCTTGTCAAGACAGACTTTCGATACCACAGAAATGACTTCTGGTCTATCTTTGCCGACAGGACCGTGTCAAACTTTCGAGGCCAGTCCGTCGTCAAACCATGTCACGGATGTTGCTATCAAATTCTCCATACCACGCTCATCTGACCACGGCAGAGCTCAACTGGTAAACCTCAGCAATTTGTCTGATACTCCTTCTCAAACTTCGATGGAAATTAAGAAGGCTCGTTCTGTTGAAGACAACAGCTTGCAGAGTTTCTCTCTATCGAGCATCGAGAAGGTAGCTCCACTTCGAATTAGAAGGATGGAAAGCTTCTTGCCTGTTGCCACAGGTACTGAAGGGACGGACCTTTCTTCGTTCATCCGTCGCTCGTTCCCTCGCAAGCGATCGATGTGGACCACTGCGCAACCTGATCCCAACAGATCGTCTTGCGATTCGACAACCGATCTCGGAACGGTGATGTTCAAGACGCGCCCTGGCTATCTACCTGATCTCAACGAAGATTCCAAGGAAGACATTAGCACCAGGAACACCAAGTCTTCATATACCGGCTTGAGGCTCTCCAACACGCCTTCGTTACGTCTCAAGCCTTCTCGTGATGCTGTGAGACGTTCGGAAGAAACGACACAGCAAAGCTATCTGTCACCTCGTCCTCCCAGGATGTCGCTCTCAGAGCTGAGAGAAATTCCTTCTCTAAACTTCAGCCGAATGGATCTTTTCCTCAAATTAAACGAAGAACTTGAAACACACATATCTCGCTCATCAAAGTCTTTGGCCGGGGTCAGAGGAGAGAGGAGATCCGGCACTCGCCGCTCACCACTGCAGCAACCGGCATCGACTGACCATATACGTGAGAGATACACGAGTTTCTTCACCAGCCCCGAAGACTCCGAGCTACTCGAACACTCCGATGTTGAAGCCTTTGATACGCATGATCCATCTCAAGCACTTCAAGAAAAGAACCAGAACGATGCAGACATTGTGTCCAACAAGTCTTTTGCTCGTTCACTCAGACCAATGTCTACAGAACAGATGTTGGGCATGGCTTCAGAGGTCAGTCGTCTACCTGTACCTTCCGTAGCCGCTCTTTCAGAGCGCTTGTCTACGCTGCTGCCTACTATCAGACATCTGCATATCGACTGCGCTCCTGTAGACCAGACGGCAATGAATGACGCCATTGATAGAATCCATCATCTTGGACAGCCTGGAGGTGAAGCTGCTCCACTTCTGAGGTCCTCAACAGGCCTTTATCAGCTAGCCGCAATCGCAGACAATATTGCAACAAACGGCACTCATGACTCTGCCTTCCTCGAAATCCAGAAGAGCGGCCGACTGATGAAAGAGCTACCCCCGCTGCCAGAGGATAGCGAAAAGTTCTCGTTGAGCGATTCTGGTCTTGATCGTAACACTACACTCATCACTGAGGGCGTGACAAGCACTTCAGACCTTGAGCCACCAAAGCCTTCCCTGCTCCGTGGAAAATCTCTTAGTGTCATCAACAACCAAAGCGAGGACTTGCATCCTGGATTTGCTTCCAGACATTCTCTCGTACTATCAACACAGAACACGAGACCTTGGAATCTTGACGAGAACTACCCTTGGTGTGGCAACAGCCCGGGCATCAAGATCGACTTTCCTACGCCAGTGCTTCGTCGTCACTCTTCCCCACCCAAGCTCGTTCACAGACAAAGTCGAGAGTCCATCAAGACCAAAAGCGAAACAGAGGAGACTCTGGATCCAGACAGTACTCTCCCTTCTTCACCTATGGTTTCGAACAGCGAGACCGTCACTCCTACTGTTTTGACCCTCCACGATCGCAAATCGTCCAAAAAATCCCTGATCGGATCTTTGTCTCGCCGCATCGGATTGAGCACACGCGTGCAATCTGGTGCTGTTGCTCGAGAAGGTGCTCTTGCCGGAAGAGCAAGTCCCGGCGACAGGTATCCATCCACTAGCTTGCAGTCACCGCAAACAATGAACATAGAAGACGTGCGGTCTTTCTTCTCGGACTCGACAGAAGAAGAACATGATGGTGAGCAACGTGGTTCATTCCGCAAGCAAATCACATCATTCCGGGACAAATCATCGAAAGCACCAAACGGACATGTTTCTGTCCCTTACACACAGTCTTTGGACGTTCACCGAGGCCGTTCTCTGGATCAGTACGGACGACCTTCGAACGTTCGTACGACTGGCTCACTCTTTGACGACCGCTTCACCGAACCTATCACGCCTCAGAACTACGATGGCATGGTCGGTATGGGTCGAGTTGAGTTTCGTGTGAAGCGTGTCGCTGAACGCTTAAGACATATCTGGTTAAAGGGCGGCGAAATGATTCGTTCCCTTAGCCAGCGCCGTCGCCAGACCAAGAGACAACACAGGGAAAGGGATGTTGAGTTCGACAATTGGCTTGCGGACAGCCTTTACTCTCGTGATTGATGATATGCACAGTGTTCATGGCTGAGATTAGGCAGAAAAGCGGGAAGCATTGATATTATTGTTGAAGTTTGTATGGCTATACAGTACATGGTAGGAAGTAGGTTGAAAACACCGAGAAGCGCTTTGTGAGACCATGAGCGAGCAGAACAGTAATGAGTGGAATGGTGTTACAGCATGAATACATAGCAGTTTCCGAATGCAAATGGACATCTCAGAAATCAGGTGTGATGGATAAGCTGTAGCTTGACGTGATACTGTTTCGGCAATGTCAAGAAAATATCTGCCGACTTTGTTAAGTATTGGACAGGCGTGGGTGGTAAGGTTCCTCTGGTTTGACTTTAGTGAAGAGCGTCATAGTTGATAACGTTTGCATGTCAGGCAGAAGCCAAAATCTCTGAGGGAACGCATGCACGGTGCGCGGGTCTTGCACAGGCTCTACTTGCCAATTCTCTCGTTCGGAAGGGTGCGAGAGAAGCACGATAGTTTCGGAAAAGGCGGTGCGGGTGATTGGGAACCAGTGGACGCTGTAATCAATGATCGTCCGAGGGAGATCGTCCGAGGGGGTTGGGGACAACAGTATTTTGGGTTATCTTTTTCCGACCATTTTTCCGTTTTTAACCTTTGTATACTTCTCCAACACAGCTTGGGTTTGACAGTGAGGAGAGGAACACAGTTACCCGCGGAGCATTCACATTGTGGAGATTTAATTGCTGGGGGAAAGACACGGATATCTACAGGGATACGTGTGCGTGTGTTATCTTTCCTGTTTCCTGACTCTTGCAAGGGTTGGGTTGCTGAGTGCAGGGAATAAGATAAGAGTTCAATTGACAAAGGCATGTATAGAAGTATGTACAGTGTACCACTCCACGCAAAAGGGAAGAAGATATCGATCCGAGAAGAGGTGGATGCACTTGAAGAGGAGGGGCATGACGTTGGCGATAGAGCTGAAATTCGTTAGACACAGTCCACAGAGGCCCCCTCCCTGGAGTTTTCTCCGTTGAGCCATCTGAGACTTGTTCGAGTTATACACTATTCGTCGTTGGTGCGTTGTACAACAACAGAGAGAGAAAAAAAAGGCAGTGGCTGGGGCGCCGTTGCAAGGGGAAACTGGCAGGCGCACAAGAGTCGGATCCTCGGACAGATCTGTTGGAACGCAGACCAGGGTTTTTGTATGTTGCGATATGATTTCTTCCGACCGGTTTACCTGTTTCTGCAATAGGTAGGGCAAAAGGCTCTCCCTCGGCGCTGGTGTTTGTTGCAGCAAAAAGAAGCTATAGAAGGTTCGATGTGGCGCTTTCAGCCATGGTGGGTTCCCCTGATTATTCGTAAAGTAGTGTGTGCACAGCGGTTTCGCTGCACAGATCGAGCTCCATCATCACCAACTTCCTAATATGCCTTGATTGTGACGGGATGTTTTGTTGGCTCGAAAGTTTTTGGGTGAACCCCACACGCGCACACGGATAATGGTATGGGCTAGGAAATTTGTCAAGGGATCGCCGTCGTTGGAGCATGGAGACAGAGGGTGAGAGACACGCGGCCAGCTGCCAATGCGTACCACGCGATAACCCAAAACGTGGTGTAGTTACAAACAGGTGGAGTCTGCTGCCATGTGAAGAGGTGCCCAAAGGCACAAGCCGAGGCGAGAACCGAGGACGATCATGACGATCTCCCTTCTAGTGCCCGCAGACGATCTTGACGTCACTCCCCTGCCTACTCCAGTTGCCAATGTTTGTATTGTTAGAGCTCGTTCTTGCTTGCTCGCTCGATCACAAAGATAGGTTATTTTCCAATAGATGAGTAGCGCATTGACCGTTAGGCACTTGTGCAATGTGTTTAGTTAGTAGGCATGAACGATAGGAGGTGACAGTGGTGTTGACATGGTATGGTTCTAGAGCTTGCGATCTGCAATCATAGTCGATAGTCCGCGCGCTCAGAGCCTTGGTTTCTGGTGAGATGGTATCCGATTCGGCCAAGTTAGCGTAGTACAAGAACAAGGACCTCTTAGGCTCTTCAGCTGTTTGTCTGGCAGGAAGATCGCTGGTAGACAAATGCACCACGATAGGCATTTTTCTGTGCGACACGGTAGACAACCCTGCTCTCGGTCCGTCCGAAACTTGTCCATTGCCCTAGTCTAGGGCCCGTAGACCCTGGAGCTCTCAAACTTCAATTCTTGAAGATTTGTCGGTGTCTGGGGTAGACTTTGTGTTCCTTGCTTGATGCCGTAACTATGCCAACGTCACCAGGAAAAAAAGTTGTGGTGTTTTGAATGACTCGAGATCCAGCAACGACGAACTTAGACTTGCGTTCTCTCGCTTCTTGAAGGCCGTTGGGGGCAGCTAACGGTATGCTTAAAGAGTCGGTGTCGGTGGCGTCCAACTATTAGAAACACCCAAGGCATAATTCAGCGAGGAGACCAACGCATTTCACGTGGATCGATCGTCTCCCTTTTCATTGTGATGGTCTCCACACACACCCACATATACATATAAGTTGTCTGTCGCATCCCGCTATGGCCTTCAACAGCGTCTCCTGCGACGGATTGTAAAAGTCAATCACCATTGACTTTCGGTAGCAGTCAAATGAGGATACGGCAATGATAAATTGTCAACAACAAGACCACCATCGTTGGATCGGTATGGCTTAACATAGGAGGCTGAGACAACTTCTCAGATCGGATAGCGGATATATGAGTTCCGCAAGGAACAGGCAAGGGGCACGTTTTTGATGCAAGTGCAGCCGACTGAACGTGTCCAGGAGAAGAAGATATCCATACCTTAATCACGATTCAAATTCCAAAAGATTCCAGAAGAGGAAATTGCTTACTATCATGACAAAGCAGTCGTAACTCCCAGATTATTTGCAAACCGTCTTCGAGGATCCACTACAGACCTCATACCAAAGTCTTCAAAGTATGTAATCAGCGGAAAAATCCTTGAGCAATTCATGATATAGAACTATGATGTACATGGCAGTCCTTCCTGCCTGGCTCTCCGGAAGTGTCGCTATTTGGTGTCGAACCACGCGCAATAACGGCGATCACTCCTTCCAACCACGGTAGATGATCTTGCTTCCGTAGGTTTGCCCCTTCTTCAGGAGAACCATCTTCTTCCACTCATCGTTGTTTCCAGCATCAATGTAACGGCTGGGCTCAACGCAGAAGCCAGCACGAGCACCGCGTGCTGGTGCGCCGTCCACAGCCGGGATGTCGATGTACTTGCCAGTGTAGAACTGGAATGCGGGCTCGGTGCTGAGCGCCTCAAAGTGAAGCTTTGTGGTGGGGTGGTAGAACGAGCACAGCTTGCGCATAGTCTCGGATCTTGTGTCGATGGGTACGTTTGAAGCATCAGTGTTGATAACGAAGCAATGGTCGATATCAGGATCGACGGTACCTAGTGTGAAGGCCTTCTCGGCTTCGACACCAGGGAAGGCTTTGATTTCGCCAGTGGGAATGTCTGTATCGTCTACAACCATGAACTGGTCGGTCATAAGAGTTGCTTCTGTGCCCTCGATTGTGTCCTTTCCGGAGATGTTGAAGTAGCTGTGAATTTTGGTCAGTCATTTCAGTATTGACAAGAGCAATTTGAAGACTCACCTGTGGTTGGTAACCGAAACTAACGTCTCGTCGACCTCGTCGCCGACAAGCTCAACCTCGTATTCGATCTCGAGTTGCGTCTTCTCTACACCACCATCGTTCTTCTTGCTTGCAATATACCAAACACGGAGCTCGACGGTTCCAGGGTAACCCTCCTCGCCGTCCTTGCTGAGGTATCTAAACTGGACGGCCTCTGTTCCACCCNNCCTGTTGACAGGGGTAGGCCCATCGAATGTTCTCTTCCCNCAGCCAGCTGGGCCTCCGTGAAGGGCGTTGGGTCCGTTGTTTGCTGTAAGTTGGTACGATTTCCCATTCAAGTTCTGAATCTTGGCATCCTTGATGCGGTTTGCGACGCGTCCAATCGTCTCACCAAAGTAGGCCGAGTTCTTGGTCTTGTAGGGCTCCGCGGTAGGGAAACCTTGGACAATATTGTGCCCCGCAACGCGGAACTCCTGGATGATGGCGCCCTGGGGCAAGAATGTGAATGCGTCTTCGGCTGACATTTTGCTGTGTTGATGGAGAAGTGAGGAGAGAGTGAGGAAAGAAAGACTCGAAGCGACACGTGTGGACAATAATATTTTGCAACCACGGTTAAACAGGATTCTTGCCTCATCACACAGCCTGGCAGCTATTAGGCGGGGTGAGCTCTGGTGGGGGCTCGAGTGGAGGGGCATTCGAGCCACTCTTTAGCCTAATTCTCCATGTCACAACCTCACGTGAAAACTTCCTTTGACAGTCGCGATGCATGATAGTCATCTAGCAATTCGACAGGGCAAGCGAGAGAAAAGGACGGAAGGGAAGTCTGCTACTCGAGTATTGACAAGTGCTGTTGCGCGACACAGTTGCTGCCAAGGTGGTTGGTCTGCAGGATTTAAAACAGCAAGTGTGGCTCACCAGCAAGAATGCGCATCTGTGATACGGCACGGCTTTTGTTTGTGCGAGCATTGGCAACAAACTCCACTCTTTCTCGGCAACAAGCCCGTATCAGCTACACGCATACGAGGCACCTCTCATACGGCAACAAATAAGGCGCCGGATTCAACCTTCGTTCATGCTTGAAGAATCGGAAGCGGTTCGCGGTCACAGCATAATGATGTTCCCATGATCAGTGGAGCAAAAGCAAGGCGATAAGGAAGTTTCGACCGACGATTGATCATCGATCTGCATGTCGGATATAACTCACTAAATCCTTCCACGTCAAATCCATCAACTTAGCTCCGAGGAACGATTTATCGATGACAGCTGCTGCCGCAGCCACCATATTGTTTCGATTGCGATGCCCTCCTCGATGGAGACTTGCGCTTTTTGCAAACGAAACAATCTGCGCAAGGGAGCAGCAGACCAACAACTACAGTACAACACTTCAAGTCTCCGCGTGTGGCTGTGCGCTCTGCGGCCTCACACTCCTGAATAACGGAAGCAGGTCCGCCGAACTACAGATGGCAATATGGTCATCCTTGCGTCGCTTGTCAGAAGAGCAATTTGCATGAACATAATGTGAATATGACATCGAATTTCGTGATATAGATTCGAGCGATCGTCTAGTTGAACTTCTATCATACACCGTCTCGCCAATACATATTTTTGTGCCCAGGACCCAAGTCCATAAACTCCTCATGTGCGCCATCGCCCGCTCTTATTCGCAGCCCAACACCACACCCCTGTCAATTCGCTCACTAGCGAACAAAGACTCCAACGCCTTAAGAAAGCTCGCATTTGTAAATTGCATGACATGTTGATCGTGACCTGTGAGATGCCTTGATGAACATCTCAACCGTAAATCCTTTTGTGGTTTGAGCCGCATATGGTGACCAATCCAGAAAAAAGGCGATAATTAGAGTAATAAATATACATTGCTGACGTCCAGATCATGTCGACACTTGAACGAATTTGCTGAAGTCGATTTCCATTGGTTCGTTCATCCAGTCCTGGGTGTTGAAGGCTCCGAATCCTTGTGCTGGTGTGGCATAATTTGAACTGCCGAAAGGCATCATGTTGTCGTATTCTAATTGAGGTTCAAATGCGTTGCCATATGCGATCGTGGCTTGGAAGCTATCCTGTAGTGTTGGCACCTGAATTGCCGCTTGCGATCGCATAAGATCGGCAGCTGATAATCCGCGGAGTGCGAATTGTTCTTGCCAGGACGGCAAAAGGTAATCATCGTTGTTGATGGCTTCATTGTGAAGCGGTGAAGGTTTAATCGGCGATCGTAGTTGTGACATTTTGGATACTGGGCTGTGGGAAACTGGTGATGGCGAAGCACTCTGGTGAAATGTGAATTTCTCATCGAAGACTGGCGCTGCATTGGTCGGGATCGGTGTACTGTGTACGCTCGAACGAGAAGATGTGCGAGCATGCTTGCGAGGAAGACTGTGGTCTGATTCGTAGCCGCTGGAGTTTCTTCTGACCATGAAAGAAGCACCCTCTGAGATTAATCGTTGTTGAAGCTTCTGGCAATCCTCTTCGAAGTGCTCGTGCTCGCCACTGCCATCGTTCTTGGGTTCCAGAAGGTCCAGTCTTGCAAGAATATCGTGTGTAAGAGGTTGGCCGCTAGCTTCAGATAAAGGCTTTCCAGGCCAGAAATTTGCATCGACAAGACGACGATATGTTTCTTGAAGACCAGCAACCAGTTGTGCTTGTTGTTGCTCGAGCATCTCTACGTANTCTACATAGAGTTAGCTGCGTGCGAAGATTGCAGGAGGACGAGACACGAACCCTTTGGGGTAGATCTTGTCATGAGACTTCTTTCTCTCGCCGAAGACGCAGATAGCGTTGTCAGCCTTGCATCTAGTGCACGGATGACTGCCATCGCACTTTGACTTCTTGAGACGACATCTATCACAGGCCTTGCCGACACGCTTTCTTATGCTGTCGGTCGAATCTGAAGAGGATGTCCTGCGGACAGCTGCTGGTGGCATGGTGTATGGGATGTGTAGTATGTCAATGGTGTTTCAGTGGAAGAGAGAAGTGATGACTAGGTTGAGGTAAGACACGGATCAAGCCAAGGAGCGGCTTATAGATATATTCCTAGTCGTCAGATATGGTCGGGGCTTGACATAAAACGCGGGTTCTGTCTGCGTGACGTGGGAACGCATCAAATATATGTATGTGAAGGATGGGTCACCAAGCGTTGGCAGGAATACATGATGACGCTATCTCATTGGAGGCCACATGGTAAACGCCTGTTAAAATTGTATGGCCTGACTAATTGTCAAACTGTTTCAGTCCGCGGAGGCAGGATTTAGATTGACGCCGATTGCTTGGTCAGACCTGAGATCATGATGGGAACAAGCTCAAGGACAAATTCGGCCGATGGATCGGAACCGGGAGCATTAGAAAAGCGAGGGCAGAACCCGCCGAGTCATGCAACGGCGGGCTAACGATACGGCCAAAGCTTGTCACCATTGATTTAAAGGTGCAGTAGCACCTTCGATCTCAGGGCTGTCGACCTTCCGAGGCAATCGTTCGCGATACTCAAATGTTGAAATCCTTCTTGCTGTTTCTTGTTCGGGCTTTGAATGATACCTCGCAGAACCGGTGAATGTGATTGAGCGATGTATGGACGGTCGCGACAAGGCGCTATGAAGGCAGCAGGCAGCAAGGTTCCTTGTACGAGTACAGTACATACAGGGATCTTGTCATCTTCGTGGCTCATCCGCATCCTCCAGAACTCGAAGCATGTTTGGCTTGTCGGTCGTGGGGCACTGCACTGCAGCACGCCAAGCACCTGTAGCCCAGCCAATCCTGGTTTGTACCTGCGCTCTTGCTGTCATATGATTCGACACTTTGTCGTCGCGTGTCGCATTCAAGCCTTTGCTGCGTCTCTGCTTATAATCGAGTATTCGAGCATCTGTTAATGCTGGCGAAATACCGCCGGTCTCGTATCCATACATGCTGTCGCAGTGTACGAACTGGATTTGATGCTACACTCGGCTGCGACTTCCGTTCTGCTTTCCAGGAACATTCCATAGCGTGCTTGTCAAAATCGCAAGCCACCGAGTTTCTGTGCAGAAGGACTTCTCGCTTTGGATACGAGATGCTGTCTCGGGCCCCGGCCTACTTCAACTTCCGAAAATGTTCTGCTGGAAAATGACGAACATCCGCACCCGCAAATCCGTCGTCCCAGAGTTTGAAGAGTTCGAGAATCGACAGACGAAAATCAGGGGTGTTCCAAGGGTCGTGGAGGAATGCACCGCCCGTTTCTCTAATCCATTTCTGCCAACGATCGTCTAATAGTTGCCTCCTCCAAAGTTGTAGGCTGCCATACCGGACCCTGAAATGCTCCGCTCGGTCCGCATTCGTCTCCGAGAAGGATTATGCAAATTCCCATCAGGATGCAATGTTGCGAGGCGGGATTTTCATGCCTACCCACACCCCCTTCGATGCCGACTTTCCATGGTTCAGACCGAGCCCCGAGTTGCGGCACTCGGCTTCGATAAGGCAGCAAGGAATGATGGAATGCTGCGAATATGCTCCGACCTGTTCGGTCCAGCTTGATTTCTGATTGGCCAAAACGCCGAACCCATACCAGAACAAGTACCCATCTTGATAAAGGCACATCGAGCCGAACGATCGAGCTCGAGGTTTCTTTTGCTAATCTCAGTGAACGTGAATAACGAAAGCCACAACGAAAGAACGCAGAGAATGCATGGGCTGACTGTTGCACCTGCTCGCCAGTTTCGTACCCACCAAGTTACATCCAGCACGTTATCTGAGGCTCTCGAAGACGAAAATTCAAACAAATTGCATCGTATCTGCCGAGTACCGAGAAGCAGACTCCACCATCGAGGTGAGCATCTCACAGCACTACGCGGTGGCTCCATGGGGCCACAGGAACACGCGCAACCCTCTGATAGTTCGTTGAATTCGCTTATAGGCGAGATCGTCCCGCGCGATCTAGATGGCCTTCTTCGTCCAAATGTTCGAATTCAATCGCATCTTACAGGACTACAGTACATGTACATACACCTCAAACATCACGCATTCTGACGTGGACCATGGTCCCGTTCAGCCCCATTGCAGACATCACAACTCTAGGCCTCGAGACACTTCGGAGTACATTCGCATTCTATTGAACAGATCTCTTTCTTTTTTTGTTTTGATCTGATCCGCTTCATCTTACAAGTCAATGAAACACATGGGTGCCTTGTCGTTCTATATTCAAATGTCGAGTTAACCCTACCTCTTCCCTCAGCCCTACCCGAGTTTGACCCGAAAGAGTTGACCAATTTCCACGCAAGGTCCCATTTATAGAAGACAAGGCAGGCAAGAAGGGACGAGGGCTGGAGTATGTATCAAAGCAGATGTGGCACTGTCTTGATCCTCCTCTTGAGTTGTTGCATCTCTTCGAGCCTGGAGAAGCTTCGTGCTTTTTGATCCGGCTTGATTGCTGCTGGTACGACCCTGTTCTTTTGTCATCATGATCTAAAATCATCCCACAGCCTTGTGCAAATGAATCTCTTGATTGTGGAGAAGCTTATGCTATACTTGAAGACTTCTTATAGGAAGTTATCTTACATTTGGTTGGCGATGTGGTGCTGCGGAGTGTGATTTGAGCATAGGTCAAAATCTCATTGAAGCATTGGGACACACCGTACGCATTTGACCTTGCATTGACCGCGACAAACGTATCGACGGCGACAACACACAGGTCGAGCTTCCTCTAATCACGCTGCAATCACTCACACACCAATATCGAGATGAAGAAAAGTAAAGAAATCATCGTTCGAGTGGTCTATTTGCTATCATCACCAAAGTTCCTCAGTTTTTCAAGCCATAGTGCTCTCATCCAATACATCCTCCAACAGAGACCGCCTGCACGACTCCACATCTGGCACGCTCATACTGTAGGTAGCTTCATACGAGTACATGCTCAGCTGGCTAAAGAAAGGCTGCAGCACACTGCGCAAAAAGTCGTCTTTGGCCATTGCCTTCGTATCTGCACCGTCCATGGTTGAACTTCCCAAGAACAATCCTCGAGTACCCGCTTCGTTGGACGGATTGTTGCTCGCGCCTGGCGGTGTGTAGGCTGCATGTTCAGAACTCTCCATGCCCAAGGCTTCGGCCGCTTCGTCGGTCAAGGCAACTGGGTTGAGGTCGACGGGTCGGTATACGGCATCGATAGTATCAGTGATGTAGAGCCACTCGTGCAATTGAAACTCATCCGGTGATAGTGTAGTCAGCAGATCGAGAAGCTTGCAGGCCTGCAATAACGAGAGATTGCTGTATATATCCTGGTCGTGACCGCCAGGCAGGCATGCAGTGATCGCCTTCTGCAAGTTTGCATTGAGAACGGGCCAGACAGCAGATAGATGTATCGGCGAAAAGGAGAGCATCATCGCACGGAAGACCATGAAGACTTCCGCCCTTGTAGTGGATGACGGCGAGGAAGAGGAGTCGGCTGTGCACAGGTCGACAAGCTTGTCCAAGATTTGCGTCAGATTACCTACGAAAATGTCTTGCTCGCAGGCCAGCATGAGAAGCATTGTCTTTCGTAGAGTAAGCTGCGTCCTTCGATCGGCTTCCAGGCGTGCTGCATTGGCACCAACGCCGAACATAATGCCGGCTGTCGAGGGAGCGGTGATTCTGGACAGAAGCTCAGGGAGACGATCCTTGTCACTGAGCGCCCACTTGCGTAGCACAGGATACCACCCGTCGTGCATCAATCCTGCAGAGCATGTCAACAATCGAGGATTGTTGAATGCATCTGCAATGTCTTTCTTCCACTGCTTGGAGGTCGGTCCTTGCTGGGCGACATGTTCGAAAAGCTTCAACAGATCCTTGGTAATGTTTTCAGGGAACGCCTTTGCGTGGAACGCTGGCGTCATGACATTGCTCGATATGGTGTTCACAGCACTCTGGACTCTGTCGTTACTCTGCAAGATAATCGAGAGCCTTGGCGTAATATAGAGAAGGCTGTGGATGAGATCATTAGCTCCAGTAGGAAGTTGCGACCCAGCCGCTGGAGTCTCAAGAATGTTCGCAAGTGGCCGTGCGGTGAATGTTGCTGTCAGCAATCGGAGGAAGATGTCGCCTAGTTCGCGGCGCATCTTACGCAGCTCACCAAAGTTTGTGTTATCAATCTTCTCAGCCAACAGGACTGTGAACTCGAGGAGAGATGGCAAAATTTGTCTATGAGGCAGTGGATTTGAGAGTACATCTCTCAGGAAGATCATACACTCGCTCCATATCTCATCGGTGGCATCATCTTCGATTGCGCGTGCATAGCTTAGCAGGAAGGCAGCCACTTCGGCCGTGGACAGATCAGACGTTAGACTTGACCTACGTCCAATGTCCAAAGCATCAATGTTTGTCCGACTGTAAAGGGCATTGATGATAACCGGCACCGTGCTCTTGGGTCTAGATCCATCCAAGACCAGTAGCAAATCAAAAACAGCTGCAGACTCGATCTCCTTGGAAGGCTTTGGTCGAGACCATATCAAAGCCAATGTCTCGAGACACTCCAACTCTTCAGCCGCGAACAAGTTCTCGAGGATTTTCCTTGTACGATTTCTCAACTTTAGTGCATTCAACGAAATTGTTGCTGCACACGTAGCGTCTGACCGGCCACTTTCATTACTCGCCCATGCCCAAATAGAGAAGCAAATTCGAATAGCGTCTTGAAATGACAATATCATGGTGAGTCTGCTGTTTATGCGGCTAGTCTTGCTTGGAGGTACGTGTTGTCCATCCTGCGCAAAAACGCCAGAGATGTTACCAAAGAAGCCTTGCGATGGCTCAGGAGACTTAGGTACAGGGCTAGCGATTTCTTCACTCTGAAACTGGCGATGGACATGAGCAAGGACCAGCTCGAGTCCATGCAGTAGTGCTGATAGTGTTGATATAGGCACGGACTCAATTCTTTCATGAGTCGAGTGCGAAATGTGCTTCACATATCGGAAAGCAGTCGAAACTTGCTGACATATACACTCGACAAGTGGCAGCAAGTTCGCAAAGACAGCATCTGCATAGAGAGGCAAGACTTGATCGAGAAAATCGACCCAATGTTCGAGAAACAGGCGACTCGATGGAGATGAGAGACCGGTACGGAGACAGCTCAAAAGCTCCGGTGGTGGCGTGGAAATTATTGGTTGTGATACTTTCTCTGGAACTTCTATGGTAAGCGAAGGTCGGTGAGAGGCGAGTGGGCTTCGGGGTAGCCCAAGCGTGCTTTGCATTGGTGCTGCTTGCAGTCTGAGAGCCCTAGATATCGTTTCGAGGTAGACCGTCTGGAGCGCTCCGATCGGACCTTCGAGGGCCTTGCTCAGCGTCCCGATCAGTGCATCATCGATCTCCATTTGTTTCAAGACAGATGCATTGGGACATTCAAGTAGAGTCTGAAGTATAGTCAACGACGCATGCTGTAGAGCATGGGGAGCCGAGTGTGCTTGCAAAGCAAGAGTCTTTAAACAGATCCTTGATAGGAACTCAATGGCACCAGTTTTCGAGATTCCAGTCCGTGAGGTGCTCGAAAAGTCGAATTGGAGACTTGAAAGAGTAAGCCACATGTGCTCGTTGGGATCGCGTAAGAGATTTCGCAGGTGCCGAAGACAGAAGTAGACACCGTCCAGGCTTTGCTCAGCGTTTCTTCGTGTTCGGTGCCGAGCATCCTTCTTCCCTGCTTCGTGAGCGAAGCTGTCCATGTCCTTCTGTAGCTTAGAACATATTATGTAGAAGACTCTGTCAAGACTAGACAGACTTTGTAGCCACGAACGGACAACGTCAGCTGCGCCTGTGCCCTCAGCATTCAAGGAATCCAAGAGTAATAGCAAAGGTCTTGTCAAAACTCTCTCTGGATCGACATCACCACCAAGCTCGCCTGTGGTAGGCATGACGCTAGGCCTGCGAGACAAAGGCCTTCCGGGGCCTTCTGATCTTGGGTTGAAGCTCTGCATGGTATGCTCCCAAAGCACCGTAAATCTGGAGGCTATCTCTGGACCGTCTACCTCTGATTGATCACTCACGAGTAAGGCCAAACGAGCTTCGACCTGATGTTCGGCTTTAGTCAAGCTTTCCAGCTGCCATATCAATCTTACTGCTTCAACATGATACTTTGGTCTGAATGGTGAGAGATGATGCCAGATACCGTTGAGAACGTTGGTCTGAAGATCCATGATCTGTTCATGACTGAAGTACTGCGACTGGTTTCCGGCAACACTGGCAACTACCACTGACATAATCGAGCTGATGACCAAGAATGATGATTGCTTGGTAGAAGAGTCTTGTAAAAGGCTCTCCTTGTCAAGAGCCTGTCTGAATGTGTCGTAGATGTCTGATTTGCGAAATGCTTGGGAGTTGGGCGTCTTGGTAATGATGCTAACGAAACAATCCGTGATTAGACCCAGCTGGTTCGTGAAAGTGTTCGTTGTCAAGGCCAACTTCAAAACTTCAACGACACTTTGTAGCATGTACTCAGCAGTTCTTCGTCGGTTGTGCGTCTCGAAATCTGTGACGTTGTCTTCGAAGTCCTCTCTGATGTACTGTTGCATGAGTGACTTGATTACGGAAGAGGCGCTTCCCGATTCACAAAAAGATTGATGAGAACCATCTTTTCGGTCTTGCTCAAAGGCACGCGGAGGCAGAAGACGCAACAACCTCTGCGCGAAGCTCAACACAAGGATCATGAAGCGTTCTGATCCAACCTGTTTCTCACTCAAAATAGAAGCAAGACGGGAAAGAAGGATAAGGAGAGTGTTTGGAATGTGCCGTAGAAGCATCTCTTCATCACGCACATCGAAGCGGTCAATGACGAAATGGAGAAATTCGAGACCACGCAACGACTCTTTTTCGGCAGATTGTCGCAGGTCGAAAGAAGACAGCAGCACACCGATGAGGCGTGACCATATCAAACTACTCTCAACGCCATCGAAGAAAAGGCTCGCACTGCGAATGACTTCTTCAACTTGCGCCGGTGAACTGGCTTGGCTGTACTCATATGCATTTTGAAGAGCGGGAAGTAAAACTTTTGGCACGATCAACCCGCCAACTTCCCAGCGGTCCATCAGAGAAAGACATACACGGAAGGGCTTGGCACGGCCAGTTGGATGGATACTTTGCTGAGCGAGCATATTGATGATGCTCTTCTCCAGAGAAGCTGCACCATGCTTCTGGAAATACAGAGCCTGTTTTTGGGAAACATTACCACGTGAGTCTGTCGGCGAGAGGGGTGCACCATCTTCAGCCTCTGAAGCTGTAGGATCGGGACCGAGGAACCATGACCACAACCTACGGTTCAGACTCATGTCTCTCCTCAATACACAATTTGCGGCAGCAGTAGTGATCAACACCATGTCTCTGGATCGAACGTGATTGCGGAAGACAGGTGAGTGTAGAGGCAAGTGTGTAACAAGCAGATCAAGAAAGCCACGCTGCACGAGAATCTGCGAATCTTGAAGACCGGCAGCGAAGCAACGTACAAGCAGGCCAGGCTCAGGATTGATGGCAGCTTGGGCAGCCAGAGGCAGAGCGCGGTCTTGGACCTGGGACGAGTCCAGAGGTGTGTCGGACGGGGTAAAATTGGGAAGCTTACGGGTCAAGAAAGCCAGAGCACCTTGCCTGCGAGAAGAGTTCGTGATTACAGCAAGGAAGAAGCACTGCCAGAAGTAGCCATCTCTTCCTTCAGCGTCTGAGCCATCTTCGATGTCGCGGGAAGAAGTCTTTCGCAAGACGTCGAGAATACGAAAAGCTCTGTCAAAGTCCTCGCTTGTCTCATCTTCGATGCCGGGTAGCAATGACAGAATCAGAGACTTTGTGGCAGGGCGGATGTGTTCAGAATCTAGCTTCAAGATGTGGTCCTCGACAACTGAATAGAAGATTGGTCGAACAGACAGAGATGCGAAGGACAAGACGGGAACTAAGCCAGGCAGGTATACGTGTAGAGTGTGACCAAGAGACGGCGGAGGGAGGAAGGAGAAGATGGTGGCATAGACATCGAGAGCTTTCTGATGAACACCCGAGGGCAGAGCAGGGTTGAGGCACTGTGCCAGACGCAGAGCGACAGCGTGGGCGTGCGGGAGGTATTCAAGGCTCGGAGGAGGAGGGTGGAGGGCCTTGTGTAGGCGGGCTAGAAAGGCAATGTAATCAGCCCATTCTTGCTGGGCGCTGTCGAAGGACGACAGGGCACGCTCTATGGCAGTGGCATAGCGGCGAGTCGTCTTGTCTTTTTGCGCGACAGCTNNACTCGCACAGGCAGTCAGTGACAATGGCTCCAAGACAGGAGGCACGCAAACGCACATACCGTCCTCGACCCGGCGAGGAGCACGGAGAGCGGGCGAGGAGCGTCCCGTACTCAGCGGCGACACGGAGCGCCGGCCATCACCGGGTTCAAATGGCATCTTTGAGCAAAAACATCAAAGTCGACACGATGATGGATGGTATTGTTGTTACTTAGTGTTTGCTGTATAGCTCGCGCTTGGCGTGGGGGAGACGTGGCTGCTTCAGGTACGCGTTTGGTATTTCTATTTTGGGCGAGCATTCACCATGTCCGCGTTGGTTGTACGTGGCAGCAAATGGTCTGTACTCCAATCTGTAGTCCTGGAAAGAACCTCGAAGACTCGGAGCAAGAGTTGGACTTGTTTGTGGTGCAATACACGCAAAAGGCGTAATCGGGGGAAGGAGCGTTTGAGTCTGGTCACCGCTGTCGAGGCAGGCACGTCAGGCACGCACGTCACCGGCTTGTCGTGACAGAGCGACGAAATTAACAAAAAGCAGTGTTCACCAGCTGCCAAATTACGAACCCGACTAGGCAAAGAATCTCAACTTCTCCACTGCCATGCAGCATTCGTCCAACTCTCCTTCCCCTACTCGCTCTCAATCTCCCTCTCCTCCCCTACGCGACCACGACTCCTCGGCCATCGATACCCGCGACACCAGCCCGTCACCCGTCACCAAAGAAGATCCTCGCCGCAAAGACAGTGGTGGCAGCGACAAGAACGAAGCCAGCTTCTTCCACCACATCACTTACCCCGTCTCCTACACATTCAGCGGCCTCCTGCGCCGCCTCAGCGCAGACGAGGCTCCCACACCGCTCGCTCGTGCCTTGTCAGCAAACTACAACGGTGCCATGAGTCCCTCTGCCACCTTCTTCGACGCTCCCAAACGCCGTCTCTCGCCATTCCAGCCCCCGCCCTTGACCCCCTTGACTCTCCTAGGCTACAGAGAGAACACTCCCCTTGCTAGTCGCCTGTTGGAAAAGGCTCTGGCAGAAGAGATCCGCTTGCTTGTGCCGCCACGAGTCCAGCTCGTCGATGAATGGAAGCTGGTCTACTCGTTGGAACAGAATGGCACATCTTTGGGCAGCTTGTATAGCTTGAGCGACGAATACAGGGGCAAGAGGNGGGGCTTTGTTTTGGTAGTCAGAGATGCCAGCCAAGGGGTCAGTCGAGACGCATCCAACACTACTCACGCTAGTACTGACAATACGCCATAGGTCTTCGGCGCATATCTTTCCGATCCTCCCCAGCCTCATCCCCATTATTACGGCACTGGCGAGTGTTTCTTGTGGAGCGCTTTCCGCCTACCTTCTCTACCTGATCTCTCATCATTACCTCCACCCCCGTCTGCCGACACCACACACATGCAGCGCAGTACAACAATTGCTACCGCCACTAAGAAGCCCTCTTTGACTCCATCGTCAACAAGTGGCACCTCGACACCCGACAGGATACGTTTCAAGGCTTTCCCTTACACTGGCGAGAACGATTACACAATCTTCTGTCAGCAAGCATTCCTGAGTGTCGGCGGCGGCGATGGCCACTACGGACTCTGGCTAGACAACAACTTGGCCAGAGGCATCAGTTCACCCTGTCCTACTTTTGGCAATGCGCGTCTGAGCGACGAGGGCGAGAAGTTTGGCATACTCGGTGTCGAATTGTGGTACATTGGCTCTTAATCAGGAACACCTCTTTGTCATCGTTGCTGTGTGGCTTCCTTGCCGCGTACAACTTACCAACAATCTCCTAACCAAGCTGACCGGAAAACCTGGCTCAGTTCATCTTGAGCCAAATGCTCTTGAGCAACCAGGTGTGCACATGCCGAACGCTACATTCAAGTTTGCCATGACTGGTAAACTCATGCAACATCTCGCAATCCGAAGCATTGAGCACTCTAAAGGAATAAGCCGTCATCTCACCGCACACTCGCGCGCAAATTGGGAATCAAAGCAAGGGATCTGTCCTGGCGAAGCATTGTCGTATGACATATACAGCTTGTCCAGTTCTGGTAACAGTGACTTCGGTGGTATTTATATTCAAAACACCCACCAAGGTAGAAGAAGGGCCAAGCTCTTTCGGTTTACGACTCTGTCTAGCGATGCGCGCGGCATGACTGTTCTACCCATGATTTGCACATACGCGAGATTGCTAGCGTGTCTCTTCCTATGTACGACCTACGACAAGCAGATCCAAACGTGAGGTATCCTGGACGGGCTTCTGAGAAGGTGCGGATGCAGAGCAATAGGACATGGTTAAGAGCTCTTTACTGAGCCGATTGCAAAATGTTCTCGACCGCGGATGCGTCTCATGAAATCGATAAACAGGTATCGACCAGAGTCACAGATGACCTGATTAGGAAAGAAACAAGCTGGATGGGCGCAGGGCTGGACGCTGCAACGGTCTTTATTTCGACTTTCAACGGTTTTCCACTCAATCCAATTCACTGGGAGCGCATGGCTTCCTGAAACATTCTATCTTTATTGACGGCGTACGGTACATCATCGCCTTGCCGGCAACGGTGAAAATGGATCCTCGTATACTGCCGACAGAAAGGTCTTTGCAAGATAAAACATTCAAATATTCTGTCAGATAGAATTTGTGCTCCCTCTGTTCGCGACATTCATGCTACACCGTGGTCCACGTCTGCTCCGTCAATTTCAAGAACTCAGCCATATCTAGCAGGAAGCAACGATGCGCGCACCAGACATTCTCTTCTCCCTCGCAGCCGCCGGCATCGTTGCTGGCTCACCTCTGGACTTCCAAGAGCGTGCTGCCAACACGTGTACAATCAAAAGTATTCAGTCTGTCGTAACCAAACTGAGTCCTTCCGTGGCCACTCCCTACTGCCAGTCTCTTCTCAAGATTTCGACGCAGACTGTAATCAAGACCGTCAAACCCGCCTCCCCTTCGAAACGTGTCGTGACAGCGACTGTGTCCAACAAAGTCACGTCTGTCAAGTATGTTGAACAGTACAGAGTGTGAAAAGAAATGGAAAAAATTAACAGCTCGCAGGACAGTTACCAAGAACGTTACAGCTACGACATCGAGCTCGTTCAATGCATCAGACACAAGGATCAAAAAGAGTACAAGCACATCCAGCAACAGAAGTAGCCCTACAGCAGCTTCGCAATCTTCGACCTCATCGCGACCTTTTGTGAAACCCTCCAAAGTCAGCAACCCATTTTCATCGAGCACAATCAAATCGAGTTCATCAAGCAGTGTCCGCTCGACCTCGACATCACTTTCTAGCAGCAGCAGTAGCAGCATCAGAAGCTCTACAGTGAGCTCGTCAAGCAGTACTCGACCTACTTCTACGCTATCTTCCAGCAACATCAAAACTTCTACATTGGGCTCATCAAGCAATGCTCGCTCAACTTCGACATCACTTTCAAGCAGCATCAGAAGTTCTACGTCAAGCTCGTCGAGCAGTATCCGTTCCACTTCGTCTTCATTGGCCAGCAAGCCGACCACAAGCTCTTCAGGCACCAAGTCTATGTCTAGCTCAAGCACCAAGTCTATGTCTAGCTCAAGCACCAAGTCTACGTCTAGCTCAAGCATCAAGTCAATGCCTAGCTCAAGCACCAAGTCGATATCTAGCTCGAGCAGTTCATCTGGAGGAAGCTCGCGCACCAATGCCATCATGGCCACGGTCCCGGATTCTGTCTCTACATCGGAGAATGCTTCAACGTCTGCATTCGAGACTGCTTCAAGCTCATCAAGCACCTCGTTCTCGTCCTCGTCCGCTGTCTCAGCGTCAGCGACGAGCAGCAGTAGCGGATCACCTTCGTCCGTTTCTTCAGCTAATGCCACTGCCTCGACAAACGGGACCTTCTTTGCGAACCAGACATCTGTACGCACCGGATCATCCACAGGATTTGCCGATCTCTCGTCGAGCTCAGCAAGGGCAAGCTCAGGGATGAGGAAGCGTGATTTGGAAGAGCGCGCGAATGCGGCGACTTCGAACAAGAGAACGACCGCGAAGAAGACGACAAGCGTCAAGAAGGCGACATCAACGAGCAAACCCAGCACCATCAAGAGTCAGCAAATCGTCAAGAAGGCTACCAGTAGCCAAAAACCATCGAGCACAAAGAAAGCCAGCACAAGCATCAAGCCGAGCAGCATCAAGAAGGTAGTGACTAGTAGCAAGAAAGCCAGTACTACGTCGAAGCCTGTGTCTACATCAAAGACACCGAGTGTGCCCATCAACAAGGGTCAGCCTGCGCAGTTCAATGGGCTCAACAACGCACAGCAATCAAGCATCTGTAGCTGCTTGCATGTGCCTACTTCAACAGTAACCAGAAGCATCTTTGTGGACACGTTCACCACTGTCACGTCGACGGTAACGGCTGTACAGACTCTTGTCAGTTCAAAGACGACAACAGCATACCACACTGTAAGTCAACAAATCACGAGGTGTTTTTCCATGGCAGACTAGCTAATAAATGTGGGCAGACGACTGCAACGCCCAATCTCTTCTACTTGCAAGTTTCGAGCAAGAGCAAGACATCGATCGACGGAAAGTTCGCGACGCTGCCTGGAGGAGACGAACTTCTCGGATTCACGGCAAGCAAAGCAGGAGGCAGCGAATTCTTCTTTGGCTCGGGCGATCTGCTCGTGGAGTCACGATCGAACTGGCTGGCCAATGTCGAGGAGGGAGATTGGGCGACGTCGTTCTGGATGAATTCGGTCGATCGCATGTACCAGGTGAATGCGGTACCACTGGCCTGTCGCAACTAAGGCGGAGCGCTCTCGTGCAAGAGCGGTGACCTCGAGCAGCTGTATTGGTGCACAGTTTGGGGGACGACATCGCTTGTTCTTGGACCTTCAACGTACGACAATGCGCTGTGCAAGCCTGTGTCGCTCAACATTGTGCCGGCTTGAAGGATGCTGTAGTTTCTTAGTAGACAGATAGTAATACACGCCAATAGTAATACAAGTCAATAGTAATTCGATCAGAAGAAGCACATGGTTGAGGGAAGTATTGTGGTCGGCAGTCGGGGGTGGGCGGTGCGGAGAGAGCTTCTCCATGTTTCGCAGATCCCGAATGGTCATCACCCGAGCACCGTCACCATCCGTCTTCGCATCACAAACCCGAAACACCAAGCAAAGTCGTTGTCGCAAGCACTCAGAACACTCGAACACCACCCAAGCAGCTCGCACACATCTCACAAGCTCACAATGGCCTCACGCGCAATGTCGATGCCGGCCCGCCGCCTGGCCGCCAGCCTCTCCACTCCCGCCATGACCCGTCGCAGCTTCCAGAGCTCAGCACGCCTGCTCGAGGTGCCGGCAGGAGCCATGCCCGTCCGCAAGCCCGTCGGTGCTTTCCGTGGAGGGNTACGAATCACATGCCTCTTCAACTCTCGCCCTTCTTCCATCTTCCGCCATCCCGGCCAGAGCCCGTCGCGTGACTTGACTGACATGTGCCCCTACAGTATTCTTGGTTTCCTCTCTGGAGCCGTCTTGAGCGGAGGAGCCCTGTACTACTATGTCATTGACGAGTACCGCGTCTCCAACGAGCTGTTGACCGAGGACATCTACGTGAGTTTGCCGCATGCTTGCGCCAGCGAGAGCAACCAAGACTAACTGCCCTGTGAATCCAGGNCTCTGCAATCCGCCGTCTCACGCATAGAGGGCTATGTCAAGTCGCTCGAGGAGAAGGTCCGCAAGTAAACCACCCTTTGCTCTCCGTACGCGCCAACCAATCCCTCTGCATCTTTGCCCTCTCTCGCTACTCGACCAGAATGTCTTCTCCGAGACTCGTTCCCTCGACGCCTTCTCCTCTCCAAGCATATGATCCAAGCTCTCTCCAGCATTATCCGTGTTTCTTCTTCTTCGGATCGCCCGGCTAGCAACAAACCTCTCACGTCCTCGTCTCCTTGTCTCTTTGCTCTTCCATTATCTTTGTACAACGAAAAGATATCCCAACCTCGAATGCAAAAATACCCACATTGAATCAACACAACTTCTCCAACTGGCTGAAGAACAGAAAGAGCTGTGGACATATGTGATACATCGAAGAGGGGGCTACAGTGTCGCGCAGCAGAGAGAGACTTATCCTCCGTCCTTCACCGTTGCTGTCTCTTGCTGCCCTGAGAGGCATGTGCCAGGACGTGAGGGCCTCTGTGTTCTGCTCAGCACGCTCATTTCTCTCTTCTGCCCAGACATGGCCTTGCGTCCGCCAGTGGTCCTGCGTCTCATCTCTACTAGTCCCTTGTAATCCCCTCTTGCTCTGCCTCTTGCGTCTCATCCACGACCCGACCCTTCTGTAACGCTCTCTTCACTCGTCTCCTCTGTCTCTGCTAAGTCTTTCATGTGCCATCTCTCTCACCCTTCAGTGTCTTTGTTCCTTTCTCTGCTCTCGTAACCAGTTGTGGAAATTCGTCTTCTTCTTGTTGCTTCATGAGAGGATGATCTGCAAGGCCGCTCGCTCGCCGAGGTCTTGTCATCAGTCGAGGAGGCTCATGTCTCTGATGTTTTTTCTCGCCTGTGTCCTTTCGCTTTTTCTTCCCTGCGATATGACTTCTGCGTCTAGCATGTCTTGTTGGCTGTTGTCTTGTGAGTATTCATCTCGCTTTTGCAGCATCTTTCCAAGAAGAGAGGTGTGAGCGTCTATGTCATTTGTTTCCTGTGGAAGGCGAGTCAGTTTCTTGCAGCTTTTCTGTCTTCTCTGTCTTGTCAGTTCGTCAGTCTCATGTCGAGTCACCACTGTTACATTTCAAGAGGAGGAGACATCGCTTGAAAGTCATAATGTGCTTTCAATTCAGAAAAGTTAATCTATCTGTACAAGAATGTCATGCCCCTCGATCGATTTGTTCCTGAGAGAAGAAACCCTGAGATCGTGAGAGATGTGCAAGAGGAAAGAAAAAGATGGAAGAGGCCCCCAATGAGCTCGCCGGCTCAGCTAACCAGGTCCAAGATCATTCCGGACTGGCGCATCTAGATGTACCACATGCCGGGGTTCATGGTGGCAGGGTTGGCCATGGGGAGAAGAGGAGGGAAGACGGGGTCCTCGGAACCAGCGTTGCTGGGGCCTTGGATGGTGGATTGCTGGTCGACCTCAACGCCGAAGCCCTTGCTGTGGTGAGCACCGCGCAGAGAGGCGATGTGAGCATAGTAGACGGCAGGGAAGATTGACACAGGAGTGGTAGCACGAATGTACTGGTACGAGTGCTCGTAGATGAGCGTCTGGATCTTCTCGTTGGGCCACTGAGGCTCGTTGAGCAGGACGTTGTAGTGAACGGGACGAGCTGTGCCCTTGATGGCCGCATGGGCGCAAAGGTAGAAGTCGTTCTCGTAAGGCTGAGTAACTCCAGTCTCAACGAGAGTGCCGGGAAGGGCGTTGCCGTTCTTGTCGCCTCCGCTCTGGGGGAAGAAGCGGACGTGGTGGCGCTTGGAGGCAATGACGACCAAGAACTTGGGAGAGCTGTTGAACATCTTGAGGAAAGCCTTCTTCATGGCAGCGACTTCCTGGTCGATGACTTGAGCGAATTGGCCCTCGGAGACACCGTCACGGAAGTAGAGAACAGTAGCGGGAGCTCTGCCTTGGCCAACTTTGTTAACCCAGCCGTTCTTGATGAGCGACATGATGTGCTTCTCGATGTTCTCATCGGTGATCATCTCGACACGGTAACCATTGGTCTCAACCGCAGCAGCGTAACGAGTACCCTGGAGGTTCATCGAGACAGTCATGGCGGCCATAGACGGGCCCTTCAGACCGGGAGCAGAGTGAGAAACATCAGCGCCAATAACGACCGTGGTATTGTCGAGAATACCCTTGGCGGTCTGGGGCGTGAAGGCAGTGTTAGTGAAGCCGCCCAATTTGGCGTTGAACTTCATGAGAACGTTGGAGATGTATTGAGGCTGGGCCTTTTGGACGTGGGCGTACTGGACGCACTGGGAAGGGATACCGAGCTTGCACTCGCAGAATCTCTTGATCTTGCCGTAGACGAAGCTGTTCTTGTCCATAAGAATGAACATGAGAATCTGTGGTCTCAACTTGTACTTGTTGCCAGCGACAGTAAAGGTCTCCTGCGCAAAGGTAGCAGGGTCGGGGTTTGAGGGGTAGTGAATAGCAGGGCTCTGGTAGGCTTGAGGAAGTGATGCGCCATGGACTCCATAGGCCTGGAAGAAGCTCTTGACGAATCTGTCAATGGCAGCCTTGTCAACGTGGAATCTGCCAGGCACCACGCAGACACCCCAGGTCCCGTTCAAAATGGCGGGAGGAGGAATGGATGCGAACTTCTTGCCCTTCAGGTCCCAACGACCACTGGTTCTAGGATCAGCCTGTGCAGCGCTGCCGGTGCCACCAAATTGTAGCTTGGGGTTGGTCAATAGACGAGCCTTAGCAGCAATGGGCTGCTGCTGGATGAACATGCCAAAGTGGGCGAGGGAGGGGTCTGTAGACCAGTTGATCATGTTGACACCGGCCGAGATGGCAGCCCAGCGGTCCTTAGGAGGAGTGACAGCCTTCTTGATCATGTTGGACGTCTGAACTTCATCGAGCTTGAAGGTGTAGCGCTGGTTCTCCTTGATCTTGAGAAGCTCCAAGGGAAGGATTGAATTCTTCTTGGTCATCTGAACAACAGGCCAGTTAGGATATTGCAGCCTGATGTTGTGAGTCTGCTGGAAGTAGTCCTTGACAGTCTTCTTGCTGCCATCCTTGAAATTCAATACGTGAGACGAATCTTGCTTCAAGAAGGAGTCAATCACGTAGTCATCGATGGCACCCTTGCGGTGAGCAGCAAAAACGCGAAGCTTCTTCAGACGGCGAAGATCGTACCATCTCTGGTTGTTGGGGGCAAGCAAGCGCGCAATCTCAGACTCATCTCTGAGTCTCGTAACAGCTACGACGGCTCTAGAGACGGGGCCCGGCGACCAGAAGGTCCCATTGGCGACGTCGGCGTTGACAACAAGACGGTGACCGCCAGGGTGGTGGGCAATGCGCAGAGACTGATAGACACCAGTGGTGTGCTCAACGTGACCACCTAGGGAGGAGCGTTGGGAGGTGGCGGCGAAGAAGGAGCGCTTGATTGAGATGAACTTGTTCGAAGGGTTCTCGCGCATGATGTGATCCAGCACAGTGATGGCTTGGAGGATCTTCTTGTCGTAAGCGGCCTGGTTGTTGAGGTAGGCGGTCAGTGTCGTGAAATCAATGGCCGCAGTAAGCCTGAGGATGACGCGGTGCACGTCGGTACGGCCAGGACGAGCCTTGTGACCAGCCTCATCGTCGAGATTAACGTTGAAGCGGATCTCGTCGCTCTTCTTCTCGCTGCTCCAGGCGAGACTCTGGCCATCAAAGATCCAACCAGCGCCGAGGTGCTTTCTGGTAGCCTGGCTGTTCCACACGGCCTTGATCAAGCCACGCTTCTCAGCACCAGTGCCGACCATGACCTGGTACTGGTAGATAGGCTTGACGGGCAAAGCAGTGACGGCGAAAGCGTTCAACTGGATGTTGACCTCTCTGCCGAGCTTTGAAGCAGGCTGACGGCCTTGGAAGGCGTTGCGTGCACCGCGAGCGTCAGACCACATGCCAGCCCCGAGGTCGATGTTCTTGACGTTGTTGGAAATGCCTTCAATCAACTGAGGAGCGGGTCCAGTGGGGATGGGGTCGCGGTTGCCATCAAAGCGAGCGAGAGACAAGTGGGCACTTGACTGGGTGGCTGAGGCATCGCCGGCAGACTTGCTCTCACGCTGGGCGTTGCGCTTACTGGAGCCGAGCATGTTGCTGGTATTGGATTGAGTTGGTTGGATTTGATGAAGATCTTGCTTTGACTGAAGCGCAGAGATCGTCAGTGGATTTTTGAAGAGGTGGTTGAGATGAGAAGTAGATGAGAAGTAGATGAGATGATGATAGATGTTGGAGGTGTTGAAGGAAAGGTAGTGGAGTGGATGGAAGAGGAAGAGGTTGATGGTGGAAGGGGGAGGGTTTATATAGGCAGTGGAAGGTGTTGTTTGCTACATGTGAGAAGGAAGGAGTGATGAACGCGCAGAGTGATCTAGATCTGAATGAAGTGGTGGGTGAACCTGGAAGGAAGCAAACATACCTAGTTGATAGCTGAGATGGTGGTTGAAAGAAGGAAGGAGGGCTGACTGAAGCTTCGGATTGGTAAGTAACAAGCTCCGAAGTGGCAGGCAGCAAGCTCTGACTGAATGAGCAGCGGAGTGATGGTCGCTTGAGAGAGAAAGGTGAAAGAGATGTGATGACTGAGTGATTGATAGCAATTGATGAGGTAGAAGGCAATGAGGAAGGTGCTTGTGATGGAAGATCTTTCTGTGAGAGTTTGGCTGAGATGAAAGACGAAGAGGTGGAGAAAGTTGAAAGCGCGAGGAGGAAAGCAATAAAGAACGTACCAGAAGTGGTGAAAGCAATGCTTGAGGCAGGAGTAAGGTGGTTGTGATGTTTGTTGAAGATGAGCTGTGGTGGTGATGGTTAGATGGATGGGAGAGCAAGCATGAGTGTTTGCGCGCAAGCAGAGACTTACCAAGCAACGGAGCAAGGCGCACTTGATTTTTGGTAATGATGAAGACCGTCTGTGAGATGCGCAGAGGAGGGATGACTTGAGGATTGAAGAAAGAAAAGGATGAGGTTGATGAAGAGCAAAGGGTTTTGTGGTTGAGCAAGCAGGAAGGTGGATGTCGGTGTATAGCACAAACGCAAGCAATGGAGAAAAAAGAGCTCGCTGCGTGGGAATCCGAGAAGCTGGCAACAAACAGATACCGTCTCGCGCTCAGTGCAGGATGGGGCAGACGATGCGAAGAAGTTGCGACGAGACTTGGAGCGAGTGCAAACTGTGGATGCTGCCTTCCCTGCGTCCAAAGCACCAAGCAAGCCAGCATGCATCTTCTTTGCGTCCCTTACTGCAGGAGCCAGCGTCATCGATGAGTCCACACTCTTACCTGCCCTTGTCAACTTGGTCCCGAACACTGATACAGAGAGCATCCGGCAGCAACCAAACAAAGTCAATGCCTGATATTGCGAGCCATGCAACAGACCCGATGCCAAAGACTCAAGAAAGAACTGGTTCCCACAGTCCAGGCTCGTTCGAGCGATCATGTAACACAGGACCCACCGAGCACAAGACCTTTGCAGCTGGCAGAAAGAGACGGTCAACAGATCCAAGCAAGACAAGCATCAAGTTTGACAGACCAAACCACAGTTCGGCATTAGCATCACGCTTTCGGCGCATGGCAGCACATAGTCGACAGGTACACACGCTGCATACTCCAAGGAGGGGAAAAGAGATGCATCAGAAACGATTGGTCCTCTGCAGGATCGTGGTCTTCGGCTTGTTTGCAGAAACAGTCACGACGGAAACCGGTGAAGCCCGATACAGGCTTCGCGAGCTTGCCTCGGCAGCCCAGCATAGCTCCAGCAAACGACCATCGTACGAGTCTGGGCAACAGGAGAGTGACTGTTCGCTGCGTGATGTATGAGCAGAAGCGAGAGAGCTGTACGTTGATCGTCGGCAAGGAAAAAGTGGAGGGCTGCATGGCGTTGTCGAACCATCGTGTCTGCGCAGCTGCCGGCAAGCGACCAGTCGTTTCACCTCTCGCTCATGCAGCGACAGCATGGTCACATGAGGTTCGAGGTCCATACAACAGTGTGTGCAAGTTCGTCAAATTTGTCCTTGTTCTTCGTTTATATATTACAGTTAGCAGTATGGGTGAGAAGCAGCCAAAGGTAAGCAACTATGTGCTCCACTCTGCTCCAAGTCAATCTTGCAGTATAAGAAACCAAATGAACGCCCAGATGCTCCCTGCAATGCAATGTTCCGCAGCCCGCATTCTATCGTTGATCCACGAGTCGTCTTTTGCATGTCATGTGCGTTTCCGCCTGGCAGCTTAAGTTACTGTATTCGTATAGCGAGCACGGTTTCCAAAGAGCTCCATGGCAGAATAGCTCAACTTCAGCGGCCATAGTTATAGCCACCTCCATATCCACCACCCTGCACCATGGCTCTGCTGGGATCGATGCCTCTGATCAGGGCAACCATGCTCTCAGGGTTCAGTCTCGCCTGGGCGGGATATGTGGAAGCATTGGGAATCATGCTGAGAAGGAGAGTGATGTCCCTGGGAAGAGGCTTGGGTGGTGGGGCAACCACTTGTGAGCCGTAGCCCTCTGCACGCTGTCGTTGTTGTTGGCGACGACCTGCAGCGCCCTTGAGCGGAGACTCGCCGCGGGCGAGCTTGCGTGCAGGTTGTTCGGCATCAGAGTCTGCATTGTCGAGCGGGCGCTTGGGCGACTGTACATAGCCGGTGACGGCAGACAGGACGGCAGGATTGGGCACTGGCTCAATTTCTGTGGTGGGCATAGCTGATTCTGAGCCCTTGGGTCTTGTCTGAGCATTGGGGCTAATGATTGTGCGGACCGTACAAGGATCGAAGGTGGGAATTCTGAAGCGGTGGCCGAAGCGGACGAGAGAAGGGTCTTCGGGGAAGAGGTCGGCCATGCGCTTCTCAAGCTTTGTGATCTGTGCAAGTTCGCCATAGTTGGACTCGTACTCGTGGATAAAGAGGAAGAGAGGCTTAGTTTTGGCGACGTTCTCGGATTTGGCCGAGAGCTTGGAAACAGTAGTCTCAAAGACAGCACGAGCGTCTNNGCAGAAATCATCAGTATGAATCATATAATCAAAGGAATAGAAACGCTTACTTGTGACATCGTTAGTGGCGATCAAGTGTTTGAGGTATTCCATGGCAAAGAGCTCGTCCTCGGGGAACAGCTTCATGCCACGTTCGAAGATCTTGGTTGCTGCCGGGTCCTTGTAACAGTGATACTCAATAAGTGCGGTTGCGACATAGACATCGCTGGTGATGCGACCTCTCTTCCTCGCAAGAGCAAAGACGTTTCTAAGACCTCCCACGGGCGCATCAGGTTTGCCCTTTCCTTGGATACGACGCATCGCACGCATCAGAGCAATCCAGACAAAAGACAGTGTTTTCGAGACGGTTTTGATTTGAGCTGCAGTATTCTTCTGCACCTCGTCGACCTGTCTCTTCTCCTCGGCTTCTCTGGAGTTTGCAGCAGGTCTGTCCTTCGAGTCATCCTCATCGTCATCATCTCTGGCTTCAGGGGTGGGTTCGCGAGACAGCGGAGGTAGAGACTCGTAGTACTCTCTGATTTGGGCAATGGCCTTGGGCTCACGCGCCTTGATCTTATCGATCAGGGCGTACAATGCGTTCAGGCAGTTGTCGTAGGGCTCCTTGACCGCGTCGCCACGGCGGACGAGGCTTTCCTCGCCGTCTTCGACAGGCATGGTCTGCTCAATGCGGTCGGCACGTGTGAAAGCAAGTAGGCAGCTCTCTGGGTTGGCTGCAGCACCTTGGGTGAGGNNGAAGTCGGTCGCCTCGGTCTCCATGTCGTTGTCGAAGCAGAACTCGGCAGCGTCGTACCAGATTTGGGGCCAGAAGCGAAGAGCCATGGTAGCTTGTCTGTAAACGTAGAGAACGCGGTCGCGATAGGCCTTGACATCCTCCTCTTTCAAAACAAGCGGATCCTCCTTTTCCCATTCGACCCAGTTTTGCCAGATGGTGACTTGGTGTTGATAATCGTCATCGCCCTCGCAGCCGGGTGCAGGGGGCAGAGTCGGGACCGTTCTGCGCTTCAGGTCCTGAGTAATCTTCTGGAGGATGTTGTACGAAGTGCGGGCGGTCATGTAAGCGGGCGACTTTTCCTGGAGGAATTTGCGACCCTGTGAGAATGTTAGCAGAGTGCCGTCAGAATTTGCATGTCAGCGACTTACCGTCATCTTGTTAAGGCCCATCTCGAACGAATCATACTCCTTCCACAAGCTGGTGGTGGCCTGCATGGGAACAGTAATGGCACGCTGGTAAGCCTTGCGCAAGAGGTCCATCTTCTGGGCGTCCTGCCAGCCGTTTCCACCAGGATTACCGGGACCCGACTTGATGAAGTTGATGTAGTCCTGCCACATGCTTCCAGAATCCTTGTCGTTGCCGATCAGGTTGAGGGCAAAGTCGTACGCCTGAGTAATAGTCTGGCGAGCCTGGCCTGTCGTGTCGGTCATGACATTGTTGCGACGTCTGATGTAGTCGAGGTAAATGCCCCAGAGCTGCACGTTGTAGTTTTTGAGGAGAGCCATGTTGAAGATGTTCTCCAAGCGAAGGAAGTCGTCCTGGTCTTGCTCCATGAGCGCGTAGGCGACCCATTGTTCGGCCNNTCGAGACTCGTTAGCTGGAGTTGGTGGAGAGACAGAGGACGAGGAACTTACAGCCGTGGGAAAGACGTCGAAGAAGCGGTCGTAGACGTTACGAGCATCGTCGAGCTTGTTCTTGGATCTGTGCAGAGCAATCAAGTCAAGCCAAGCATCAACGTCACCCTTTGGATCGTCGGCGATCCTGTCCTCCAACTGACCGACACGGTCCTGAGGCAAGCGGGGCTTTGACTGGGCAGCAGAAGATGAAGAAGGGAATTGAGCAGAAGGAACAGGAGCATTGGACTGCGGCAGGGCCTGGGCTTGGACAGAAGCACCTTGTGTGGGAATAGCAGAAGGGGCATGGTCTTGTTCAAGTAGATCAGTAGGAGGAGGGTTATATACGGCTTGTACATTCTGTTGCTGCTGCACAGGAGTCTGAGCGAGCGAACCGTTTGTGCCTGTGCCTTGGTCTTGCTCTTCCTCGTCTTCGTCATCGTCCTCTTCAATGAAGCCACCAATCGTCTTTGGCTTCTGCGAGGTCGCGGCCTCGGACATGCGCGAGGCAGTACGGGAAGGGATCTGGGAGGGCGGCTGGGACTGGGCAGCGGCGGGCTGGGGGTGGCCTCGGGCTGAGGCTGGTCGGGCATGAAGCTAGAAGGGTCATAGTCTTCGTCATCCTCTTCTTCCTCTTCCTGGTCCTGGAGGGCGGTCTGTTCGGCGGGGTCGTAAGAGGCGGGATCATACTCTTGAGCGCTCAAGGAGGCGAGGAAAGCGTCTTCACCACTCATGTCGGCCATGATGGCGACGATACGCGAGCGAGGGGATGGATGACGCGCGGGGAAGAGACGGATCGAGTGTCGTGTGCACGAAGGGGACTTTGGCGAGTCCAGCAGGGTATACGAGGGGCCGAGAAGGATCTAGCACGAGAAGGGAGAAGGAAACACGAGCAAACAGGCGACGGAATGGACGAGGAGAGATGCGACCGACAGTGAGATGATGGAGATGTGAAGTTTGGACGACTTTGCGCTGCGCCAGACGCCAGAGCTCCGAGGCTGCTCTGGTCGCGCTAAGAGTGCTAGCGCCGGGCCTACCCGCACTTGCATTGGTGACATCAAAGGCAGCCGCAGCCGCAGCCGCAGGCACTCGCAAAGAGCGTCTCTCCTGTTCATGTCGACTCTTTGCGCTCGAGCAGCTTGCATCCTCGGTCACTCTCCTGTCGAAACATGAATCCGACAATCACCCTCCCGAGGAACAACTCGAACGCCTCGTCCTTTGGCCCCGTACCTTCATCATCACGGCGGAAAGATGGCCGCGTCCGCATGCCTCGATTCTTCAGACGCCTATTCAAGTTCCCGCAGATGGATTTCGAGATGGCCGTCTGGGAGATGACGAGCCTGATCATCGCCCCCAAGAAGGTCTTTCGCCAGGTCTACTACCACAAACAGACTCGCAACACATGGCACAGGGCAGACCCCTCCTTCACCTACCTGCTCTCCTTCTTCCTGCTCCTGACTGCTTTATCCTGGGGTCTGGCCTACGCCGACGGCTTCTCCAAAACATTACGCATCACCCTCGTCTTCATCTTCGGCCACTTCCTCCTCACCTCGCTACTCGTCTCCACTACCGCCTACTTCCTCGTCGGAAAGCTACTGGGTCCTGGTGTCAAGGGTCTACCAGGCAGGAACAAAAGAGCTGGCTTGTTTGGCCCACCGGGGAACGATACTGTCGAGCAGCTCGAGTTTGGATACTGCTTTGACGTCTCGATCCGCGCCTTCTTCCCAGTCTGGGTTTGGTTGTACGTCGTCCAGTTCTTGCTCATGCCCGTAATCTCACGCGACTACTGGGTCTCGCTCTTCTTTGGCAACCTCTTGTATCTGGTCGCGTTCGGCTACTACTTTGTCGTCACCTTCCTCGGCTACAATGCCCTTCCCTTCTTACACCATACCCAGCTACTCTTGACCCCTGTCGTAGCCTTTGGTGTCTTCTGGATCGTCAGCTTGTTTGGTCTCAACTTGCCAAAACACTTTGCTCCTGTTCTATGGGCTGGCGCCGACTTGCGCAAGTCTGTATGATTCCAACCATGTACACTCTTAATAAAAGCTTCCTCTTCTTCTCTGGAAACCGAGTCACCTTCATGTTCTCTTGTGATGACTTCTCTTCTCATATTTATCGTCTACTCGACTAGATTATATACAGTAAGAATTCAAGAGTCGAGGGGTAATGTGTACAAAAACAAAGAAAACGCCGCTGTACATGCCATGCTTTTATCCTCTTACATATGCACAAGATGTGACCCCCACTCCAAATACTCTTACACATCGCCCTATATAGTTTCTCAGAGAGGCAAAGTGCGCTTCTGAGTCCTCTCCTCAAAGGTCTGAATCATGTCGCCGACTTCAAAGCCTTCCCAGCCTTCGAAGCCCATACCGCACTCTGTGCCTCTACGCATCTCTTGAACATCTTTCTTGACGTTCTTGAGACTGGTCACGATACCTATTTTTCAAGTCAGTAAAAAGTCCTCTGAGAACCAAAATAGAAGAAGAAAGGAAAAAACAAACTTACCATCATACACCCTATCCTCGCCCCTGGTAACCCTGACCCGTGATCCTCTGGCCACAACACCGTTTCTGACTTTCAACCCAGCAATCTTCATCTTCTTGCGTCCGCCAACGCCAATCTCGAAACTCATGGCTACTTCGGCTTCACCGGTGACCTTTTGAATCTTTTGAGGCGGCAGTTTTTCTTCGAGAACGGCGCGCACGTCGTCGACGATGCGGTAAATGACGTTTTGGTCGAGGATCTTGATGCCCTTGCGTTCGGCTCGGCCAGCACTGTCCGGGTCGTGGGGCAGGTTGAAGGAAATGATGTGGCCGCCTGCTGCGTCGGCGTGCTCAATGTCAAACTCGGAGACTGGGCCTACAGAGGCGCGCAGTAATTTTGGTGAGCATAGAGGGTTGGTCATTTGAAGCAGGTAAGCAGATACAGCTTCAACACTACCGCTGACATCGGCTTTGATGATAAAAGGCACGGTTTGATGACCAGGAGTCTCGTTCTCATCGGCATCGAGAGCGACTTTGCGGCTCACTGGCGCCTCCACTTCAGTACCTCCTGCTCTTGCTGCTCTCTCGGCTGCCTTTTCAGCGGCGGCGGCTTCCTTGGTCAAATCGCGTTGGACTTGCTGTTCGCGACGTTGGATGTTGATTTTCTCCATGTCTTCGGCCATGCGGATGCGCTCTTCCTTTTCGTCGCGGAAGGAGACGACATCGGCGGCTTTTTGTTCGTTGGGTGCTTGGAGGACTTCGTCGCCCGCGTCGGGTTGGTCGCGCCAGCCGTCTACTTCGATGGGGGTACCGGGACCGGCAGACATTTGGGTTGCTCCTGCTTCGTTGCGGAGACTGCGGACGCGAGCCCAGGTCTTGCCTGCTACGATGATGGTTCCGGGCTTCAAGGTACCACGACGGACAAGCACGGTAGCTACACGGCCTTGGGGCTTGGTTGTGGCTTCGATGACCCAGCCCTCGACTTGACCCTCGGTGTCGGCGCGGTGATCCAGAATCTCGGAAAGGGTGACTGCTGCATCTTCGAGCTCGTCGATGCCTTGGCCAGTCTTACCACTGACTGGCACGACTTGAGTGTCGCCACCAAAGTCTTCAATCTCGACTCCATGACGAGCCAGGTCTTGCTTGACGCGGTCGACATTGGCTTCTTCCTTGTCGATCTTGTTGACGGCGACAATGATGGGCACGTGTGCAGACTGGGCGTGCTTGATAGCTTCGATGGTCTGCGGCTTGACGGAGTCGTCGGCTGCAACAACCAGAATGATAATGTCAGTCACAGTGGCACCACGCTTGCGCATCTCGAGGAAAGCTGCGTGGCCAGGTGTATCGAGGAAGGTGATGGTCTTGCCGCTGGATAGAGCAACGCTGAAGGCACCAATGTGTTGTGTAATACCTCCGTGCTCAGAAGCTGCGATTGAAGACTTGCGAAGATAATCGAGGATGGTCGTCTTTCCGTGATCGACGTGTCCCATAATGGCAACGACAGGAGGCCTGACGGGCAAGAACTCCTTGTCTTCAGGTGCAGGCTCAGGCAACGCCTTCAGGTCACGCTCTTCGGCCTCTGCTTCCTCTTGAGCACCGAGAGTAGGATCAAAGTTGTATTCCATGGCAATCAAACCTGCTTCTTCAGAACCAAGAATGTGGTCGTGCGATGTGTTTTCGAAGCCGAGTTCATCCATCTTCTCAGCCATCTCTTGGTAGGTGACGTTTGTTAACTGTGCGAGTTTCGATACGCTGACAAACTCGGGCAGATTGATGGGAGTCATGGCCTCTGCACGTCTTGCTTGTCTGGCAGCTTGACGTGCAGCCTCCTTCGCTGCCTTGTCCTTCTTTGCTTGACGGGCTTTCTTTCGTTCATCGCGGTTGTTGCGCATGGCACCATAATTGCCTTCTACATCATCGTCATCGTTGAATCGGCTGCGGCGTCCCTGCGAGGCTTGTCATCGTCCTCTACGTCGTCTACTTGGNTCATCAAAGCGACTGCGGCGTCCCTTGACAGGTGCGGCTTTGGGCGCATCAGCCTCATCATCTTCCTCAACGAAACGAGATGCTCTCCGAGCATTGCGCTCTGCCAATCTTCTGGCTGCTTCCAATNNTTCAGCAGGATCCAGTTCTTGGGCTTCCGCCGAGGCGTTTTCGTGTACTGAAGATCCGTATGCAGCCGCCATGTCTTTTCCAGCGCTCCTGATCTCCCTTGGTTCTCTGGTGGGTCGACGTTCGTCTCTGTCGTTTCGTGCTACGTTGCGATCAGGTCGCTCACCGCGAACAGGCTTCTGACCTGGAGCTCTTTCAACCCAGCCAGGCTTGGGCGGATTGGGGCAGTTGCGGAAACCATGGCCTGGCTGATTACATCTGACACAAGTCATACCAGGGCGGAGACGATCGGCCGGTCGACTCTCAACGTTTAAAGACTCGATGTTGAAACCGCCGAATTTCGGTCGCCTTTGTCTGTACTCTTCGAATCTTGCATCAATGTCTCCTGCAGATATGGGTGCGAATCTTGTATTGCCTCCATTTTTGCTCTCCTGCTCTTGTTGTCTCGATTGTGGTTGATCGTTCTGCTGCGTGGAAGACTGTCTTCTCGACTTCAGAATGTTCCAGTTCTGAGCATTCTCGAATGGTGTCTCGTCTGGCTCATCGCGACTGCTGATCATAGTAGTAGAGAGACCAGTTCCACGATAACGTTCTTCCTCAATCTTCTTGGCCTGCTCTTGCTGGACGCGCATCCTCGATTCTTCAACGAGTGCACGTCTTGTCTGTTGTTCTTGCTCTCCAAACAAAGAATCAATTGGGGACGACGCGAACGTCGACGACTTGTTCTTGCGAGCCAACAATGCTTCGAGCATCCTCTCCTCCTCTTGCGATAGCCCACCGGCCTCGGCTGATATCTCTGATGCGGACTGGCGCACCATTTTTTCTTCCTGCCACTTTCTACGAGCATCGTCTACCCTGCTTTCGGACTTGTTGACAAGTTTTGGTACCTCAAATACCGACTTGTGAGGCGCATATCGTATCTTGAGTGGCGGAGCGGGAACTGGTTCGATGGCCTTCCTTGCCTGCTCCAGATCAGCCGAAAAGATATCTTCGTAATCCTCGGAAGGTTGCGACGGTTCTGAGAAGGGGTCCTCAGAGGGTTGTGATGTTGGAACGGAACTTGGTGGATGAGCACTTGGCTGGGGAGCTGTAGTGGCGGACATCCAGGACGGAGGTTTTACTGCAGGCTTCGAAGGAGTATTCGCCTCGGATTTGAACTGGGGCCTCGATGCAAGATTTGACGTTGGATCCGGTGCAGGCTTGTTGTTCCGCGTCATCTGCTCCGTTGCTAGTTTATCCAAACCAGGCATGGTATCTTTTTCCAGCTCAAGGTCCTGCTGAGAATGGTTGTGCGAGCGTGCAATCCTTGCTTCATCACTGTTGCGTCCATCACGCTGGTCGCGCTGAGCAGTCTGAACGCGATTCAAGGGGCGGTTGGCGGCCGTGTCTACTGCCCGAGCAGAGGCGATTGCACGAGCTGAGGCAGGCGTCTGTCTGTGGGTGTGCTGGTTTGGCTTCAGGTGCCTCTGCTGCTGTCTCTGGTCTGCCGATATGACTTTTTGCGGTCGGGGTTGTTGCGATTGTTGGTTCGATTGTTGTGGCTGCTGCGAGGATTTTGGCTGACCCTGTTGTGCCTGCGGACTCTTCCTTCCAAACATCCTCCGGGCAGCGAGCTTGTCGCTCATTTCTTCCTGCTGCTTACGACGAGCAGCCTCTTGTTCTTCCCTCTGGCGTTTCGCCGCTTGCAGGACCTTTTGAGCTTCCATGGCGGCATCGGGGATTTCGAACGAGGAAAAAGGGTCATTGGGATCCTGATTCCGTGAGGCAGTCGAATGGAATCCATTGCTACGGGTTATGCTCGTTTGGAGGGCGTGAGGGTTGATGCGACCAGCGCAGAAGCTGCAGAGGCTTTGGCTCGAGGACGCCTGTGTATCACAATTAGTCTGACTTCTGATATATACAATTATGCATACTTGCCCTCAATAGCTTGGACCTGCGCATACTAAGTGAAGTTGCCTCTGCAGGTTGTATGGAGTTGGTGACGCTGTCTAGAAAACTTCTTGGAGCACATGCAATTGTGGGCGTCGACTCCCCCGAACTCACTCCGCCTATTTTGCTCTTAACTCCGTACGCGATATGCATCATCAGACAATCACATTAAGGACACAAGACAACTAAACTCCAACTTGAGCACGAGAAAAAGAAATCGAGTATCATGCCGAAGGAGCGATCGTGTCGAAAGCTACCAGATGCTATGCACATAACTCCGAAAAACGTCCTGGTATCCTGCTCCGCTTCTGGCTCATCAAGTCATGAAAGCAAAAAGATGCCCTTTACTTCTTCTTGTTGCCGCGGTTCTTCTTGGCCGCAGCGGCTGCTCTCTGTCTCTCCATTCTTGCGAGCTGGTCGGCCTTTTCCTTCTCGTGCTCTTCCTTCTCGGCCTTCTCGGCCGCCTTGCGTGCCGACTCTTCGTCTCTGCGTTGTCTGACCAATTGCAGTCTCTCCATGTCGTTTCTGGCCTGCTCCGTCTTGCCCTCGGCGTGCAACTTCTCGTATCTCTGCTTGGCCTGCACGGCTTGCAGTGCCTCGCGCTCCCTTCTGGACAGTTGCGACATGTCGGTGGGCTTGGTGGGCTTCTTCTTGGGCGCCTCATCCTCGGATCCAGCGACTACGGGCTTTGCGGCCATCTTTGCGGCCTTGGCGGTGTGGTTGGGGTTTGCGGGCATGTCGTCTTCCTCGTCTGATGATTCCGACTCGCTTCCTGAGGGCATGTCGCCGACCTGGACGGGTCCCTTCTTCTTTGCGATGGCTGCGGCCTTGCGTGCCTTGGCTGCCTCACGTCTTTGCTCACGGGTCATCTCCTGCTCGGCGGGCTTGGCTGCCTCCTCCTCACTCGACTCCTCCTCTGAAGATGACTCCTCCTCAGAAGACGACTTGTCCGAGTCTGATGCCCACATGCTCTTCTCAGCGCCTTCGGCGTCGATGGGACGGAGATCTCTGCTGAAGTGCTTGCCGCCTGTGAAATCGAATCAGTCGTGATGCGTATCAACAGGAAGACGACTTTACTCACCACCTCGCTTGGGCTTCATGAACTTGCCGCCTCTACCTCTAGTCGACATGATTGCAGTTGTGAAGGTTGGTTGTTTGTGGGTGTTTCTTGGTTGACCTTGCGGTGTAGATGCCAGAGTTTCTGTTAGACGTCCTTTGTTGTTCAGATTGCGAGATAAGTCGCAACAAAGGTTCTGTTATGGTATTGACGAAGCAAAATTACTCCAAGCGCTGGCTGACCTTCACTTGAATCCCGACTGGAATTTGCTGACCCGCAGTCATCGTCCTTGGCGCAATCAATCCTTGGCGAGCGCGGTCGAGGTATAAAAACCAGTCCTCCCCTTGACCCTCTTTGCCAAAATTACATAAACTGATTTCCCTTTATTCACCAACGCCGTGCTGTTCTCTGTTGCGAGCGAGGGGGAAAAAGGGAATAGATTGACATTCGTCTGCTTACCCCGAAATCTTCAGACTCAATGAGGATCAAGGAAATATTTGGATGAGACAGAAAATTCTGCAACTGCGTTTTCCTTGCAAGGAAGGTACGCTACGATCAACAACATCTGCTCGTGGTTTGTTATTGCTGTTGCCAGCTTAACACTGTTTCTGTCATCTGCTGTTCTGCTTTTGCCATCTGCTGCCATGATAATCTGTCTGCTGCCACAATTCTGCGTTCGGGCTTGTCTGCTCTGACAACTTCGAAGTTGCTCATTTGGAGTAGCTTGTCATCTGCTCTAGCTGTGTCTCTGCCCTTACAACCATTGTCGATGCTTTGGTTGGACTTTGCATTTGCTCTTCACGACAATCATCTGCTACTGGGCTGCTTCTGTGCCATCTTGGACCCCCTACCAATCCGTGACACAGCAAGTCTGATATGCTGAAAGTTACCAGTCAAATGCTGCATGCAGAGAATGTCTCAGTGGGACTTTCTCGAAGTTTGAATTACATTGTGCATTTCAATGGCTGTCTACCACTCTCACCACGGGCTGGGAGATGCATGAGGGTAGTCTATTCATGGGCTCCACCAAGGAGGAGCAAAGGGTTAGGACAGGCTCATCCTCTCCTGTGCGCTGAAGAGGAACGTGAGTAGCTATAGAAATGCAGAGTGGTGTCGAGAAACTAGGCAGTGTCCACTGAGAGCTAGTACCTCAGATCGCTCTCCTTGGCCACTGCCGTCATCTGGAAACCTTTTTGCAGTTTTATAGTGTACCCCTCGCTGTATACTGTTGGAGGAGAGAAACACATATTTTGACAAGAAGTTTTCAGACTCTGTAGCCCATTGGCAAAAGGATGTCGCAGCCGTGAATCGAACACGGGGCTCGTGCATGGCAAGCACGAATTTTACCACTAAACCACTGCGACTTTGATGAAGCAATTTGGAACCTTTGGGTTTATGATTCTTCACGCCAACACCAGCACCTCACTGCACTGGCAAGACTCCGCCGACAGCGCTGGGTACCTCTTCCAGACTCTTGACAATCGCTGTTGGTTTTCCAAGATCACCCTCAATCATCGCATCCTGCCATCCATTGCCTGCCCTGTCCACCCAACAGGCCTGCATGCCTACCGCGCGAGCACCTGTAATGTCAAATGGATTGCCACTGATCAACCACATGCTTGCCATATCCTCTTTGCTGTTGGGATCCTTGCCAACGGCTTTGGCCAGATGAGCGTACGACTCTGGTGTAGGTTTGAATCGCTTGGGCTCCTCGACGACAACAATATCCTTGAAAGTAGACGCGTGCTTCGAGAGATCCGGCGATTTGTTGACCGAGTTGGAAACCATTGTGTTGGTGCCGTTTGAGAAGACCACAGGGTAGAAATCACTGCGTTTCGCGATAGCCTCGAGGGCGGGAGCCACATCGGGGAAGATGGAAAGCGAGTCGTAAGCCTTCATCAGATCATCAATGTCCTTCTGCTCCAGCGAGACGGAAGATTCAGCCAGTGCATGCCGCAACGAGCGCAGTGTAACTTTGCTAAAGTCCTCGTATTGATCTGTGAGGTTGCGTTAGTGGAACCACGAGGTTAGGGCTTGATAGACTGCATACTCNATGCTGTTCAAACGCCAGGTGTATTCTAACTGGTACTTGCGCCATGTCGTTGCAATCGTCTGAGCCTTGTCTTGTCCAAAGTGTGAAGCGAGTTTCTTAGCAATGGACTCGGTCGAGAGAAGTGTGCCGTAGGCGTCAAAGGCCAGAATAGTCTTGGTTTCACCACCCATTGTCAGTATGATCGAAGGTCAGGAGAGAATAGTTGAGGAGACAAAAGCTGGAATGAAATCGTTCTTGATGTGTTTACAAAGTATGATGCTGATGGCAGTCAGGAACGGGCCTCGGATGATGCAATGGAGGGGCAGCTCTCTCCATTTCTCCGCCCTCTCTCGAACCTTTTTGTCAACTCTTGACCGCGAGCGATACCATACGAACATGAGACATCCATCTCTGTATGAACGCCGCAGAGTTGACGGAGCAGATGTAGAAGCACGAATATCTGATGGTCTTCTCGTATGGTGGTGCGCAACATCAAGCCACCACGATAAGGTGTCGACAGACGGAAATACTTGAAGCAGAGGCGCTGTGTCTGTGTGTAGAGAGAAAGTTGTGACCCGGAAGCAGTTCTGCTCTTTCCGTTTGGGGAAGTCTTTTTCGAAGTAGCACAATGCTGAGGAAAAGGTAGGTGCGACCATGGATAAGTGCATACCTGTCGAATGTACGCGGCCTACAACATCCAGCCGGCTTCATCGACACCTACTTTCCACTTAACTCGACCCATAGCTCTTCCCTGCCTCCCCTCTTATTGCTATCCTATACTCAGTCGCTCATCCACCTTGATCGCCAATCTATCAAAGTCCTTTCACCATACCTTTACTACACCGATTGCAGCCTCTTGCTTTCTACATCCTAGGACCCCGTCTATCAGCTAAGGAGCCGTTGTCTGTCATGACTACATACCGCAGATCAAGAAGAGACAGTGTCACGGCCGCACCTGCTACCACTTTCGACATCGGACCTTGGCCATCTGTTGAAGAGGACAAGCCGGAAGATGGTGGTAAGTTCGGACTCTTGCAAGGTGTGGATGTCGAACTGAACATGATAGGCGAATGGGATGAATTGCAGAGGTTCGTCAGCTCACCAAGCGCTCCAACAACGCCCCGGACCAAGAGGAAGATACATTTCATCGAGCCTTCTCCTGAGGACGTTGCTCCACGAAGGTCCAATACGCCTCCTCCTGGCTTCCGAATTCCATCGACGACCCAATTAGATCGGGAATCAACTTTTCCGAGAGAGCCAGACGCTGAACAGAAACAACCTGATCTAATCTCGTTCGAGGAACCTGAGGAGGAGCCTTCTAGAGCGAGCGAAGATCTGGACGAGGTTTCCCTCAACAGCCATGAAGAGGATCAAGACTTTTACGACATGGATGTGGAAATGGTAACCTACAATGACGACTCTACCCCAACGGAAGACCTCCCACAGGTATCTCAAGACGAGAATGACGACGCAGGCGATGCGAAGGACCCCATCTACTCGCTGAGACATGCCAAATCACATTCGATCTCGGGTGCTTCAACAATTCCTCAGGAAAGACCAATATCGGCCAAGTTCTACCGCACATCATCGGCATCAGGGCTCTACTCCAAACCAGCTTATAGTCCGATCATTAGAGCGCACGTCGCTGGCAGTCCCATACGTTTCGACTTTTGCACAACACCTGTTGACAACAATGATGATGGCGAGCAACTCGGGGACATCTCGCGATTGTCTCGAAGCCAGACTGGGAGCTCCGTGTCTGGCAACAGCGCATATTCAACAGCATGGGACGACATAGTCACAGCCAGTGCTAATGAAAAGTCGGGTCCGCCGAGCGATGCATCCAGCTCGGGTGGAAATACGAGAAACTCGTCAGGATCCAGAGGTGAATTCGCCTTGGAAGCAGTCAGAAGGAAACTCTCTACCATGTCACGCTCGAGGAAAGCCAACGTGAAACACAACAGAATGCGAAGCTCGGAGCCCTTATCTAGTCCCGATGAGGTTCCAGCTGTGCCACCTGACACCCGTGCAACAAGCGACACCCCAAAGAAGGGGCATGGCGGACATTCGGCCAAACACAGTCGTTCAGATGGCTCATCACCCCTTCTAACGCCGGCCGCGATGGCTCGAAGTGAGCCGCAGTCCCCAACACAAAGCGCCCGAGTATCGCCTCACCTCAAGCCAGCCTTGAAACATGCCGGTCCCAGTGTGCCTACTGGCGTAAGTACTACGTACGACCGATCTGTACCATCACATAAGGATAGTCTCGAGCTTGTACGCCACCGCATGGGCGAAGAATGGCCGCTGGTTGACCCTCAGCTCTCTTGCACGCGGGACTCGATTGTTCTGGCTAAACAAAGATGGGAGAGATATCCTAGATCGCATGCTGTTATTGACGAACAAAGCGGACACATCAAGTACGGAGGTCTCAGTACAATCATGGACGCCAGCCCACCAGACCACAAGACATACTGGGCTGCCAGGCGTGAACAGCTGGCAAATCAGAAAGAGGTGGACTGGCAACGTGAGATTGGAGGACATCCAGAAAACGACCATGACTGTCCTATTTGCGAGGTGGAGAGACCCCGAACCAAGAGATTGGCGAGCTTGCGAGCAGGTTGAAGTTTGTAGGCATGTTTGATAGAACAACCTAAGCCTCGGCGAACGAGTATGTGTACATTGACTTTTCTCCTTTGTAACGCCCTTTTGATTCCGTATGACATTGGCACCTGCTGTTTCGCCCAACGACGCCCGACTGAAGCTCGTATTGGTCGTAGTATCTAGTCCACTTCAACGCCCATCTTCTTCAAATCTGCACGGGCAATCTCGATCTCGGCCATGAGCTCCTTGTGAGCCTCTGGAACGTCGTGGAAAGTCATGACATTGTAGCCGAGCTTGCCCAGGAGGTATGCGCCGAAGGAGATGAGGGCCCAGAAGGGAAGCTGGATGGGACAGTCAGAACTTTGCTGGCCGTAATAGTGTGGTTGCGATTGGACAAGGCATACGTAGGGAATGAGGTCCTCCTGAATCTTTGCTGGCAAGGGGATCAAGCCAAGGAAGAGGGCCAGGTAGAGCTGCACGATGATCAGTCATCTGCACGCGGCCAAGTGGTGATCTGAACATACGGAGGAGACGAGAAGGAAGATGGAGATGGTTTGCGTGGCCCTTGTCATTTTGGCTGTCTGTGTGTTTGTATAGACTCGAAGAAGGGGAAAGTCAACGTTGCTGTTGATGCTCTCTCGACAAGCTCCCTCAATCAGCTGGAAAGTCCGGGGTCCAGTGCGCGCCCTGATTTTGTCTTGGCATTGGTTTGTCACTCCTAATTTCAGATAGTAAGTCATCTCCTCTCTTTTGATTTCTGGATATACGTCCTTTTGTATTCCGTCAAGCTCAGGAGCCGGAGCGATGTCTGAGTTCGAGTGGGCTCAGTCTGTGTTGGATGCTGATGAGCGTCCCAGCTTGGGCAACATTGCAAAAGCACTCCAGATTCTCGCCGATTCCAGTGCCAACCCTGTCTTGAGACCGCGCATGCAAGATGTTTCATTTCAGCAGTTGCTTTCGTTGTTTTCTGGTCTTGCTGTGAGCAGCGAGCAAGATTCTTCCGACCCAACGCTATGGAGAAACCTGCTTCGTTGCATCGGCAACATGATCGCCGACAATGGTAAGAGGAGGATACATGAGTATAGAGGAAAAGATGCTGATTGGTCTGTTCTTACTTTAAAGNACACTCGTAGATCTGAGATAATTGCGGATCCATCATATTTAAAGACGCTGAACTCATTCTTGACATCCACTTCGACATCTGCTGAAGCCACAATGTTGGCAGACACCACGATCAAAGTCCTGTTCAATCTGTGCACTGATTACAGTAAGTCTAGCCATCAGTCAAGGCAGGTCTCAAGGTGTTGATTTTTCTAGCTCNCTGCTCAAGAAGAGTGTTTCCTGCAAGATATCCATCAATCTTTGGTCTACTGTCTCGACACGCGACTTTCTACTGAGGACGTTGTCTGGAGTCTGGCTTTGGATCTAACGTGTATGATCGTGGAACACAAGCAAAAACTAAAACCATCAGCCGACTACTCAGACTTTGAAGTAAACGCACCGCGGTTGCTGAGACTGCCTCTTGCGGAGGTCGATGCAACAGCTTTCCTCGATGCCTTGACGCTAGTCGCCGCTCATCTTCTGGACAAGAACTTTGTTTCTGCTCTCGTGGAGCACAAGCAAATCGAACATGTCTGGAAACTGCTCAAACGTACCGAACACAGAATGCTCAGCGACCGCGAAGCAGAAGACGAAGAAGACTATGACGAAAAGCAATATCTGCAGTTCCAGCTCGTACTATCACAGGGGCTGGCAGACATGACCGCCTTACCTCTTTACAATGAAAAGTACAACACGAACGACACTTTCTTACAATCGCTGTACTCGCAAACCATCCCCACATCGACAGATCCTACCTCACGATCACCTGTCGCACCAGCAGCCTGCCTGATTCTGGGAAACCTCATCATCTCCGACGACGCGGCCATCTCACTAGCCCCTCATGTACCCATCAAGGACATTTTCGGCGAGCTTGGACGGTCCAACGACTCTGCTTTCCTCAATGCGGCTTCAGGGCTACTGCGCCATCTTGCAACACCAATGCAAAACCGCGAACGCTACTTTGCAGACACCGAATACTTACAAGCAACCAGACATCTCTACACCGATATCTCACTGGAGCAAGTCCAGATGGGTGGTCTTGCGCTCACACGTCAAATGCTCGCAAACATGAAATCGAGATTAGTAGCGGTACTATCCGACACAGACAGTGACTTCCTCGCTACAATACTGAACACCTACCAAAAGACAACTTCCACATCTGTCAAATTAGAGTTATCTAGACTTGCCGTCAGTCTCTTCCGCACTTTGCAAGCATCTTCGGCCACAGTGTCAGAAATAGAGAGTGGTGAGGAAGAAGCCACAAAGGCGTTGTTCGACACACCAGTCAATACATCCTCCATCCTCGATCCACTCATCTTCAGCATCAAGCATGCAGCTGAACCTGGTATCATCGCTATCCAAGCGGAAGCGTGGCTCGGTCTGAACCTTGCTGCTCGTCTTCCTCATGGTGCAAGCAAGGTCGGCAATGCTTTCTCTGAGGATGAGGACTTGTTTATACTGTTCAACTCACGATTGGGTGGACAGGTCTTGCAGGTCACGGATGGTGAAGAGACTAAGGACTCACGTCCGGAGTGGCTGAAGGGAAAAGAGAGGGATAATGCTGTTCTGCTCGCTGCCGAGTTGATAAAGGCTGAAGATGTGGATGAAAGCATCAAGGAGAAGTTTAGGGCTGCATTGCGTGAGAGGGAGATTCGCTTGGGATAACTACATTGTGAGAAAAGAACATGGAGTTTAATCAGTATATCAGTTTTCCAGTGATCGTTGTAAACCGACTTCCCTTTCTCCACATCATTGATTGGCTCAAAGGAGACTCTCCACACGGCTCGATTGTCGTTGTCGCGATTGGAAATATCCTCAATGTTGATGTAAGCTGATTGCGCCAATGCATAGATGAAGCGTCGTCGATCCTTGTACTTGTCTTTCAAGATACATCAATTGGATGACTCTAAGACACAGAAAACAAGATCAAGCGCTCTATTCTGGACTGGTTGGCCGTTTAGAATCGTAATGCTGTGATTGTGGCCGTGATAAAACTGCATACGCTCTTCAGGAGACCCTTGGTATCAGGTGGTCCACGATCTAGAACTATATATCATTGCCAAGTTCTGAAGGCGAATCTCCTGTCCGAAGTTCACAAATATGTTCAGCATTCTTCAGTCAAGACACCAACGAGCCTCTCCAAAGCTTCCAGAGAAAGCACACTAGCTTCAGCTACCTCAGCCGTCGTTCTCTCTCGACTCAACCATGCATCATCATCATGCCCAGGAACATATTCTGGCACATATCCAACAGCACCACAATCAATTCCATATGCCTTGGACTCGACTCTCGGTTCCCCACGTCCACATCTCCACCTGACAATCGCCCAGTATTCCGTATAACAGCAAGAGTCATCCCACTCCAAAACGCAATGAAACGCCAAACTCCCTATATGAGGCAGAAGGGCGACCAATTCGGGCTTTGCGACAAATCCTTGCCAAGAATAGTCCTTCTCCTCCGAGCAATAGTCCAGCTCTGGCCACGCTGGCGGCTTGAAAGTGTAGTTGATAAGTACTTTGTCGCTGTCGGGATACTCATCACAGTCGGGCCAAGCATCGATGTATAACCGGAGATGAGATAACACAATGGGTCTGCATGTGTCGTATAGTGTTTTGGAGACCTGCAGTATTGGATGGTGTAGAGATCGTTGTTCAACGTCGGAGAACAATGCGTCGAAGATGAGGAGTTGGATTTCCGTGGGAAGGGACAAAAGAGTGGGCCTCATGGCAACGAAAGTCATCTTTCTGATGTACGACTTTGTGGTTGTTTGCAGAAAGAGAGGAAAGTGATATCCATATGTTCATCTCGCGACTATGAGTCAGGATTGAGTGTGTGTGATGTTTGCGGTGAGCTGTTCAGATCACCGTCGGTCCGACATGGGTCAGCCCGTGCGTATCACAATCACATTCGGAAAAAAGTTCGAGGCCCGCTACAATAGGACGTGGAATGCATAAGGTACCAAGAGCGGCAGGTATTGGATGCGTCGGGTGTAAAAGACTTTGGGGCCTCGTTGATGTTCTGTGTAAGGGTGTCATGGCTAGGGTGCTGCCATCTATAGGACCCTGTGACGTAGTGGTGATATCGAAGTGCAAGTCGACAACACTTCGACCTCATCTTCAATTGTTCTTTCCTCATTTGACTTGTTCTATGTACAAGTACAAAAAAATAGACCTGCTGTCGACACCTTCTCCCCCCATCAGACATATAACCGAGGATCTGTTGTTCTTCCTCGTTTTCGAAGCAAGCACTTTTGAGTATATCCACTAACAGAATCATGACAACTCAAACAACTGGTCGCTGCCTTTGCGGAAAAGTCCAGGTAACTTCATACATACGATATCATTTGTTCGAATCCCTCTAATGACAACAACAGGTCACCGTGTCCCCCAAGCCCCTCACATCATTCTCAACCCTCTGCTGCAACTGCACAAACTGCAAACGCCGTTCTGGAGGCATAGCTTCCTACGCCTTCATCGTTCCTAAAGACCATGTCTCCATCACCGGCTCAACGCACGAATCCTACTCAGATCCAGATACCGGAAGCGGCAAACCCATGACCAGGACGATGTGTACCGAGTGTGGAAGCCCAGTTTGCATCATCGAGGCGAGTAGTCCCGATGATAGGTGCTTGCAGTATGGATTGTTTGCTGGTGAGGTCGAGTTACCGAAGCCAGAAATCGAGTTCTTTGGTAGAGATAGAGTTGTGTGGGTGGCTGAGATGGGGAAGAATGTTAAGGAAACGGCTTGAGTGCATTGAACAAAATCACGGCGAGGGCATGGGAAGGCGAACACGATGGGTTGATTCACAGAAAGAGCCATCTCTTTGAAGCCACAGTTGCAATGCAAGCAAGCGAGCACCAACAGCAAAACACTTGGAAGCAAGAATCAAAACAGCAAAGAACCAGAGCTTGAGCTCATATGGGAAACCCATTCCTGGAGTTCCTTGATTTGAGTCTCCAGATGTCGGTCATCTGGGATGCATAAATTGAGACGTACAAGGCAAGGACGTGTTTTATTACGAATCGTGAGTGTACAAGCCGTTACACCACTCAACCGATTACAGCAACAAAAGCACTTCCACTCAAATATATACTCACAGAGTCAGAGGTCAGGGGTTCGAATTGGAGACTGAGAGATTCTGATGGTTCCGAATTGTTATTTCACATCTTGCCATGCTTTGACTTGGTCATATTATGACTTTCGTCTTTATACACCTATCTCATCTCTAGAGACAGTTAGAAGGTTGACTATAGAAATGCATAGTATTGGTAGTTATTCGGAGTGCACCAGGGAGAGAGTTGACTTGGTCAAGATTATCAAGAATGATTTTTCAATACATTTCAGGGGCCAGCTCAGAGGCCAGGCAACACACTATATACCATCTCATCCCCATCGTAACGCTGGAACCCGGCTATACAAAGACATAAAATTGTTCGAAACAGGGACGGCACCGCAGAGAGCGATGACTTGGCCAAATTTTATTAACTTGCACCACATCAGTTGGTGGGCTCAAGAACTGCAAGACGAAGCCCTTCCATGAGTTCGAGCAGGTTCTCTACCAATGGTGGCGCTGACCTCGATGGCCTTCCATTTAACTTAAACACGTCCATAAGCACACCCATTACTCCAGCAGGATCGGACAACAGTACATGTGAGGCACTCGGATCTCCAACGGCCTTTTTGAAGGCAGCTTGTCCTTTGTTGAGGTTGATGAACCTTTGTGCGCCATTGCCATCGGCTTCGTCTAGCATCGTGATGCTTTCGCCACGTCTGGCAGATGCGTTGCTCATGGAGTCGAGGGCGGACTCTGTGAGCGCGGCGTTTGAGATGACACCATACGACCACAAAGCCAGACCAGCCTGATAAAGAACAATGGCATGGAAGTCGCGCAGGCACCCTGTGGGTATCTTTCTGGCAGCTGCCACGATCTGAGCCGCATGATACACGCCTTGGCGAGCGCTTGATGACTTGGCCCATTCCTGCAACAATGGGAACACTCTTCTAGCTTCCGAATGCCCTTCGGCTCCAGCGAAGAGATGCATCTCTTCAAGAGAGATGTGCAGATGCATATGCAGCAGTTCCAAGGACAGAGTCATGGTAGTATTGGCATGTGAGCTCATCTTGACGCAATCGAGCAGCTTTGTCAACTCTGTCAGACGGGATGACAACAACAATTTCGAATTGCTCCATGAGCTGGCATGGCCTCTGCTGATGGAGCACATTTGACGGTACTCCCAGATTAGCCGCCACGCAGCACTGAGCAGTGCTTGGCTCGCGGTTGTTTCATCGAACATATCGTGTCCCTCGCCCAGAAGCTCAACATCCTGCAGCAGATCGGTGAGAGATGGCTCCCTCTGTTTGTGTTCGTCGAGAGACATGTATGTTTGCTTCCACTTCTCCGCTGTTGCTGCAAGCCACAGGCTCTCCGCTTCTGGCAGGGGTAATCCGAGCTCTGCATACGAGATAAGTGGATTCGTGAACAGCGCGATCGACTGACGGGTGTCGTACTCGAACAGATAGAAGACCAGTCTCTTCCGCATCTCCTGCTTGGCCCAGGCATGCCATTTGTCTTCGAGCGCCTTGCCCACATCCGTGGAATAAGGGACTATTGTTTCGTACGCGGATCTGCGGAACCAGCCCCGACGTCGGCACATGGTGAGATACGGCTGGAGGAAGCTCTCTGCTATTTCCATCTTGCGTGAGTTACCGCTCCACAAGCCAGAGCTCAGGCCTATGCCGAGCGAGGTCACACACTCGACATCGCCAATGAGTGTATTGTCTCTTTCAATATTTTGAGGCACTCCAACGCGGACGACTTCCATCAACGCGAATCCCATCTTCCTCAGACTGATGTCAGGGGCTAGAGTTGCGCCCCCTACGACCATTGCTGCTATTAGCTCTGGCCTCGCGTTGTTCGGTCGAAACGTTGGCAGATGTATCATTCGGTTCGATATTGCGGTCTTCGATGAGAGAAAGTACTGTAATAGGCTGTCCAGAAGCTCAAGCGACGGAAATGACTGCATAGTCTTCTGAAGTGTATCCACGTTCGACGAGGACATGAACAGCGCCATGATACGATCGCGCATGGTATATGACAGCATTTCGGATGTCACTCTCCGTTGAACAGGCAGTCGTTTGCTGGTATCGCCGCTCGGCAGAGAAATATTCTGCTGATCATTCATGCCACGGTCTTGGGTTACCGGCCGAAACCGCCATGTGGAAGACTTCTGAAGCGACTCAACACCAAGGGCTGACGGAGGCTCACTAGTAGAGCCAGGTACTGACCGGTTCGTTTCAGGGGTCTCAACAAAGGAGGCAAATGGTATCTCATGGTTGTAACCATCGAGAAAATTAAGGTCCAGATCATTGAGTTCAAGGTCGGTGTTAGCACCGAAGTCGAAGACGTTCCGTGGCGTCCATGTCCCTGGTATGTGCTCTCCTGGCGCGGTTTGTCGAGGGAATGGATCTCCGCCAATGATACTCTGCAGGAAGTCATGCAGAAAGCCTCCGTCATGGTCATTTGCAGGTACTGATACGTGACCTGTGATTCAGGGGTATGAATTAGCATGTTTCTCACACGAAGATTGGTGTATCTCAACAACCATCGCATTGCAGAGTGATGTTCAAGATCTGGAGGACTCCACTGAGAGGCCTGATTTTCGCGAGCTCTCAATGGATGCTATGCGAAATTGAACAAGACTTTGCATTGTGATGGAGGTCGATGACATGAGACGGGATTTGGCACACCCCTTATGGTTGTTTCTTGCTATCCGCACCCTCTCTCCGCCTGCGAAGGTATGCAATGTGTATAGCTATGAAAATGCACGACAGTATTGGAGAACAGGATAGTATCCACTGAAGAGCGACATGATATTCACTCTCTTTGGCCATATCCCAGAGCTCGAAGACATTTGTGCATTTCTATAGTTGGCACACCGCTCGCCATCGTTGTAGGAGAGAGTCGCGTATAGGGCGGTTGTATACGTACCTGGAGTCTGTTGGGTCAGCGATGGATCTAGCATCTGTTCGTCATTCGTCGTTAGGTTGATCATGGGCTGCTCTATTGGAGCCTGGTAGGGCCTAGGGGGCTCCATGAAAGAAGCAGATAGACCCCTGTCGTCGCGGCCAGTACTGTTATGATCCATCGAGGGGTTCATGTTAGGCATGTCATTTGGCATGACAATCGATTCACTCGCAAAGGCCAAAAGGTCTCGAGCAACCGCCTCCTTGCTCGGGGGTGGTGGTGAGGTCTGATAGACACAAGTGATCTGCTTTTTGTTGCATCTTGTACATGGCTTCTGTTCGTCACAGCGGATGTGAAGTTCGGCGCAGGCTTCGCATGCTTTGCTTACACGGCCTTGACGATTGGGTGCTGGTGTGTTTGCTGATTGCTCTCCTCGAGCCTCATGGCCAGCCACATGTCGTTTTAGGAGATCGCTAATACATTGTTAGCTCCTGCGTCGCATGTGAAACGACCACCCCGCGTGCTAGAAGCCTGATACTCGACTCTCTTGTCAGATCGAATAGTACACTATAGAAATGCACAGTTGTTCTCAGAGGAGAGGCCAGCCCAGAGAGCGCGCATCAAACCACGACTCTCAATGGAAGCGGTGACATTCTCAATGGTACTGTGCATTTCTATAGCTAAAACATGACAGTGTTTAGCATACGGGGAGGACACAAGTCACTTACGCTCTAGCAAAGCTCTTGTTGCATGTCTGACAGAGGTAAGGCTTCTCCTACAGACAAGACGTTAGTACCACCCCATACGGCCGAAAGCCTAGAGGCAAGACTGACTTTGGTATGTAGACGAACATGTCTTGCAAGATGATCAACGCGTGAATAGCTCTTTCTACAATCACCACATTGGAACAACTTGGAGGACTCCTGGGGTGTCTCTGAAGCCTCCTCCCGAGGGTGTTTACCCAGTACTGAAGGCGGGGAAGCGTTCTCCATCGGTTGGAAGTCGTAATCGCAACAAGCAGGAGATATCATGTCACACGGCAGGCAGGTGGATGTGGAGATAAAACAGAGATGCCCGATTCACGACCTCGGGCGACCAGCTTCCCTCGGGTCTGCGCGGTGGGTCTGCTGATCCTGCGGAAGCGACGTTTGCGTTTTGCCGGCGGTTCTTTCCTCCACTCTTCCGCTCCACATCCCATGTAGTGTCCCCGCACCCGACGCCGAATGCTTGTACACCCTTGTACTCCACTCCATAGATTGTCATCGGCCTGATTTGAACCCAAGCTGCTCTTTTGCTCGATCCACTGCACCACATTACTGACATACACAAGAGAAACACCACAATGGGTATGTATCTTTCAATAAAGCTGCTGAAGTGTGGCTAACAGGAGTAGGTCTAACACCAGTCCACTNNTTTTTCAGCCATGGCTCGACCATGATGTTGGGCGAGGAGTCTACCAGTGCTGATTACTGGAAGAAGTGCGGCGACGAGGCTTTGGCACACGGTATCAAAGGTGTGATCATGATGGTAAGTACTACAATGCTCAAATATTGCATTTTGTATACTTATAAACTCAGGNGAGCACATTGGGACGCCCGAGGCGACAAGATTATGGTCTCAGCAAACCCCAAGCCAAACAAGAGTCCTGTAGCATATGTTCACCCTTCGAAATACATCGACTACGAACTCAAGCCGGACTTGCCTACTTCCGATCGCGTACTGGATCTGCTACTCAAGGCAGGCTTCAACGCCGAAAAGGATGACAAATTCGACTGGATCCACGACACATTCCTGATCTTGATCCGAATGTTCCCCAACGGCTGCCCTCCTACCACAATTGTCAGCATGAATGCATACTACGACCCCCACTACCACATGAAAGTTGGATCCTCATTGCGATCGTTGAGAAAGGAGGGCTACCTCATCGTTGGCACAGGAGGTGCTGTCCACAACCTCTACCGCAACGTCTGGTGGCCTATGGTCCAGCACAGAGACAACTTCGCCCAAGTCGGTCCGCCAGAGAAGTCTCTCTTGGAGTTCAGACAGGCTGTGGAAGATGTCATGACACAAAACCAGGGCCCTGCTCTACGCAGAGCCATGACTCGCTTGATGAAGCACTACCACTACCGTGAAGCTCACGGCACAGACGATCACTTCATGGCAGCGTGTTTCTGTGCTGGTGCTGCAGGTGATTGGGAAGACTTGGAAGAGCAGGGTGGTGTTTTGGGTGCAGAGACATGGGAGCTCCAGAACATGTGCAATTCCCAGTTCACAATTGGAAACTGGCAAGGAAGCAGGAGTGTACGCGCTGCTGCTTGAGGATTTAGTATACGTGAACTGTGGTGTTGTTCTTTTTATGGTAGTATTTTTATGATATCCAGGATTTGACAGTTGATGTTATCTTTATTTGACAAATTATTTGTTCTCTGTCTCTAGTTACTGCCATCCTTGTCAAACTGGCGAACAATCGCAATCTGAGCCGAACGCTTCAATGACCTATTGCAGCCAGCCGCGGCATGTGTGTGCTTAGAAGGAAGATTCGACATTTGAAAATCTGAAAAGCCTTCAATCTCTTTCAAATTGTGCTCACTCAAAGCCTTCAGAGATCACTTCAGAGATAGATGCAATGCGCAAGTCATGTTTTGGTAGGAGGAACACACGCTGTCAATACGCTAAATATGGTATATCTATTCGCCTTTCTAAATTCAAACTCGCTCTTGTCCAGACAGCCTCTACTCTTCCTTGGGAGGAATGATGGGAAGTGTGACATAGTTGACAAACTTGTCGCTGAAGTGAACAAAGTTTGTACCCTTAAGCTTCTCCTCGGATCGGTCAACAGAGTCATTGTGGCCGAAGATGCCAGAGCCCTGGGTGTCACCACTCGAAACCTCGAAGATGATTTTGCCGCCCTTGTCGACAACGACGTTGGTGGGCCAGACTTCAATGTCGACGGGGTATACCTCTCCTGGAAGGACAGGCAGCTTATCGGTGCTGAAGTAGTCTCTGTGGGGAAGGTAAGGACGGTGCTTGTAGTGCTCAGGGTTTGTCTTGCGCATGGAAACACGAAGCCAGCCCTTGCAGAGCGGTACTGGGTCTCCGGCGGTTCCTGTGTAGAATACTTCCTTGCCTTCGGGCGAGATGTGTCTGAGAGTGACAAAGAGGTCGATGTCGGTGGGAGTAGGTCCAGTAGTATCAGGAGTCAGGGAGACGTTGAGACGAGCTGTGATATGACCAGTGATCTCAGTCTCCTTCTCGAACGCAGGAGTAGTAAACTGCATCACCTCAGGCTTGTCGAGCGTGCCCAAAGCTCTGTAGCCGAGCTTGGCCTTCCCTGAGGGAGTAGATGTGACGAGCTCCTTCTCGGGTGTGAGATAGTAGTTTGTGTATTGTGTTCTGGCAATAGGCCACTCGTTCTCTTGTCTTCTGGGGTATGTTTGCTCTGCTTTGGAGTCGTTGAAGCCGACGTCTCCCTTGCGGAGGACCATGTCTACCATGGGGACCTTGCCCTTGGTAGCCCAACCGACTTTGTCTTCGCCCTTGAGGAAGGCGTCGAGGAAGCTGCGTTGGATCTCGACCTCTTCATTGTAGTAGAAGGGGAGATCGTGACGACCAGTGATACAGCGGAGATATTTGAACTCGGAACCGGCGTGGGCGAATCCTTCGATGTTTCCGCGAAGATGGAGCAAGATGCCGCCCNNCCAGTTGGCAACTGAGAGCAGCGGAACCTTGATGTCACCCATGTCGTATTCTTTCGAAGCGTAGTAAGAGTCATCGCGGTAGNNCTGTCTGAATTTAGTCCCCATCCATTGTTTCTAGACTTAGGCAACTTACTAGTTGTTCTGGTTGTCGATGTTCTGGTCTTGTCTGTTGGCAGCTCTTTCCTCATCCGAAAGGTCACCCTCGATTGTGTCTGGGCCCCAGTTGCTTGCCTTGCGGCCTGGACGTCCATATTGGTTGGTGATGATCTGGCGGTTCCACCAGAATCTAATGAACTGGTTGGACAGAATACCACCGTGACGGCAACGATCTCTGTAGTAGTCCGACATACCCTCCCAAGGGACGATGGCCGACAAGCCCTTGGGGTTTCTTGCAGCCACACGCCATTGGGATCCGGCAAAGTAACTGATACCAAGGAGACCAACCTTGCCAGATGACCACTCTTGCTCTGCAGCCCACTCAACTACGTCGAAGAAAGCTTCTGAGGTACCTCTTGACATGGTGTCAAGCAGACCGGGAGATTGGCCAAGTCCACGCTCGTCAGCACGAACAACTGCGTATCCATTTTTGGTCCAGAAAGCAGGGTCAGGGGTCTCCCATGCTGAGTGCTCTGACTTGTGCTCAGGGTTGACTTCTGAGTAGCTCTTCGCGTGGAAATCGGCATACGGGATGTCCTTTCCGTANTCTGTCTACTATTAGCTCTTGTCTCTACAAGACAGTCCAAGCCTCTGTACTCACGGTCCGTAGGTAATCAGAACAGGGACTTTCTCCGAAGTCTTTGGTCGGTAAACATTGACACGAACCAAGCCTTCGCTCGACCTTAGGGTCACGGTGGCATTCTGCTCGAACACATAATCGAAGGACTTGTCGTCCACAGTGTGGAGTTCTTGAATCTTGTTAGGCATTGTGACAGTGACAAGGATAGAGAAAAGAAGGAAGGGTCTATGTACCTTGGCTACGAAAGTAGAAGCTTACCTTTTTGTTCAATAACAATCACGTCTTCTGGTGCATGCTTCGGTAGCGGGGTTGTGAAAGACCGAACGGCAATCGGGGAGGTCCTCCACTTCGGGACGTGTTCCATGTGGAGGAGCGATCCACCTTGATGCAATTGTTTGCGGGGCGCTGCTCTACAGCGGCTATGGATAGGCAATCATCCGAAATGAGCAGAGAATCTATCTACTTTCCAATCCAAAGACTTCTCTTCAATCTTTTTGCTCAACTCGAGTATTACCAATAATCACTGATTCTCTTGTCTCTTCACATCTGTCACATCATATTCAAGATGGCCCACAAAGGAGAGCTTCCCTCTTACCAGAGACTTATTACCGGACACAACGAAGATGGCAAGGCTGTCTTCGCAAACATCGATGAGACCGGTCCCTGGGATGGTAGCATCAACGGCGGCACTGTCGGATTCTCTCTCGGCTACACAACCTCGACAACACCAGTAGACATGACTGGCGACAAGGATATCGCACAGTACAAGGAGTACTTGGTATCACCGCCCGGTCTCGTTGACAAGCAAGGCTCAGTCCTCCGTTTCGTGGTATGTGTATCTGGATCAACCTCTCGATTGGAAGATACTAACTGGCTCAGGNATTGTCCCCCAGGATCCACATCCCCTATGCACCGCACCGTCTCACTCGACTATGGTGTTGTGATTTACGGAGAGATGGAGCTGGTTCTCGACAGCGGCGAGACCAGAGTTATGAAGGTTGGAGATGTTGCAGTGCAAAGAGGAACCAACCACGCGTGGAGAAACACCAGCGAGACCAAGTGGGCTCGTATGATGTACGTCCTCCAGCCATCGCTTCCTATCACCATCAATGGAAAGCCATTGGACGAGGATCTTGGCCCTATGGACGGTGTTCGCAGCTCGTCTTAGATAAATCACGCAACAACTTGTCAATACAATATCGTCAATCCAAGACTTGCATCACGAAAAAGGACGACTGTAGCATGGCATCAGTGATCTCGAGACGCTTGGACGATGGAGACATTCTAGGAGTCCTCTAGACAATATTCGGGGGCCGATTGAACATAGTTAGGTAAGAAGGTCGATTGAACATGGTTACGAAGCTCCAAACGCCGATTAACATATTTCCAACGCAACAAGCAAATCCACCTAGTGTTCTCCTCCAACCTGCCAACGGAAGTATGTGTTGTTCAGCTTTCCTCCAGTGGCTCTCCAAAGTCTGTTCGTCGCCTACGCACAAGTCAATATAACAGCTTTCTCCTGCTCGGAAGGAATATGTCTTACCGATGTGAGCACGATTCCGTTAAACATGTTCCAAATGAAAGCCCGCTCAATGCCGTTTTGCGTGGTATCGCGGTAAGCAAAGTCGAGATTGTGGTCGATAGGGCGGTAGTCTGGGACTCGGCGGAAAGTGTCTTCCCAGTCCGCTGGGTTGTTGCCAGCACCTTGCGGCGCAGGACGAGAGTTGGGAGCCTCTGAAACGTCGTTTTCCTCGCCGCTGTGTTGCAAGTCGTAGTCGGCGAGCGTTCTGCCCAACGAGTAGACTGTTCGGTTTTCGGTGAGTGTGACGGACATTGTTGTGGTTGTTTCTGACGACGGCGAGGGGGGTTGGATTGCGATTTGGCGAGGGGCACCAGAGGTAGACGAAATGATCAGAGGTAAGTCTTCAGCCTGAGAGCTTCGGATACCGGATCTACAGGGAGAGTCCAGATCAAGGAAACACAACGGGTCTCCGCACATTCTTTCCTCCAAATATCGCGGGATGTGGAGAAAGTATGGCGCCCGGTATGGGCGTTGCACCAACATGTGATTCTGTTCCGTCCTCAAGCGCCATGGTTGCACGGAACGCGGAATTTAGTATAGTTGCTGCTGTTAGCTTCGGAGCAAATATCTCCTGTGTATCTCATCTCACCCTCCTCATTCTCATCATACTTTGTATACCATACCTTCCAAAATGTCGAACAGACCGTTCGCACAGCTACAAGCCGCTGCCATCGATGGCAGAACCAGGACTGTCTTCTACCGTCAAAGTCAACTGGAGAAGCTACACAAGAACCTGGTCTCAAATGCTTCCGACATCGTAGATGCGATTGTCGCGGATGCTGGTCTAAGCAGAACAGAAGCACAGATCGAGTATTCGCTTGCTCTCACGACGGTCAGAGAGCGCTTTGCAGAGCTCGAGCCGAAGAAAGAGCTCGAAAACGAGTATGCTGTTGCGCGTGGAGAAGATGCCGGCAGCCTACGCCTTGGCTATGGCACTGTATACATCAAGGCTTCAGCGGACCACACTCCGTTTTACTCTGCTATTGCACCCTTGAGTGCAGCAATCGCTGCTGGCAACTGCGTAGTCTTACAGGTATGTGATCCTGGTGTAATAGTGAAGAGCATTTGTTGACGATGGATTCAGGTCGAGAACAGCCTTCGCAGCCTCCCAACCATCCTCCGTAACACGCTCAAGTCTGCGCTAGACAACGATACATTCGATATCGCACAACAACCTGTACAAGACGCAGCTTTCTTGGACAACTGCTTGCAAGTGGTCCAGGATGGATCAATTGATGGCGCCCCTGCGCTGAACCAGCTTGTTTCGAAAGCCGGCTCAATCACAGCAGCGATCGTGGATAGGACGGCAAACTTTGACGAGACCGCAAAGGCTCTCGTGAATGCTCGCTTCTCATACAACGGCAAATCACCGTACGCTCCAGACATCATCTTCATCAACGAGTTCTCCAAGAAGGACTTTTTGCAGGCACTTCTCAAACACTCCGTATCCTTCGACGAAGTGGTAGAGAGGGAAAAGTCGCCAACCCGCAGAGGTGGTCGCGAGAATGGCATCAGAGACTTGATCTCCAGCCTTCAAAAGGACGGAAGTGGGCGTGTCATTGCACAGGAGTCGAACCGCGCAATCCTAGAATTGAGCAAGAGGTGAGTAGTATCGCAGGAGTTGTGGTTGATCAGAAGCTGACACTCAAGTGTANGGAGTACGAGCCTACTCAAGACCAAGATCAGCGAGCCCGTTCTGCTTGTACATGCTGTCAAGAGTCTTGACGATGCCATTGACTTCATCAACAACAACGGTAACGAGCTGCTGGCCGCCTACCACTTTGGCGAGAACGCCCAGTGCAAGTACCTCAGCCAGTTTGTCGCATCGCAAGTATCTTATGTCAACCACATCCCGGCAGAACTGCTCGGTCAGTATCTTATCTGCACTTACCAAAAACGCAAATCAAGACTAACAACAATCTCAGTCGGTCCTGCCTTCCCAGTGGGCCACCCCATAACCTCAACACGCTACCCTACCGCCCTCTTCACCCGCCCGACACCCGCCTTCGTCAACAACACAACACAGTCAAAGGCCGTAGAGTCTGCACTGAACGGCGCTTCAAAGTCGGAAAAGTCAGCCGCTGTGCAAACATTGTACCGTCAAGCCGTGTCGGATCTGCCATCTGCACACAAGCGACCAAAGCAGACGCGTGCAGCTTTCGGTTTCTTCGAGCAGTCCATGCTGTTGAACCTCGGCTTTGTGCTGCTGTCGACTGGCGCCACCATCGCAGCGACTGTCATCCTTGGAAAGCGTGCAAGAGCTTATTACTCTCACTGATAAAGGATCGTTGTGTTGTGCTACTGTACGGTGTCAGATGGTGTGTTTTTCGCGACTGGGTCCCGATGAGATATTCCCATTCCCAATCTTTTTGCAAGCGAGACAATGTTGTCAAGTTTCTTTCGGTGCCCTTGCCATCAATGTGTTTTGCTTCCCAGCCACTCTGTTGAATCATAGATCATAACCAATTCATACATGTATGCGCAAAAAGATATCTACGTCACAAAGGCCTTTAAAAGTAACACCATGGCAGAACCCCACAGTCCACCTTCGAAATGCCTCTCATCGAGAAATCGTACGTGGACAAAAACAACAGCCAAGACCACAACCATTAAACTCAAAAACCCACAGATATCCCGCCATCATGAGCGCAATCAAAAGCTCTTCTCTACCCAAGACTTCCTTCCTGGTCTTCTACTCCTCGATTGTGGATGGCAAGATGTGGTGCCCCGACTGCGTCGATGTAGAGCCTTCCGTTCGCGAAGCCTTTGACGACGCCGACAAGCCCGAGGCCATGCTCTTCTACGTGGGCAAGAAGGAGGAATGGCGCACACCCGGAAACCTCGCCCGTGTTGATTGGAACGTCCGTGGAATCCCTACCATCATCAAGCTGGTGGAGGGCAAGGAGACCGCCCGTGTGACCGAGACCGAAATCCTGGATAGCAGCAAGTGGCAGGCTTTCCTCAAGAACTAGTTGCATCGACGTTGATGACGCGAAATGAAACATAAAATGTGGAAGGTTGGTCATCGAAAGGACTTGCTCAAATTCTGGTTACATAACGCACGTTCCTATCTCGTAAAGTGACCATTAAAACATCAAATATCTGCATGTCGGCGAGATCATTCACCTCTGGCATATCCCTTCATCACGAGATTGCTGGTCGCGATTCTCATTCTCTTGCCGAACAACCAAACGGGCACGGTTGTCAGACTGAACACTCCCATCAACAGAGCAAAGATACCGAAGGGAAGCGCAGGTCCTGCAGTCTCGACCCAAGTGCCGACGAAGAAAGTCCAAGCGAAACTGATGACGGCACGGAAAGTGACAACCATGAGGAAGCAATCAGCACTCCAAGCACCATAACTTTCGATAAGATAGTTGAAGCCGATTGAGGGCACTTGCATCAGACCAAAGGCGACCATGCCATTGCCGAACTCGAGACCAATCCAAGCCTTTGGTGTTGCGGCCTTGGCCGAGAAACCGAAGCAGATGGCACCGGCGGTGGCAATGAGGAGGGCGGGGAACATGAGAGGAAGACGTGCTTCAGGTTCACTAAAACCGTGTCGTTCCCGCCTGGCCTGACGTTTGACAATGAAGTCTGCAGTGAAGTACGTGTAGATGGCACCAAGAACAGTGCCGACCAAACCACCGACGTTGATCAAGCCGACCGAGCCGCCCCAAAGGTAGGGTGGTTGAGCAAGGATTTGTGGTGCAACAGTCGAGATGGTAACGATCAAGCCGACGAGACCGGCGTAATGCAACATGACCATCCATGTACCAGGGAAGAGGAGCGTGGTGTATGGGGTGATGCAACGTTTGAAGAAGCCAGGTCGGTACATGCCAATCTTGAGGCTTCTGGCAAAGGTGTACTCAGGGAAGACAGTAGAGGTGACGGTCTCGACTCTGGCCATCTCTGCCTTCTCGCCAATAGGCGAATCATTGTCGTAACCTTCGGGACGGACGATGGCCATGGCTGCCTCACGGTCAAAGAGGGTTTCGGGGACAAAGAAAAAGCTCAAGAGCAGGACAGCGCCCGACAGAATGGCTGAGATGTACATGGTCCATCTCCAGCCCATCGAGGCGGTGATGTAGCCACCGATAAGGCCACCGATCAAGGAGCCAGAAGCGAGGAAGATGGTGTAGATGGCNCTGAATATGGTCAGCTCAACGTGTCTTTCCATGATACAGGGCTGACTTACCATAGCACGACCTCTCTGGTGGACAAAGAAGATCTGGCCGACCACATCGGGGGCGAGGGTATCAGCTGCACCACCACCAACGCCTTGGAAGAGTCTAGCAGCGAGCAGACTGTTGTATGACTTGGCTTCACCGGCCCAGATCGATGTGGCACAGAGAACGGCAAGGCAAACAAGGATGACAGGACGACGTCCAAANGGCTAAGAAACCATCAGCAGGCGTATTAAGTGTTGCCCAATTCAGTACTTACTGTTTCCAAGAGGCACCCACCAGATGTTCGATGCACCAAGGAACAAGTTGTTGATGGCGATGAGATGGGTCAGCTTGCTGAACGGCAGGATGCCAGTGGGTGGTCCCCGCTCGTGGAATGTCGCAAAGGCCGTGATCAGAGTCGGCAAGGCGCTGCTAATGATCGAACTCGAGACATTGGTGACGAAGGCGTATAGACTCATTAACGCTAGGATCATGATCTTGCGTGAGTTCGAGAAGTTGAGAGGATCCGCAGGATCCGGTGATGGNTCTGTACGCGTTGTCAGAGGATGGGGTTCTGGAAAAATCGCTTTGTATTCAACGTACTCTGGGTTCAGGTGGATATGATTTTCTTCGACTTCGTGATGGCCAGTGTTTGTTCTGACAAGTTCTCTGTCNTGTTGTCGATTATCAGTAATGTTATCGTTGTCATGTCTATCAGTCCACCACTCACCCATCAACGTGACAGTGCCAGGAGGCGCCATCTCGTTGAGCTCCTGCTTGTCCAATGAGAAGGCATGTCTGAACTGAGTCATGATGAGTAGTATGCCTCGATTGGCAACTGTAATAGTAATGATGCTGCTACGAGAGGAAGGACGTATCGAGATGAAGATGCTTGCGACACACAGAGATGGAGCGTGGGTTTTATCAAGCGTCTGCTAGCCAATTCTAACCAATCAGAGATTGCAATTTACTTCCCATCGGCAGTGCGTTTCGCGCCCACTCAAAAACGGTCAGTGAGTTAGGGCTCACTGCGCTCTTCTCCACATTCTAGCAACTCCCCCACACCTTTTGGTTCCCTGGCGAGACAGCTGGCCTCTCATTGGTTCACTGATAGTGCACGTACCTTGAGAACTTCGAAATCTATAAGGGAGAGGGGCCTCGGCCTTCTTGCTACGCGGGGAAGTGTGGAGAGATATCGTGGAGCTGGAGAGAGACCTTCCCATGCTAGGTCAAAGTATGTGAATTGTAGCGATCGAAGCCCATTGTACTATCAAGCGTCAGAGCGGTATGCAGTAAGAAACGAGACATCTTGGGCTGCCTCTGGTTATGTCTCTGGTTCATAAGCCTTTGTGCCTTCTGATGGCCCAGAAATCGCTACATGTCTCTGCATGAGAAAGCGAGAGTTACAGAGTTTTGCACACGGGGAGAGACGATCGCGGTGGAATAACAGTAAGAGGTAGGGCTTCGTAATCGTGCCCTAGCCACCGGATGAGAGTATGCCGATATACGAGAATAAGGTTTATTGGTGCCTCACAGAATAGACTCTAGAGTCGACTACATGCGGTCCCGACGACCTCGAGAATGAGCGTTCTCGGCACTTGATGATATATACTACTCGCTAGTCCATGTCTCCGTAGAGAGAGCTGGTAGGAGTTCTGCTCGGCATTCGCCAAATCCAACACCCTCGCCGCACTTTCCTGTGAACTGTACAACAACGCCATCTGCCAGGTAACCACGTTGGACAGCTGGCGGAGGAAGGTTGTGTTCGAGCATACATCCACGCCCGTCTTCAGAGTCTCCTGACACTGTACCGCAGGCGAGCAGATCCCCAGCTTGGAAGCCACAGCCTGCGCTGCCTTGATGTGCCAGTAGCTGCTCGAAAGACCATGCCAGGACACTGCTGTTTGCAGCACAAGCACGAGTTACATCGTTTTCTGGTGACTGAACGTAAACAGAGAGGTCGATGGACAGGCCTCGATCATCCTTCTCCACAGCAAGGTGGGGAGGCAAAGTATGTTTCCAGCCGGGCCCACTGACGCGGAACGGCTCCATTGCGTCGTATGTGATGATCCAGGGTGACAGTGTTGTACCTGAGTTCTTTGAGTTCAAGGGACCGAGCGGAATCATCTCCAACATCTGGATGTCGCGGGCNTGTTGATTGGTCAGCTTTCGCGGTAGTTCGACTTGCGTAGTGGGAAACTCACCACTCCAGTCATTCAACATTACAAAGCCAAAGATGTGCTCGCCAGCATTGTTTGCTGTAACAGTTTGACCATATGGGACAGGCTTGCCTATCACAGCAGACAGCTCCATCTCATAGTCCATCTTGCGACTGGGTCCGTAGACGATCTTCTTGTTCTCTCCTTTCATTGCTGCCATGTGGTCTTCCCAGAACTGGCCGATTGGTCTTCTTACAGGAGTCCCGGAGATCTTGATGCTCGAGCATCTGCCAGCATAACCNTATTCATCATGAGTTTGAGACATTTACGTGCAAGGTTTGGCAGGCTTACCTGGAGGAATAAAACCCCATGAAGGAGGAAGTCCTCTCCTTCCTGTAGCAGCATGACCAGCATTCAGATTGTGGGCCTCTGAACACGAGAAGTCCGTAAAGTCTGAGACCGATACTGGAAGATGCATCTGGCATTTTGAGACATCTTCGGTACTGCTTTCAGGCAATTTGCTCTCCTTGAGGATCTTCTGAACGGCAGAGCGAACAAGCCTATGAGCAGGTCTACCCAGAGCTGCGAAAGCGTTCAATGTTGGCTGTGAGAAGATGCCATTGGGTAGGCTTTGCAGCTCAGAATCGGATTGTATCAAATCTGCAAGAAAGACCACCTTATTCTCGATACGTGTGACTGCTTGTGGTGATGTGTGTTTGTCCGAGGACGCAATTGCAAAAGGTATGTTTTCGATGCCAAAATGGCTGCCAAAGTCGGTTTGCAGAGACGTCATTGTGTGTGTTTGTAAACAGTAGGTGAACTTTGGGCCAGCAAGAATTGTGGCAGTGATGAGTCTGTACAGAAATATGTCGGGAACGGCTCCAAGACCCAACACATGTTTGCAGTGCTCTATTATTATCTGCTGACAATCCTTCTTGGGACCGACCCCACTATCTCCCCCATGCTCCCCCGATTTCTCCTCTATGTGGAGGACCCGACGAGCTTCCCGATGTGGGCAACCCCATCAACCAAAGCCGTTGCGTGTTATTTCCAGGGTCCAGACTGGAAATTGTATCACACGGAGTGTCATTTAGGCCGAGTCCGGATCACTACGGTGGATATCCAGAGTCCGTGATCAAGGAGGGTTGTGACTATTTCTGTACGAGCGGCATCCATCTTCCCTTTGTGATTTCCCAAAGACCAAATCTTGCCTAGGAAGAAATACCATCTCTCAAAAATGGCACTTAACGTTTTGATAGTGGGAGCAGGAATCGGTGGCCTGGTATGTTACAATGAGTTATGCTCGAGTTTGCAAAATCATGCTGACAAGATGTAGATGGCTGCGATTTCTCTTCGTGAGCAAGGACACGATGTGACCCTCCTCGAATCTTCCCGATTCAGCAACGAGACTGGAGCAGCTATCCACATGGCGCCAAACGCAAACGGCTTGCTCAAGCGTTATGGAGTTGACATCGAGAAGGTTGGAGCAAACGAATGCAGCCGCATCGCACAATACCATGCCGAGTCAGGAAAGGCACTCTTCCAAGTCGACCTTACAATGCCAAACAAGCAGTGGCAACACAAGTGGCTGTTGGTGCATCGTGCTCACTTGCACACTGCCTTGAGAGAAAGAGCTATCGGGAAGGATGGCAAAGGCAAGCCTGCTACACTCAGACTCTCGGCTAAAGTCGCTTCCGTGGATCCCGAAAAGGCAGAGGTAACTCTGGAGAGCGGCGAGAAGGTATCTGGTGATGTTCTCCTTGGAGCTGACGGCGTTCACGTAAGTCTCACAATCAATAAAGCCAAGGAGCTTCAAGCTGATATAATTCCAGNNTCGTTGTGTCGTAAGGCGCTGGACCTCGAGGATGCGGAGAAGTACACGCCTTTCGACTGCGGTCACAGTGCTTACCGCTTCTTGGTGCCAAAAGAGGAAGTCATGGCTGATCCCTCCTGCCGTGAGTTTGTCGAGCAAGAAGGTATGCTCTGCATGATCGTTGGTGAAGACCGCAGAGTCGTGGTGTATCCTTGTGTTGACAACAAGCTCATGAACTTCCTTCTGGTAAGCACTATCGTTCAGTCTTCGAGAGCTTCTTCTGACTTTGGTTCGTTATAGATCCACCCAAGCAAAGAATCACGCTCAGACGATGCTGGATGGAACCAACAGGGTGACAAGAAGCGCATGCTGGAAAGTGGCGCCAGTTTGGCTCCCCAAGTTCGTGCTCTTTTGGAGAAAGCCCCCGAAGATAGCTTGAAGGTATGGACTTTGCTGGACATGGCGGTGCTCCCTACGTGGATCAAGGGTAGCATGGCATTGCTAGGTGATGCCGCTCACCCATTCTTGCCTCACCAAGCTCAAGGTGGTGGTCAAGCTATGGAAGACGCAGTCTCACTAGCAGCCATCTTGCCTTATGGCACCACAAAGGAAGACATCCCGGAGAGATTGAGACTGTATGAACAGTGCAGACGCGAACGCGCGAACAGAATCCAAGACGGTACCAGATTGAGTGGAACGTCTCAANAAGAGCTTGCCAAGATGGGCAAGAAATACGATGGTCAGTATCTGCTGTAATGCGGTCTAAGTGGTTCTCTTGCTGACATTGGTGTTTTCANNGCTTTCGCCTTCACCAACTACAACTTCGGACACGACGAATGGGATTTCTCAAAGAATGCTCTGAACAAGCATCTCCAGTCCAAGCAGCCATACCGATTCCGCCAGCCAGTGTCGTTTGGCCCCAGCCCTGGTCCACGCCAGCCTCTCAACGCTCAGCTGGACGTGCACTCGATGGCAAAGCAGAACCAAACGATCGCCTCGATCCGCTTCAAGACCTCAAGGACCTATCTTCAGAACCTGTTCCCCAGCTCTTCGTTCTCTTTCATGTCTGCGGCAACAGTCGTAGAAGCCTCTATCGTTTGTTGCTCACTACGCAACATGACATGGCTGGGTAACACAGGATACGACCACTGTGGCCTTTACATCCACGGAGTGAAGTACACCAAGAAAGACGGCGAGATTCTCCAAGGAACTTTCCTACCCATCTTGTTCGAGAACTTTACAGATCCCATCATTACGGGTCGCGAGGAGCTTGCCGCACCTAAACTAGGATGCGATATCGATGTCTCGGCTTCTGGCGACTCTCGCAGTGTACGCATGAGTTGGCGCGGAACCACTTTCGCAGAGCTTGAATGGAACGGTCTTCAAGCAAAGCCCCAAGCAAATGGCACGAATGGCGTGAGTGCCACTCACGCCAAGCCTCCTGGTCCTCCCGGGCCTCCAATGCCCAAGATCGAAGACAATGGCTTGTTCATGTATCGTTACGTGCCGGCTGTGGGTGAGCCAGGAAAGGCGGATGCTGAGTATGCTGTCTTTGATGAGTACGAAAAGAAGGCACCGTCATCCACAGAGGCTCAGCAAGAAGTGCAAGACCAGACAACCAAGGCAGCAACCATCAAGTTCTCGCCTGGTGATTGGAACTCGCTACCGACCCTCCACCACATTGCTCAAGGCCTCGCAGATGTGCCCATCTACGGAATCGTAGAGGCCACCGTAAAGGAAGTGCCATCAGTAGGCGATGTTAGAGGGGCAAGGAGGATTGAATAGATCTCAAAGGCAATCCCCAGGTCGTGACATTCTTGTTAGCGGTTCAGCGATGTGTTTTGGGCATTGATATCTTGTTGGTAGTTATGCAGGTTGCCATACTCTGTCAAGTTTGAAACACGACATCAAACTCATCCAACTGTGCGTAAGAGGAATTTGCTGTTGCATTGGAGCTCCGTGGACGATCGAGGTTGGATGTCGACATATCATCTTGCCAAGCATAAGACATCATGTTTCTAGGTTGCTCGGGGTGACATTTTGTTCATGTCTTGGTGTTGTCTGCAGTCATGGCTCTGTTGGCGCCGCAACACACTGCAAAGAAGGCAGAGCCGCGAACGAAGACAAAACGGCTACAGGGCACGTTTGACATTCAAGTTGGCGTTTTGGGCCCAAAATGGCGTCCTAGTGCAAAGCATAGATGACGCCTACAAGTCCTCTCCGCGAGCCGAAGTTCTACCTGTAGGTGTCGGCGGATAGGGAGCTCTGTTGCGACCAGATACCTGACCACGAATCGATGTTGCAATGTCATGAAAGCCCTTGTAGGAATGCGTTGAGGTTCATGTCTTGTTTTGGTCGGTCTGTTAGTAAAGCTCCTGCAGTTTCGGCTTCGTCTGTTGGTCTTTTGGAAGTAGCCAAGCTGCTGCCGAGGCGTGAGTATGAGGAATCAAGGGTCGCAAAAGTTCGATCCCCAGGCCCGATCGCTCCGTAAAACGCATTCAGTATTAGCGGAGCAGCAACTCAAACGAGAACCAATGACCGCTAAAGTCGAGTTAGGGAGATTGCCTGGTTGGTCGATAGCGCGACTAAACCTGTTGTCTCATCCACTCGACTCGTGCATGTCATGAAGGCCCTGGTCGCCTCCGCCGCTGCTTCCGCCTTCGGGATATGTTGACTTTCTGAACCAATTTGACCATGTCATCTCGTGCTTGTGTCCCACCACCACTTTCTCATCTCTCCCCTCTCGCTGTCTTCGTTCGCTAAGAGGCCCCTGTATTTGCACGATTATTGAACGCGTGCGCGCAGGAGCTGGTCTTTAGTCGCTTCTTAGCTCGATTCGTCTCTCGCACAAACACCGAAGTGGTCTCGACGTCATCCAGCAGCAAAGACCCTTGGACATATCCCACCTACCGAAAGTCCGACGCACCTCTGTTCGGCACGCATAGAGGACCAAGATACGAGTAGTCAGAAGCCGTGCTAGATGGAAAGGTGGCTCGTTTGCGCACACAGCACATGAACCTGCTGGACGAAACTATCAGGACCTCGTCTATGCCCGACGGCGAGGCCCGTCTGCCAGCCTATATGGAAATCGATGAAGTTGCCATGGACCGGCAGCGAGCCTCCGCTCTGGCCGCACACCAAGATGCCCGCGCCCTCATTCGCTTGATCCAGTGCCCCCAGTGCTCCAAGCCGTACACCAGCCCCGTCACCCTACCCTGCGGCAACTCGCTATGCCGCACTTGTCTGCCTCAGTCCTACCGCCGTGAGGGCGTCTCGTACCCCGATACTCCTGGAAGACAGCGCGGCTTTCTTTGTCCTTACACCGAATGTTCCGAAGAGCATGTCCTGGCAGACTGCAGCATCGACGTCACCCTGTCGAAGCTCATGGAAGCCATCGCCGACCTCGTCCGCGGACACATCCAACTCGCCGGCGATAGACAGACATATATGGAAGAGGTGGTTAAACAGGACGAGGTGCTGGGAACAATCACATCCGTAGACTTGGACAAGGACAGTCCTCGATGCTGGACCATGCCCGGAGCTCGTTTGGTGGCCACATATAACCTCGCTGGTACCGGCATTCTCGGATACAAGACTGAGGTCACGTACACCGACTTGCCCGAAACAGAACAAGCCGCGCAAGAAACAGATCAAGGGCTGCTGGTGCAACTGCTCGATACAGCACAGAAAGAGGTCGACTGCCAAGTCTGCTACAACATCATGTTCGATCCTGTCACAACCGCTTGCGGTCATACGCTCTGTCGCAAATGCCTGGCTCGCACGCTTGATCACTCGACCCACTGTCCTGTCTGCCGCCGCTCTGTCATCACCCCACCCTCACTTCTCAGATACCCGAGCAACAAGACGTTGGTCAGTCTGCTCGAGGGGCTCGTTCCAGACATCATCTCTGCTCGCGCTGAAGCTGCCGCCCTCGAGGACGCCATTGCTCTCCCAGATTTTGAAACTCCTTTGTTCGTCTGCACCCTCGGTTTTCCCGGTTGTCCTACGTTTCTACGCGTCTTCGAGCCAAGATATCGACTGATGATCAGACGTGCTATGGAAGGAAACCGGCAATTCGGTATGGTTACCTACAATCGCCATGGAGTACCCCAAGAAGGACTAGGCAACACACAATTCCTCGCCTATGGTGTCATGCTCTACATAGAGAATGTGCAGATGCTCCCCGATGGCCAGAGCATTGTCGAAACCAAAGGCATGTACCGTTTCCGTGTGAAACAGTATGGCACTTTGGACGGCTATACAGTGGGCAGAGTTGAGCGTGTTGAAGACGTTTCGCTACAGGAAGAAGAGCGTCTAGAGGCCGAAGAAACATCGCAGCCCCCTGCCGCGGAGAACGATATTGAGGGCCAAGTCAGCAGGATGTCAACTCGAGAACTTCTCATGCTCGGGCTTGACTTTATCCTTGTCATGCAAGGTCGAAGCGCACCTTGGCTACACCAACGCATTCTAGAAGCTTACGGCGGCCCGCCGGACGACGCCGCCCTCTTCCCTTTTTGGTTCGCCAGCATCCTTCCTATCAGCGAGGACTGGAAGTATCATTTGATGCAGACGACAAGTGTACGATCGAGACTCAAGATTACAGCTCTTTGGGTCAGGCACATGCAGACACAGCGATGGTACCAGAGCAACGCATGCACAGTCTTATGACTGCTCACGCATCTCGCCTTGCGTTTTGGAGCTCCCATCTTCATCCTTGTTATCGCGGTCCGAAATTTTGTGCGTGATGCCTGAATGGGGATTTCCTCGTTCCCAAACCACCAGAAAACACGCCTACCAAAGCGCTCTTCATTGGGCATTCTTCTTTATGTTTTTGTTTTCTTTGTACATCAGGTTTCTCTGCACCTGGCTTTATTCTCTTTCTTATTTTTTGATCTTTTCTCTTTTCTATAGCGGTCATGATATATCCAGAGCTATTAGGCTCGTTACCGCCAGGCGTCATGGGGCAGGATATATATGAACAATGGATGCTTTTCTGTTTTGCTGATTGAGAGAGGGGACTGTACATTGCACGTCAAAATGATGGTCGAGAAGAGTATCTCGAATTCTTATCTTGTTTCACGAATAGCTTTCTCTCTCGTGACGGACGTGTTTCCATCTTTCTAGTCTCATGGTATATGCAAATATCAAGGATGACGCTGATCATATCTGCCGTCCACGTCTCGCCAGATGTCGCGCCCGGGCAGACCATGCATAGATACTTGATGGAGAGCCCTGCCCAAGAAATGCATGTGTGTTCTGCTCGGAGTGCTGAGGAATGCAGGAGCATTGGTTGGTATGAGACGAGCCTAGTGATATGCTTGGTAGAAGTCCTTATAGTACAATGAACAGCCGTGTCTTGAGCGGTATGATGAGTTTTGCGAGACGTTTTATTATATGTGTATATCGAGACGAGAATTGGTGGTTTATTTTCCATCTCCACCACCCATGACGATCTGGACGAGCAAGAACAGACCGATGGCCCACCAGTACCTGTCAAATGGTTAGCAGAAAGATCTACAGATACCGCATCGCAAGAGGAGACTGACTTTNTGTAGGAAGGACTTCTCGGGTTCTTTCGCTTCGGGCTCTCCTTGTTGGTTCACGACGATAGGCTTGTCAAAAGCGACTTGTGGTCCCTGGCGCAGCGGCACAATCTCGACTGCAAGCGTGCCATCGGTAGACTTTGCAGTTGCGGTGCTGAAGCCAACATGCCACACATCTCCGGTCGAATCGACGTACAGGCGCAGGGCGGGCTTCTTTGTCGCATGGAAATTGGCTCCTGAGGTTGATACGCCGACCCAGTCACCGGCGCGGTGGACGCCTACTCGTACGGGCTCATCTGATTGGACTACCGGTGCGGTGTATGAGTCTACGGTGGCATTGAGTGCGGGCCAGGAGTAGGAGACTTTGGCAAAGGGGAGCGGTGATGATGCTGACGAGGGCCAGGCGAAGACGTCGGTGGTGCGGAGGGAGTCTGTGGTGGCTGCGGCAATGGCAGAAGTGGCGCACAGCAGGGCTGCCAGCAGATTTGTCGCTCCTGTGAGATGCATCTTGTGCTGATCTAGTATGTCTGGTTATCGTGTCTTGTCTGGCTGTTGACAACGGTATGGGCATGTTCGACCTTGGGAGCTTCAATGCCAAGACAAGAGCAGCCGCAACGTTCGGAGGAAAGTGGCCCGAGTCTGGAAGGAACTGGACCCTGACATGTTCCACGTCACTTTCAGTCCAATGGGGAAAGCTTCCTCAGCCATCATTCTCCGAGGCCGCTGCAGCTTTTGTTGATTGATATGGTGTTGAGATTGATAGACGGTGCTACAGAGGCCAATTGCTCATGTGGTGGCACCTGCCTAGAGATTCAGAAGAGCTAGCCAAGCAGGTGCAAATGAACCGACGAGAATGGTGCATTTAACCAGCGGCCTCCTGCTTGTCAACCAAAACATCCGGAGGCGAGCACAGGCTTCCCCGAGTCTCCTCGTTTTCTCCACTCCAGCGTCATCACGATCGACATCCCCAAGCTCCCCAGAGATAAGTGCCACGCCTTCAAGACCTTTACCCGTTCGCTCAGCATTTCAGACGGTTTGATCTTCTTCTTCTTCTTCCTCTTGCTCTCTCCAATCTCCCTCTCTTCCCTCTATTCTACCCAATTGGCACCAGTCCAGTGATTAGAGACCTACACAGCTCAACCAATACTACTCCTCGAATTTCAACTCAACTCCCAACACTACTTGATCTTTGACCAAACCAAGCACACCCATCATGTCTTCAATGCCCTTCCGCCAGCCTTACAGGCAGGCTTCTCGACAGCAGTCGAGACAGATGTCTGTCGACCCCCACAATGAGCTCCACCCTGTCCAGGACCACTACATTGGCATTGATGTCGGTACCGGTAGTGCTCGCGCCTGTATCATGAACGACAGGGGTGACATTGTCGGCCTTGCCAGTGAGAACATAGGCCTCTGGCAGCCCGAGACTGGTTACTACGTGAGTCTTGCGTAGTCTTGATACAAGTATTCCCGCTCACACCCAAGCAGGNAACAATCCACCACAGACATCTGGAGATGCATCTGCAACTCGGTACAGCGTGCCATGAACCAGCACGGCATCGACGGCTCGACCATTCGCGGTATTGGTTTCGATGCCACCTGCTCGCTCACCGTCTTCTCCAACGACACGGACGAGCCCATCTCCGTCACTGGTCCCAAGTTCGACAATGCCGACGGCAATGACCGCAATGTCATCCTATGGCTCGACCACAGACCCGTCGAGGAGACTGACAAGATCAACGCCACAAACCACAACCTGCTCCGCTACGTTGGCGGCAAGATGAGCATTGAGATGGAGATGCCAAAGGTCCTTTGGCTCAAGAACCACATGCCCAAGGAGCTCTTCGACCGCTGCAGATTCTACGACTTGACCGATGCCCTTACTCACATCGCCACTGGCAACGACGACCGCAGCTTCTGCAGTGTCGTCTGCAAGCAAGGCTTTGTGCCAGTAGGCGTTGACGGCAGTGTCAAGGGCTGGCAAGAAGACTTCCTCAAGGAGATTGGTCTCGAGGATCTGTGCGAGGACAACTTCAAGCGCCTGGGTGGTGTAGACGGGGTGGTAATTACCTGACCTTTATTGTTCCCAGTAGCCCAAAGACTGACCCAATTCGCAGNNAGCGGAAAGTACCACACAGCTGGTGACAAGATTGGCACTCTTTGCGATAAGGCTGCCGCTGACCTCGGTCTTCCTCCTGGTATCGCTGTCGGTGCTGGTGTCATCGATGCCTATGCTGGTTGGATTGGTACCGTCGGGGCAAAGGTCCGCTTGCCAAACGGAAACCTCCAGTCTGGTGCCGACAAGAACGATGTCTCGCAAGCCTTCACTCGTCTGGCTGCCGTCGCCGGAACTTCGACCTGCCACTTGGCCATGTCTCACAAGCCCGTCTTTGTCGAGGGTGTCTGGGGACCATACCGCGATGTGCTCATCCCAGATTACTGGATGGCAGAGGGTGGTCAGTCGGCAACCGGCGAGCTGCTGAAGCACGTACTCGAGACCCACCCAGCCTTCCAGCAGGCCATGAGTGTCGCCGAGACGTTCAACGCAAACATCTACGATTACCTCAACGAACATCTCAACGAGATGATGACAAAGGAAGACGCTCCCACAATCTCATACCTGGGCCGTCACTTCTTCTTCTACGGCGATCTGTTCGGCAACCGCAGTCCCATTGCTGATCCCAACATGAAGGGTAGTGTGATTGGCTTGTCGAGCGACCGTAGTTTGGACGGTCTGGCACTCTACTACTATGCCACCATGGAGTTTATCGCACTGCAGACCAAGCAGATCATTCAGCGCATGAACGACTCGGGCCACGTCATCAACTCCATCTTCATGTCAGGAAGTCAGTGCCAGAACGGCATTCTCATGGACCTCATGGCCACTGCTTGCGAGATGCCCGTCGTCATCCCCAGATATGTGCACGCAGCCGTCGTCCACGGAGCAGCCATGCTCGGAGCCAAGGCAGCTTCCGCGGACGGCGAGGGCAAGACAGAACCCCTGTGGGATATCATGGACCGTATGAGCAAGCCCGGTAAAGTCGTGCTTCCTGGCAAGGACCAGAGTGAGAAGAAGCTGCTCGATGCAAAGTACAAGGTTTTCCTCATGCAGTGCGAGCAGCAGCGTGAGATTCGTCGCGACATTGACGAGGCTGTCAGCGGCTGGAAATAAGAATTGATGGATCCAAAAATGCTTGAAGAATGATGTTTTGCTACCATAGATATACGATAATGGATGAGATACGAATGTACCTGAATATCGCTTGAGTGGACAAATTCGGAGTGTGTCTTGTACATGTTGATGCGTTACAAGATGCTCATTGCAAATGCTGTCTAGTTCTTTTCCTCGGCAACATCCTCCTTGACTTTGGCATCACCTCTAGCAGGCCTCTCGCCAAAGATGGTCGTTCCAACTCTAACCTCTGTACTGCCCTGTCTGATGGCAGCCTCAAAGTCCGAACTCATACCCATACTCAACTCCAACTTGTCAGCCTCAATGCCCAACTGGCCAGCCACATCATCCCTACACTCCCTCAAAGCCTCAAAGTCTTCATTCTCCGTCTCTTTGGTTGTAGCCTTTGATCTCGCAATCGCACCGATGGTCATCAAACCTCCCAACTCTAGATGCGGGCAATCATCCAAAATATGTTTGCAAAGCGCCACCGCATCTTTGGGCTGCACACCAGACTTTTCCTCTTCCCCCGAAGTATTGATCTGCACCAACACCCTCAACTTCCCGCCTCGCACCTGATCTTCAAGTTTCGCCCTTCCCTTTTCCAATCCGTCGGCTTTTTTGACGCTGTCGACACTGCTGACGGAAAACAGATTTGGGATCGACTCGGCCAGGGGGCGACATTTGTTTGTCTGGAGGGCGCCGATGAAATGCCAGTTTATTGTTTTGGGCAGCAGTGCGGCTTTTTCTGTCAGTTCTTGCGAGTAGTTTTCGCCGAAATGGGTGTGCGAGGTGGGGGCATTGTGGAGGGCGAGAATGTCGTTTGCGGGTTTTAGTTTTGAGACTGCGATGAGGCGGACCTGGTGTTGGTGTGGGTTGTCAGTGGTAGCTGAGAGAGAGGAAGGAGGGAAGCAGAGGCATACATTCTTTCCTGCAGTGTTTGCGGATTTGACCTGGGAGAGGACGTGGCTGAGGTTTTCCGAGAGTTGTTTTGCGCGGGTGGGGTTGATTTGCATTTCTTCTTGGGCGGAGGACATTGGAGATGAGTTGGTTGAAGAGGTTGAGCAGGGTTTTAAGTCAGAGATGGTGTGGTGGTTTGATTGAACAGTGTGAGTGAAGATGTCGAGCGAGTGTTTCTGGCAAGAAGCTCTCCCGGTCAATGACGATGTTCTCAGGGCCGCCGGCTAAAGTTGCTTTGGTAGGAGACAACTCCATTGCAGTGCCTACCACCCTGGCTGGAGATATCTTCTCAATTGCCATACCACTGCAATGCGTACACTATCAACGAGTCTCTAGAGAAGTAGCGGTACATTTGGTCTCCAATCTGATATACTTGAACTATATCATGTTTATCAAACGTGATTTGCACAACTAATGCTGTCGGTTTGCGTTGTATTTTTGGGGGGGCTCTCTATGGTCGAGGCATGATTTATCGGAATCACGAATATCTACCTCATTCTAGACGGATCTCATCCCAAACTGATAGAACCAGTATATTGGTATGTGAGAAACATTTCTACGAGGCCAGAGCCCAAACAGTAGTCAATAACGTTGGATAAAGGCATATTCTTCTCGACAATCATTGTTAGTGGTGCGACCCTGCTCCCAGAAACCCAAGGACAACTCTTCTGATTGCAGGACGGACTCCTTATGCATGGCCACACATGAGGATTCTATACCTAGCACATGTGTTATCTCTTGTTTTGAAGATTTACATCATATTAGCTATATATTTGAGGGTCTATGTTTTCAGATGTCGTGATAAAAGCGGAGCACAAGTCACAAAGAATTTGGCGATACAGGTAGCCTCTTGAAGCAGGTACTCTTCTCTCTTCGCAGAAGCCACAGTTGCTGATGCTTGATTGTCCTGCGTCGCACCAATGGCATTGCGTGTCAGAAGTAAGAGATCATCGATCAAATATTCGTCAGCATCGAGTACAAGACCACACATCCATCTTACCAGTCTCTGCACCAGCTTCTCTGCCGGCACATCCCAGTCGCGAGGCTCAGTCGTGGATGTGACATGCCTTTTCAGGACTAGCGAGGTAGCTCTTGCCTTGATGTTGGGAAAGCGAGTCGCGTCTCCTCTCTGCACCGCGAGACCGTAGGCTACCAGTATTGTGTAGAGTTCAGCATCTTCATGTAGATACGGCCGCAGCCTTCCCATATTCAACAGCCATGTCACAAAAGCCTTGTGTAACGCGACGTTGATATCTGAACGACCGTTTGTCAGCGCGACAAGTTGAGTGTCGAGTAATGATGGACGTTGTGGAGGGTCGACGCGTGGAGAAAAAGGGGGTCCAAGCGGTGGTGAGTCAGGGGTATCGAGCGGATTCAACGAGAAGCTGCTGTCGGCGCTCGAACCTTGGTTCGGAGGTGTCGTTGGCACGACTGAACTGGCATCCCTGCATTTGATTGAACGCGGAGAGGGTGCGCAGTCGCTCGCTGGCACCTGAACCTGTTCGTATGCTGGTGGTGGAGCAACGTCTTCAGCAGTCCGTCGACCCCAATGCTTTGCTTGTGGATCCGCCTCATCCCCATACGGATCCTCCTCTCCTCCTTGTTCATGCCTTGCTCTTTTCCTCTTGTGGGCGTGGCGGTTGTCCAGACTGGCACCAAGGTTGGTTGCTGTGCGAGCACACTTGGTATCCAGGTAGTCGTTCCACGGGTCGAAGACTCCGCCGTTGTGACTGTAGCACGATTCGAGGTTGAATGATGGAACGGTATAGTTGTATTGGAGAGCGTGTATGTTTCGTGTCAGAGCCTGATGCGCATATGTGCTGTAGCCTATGTAGACTTCACATCTCTCGGCCGACTCGGCGAATGCCTGCACCGAGAGCATAACGTGTTCAGCCGCGCCTTGTACTGCTCGCATAGTCTTGCGAATAGGCATCAGGGTCTGACTTGGAACGGTCTTGCACAAGGACAGTCGCAGAAAGCGGGATTTGGAAGAGCCCTCGATTGTTTCGAACATGCGGGACATGTCTTCAGGTATCTCATCTATACCCAGGATGGGTAATTCGTCACTGGCAAGCGTCAAGCTTTCAGACACCGAAAACAAGTCAAATCTCTTCCTCTTGCCCTTCGAATAGTGCGTGACCGTGAGTTGCAACATGGCCACGGCTTGACTGCTGCATTCGACAAGGCCGAGCCAGAGAATCAAACTCGCATCCTTGTTGAGAGGGGACGGCTCCCCGAGGTGTAGCGCTTGATCGTGGTCTCGGTCGTGCCATTTCAGAACGACTCGCTCTTTCAAAAACCACACAGGCTCATGGTCATTAAACGCGACGGAGGAAGGAGATGGGTACATGGTTGATGTATTGGGGGATATGTAACTGCAAAATAAAGATCAACTTTGAAGAGAATGCCCTGACACAGAACGCGTCAGAAACCCTCCCACCCGGGCTTTTGTCGACTGCGAGCAGCCCTGACTCAAGAATACAGAAAGAAGAGCGCTCAATATCGCGACGTGAAGAAGAAGACGTGTGGTCTCCAGAGTTCGGACGCTGTGGGCTTCCAATCATACAGATACCGTCACACAATTCTTGTAGGACACCGCGAGGTCGCAGATACCAGTCGAAGAACCGGACAGACACCGTACAAAGAGTAGCACGCAGAGACAGGCCGAGCAAGAGAGGTGTGACGCGTGAGTTTGACAAAGTGTTGATGGTGTGAGCGTGTTGTGGTAAAAGATGGTATTGGGCGCAAAAACAGCTTGGAGTCGACGTTCGCTGGGTGGATAGCCTGAGTCATGTGCAGATCGATCACGCGTCACGCGTTTCTGGCAACAGGTTTGGCAACATGTTTGGCAACAATGACAGTCCAGTCACTTGTTGCCAACAACGACATGCTGGCCTTCTTATCTATTCGACCACACGGCAACTCTCATACTTGTTATGCATTATCGACTACCGACACTCGACAACATTGCAAGAAAATGTACGTGTAGTCTGTGAGCCTGTGTTTTCAAGTTAGTCAGACCAATGAACGAGAGCCTCGAGCGTCTGTTCATGCAAGCTGGCATCCAAAGGAACAGACGTCGAACAAGGCCGCAGAGTTTCAGAGCAAGACCATGCGATGGACTCAACCCAGATGGCTGGCAATGTCCGAGCAACAGTTCCATGCGTGCGAACTGCCCCATTCCAAAATCTCAGATTAAGCTGTGAGGAACAATCTACTTGGAGACACCCAAAGTCTGGGACAATGTCTTGATTGCAACATGCATTCAAGACAATGGATACCAGCCATCGCGAAGGATTGGCTGTAGGATGCAATTCTAAACCAGCACCACGGTGTCGCTTTCGCCGTTGGTAGCCAATCAGGACAGATAACTTATTTTTTAGGAGGTGCAAATAGATTGGAACATATTGTGCATGGAAAGCCACAGGCAAGGTAACAGTCTGTATACGAAGAGGCTTGGGGGCCTTCATTGTCAATCTAAACCTGCCACTCGGATTTGTACTGCACTGCACTGCACGGTGGATCAGCTGGGGTTATGAAGCAAGGCTGGGATATGAATGATTTGAGAAAGGTCGCTGGATTATATTGCGTGCATTAGTTTGGGATCCTCTCGCGCGTGAACGTCAATCCCCCTGACAGCAGCTAGTCCACTAGCCTGCCAATCCACATTGCGCAAGTGTGATTTGCAAGTTCGGCGGAGGCTCTCCTCACGAACCTTGAACAAGCCAGATGCGGGCATTACTGATCGTCACTGCTCTGTAATCAGTAGTCGCAACTGCCGTCGGCGAGGGCGTTGTGAGTCTTCTCGCCAAAGGCTTTCGTTGCTGGGTGAGTTCTCCCCTGAAAACNGCTCCACACGTCCAACAGGGGTCCGCCAAGCGAGCTGTCCCGAAAGCCAGCAAAGCTCTGAGAACCTTCTCANNTCAGCTTCTCACAACGTCAAAACAAACAAATACACAGTCACATTCTATATTAACCTGGGAGGCTGCAGCACATGTAACTCATCTGCGCCTCAGCAAGGATCCNTCGACNCCAATGACCAAAAGTTAGGTTGGCGCAGCAGCCCTGCAAGAATTACATNNTGGAGGCTCGCGGCATCTTCGATCCCGCACAAGCCTCGCAAATCCACATCATCATCAGCTTCGACTCCAACATGCTATATGCGAACCNGTGCCATGCACAAATCGGGACAATACGCCCGTATTCCAGCTGCCATGTGTCCCCGGGATCTCCGTATGTGGAGCATAGAAGGTATGAACGCCGAACACAACGAGACAGTCGGTCAAGNNCAAGTGCAGACATAAAACCGGGTCCCACAGCGTTGGGTCGGAACATCCAACGACGTGATGCTCGATTCATCCACGTCGACGAAACACGTCCATGAATGATGATGGCAGCAGTGCATTAGCTGTCGCGCCTGTTATGCACCTGGTCTAGACAGGTCAGGTTCGGCGCATCGCCGGTGCCCTATCCCAGTACGTCGGCACTGGCGATGGCGCTAAGGCTGTTCGGCGCGGCGCGCCCGAGTGTCGTCTAACCTTGTTCTGTCGCGGGCCCGCGACGTTTTCTTCCCTTTTCCTCCTTTTACGATGGTGTGTGTTCCGTGCCACAGCTTGCATCTCTTCCGGGATGGGTTGCTGGCCTGGAGTTGGAAGCAGCAAAGGCACCTTCGCGCAATGTGCCTCTATTAATCTATCTGGCATTGCACTTGGGCGTCTCCCAGGTACCTGGGCTTGCAAGAATGATCTGAAACCGATATTGGAATCAGCATCATGGTGGTGGGAAGGTGGTCGTTGCGTGCATATACATATCCAAATTCATACTTCCTTCGGACGTTGGACATCGATGGGATAGGTGGGTTCCTAGCTTGCGAGTATAACAACGTTTGTTCCCCCTCCCCTTTCCCACCGTTCAGACATCTATCCCTTCGCTTTCATCTCAACTCACCCTCCTTTGCTCCAACGTTGTGTTATCTTGTACCCTGCGAGGAGATAACAACACATAACGGAACCTCTTGGGAACCACTTTCGCGAACCCTTCTTTACCGTCATCGTTCTCTTCTTCAAACCGTCAGATCATGATGGATTCCACACTCACATCTTCATCTCGATCGACGGTCCAAGGCATCGCAGGCGCTGCCATCGGACTGTCAAGTATCCTCGTCATCGTTCACATCGTCTCAAGACGCGTTGCAAGAGCTTCGATCTGGTGGGACGATGGTTCTTTATGGTTGGGTGGTTGCATGACTCTGGTGATGAACGCTCTCTTCATTCATGGTATGTCTTGAGACACATCCAAGCCTAGGATAGAATGATAACAATGGACAGGAGCACAACTAGGCCTTGGTTCATATGAGGAGCAAGTATCGTCATCACAAATCGAAGGCATCTTCAAGGTCAGTCCATGCAGCAGCATGAGTCGTAACACAACCTAACCTTGCATAATAGNNATCCTCTTTACCAACAACTTGATCCACCTGTGGGCATTGGCCTCTATCAAGGCTTCATTACTCCTCTTTTTCAACCGCATGTTTGCCAGCTCCAACAACACTCTTCGCTGGACCGTCTACTTCTCTCTCTGCCTCATCTTTGTATGGGTTATCACATTCACTGCTGTCTCAACCTTTCAATGTACACCAGTCTCCTTCTTCTGGGACAGTGGTGTAGTCGGAAGGTGTATTACTTCTGACTGGACCTCAAGAACAGCTATTGCCATCTGTGACACCGTCTTCAACCTGGCTATCGACTTCCTCTGCTTGATGGCACCTTTTCAGGTACTTCGCAAGATGCAGTTGGCCACCGGCAAGAAGGCAGGTCTTGCTATTGTCTACCTCCTTGGTGGCTGCAAGATTGTCATCACTGTCATTCGCGTTCTCTACCAGATTGACACTCCTTACCTGGCGTCGTCTGACTCTCTCTACTCATCTTTCGCCCCCACCATCTTCATCATCATCGAGACCAACCTTGCAATCGCCTGTGCTTGCTTACCTTCCTTCTCTGTCATCAACGACCGCACCATCTTTGTCATGACTAAGCTCGGCTCTCGTTCCAACACTCCTGAGATCCTCGAGCCTCCCAACTCCCCTTACTGCCGACCCAGCTACCAACAACAACAATTCTCCGACACTTCTCTGTTCCTGACAGAATTCAAGCGTCAGCCAGCAGCCGAGTTTCCCATTCTCACCACCATCACCAGCAATGTTTCAGAAGAGCCAGCTCGTCTGCCCAGCCTTGAGTTGGGTAGCTTTGCTCAGTCTTCCGTCTTTGACATTCTCAAGCCTGCGGGCGCCATCGTCAAGACCTTGGACGTCGAACAGACCATTGAGGAGTATGACTCGGTCAGAAATCTGAATGTCGAACAGACGATCGAGGAGTACGATTACATTATGAGACAAGCATCTTTCTCTATTGTTCCTGCGAACTTCTCTATTGTCTGAGTTGGCCGACTCTCTCTCTCCGCATTCCCTTTCTTGTCCGTTCTTTGATCTGTTTGTTTTTCTTGTTTTCGTCTTTTTTTCCCCGTTATACCCCCCCTCGTTTTATGTCTGTTGGAGCCTGTTTGGGAGCGAAGCGTTGGTGTTATATCATGATGATCAAGCGCGGTGTTCCGGATGGGATGGGATGGGATAGCATGGATGGCTTATTACCTTGTCGCTAGCAAGAGACCTTTTTCCTTTGTTTCTAGAGAATTTAGATGAAGACAGAATACTCTTCTTGGGTAGTTTGGAACGAACAATAACGGTAATGGTAGTTAGTTTAGTCAGACACATACCTTCCATGAGATGGCCACAAATGAGAAAGAATCAAACCCATGAGATATCACTTTACTTTCCTGCTTCTCTGTTCTGTGAGTTTCTTCTGCTATAGGTTATCTGTCTTTTCGATGGGTTGTTCTTTGCTCGCTCTGCCTCATCTTGCACCTTCCTTTTTTGACCAATCGCCTTTTCTTGCTACTCTGGTTTTATCTTCTCTTCGCAATGATGCCACTTGTAAAAGCTGATGGATATCTCCTGCCACTTGAACATGTCCGTATCCTTCCTCTTCAATGACCTGTGCGGTGACAATGACACAGCGGAAAACACACTAAACCATTTGAAAGCTGACCCGACCATGCGAACGCCGAGCTGACCATCAAAGAGCCGAGATGACCACCCGAGAGTTGAGGTGACCATGCCAATCGCTGAGCTGACCATGCCAAAAGCTAAGCTGACCATTCCAAAAAGTAAGCTGACCATTCCAATCAAAAATCCAACCAACACCACAAAAAGCCAGTCGACCAGTGCTTGGGATTATATGTTGACCATGGAAAGACGAAAAAATAGCGACCAAGGCTATGGAGAATATGACCAAGGCCAGAAAGTTGACCAATATCAAACAGCTCTGACCAGTGGCAGTAAGTTACGAACAAGACCATGCGAAAAGCTGACCTGACCACTGAAAAAGCTGACCTGACCACTGGAAAAGCTGACCTGACCATCGGATAAGCTGACACGGTGGCCGTCGGGAAAGCTGACATGACTGTCGGGAAAGCTCATGACCGTCGGAAAAGCTCACCCGACCATTCCAATAATCAATCCGACCATTCCAAACGATTCCCTACCAAACACCAAACCGGCCGACTAGCATTAGGGCCAAGAACCTGACCACTGTCACAATGATGTCAATTCAGCGCAACAAGATCCAACTCAGACCACGAGTGAGGACTCGAATATGAAGAAAGAGGCGACCAGTGCCTGTGAAAAGAAGACCCGCAGATAAAAAACAAGAGAAGCTGACCATTCCAAACCAAAACGCGACCAATGCTAGCAAAAAGTCGACCGGTGCTAACAAAAAATCGACCAGTGTTGATGAAAAAGTTCGACCGGTTGTCAAGAAGAATAACTTGGCCAAACACCACGGGAAAATACCTGACCAATGCCAGAAATGAAAATCTGGCCAAGGTCGGAAAACAAATCAACACTCATATCAAAAACCACACACCGGAAAGTCACAGGGATGTTCAGATCAATCCTTGATCCACTGAGATTTTGTGTTTTCCTCGACATCTTCTCCAAAAAAAAAAAACACTCGTTTGAAACAAGAGACATGACTTGAATGACCATCCCCACCAGAATCATCCCTAGAAAGAGTGCTGCACAAAGTCACAAAGATCTTAGAATCCCGCCTTGGGCCACTGAGAGCCCCTTCTCTGACCAGCCCTCATTGGACAATGTATCTTTTACTAAAGTATCATGTGTTTCAGCAGCATACTATCAAGCACTAGTTGCAGGGAGAGAGTCGTCAAGAATGAAGATTGTTGCTGCTATCTGCTATCTAACACTGTCTGATATGCATGGTACGAGACATGAATGCTAGTATCGCAACAGTGATGGCCAGCAAGACGACCACCCTGACGATATGACATGGCACCGGATTGCGTCTGTAGCGGGGATAGTTGCAGATGTCGAAAATGTTCTGCGAGCAACCGTAAAAGGTCTTATTCGGACCGCCTGCGCATGGGTTCATGTGCTTGACAGCACGGGGAACCAGGTTGAGTTTATGCATTGTGGCCTGTCGTGCAGCCTCTATCTAAGCGGCTTGCCATTCCACGGTCAACTCTGTGCCATGGCCTGCTTTGTCGACGTAGATATCGATCTTGTTGAATCGATAAGGCACTTCGTCCGCATAAAAGGTCAACCCTTCGCTCTTCTCGAAAACAGTGGCTTCCGAGACATCAGACGAACAGCGGAATACGCCTCCGACAACTGCGCACTTGCCTTTCGAACTCTCCAGACTGAAGCCATCGTCCTCCTGCGTGGCATGGAACCTTGCGCAGCTTCTAGTATCGTACCATGAGCCACCAGAGATGATACACCCCTTGGCTCTACCGCCAGTTTTCGCGATAAGGTTACCTCTACCACTGAAAGCGGGTCCGGTTGGCTCGGGAACATGGGTGCGGGTGTGTGTGGCTGTTGGGGCAGGACGGCCTCCCTTGGCTGCCTTTGGAGGGTATCGAATACCACTGTAGGGACATGTGCTCTTGCCTCCATCCGGATCCGCTGCCTCGAAGACACCAGTCTGAACGCTGCCACGGACCTCGAAATGGTACCAGACCTCGTCTAGCTTGCCGCCCTTGCAGCCAAGTGTGACGGGACGACCATGTCTTGAACTCAAGGCACTCTGGATTTGATCTCTTGTGTATGACTTGGAGGTACTGGGTTCGATACCAGCGTCTAGCAGCCACTGGTAGGTAGGGCGCTGAGTGTAGAGCGAAACAGCAGCGGCAAAGTAGTCGACGACCTCTTCCTTGCTACGATATGAGGAGTAGCAGTCAGGGTTGAGCGTCGAGACACAGGTGCCGTGCTTGCTCCACTCGTGCATCCATAGACTCTCATCGTGGCCCTTGTAATCTTTCCAGTACATGGTCATGTTGGAGAGGAGGTCGGTGGCGCCAAAGGACTCGAGAATGTCTCTGATATTGTGGTAGGCGCGGCTATCGTCGCAATTGGCTTCGTAGCTGCCGTCGCATCGGTCGGGNCCTGTATAGAGGTGTAAGCCATGGTCGTTGTCAGAAAGGGATAGTACGCACCACAGGCCGTGTATGGTCCAGGCATCGTCAGGCCCAGTGGGAGGGTTAGTGTCCCAAAACTGTGTCTGTAGCATCTGACCGCCGGGGTAGTTGAAACAACATAGATCCTCGACGACCGAGGTATTATGACAGCTCAATTGAGGGTTCGAACAGGAAGGCGCGTTGCCGACATCGAGGCCACCAAAGTAGGACTGAGCGCCCAAGATGACTTGGGAGCCCCCGAGAAGGAGCGACTTGACTGGCGGAAGCTTCGAGGGCACCTTGTCGACGAGGTTCGACCAGAAATCGGAAGGTGCGATAACCACCATGTTGGTGTTGTTGAGGGAAAGAGCTGCTTGTGCGGGGATACCTTGATGGCGCAGGGTCGGATTGATGGAGTTGGTGATACGTATGGATGGAAACAAGCTGCGGCGAGGAAGGAGATGAATAGAGAAGCTGAAGCTGAAGCTCAGATGCTTGTCATGCGCGAGGAAAGAGAGTCAGAGGGTACGCCGATGAGGCAGGAGCATGCAGCAATGATAGCACATGACTGGTCCACATTACCCAGTGAAACCGATAAGCCCCGTTATCGCCGACACCCCGTCATTGCCCTGCGCCACACCCGTGTTCCTGCATGCCACCTGACGACTTCTCTCCAGCCCATTCGGGAGCAATGTGTGAGCCGTGGAAATGCATAATATTTTGCGAAACCAGAGCAACATCCACCGGGAGCAGACATTTCATCGAGTCTCCTTGGACACGCTATGTTCAAGCAACATCGCATCAACAAGCAATGGTTGATCTGTTCTTCTTACTATTATGGATGATGAATGTCTTGCTATTATGTTACTAAACTACATTCACGATCTCCTTTACTCGTCATACTCCAGAGTGAGCGTGGTTGGAATCGGAGACTCCTTCGACGAAGCATCGAGATACTGTCTCATCTTCACCCCAGCAACTTCGTGCTCGACAATCGAGAATTGTCCGGCACGACCCTTCGCACGTCTTAAGTTCTTCAGCTTGAACACCTCCTTCAAAGTGGCAGCCAACGATACTCCGACCAATCTTGCGCCAAAGCAGAAGTGTAAGCCGTGGCCAAGAAGGACGTAGGAGCTGAAGGGTCGGTGAGGGTCCAACTTTTCTGGGTTTGGAAATGCCACGGCATCCATTGATGCCTTGGATGTTGCAATGAGAACGGTTTGGTTAGCCTTAATATGGACTGGGCCACGAGTGCCGTCCATTACGGTAACATCTTGAGATGCTACGCGAGGTAGACCTGGGACTACACCGGCGTGACGCATACCTTCGTAGACAAAGCCTTGAAGCTCACGCTCCGATGCAGGATCATCTCTGTGGGCAAGTTCGACGATGCGATCCTTGTACACTTCGTAGTCAGGGCTGAGGAACAAGTCAATGAGCAGTGATGCTTGTTGAGTTATGTTGCCTGCGACCGGGGCACCCATGCCGATACAGTCTCCAACCAGATCACCGATGGGAAGCTTTGTCTCATTCAGGGCATGGTATATGCGGTCTGCGTCTGGACCAACTTCGTATGCTGTTCCCTTTGCGAGCCAGTCCACGACCGTCTCTTTGTAACCCTGTTGGGTCTGGAGATGAGCATGGAGAATCTTGCGCAAGACTGGTGCGACCTTCGTAGCGCCTTCTCGTAGTGTAGTCTCAACAAGCGGTTGAATGTTGAAGCTCTGGTACATGAACAGAACCAAGTAGATGCCGAAGAGCTCAGGAATCGACAACATGCCTCGAGGGTTATCCTTGGTCTTGAGGGGGATTGCAAATCGTTCTGCCAGCCACAGGATAGGTGTGACGTTGGTGACGTCTCGGACGATGTCAATGGAGCGTCTGGTACCCTGATACTTGAGTGAACTCTTCGAGATGAGCCGTGTGACGTTTTTACGGAAGAACGTCGTGACGTTTGCTTCAAAGTTCTCCTCGAAGAACACCTTGTGGAGAATCTTGGACCTGTCATCGTGCTTCTTCTGTTGATCCCATCCGATCATGAAATCGTGACCATCTGTGCATTGCCTGATTGCCGCCTGGTACATGACGCGGAAGTTTTCACGGTCTTCGAATATCTTNTTGCAACCTTCTTGCGTGTGGACAGAGACAATGGCTCTATCACTTCGCGGTCTTGTGATGTCGTACTTGTCGATCACTCCGTTGCCCTTGAGAATGCCTGCTGCGGCTTTTGGTGTATAAAACGGCAGCAGAGCGTAGGAAGAAGTGCCGGTGAAGGCGTTGGGTAGTCCGGAGAGAAGTAACTGCGGCAGCATGCCTCCATAGGCTCCTGGGGGAGAGACACTGAGTTTGGCCACACCCCAGTTGGTCAGAGTCGAACTGTTGAAATCATAAGAGAGGAAGCGATCTCCTCTGACCAGCGCGACAGCGTCGTCTAGGATGCCACGACCAGTGGTCTGACCTGGACAGACACCACTGCCGGCCATGGGAGGTTTCGTGACTTCGGCCATAAGTCCCGGGTACAGCTCAAGGTTGTCGATGTGGCCATACAGAAGCTCCGCAGCCCTAGCAGTCTCCGTGTCTGGATTCCACTCTTCGAAACTTGAGTATGCCTTCAGGTTCAGATAACGACGGAANCCTGATAATCATTAGTATGAATGCTTTTCAAAATGTGTAGTGACTTACTCGTTCATAGTACAAACTTGAAACTTGTCGCGAGCCTGAAGCATACCCATGATATCGACAATCTTCAGACTGGCAGGTGTGCCATGCGCGCCAAAAGCGTGTGCTGGAGATTCGATGCAGTCCTTGATAATCTCTGCGAGATCGACATCATCAAACATGCCATCTGATTTCCTCTTCAAGCCTCCAAATGTCCAGTTCCTCGGCAGAGTGTCTCTCAGTTTATGACCCTCTGCCATGAGAATTTCTTTGAACATATCTGGGGTCATGTCGTCAATTGAGCCAAGTCCTGGAAGATTGTCTCTCAGCAATTTTTCCATCCAATCTGCATCCGCTGCGCTGAGAGCTGCATGCCAATGGTAGAGGACGGCAAATTCGACCGAGACAACATTGCCAGTACCACGCTCAACTCGTGTACCAGCTTGCTTAATCTCAGCACCGAGATCTAGAGACCATTCGGAGTTGGCCCTTGGGGTGTTCAAGATGGCTGCGACGTAGTCTTTCAGGACAACCGTTGCGAAGAAGCCGACATTGATATTGCGAGCAAGCTGGAAGATGTCTTCATCTTGTCTGTATCGCCGTTAGCAACCACAAATTAGACTGGTACGTCCAGGCTGGACTCACGCAATTCTCTGCTTTTGATCCAATGTATTCCAATCCTTGTATTTGCCTTCTTCGTTGATGGAGAGCAATGAGTGGGCAATGCTGTTGTGGTTTCGCGAGAACATGATCAAGACGGCAATAACTCCTGGTGGCATCATCATGATCCTCTCGGAAGCGATAGAGTCTGCAAAGATTGATCCGTTCTCGTAGGTGCGTACACGCTCCTGCTCGACCCCTGTATTTCCGTACAAAGTGCTCAAATCAACATAACTGGAAGTTTCGTTGACCCAAGGGTCTGTTCGAGAAGTTTGAAAACACTCGTGAATGACGATTGTGGCGAAGGAGAAGAATAGTCTGTTGAGGCCAGAAGGATGTTCACGGAAGGGCCCTTTTCTCTTGAGAAGTTGTTCGTAGACAAGCTCGGGGTCGGGAAGATTGGGTCCTTTAGGCCGCAGAGGAGGAACACTTCGACTGTAGGGAGTTCCAGCTTTGCCCATCTCGGGATTCCAAGGGTTGTTGTTGCCACCATCATGTCTTCTATATCTGGCAGTGGGTCCAGCCAGCGTCACTGGTGGATGAGGCAGGTCGTTGTATAGCATCTTGATAAAACCTTCAGACACAGTTGCGGAAAGTCCGCTATTAGGTGGGGCATTCTGTAGTGCAGCCACACCATTTTCAAGCAACAGATCTTTGTCGTCCATGGGCTCGCCAGATGCAATGGTTGTTAAGCCTTGCGCGACCGTGCCAGCGTTCTTCAGACCCATATGTGTGAGGTCATGAATGAGTGAGGTCTTTTCATTCAGAGGGCTTAGCTCTGCTTCGCCATTCGTCTTGCGGTCTGGGGCGGTAGAGGGCTTCCTCCTGATCGATCCGATCAATGTCTTGAGTTGACCGACGGCCATGACTGTGAATTGTAATATGTGTAAAGTATGTTGGAGCTGTGGAAACGATAAGGAAAGATTGTGATGAGAGCTTGTGATAACAAGAGGCGGAGATGTTTACTGATATACGGTAGTCCTTCTTGTCTCTGCATTGTGGCAATGCCTGATTACCATTTACTAGCTTAGGGATGGCTCGTGAATGCACATGCTATCCACATGTCTTCCGGAATTGTAGAGATCAGCAAGTCGTTAGTGTCCATCATTCCATCGTATCTCATAACGTGGTTGCATGATAATGGTTAGCCTGTAGTTTGTGTCTGATGATTGGATGGAGCTATGCCATGCTATGTCTCGTGGGTAGACAGGTAGTTGAGGGGAGGTCATATTGATCGACAATGACGAAGGACATCTAGCAAGACTCGCTCAGTGGACGATTCCCCAAGCGATGACATGAAGCTTAATGCTTTGGTGTTATATCGGCTGTGGAATCCCAACAGCAGATGGTGTAGCAGACATGCAGCAGTAGTATGATCTTCGGCACAACCATGTTTGCATGATCGACCCACGGACAAAGCGGGTGCTTCCTAGTGTTGAACTTGGGCATCTAAAGTGGGATATCAAATAGGAAGATCGGTGTCTTGTAGAAGCTGTTTTCCCAAATTAGTCGATTGGAAAGGCGTGCACGCACCAGCTTTCCTAGCTCGGACAAAGGGTGCGCCAGATATACACGATCAGCCACCAGCCTCCCTCAACGCTCGTGCATGAGAAAAACCACTCCCTAGCGTCAGATAGACGAATCTCGTTCTTACACCACTCCTTCATCACTTGGCAGGCGAAGGACTACGATGTGCAAACAGGATGAGAGAGCTTTGGACTGGAGCAGGAGCGAGATGCACGGGATGTCCTGCAGAGGCAACGACGTGACTGCATACATTGATTGCTTTCAGCAATTGTTCTTCGCAACGTTGTGCTGAGTCGGCGATCTGCACACGACCAATGCTCTTCAGCTGCAAACATAAAGGAGCTGATTGGCTCTTACCACGTGCGATTGATTCAGCTGTCGCTCTTGTTGACACCCTTCGCTACAATACTCAATAATGTCTCTGCAGTGGGACAAGGTGGAGCTTGTAGAATTACCAGATGAGGTAAGTGCACCATTGTTTAGCTTTTCAGATATTGCTGTTGTACAGCAGCAGTGCGATGTGCCACGCTAGTTCCATACCATGTGGAGTCGGAGAGATCATGCTCGCCGGTAGATCTCACATGTTTGGTAAAGCGGATCGGGACGCGACCGTCATCCTGGAAACTGCTTGAGATCTGCAACGTTGACTCTGTATTTGTTCGGAGCACGAATTTATTGATGGTGGATAGTGTGGTGGCCCTGGTGGCTAGACTTGCACGAGGACGATGACATGGTGTACGGTATGGGACGATGCCCTCATCTGCCATCTGCTCTTCTGCTCTTCTGCTTGCTCCCTACAATTTTCCAAGTTAGTTGAGTTCTTTGTGAATCGGCACCTCATACTCAGCAACAATGGACCGCCGGGGCTCTTATCCCATACAATCAGCACCCGCTGCATCATCAAACCCAACTACACTCCCAGAGAAACCCACAATAGCACACAGCACGCCTCAACTGCCTAAATACATCCATGCCACTAAAAATGGAGAAACTCTCCAAGGTCGTACCTTAATCATCTGTCTTGATGGTACTGGCGACCAGTTCGACGGGGACAACAGCAACATCGTGCATCTCGTCAGCTGCCTCAAGAAGGACGATCCACATCAAATTACTTACTACCAGACTGGTATCGGCACCTACAACAGTGGAGGAATGAGTGATGGCATCGCTGCTGCCTTTGACATGGCAGTCGGCAGTGGTCTCGGCTTCCACGTGAGAGAAGCCTATCGCTTTCTCATGCAGACGTACCGCGAAGGGGACAAGATATGTCTCTTCGGATTCTCAAGAGGCGCATATACAGCTCGATGTCTGGCTGGCATGCTCCACAAGGTTGGGCTCCTCCCAGCACATAATCGAGGCCAAGTACCCTTTGCATACAAGTTCTACAAAGACGACACCCAGAAGGGATGGAACATGAGCTCTGACTTCAAGAGGACTTTCTGCATCGACATCAACGTCCACTTTGTTGGAGTATTTGACAGTGTCGCCAGTGTCGGTTTCATTCCGAGGAAGTTGCCACTGAGCAGTACACCCACGAACAAGCCAAGTTACTTCCGTCATGCCATGGCTTTGGATGAGCGCAGAGCAAAGTTCAAAGTATGCCGCTACCAACAGAAAGACCACACAGATCCCAACTCTCGTTGGGTCACCAAAGCAGCAACCGAAGGACACTCCCAGACGCCACGACAAAGACTCGAGTCAGCCAGTACTGCCGACACCTACACTGGCTACCAGGCCAACGACTCCGAGAAGATGACAAGAAGTGGCTCCGATGCCAACAAGACCGCCCGAGAGGTCGACTGCCTTGAAGTCTGGTTCTCAGGCTGCCACGCCGATGTAGGCGGCGGCGCAGTCGCAAACGAAGAACGCCATAAACCATCCCAGATCCCTCTCCGATGGATGCTACGTCAATGCTTTGAGTGCAACACTGGCATAATCTTCGACACGCATCGTCTCGCCGAAGAAGGCCTTGATGTGCACATGCTCTATCCAGTCTACCAGAGACTCGAGATGCCGAAAGTAGGCCCTTCCCCAAACACAATGGAGAGGTACCATCAAGGCGAGCTCGCACCCATCTCTCGCCGCTCCACCCTCCTGGAAGCCCAAGAGACCAACAATCACGACAGCCTCTACAATTTGAACCTCTATCAAGACACGGAAAAACACAAGATCGCCGACCACTGGATGCCAGAACAAATCGAAGACTACTTCGACGCCATCACACCATTCAATGATCAACTCGTGCAGGCAAAGTTCTGGTGGATCTTGGAGTTGTGGCCGATTAAAGTTCGATTTCAGTCAAAGGATGAGGATACCTGGATCAAGAAGGTGAGGATGAACATGGGCAGATATAGAGCTGTGCAAGAGCCGGAACCAAATTTGCACTGGACGGTGCAGCAACGTATGTTGGATACTGGGTACAAGCCGCAAGTCAGACTGGGTAGGGATGCGGCGTGGCGATTTGTTGTTTGATAACATTTGTTCGATAGGATCTGTTCCCTGAATTGTGAATTGATGGTGATATTGTGCTACTTAAGTGTGCAATGTTTGTGTCTTGCAACCAGTCTCCAGACTCTGGGTCTCACGAGCAGATCAACTTCGTTCCACCTTCTTCGTGTATCTCTTCTCGTCTCGCATTTCTTCATTAGTTGATCGCAAAGAAGTCACAATTCTGTTTGCTTCTCCGTGTTGATTGCAAGACTTGTGTGTGGTTCTCGACCTCCAACTCACAGCCGCCAGTCCCCGACCCAGAGGGTAAGTTCATTTGAAAGGACGGCCATACCGAAGCATAGTGCGATAGAAACACTCATTGTCACGAAATCCTTGCATAGCGATCAACGCCTTGTCGAAGAGAGCTGTTCTCTTTCCGACCTGTTTCTTCGTAGCGAACATCGAACGAAGTGCTAAAGTGGCTTGAAGATACGAACCACGGTCCAGCGCCATTTCATGGAAATCGTGCACGAGACGGCGGTCCCTGGTTCTGTGTGCGATAGTTTTCATGGCAGGATCACAGATGAGATTTCTCATCGAGCAAACTTCCTCGTACGACTGTTGGTCCATTGAGGCGAGAGTCAAAGAGACAGGTAGCTCAATAAATGTGCAAACGCTGGCCTTAAGGTGAGCCAAAGGTTAGAGAATCCTAAATGAACGAGAAATTCTGCGATAAGAGCCCCGGCTAAGTTCTGAGCGTGAAACTGCAGTATCCGCATCGATCTGGTATCCAAAGACGCGCAGATTGGGCAGGCGGAAGTTGACGAGATCGACGATAGTCTTCGTGTCGCGGGGAGTCATGATGGCGGGTCCGTCGTGGATGACCAGAGAGATGAGCATGGCGCAGGTCATGGAACTGTGTTGGTCGAAGTAACGACCGAGGGGTGTGAAGGCAGAGGAAGATTTAAGAACTTTGGCGGCAGGTGGGAGTTGACCAAACGAGTAAGTGAGATCCGAGTTGTTGTACATTGTCTGACTGACTTCCAGGTACAATGTCTTGTTGGCACTGGCCAAAGACAGCAGGTCGGTGAAGTTGAGGTGGTGTAAAGTAAACGGCGAGACGTCGATTTGGCAGGGATGAGCGGAGTGACCTTCTTTGTGAGGCTGGTCAGATTGCACGCAACGAGCGCGGGCCCATGTTTTTTTGGTGCTGTCGAGAGGGTCGAATGTTAGGGTGATGCGCAGCCCATCTCGGATGGGATCGACCAGCAGGAACTCATAGATCTTCAGTCGAACTTCGGGGGGCAGGTCAGTGATAAGAGCCATGCTGGATGACAGTATGGTGGAAGGAGACGATGATTGCTATGGAAGAAGAGGATGTTTGTGGGAGATGTGTAGCAAGGCAGTTTGTGTTTGAATGTAAGATGTAGAAGTGAAATCGGANGAGTGAGTGAACTGCGCTTTCTCACCACTCTCAGTCCTTCACCGGTCCGTGTTCTTAAACACGACATAAACGTAGTCATGGAACGAACATCAGTCAGAACAGGCTCGCGACCCCAAGGCTACCAGTAAGCGCGCTTCGTGCTGAAGAGTCAGGCCACATCCAGGTGCTTCAGGTTCAAGTTCATACTCTTATCTGTTTCACTCCCGTGGTAGTTTGCCCATGCCCATAAGTCCCATGAGATTGCCAGCTGGACCAGCCATACCGCCTTGTCCCTGGAAACTTTCAAGTATGTTCTTCAGCATCTCGTAATGTGGATCGCCGTCTTCCCCAGCAAGCAAATCTTCGTCCTCACTGCTTTCATCATCAATAGCCACCGGCCGTGCCTTTGCTTTCCCTTTGCCTTTGTTCTTATTTCTTCCCTCTATATCTTCGCGGAATTTGTCCTCGAATCTGACGTTCTTGCCGGCTGCGTTCATGTCGGGGGCGGCGTGTGGTGTGAATGCTTTCCCTTTACCCTTGTCTTTACTCTTGTCATTGTTTCCGTTTTGTCTTGACGTGTGGATCTCTTGCATCATTTTCCAGATTTGTTCTGCTTCTTTCTCGTCATCTCTTTCCATCTCTTCCTCGTCCTCCATCTCCAAAGCCAACTTCCTGGCTTCTGAGTTCAGGCCGTTGGTTTCTTTTTCCGTGTCGGGCATACCCATCATTTCACGCATTGCTTGCTCAAACTCTGCATCTGTGAAAGAGGCGGCTTTGTCTTCACCTTCATCGTCCTCGTCTTCATCATCCGAGCCAGAGGCTGAAGAAGATCCAGAGGAGAAAGTTTCGGCACCTGTTTCTTCATCTTCGTTGAGGAACTTCTCGAAGCGTGAGACCATGTCTTGGAGGTCTTTTTGTGTCGATTCGTCTCCAAAGCCTTGACCTTCAGGCATATCATCTACAGCAGCACCTCCGCTGCGGCCCTTGAGCTCTTTGTCAAAGTCCTTGAAGTCGATATCGAGCCATTTGTCGTCGTCATCTGCTTGCGGCCATGACGCGACTTCATCATCTGAGGGTAATGTGTCTTCCTCTTCTTCCAAGTCCTCGAGTAGCATGTCCATCTCTCTGACTTCGCGTTTGTTCTTGTTCTGAGGATCGCGCAGCATCATTTCGAAGCCGCAAGATAGCTTCATGCCCAGAAGGACAGGCTTCTTGTGGATGTGGGGTGTTATGCCTACCCAGGCTGGTGGTGGGGGNAAGTCCTGGCTTACAAGCTGCGCGTAGCCAACCTTGGGAAAGCGAACGCTCATGGTGACGAAGTCTTCGGGGGCGAAGAGGAGGGTAGCTGTGTCCTTTGTGGCCAGAGGCTTTACAGCAATCGGGTCGCGAAGGTAGAAAGCCNNCTCAATAGCTGGGGCTACGTAGGCAGGATTGCGATGGAGGAGATAAGCGAGACGACGAGGTACAGAGAGCAGTGCACTATGTTGGCTCTTCGAGATGGCTGCTGGATGGTCTCGTAGACGGTGGAAAGCTTCTTCTTCGATCATGGGCGAATGCAACGTCGAGTGAGGAGTCTGTTGTAGAAACTGCAATGCTTGTGCCATGTCGACATTGCCTGATAATCCTGGAGTAGTGGGTCCTGACGCTCCACCACCAGCATTTCGTTGTAGCGGTATGATGTGTAGTTGTCCACGATGGATCCAGACACGGTTGTCGGCAAGCTCAGGCTCCAACCACTTTGGCAAAGCATTCGCAGCTTCTGCTAGCAGGAACTCTCCATCTGGATCACGAATTTGAATCCACGCCGAGGCATGCCGTTGGCTGAGTTCGAGTAGGAGCCAGACAATCAACCATTCATCTGCTATTGAGTCACCAAAGTTGGTGCGTCCGTGTAAAAAGTATTCATGTCCAGATATATGTAGCCTTTCTTCGGGCATATCGCCTGTATTAATGTTGGAGTCCAGTCTAGCATCAATCAAGTCAAGTTGGAATTTCTCGCGTTGCCAGATATAATTTTTGAGGTCCGAAGATTTGAGCACAGCATTTGCCGCTGATTGGATTGCTTTCAGATTTTCTCTGCGAGCATAGTCGGCCTTGATTTTCGAGTCGATGATGAAGATTGTGTATTCAATGCAGTCGTCCGGCAGGCGTTTGGTGAAATCAGAAAAGCCTTCGCCTCCGCCGCCGAAGCCGTCAAAATCTTGGGTATCTTCATCATCGGTATCTACCTCCTGTACGCGATCCTGGTCGTCCAACATTGTTCTTCCAGAATGCGTAGTTGACTTGCCGGCGAGTGAAAATGCTGTTGACCAACGACATAGGCAAGGAGGCTGGTGGCTATGATCACCGGGCCCGGGACGGCAGAAAACGCCGGCGCGTGGTGGTCTGAGCGCTTCGCGGTCACCCTGATCCGAGGCTTTTCTTTGCCTGGCTGCCTTCCTTCGCTAGCTAGCTGTCTGCCTTGCTTCTCGTCAGCAGCCTCTCTGTACATTGCGAGGCTGTGTATAAGCCTTTCGACACATTGCGCACCGCAGACCAATGAAGGGATACTTCCATGTTCAAGAGATGGCACTGCACACCAACTATCCTCTATGTGCTTATGTTCTCAACAGAAACCTTATCTATGATCCCTTACGACCATCAGTATTGATGGCGATGCAGTAAAGACCAAAGCATACACGATTGAGATTCCGGTATGTACGGGCTTGAGATTTTGAGACGACAACGCTCGACTGGCAAGGCGCCATTAGACGTCTGTCAGGCAGTGTCAGCCAGCATAGAAGTTTAATGAAAAATCCCGCAAAGAGGTGTGCATTAGGCATTCCCACGACCTTTGGACAGGTGGCTTGCAGAGTGCTTGATACGAACCTGGGTACCGCTGGTCATTTGCTGCAGTTCTCAGGATCATCACATGCCGCTACCCGATGGCTATGCATGCGAAATCAGCGCACGCAACAATTTGGTTGGCCAGACGTAACAGCTTCCTTCAGGATCAATCATTGCGACGACATGATATAAGACTTTGGACCGACTGAACGTTCCAGGCATCCTCAGCTGTATCAACTGGGAACTTTCTATCAGATCACGATGAGTGCAGCGGTCCGTCTCTACGTATACAACCCAAACCATGTCGCTCCTATCATCCTCGCCATTATCGTGGCCGCTTCCCTACTCTTGCATGCATACCAGAATTTGTATGTAACTATTGTAGAGCCACTACTCTGCCATCATCTTGGTCTGACAATTCATCATAGCAAATATAAATACTGGCGCATAACCTTCTTCATGGTCTGGGGAGGCCTCGTCTTCACCATCGGATGGGCCACACGTTGTGCCTCTACCTACAACCCATACAACTCGGACCTATACATTGTACAATACATCTTCACCATCGCCGGTCCTCCCATCTACGCGGCAGCCGAGTACAACATCTTGGGCCGTCTTCTGAGATATGTACCCATGCACTCGCCTTTGCATCCCGATCGGGTGCTGTACGTCTTCATCTACCTGGGCGTGTTGGTCGAGTCTCTTACCAGTGCTGGAGGCAGCCTGTTCTCGACGGCTCGGCCAGACAACCACAGCGCTTACAAGACTGGAGGCACACTTCTAGCCATCTCATTGCTACTGCAAGCAGTCGTGGAGTGTGTCTTTTTCTCCATGGTCGTCATGATACATCGCAGGTGCCTGAAAAGCGGCATGCTTTCTCGAAATGTGCAGCGTCTCTGTATAATGCTCTACGGAACCTCGACACTGGTCTTTATACGATGCCTTTTCCGTGCTATTGAGGATTTCGGTCTCTTTTCAGTCTACGATACTGGATATTGTCGCGAGTTGTGTGCCACAGTCGCTTTCCATGAATGGTATCTATATGTCTTCGAGGCAATACCCATGGTCATCTACACGCTATGGCTCAACTTGATGCACCCTGGTACCATGCTACCCAGCAACAAGAACATCTATCTAGATATCGATGGCAAGACCGAGCGTATCGGTCCTGGCTGGATCGACAAGAGAAGCAAGTGGCAAACATTCGTCGACCCTTTTGACACAATCGGTCGCAGGAAGGGCACCCCAGCTCACGAAAGGTTCTGGCTCGAACCACACAGATGGCCTCAGGTGCCCAACTCTAACGTTCCTGGCGACGTCGAAGTTGTCGCGGCTCCAAAGACTTGAAGCTTTCGAAGTGGCCTGCTTGGCTGGCGCGCGAGGCTCGATAATCTCACCCAGACTCTATCCAAGAAATATCATCGCAGTCGCTCCTGACTACTCCAAACATGCGTTTCTCCAATGTCTGTTGCACATATCATGTGATTTCCAGGACGCTGAGATTTCCCAAGATTCAGACGATGTTGTTGTCATTCTTTCCAACACCCCATGCGAGTGGCTGAGGTATCTTGAGTATCTCTGATACCCCTCCTACAGCCGTCAAAACGATCACTTACGGTGCCGATGGCCAGTGTATCGTGCCCGGTCGCGGGCCATCTGTAGCACAAAGAGATTTTGATACGGAAACCTGCTTCGGTTTGAGGAGCAGCTTCCCTCGGAAAAGAACAAAGAGAAAAGTGCGAAAAACAATACAAAATCTTGTGTTCTTTCTTCTTTCTCAAATCCAAAAGTCGTTGTTCAATGCTCTGGCGCTGTAAGCCAAAATGCTCGTAACCCCAAAGAAGTATGCAAGACGCTAGGCTCTCCAAAAGCACCTATCTAATCGCATCCAGCCCCCAAAAAGTGTCTTCTCAAAAGTCGTAGGTATCGTCGCGTCGCAAAGTCATCAAGGAAATCTCTAGATTGCGCGTGGAGCATAAGCGGTTTCCTGCTCACGCTCTCTGCGTCGCTCTCGGTCGCGTACAAAATCTGCCGTGGGTTCCTGCCCGTTGATAGGAGCTTCAAGCATGCGTGGTGCTCGAGGAGCATATTCGTCTTCACTGTCATCATCTTCATATTCGTCTCTTTCGCGTCGTTCGCGTTCGCGTTCACGACGACGGTTCTCGCGTCGTTCATGGCGTTCGCGATCTTCATCGTCATATGAGCGGGCTTCTNNTAGACACGTTAGCTGTTGAAAATTGATGGATGTACTGCATGATGGGGTGATACCTCTGATCTCCAATGTTTTGTCCGCCAGCTTTTGTATCTCATCTTTAGTCAAGACTCGGAGTACAATTACACAATCCAAGCGTTCTTCGAAACGTTCCTGCGCTTCTTCAAGAGCTTGTGGGTTGACAAGGCGGCGGTCAATCTTGGTCCAACGGGCGCCTGAGGGGATACCTTCTTTGCTAGTCNNTGTAGATGGGAGTGGTGAGATGGATGTGTTTGGTGCCTTGGTGAACTAACGTACCTCTTTCAGTGGTTTGACACCTTCACGCATAGGGTTCGGATCTTCAGGGAACTTCTGTGTGGGCCTCTTCAGAATACCCCTGATTGGCTGAGAATCCTCTCTGTCAGATGGAGGCTCAACGATGCGTACCCGGTGGTCTCTGCTCTCAGGGTAGTCGACGGCGGCTGCCGGGGCAGGAGGAGCGGCCCTGCTAGCAACAGGCTCGGTTCCGTTCGTGCCTTTTCCTCTGTCCGAGTCTGCGTTGTCGTGCGAGCCTTGCAGGTCTCTTTGTGCCTGCTCGATGCGGCGACGATAATCTTCATCAGGATCAACCTCTGCTGGATCAGCAAGAGCAGGACGTTCGCGTTCAGAAACACGTTGACGCTCGTCGGACGGATGTGTGTGATCAGGCTCTGGGACGTGCTGTCGGTCATCAGCCCCAAGTCTAGCATCTTTCTCTTGCGGAGGAGATCTGTCAGCCCCGAGCGTGCGGTGTCGCCTTGAGCTCCTGTGTCTGTCCTGACCGCTATCAGAGGACGAAGAGTGCCTGGCCCTATCTCTTTCCTTCTCTCGAGGCCTTTCACGAGTACGTGTCTCGCGATCGTAAATCCTGTCTCTTTCTTTTTCACCCTCTCTCTCCACGTCTCTGTCACGTTCCCTTTCGTACTCACGCCTTTCGCGCTCGCGCTGTTTTCGCTCGTACTCTTGATCACGTTCGCGCTGTTCGCGATTCCTGTCCTTCTCCCTGTCTCTTGCTCGATCTCGTTCTTCGTACTCGCGATCTCGACCATTAGCAGCGGTATCTGAACCATAGGCAGCAGCAGCCATGGCACCAACAGCAGTAGCGGCAGCGGGTAGAATAGTGTTCGTGAGACTATCACCGCTGCCTCTCGGAGTGACATCTCGATCACGGTCTCTGCGATTATGGGGCCGGCGGTCTTTNTCATGATGTCGGTCTCTCTCCGAGGCATAACCATCATCTCGCAACCTGTCCTTGTCTCTTGGACGGTACTCCCGGTCCCGATCAGACTCTTTTGGATAATCGTAGGCGCGAGGATTGCTGCGAGGCGGGAGGTAATCTCGGTCGCGGTCCGAGTAGTAGGCATCAAAGCTCTCGCTGCTGCCCTTATTCATGTTTTGGTTGTGGTTGTGTCTATCTTGACTGCCACTGCGAATGCCGAAGCCTCGACGCTCGACACTAGGATCCTCGTAGCGGTGCATTGGACGAGCGCGCTCGGCTTCTCTTGGATAGGCATCGTGTGTACGGTCTTGGTGCACAGCAGTAGAGTGACGGCCAGAAGAGGAAGTATAGCCGTCGTTGTATTGGGGGTCTTGGTAAGACGGTCTATTGGAGGATCGCGGAGGTTCTCGTGTGCTGTTGATGCGACCGGCGCCGTCGTTGAACTTGTCGAGAGCACGCGATGTAGGTGGGCCAAGGTCTCTTGCTGACGAGCGAGGAGGGTATTGTTCGACTAGCGCACTGGTAGGTCTGGGCCGAGTTGCCTCGACGCTACCAGCACGGTGTCGCCAGCGGGGCTCGGTCTCTCTATACATGGCGGCGGGATCTGTGTACGAGAAGCCTTGGTCGTTCTCGGGGNNTTTTCTGGTCGACGGGCCACTGAGATGGTAGCCCTTGTGTCGGTGGTGCGACGAGGAATGGCGGTCGGAGTTGCGATCGACGCTATTGCGCCTGTGGGAGCTGCCATGGCTTGTGTTGATGTCTATGTTGGCAACAAGACGAGATTTGCCGCCGCCATCGATACTGTATACCTTCTTGTGCGAATGGTCTTTGTGCGAAGTTGCAGGGACGGCATAGTAGTCGGGAGTGCGAGTCGAAGTGGAATAGGCATGCGGGCTCGAGGGACTATGGGGACGATCGTGCGAGGATTGGATGACGGCAGGCCGGCTGCGTGGGTGGACAGGGTGGACGGGGAGGGCGGTGTTGGTGGTGGAGGGAATGGGAGCCGGACGCGAGGGGTCGGTCAAGGTGGAGCGACGGGGTCTGCCCGAGTAGCCGTCTCGTGTGACGAAAGTGGTCGTCGAGATGGGCACAACACGTTCACCACTAGACCTGGGTGAAGCATAGGCGGCGAATGTCGAAGGAGGATAGTAGCCGTCGGACAAGCGCGCTGGATGAGCCAGACGACGGCTCCCTGGTGACGATGCTCGGTGGTAAGACATGGCCGTCTAAACTGGCGCCGACGCCGTTGCAGCCGAATGTGCAAGATGGCCAAGTGAATTTACCAAGAATGCAGATGCGATGCGTCGCGAGAGGGTATGGAAGAAGCAAAGGTCGAGTCCTGGTGGGTCTGTGATATGTGTGTATGCGGGCAGTTCCAAGCTGCCGGTTCGTCTGTCAATTGTTGGCTGCTGACATTTGGCGTCACGCACACAACGGAAAGCACGATGGCGTAGCCTGCTCGGTACGGAGGGAAGGTACAAACTCCAACCGGCCCGTTCCCTGAGAGAACTGTCCTGAGTCGTTGATCCGAAACGTTCAACTCTGCGGTGACTTTGATTGTCACTCTGCCTGCGCGTGGGTTTCTGGCGATTGACGAGTCAAAGGAGCACCGTGAGTTTATGTCGTCGCTAGAGCTCGAAATTCCAACAAGTTGGGCATCAGAGGACACCCAGGCGGGGCTTCTTGTTCTCGAAACGCTCGTCCCACGGACCAGGTTTGACCAAACTCCTGAAACGTCAATTCGACTGACAGAAACTCTCTTCTCGTACAAGCTCCCGTCTCCTTGCTTGGTCCGTCATCGCCGCAAAACCCCTCCGACATTTCTTTGTCTACTACATACACTACATCTCATCCGCAATCCCAACAGCATAGCAAACGGGGTACTTGCGGGAAACGTTGCTGCATTGTTTTCTAGCCCGTCGTCTCTTCAACAAATCATGAGCACTGTGTGTCAAGGGCTTGGGCTGCCACGAATACAACAGAAATCTTTGCATTCCCCACTGCTACTGCCCCACTATCTCCTTTTTCCTCCTCCTTGCGAATTATATCCCTCATCCTTTACATGAGCATAGAACCTCCGTTGGTACTGATCATGCTTCCCGTCAAGTTCTTGTCCTTCATGGCGTACAAGAATGCTTCGGCCACATCCTCCACTTGACCGATCTTGCCAGTTGCCATCTTGCTCGCAAACGATTCAAACATCTGCTTTCTGTGCTCCTCTGGGATGCCGTCCCACAGTGGGGTCTCCACAGCTCCAGGAGAGACCAAGTTGACGCGGATAGGTTTGAGATCGAGCGCCAGACCTCTTGTCGAGCCTTGGAGGGCAGTGGCGAAGCCATTGATAACGCTCCAGTTGGGGATAGGCTTCTCGCTGACGTTGCCTGTAGTCAAGGTGATGGATGAGGTTGGGCTCTTGTCGAGCACCTTTGCTGCGTGCTTGGCGACCATCAAGGGTGCGAAGAATCTGACCATGCCTGCCTGTATAGTCTTATCCATGGTGGCATCCTCAAGCGGCATCATGGCCAAAGAGTCTCCTGCTGTGAAGACGACGTGGTTGAGCGAACCGGCCTTCTTGAAGAGCTGCTCGACGTTGGACTCGAGGCTGGCTTGATCACCCATGTTTGCAGCGTAACCTTCGACACGTTGAGCGGCCGATGGGTATGCCTTTTGCAGCTTCGAGACAGCTTCTTGAACTCTAGATTCATTCGAAGATGAGATGATGACATGAGCTCCATTCTCCAGTGACGCTTCGGCGACTCCATAGCCAATGCCTGCAATTCGTTAGACCAGAGAGACTTGGCTAGGATGAAACCGATGCTCACCTGCGCTACCTCCAATGATGAGCACGCGTTGGCCCTGGAGCTTGCTGTTATACTTGTTTTGGTCTGGCATCGTCGCTTGTGTTTGATTGATTATGATTGTGACTTCAACAACTGAGGTGGTGATGACGAGGAGTAGATAAATATGATGGAGTTAAAACGGAGTTAGGCAGTTGATGGACGCGGCCGAAACGTCATCAACTCTAAATCAGTGCACCTGCGCGACGACAGTAGGTATGGCAATTGTCATCATCAAACCAATCATCAGCAGCTTTGTAATCAACTACACATGATACATCCAGTTGCGAGGTACGTAGCAATCAGCACATAACGAAGCAATACTCGAGAAACATAATGTACATTGAAAAGATTCATCTATGTGATCTAGTGTCCAGCGCTACAGGAATTGCCATCTGGTGTTGATCTGNCTTACGTTTCACCTAGGCACCGGGTTAGTACTGCTGCATCAAAAAAGTATTAACGGGCAACTTACCAGAGGTGCGACGGCGACAGTGGCCACAGCAAGTGCCGCTACTGTTGCCAGCATTTGAAGCTTGTTAAAGTCCTTGCCCAGAATATCGAATGAGAAACTTGGGCTGATTCTAGTGCTGAACACGTCAAGTCCGTAAGCGAAGACCAGACTAGTACTTTCAAGTACCGCCGGGCTGGTCGTGATGGTCTCAACTCCGTAGACTTCACGTTGGTGGTTGAGGTACCATTTGGGATCGAGCTCAAGGACTGGAGTGTACTTCATTAAACCTTCCATCATCTCGTCCTTGGTGGCCTCCCTTCCAACAGGTCTGCGCGGGTCAATGACTTGGCGAGGGATGCCGACGATCGCGTTAGATTCGGGCAGCACAGCCAACAGTGCCCTTGACGTGATTCCTTGCCTAGTCTGTGTGACTGCTAACTTGGAGATTGGCTCACGAATCCGGTAAGACTGAGCAACTACATGAGGTTGGTAGCTGTACTCAACCTCTGAGGAATTCTTGATAGCAGTTTGAGGTCCTCTGTCGTTCGAGAATGGTGATTCAAACATCTCGCCGATGATGAGTTGGTAGCCCTTAACACCATCCGCTGTTGGTTGCGAGGCAAACGAGTAAGCGAACCAGTTCTCAGACATGGTCGAGGCGATGGGCAAAGTTGCGTCAACGCCGTGGTGCGAAGCGACATAGAGTACGGATCCTGATAATGCGTCGAGCACACTGACAGTAGCCGATAGTGTTGCTTCGGAGGCAGTGATGACGAGAAGAGTGTTGGTGTTGAGGTATTTGTAAAGGACCTTACGGTCTCCAAGAACTTTTCCGATCGAGGCCACAGGGTCTTCGAGTGGACGAGGAGTCAGACTGTAGACCTGTTCCCCGTTGCCAGGCGAGAATCTCCACGACGCAGCCTCGGCGATCGGGCCACCTACGACCTTGCCATCCTCCAAGCCATAAGCGAAGGCAGCACCATAGGTGAGCTTCGAAGAGAGTGCAGATTCGGTGTAGGTCGTCTCAGCGCCAGTGGATGCATTGAAAAGTCTGTGCTGACTACCGTCAATACTGCTGGCGACCACTGTGCCATCGGGGCGTGCAGTAAGCTTGGGCGATTGCCAAGGAGAGGAAGCTGCGTTGTTTTGAATCTTGACGTTCCAAACCGTGTTACCGTTGCCGCCAGCGTCCATTGCAATCAGGCGGCCGCTCTCAGTGGCGCAAATGATCCTCTTGTGGAAGCCAAAGATGTTTGTCGAATCTAGATCGGCATCAGATGCTCCGAGGCCTATACTACTGGCGATACGACCGGGCAGAGCTGTAAGGTATGCTGGGAGAGACTCTAAAGCTGCAATGTGTCTCTTGACTCTGTGGATATATGCCTGAACGGGGTTGGAGTGGCCTTCAATCTCGAGCTCGTGCACAAGACCTTCAGGAGCAGAAAGATATGCCCAGACAGCAGACTTGATACTGCTGAGGGCTTCAGGCCTCTCCCAAACAGGGGTTCCATCACGGATAAGCACCCAGTCGCCAGATGCCAGGTAGACTGCGGAGCGCACAGCAGAAACCGTATCCGACTTGACAGACACCTCAGAAACGGCGTGGATCGGAGCATGGTCACCCTGCAAAGTGATACCCGCAGCACCCTTCAAAGGCCACCTGGCAAGAACCCCGTGCGAAGCAGAAGAGACGACCGTGATCTCGGATTCGGAGATGCGGGTAAAGTAAACATTGGCTTCAGAGGTGCTGACAGAGAAGGCGGCGCTACCCGTCAGCTTAGGGAGAGAGTAGGCCTTGGATACGGTTGACTTGACGAGGTCGACATGGTAGACTTCGGCCCAGTTCTGCGAGCGCGTCTCGTAGTGGACGAGGAAATGCGGGCGAGCATTGACGTGGTAGGGGGCGTGTAGGGAGAGGTTCAACACGTCCTGGTCAGCTCCGACATTGAAGGTAGACACGGCTTTGGAGCCAATGACGTTGACCTTGAGGGTGGAACGGGCCTTGTCGGTCCATGCAATGATGGGCGAGGCCGAGTTGGCACCAACAGACAAGATATCTGCAGTCGAAGCGAGGTCGCTTTCGGTAGCCAACGTGTATTGATCCATCTTTTGTCCAGTCACAGGGTCCAAGGAAGCGACTTTGATCTTGAGACCTCCCAACATGGACGTATGCAGAGAAATGTAGAAGATGTGTGTGGACGAGACGGAGAGCTGGAAAGGCACGTCTCCGCTCTCATCTCTGAAGAGCCACTTCTGAGCACCGTCCTGACGGGCGAGTCTCATGACGGTGGGCTGAGAGCCTCCAGTCAAGACGATGGCATCCTTGCTTCCTCCCTGCTCGTTGGCCTCGGGGATCTCGACAATCTCCAAGTCTTTTACTGTAGCGTCTCCCAGATCAACAGACCATGCTTGACGACCGTCGGCAGCGCTCCACGCGGCGACTTGGCCATCGACAGCGCTGATCACGAGGTGATGGTCTGCGGCGGCTCGGAGGAAGCTCGACGTGGAATTGGTGGCAGGGGATAGTTGCTGGCGCCATCTGAGCGAGCCGTCCTTGGGGTTGATGGCTCCAAGGATTGTCTTGTCCGAGAGAGTGTAGAGTAGAGATGCTTTGGACGCAGCAACGGGCTGGTGGAAGAAGGTCGTGTGTTCGTGGGGTGCGCCGACGAGGGCGAGATGCCAGTCTACCTTCCACGCATCATCGACGAAGACGGCCTGGCATGCCGGCAAGACCAAGCTGACTGCTGCGACAAGCACAGATGGGATTCGCATTTCACGGATCCTGACGGTCTGTTTGACTGGCTTTGACTCTCGATATGGACAGACTGCGTCCATACACCTCCAGAGCTCCTTCCCCACAGCTTGCGCCTGCCCGCCGAAGATCTCCCACTGGACGAACGAAACAGCTTGGTACTGTCTCGACTATCCAAAACTGCCCTAATCTGCCATCTCAATTCAGCTCCATCGAATCCTCCCAACCACGCGCTTTCGCATTCGCTTCCTGCGTCACTCCTTTGTCCGAATCTCTCGACAAGCGAATTTTTGACGTCGCTTCCAAGTCGCGAGCTCGTTTGGAACCCCACTGCAGTTGCTAGTCCCTAGTGACGTTGCCGCCGGATGCTCCTTGCCGTGCGAACCTGGCGAGCTGAAGCTCCTTGTGGCTTGCAGCAGTTCTGTAGTTTCTTGTCCGTCCTCCGTATCTCTAGCCGGCTACAGTACACACTGTCATGTCACGATTGTGCTACACTCAAGAAGTCTCTATAGATACTCCTAAATCCTTGTGCCTTATCTTGATCAATATGAGAGGCTTGTCGTTTCTCAAAACTCTGCGCTGCGCCAAGTGAGCAGCACAAGTGACGAATCTTCAGCTCCGAATAAAGAGGGCGCCCTTTGAGAATGGCTGAATACATGAATGTTGAGACATGTCGTGTTAAAGGTCGTCTCAGAGTGCTTTGAAGCCGAGGCGCGGCGGCACAATCCATGACTCCCGTCGGAGATGTGCCGAAATTGTCGTCCCAGGAAAGCTGCACACCTCTGATATCAGAGGCAGCTCTGGCACGCGCTGCCCATGTCATCACATCCTCACCGCGTCTCCTCTCCCTAATCTTGTCCATATCCGACAATTGATTGTGTATACTTTTCCTTCCCTTTTTACCGCGTGTACATGCATATCAATCCTTCTCGCATCTCTCCGAACGCCGATCCGCCCGTTTGTACTGTGCTCTTGAGTGGCCGGGCGCTTCCCTGACCGCAATTCAAAACGAAACCTTCAATCAACAAACGTGCCAAGCTGTGAGTTTCAACCATATACCAAGCCCCGGCATACAGGTCCTACGCTGTATCTTGTGTTAAAGTTGCCTCAATTGACATGATCCGGAGCAGCACGTCGCGATAATACCCAACGACCGATCTGCACCTCTCTTGCTGGTCAGGAGCCCTGCAGTAGCGGAGAACGAAACTGCCTCGCCGATAACCTTCAACCCGTGCTCTCCCAATCATCCACTTTTGTGATTGCGGGACTCAATCACGTCTGAAATTTTCATCCGGCTGGAGTATCGTTCAGTGTATCTTGGTCATATATACTCCTCCTGAGGCTTCTTGGAAAGCATGTCTCGGTCAGCAAACCATAGGTAATCTTGTGCCTTCTCATGTAGACACTTTACAACTCAAAGACTGAACGTGATGCAACAGAGAGTACCACATTGTCGTTCTTGGCTCAGGTCAGCAAAAGTCTTGGATTGAATCCCAAAGAATCGTATACTGACTGCAATTACAGGCGGAGTTGGAAAGAGTTGTTTGACAGGTATCACTTGAGAGAACGGTCCCATACTTGGTTGAGCGTGACTGACGGTCTGAAAAGCACAATTCGTACAGGGTATCTGGATTGAACGATATGACCCGACTATCGAAGACTCATATCGCAAGCAATGTGATGTCGATGTACGCTTGGCCTGTCCATTTGAAATCAAGCCCGACTTCTAATTCAAATCTCAGGGTCGACAAGTGATTCTCGAAATCCTCGACACGGCTGGAACAGAACAATTCAGTGAGTAGACGCCCCTCCTGCAAGTCAATGCCTTCAAGATTCATCGCTAACACAAGCCCCTAGCTGCCATGCGGTAAGAATCTACACAGGATCAAACACATGCACTCCGGAAACCTAACCTTACTGTCCTCATAGGGNAACTCTACATGAAATCCGGCCAAGGCTTCCTCCTCGTCTTCAGCATAACCTCCTCGTCCTCGCTAAAAGAACTCTCCGAACTCCGCGACCAACTCGTAAACCTCAAAGACGACCCTCACGTCCCCATCGTGCTCGTCGGCAACAAGTCGGATCTAGAAGAAGATCGCGCAGTATCTCGCGCAGCTGCCTTTGCGGTCTCTTCTGGTTGGGGCAACGTGCCTTATTACGAGGCCTCGGCGAGGACGCGGCAGAATGTCACAGAGGTTTTTGTGGACGTGTGCAGACAGATCATGCATAAGGATTTGCAGAATGGGAGGGGTGTGGGTGGTACTGGAGGTGAAGAGAGGAGGAGTAGGAGGAGAGACGAGGAAGGTGGAGAAGGAGGAGAGAGGAAAAAGCGCAAAAGAAATAAGTGTGTCATACTGTGAAACTTCTGTTCTTCTTTTTTTCTCTTGCGTGTTTTCGACCCTTTTTTCCTCCTTTTGTTTCCAAGGTCAACAAGGGGCTCACGGGCACAATCCTAGAGGAGGAAAAGGTTCTTTGCTGGTAACATTCATAATGGTTCAACATGATATATACTCGTGAGTGCATAAAAAGCATAATATGATATGCGTGTCAATGTACTTTTTGCCTTATATTAGACAGAACCCCCAAGGAAAATTGGAGGATTGCTCCTTGCCCCTTTGTACAGTATTAAAAGGGAAAAATTTGTATGCAACCATACCCCAGTATCCATTTTGAGACGGGAGCAAAAGGAAAGAACGAGGAACCAGCCCATTATGCACAGAGTTGAAGAGAAAACAGCAGCACTTTCCTTACAAAGCCTGCCCAGGCGGTGACAAAGGTCTATCCTCATACTTGGTCGGCGGCGGCAGTGAAGGCGTAGTCATATGTCTAGCCCCACTACTCGCAAACACAATCGAAGGATCACTGCCCGCAAAACTGCTCGCCGGATCCCAGCCGCCACCCATCCTCCCATCATGCGTGCGCACCCTCGGACTCGAGAAATTTCTCGCCAGCATCGGTGGCGTGTTTCTTCGTTGTTGTTGNTTGTTGTTGTTGTTGTTGTTGTTGTTGTTGTTGTTGTTGTTGTTGTTGTTGTTGTTGTTGTTGTTGTTGTTGTTGTTGTTGTTGTTGTTGTTGTTGTTGTTGGTGGTGGTCTAAAAGTGTGATGGGCGATACATCGTCTTCCTCTTGCTCTCGTCGCGGCGGTGAGTATATCGGGGCAGGGCTGTTGGGCGTTGTAGTNNCATGTCGTCTATCATGTTGTTAGGAGATGTCGGGCGCATGGTATGTGCATCTCCCCAGCTCTTACGATCCGTATAGTCGATTTGAAGACGTCCTCCCAGCTTGCGTAATTCGTAGGTCGGTGGGTGAGGACTGAATTGGGCTCTTCGCGCATCGAGAGAGACGAATTCTTGAGGTTTGCCTCGGGTTAGTGCGATCCATCGCTCCTTCCAGCCGGTGATTAGCGACCAGCGGAAGAGCAGCACAAAAAGCTCAATCGCCAGTAGTGAGATCATGATCAACATGGCTCCGATCGTGGGCTCGCTGATCAGCCATTGATGGCTATACTTGAAGCACGAGTCTCGGTCGCCTCCACTCTCGATCAAACATGCCACCCAGGGCAGCACCCGCGTGTAGTCGTGTAGCATTGATTCTTCAATCTTGTCGAGATAGACAAAGACGACGGCGAAAAAGATGACGTCGACGAGGACAATGGTGACGATTAGCATACCGCGCCATTGCAGGTAGAGCACACTCTTGAGTCGACGATAGATTACACGCGCTCGCTGTGATTTGGCACTCATCACAGACATGGGCAGACTCTTTGCAGATCCCTGCGAGCAGGGTCTTGCGCTGTCTTCCCAAAGACTTTTCAGAAAGACACGAATGCAGTGTCCGAANACTAGAGTGTCGTATGTCAGAGTTGACCCATTCGCTCATTGTTGTGGATGAGTCAGTACGTACGTGCTGATTTGAACGATTAATGCTGCTCCTGCAATCCCGAGAAGCCATCCCCAGAATGTTACCATCGAGTCATCATGATTGATGTGACAAGCATTGCCGAAGCGAAACGAGACTCCCGATGTGGTGATGGCGGATGTGAAAAGGGCAGCCGGAATACCCCAACCTAATGCTTGTGAGGTGTAGAAGAATCTTGGACCAGGGATGATGTCCCAGACGACAGTGAGGTGCATGGATAATGCGCGGATAAAAACTTCAGGTGGTCAGTATTTGACGGACCGCACAAGGAAGCCACACTCACTCCACATGGAGCCTGCAAGAGCGCCGGCTAGCAGGAATGCTCCAGACCATGCACATGTCATGGAAGTGTACATGTCGTTTGGGGTTATACCATCATAACACTGATCAGGCTCCGCTCCTAGAGGTATAACAAAAGCGAGNCTGTTCTTTGTCAGCGAGTCCATATCCAGCCTCTTCAATACACTGACGTTAATCCATATGACAGCGATGATCAAACACTGTGTAAGGTAATGACTCTTGGTCCTTGCCGCAGGAAGAAACGCATTCGAGATGAGCATGAAGCATTGTAGCACCAGACCGACGACATTGAGCCAGCCTGAGACGGTCCCTAGAGTGACAAAGTCTNNAGAGTGTCGAGTTAGCTGGTCACACAACATGATCCTCTTCTGTCAATGTCACTGACTGTCCGAGTAGGCCCAATACGATGCTGGACAAGGCAGACAACATAATGCGGAATCCGGGTCGTTACTTATTTGAGAACACAGACGACCACCAATGTCTGACGCTTGTCAGTATTTTTGCAACAATAGGTGACCATCCACGAGACGTACANNACCGCCCCCAGAAGTAAATAGAGAAGCATCGTAGAATGGAGCTATACACGCTCCGTGCAGCGTCGAGTTGAGGAACATTGTAGCGGTGTGTTTCTGGCACGAGGGCCACACGTCAAGTAGTGACTCAACAGGGGGAAGAAATGATCAAGCCGATCTCGATAAGTCCCGTGTTGTGGCGAGCGCAAACACATATAGAGATTAAGAGAGACCAAGACAATCGGTTAAGAGGACTGCGGGGCGTTCCTGAGTGATGTTGGGGGCGTCCAATATAAGCGCGTCTCAATGAGTAGGAGCGCGGTCACGGTTGATGTCAGCCAATCTTGAGGGTGATGTCGAGGACCAGACGGGAAGGTCAGAAGAGACGGGAATTGGCAGGAAGGAACAGAGCAACTCTTGTGGAGCTACCTAGATCTCGCCGAGAATTATGACAGATTGAGGGAAGAGGGTTGAAGAGGATGGAGGAAGAAAGATCTGTGGAGGTGCGTGTGGGCAACCGTAGTGGCGGTACCAACTGGGCTGCCTTGCCAGGTCTGGAGTGGCAGATCCAATGGGGACCCTGCCAAAAAGGCCACCCAATACTTTAACTTACCACGGACATGGCCCTCCCTTGGTGACCACAGTGCTCGCCTCAACCTACTAAACTAGCTTGCTCTTCTGCCGGAGCCTTGTGCATGGCTACAAGAGACAGTGATCTTCGTTGCGCAACAGGACGGCTTTGATTACCATAGCGCACAGCATGGCCAATTCCCTCGCTCTCACCTCTCAAAGTTCGTGATGTACGTTACTGTCCAGGATTGCACGGCCTGCCGCGGTTAGTGGCCGGTTTGAAAGGCAGCCACTCGGATGCGTCAAAGCACATGTTCTGCGTCAACTTTGCTCCCATGGCGCTCGCCTGTGTCGCCCAGTGGTTCGGGGGAGGTTGGCGCGGCTGCGACAGGCGAAGGCCAACACTCTGTCTAGCCGCCCCACCACGAGAGCGAGAAAGAGTTGATGGGGAAAGTCGAAATTAAAAAATCCCTTGAGGAGGATTTGCAACTTCGTCTCCCGGGCTCGGCGCGCGTGCCCTTTTTCGCCTAGAAATAACTTCCACCACTTTCAAAAGATACGATAATACACAAAGCTACAGACCCTTAGAAACCATGTTCTTTCTTGTGTAAAATGGAGGGACTTTTTTCCCTTCTGTTCAAGCAACTAGGCAGGCTTAGAAGAGAATCTCTGACCGCATGCATGAAGCCTTTGCTCTTTCCATTCGCTCGAGCATGCACCCGAAACGCCCGACTCGTGGGCCATGCATGTCTCGCTGCCAATATATGCGCTGTGCCTCTTTCCACTTTACACACGCCCGCAGGATTTTACGATTTGCGAGAAGTTCGGAGAGGCAGGGTTCGTGCTTGCCACATTCGGGTTTTTGCTTTGATGGAATTCGAAGGCACGAGAAAGGCTCCTTGGATGCGTGCCGCAAGATGTGACACGCGACCAATTGTATGCCTGTCTTGACGACTCCTCTTGTCATTGGCAGACGTATATAAGCGCGGATCCCACAGTCACGGGCCCAGTAGGTCCACCAACATAGTACCGTATTGAGTCAAATCCCATCCTTCGAGTGTCCAAACGACAATGACACTTGCTAGTGCCTGTCAGTTTCAACACAAGCATTGCGGAGCTGGATTCAGCGTAGTCAATGCTCTGGCCTGTCGTAATCGGACAGACTCTGCCGCATGTTATAGGCTATTGGCCCCAGATCAGGAGGTCTTGTGAGTGGAGAACAAGGACCAGAGACGATGGCGAAACATAGTACTGGAGATAGAATAGATTGTGCTAATCGAAAAGACATGACCGTCTGAGTCTCGATTGAAGACGAATATTTGTCATCCACAGTTGTACGAGACAGGCTTCAAACATCTGCTACATCAGGCATGCAGAAGTTAGAGAGAGATGGACTGGACTCTGTCACACCGTTGTCGCATCACAGGCGATCAACAGACCAAACACAAACACGAGAAGCTGCACATAGAAAGCTGATGTCAGTCCGAGAGACCCAAATCAAGAAAGACCAATGCGAGGAAGATGCAGGGAAAGAGGGGCAACTGACAAGCAACATGAATGCCATAATGGTCCATATCTCCCACCCACCAGCCCAAACCTTGCCTCTGGCCATATTCATCTGTTGACGCCAAAACCGGTGGCCGCCAATAAGAATCACAACAATTGCAGCGCTCTGGAATAGACCAGCCAAAGGCTTGCCAACAGTGTGATAGCCAAACACCGGGTCGGATTTGGGGTCTGGCGAGCGCTGCAAACTGAAGAGCTGAGCGGTGACGATTCCCAGCATTGAGAGCGCGAGTGAGGTGCGTTGGTAGGCGAGAAACGTTCTTTCATTGGCNTACAGATAGAAAAGTCAATTGTCTTGTTCAGCTGTTCGATGGTTTCTTGACATGTAGCGATTCTGATTCATGTGCGGGAGTGATGGAGCTAGAGGCTGCATACCAAGATGATCTCTACAATCTGCATGAGGTACATGTAACTGGATATAGTGCTTCCAGTACCTTCTCAAACCATCAAGTACTGGAGTTTCGTCACGGGATTTGTTTGTCGCATCGATCGAGGCTGATCTCACGGCTGCAATTGGATGTCCATGTTGCACAGGTCCAAGTTCTGTTGCTTCTCGCTCATCGTGATCTTTGTCGCATGGCTGAGGAGGTTTTTGCAAGACTTCGTCTGCGTGTCCAGCGGATCCGGACATCTTACTTGTTCACGAGTACGATTTAACATGGAGGTGGAAGCGGAAAGAGAGGTGGGAGTTTAAAAGTGGACATGATAGCGAAGGAAGGTGAGCATCTCAATTGAGACTGAACAGGGTGGAGCACAGGGCAAAGCACAATGCTTGGCAGGGGTCCTTGATTCGATAAAGGAAGATTTATTTTTGAGTTATCGTGACCAGAAAAACATGCGGCAAGAAGGCCGGCCCCCTATGCACAGTAAAAGAAGAAAGTACCATCTACGACCAAACTCGCTTGAAAGGCATCCAGGTTTCATTAATGGAGCAATGTATCATCCTTTACATGACATAGAGCAGGTTCGTATCTGCACAGTGACATTAGTATACGATCATACATGTTTCAGGATCATAAGAATGAAACTTACCAATAGGGTGACTTGCACTCAATTGAGGCTTCTGTGAGTATTTTCCTTCAAGCTCGTCACGGATACTGTTCAGCAGTTGGACGTAGCTTTGCTGTGGGTTCTTTCTCAGAGCGCCAATGAAGGCCCAAGACATGGCACCAGTGGCTTGACCAGCGATGGAAGCATCGGCTGAGGTCTGGTCATCCTTGCTGCCACTCCACATGATGACATCTCCAGGAGAAGTCTTTGTGCGCTTGTTTTGTTCGTAGCTGTCGTTACCTTTGGTGACCTTCTTGAACAAGCCCATAGCAGTGCTCGCCATACCTCCAAGGTCGCCACGTGCATAGCTGCTGACAATGCCCAGCAGGCCTTGACCGGCTTCTTTGGCGAGGTTGGGCTCCTTGAGTACACCTTGGGTGGAGTAAATATATGGAAGGTCCAAAGCGGAACCGGAATGACACGAGTCGAAGATGGCAGTCAGGCGCACACCGGGAACGAGATTCTTGACCATGATGAAGTGCATCTCATCGTCAACAATGTGGCCTGCTTGGCGGAAGTCGACAGGGTAGATGACTTCGTCATAGCCGTCTTCCTCGTCACCGTCGAGATCTTCTGTCTGGCCGCCGTGACCAGAGTAGTGGAAGAAGAGCGAGTCGTTGGGCTGGGCGTCCTTGACGAGCCAGTGCATGGCGCGCAAGATGTTCTGCTTGGTAGGCTGGCTCATGGGATTCTGCTGATCGTCGGTCAAGGTGACCATGTCCTCGCGCTTGTAACCAAAGGCCTCCATCAGGTAGTTTGACATGTTCTTAACATCGTTGATGCAACCTCGGAGCTGGCCCTTCTGGCCAAAGTAGTTGATGCCGATTAGGAGGGCCTTGCGCTTGCCAGTGCAGTTGGAGTATTGGAACGAGTAGCCATTGGGGGCGCCGCTGCCAAAGGTTTGCATGCCCTGTGGCGGAGGTGGAGGGGCGCCTTGACGGAGGTTGTGCTGTTGGTAGATGTTTTGGCCGCTGGGCAGGCCTGAGAGACACGGTCAGTGGCAGGTCACAATGCATGTAGAGGGTGGAGGCATGGTACTTTGTTGAGGAGCATAGTGCTGAGGGGGCGGTTGTGAGTAGCCACCATATTGTTGCTGCTGCGGCGGAGGAGGTTGCTGGTATCCGCCGTATTGTTGTTGCTGCGGAGGACCGCCGTAGTTTCCGTACTGAGGTTGAGGGGGTGGTTGTGAGTAACCACCGTAGCCTTGTTGGGGTGGGCTATTTTGCGTCAGTCACTCTACACATGTGCTGCTGCGCTGGTCGCAAGGTGGATACTGACGGATATTGCTGGGGAGGATAGCCGCCGTACTGCTGCTGCTGCTGTGGTGGGGGGCTCCTTGATTGTAGCCTCCCTGGTTATGGTAGCCTTGGCCGGGGTAGTACGACATGTTTGCGAGACGATGCCGACGTTGCGAAGAGGTTGGTTCGAGGTTAAGGTAGGTAAAGATTTGGATGCGATCGCAGGTCGGAGTTGTTGTCGGAGAGAAAGAGCTGCTCTGCAATCACGCGGGGTTTCGAAGGCCGCTGACGTGTTTGAGTTCGAATGTTGCGAGTTGGAACTTGGCGCTTCCGTCAATTGCCTGTCTTCGAATCGTTGGATGATGCTGCAAACAACCAGCAAGTGGGTATCGCTGATCTATTGTAAAAGATGGGAAGGCAGCCGTCTTATCCGCCAGGCACTTCGCTCTCGCACTCCGCTTCGAGAAAAAGCTGCGCGACTGCACGACTGGGGGAGGAGATTGATGTGGCGCTCTGCTGAACAAGAACCCACAAACCGTTCCATTCGAACGAGAGTCCTTGCAACTGACAGAGAACCGCACCGTGTGCATCTGCCTTTCCCCGCAGCCACCCATCGCATCTACTCGACATGATCTGCCTTCCCTCGTCGATCCAGCCTTATCAAGACCAGAGTCCTGAAAGAGCTTCTCAATCCAGCCAAACTCCGGGCTCTACCAAGCTCTCGCTGCAAGCCACTCACCATGGATTGGTTCTTGCACTCTGCTCTCCGTTGTCAACAGCCCGTCCCGCTGTCTTTCGGCCACTCCGACACCGGGCCACATGGTCGTTCAACTGCCCTGTGACCCTAAATACCACCCGCCTAACCTCACTTAGGACAATGATCTTGGTGGCGCTCTGCTGTGCAATCTATAGAATTCCTTCGTCTATCGTACACATCTCAATTCTAACCTTCCATGCCTCCTTTTGGCTTTCATGGCTTGAATGCTCCCCAACTTGTCGAGGGGTTTGATTCTTCGTCAAGGCATGTTCCTTGTTACACTAGTGACGGAGTCTTCCTCACAGCACACCCATCATGTCTCTGTCGAGTCTTCGTCGCTCGTGATTCCCACTGCGAACACCCGCTCGCACCACTCGGCAAACACCTCGCTCGACCAGACCTCATCTTCTCGACCTTTTCCTTTCTTGCTGACCTTGCCAATTTTGGCTGCGCCTTTGCCCTCGCTCAACTTGTCCATCCAATCCTCGTAAGCTAGAATGACCTGGTCCCGCACTGCGGCCACGAGCGTTTCTCTGGTCCGTACGTCCTGAATATACTCGTCTAGCTTCTGCCGCATAGACACAACCTCCTTTTGCGTAATGGCGCGAACTTCAGCCGTGACATGACTCGCTTCTGACCCTGAATCCTTTCTTGGTGCAGCCAACGGTGCCGTGATGGGGCTCACAAAGCTGTTGACAAAGTCGTTGATTACTGCTCGTAGTCGTCCGTCGAGTTCTGCCTTAGCGTCGAGCATATTTTCCACTACTCGAGGCATCAGCCCTCCAGCAGCAAGCTTTACCCAGCTCGCCGGGTTCCACAGTCCTCCTCGCTCACGAAGCTCATAGAATGTGTTTGTAACGGACGAGAAGTCGAAGGTCACTTCGGGCGTGATGAATTCAATGTCAAACGCGACAATCTGTTGCTTGAGTCGCAACATGTGAGCGATCAAGAACAGATTGGCGTCGGCAGGTGAGGACTTTGTTGCGATTTGAGATGCTGCCCATGCTAGGNNGGAGACAGTGGTGCTGTGCACAATGTTGTGCGCCAAATCGTCAAACACAGTGGACNNTATGATAGCCAAAGTTAGCGGAGGTCATTGGCATGGGTATACTGTGCAACTCACGTTGACTAGTCGGTAGATACGACTCAATAACCAGATTGCTTTCCGCAGCGTTGGATACCAGACCATGGCCTGCTTCTCGTTGGTGGGCCAAGACGTTTCGAACATATCAGTACCATCGTCTTCTTCTCCAGGAGATTTGACCTGTGTAGTATTGGTTGAGTTTTTGCGACCAGAAAGGGCCACTCGTTTTCCTTCAGCAGTCGTTGTTGATGGACCCCGTGCTTGTGATGGGTAGTCAAGATCTTCAGGCTTCGGTCGGTAATTCTCGATGTCATCTCTAAGGACAGCCAAGGCAAGGAAAACGAGTCTGCTCTGAGCATCTTCCAATGCAGGCTTGACGAGAGCAGCAAAGTCCAGAGTTCTCTTTGCGGTAACTGTATCTTGATACTCAGAGTCATCGTCTTCTTCGTCAACCATGAAACGAGTTTGGATGAAGGTACAAAGCTCGCATAACTTGGGTATGCGAGTCTCGCGAATGATTCTAGGGCGGAGATGATCGTACAGGGGCTCGCACATGGCCTCTAAGAATTCGTATACACCACCATCCCCAGAAAACCAGTCACCCCATAGATCATATTCATCAAGACATATGCCCCTCACAAAACCGATAGCGGTTTTGGCAAACGTGACCGAATCACCCACAGCATTGTCAACCGAAGCCATCTCGGTGAGCTTGCGGGAGATGATGGGGAACATGAGGCGACCCCGCGTGGCCGAGTAGCTCTGGTATAGCTCGTTCATGAGACTCTGATACTCGGCTTCACCTCCTTGGTCGGCGCCTGCAGGCAGTACAGCACGCTTTTGTATTTCCAGACCAAGCTTTTTGAGTTCAGGAGCACTGACACGGAACTTTGCGTACAGCAGAGCGGTTTGCGTAGTATCGTTAAGCTGGCGATCAGCGATTCGTTGCGATGCATCGGCGGCCAGCGCTCGTAGAGAGTTTGTGAAATGGACTCGGATAAGGGTCAGGGCACGTGTCAACAGGAGGCGGTAACGGGAACGGTAGATAGGAGCTTCGCGGTGAGTAGGATGGGCCTGCATGTATTCCAGGCATTGGTCGAGGTTTGTAAGCATGTCAGGGAACTCTTTCGCGCGGACGAGGTTGGCAGCACCGGGGGCGTTCAGTCTGCGGGTCATGGGCTCGAGGTAGGCGTAGTACTGGAGATTATGGTTCATGTTGTCGGCCAGGGCGGTGATGCGACGCTGCTCGGTCATCAGAGACTCGCATTGGGCGTGGAAGGCGGTCGTCTGGTCGTCGACAGCCTTGAAGGAGTCGGACAGGCCAGACAGCACGGTCAAGGCGTCATTGGTACTCTCCATCAGCGAGTCGAGGTGGTGTTGCGATAGCTTCAGTTGTTCGTGGTAGAGTTCGTAGTCATAGTGGCTGGCGTCCAAGAGGTCGTCCTCGAGAGCGTCGTACCAGGTCGCAAAGTCGAGGTGTGATTGAAGAACGTTCTTGGGCTTGGGCGCCGATGAGAGGCTGTTCTTGCGCAATGGCGCAGAGGAAGAGATGGTGTGTGTATGGTGGTTGGCGGCATGGAGACGGGTATACGACTGGGCTCTCCTGAGAGGTGTCGCCTTGGGAGGACCTTTGGCCAGCGAGGAGTCGTCTTCCTCGCCAAGACTGGGCAGTTGGTCTGCAGCATCATCAGCCTGGGTCGCTTCCNNTGTACAGCATCAGACAAGGGCTCGGCCGACGTACCATGGCACAATCCAGGAGCAGCTTACATGTGGCTGTTGCAGGAGGGAAGCTCGCCGCCGATGGCCGCCGGTCTTTTCGGACGGCGCTGGCGTGCTGGACACGAGCGATGTGTACCAGTCGCTGTCCATCATGGTGGGCGGGAGGGCTTGGTGACAGTTGACAACAAGTCACCGACTGTCTGGCAATTGGACATGTCTCCGAGGCTCGTCGGTCTGGAGTCGGCCGGCTTGGCTGGCCGCGATAGCAGGGCAGAGGCTAGGGCTCGGGCCGATCTGGGCCGAAGGGTCTCGCGATCGCGTGGCTCGTGGCTCGTGCCTAGACTCGAAATGATGACGGTAGAGACTCGTCTGGCCAATCGCCGTCCAGTAGCTGACGGCTCTGCACTCTACAATGACCTGAGTCTTGCTCGAGTCCACTCACCAATCCTCCAATCCACCCGCCAGCATGCTTCCCAAGACCAGCGTCCCCAAGCTGCGCGCCCTCCCGACCGCCCGACCAGCTTCGACTCGAGCTTCAATGCAGTCGCGGAGTCATGTCAGAGTCCTATCCGCCCCCGCCTATGCCGCCAAACGACAGCAGCACTTCCTGAGATCTCTGGCCGCCATTACTGCAGCTGCCGGCCTCGCCACTGCTTCCCAGTACTACCTGAATGACGGTCGCCTCATCCGAACAGCCCACGCCGAAGCCCCATCTACCGAGCAGCCCGACATTCAATTCGAGAAGACCCGCAAGCGTGGCGCAAACAAGGACGAGGACAGGGACTTTGCAAGCTCTCAACACTTGCAGGTCAGGAAGTCATGGGAGAATCCTGGCGTTTACGCATGCGGCTCCAACGCCGGCAAAGTCGTTGCTCCTGATTCGGATGCTTCCTACGTCAAGACGCCTCGCCGCATCAAGTTCTTTGATGGGAAGTTGCTGCGCGACATCAAGCTAGACAAGAACTTTGGGGCCGCTATTGACGAGCAAGGCAACTTGTTGCAGTGGGGCGTTGACTACTCCAAGGACACTACTCAGCCCACCGTGACACTCAAGGGCAAGAATCTGGTCTCGTTGGCAATCTCCAAAGATCGCATCTTCGGCCTGTCGTCCTCGGGAAGCGTCTACTCTTTACCCGTCTCTGCTGCCGAGCAGGCTTCAGGCACAAAGCCTAGCGAGAGCTCCTGGATTCCTTTCTGGTCCTCCACTTCTCTCATCAGCTACCGCACCATTGTCCCTACGGATATGAGCTACAGCGAGAAAGTTTCCAAGATTGACAGTGGTCTAGAGCACGCCTTGCTACTCACATCCAAGGGACGTCTCTTCTCCATGGCTTCTGCAACCGACTCTTTCCCGACCAGAGGTCAGCTCGGTGTTCCAGGCATCTCTTGGGACAACAAGCCTACTGGTCCCTACTACCAGCCTCACGAGTTGACCACACTTAGAGGTTTCAACATTTCGCAAATCGCATGTGGTGATTATCATAGCATTGTAGCCGACACAGATGGCCGTGTCTTTGCTTTTGGTAACAACACTTCTGGACAATTGGGTTTCGACTACAACACCGAATCTGCCGTTGTTGATACACCGGCTTTGTTGCCTCTCCAGAAGCTTTACGCTGGTTCGTCCCAGACCCCTGTAGTAACATCGGTAGCGNCTGGCGGCGCCAATTCTTTCTTGACTGTAGATGCTACCAAGGTAGCATCTCGTAACTCTGACGGCAGAGGTATTGGTAGAATTACTGCTGATACCTTTGCATGTGGTGCTGGCATCTACGGGTCGCTGGGAAACAGCCGCTGGACCCATGTCCAAGGAACTCCCACCAAGATTCCTTCGTTATCGTCACTGTTCGAGTATGACGAGACCAACAATGCAGTCATCCCCATCAGACTAGCTAGTATCAGCGCTGGCAACAAGCACGTCGCGGCTGTTATGAACAACGTCGCGCATACAGGAGCCTTGAACACAGACGGTGAAACGTGGTGGGGAAGAGATATTGTCTTCTGGGGTGGTAACGAGCATTACCAGTTGGGAACTGGAAAAAGAAACAACATCAACACCCCTACCTACATCCAGCCTCTAGACCAGGCGGCAGAGCGCAAGGTCAGAGGCAAGGAGGAGCACAGATTCCAAATCACACCGAGGAGCACAGTTCGTCTCGCCGATGGTAGAAAGGTCAGCATGGAACAGCGCGTAGAGTGCGGCAGGGACTGTACCGCCATCTACTCTGGTGTGTAAAATTGGCGGCGATCTTCTCGGTTGTTCATACGCATAGTGTGCACTTTGTTTCTGTAAATATCCTCGAGGGCGTTACCCAGGCATGGAGTTGGTGGCAATAGGTTGTCTGCGATTTCAAGATGTATATAACCATGATCAGTCTTCTTCTTAACCGCACGTTGTACGAGATGTCGCGAAAATCGATTCGCTCCACTGCAGAACCTTTTCATTTCCACATGACACTTCTTCCATATCTGTCTGTCCCAAGCATACAGCCAAGTTGGTTTCGGTTGATCATCTTCGCGATTGCCAACGAAAAATATAGGGGATGGTGATCAGCCACTCGCGTCGCTGCTCTGTGTCTACGGCTCGCATGTCTCTGATCACACGCCTACCGCGTCCACAAGCACGCCCACCATTCCCGCGTCTTCGTATTCATCAAACGTACAAGACACAAGACTCGCCGTGGCATTGCTTGTCCAAACTTGGCTACTAATAAGTCTTGGGCAAGCATGATGGTTTGTTCTTTGACAATGCCTCTATCGTCTCGCTCCGTGCAATACGTGGAGGAAGGCTTCGTGCAGAATCGAGCAAGATTGGCTGCACAGTGCAGACTTCGCTAAACACTGCATAATCATCTTTCGCGCAGACGAAGGAAGGAACTGTCGCGCAGTTCCTCCTGCTCCTTCGACAATATACAGACGGGTACAAGTTGTAGAGACCGCTCGGAGAGCACCTTATCACCTTCCTCAAAGAGCCAAGTCGATCGCTCCTCCACGCAGTTCGGCGCTGCAAACATCATGCGCTGCTGCCACCGGGTCATCGTTCAAGTTTCATTCCTGCGTCCCGCCTATCGTTGCATCAAGGGTGGTCAAATTGTCGTTTTGCTCAATCCTATTATTGGCCAAACCGGCAGCCTCCATTCACTGACCTGATCTCTTGCATACGCACTGCCGCTATCTCTTGATTACCATGCCCAATCAAGACACGGGGTGATATACATACCGGCCTCCTGAATTCCACATCCGTGCGAGTCCGGTGCGCGTGCATCGAGTACTGGTGAATTGCATAAATTGATCGCGTTGCCCACCTGTAACGTAACACCTACCAAAGTCGAGTCTACATCCTTTCGTCAACAACAATGGCACAAGCTGCAGCTCTCACTATAGAAGGTGATCCACGGATGAGTGCCTCTGGCCCTGGAATCGCGCAACTCTCAACACCAGCGTTGAGAAACTTGCATGACCCTTCAGTAACCATCGAAGAATACTTCTACTGGGCCAGGATCACTCGTGAAGAGCAGAGAAACATACCAACGGTCAAAACTCCTGCCAGGAAGTTCTTGGGTTTTGGTAAACACGATGCGGTCTCCTCGACCATCACTGGTACCGACCCCACCAAATCCGAACCCCCCAAAAGGGTATCAGGTGCAGCCACGGATGAAAAGATTGGCAATTCCGAAACTCCCGCGACTACAAGACCAGTCGTTATGACAGAGGATGAGTGGTTACAGGCTTCCAGAGCCGCAAGAACAGCGACCTGGGGATCTATTTTCTATCTCATCACCACAGATGTTCTAGGTCCTTACTCTGTGCCGTACGTCAGATTGTTGTGTTCGAATATCAGACTACCTCGATTAACAGTGTTGCAGANNTGGGCTTTGGCACAGATGGGATACGGCCCAGGTGTCGTTCTGTACACCATCTTTGGAGCTTTGGCCGGCTACACAGGTTGGCAGATCTGGCAGATGTTTCTCAAACTTGATTCCGACCAGTACCCTATGAAGACTTTTGGTGACATTGCATTCAGAGCCTATGGACAGGCGGTACGCCACATAGTGAATATCCTGCAAGCGATCCAGCTTATCTTCAACGTGGGTGTCATCATCATTCAAAATGGACAAGGACTTTACCAGATCAATTCGAACATGTAAGTGGTTGATCATCCAATACTTATAGCTTTTGAGCATTATGGCTAACCTAGACAAGATNGTTATATTGTGGTGAGTAAATCTTGATCAAAAAGATGTTCATTCTTCATAATCATGAGCTGACAACCCTTCTCTCAGTGCTGTGTCATCTGGACAGGTGAGTCAAAGTAGCACAAACACCCGAGATATGTGCTTACACGTTCTTAGNCATGTGGTTTCGTACTTGGTCAAGTACGTACTCTGCAAAAATACGGCTGGATCGCCAACTTTGCCGTCTGGATCAACATTATTGTCATGATCCTTACAATGGCAGTCGTAAGTCCAGCCTCTGTGTTTTGCCTGTCGCGCTGGACCAACTAATAGTATTTTTAGGTAACTCACAGCCATCCCAACTACGAGGCCGCTTCCAAATCCAACGGTGTGCCTGTCGGCCCTCCTGCCCCACCAGTCATGACTACCGCAGGCCCACCGCCTACCGTCGAGTTCAGCGGACAAATCGTGGGCCTGATGCAAGCCGTCTATTCCTATGGCGGTGCCATGCTCTACTGCGAATTCATGAGCGAAATGCGGAAGCCTTTTGACTTTTGGAAGGCACTGATCGTTGCAGAAACCTTTATCTACGTGATCTATTTATTTTTCGGTGTCTTTGTGTATTCTTATCAGGGCCAGTATACTATCAATCCAGCTCAGCAGGTATGTTGGTGTTTACTTGGTAGATGAGGTCCGTGTCGCTAATTCTTTGAACNNCAGGGTATGTTTCCTCACGCAGCTTTGACCGCAGGTAACATCCTCGCTTTTGTTACGGCCCTCATTGCGGCCGGATTATACGGAAACATCGGCATCAAAGTCATGTATCAGAACATCTTCCAGGAACTGCTGGGTCTGCCGCAGCTCACTACAAGAACCGGAAAACTCATCTGGGCTGGCATTGTCCCAATTTATTGGGGAATTGCTTTCCTCCTTGCCGCCGCTATCCCTCAGTTCAGGTAAGCTTTGGCGTTATCGTCTCTCAAATCTCTCTCTAACATGCCGCCANGCGCGCTTTCTGGCCTCGTGGCAGCCCTTTGCATCCTTCAGTTCACATACACCTTTCCACCCCTTCTCATGCTAGGTGTACAAGTTCAGTACGATGCAATCCGTCCTGAACAAGGTGAAGGCTTCAATTCAACTACTGGTGAGACAGTACGACACGACCATGGCATGAAGAGATGGATCCGTGGGTTTTTTGCTCGCAGGTGGTACATCAAGCTCTGGAATGCCGTCTTCTTCCTGGGAGCCCTTGTCACCTGTGTACTTGGAACGTATTCTTCTGTCAAGTCTATGGTTGATGCGTATGCCTCGGGCTCCTCGACAGCATTCAGTTGTGTGGGACCAGTTTAAGGACTTGATGATAGCGTGAGAATTCTGAGCTGCGTCCTGCCACCAAGGGTAGACATGGTGATTTCCTGGGATATTCAAATTAATGGCTGTTTTGACAGATCAATCCGTTTAAGCTCATGGAGACTTGGCCTCTGCATCTTAATATTCAAGACCAGCCAGTTCGCTGCTTTTCCATGTTCTTTTCGTCTCGTCGTCGATGGTATAGACCTTGGAAGATCATGGTCAGGGTGGTATGCTCGACATGGAGCCGGAGATAACGGTGTTTTGGACTTGGTATGCGATGTAGATCTGCAGGGCCGACGTCACCAACCTGCCACGCACCTGCCTCCATAATTTTTGTGATACTCTCAAGACTTGCAAGCCATTGTTTCGAGATAAGAGGGCGTGACTAAACAGAGGTAAGAGCAGTTCTCGACATGTACCCTCCTCTCTTGAAAAGTGCAGGAGTGAGGTCAAGGTAGAGACTTCTTCGTCGAAGCCCACCTCCACGGGCTGCTGAAAAACAAGGCAGGGCAGTCGCGTGAAGTTACGTAGACCCTCGTTCCTCCATTCTCCCTCTTCCATACCTCCCCTACTCATACAAAGACCCATACAGCGACAATGACGGCAAGAATAGATGGCGGCGAGCCTTTCCTTAAACACCTCAACGTCAGCAAGACACCATATATCTTCCTTACAGCCGAGACAGACGACTTTGACGAAGAGACTATTGCTGCATGGCAAGGGGAAGGCTTCGTCACGACATATGTGCCTTTCGGCGATGGAGGACGAGACTATGTGGCTAGAATGCACGCGGCTCCTGACCAAGCGCTGGGCCTGAACGATCAGTATGCCATAGTAGGTGCGTTCTTACTCCTGCATTCTTAACTCACATTGAGTAGTAGAGCACTGCTAACAAGTCTGCCATGACAGNCTTTCGGCGATGCTGCGAGTGCTTGCCTCGAGGCCTATGTCAAATCCACACCCCGTCTGGCCGCTCTGATCGCATACTATCCATCCAAAATCCCGGACCCGCAACAAACACGATACCCAATGCACACCACCGTACTAGTCCACCTCGTTGGCGATGAAATGAAAGTAATCCGCACTCCAGAAGTGCTCGGGATACAGGGCAAGAAAAAGATCATTACAAAGAGGATAGGCGATGGCTCGGGCTTGGGCGGTGCGCTAAGGTTAAGTTTCCAGACATACAAGTATGCTGGTGTAGAGTCCGGGTTCGCAGAGAGCGATCTGGATGAATACGACGCTGCTGCTGCAGGTCTGGCCTGGAGTAGGACCTTGGGCGTTGTCAGGAAGGCTCTAAGAATAGCCTCCGATATCGAGAGGATACGAGACGAACACCTTGACCGTACGTTTTGGCAACTGTCCACAATCACGAGTATGGCAAGGCTAATTGGAAGCTCAGACGTGCGAAAGGGTCACGTACAAAAAGCCCTCGCCATGACCACCTCCAACCCAGCAGTCCTCCACGTACCCTCTCTAACCGGCGCCTTCCACGAAGAAGACCTCGCAGACTTCTACTCCGAATTCTTCCAACCATCACCAACATCACTAAACTGCAGACTCCTTTCACGCACCGTAGGCGCCGACCGTGTAGTCGACGAACTCTCCCTCTCCTTCAACCACAACAAAGTGATACCCTGGCTTCTCCCTGGTATACCCGCTACAAATCGCAGGATCGAGGTCGTTATAGTGTCTATCGTATGCATCAAAGCAGGCAAACTGTCCAGCGAGAAACTATATTGGGACCAGGCTAGTGTGTTGATGCAAGTAGGGTTGCTGGACCCAAACCTAGTGCCCGACAAGTTCAAAGAAAAGGGAGTTGAAAAGTTGCCGGTAATAGGTGCTGAGAGTGCGAGAGCAGCGGTTAGAGAGGGGAGTCGGAGGATTAATGAGTTGATTGATGATTGGTAGACCTTAAACATCGAAGCACCCGAAATCGAGTATTCATGGATGATGGTTCTTTGTGCAATCTCTTGACCTAGACCTATTATATCACCATGGCTTTGAGCATGTCGTATCAAGAATGGGAAAGAAGAGAAAAGGCGTGGTGTAGGACTGTTCTCCGGGCTGTCGTCGACTAATTGTAGTAGAGTGGTCGCTTGCTTGGGTCTGAGCGGGAGACGTCGCCACTAGGTGTGGTGTATTCTCGCATGGCTTCTAATGAATTGGCATACAAGGTGGCGATTTGTCGCGCGCCTTCTCTTTGTGTGTTCGTATGTCGAGGAAGATGATTGTTCATAGGATTGTGCCGAACTTCTTCGGTTTTTGGCAATCTATGTATTATATATTGTCTATGACAGTACTATCCAATATAGAGGTCAGATGGCCGAGTGGTTATGGCGCTAGTTTCAGGCTCACCTGAAATGAGTTTACTAGTGAGAAATCGCGTGGGTTCGAATCCCACTCTGATCAACCATCTTTTTTTTTCTAGAGAATGTGGCAACAACGAGCTGAACGGTTTCGTGGGTCTGATGTGTTTTTGATGGTGTGAAATCCTGAGCGAGTAGGCATATCCAAATTTGTGCAACATTGGTAAGAAGACGGGCTTTGTGGACTAGTACTATCACACTTTATCGACCCCCTGGGAGCGGAGCATACGGTAAGATTCAGCTCGAGACACCGAGGAACTCCTTTTGTTCGAATAACAACTGTTTACCAAATCATGACCCTGAATCAAATACCTGAGACATTGCTGGACACAAGACAACATCGCGCAAGGAAGCAATTGTCCACCAGTAATTACATCATTCCATGAGCCATCCATCATATACTTCGTAACAGTCTTTTGATTCTGCCTGCCGTCATCCATCGCTGTCCTCACCACGCAGCATCGCAACGTCACTACCTGCAATCTTCTTCCGCCCCATGCTGAAACTCGAGGATCATCAGTAGTCCTTGTTGATTCCCTCGACAGGACCGGCATAGTCGTACTTGCCCTTGAACTTGTAGTAGATGATGGCAGCAATCCAGGTAACGCCGTAGATCAAGATGGTCCAATTCATGTTCTGTGCGTCGGGATGCGGTCTGGAAGGGAAGAAGAGTAGGACCCAACAGAAAGATAAGAAAATAATGGCGGTCAAGTTGACGGCGAGACCCCAGCGACCCAAGCTGAAACGGCTGGGTAGAAGAACCTCCTTCATGATTCGCTTTCTGGCCATGCATCCAATGCAAATGATGTACGAGGTAAGGAGTCCGACGCTCGACAGACTGGTGATGACATTGAACGCTGTGTTTGAACCAATGACGATGAGTGAGATGAGTACGGTAAGGACCACGGTAACAGTGCATGCATTGAGAGGAATATCCATGCCGGGTCGAACCNNTATGAGAGTCAGTCTGGAGTTTACAGCAGGATATCGACCCACGTGACTAACTCTACCGAGGAATGCAGAGAACGGCAGACCACCATCTCTGGCGAAGGCGAAGAGCTGTCTCGATGTTGTGGTGACTTGGTTGATGGCAGTGAAGAACAACAAAACGCAAACGATTGCTGTAAGCCCTGATGCACCAGCCTTGGACCCAACTGCGTTGTAGAAGACCTGCAGATCTTGTCAACTCGGTTCGAACCACTGAACAATGGCTTTGTATGCTGTACTTACCTGGATATATCCCTGACCGAACTTGGTATCGAGAACAGATTGAACAGAACCACCCAGAGTAAACATGAGTGTGATGACGGTAAAGAAGCCAAGAGCGTAGTTGACGACAGCAGTAGCAGCCATAGACCTCGGAAGGACCCATGATGCATCTTTCAACTCTTCACTCAAGTGGCAAGCCGAGTCGGAGCCGAGAAGAGTGGTGAAAGGAGACAAGATACCGATCAGTGTGGACAGGCCTACGTTCCCCCAGCCCATGTTGTCGCTGAATTCAGTAAACACTTTCTTTGCAGGAGTTCTCTCAGCCATAACCCAGAGCACAACGACGATAGTGAAGAAGCTGAAGAAGAAAAAGAGCAACATGAACCCCTCGAGCAAAGGCAGTTTCTTGATCGCGACAGTGTTGATGAAGATGCAGACAATCACGATGCCGATGGTCATGAGAGCGGCGTGCCAGCCAGGGAGTGTGTAGCCTTCGACGTTGAGCACGATAAGACCTTGGATGTTGAGTGCCGGAGTGTAGGCGCTAGCACACATAGCTGCCTGCCATCCCAAGACACACATCCATCCTNNCCAAGCGATGTGTCAGTAAGAACACCAAGTCTCGGGTCCGGAGCTCTACTTACCGACCATGTATGAGAGGAATCGTTGGTACTTGGGCGGAGCAAATTCACTGACCCCNTGTTCGTTGCATCAGTCATCAGGCTCCATCTCGATATCGATGGTAGACACGGTGCTCTTACAATGGTATTGACCACCAGCCGTAGGCGCNCCTGATCAAACGTTAGCTGATCAAGAACCCATGCACGATATCTTCAGGTTACGCAGGACCCACATTGATGCCATTTCGGCCATGGAAAGCATGCAGAAGAACATTCCCACGGCCACAACGAGGAACATCCAGATCCCACCAGCCATACCGCCGTTGGCAAGAGTGACATTGCTGGAANNCTGATGAAAAGGTCAGTCTTTGAAATAAGTTCGATGACAGGAAATGACAAACATCAAAGCGACAACCCAAGCATTGCCCAACAGTAAACTGAATCCCCAGATGGAGACGAAACGGAAGTTACGCNNTGTAGTTCATGAGTATGACATTCGATGTTCAAAGAGTTCAAGACTGACTCTAAGCTCTTGGGCCTTTCCCATACGACGCATATCATAATCGTCGTCCTTGGTGCCGCCCTTTGTTGCCTCGTTTGTCGCTGCATCTTCGGCATCCTCGATCTGGTGCTCGAACGAACTGGCGGTCTGGACAGACGAAGAGTTTTTGATGCTATCCATCTCAATGGCGGTGGAGGACATGTCGGTGGAAAGGAGAGGTTCACGCGAGCAGTCGCCCAAAGAAAACGTAGTATTGGACAAACGTCTGGCTGGAGTTACACACCGAGTTTGTACTCGGAAGAAGACAGGATGCATGCAAGGATAAATAAGTCAACTCGCTTTCCTCGCTGGATTGTGTTTCGGCGGCAATCGTGAAGGGAAGGAGCTAACGGACGGCAAATCTGCGCCGAGTAAGTCTAGCAAGACGGCTCCTTGATGGACGGCGCAAGGGTTGCTGCACCTGCCCACCTTGCATCCCACCAAACCATGGAGTCGTGGTGTTACGAGGGACGCAAACTAAAAAGTCACCTCGTACCATCCTCAGCGGAAGCGGATGTTGCACATCGCTGGGCAAAGGCCGATTCATTCTTCTTACACAACAGCCTCGCCTTGATTTTGCGCATTGCTTGCGGACAACTGCTTTGCGAGGTCTATCTTCTGTGTCGTGTCCTCTTTCACTCATGGTAAATGCAAGGGCTTCCACACCGCACGCAGCAAAGCCATGGCGTATTTTGCCAGAAATAAAACCAAAGACGTGAACAGCGGCAATGTACAGTAGCAGGCCGTGTCGACAGTCCTGTAAACACCTTGCAGATGATCCTGCTTCAGTGAACCGTTTCGGTTGTGAGGATTGCAGATTTGACACCGCCAAGCCGAGGGCGACGTCTTTCCGAGGGTGCACAACAGCTTCCTTCTGCGCTTTCGCAGCACACAACCGGGATGTCGTTTCCCTTCCTGAAGATCAGTCTTGGGCGGATCTCATTGAGGCGCCCAGACGGTACATAGCACTCACGGGAATGCAATGAGTCGGGGCCAATCCAAAGATTATCAGGACATCTGCCAGTAAAGAGCTCACAGCTTCGACTTGGAGCATGACTTGCAGAGTCTCAGCTTCGTGCTGACATTCCGTCCTACTCTTCTTTCTGCTGAGAAGATGTTGTGGCTCGCTTCTACGCAATCTTACCTCACATGGCGGACTTCCAGCACTGTGTCGTTGGCTGTCCTTTTTCTCTGGGTAAACGCCCGCGATACCCGACGTTTCGCTCCTCACCTTGCAGGACGAGCGCATAATCCTGAGTTGCACAAACAGCCGCTTGTTCATCCATCCTCAGCCCTCGCCTGACACCCCCAGAGGACCGTGTGATATATGGTCCAGACACTCGTAGCCTAGGGTGTGCCCCTTTCTCGGACTTTGCTTTTTCGAATTTGCTAAGAGTAGTCGGAAGGCTTGTTCTTGGTTGCCAATTATCTCAATCAGGCGCACTCCAATCGCAGACGTTTTTCGAACATGGCGCGGTTCGCTCAAGGGCTTCCCGCTCATCTCTGGATTGCAGTTCTGATATCGCTGAGTTATTCATGCTTCACTTGGTTCCTTCGAATTTATGCGAGAGTTGGCTACTATGGAATAGACGATGTCGCCATCACCGTTGCGCACGTAAGTACTTCCTAGCTGGGTTTGGCATTTGCTGCAGACTCGGCGGCCCCACTCTTCGCCTTTATCTGGCACGAATCGTCTTTCGAAGCGAACAACCGCTTCCAACTCATGAACATATATAAGCAACTATGTTTATTGACACAGACATAGATCACGGCGCTCGCACAATGGGCTTCCTTGATCGTGGCACTCAACAATGGTTTAGGAGAGTCAGAGGAAGTGGTCGGGCCTGAGCACCTGACGAGTATGTCTCGGGTGAGTCTTTCAGTCCACTCTGTCAAACACACATACTTCTGACACAAATTTAGGNCGGTCGTTGCCAGCCAGATATTCTTTCTTCTCACAATTGGACTGACGAGCCTTTCCCTAACCCTGCTCATGAGGAGGATATTCTCGACCAACACAAAACACAAACTTGGATCTTATGTTCTACTAGGCGTAATCTCAGCATGGCTCGTTATTGCAGTCGCTGCTGTCAAGTCGAATTGCGCTTCAACGCATATACTCGAAGGACAGGAACACACATGTCCTAACGCTGTAGGCTTGCTCGCCAGAATCCAGCCGACTCTGCTGACAAGTGTAGNNGTATATCGATGGCGAGCAATCCTTGCAATTACGATTTGCATCGAGGCAGCTGTGATGGGCTTGCCAATCTATCTTGTCAGCCATCTTCGGATCAAAATCAGCAAGAAAATGCTCGTGGTCTCTGCTTTCGCATACCGAATGCCGTACGTGGTCGCTCGCCTCTGCCGTAATAGTGGTTACTGACGTAAAATAGTANTGATCGCATTCGCTCTGCTTTACTTGAGAGTCTACACCGAAGCAGTACGCTCCGAAGAAAGAATACAGCACTTCTCGAAAGTCATTGTCTGGCAGCAAGTCACAATCTGTTACAGCCTCTTGTCAGCAACTCTACCCTTTGTTCAAGCCTTCATGCGCAGCTTCACAACAGGCGGGACGGCCTTCGGCAGCATCATATATGGTTCTCGCAACAGTCGATCCAACAGCTCTGGCGACACATCAAGAAGCAGATCGAGGAACGAATCTTTCACACCACAATTTCTGGGTCGAACGAAGACAGTGTGCCGTGGAGCAGGCAAGCAGATCAGCAATGAAGCTCATCGTGCATCTGGCGGGTCACAGGAACTGATCGTCCGGCGCGAAGTTACGGTGGCAGTCACTCAGGGATGAGGCTCTTTGTCTACATTGATCACTTTCTTACGCAACAACATTCGGACATATTGAGGCCACGTATTTATGCATACATAATGACATGTTATATATTGTTACCCCAAATCTTTGGTAGCAAAACGGCACGGAATGCATGAGAAGCGCGCCCAGTCTTTGCAGTGTCACAACAAGCCGAAAATGATGCGTATCGATAGAACTTGTACCACAATCATCAGCAATGCAGAGTAAAAAGCAACCGCTTTCTCGCGACACAAATTACAGAAGTTGACTCTATGGCACGACCATACGATGCAAACGGTCGTTTCAAAGACAAACAACTATTCAAGGCAAGGGTTCGACTCGAGTTCATGCAAACCAGAAATCCGGTAGGTGGTCCGAAACAAGCACCCTGCATGAAGGTGGCTTGCATCGCCACGTGCGAAAAGCATGTCGAGCGATGCATCTTTGTTACACAATTGACATGAACACTACACAATCCACATTGCCAAAGGTCTAGGAGAATCCGAACTTTTCTTTCAACTCTCCACTTCAATCTGGCAAGAGCCTTTGCGTTTGCAGGGGCCCGGATATGCTGTGTTCCATTGCCACGCGGAATCCAGATTATGAGTGTCCTCCTTTGACAAGCCACCACATGCATCAAACTGTTCTGGGCTGCAAGGCGTATGTGTGGAGTGTTGCCGACATCACATCGGCATTGCAGTCATCCTTTACTTCGGCCACAATCAGAGCATCATCGGCAAGCTCGGCATGCCATGGCCCTTTCCGTGTATCACAGTGCTTTGCTGCAGTATCTGGGCCTTCTACCTCGCTTCGAGCACGTCGAGTGCTATATGCATGACAGTCCGCCTCTGCTCTTAGCCACCAAGCCATTCGTCCTACACACACAAGCCCTTGGTGATCCTATCTGTCTGGGCGTGGAGAAAGTATCGCAGAAAGATGTCATCCTTGCTTTCTCACCTCATTATTTGAGCAATACTCCGACGAGATGGCGTCGTCTACACGATCAATTTAACATGTTGTGGACACGGGACGTCCGAGTCGCACTTCAAGCACACGTAGGATCTTCAGAGTCCTGCAGATACCCGAATTCCGATCTTGTTTTGCAGTCTCTCCATGTGCCATAGACTGTCACGAACTTGCCCGCAACCGCTATCCCACAGTGCTGGATAGTGGCGTTGCAAGCCAGAGGAATTTATGATTTGATCGGCTCTCTCTGAACTGACGTCTCCTTAGAGAAAGTGTTCTGTATTTGCGTAGCTGCGTCGTGACAGTATCTGGCACACGGAAAAGAGATAACCATGCTCCAGCTACTACAGATAGTTCAATATAAAGAACTTGGCATATCCTCACAAACACACTTGGATACACAAGATGCTTACTACACATGTCCTTTGATGGCCAGCCTTACGTGAGAAATCTTGCTACCCATGCTTCTCGTACGTAAACATTCGTACACCAAGGTGAATAGTCATGTCATTAAGATATTCTTTGATCAACTGCTACGTAAGGGCATTCAGCAACAGCCATAGCTCGGGCCAGTATAGCCTTAAAGAGCAGGGGTATCGGCGAACAGAGCCTTAGAAAAGGCCTCGGGGTATCTTCCACCAGCAACCTCCGCAGCTTCGCAAGCCTTGCGAATCTCGTTATTCTCCTCATCAGTAAGCTTGACCTTCAATGCGCCCAGATTCTCGTCGACGCGGCTGAGGTTGGTGGTTCCGGGGATGGGGAAGATGTCATCGCCTTGAGCCATCAACCAGGCCAAGGTGATTTGAGAAGCAGTGAGATCCTTCTTCTTTGCAATCTCGGTGATCTGGTCCACCAGCTTGAGGTTCTTGGGGAAGTTTTGGGCACTGAAACGAGGGGCGAAACGACGGAAGTCTCCCTCCTCGAAGTCATCCGGAGATCTGATGGAGCCGCCCAGCATTCCGCGTCCGATAGGAGAGTACGCGACGACGGCGACGCCCAACTCGCGGCATGTCTTGAGCAGGCCAATCTGCTCACTCTCGATGTCGAGAGAGAAGGGAGAGTACTCGATCTGGACTGCTGTGATGGGGTGTACGGCATAGGCTCTGCGCAAGCTTTCGCTGCTGACCTCTGACAGACCGAGATACTTGATCTTGCCAGCTTCCTTGAGCTCCTTCATGGCTTGGACCGTCTTCTCGACTGGAGTCTTGCCGTCCAGACGATGTGCGTAGTAGAGATCGATGTTCTTCACTCCGAGACGAGAAAGTGACTTGTCGCAAGCCTTCTTGCAGTACTCGGGCGACGAGTCAACGATAGGGTTACCCTGCTCGTCACGCAGGTTGGCAAACTTGGTGGCAAGGAAGATTTGTTCGCGCTTGCCAGGGTTGGCCTTGAACCAGTTTCCGATGAGATCCTCGTTGTCCATGTACATGTCNTTTCCGGGGTTAGCTGTGATTCGACGTCAACGCTATAGAAGTGACTGACCTGCTGTGTCCCAGAAGAGCTCGCCCTGCTCATAGAGCTTGTCTAGTAAGGCGAAGCGTTCCTCGTCAGGCTTGGGCTTGCCATAGAAGGCCGACAGGCCCATGGCTCCGTATCCCATTTTGGTGACATAGGGTCCGTTCTTGCCCAATTGGCCTGTCGGCAGCTTGGTGGCGCCAATGGCCGACTTGACAGAATCGATAACTTGCTGCATCTTCGGTGTATCTGTTTTTGAATAGCTGTTTTTGATTCGGATGATCAAATGGCAAATGTCGTTGATGGTATATATGTTTATTTGACCCCTCAGAGAGCTGCCATTCTGATGACGTACGAAAGCGGAGATAGGGAAGGTGCTTCTCCGCTGCTCCCTCCTCATCTGCTCCACACCACATTTGTCATCGACCAATCGAGCAGAACGACGGACTTGTCGCGCCGGACGCCGGACTTTTCACATGGCAATATCCTATATCCGGCGGCGAGACAGAAGTCGTGCTCATCAGGTATTTTGATATATTTACATATTCTACACAGGCTATGTACATCATTGGATAAAAGAACCCTTAGTGAGAACAATCACATCTCATCGCACCTCCAGTGAACGCCAATGCTGAAAAACAGATAACAAAGCTCCAGCCCGTTGCTCCAATGTGGGTATCTCGATCGTAAATCTGAAGGGTAAATGGTAAAGCAGAAAAAGCGAAATGGTCGTTAAACATTCGTCATGATGATGCAGAGGTTCATGATGGGTATGCACCAGGTGAAGCAGAGCTGTCGGCAGATGCTTGACGTTCACGCCATTCAGTCTTCATCTCGCCTGCGCTCTTTCTGCGGATGCTAAAGAAGCTGAGCGCTCGACTAGCAACACTGCTGTTGGAGCTACCAGGCAAAGATTCGTCGCTGAGTTCACTGGGATCCTTGAGGGGATCACAAAGAGTACGAGCGAGCGGACTGTAATTGAGGAAGAAAGGAAGTAGTGTGGCACCCGCAAAGCCCGCAACAGCAACGCACATCGCATACTGCGAATTCTGTGCTTGACTGGCCACGTAGGAAAAGCCAGGGAAGACACCACCACCGGAGACTGCAGCGATCAGGATAGCGCTGCCGTCTTTAGTGTACTTGCCCATGCCGCGAATGCTTTGAGCGAAGATGAGTGTGAAAAGGGGGCCCTCGAAGAAGTAGATCATAAGCATCATCGCTGTAGCAGTCGAGCCTGTGAAGTTCATTGCCAAGGCTGAGAAGACAATGGTGCCCGTGAGGAAGAATACAAGCAAAAGTCGTGGCTTGATGAAGAATCCAGCACCTGCAGCCACAAATCGGGATCCGGCAAACAAAGCATGTCCTATGGCCATGTAGTTGGTCTCGTTGTACGTCGGAGCCACAAGTGCGAAATAGCTGTCAAAGGTGGTAGCGACAACTTCCTGGGCACCAACGTAGCAAAACATTGCAAGAGCACCAGCGACAAGTGTGTACCAGATGACTCGAACTTTGCCAACAGTGGCATAATTGGCGTTATCCATGCGCTCGCAAGCATCCTCGAGCTCCTTGTCTGTGGCCTCTGGCAATGGGACGTAGAAGAATGCAACCGCTAGTGCAACGGTGAATAGAGCAATCCCGAGATATGCCCATTGGGTATTGATCAGAGAAGGAGCGTCATTGGATTGTCCAAAGAGAGCTTTCTGGGCGATGAGTGGGGCAACAACAGTTCCAATGGCCTGAAATCCTTGACTGAGGTTGAGTCGAACTTCAGCATATTCCATGGGACCGCAAAGCGCTATGAATGGATTTGCTGAGATCTCAAGGGTGGACAGTCCAAGACCGACGATAAAATTGACGATGACAAAGGCCGGGAAGGATGTCAGAACAGCAGCGGGCCAGAAGACGAGAATTCCGCATGCATATATGCTGAGACCAATCATATAGCATGCTTTGAATCCGTAGTGTTTCAGGGCCAGACGGCCGAAAGTTAATGGCCCAAAGAAGTAACCAGCAAAGTAAGCGCTGTGGATGCCTACAGACTGTGCTGGAGACATGTGAGATACTCTCTGGAATTGTCTGTTGAGAACATCGAGGAGGCCATATTCGAACCCCCAGATGAAGAATAGCACAGTGACCATGATGACAGGGAATAAGGACTCTCTTGCAGTCATGTGTACAAAACTCTTGCGATTCTTCATGTTGACGAAGTCGAAGAAGGTAGGTGTGTCTGCACTGGTATTTCTGGTAGAATTGGTCAACATGGTTTGCGAGCGCTCGAGTGTATTGTTGTGCATGTCGGGAGTGGTAAGAAAGTCCATCATATCCATATTGGCATCTTCGACGGGCTCACGAGATGGCTGTGTAGTAAGATAGGCTGGGTCTGGCATCGAGGGAATCCGTTGAGCCATGGTCATCTCAAAGGTAGGCTGACGATCGACCGAAGAGTGCTTTTCCGTAACATCGCCTTCATCGCGGAGAAGGTGTGGCATGAACCGAGATACCAGAGGCTTCAGGGCTGGGACGCAGGCACACATGATGCCGACATTGACCTCGATGGCTGACCACATGAAGGAGTATGAAGCATACCATGAAAAGTCGGTCACATCAGAATCGCGTCCAGAGTTGTTGTCCTTCTGGTAGTTCAGGATCTGGTTGAGACGATACGTCGAGGCAGACTGCAGATATGCGATGCGAACAATATCCACGATGGCCACAAAGAGACCAAATCCAAATGTGATCACGAGGATGGTCTTCTGTTTTCGGGGCAGTCGCATCGAAGTCAGAATAGGCATAGGCAAGAACAAGATGGCGAGGTCGGTTATGATGTTGACGGGTGCCGAAGAGAGGTAGATGGTAATGATGTCAGTGCAGTGATGAACGGCTGGTACCGGATATCTGAAGGCGGCTCCAACAGGGTTGCACTGGAACAAGGTGACGAGAGTCAGGGCGATTCCAGCGGCGTTGACAACGAACAATGTTGCTATGGTAGACCATCGGAAAGTTCTGTTAGTTTTGGACAAACTGAGATAGAAAGCAAGAATAGAGGTCTTCTCGGCCATCAATGCGGGATTNCTGGAGAATATAAGTATGTGTTATACCCAGGTAGATGGCGTAGACAAACATACATATAACACGGAGAAGGCGTATTGTGATCGCCTCAGTGAGCCCTGCCATGAATCTGGCACGTCGTCTTCATGGCGACCAAGGCCGACGAATGTGCCATAGCAAATAGAGAAGGATAAGCCAAAGGCGAGCAACTTCAGGCGGCTTGGTTAGCAGTGAACCCCAGAGCAAGCCAAACATGTTTCAAGGCGTACCCAAGCAGCAAGAATAAAATAATCGTCCAGGAGAACTTTCTTAACGACTCCGGCGCGAGAAGCCATGCGAGCAGCAACAAATACGGTGGAGCAAGTGATCATAGCGACTGTGACGGCGAAGACGGCACTACTGCGCGAATCGTAGCCACCACCAGCTATGGTCATGCCTGGATCCTGATTTTGATTCGACATGTTGGAAGACGGGTCTGCGGAAGGCGAGCGATGGAAGAATGATTCAACCCATTCTCCAGAGTGGCGGCCAACGTTTGCGCGGATTGTCGAGTCCGTGATAGCAGGCGTGGGCAGAAGTACTGTAGTGTATGTGTACGAGTCTATGACAGAGCCTTCTCTTGCAACGACCCTTTGCTTCCCCACGAATCGTTGATGAGGCAAGTAGCAGTCGAGTCCAATGGTCCGAGATGTCGCACGACTAGGAAGGCTCGAGGGCAGGCGCGAGAGCGGGGCGACACGTGTATTTGATCGAGGTCGGTGGGTTTAGGGAAAAGGCAAAGGAGAGAAGAACGAGGCCTCTGACTCTCCTGCTCCTCGTCACCCGCCCTTTCCGACGAGCTGCCACTTTTCCCCAGATGATTAGATTTTGAGATGTGGAGACTTGAGCCGGCGAGCGGCCATCGGCTTCTTAGCTCACTTGCGAGACTTTTGACGTGCATGACCGCAGCCACACTAATCCACGTACTCTACAGTGTCATCGCATATGAACTTGCGGTGAAAACCACGTCTAATGCCATGCCTGCTACGCGCCAATGCTCCGGCATCAGATGCGCTCCGTCCAGCAGACGTCTGTTGCCTCGCAGACATTACTATCCCGTAGAAGCTCCTTCATCCGAGTCTTGACCGCATCGCTTTCTCACGAGGCCGGCCAAGGCCACATCCGCCGTTGACGTCTTGATCGCTTTTTTGTGATGATCCACGCCCAATTGCACGGCGCCCTAAGCGAGCTTTGACCCAGCCCCGCGCGCTGCGTCTAAAAAACCGACTTACAGCTCGGCATTTTGCAGTTCTGTGAAAGGAAAAACCACTCCATGAAGGAGTGATCTACCAACTTATACGACGAGACGGACGCGTTGTCTCCGCTATTGCGTGAGCACAACGGCATAACGTGGCATGAAAGACAAGGAGCGCGGCTTTGCCCGCGCTGGAACAGAAACGGCCATCAACGAGGGTCCCTGACCATCGTGTTTGGTGGCTGGCCACGCGTGTGCCCTGCCTCTGTCCAGCCAAAAGCAACGCTGCAATGAACGAAAGGTGTTGCTTGGCACCCATCGATGCTCTACCTTTTGACCACCCAGCAGGAAAATCGAGTCCTTGACTTCAACAGGCACGCTCCTCATACTGGAGCACGAATACTACTGCGTCTTGACTTTTGTCAGTCTGACAGTCTCGCCTCGCCTATCAGTCTCGCATTTGGTATCGACATGACCTGATAGACTTTTTTTCAGCTCCGCGCTCGCAGCGACCTGAAGACTGATTTGATGGAAGGATGCCGCAAGTCTTCGGCAAAAAGGCGCATTCTTTGCTCCTGGTTTGCCCCAGTCGATTGCGGCTCTGTACATGTACTGCAAAGCGGGCAAGACATCCTTTAGTCCAGACGAGTATCAACATCCAGTCGATTATGTTGCCCACTTTCGGTCATTCAAGTGTGCTGAGACAGTCGTCGCGACGCACGATTCGCAAAAGTACTCCTTGTCTCCATCGCGCGGCTCAAGTTCATGGGTACAACGAACAGTGACGATGGTAACTTCGACCCGCTTCCCTTTCCATGCGAAAAAGGTCCCGGGCACCCCTTTACTTGCCTCCAGTTACCGGCACGTGGTGCTAGGATTTGGCAAACAGGTTGGGGAAGTCAAAGAAGTCAAGTCGACTGGCGGAAACTCAAATGGATGAAGGAGGCTTCGCAGAAAGCCACACTCCTTAAAAGGCGATCACAGCCATGCGAGCAATAACGAGAAATACCGGAGATAAAACTGACAGGCAGTGATGCCCGGATTGATCCATCTGTGCGAACATCGTCACAAGCTCTTTGCAGTGTACCTTCGACTTCTCATGCACATTTCTTGCTGCACGATCTTGTGTATGTGGAAATCGCCTGTGCCCTGATCAAGACGGCCTGACCCCATTTGCGTCACGCCTTGAATTTCGCAAACAGGCCCAAGCAGGTGATCTGCTCAGACCTCATCAACACAGCCCTGTAATTCAGTAACCCCGACAAACCCGTCTTGGACGGCTCTCTAGGCCGGTCGCACTTTGCGAATAGTCCCTTAGCATACCCATGTCCTGTTGATCCTGACTCGCTAGCAGACTGGTTGGAAGATTACACATGGCATTACCGCAAAACATCAGACCCGTAGGCACAATAGTTGAAAGAAAGCCGAACGCACTTGACTCCACGCTACAGAACTGCTAGGAAGAGACATTGCTACGGGGAAACAGCAAAGCAAGAGAGAGAGAGAAAGCTATAAGTATTCAGCCCATAAGCCATTAATCCGAAGCATCGTCAATCAATCAATCAATCAATATCGTATCCTCAATCTCTTACAAGAGCGCAGCAGCTCCGAGAACCATGCCAAGGACACCAGCAGCGGGCACACCCATGTTGGAGGCAGCGCCAGTATGAGTAGCAGCAGCCGAGGCGGAAGAAGCAGCCGAAGCCGCGCTGCGAGACGCCGACGACTGAACAGACGAGGCTGACGATGAGGCAGCAGAAGCAGACGAAGATGCTTTGGAGAGAGCAGACGAGAGCGAGCTGGAAACTGAAGCGGTTGCGGACTGAGTCTGGGACTGAGATTGTCTGGACATGGCAGAGGATCCGTACCTAAGATTGTTGGTCAGTGAAACAGCCCTTACATCTACTGGTTAAGGATAAGCGGATTTTGCTTACTGGCTGGCAGCCTGGCAGTATTGCACTTTGTTCTGAGAAGCGCCAAATGCGTTAGGGTCGTTGGGGCACTGGTTGTAACAGACAAGCAAGTTGGTGTATCCAGTGCAGAGGCAGTCATAGTCAGTAGGACCGCACTGAGTGTTGGCTGCGGTTTGCTGCGAGACGCAGAGGTTGAGGACGCTGTAGTGTGTAGAGTGTAAGTTTCCATTTGTGAAAATGTCATCCAATAGGACAGGAACTTACTTCTGAGCAGGGCATGAAGACGTGCTTGAAGACACAGCAGAAGTAGTGCTGCTCTGAGCAGCAGCGATGCCAAAGGTGGCGGCCAGAAGTGCGAGCGAACTGAACTGCATGGTTGAAGTTTGTGGTTTGGGATCAAGTGTCTTGACTCTGTGAGTTGATCTTGGAAATGTAGATGTTTTGATGGAGGACTCGAAAAGGACGAGCACGATTCAGCGATTGAGGTTCAAAGATAGAGGAAACAATAAAAGGCCTCTCACACGGCGGGGCTCCCTCATATACAAGTGCGACTGACCTACCTTGGTGCCGCAAACATGCTCACTCCGCACGCAAACCTGCTCGAACACCCGGCCATCTCTGCTAACCCGTGGTCACTACTGGCGGCGGGGAGGTGCGTGTAACATGAAGCTATCCTGATCCGGGGGCCGGTATAGTATCCAGATTTACGCCATCTGCGACCTCCCGGGGTTCTGATTGGACGCACCGGCATCTCTTCCAGATACCGTTGCCCAGAGACCGAGCTTGGCTTGCGGCTCTGGAGCTATACCATACTGCTCTTACTTGTTTGGGGTGGTATGATCTCTCCATTCTTGTAGACCACTGCAGCTAGATTACTCTAGAGCGGACCTCCGGGCAGCCGCTTTGGGCAGTGTCGTTCTTGCTGCGAACGAAAGCTCTGTACGTTGGTAGAGGAAAGGTGTCACGACCCCGCTACAAATGTACCTACTCCTTCACAAACGCTGCCGAAGACTCTCTCCATCCCTATCTTTGCGGCTCCGGTGCTGATTATGAATCCATCAGTCCCTCTTTCTCTAGACGCTGCAATTACAATGGTAGATATTGTTCGATCCGAGGATTTTCCCCTATCTTACCAATTGCGATCTTCTGGCAGACCCCGTGGCCCAAACAAGCGTGCTGTCTGCAGTCCGTGCACATCTATCAAAAAGTTTGGCCAGAACCCGGAAGAATTCTATAAACAGCAACACAACGGGTTAGGCCTCTTTCACGCAAAGTCATGGCCAGCAGACTTTGACAAGGAAAAGTGGAAGAGAGACAAAACACCTAACAAGATTCTCGAGGTCAAGATTCAGGCCCAAGACCTTCTCGGAAAGGCTATGAACGTTTATGAAGGATTATCAAACATCCTAGCAGGCACCACTCCATCAGTAGTCGCAGTGGTTTAGTGGTAAAATTCGTGCTTGCCATGCACGAGCCCCGTGTTCGATTCACGGCTGCGACAATCGTTTTGTTTCTGGTCCTCTCAAAGGCGTGTACTCAAATCACAGGCCAACCTATAAAGTCCCACAGTGACTGCAGGCAGCCATTCTTTCGGCCTGGCAACATCGGTCGTTACTTGGGCGATGCAGGGAAAGACCAGCATAGCCTCCCTGTGTGCTGAAGAAAGGTCGAGGAGAAGAAGCTTTATGACAAGATTGATACACATTGATATACAGCATGGCTCAATTATGTACATCCAAACACCACCTTAGGTACGCAGATACCCATAATCCGTTTGTAGAGCACTAAAGCTCGCACTGCGATATGTATCAGGGAGCAGAGTATTGCCGACCGCTTGCAGATTCAACAACGTAGGCTTCGTAGTGTTGTACTGAGGCCAGCTGATGAGTGGAGCGGCAGAACCAAGAGCGTTCGGGTCGAGGAGGTTAATGAATGATGTGTAGTAGTCGAGATAAGTCTTTTGGGTGGTGATTCCTCCAGCGCCAAAGAAAATGCTCAGCAGATCGCTGCCATGGAAGGTTCCTAGCACGGGTGTACCATAGAGATGGCTGTCGAGGTAGCTCCACGATGGGACTGTCGAAGAAACGGCGTATAGAAGTTGTCGACGACGCAGGTTGAAGACGGAATCTCCGAGAATGGCAGCCAGACGCTTGTATTGCGGATAGATGTTGTTCAAAAGGCCTGTTCTGAATGGAGATCCAGCAGCGGGATCGTCGGGATATGTTGCGACAAAGGAAGCTACCACAGGTTTAGGAGTGTCTGGGAAAGCACTAGCAACATAGTCGACCAATTGGTCCGTGGTTGTGATGTTGTTTTGCACCAAGCTGAACAGCGGGCCTTCGTCTTCTTGATCTCCAGAGATCAATGGCACTTTNGCGTAATTACCGTTTTCAACCGCGATCTCGGGACTGACAGGGAAGAAGCCATCTGCAGGATCTGGGCGAGGCAGGTATGCCAAGTTGACAGATTGGTAGCTGAAAAGTCCAGGTACAGANCTTGAGACATATATCAGTTTGTGTCAAATCAAATAGACATTCTTACTTACATCGGCGGCTCTCATAAAAGTTCCATAGTCAACGTTCCTCAAACAATTGAGTGTATCACTGCTGCCAGAACAACCAGCTGCGTTCACTACGACATCGTAGACAGCTTGTGCTTTCGGGTGGGCGACGTCCACTGCAGGTACAATGGAGCCAGAATCCATAATAGCACCTCTGAACAGTGGCTTTCCATTGTACGTATTGTCGCCACTGTTGATAATCATCTGATCGAAGACCGAGATACTTCCTGCGGATTCACCCCAAATGGTCACCTTAGTAGGATCACCGCCAAAAGCGGCAATGTTCTCAGCGACCCACTCTAGACCCTTTCTTTGATCTTTGAGTCCAAGGTTGGTGGAGCCATCTGCCTGTAGCTCTTTTCCGGCCAGCCAGCCAAAGCCTCCAACGCGGTAGTTGACAGCCACATAGATGACGCCGTGTCCCAGAGTGGCAGACTCGGCGACTAGGGGAGTGCCATCATACTGTTGAGTAGAACCTACCTCAAAACCNTATATGCTGTCAGCTCTTATATAGCTCCATGGATGGTCTCGATACTGACCGCCTCCAAAGATCCAGAATACAACGGGTAATTTCGAAGAGGATGTGGTGCCAGCCGGGCGTTGGACGTTAAGAGTCAAACAGTCCTCGCCAGTATCTGTGGCTGCCTGCACCAGTGGAGACATGAGAAGTTCTCCAAGTACATCGGAAGGTATATTGGTGGTGTCCACCTGACTAAAGAACTGTGGGCACGCTTTTGGCATGCCAGTAGCTGCAAATGTGCCCGAAGGGTAGGATGCTGTGATCGATTGAGGAGGCTTCAGTCGAAGACTGCCAGTGGGAGGGAGAGCGAATGGGATGCCCTTGAAAGACTCAACATTGCCAGTGGAGCTTCCAACGATCGTTCCGTTTTTGACGACTGCGGAAGGACCAGTTGCCCGTTTCTCTTCTACAGGAGCTGCAAGGACAGTGGTGAAAGCCGTCAAGGCTACCAAAAGGAACCGCATGATGATAGATAGTATGGGGCAAAGGAAATGATGGAACTGAATGTACGTCGGGATAAACAGAGTGCAGCGCACAAGACTTACTTATACATCTGTGATGGGGTCCATTCTTCAATCTACAAGTGCATTTCAAATTGCTCCAGCAAGTCTAAACAGTTGACCGGCCGTAACAACGGTATATCATCCACGATGTAGCCCTCCATGCCGAGGTGAGAGCAAGTGTAAAGCATCACGCGGACAAGCTCATATGAGGAGGCAGATGGTTGGACGCGAGTAGTCGACGTTGGTGAGCCACAGACGTACGAGAGGCCGCGGTCTGTCCTGTCAAAGTCGTGATGGATTAAGGTTAACCTTATTCAGTGCCCTAGACCGAAGGTGAATGAACAAGGGCCCTTGACTTCGCCATGTGCTAAAGTCCACGACGCGAATCACACAGTGCTATTGCGGAGTACAGTGGCTTCCATCGCAAGTCCTCAGTCCATCCAACGCTGCACCCAGTAGATTACGTTTCCAAGACGTCGCAGCATGAGCAGGTAAGAAGTCACGCCTTCAACATTCGGAAAGGGTCATCTGGTGCCAAGGCAGCCGGCACAAGAACGGTTCACGAGGCGGGGAACTCCCAAAGTCAAACCACGTAGATCTCTCAAAGCGAGGCTAACATTTGGTATACCAGCCCCGCACCTTCCGCTGTAGGTTGAACGAGCCTCGGTTCGGTGCTGTGAACTCGAGTCTGCGATCAGTTCCGTTTCTCCTTTACATCATGAAGCATTGTCACAGAGTATTCCTTGTCGTGATGTGATGACATTTTCAAGACGTTATATGCGTGAAGAATGTTGTAGTGTTATAAACGGGTGGGGTCCTAAGGCTAGATGATACGTGGCCACGAGGGCTTCGGTAGTGTGCTCTTCGAGCCACGTGAAGTGTTCTGGATGTGTTGGAACACAGAATGATATGTTGTTTGTGTTCGTCCTGTGGTATTTTGGGGATCTAAACGTCACACCTGCTCGAGTGAACTCTTATATATACTGCTCGTTTGGAAGAGTGTGCCTACATGAGATGTCGAGGTTGTCCGTTTGATGAAAGTTCGAAGCTACATACCAGCGAGTGCGAACCGTTGCTAACAGCCATTAGATCTAAGGCCTTGAGCGAAGACGCCTGTTTGCGAGTTCCAAGGATAGCAAAATGAAATCTGGGCACGACCCTCGTAGTGAACACTTACTACCTCCAGTCGTACTTGATCGTTAAGGGTCGGCAAGCCTTGAGTGTTTTCACTCTTCGTAATCATAATCGTAATCGTACCCGCTGTCGTCAAGCAATCCGTTTCGTCGTTGGGAACGAACCCAATACTCCNNTAGACAAACCATTAGCACCGGTTCTCAAAATCATACAGCACTTTGACGCACATAGTACGTAGAATAATCTCTCGTGTTGGAAACGCCGACCTGGTCTGCCACATTGACGTAGCCGTCCCGATTCTTGGCGCCAGTCTTGACCAAGCCCTTCAAAGCGCTGCCATCGACTGCGTTTTGCCACTGTGTTCGGCAGTAGGGACAAGTCACTTTTCCATGCCCTTTTGTTGCGGCCCATTGGTCGAAGCAAGTCTTGTGAAGATTGTTGCCGCAAGCTGCTTGACACCAGACGATGGTTTCTTTGTCCTGAGAAAGCTCCTCGCAGCAAATTGGGCAGTCTCCTTCGATTGGCTTACGCTTTCCGTCCTTGTCTCCACTGTGGATTGTCTCGGTAGGCAAAGGTCCGGCATGCTCGAAGATTTCTTCCAGCTCTGTAGTCAAGAACGCTGCTTGATAGTTCAATGGCTCTGAAACTTTCAACACCTTCAGCAAGACATATAAGATATGTTTGCATTGAGGGTTTCCTCTGACACGGAAGTCTGGACAGGTGCACTCGGGCACATGTGCTATCTTTACTGTGTAGATATTGCCTGTGCTGCTGGCGAGGTCGACCTCTTCCATCGGACAATCAGGGGTTTGATGTGGACAATCATCATTGTTTGCACGGCGTCTATCAATCACGACCATACGTTGAGTTGTGGCCCTGTAAGCAATAGTCGTGTACTTCTGCGGTGCGTGGGTGCGGTGGCTACAGAGTATGAGCTGTCTGCAGGCTGCCTGGGGTCGCATCACTTACTGTTTGAGACGTCTCTCCTCGCCTTTGACAGGCTTAGATTTCTTGGACTTCGTTGACGACGTTGCAGTATCGTCATCTCCAGTCAGATCGATTATATTTCCTGCATTTTTGGATTGATCACCAGGACGCGACTTTGTAGCCGGCTTGGCATTCGCGTTATCGGACTGGATGTTGTTCTTAGTCGACACGCCTTTACTTGTTAGTCTGGAATTGATCGTGGTAGCTCCAGCTTGCGCTTGGATCTTCGAAGCATGCTGTGGTTGATCACTGCCGTCATTGTCTGTTGTGCTTGATCTCTTTCTCTTCATAGAGCTTCTGGCGCCACAGCTTGCAGGCTGGGACATGGATTCGTAGCGTTGAGTTGAATTTCTCTCGCGACCACTCCTTCGTGGTTCGGCAACGACATTTTGTACCGCTGAGGGGGGGTATAGCTGTGGAAGTATATGGCGTCAGTCCTTCCATGTTGATGTCATAAGGATGCGACAAGTTGCACGGTTCGAAACGGAACATGTCGCGGTGAACAGGGTGGCGACCTCAGCAGAGATCGAAGTTCACGTGATCCATCAAGCTTTGGGTAGGTAGCTCTAGCCGAAATGGCATCTGTATCCGAGATGGAATAACGGGCCTACACAAAGAGATGTTTTATGCTAGAGTATCTCGATGGCCAAACTTCTGGTTCTAGAAAGCCACCGTGTGTGTCTGCAACTTACGTGTGTCATGGCACTTTGGTGAGAGGAGGAGATCACAGACTTTAGAGCACATGAAATAGTGATCTGGGGCTCTGTCATGGCCAACCTTCTACAGTATTCACTTTTCGAGGCTCAGTTATACTCTTCCTGTCCGGTATGCTCACTTCCCTGAGGCTCAATTATACTCTTGATTCTACTCGGTCATGGCGAGTTCTGATACAAGTTCGTGCCATGCGACCGGAATCAGCATCATCTCCCCTGCATTGGATGTTTGCCCTATTTATAGGTTCTGCATACAAATGCCGCGTGGCCCTGCATACGCCTCATTCGATGCGAACCCTTCCAGAATAGCTCACTAAGACCGTGCTTTGATATGTTGATGTGGAAGGTTCATTAATACTCATCGCTCATGTCTAGTCCTGTATCGCTGACAATGCCAAACGCCGTTTTGATCCCTCATCGCACCATCTACTATGCACAAAATCAAACACAATAACCCATTATTTTACATGCTAACGACAAGGACTGCAACGAGAGCGACAAGCAATGCCGCAGCAGATCCCTTGACATTGGCGGCCGCCGAGGTGGAAGTAGCACCACAGCAGGCACGGTCGTAAGTGACACCGTTGGCCTTAGCAGCAACTTCGAAAACAGAACCATTCCCGACATCATAATAGTCGACCAACAACCAGGTTGGGGGACGGTCCCACATAGCTGAGTTGGAGTTAGTGATGAAGAAACATGGAGAGTGTGGTCAAAACCACTTACCAGTACAGTTATCGTTGGCAGCTCCGAGAGAGCCATATTCGACAACAGCTGCGTTGGTGACGTTCAATTCTGCCGAGTTGGGGATCAAGATGGATTGACCGAAAAGAGCGACATTTGTGTTGAGGTTGTGATTGGCAAGGTACATCAGATCGTTTCTGGCGGCTTTAGGATCGAGGTTGGGAGGGCGCTGAGCAGTGCAAGGGAAGGCACGATCAGTAGGAGAGAAAGGAGTTTCCCACATGTGGGTAAATTCGTCGAGGATGTAGGGGTATTTGGTCTGATCTGCGTTGTAGTCCATGAAGACGACGACGCGCTTCTGGGACAGAATCATCTCGGAGAGAGTAGGCCACTGGTCGAGACGCATAGGAATGTATGGTGGCTCGTAAAGGTAGTCAACCAGGTTGGACTGCTGGAGAACCTGACTGTAGTTTCCCGGCTCAATGAAGTCGCTGTTGACAATGAGGAGCGTCACAACATCGTATGGATGGTCACGGACCCAGTCACCAACTTCGTTGAGTTCTTTGAGGTAAGTACCAGCGTTGAGAAGCTCGCAAGACGTGTGGCAACTGTAGATCGAGCCGTTCACATAGTGTGTCTCGCCCTGAATCATGCGGATACCGTCGTTGAGCTGGACCGTGATGCTGCGATCTTGGTTGGATGCAAGGTTTCCAGGAATGTTGAAAGCGGCGTTGTGAGCGACGACTTCGGTGATGTTGCCGTACTTGCGGTCGCAGAACTCGGGGTAGTTGTTGCAGGGAGTGGTGTTTGTAGCTTTGGCACTGCTGCTAGTACCAGTACCGGCAGCAGATGAAGTACGGGTCGAGTTCAGGTGCGAGCTCAGAGTAACAGTTCCGTTGATGACGCTCTGAGTAACGACGCCTCCTCCTCCGACCAGTAGAGTGGCAATACTGGTCGAGCCCTTAGAAGCCGAGGTGGTTGTGGCGCTTCCAGTGCCGGACGACGAGCCAGTTCTTGAGTTGGAAGAGGATGTGGAGGTCTCATCGGCATAGAGAGTTGATGCCGTGATTTGCGAACCGAGGGACTTGTACGAAAACATGCCTCCAGTAAAGACCGCAGACGATGTCTGGCTGCCGGTCAAGGTAACGACAGAGGGGCTGCTAGAGCCACTGCCACTCTGGGTGCCAGATCTCGAGGTCGATGATGCTGAAGACGCGCCCGAGAGGACGACAGTGCTGTCAGAGGATTGTGCGTTGGAGCCCAAGGCCAGGAGGGCCGCGAGCCAAAGACCGCGAGGCAACATGTTGGCGCTGAGAGTCGGTAACGATAGAGATGCAAGTGCTGCCAGGCGACAGCGAACGTCGAGGGTGAAGACAGAGAAGATGAAGCACAACAAATCAACTCTTGCTAGCTCCTGCAGGACGAAAAATGACGGTTGACGATGGCGCGTGCTCTAATAGGTGAGTGACGTCTGTGGAGAGTGGTCGGAAGAGCTGGAGAAAAAATGGGCAGTATTTTTGTACCTGGTACATACAATACAAATCCACGTATGATAATGAGGCTATCCGGGAGTGCCGCGTAAGTTTTCTGGCTGTTGGGCCGCAGTTTGATCCGCGATAAACAGACGCCAGGCCGTGCGAAGAAGAAAAGGAGGAGACATCAACAGATCAGCCTAGAGATCTCTCCAGCTGCTCCGTGCCAACCATGCAGATACCGAGCGATCCTAACCATCGACCTCTAGGATTTACATCATTCTCCCATCGTGCAACCAATTTGGCCAGCACATTTTCGCTGCTCAACTAGAGCGACGTTGACTTTGGCATGGCCGAGGACAAAGATGTGGCTTGCAAGGGCACACGCTAAACGGATTGCCGCAAGGTTCCGACCTTAACATGATGTAATTTCAAGGGCTTCACCTAACCTTATGCAAAAACGAGCGTACGGATACGCGTGGGATCAGGGAGAGCACGGAGAGCAGAGAGATGCTGATGCAGCCACCGCAGATGTCGTAAGCTTGGGCTCGCGCTAATATCTCCTTGTCGGCCCAGATCCAAGAAAGACGACGCGGACGTCTCTTCTCCAAGCACATCAACGAAACCTGGGCCGTTTTTGCCCTGTCGTCATCGTACGCCTGCTGTGCTTTGAGACGTTGTTTTCCTCTCGGTGTTTCTATCTCATCATCCAGAAATTTCAAAGTCTTCTGCATTCATATCAGACCGCTGTCGACTCCGTTCGCCCAACCACTCCTCGCCCTCCCCACACGTCGCTCTCCACCATGTTCGGTCGCAAGAAGCGTGACGTTTCTCCTGAGGACAGGGTCCCGTCCGAGGAGACTGATCGTACCTTGACTCCTGGCATCGATGGCCCTACGAAAGCTCAAGTCAAGAGGGCAACTCGCACTCGTATGATCTGGGCTTTGATTTCGTCCTTCCTCCTTCTTCTGACCGTCATATTCATGATCCTCGTCGAGGTTGGCTGCACCGGCACCGGAAGCATCAAAAGCAGTATCTACTTTATCAACATCAACCTGACCAACATTTTCCCCGAGTCTGTTCCCGATTCTGCTATCATCAACTCTATTGCCCAGACTATTGGTCTGCACGATTTCTACCGTGTTGGTCTTTGGGGCTTCTGCGAGGGCTACAATGGCCAAGGCATCACCGATTGCTCGACACCTGAGACTCTATATTGGTTCAACCCTGTGGAAATCATTCTCAACCAGCTGCTCGCTGGCGCAACCAGTAAGCCTACGCATGGTATATACTTGCTGTTCACCTTGGCTAACACAGTTCTTCAGNTCGCACTACCCACCGATCTTACCGATATTCTCGGTCTCATCAGAGTCGTATCGCACTGGATGTTTGGTCTCTTCCTTGCCGGTGCCTGCTTGTCCTTTGTCATGATGATCTTGAACCCTCTGGCCGTCTTCTCGCGCTGGCTCACGCTGTTCACCGGCATCTTCACCTTCTTGGCCGCTCTTTTCATCACCGTCGCCACCGTCATCGCTACCGTCATGTTCATCATCATGCAGAACGCATTTACCTCGGTCGAGGAGCTCAACATTAGTGGAAGCCTGGGCACCAAAATGTTCGCATTCATGTGGATCGCAGCAGCCACCTCAATCCTTGCCTGGTTGATCCAAACCAGTCTATGCTGCTGCTGTGCCAGCAGAAGAGATGTCAAGAAGGGGAAGAAGACGGGCAGCAAGAAGGCCTGGCAAACAGAGACACCCGGGATCAACGAGAAGGGATCCAGACGTGGAATGTTTGGCCGCAAGTAGTTCTTCACGGCGCCGAGAAAGATCGAAAATGTGATATAGAGTGATGAGAGGATGTGTATATTCAAGGCATACTGGACATAGCCACGGCGTTTTTGGATGTGCATAAGCAGAGCGATTGGGTCGGAATAAGTAATGTACCTAGAGTAACGATATCGAGTTAACGTGTAATATACGAGACGAAGTCATGACCGCAATTGTTCTCTGACTTTGCCGAGGCAATGGCAACACCAGAAAAGCCAAGATGGATGGTTGTCTAGTTCCTGATGTAAAATCATCTCGAACCATACAGCTGGTATAGTATCTGAGGACTAGACCAGGGTCACCCACAGTCTTGGTCTTGAGCGAATTCGGTAGATCTAGGGCTGCAATACTGTCTAACTTGATTGCACGAGGGTGAGAACCAATGTAACGGTTGTGTACCATCAAGCAACAACAGTAAGTCGCGATAGACCCACATTGAGCATCACAGCCGCGGGGGTGGTGGAATTGCTTGGTTCAAGTGAACACCGGGACAGCCGGACCTGTATACTTTTCTTTGTACAGTAAAGGGCCTTCTCATCTGAATTTGTTCAACAACAAATGCGAGTCTGCTGCCGTCATGTTTGTGAAAAATACCTTGTCGCTGACGTCGTCGCAGAAAGCGAAACCTCATGCCACGGGTGTCGTCAACTGTTCCCCAAGGCAACCAGGACGATGTTAGAGTTCTTCCTGATCGTCTCTAGAAGCAGCAAGCCCTACTTCACCATAGAGCGACACAGAAAGAGGAATCTCCAACCTATAGCCACACAAGCCCTGCCTTCCTTAATCGATGCAGAGCAAGTTTGTGCGCCCTGCTCAATCAGAAGGTAAGATTACATAGAGGAGGCTGTGTTGAGAATATTGTTCAACAGGCAAAGGGCGTGATCGTTTACAGCTCTGCACATACCATGTCGTGACAAGAGACGAAGCCGGGTTGACCTCGTTCAAGCTCAACAGGCTGGTGGCCTCGGGTTGAGTAGAACAGAGCGGGTGTTTCATCGCTTTCATCAGCGGCGACAAATACATAGGGCAAATAGAGTGGATGCGGGCGAAGAGTAGTGAAATTAGGATCAATGCCTTGGCTGCATATGGAGAAGAACAAGCGAGTAATGGCTCGAGCCAGAAGGAAGCTCGGCTCTGTTTCAAGTGATGGCCTGCCGGGCGCACGCACACAACAGTGGCATATACAGTTGTGTGAGAAGGCGGGCGGCAGGTCCCACGGGCGGGTTTCGTTAAGGCCTCAATCTCTTTGGTGATGAGATGGACAGAAGAGAGCGGGACCGGTGTTCGGCAGCGGAGTGACATCAAACCGTCTTCTTGGACAACAACAAAACAACATGGCGAGTGGGTGAGAAGTGGATACGCGAAAAGCTTGAGAGAGGAAGCTCTGACCAGTTCTTCAGGAACAGGCAAGTCACCTTGCCGCATTGGGGGCACATGTGGGCGTACCTGCATCTGCGACGCGGGATAGAGTTTCGTCGTGAGACTCGGACGACAGAAGGGGGTTGTAGAGTTTTGTGCAGGGAGGAGAGTCGCAATCAGGACTTGATGTCGGCACGGTGCCAAAGCTGGGTGGTCGTTGTAGCCCTCAAGGTAGGCGCTGCAAGAGCGATGGAACTCGAGGTTGAATTGCCGGGTGCCCAAGATGAGACGGCGGATGGAAGATCATTGGAAGGTGGCAAGCACAGTTGGAGGTGCAGGACGGGTGGGCCGGTATTAAGATTGCTGACGGGCGTGCCCCCTTAGCGGATCGAGGAGCCCGGGGCGTTATGGTCTCGCCAAGGGCACGACATTCCTCGTTTCTCGACCCCGACCGACTTGGACTCTTTGATGTTTGTTCGCTCCTGCTTCTCTGCTGTGCACTGCATCCTCTGACGCTCTTTTGACCCGCATACCATCAATTCACCCCAGTCACTCTTTGTAAATACACTCGCCCAAGTCTTTCGTTCACAAATCCCCTGGATCATAATACCCGTCCATCTCTAATCGCCCATAATACTGCCTGGATGTGCTACTGCCAATAACCGCCCGACCTCCTGGACACACAATCGCCGACTCTGCACGGCAAACACCACCACCAACAACAACAACAACAACAACAACAACAGCACAATGCCCGTCACCCTCAGCTCACACCACAGATGGCACGTGCCTCACCAACACATGCCGAACATTGCGACTTTTGCAGATGCCACAGTCAACGACGGACCAACGCTGGTGCAGCGCTCAGCTGAGTCCTCGCCGACCTCGACTTGCAAGGCTGGAGACAACACGGGGACGTGCCAGAAGCCGACGACTGCTGGCAACACGACCAGCATCATCATCGGTGTGGCCGTAGCGTGAGTCTAAGCATTCTCTCTTCGATGCCTGCGCCTTTCTGACATGTCCCACCCAGTGNTACCCTTGGTTGCCGCCGCTCTCGTCTTGTTCCTGCTGCACAGACGCGTCAAGCGCAAGCATGCACAAGAAGATCGTGACGACAAGTACAAGTCGCTCGACTTTGGCCTGGACAATGTGCCCGCCGGCGCTAGAGGGCGCAAGGGCGTGCCCGAGATGACCGTCACCGACATGGAGAAGTCGACCAAGCACGCCATGCACACCAAGGGACTCTCGCTCGACATGATGAACACGCCATACCTGATGCCTGCTGCCGGCAACAGCTCGTCCTCATCGCTGCACACGATATCCCGCTCAATCACCGACGGCGAAGACCCATACCGTCCTGTGACCATGATCAGCACTCACTCCAACTCGATCCCCGACCGCACATCTTCACGCCCCAAGCCTGGCAATGCTTCCATCTACACCGACATCAGCGAGCGCTCTGACAACCTCAATGCTGGACTTTTGTCCAATGCTCAACGCATGTCTGTTTCCAACCCCTTCATGGACCAGTCTCCTGAACGCACCCACTCACCAGCCTACCCGGCCGCTGCTCCTGCTCCACCACCACCAGCCCACGTGAACACTTCATTCTCCAACTCTGCCACTCCTCGTAACAAGCCTGCTCCGCCAAAGCTCGCCATGCCCGACCCCGATGTCTTCCACGTCACTCCACCTTCGCCGCCANGAACACCAGCGTGCTCCCGCACCACCTGCTCATGTCAATGCTCCTGCCCCCCTGCTCACCAACAAGATGCCGCTGCCGCTCGTCGTCCTGCCGACGGCCATGCTCGAGACACTTTGCACACTGCCGCTCCTGATGCACGTCGTGTGTCTGTCATGGGGCTTCGTCCTCTTCCTCCGGATCATCCTGACGACAACCCTGAGCAGCGTGCCAACCGTATCCGCTCCTTCTACAAGGAATACTTTGACGACAGCAGACCCAACCCTGAAGGACAGTACCAGAACGAGTATGAGGCCGACATCTACGCCGACTACACTGCCTACATGTACGAAGCTCCCCAAGCTCCATTCGCCCAGCCCATGGCCCGCCGTGCCATGACCCCTCCTCCCCGTGTGGGCGGAGGCCGCGTCCGTAGCAACACATCCTTCGGTTCAACCGGCCACATCGCCAATCCTGCTTTCCGCCGTCCTGCTCAGCAACCCAAGAAGAATCTGCCCCCACCTATTGCTCTGCACGCCCTGCCCACTCCTTCTGCTCTGACCGACGACATGACTTTCACCCCCACCCTCTTTGCTCCTCCCGTCTCCTACCGTGACCGTCAAGCCGGTCGCACGCCAGATAGCCCCTCAAGACCTTACAGCCCTTCAGTCCGTGCCTTCACACCACTTGCAACGAGCTTTGACGATCTTGCCGTCATTCCCAGCGCGTAAGTCATTTCTGCGACATGTACATGATTCCACTCTTGCTGACCATTCTTGTTCCAGANNCACGCACTTCGCAAATCTTCGACCTTCACTGCTCTAGACTTTGCTCCCCCACCACGCTTCCGCAACGAAGGTACTGCAAGTGATGCTGGCAGTATTCGCAGCAATCGCAGTGGCATCTCCAACGTCCAGCAGAACGCCATTCGTGCCGGTGCTTACCGCGTCAGCCGTCTGCCCACCGACATGGTTGGCACACAAAGCGATCTCAACGCAGCCCTCAAGCCCTCCTGGGACATGAGCCGCTAAGAGAGATGTTTCTTGTACACACATACAGTCTTTGTTTGCTTTGTGCATTATGCCAGCCAACCACGATGTTGTTTATTCTTCTAGCCCGGCGTTGGGCATGTATACGCCTTCTTTTTCTTGGTTTCTACCTTCTTCACGTTTATCAGGGGCACGGCGTATGGGACAAGATCTGTTTTCTACAAGGTCTTTCGGATGTGGGTCATCTACACGGCGTAAAAATCTCGATTCTCAAATCACATTCTTTGGCGGCGACTAATGTCTTGTTGGTCTACTGCTTGATTCGCATCTGTAGCGACAGTTGTGCTTCGCTTTTTCTCGGACTTTTGCGTCTTTTTTTACTACTTCGAGTACATACTTTTTATGTGGAAAAAGCAATTTCCTTTCTCGATTCACTGCCGTGCTGCACTCTTCATTTGCGAAAAATGATATTGTTACAATGGAACAAGATGAAGATATCAGGATTGTAAGGGTTTCAAGTTATTGCTAATGTACCCCTAGAGAGTAATATGTTTACATGGTTTTATTGGCACTACCCGGCAAAAGCGTGCCATGGAACTGCACAAAGCGTTTTACTTGCTTCTATGGAGCAGTGAGGACTTCTGTGCCAAGCGGAGAAACCCCCGAGTACAATTATGGTTGTGACAAGAACGAACCCAAGTCGAGGAAAGGGTTGAATTCATATTTCAGAATGTTTTGATTATATGCCTCATTCATTATTGATACATGTATATACACAAACGATCAAGTCTATCTGATCGAGTTGATGGCGATCAAGAGCCAGCAGCACCACAGCTGAATCTAAGCTGCCAATCACCTCCCACCAACCCTTCGACATCAACATCTCCCGTCTGGTTTGCCGAAGCCTGGACATCCAACACGACATCCTTGCATCTCCCTTGCACCTCGTGCAGTCTCAGGACACCAGCACAAGAAGGATAAGGCACTGCCACGCCACCTCTGGTCCCCACAGGAGTAGAAAAGTCCATGGACACACCGCCGTCGGAAGTCGTGTTGGTGTATACCTCAAACATGCCCACCGAAGTCGAAAAGCCTGCGTGAGTGGAACTCAAATCGCCCAACTTGGGTGCAATCTTCCAGGTTCTTCCACCGGCGGTGACGAGTTGAATGCCGGCGATGTATTGAGACAGGAAGGCCGTGGGGCCTGTGGACCAGCCGTGTGCGTGTGAGATACGAGGGTCGTTGGTGTAGGGTGCGTAATGGGTTGCTCCGTCAAAGGCATAGCCTTCGATGAACGTGCTGTTGGTCATTCGCGGGTCGTCGAGCATGAATCCCCATTCGAGACGCATGAGTTCGAGGGCAGCAGTGGCATTGTTGGCGCGCAGGTGGGCTTCGAGCTCGAAGGCACCGATAAAAGGAGACACGGCGTCGGCGGCCTCAACGGCAGGTGCACCGTATGGTCCCCAACGTGCGCGGAGAGAGTTGCTGATAGCGGAGGCTTGGGTGGAGTTGTTCGTGAGGTTTGCGAGCACGGCCCAGCTGTTGCCGTCCTGAGGCATTAGAGTCGTGGTCTCATTATCGCGATATAGGCCTGCTGTCTCGTTCCAGAGCATATTATTGGCTGCTTCTTTGATCCCAGATGCGTAAGTTTCCCATGACGATTTGACGCTACTGTCGTTGAGAGCAGCGGCTAGGGTCAAGCCTTCATTGATGGTGAAGTATAGGATTGCGTTTGCTTCAATATTGTGACCTCCTTGACCAAAGCGGAGCCAGTCGTCAGGGCTCGTGACGTTCATCAGGCCAGTTTCGTCAATGAAACCGAGAGAAAAGTTGAGTCCGAGTTTCCAGGCGTTCCACTTGTTTTGAACATATTCGAGGTCGTCTGTGAACTTGTAATAGTCGCTTACGCCGATGAGGTTGTAGAGATGATAGGTCGCCGAGTACGTGTCTTGTTTGAAAGGATATCCTGCATACGGAAGCTTGCCTGATGCATTCTGCAGAGAAAACAAGTTGTCGATGGAATTTGTGATGGCTGCATCATCGCTGATGGAGACGAAGAGAGATGGAGTAATGACATGCATATCTCCAGGCCAGATCAGACGATCGCGTTTTGCGCCGTCGACGAGGACGACGCTCGAGTTGGCTATGGTTGTGTTGGCGTACCACGACCAAGGAGCCACTGTATCACCGGGAACACTCGAGTTGATCTGATCCGAGTGGATGAGAGCATCACCGTGGTGCGGGTCGATGGCGCACATCTACTTCTTGTCAGCAGATGATCCCGAACGATGGGGTACGATACGTACCTGGATGGTATATGCTCCTGCATACCAGATGCGGTTCAATAGCTCATCTGTAGCACAGTCAATCAACCTGGGCTAGAAGCAATATAAGTCGATATTACCATCTGAGTGGAAGAAGCCAGTATAATTCCTCAGATCCTCGGTAGTGGGCGAAGGCGTAAATTCGACCGTCACCTCGGTAACCTCAATGTCACCAGTGGTGTTGTGAATGAGACTCAGGTATCTGAAGCCTCCTCTTTCATGCTGACGATCTACAGACACAATACCGGGGCCTGATGGATAGAACCACAAAGCTTCATCCATGCCAGAATCTTGAGTGGCGTCGCAAGCAATGCCAGAGATCCATTGCGAGCTCTCGGAGTATGTAATAGCGATAGACTGATTCGTGTCTGTCTTGTTGCCGATGGTCAAGCTCACGAGGCCACCAATGTTGACACCGAAATCGTAGGTCACGGCTGAGACGCCTTTGAAGATGGCCGAGCCTGGCGAGTCGTTTGCAAGGCTAGAAGCTCCAGTAATGGTCCCGTTGATCTTATCTTGATAGACAGCAACTGGGTGTAGAGTTCGTGACTTCGGGGCCAGGATATATTCGTCGTATTTAGAAGCTGCGGCTGCCAGCCCGGCAAAGGCAAGTAACGATAAAGACTTCATGATGGAGGTGGTATTTCAATCAGGAACGACTGACGTGGACGGCCAAGCAATACTTATATGTCGCGTCCCTATGCCGAGAAAGCGACTCTCAACGCCATTTAAACCATGCATCTCGGAGAAACTTAGTTCAGTATGAATTGGCACGGATAGAAAGTGGTTCAAGCATCATATGATGACGATGTGAGAATTGAGATGGAGATGATGAGCACAGTGCGGGGACTTTTCAGAAACCATCACTCGCTTTCTCGGCGAAGTGCACTCCGAATGCAACATCAACTTGCAGTTCTCCAAAAGATCGCCTTTTCGGTTTCCTCTTCTGTAGAACGAGACAGGGCTCGTAAAACTGCGCTTTGCATACCAGCGCAAGAAGCATAACTTACGTTTTGCGATGGCAGTGCTCGGGGTTCATTAAGCAATGTAGTCCTATGTGGACTTTGCATACTAATACAATTATCTTCTGTGAAGCTCCAAACGTGAAAAATACCGAATCAGGTCAAGGAGTCTTCCTGTCATTGAACCAAAACAGAGAATAGATCTAGTCGAGGTCGGCACTGCTTGTCGAAACAGCAGTGGGATAGAAGTTCATCTTTCCGCCGTGCCCAATGACACCGATGCGGTCGTACAATGTCCTTGCGCGGACATAAGGGTCGAGCTGCCAATAGTTTTGCAACAGGTCCTGTCTTAGCGCCGATCTTTGCTCTCCCTTGTTCTCGCCCTTGGCCCAGTGTACCGTCTCGGTCTGGTATTTTTGCACCAGCTCCTTACGTTCAGCTTCGATCTTGTCTTTTGTTGCGGTGTCCTTCATCTTGTCGTTTTCACCCTCTCTAGGCTCGACGTAGTGATACTCCCAGTTCTCGTCACCACCAAGCTCTTTTGAGATCTGACTCTTAGGGATGAAAGCGGAGAGCTCTTCGACGTTGGAGCAGAAGTTGATCTTGGAAGCAACGACGGGATCCAACCAACCACGGATGATCTTCCAGATACCCTGGAAGACCCAAGGAGCCTTGTAGACGAGGACGCTACCCAGCGATTCAGGGTAGTTGGCTTCGAAGCACTTGATCATGAATTTGACAGGAGTGTAGTCCATGTTTGACATGGAGAAGCCCGTCATGTCGAAAACAATGGTNCTTGAAGTCAAGGTCAGTAATCAGGTCTTGTGGCAATATATGGTTCGACTCACAGCTGTGTCAATTGGAGGTCTGAGCATCATGCGAGCAGTGTCAATGGTATAGACGGTAAATCTCTCGAGACTCTTTTCTGTTTGCTCGCCAGCGCGGTGCAGTCTAGCTCTGACAACGCAAACAGGTCTTCCCTCGGCGTCAACACCGTGCAGGAAACTCTTGCCCATACGCAATTGAGTGAGGAAGTCCTCGGCATCTTTCTTTGTAGTCGCATCTGTAGCAGATTTGGCGTCGATCAAAGCGCCTCCTTCGCCCTTGTAGACAATGTCGTCGTCGACGTGCATCTCCTGAGAGCGCCAGTGAAGAGTCGAAATCATCATGACAAGGGCAGCTTGGACGTCCCATTTACGGGCACGCAAGAATCGCAAAAGCAAGGCGTCAGGATCATCGTGCTTGACCATGCCCCAGAAGGCGGTGCGCAGCGACTCGGGACTTTGGTTCTGGAGGGCTTGACGGAACTCCTTGGCCTGGCCGTGCTTGTCGTTCTCATCGTCGGTGTTTTCGGCCGAATGGTCGGCATCCTTGTGCTTGCGAGAGAACATGGACAGCTTTGACTTCTTCTTAGGATCGGCAGGGGCAGAGGTGGAAGCGGCGGAAGCGGCATCGACACTTGGACGGGCACCGCTAATGACACCAAAGACGTCGAGGGTCTGCAACCAAAGCTCGCGCAGCTTTTCCTCNTGGTCCGGAGTGAGGCTACCCGGGCGTCCCGGGAGGGTGGTAGGAGCCATGTCTGCTTCTGAGAGCGGATCCGAAGGGGTAGAGAGGACAGGAGTGTCAGGAAGCGTAGGCTTGTCGGAGGGTGGTGTTGTGTAGTATGTGTCTGCGATGCAGGCAGTGGCGAAGGCGGTAGAAATGGCAAGGAGGAGGGTGACAGGATCCAGACGACTTTCTTTGGGATGTGCAGTCGGGCGCGTGGGGAAGTGATGGCGTTGACGCAACTGTGGATGGACGGGCGAGGAGCGGAAAGCGCGGGTGGCTTGGATTGACAGGCGACACGAAGGTGAGGGGCGGGCAGACGAGGGGCGGGCGAAGTTGAGGATGCGAAGGGGCCGCATCTGTTGGAAATGAATGTCCAGGAGCAGCAGAGAGGCTCAGCAGAAGATGCCGAGATTGAAACTCCCTAGGCCCGCACTCGCGACAGCCTGAGCACCGCAGTTTTGCATGACGTCGCTTATGTCATGGCAGTCTTCTGACTTTGTCCCATTTGGATCACTGTTTCTCGTCATGCTCTTTATCGTCAGAGTCTAATGCCAATGTCAAGAGTCAGGGACACGACAGAACACCATGTCCAGCAAGACAGTATCCCACACGACCAAGTTGCAGACAAGCGGTGCAAGAATAGACGTGAGCTCCAGCATCTGCCTCGTGCTTGCAAGCACGGCGGGGCACGCTTCCGTCCTCTTGGCGCCATGCTGCAATCAAAACATTCCATCTCACATCCATCTCGCATGCATTGAAGGCACATCTCACCGCAATGGCTTCGACAACACCCACTTCAGCACCGCCATCGCGCGCTCGCTCAGCATCCCGCTCTCGTAACAACCTGCCCTCGCGACCAACCACCNCCCTACGACCACACTCTCGCACCAGTCTCCGAGCCTCTATCGCAACCCCCACAAGCGCAAACCGATTCTCCGACCAAGCAGTCCCACTCGAAGCTCTGGAACCCGCCTTCGGTGAACTTGCCGATGGCATGGCCGACCTGGAAGCCAACATGATGCACCTGCAACTGCTGCACGAGAGTCTGAACCGCTTCAACGAGTGCTTTGGCGCTTTCCTCTACGGCATGAACATGAGTGCTTTCTGTGTCGACTTTCCCGAAGCTCCTGGCATCGAGAGCTTCAAGCGTGCCGCCGAGGCAGCAAAGAACCAGGCCCAACAGGACAACGCCATGTCTGCCGAAGTCCATCATCGCGAGAGGGATGTGGACGCTACTTTCCTGTACATTTCATCGTGACCCTGTCGCATTACGAATATATCACTGNATCATAAACTTCTAGTACCACCGACACCAGCTTCGTCGAGAACCCTCCTACCCCAAAGACGACTCGGACCAACAGATCTACAATGCCTCCTCCCTCCACTACCTCGTCCAGAACCACTCGTGGCGCCAGCTCCATATCTAGAGGAGNGGGTACGCCAGCTGCTCGGGGGACAAGAGCTGGTGGCATAGCCGGTCCTACAAGAGGCTCGGCCATCGGACGAGGAAGGGGCAGAGGTATCATCAGATGATTGCGGCCCACTTCAATACCTGGCTTCACACGACACAAATCAAAAGGATAGTAGTAGACATTAAGTTTGCTGCAAACGACAGAAAAACACGCCAAAATCTATGCCTGGAGGAAAGACACAATCAACCGTCTTCGCTTGTAATGCCGCTTGAACTCCAGAGGTTGTAATAAGTACACAGAACGATGCGCCTGTGGGTCGCCCTGCGACCAAAGACAAAGTCGACATCTAGCCGGTATCCAACACTCGCATGCCGCATAGTCGAAGCATTATTGTATCCGTGTATCCGGTTGAGAAGAACCTGAGTCTGCGTCTTTACACAGTCTTCTCTTTTCTCACTGCCCATCCCTTGAGAGCAAAGCAGAGAGCGGTCCAAGACATCACCAGAGCAGTCAAGCCCATAGCGATGGTGAAAAGAAACATAGCATCCAGGCCGTTGCTCTCAATCGTGCTCACGGCATCTGTGGAGCTGCCCATGAAGATCATACCACCACTGATCAGGCAGAAACTGGCCACTAGCTCAGTCGGAGGGCGGCTGGGGAAGAACGACTTTGGTGGTGCTAGATAGAGCAAAACATAGGTTGCCGCTCTAGCCATTGCAAAACCCATGAACAGAGTGCCCCATTGCTTGTGCAGCATCGTCGAGACCATGCTGTGTTGATGGTGTCCTGACATGGACATTCCCAAAAGCATGATGACAAGGCCAGGCATTGGGTTGAGACTCGTCTTGTATGTCTTGGGTACCTCCCACTCTTGACGTTGCTTCTCAACAGCATCGGCAAAGAGTGTGGCCTCTTCCTGCCAGGTCGAAACAGAGGTGTTGAACAGATTCCTGATCTTGTCACTCTCGATCAGCATTCCCATCAGGCCGCCTCCGAAGAACATGATGGTGATGCTGATGTGCTCGAGATCCTGAGCGCTCCATGCCTTTCCCCAAGCATTGAGGTGCTCGAGGAAAACATTGCTGGCGCCGTACAGAAAGATGACAAAGGACTCGACAAACTCGGCCGAGGGAAGTCCGGCCGCGAAGCGAGAGACCATGGGGTGTCGAGGCTCGACGTTCCACGCCCAACCAAAGTCCGAGAATGCACCCATCCATCTCCCAAGAGTCAGGATTCCGTACCAAAAGAAGATGCCGCCCTTGACGGCATGCGCCATTCCAGAGAAGACAAGGCGTTCGCGCTGTTGGTCTTGTCAGCATGGTCATGTATGTATGTCACTTTTGTTGCTTACGTAGAGACCACTAAATACTACACCACCGCTTATCAAGCTCACAAATCCAAGGACTGGCATACACCGTTCGATTAATGTGAAGATGAACTTGAAGGCTGTGAGTGCTCGGCCAGATGAAACGCGAGGAACCCTGCGCAAGAGAAGGCGATCGACTGGGTTGTTCTGGATGAAAGCTTGCTCTTCAGATGCACCCTCTTCATCAACATCTTCTAGAGGTTCAAGCTTGTGCAGAGGTACCGAATCCGAGCTGGGCGAGCGAGATCCAGAGCAGAGCGTTGCTGAATCGTGGCCCGAATCCCTGGACCACCTATGATCCTGCAGACGGTCATATTGCGCAATGTTATCGGTCGTCATCGCGTGTCTTTCCTTGGCCTTCTCGGATCGCGCCAGGTACAGGTTCAGAAAAGTCATGAGAAACCACGCCGTGGCGATCCAAGACACTGCCCATCCCATCTTATGGTGTGCATTGCCCGGGTAGAAGTCTGGTGTCTTTGCATTGTAGATGATGCTGGTGAACAGACCGAGTCCATTCACGGCTAGGAACACGAATTGCGCCGGGATCGTAAAGCGCGAGCGAGCTACGCTGAAAACGACAGCTATANNCCCTGGTCAGCATCCTGAAGTTCTCCAAGCACACAGATCCCACTGCTTACCGATAGGTAGAACGACTGCCCATGCGATTGTCATCAAAGCTATATGGGCATACATCCAGCCTTCGAATCCTGGATACCGAAAGTAGTTGTGCGGAACAGCCGGCGTCACTGCTGCTGTCATATTATGTGTGTTTGCCATATCCATGGCCATACCAGAACGCTCATGCTCATCATCGTGAGCGGCCACTAAAGGAAGAACTGCGAGCAGGAGCCCCGTCGAGCCAGTCAAAGATATGCGATCGAGCAGCATCAAGAGATCTAGCTTTGGCAGAAATCGAGACGCACGTGTGTTGTTGAGGAATGGGTCGCGCGCGCAGATGTAGAAATGCAATAGCAATAAGACAATTCGTGGCCGGTCTCAAGATGCTTTGCGGGTCCACACAGCACTGAGACACAATATCCAGGTAACGAGACCGCAAGAAGCTGAATCAGCGTGATGCAAGAGTACTTGTACGAGAGCGACGAGAAGGTGCGACTCAGCAAGATCAAGAAAGGAAAGAACGAGTTGATGACGGCGAGGTGAGCCAACCATTTGATTTAATAGCACCGACACCGCGACTACCAAACACGTCGAACCAAGTCTTCCTTGCTGCCGATTCCGAGCCATACCGACGAATGGGTCATGGGCATTGTAATCATGGTGTGTATGCCATGACCTTGATCGGAAATCTTTTAGATGACTTCTTGTTCGGTATGACGCTACCCTAAACAAACGCTCCCTTTGCCGGCCGATCCCTTAGATCCGCCGCCTTCCGTCGTTAGGGGCTTCCATTCGTTTACCCTTCTGCACATGTACGGAGAGCAAGTAGTCCTTTTGGTAATTCTGATAGAGACATGGATAGATGCGAGGATGTCGCGTCTGTGTCTCAGAGCTTCAGAGTTCAAATCTTGAAGTTTCGATCAGAACAAACGACCTCACCATCGCTATGATTCTGGACTTCTGTCTCTGACCATCCTTGCGACGTCTTGTTCATGCTTCCATGTATTTCATCAATCGGTGAGTCAGCATTCCGGTTCCGACCATCCATATACAGCAGCTAGAGCTTTCACAAACCGCATGGCGCCTTGGCNNGAGATGTTCACGCGCGACACATGTCCATGCCAANTCGTCAAATCGAGTATCTTCGACCTCGCGACTATTCGGCCTTCCTTCGCGCAAAATTGTATCTACCAGTCAGACGTGCATCTCGGCGACAACGGTGAAGAGATTTCTTTGTGCCTAATGGACCTAGTTATGGCTGCTGACATATCAACCCTATCATGTGTTGGCCTGACTTGCTGTTCTTGACCATTGGGAAACGATCCTCACGCGGCGACTGACAGCTTCCACTGCATCCGAAACATGCATGAGTACTTTATTCCATGCTGCAGAATAAATTTGTCCAACCCGAGAACGTTGATCAAGCACCGTCAAAGTCCCATGCATCATTGCAATCCGTTACCTGTCGCTCGCTCGCTCACATGATCCTTTTCATGCCTGACTTCAGATTCCGAGCCATCCGCGCCCATACCACGAATCTTTCTTGGCTTTCTCTCAAACTTCGTCAGAGATCCTCAGGTAAGAGAACCGCCGGCTGTCATTCAGGGCTCGTACCGTTTTTCCGAGTCATGCCTTTGCTTCTCTCATCGAATGTCGTCTTCTTCGTCCAATTCTCCATCCCGTCAAAGGAAAACAATCTCCTTTTCACCATCTGCAAAATCTCTGCACGTCATCTCTTGAGGTATGCCCAACCAGAGGCATTTTCATCTCTTGAATGCATTATCTTCCCCGTCAGGCGGACCTGTACAGAGGAACCCTACTGTCTCCTTGACGCTATCGCATTGATATTGTCGTGGTGTTGTATTGTTCGAATTGTTCTCCAGGACCATGTTCGAAATATGAATGTCGCGGCAAGGTGCTGCTGCACTGCATTGCATTGTCGTCGCGACATCTCCACGTATCGTGCCCGAGAAATTGTTCAGAAACACATCGCGGATGTTGAACTTTGAGGTATCGCAATCGCCTGCCATCGTCAGCTAAGCTCCGGAGCAAGGTTCAGATACAACTTACCTTTGNTTACCCTCGAAATTCGTGCACTGGGTGACNTTTGGCGAGGATCAGTATCGGATTTGGTTCCAAGCAACAGGCTGATACTCACTCGTGAATGCCTTTAGGACATTATTCAGCTTGAAATTCTCAAAGGTGAGATTTTGCGCATAGCCCAAGCCGCCACCACCTCCATTCGGCGGGACACCCTTGTTCACTCCAGTCCATNNCTACGGTGGTGTCAGCAGAATCCGAGCAAGGCGAGCAACAAGTACTGACGTCTTGATATAGGCACCGTTTTTCGTGTTATGAGATGTGATGTTGCGACAAGTCACATTCTCGATCGTTTCGAATTGGCCATTCATTTGGCCGATGCTTCCAAGGGCGATACCGGAGCCTCTGTAGAACTGGCTATCCTCGATCAAGATGTTGGTCGAGTTTGCCTTTGGCGAGATTGCGTCGTCGCCGTTGTCTACGATCCATCTGCGGAAGGTGATGTTGTTGGCATAGATAGTGTCGCAGCCATCCGTGTTTACCGTCGGTGCCNNTGAATGCTATGTCAGTATCGAGGTATCGTATTATGAAGTTGTACTACTAACGCCCGTCTTGGAAGTGTTGTTGACATAGATGTCCTGCAGTAGAACGTCCGACGAGTGGATCACTGTCATTGTCCACATCTGGCTCTGGAGAAAGATCAAGCCTCCAAACATCGAGTTCGTTGTGTCGGTAATGGTCAACTGATGCGGACGTCTGGGGTAATTCGACCTTCCATTGATGAACTTGTACCAGGCATCTCCATTGCCATTGAAGGTACCAGCTCCATATCCTTGGAACGTAATACCATCTCCACCAAGTCTCCAAGCAGTGCTCTGGTTTTGGTAGCCGACTGGCAATGAGTTGTTCAACCAGTAATTCAGGTCGGAGTTGTCCCAAGAAAGTGTTCCGTGCAACTCAATGTCGACGTTCTTCAGGCCGGTGGTCTCCAGCACGCTTCCAATGGTGTAAGTGGTGTTCTGAAACACGATGCGGTTGCGAGATCCAGCTTTGGCTCGTCCACAACCCTTGAAAGCTTTCTTGATGGCTGCTGCAGAGTCCTTTCCATTGGCCGCCGGAGTGACAGTGCATGTGACCCCAGACTGAGTGGACGTCGGTGATGCATAGGCAGACGATGTTGATGCATATATAGGTGTCGACGATGCATGCGAAGAAGTCGTCGGCTTCGCATGAGCCCTCACCCCCAAGATGGAGGCCAAAAGAATAAGTACCACCAACATGACAGTGAATGCAACCACGTATAACCAAAAGACAATTTTCCCACGTCGTCCTTCTGGAAAACACCAACGGTGCAAATGGCCTGGGGATACGGGCGGTTGCAGCGTGGCGGACTCGTCGACTTTTTGAATTTCCTCCACCACCACCGTCGAGAGCATCTTCTTCGCTTCGTCACCATCGCCAAGCTGTGCATTCCTCATGGCTTCAGCCATAGGGTGGAGATCAAAGGCCTATCACGAGCCTCTAGCCCTCTGGAACTTGACTTTTCGCTCGCGTCGCGCCAAAAAAAGAATGGAAGGTGTGGCAGGGAGGATCTTTCAGCAGCATGACATCTGCAGTGTAAAGCGAACGATGGGATATGCAATGTACCAAGGGAGGGTACCCATCCCGTATTGACCATAGAAAGGAATCGCGTGTCTGCGGGGGGGTCTTTTGATCGTGATTACCCATTTGTAGCAAATGATCCGCGCATCGGCTTCTATCTTTTGGCTGTAGAGTTATGCTTAATCCGTCCTTGGGGCTGCTAAAGCCTGCTCTAGATCAGTCCCCAGCCCACACGTGTTTACCTCAGAGGATAGGAGATGTCTTCGCGTTTTTTTATGTTTCAGAGATTCCGCCATCTTTCGTCTTGTTGCGATCGCGCAAGTTCGAGCCCTCAGCACGTGTTTTGTTAGATGATGATTTGGCCGCGTTAGGCAAGTGATGTGGAAACCGACATGCAAGCCACGCTCAAGGCATCAACCTTCTGTTCGTTCTTCGTTGGATGGTGTTCGGAGTCTGCTCGTATCCGATGAACCTTGCCCCTCTTCCTTCTTTCCTTCTCTCGTCTGGAAGAAAGAGAAAGGGTCACGCGCCTTTGATGGTACGGCATTCAGCTTGGCCTTCGACCAGACATCCTCTTTAGATGTGCAGTGGCGCTCCAATGACAATGGCATTCAGAGCTGCATACAGCAATAAATCTGCAAGCCATTTCCTCTTGAATGGTACCGTTGCATCTGCTCATCATAATCGCTTGTGCTTTGCGCAAAGATTTGCAGCAGGGCCATGCAAAGACGATCAACACCCCGCATATGCAGCAGTATTCTCGGTTTCAAAATTCATTAGAATTCGCCACCCGGTTTTCGAAGTCGATGAACATAGAATTTATTGTGTTTTAAGAGATTTATTTAAATAATACTACAACTGCTTATTCTACTTAGCTATAAATTTGCATATAGATGTAAGCTATTTATATATATAGACTTATCTAGTTATATATAGTATAAATATAATATTTAGCTTATAAATATAGATCTACTAACAAAAATTTTAGCATTAATTTTTTTTTATTATACTAGCTATTACTTTATAACTATATATTATGTAAGCCTATAAGTTTAGCTACTTATATAATACAGCTAGGTCTACTGTTTTATATAAGTAGTATTTTAAATAGATTATTATAGCCAAAGTTATTTGCTGTTTTATGCTTAATAAAATTTAAGCTTTAGTTTTGTATTTTTTATTTTTTTATAAGATAAATAAATAGCAAATCTTTTAATAAAATGCATGTTATTTCTAGTTTACAAATACTATAATTGCATAATACATATAGGCTTATAATTAACTAGATCTATATAGTCTAATAGCCTATACTATTACTTATAAGTATATCTGTTTTTATAGTAATATAAGCCATTAGTTGTTGCGCAAAACCACAAAGAACGTCAAATTTTACGAAGTTTTGCAACTTTTAATCGACTTCGAAGACCGGGTGGCGAATTCTAATGAATTTTGAAACCGAGAATATTGACGTCCTACGACTTCTGAGCAGATGATGGGGTATCTGCATATGTAATATCCGTCGGAAAACATCACCAGACTGTGCGCCCAAGGGCAATTCTCACGGCTGGAAAGGACTCATGCCGTGCTTTCGAATGTCTCTTGCGGAATCCTTCGGTGTTTGTACCGCCTTGATATACCATTGAAGTGTCCACGTGCTTGGTCGCCTTGGACTCGTGGAGAAATCCCAGTCGGTTTACCTTGCCGTAATACAGAGTCTCGGCGAAGATTAAGATGAAATTTGGCTACACAGCTCCCCCCTTGGTCTGACAGACGTACGCGACAATGGTTGCCGAGACATGTTCGAACCTCACTAGCATTATGATAAACATGTCTCAAACAGACACGGGTGGTCAATGAGAATATTTTACCAAGTGGCAGCAAGGGTGGAGAAAGTTTCGTGGGATTGGTTCATAGACACAATGGCCGTTCGTACAGATGGATATACAATCCACCGGGTATCTAATCTAATATTATACAACAAAACGATCTAAGACGAACACTGTCGATATGCCTTAAGCAGGCAAGTTGTCGGCATAACTGAGACGACGTACTCCCTCCTTCTTGCGGTCTTCTGCCAGGGTCTTTGCGAACTTCGATCTGTCACGAATGACGGGTCCCTTCCAGTAGAAGACGTAGATTGGTATCACGACCAAAACCGATGCTCCAGCGAGAATGGTACTGGCGTATTCTGTAGGATGTCCGCCGATGTTTGTATAGAGAGGAGTGGCGTACATGGCCGAAACACCAGCCAAGAAATCACGAGCAAAGGCGTTACCACCGCAAGCGGAGGCGGAGTAGACACCGTATGCGGCGATCATGTAGTCAACCGACGAGAAGTAAATGGCGTAGTTCGCAATACCAACGAGGGTGGAGAAGATCATGGGAGCAATCCAGTGGACGTTGTAGGCAGGACCAAGGGAACACCAGGCGAAGCCTATCAGGCCAATAGGTTCCAAAGGAGCAAGCCATAGCAGCACCTTGAGACGACGCTCTGGCAAGAAGCAATCGGGTCCCTTCCTCCTGCGGATCTGGTTGTCACGCATGAAGCATGGGAGGTACATGAGATAGGCGAGGAAGTAGGCGAGGTTGATGGGGATGAAAGCCCAAGCCTGTGCAAGAATACCGAATCCCCACTTGGTGTACACTTCCGGGAAGGATTCAAGGAAAGTGAAGATGAGAGCATCGGAAAATCCAGAAAGAAGAGACAGGCAAAGTACGATGGGTTCGCGGAGGAACATCTCGAAGGGACGAATCCAGACCTTGCCGGCTTCCTTGAGCGAGATACGCGGCGACTTGAGTTCGTTGGGACCGTAGATGTTAGGGTCCTCACCAGTCTTACGACGACGCTTGGCTTCTCTGTCGAGGAGGATGGTCGAACGACTTTCGGGCATGAAGAAATGGACGGCTTGGACGACACCACCGAAGATGAGCATGATCCAGAAGAACCACTGCCACTCGAGGAAGCGTTGAATAGGTCCGCCAATGACACCTCCGATACTGGTACCGATACAAGAGGACAAGACAATGAAAGCCAGAGGGTACTGTTGCTCCTCGGGCTGGTACAAGTCGGCAATAAGACCAAGAGTGACACTACCGCCAGCAGTAGAAAGACCACCCTAACTCTAGGTCAGCATCTGTATAGGTCGTATCTCAAAAACTATGCTTACCAAAGCCCGGCAAACCAGGATGGTCCCCCAGTTGGGAGCCAAAGCGCAAGGAATTTGCCAGATGTTGATGAGGAACATTGAAAGCTGGAGGATGGGCCAACGACCGAACTCCTCAGACCAGGGCGCCCACAGCTCGCAACCGAACGAGTACAGGATCAAGTAGATCATCTGACCAGTTCTTGCTTCTTGCGCACCAATACCGAAAGCCTCTGACAGAGGTGTCACGGCACTAGGAAAGACTGAAGTGTTGTAGTTCATGGAAATCTGAATGGCGGCAACGCCAGACAGGTACATCCACTTCTTCCATGTTGGCCACGCATATGCCAGGATCTCGGGGGCATCGATTTCTTTCAATTCTCTTCGTCCTTGAGCATCGACAGGAGCCTTCTCGTTCTGTTCGCCAACCGGGCTGGGGCTGCGTGTTGTTTCATCATCTTTTTCCGAGTTGTTTCCACTGAGGTCGTGACTCGGGTTGTGTTTNTGCTCTGGCCGTACGTCTGTCATGATTGGGGTTTGCCAGATGGCGTGAGTGGTTCTACAGGACAATAGGGTCCATGGCTGGTTGCTATACTTATGTATGAATTCTCAATAGTGGACAAACAAGCCCCGGGTTCCACAGCCATGACGTGCGGCGAAAAAAATTGTTGGAGAAAAGATCCACTCTGTAGGTTGGGATATCAACGATGAGGAGAAGGCCGCTCGGAAGCGCCTGTGGTTGCGATTTGCATCCTCTGCAGATGGCAGTGATGTCACTTTCTACAAGGCCTTCGGGGACAAGTCTGGGCAATGATATCAAACGTCTTAAAATGCTTTCCGAAGAGGTCTAGTTTTTACTGTGTTGGGTAAGTCAACGAGAGGCAGAACCGTGAAGCGCATTTCCGGATAGTGCCCTGAATTGAAGTTAAGCAAAGATAGTCAACCGTCGCTACGAAGAGAGAATTTCGGGTGCAGCGATCGAAGCATCGATTTTGAGATCGGGAGAAGGATTGAACTCGGGAGCAAAGCCGAAGGCCTCACTTGCTCTGTATTCCCTCAGTGGTGGCGGCCTCAAAGAAGCAGAAGATTCTTTGCAGTATTTTCCTTTAGCCCGTCAACACGATTCGGCAACGCACCTCACGTTTGCGACTTGGGCTTGTCAGGACGCTGTTGAGACCAACATCCCCAGATGTCGCTTCAAATCTCAAAACCACTGACGTCTTTTGGCCGAGCTGGTGCCGACTCCAGGCCCACTCACATCCTTTGAACATAATTATGGGCCCTGATACGGGGATTCTCCCTCTTTCTCTTCATCGAACCCCAACTCTGGGTCTCCAGGCATCCGCAGAGCCATGTGAGTTTTGCTGGAATGGAAATCAAGGTGTCTGCTATGCGGAGCTCCAGCACGAACTCCAGTTTGCTGTGAGATCCCCGGGGTCGAAGAATGGCTGGGCTTCATGATATCACACCATCACAAGGATTATAAAGATATGGAGCAAGCTGGAGACATCACTCGGGCATGACATTCAGCCTGTTTACAAGCGGGCAATGTGAATAGAGACGGAGGATGTCGCGCAAAGCACGACCGATCATCGTAAGTGAAAAGCAGCACTGCTATGTTGGCGCAATACGTTGCATAGGGTAGGTTACACGATGGCATCGAATCGCGCATCTTGTGTTGCCGAAACACTTGTCGCTGTTTTCGAGGTACAGCTTGAGATTGTCCGTACCTACCTACTCCAAGTAAAAATCCTGCGATGAGACCATTGAAGCAAAAAACGCGAGACGAACGGCGAACATGGTTATCTTGTTTAAAAGCCCGGAAGCTGATGAGCACCTTTATCCCATTCAATCAGAATTGCTATACTGCGACTATACAAACTTGGACACTCCACTGCGCCCTTCAATTCTGCTTTCCTTCTCTTGCAGCCTTGACGAGTCCATCCAGCCAATCCTGGTGTCCATTCAGCATTGGATTAGGTTTCTTGGTGCTTAAGTCAGCAGCTGGCTTGCCAATCTGCGACTCCTGCGTCAAAATCCTGACACGATCCTGATCAAGGTCCTCAATAACCCAAGCATGATAGACATCAACAGCTTTGTCTTCATCTCCATCCCCATCAGATATAGCTCGCCAAGCAAGACGACCGACCTCAGTCTTCGACGGCGTGACTGATTCGTAGACCTCGGAGGGCAAGGGTGGGAAGCCGAAAGTTGAGAAGCTGAACTTGTCGCCTTTCTCCAACATTGGTCCAGAAGTAGGAGGTGTGATTTGCGAGCAGTTCCAGTAGTAGGACTCCCATTTGGTAATGTCGGCGAGGTATTTCCAGATATCTGCTGAGGAAAGCCCTTTCACAATGGTCTCATTGCTGACGAAGTTGTCTGTCGTACCGGGAAGAAATTTTGCCGGCCAGATAATCGTGGGTGAGGTAGGTGCAGATGTCATGATTACTTCGGTTGTGTTGATAGAACAGATGAGTTGATGTGGTGTTGTTGATTGAGTGATGAAGGCGAAAGTTGATGACGATATGAGGGGAAGCGGGCAGGTGCGGCAGCGTCCAATCTATATACTTCGTCGCACAACCTTCGACATATCGTAGAGCATTCTCAATTCGCCATTTGCGGCGTCTTGGATGTCTGTAAGCTCAACAACTGAAGTAAGCAGCTTGGTCGGACAGATCGACCTTGAACTTAATGAATCGATCTGTTGGTAAGCGTGTTTAGAAAATCGATTGGCGGCACGACAAACATCTGTCGATAATCTGGAGTGATATGACCCAATATCGGAATCAAACAGACTGCGAGATCAGTCAAATTACTAGGAAGTGACCAAAAGTTGATGTTGTTATCGATAGAAGCTTCTCAAGACCACCGCGCCCGATTAGTCTTGTCGACAGTACAGCCCTGTCTTCAGGGTGACATTGATCTTGTTGCCTAGCACAGGGTCTGGCCTCTTTGAGAAGCAAGCTACCCATTGCGATATACGAACACTGGCTGTTCAGTATGTCAAGATATATGATTTGGTCCGTGAACGACATGGGTTGCTCCTTCCGTGTTGCGAGCCGTCTCGGCCATCAAGGTGCTCCAAGACAAGCGTCAATGTTGGGGCAAGCTAGGCAGTGACATCCTTGACAACCCATCTCATCTTCCCAAAAACCAAAATTGACCCTCCAGTTTTGAGAATACCAGATTACTGTTGCATCTAACACAATAATGGCAACCATCAAAGGCACCTGGAAACTCGTACACAGGAACAAATTGCTTCAACGCTCGTCCCAAACTCTCTCAACACTTGGCGATCGCGCCTTGATCTTCGGCGGCGAGCTTCATCCTCGAGAACCTCGCGACAATGATGTGCATATCCTCAGAATCGTTCCTAGGCCCAATGTCTGCTCTCTACAAGAGTATGGTAACAGTCCCAGTACGTCGCGCGAGAATGCTGGCGGCTTGCCTTTGGCACGCGTGGGCACAGCCAGTACCGTTGTAGACGGAAAGATCTACTACTTCTCCGGTCGTGGTGGTGTAGAAATGGCACCAATCGACGAACAAGGAAAGGTCTGGCAATTCTGCTTTTCCGATGCTGATGGTGTGGGCTGGCATGAAGTTTCCCCTGTCGACAACTCGCAACCAGTACCGGAGCCCAGAAGTTACCATTGCATGACATCGGACAAGACCAACACTCTATATCTGCACGCAGGCTGCCCTAATTCTGGCCGCTTATCTGATCTCTGGGCCTTTGATGTCGAGGACAGGAAGTGGAGGCAGTTAGCTTCCGCACCGGGCGCTCCCAGAGGAGGAACCTCAATCGCCTTCTCAGATGGAAAACTTTACCGCATGGGTGGTTTCGATGGTAAACATGAATTGGGTGGGGAGATCGACATCTACGACATCGCATCTGATAGATGGAGCACACACACCTTTACACCGGATGGTACCGAAGGTCCTGGCTGCAGAAGCGTGAGCAGTCTCCTTGCTGTCAACGTCCATGGTAGACCATCCCTCATTACTGCTTTTGGAGAGAGTGATCCAAGTGCTTTGGGTCACGCTGGTGCTGGAAACATGCTACCCGATGCCTGGCTCTGGGATATCGAGCTCAAGAAGTGGAGCAAGATCGTCGTAGACGAGGGTGCAGAGATGCCCCAACCCAGAGGATGGTTTGCTGCTGATGTTGTAGTGATCGAAGGCAAAGAAGGAATTATCGTGCAAGGAGGTCTGGCGGAGGATAACCAGCGCTTGGATGACGCTTGGGTCTTGACCTTCTGATATGCTCGTATATTATAACACGCAAGCACAAAGGAAATCACAGGTCTGACGGTGTTGAAGTTGCAACTTACCTCATTTTGTTGTGCCCTTTCCCTGCTCCCAACCTTCACTCTTCTCCAGCCTCTCGATAGTGACCAGACCCTTGCCCACAGAGGCGCTCTTTCAAGAGACCGATAGTTCAGAGTTGCTGCGAAACGAGATGCTGATTAGCAGATTCGAATTCGAGATGTTGTTGTTGGTCGCTGCAGTAAAGGAATTGATTGGTGGGTTTGATGTGATGGCTGCCTGATTGGGTCAGCTGCGTGAGTAAATTAATGGCTGCGATAACCGTCAGGCCGAAGTGATCTGGTGGAAGTATTAGCAGCTTGACTGGTATGTAAGTTAGGTTAACGGGATGCGAGAAGGTGATCAAGCCTGAACACACAAATGCAAGAATACTGGTATCCTATCCATCGTTGACCTCAAGGATGTTCAAGACGAAAGTGCTAACAGCCTCTGTACAACGGAACGAAATATTGGTAAAGATCTCCTTGTTCGCATTCAAGTATATCTCATTCTAATCTCCAAGACCTGTCTATGGTAGCACTCAGACAGTTTTCATTCCCATCGAGATACCTAATATCGACGCGAGCTCTACTGTTTGGCCTTTCGTTTCTTGCTCGAGTCTGAAGCACTGCCATCAGCGTCCAACGCCCTTAGAGTCTGCGCAGCCCCAAGCTCCTTGCTCACGACTCCCTCTGCTACAGAACTTTTGCCTCCAAAGCCGAAGCTGATGCCGTGTTCACCGAAACTCGCTTCGCCGCCCGAGGATCGTAAGCTATCTATGCTGCGCTTTGACTTGTGCGATGACGGGGAGGCAGTTGTAGATCTTACGGCAGCGACAGCAGAGGGAACGGCTGGAGGAGGAGAGGATATGCCGAGACCTGCACTACTTTGGACGATAGGAAGCCTACTCAAANNCGCCTTGGAGCGGGTTGCTTTTCGGATGGAGTATTCGTGTCTGGTGTTTCGGCTTGCTGCTTTNTCAAGCTGGGTATGTGTGTCAGGTGTCGCTGGGTCTGATGTTGTACCTGCCACTTCATCAGAGGACCACCAACCTTCAGGACGTGAATTTGTCGATCGTTCAGTAATAGCGGATACGTCGGGAGAGTTGACATTAACCAGCTCTGGCGAAGTCTTGCCGCTTGGGTTCCTGGACTTGATCGACGAACGACGTGGTGAGCTTCCGCGAAAAGCTCGTAGCTTTCTCTTCGAGTCGCTTGTACCATCAGTGTCGGCAAAGTCCCATGATGTGTTTTCTCCCTCGGAATAACTGGGGAGTGACGAGGGCAATAGGCTTTGTGGGCGGGCCGGTCTGAATGGCGAGATCAAGCTCCTGCGTCCGGCATCGGTAGAGTAGGACTCCAAAGCGTCGAGTACGTGTGGAATGACCAATCTGTGAACATCTTCAGCCCACAAGAAGTCTAGATGCTCATAGTGAGGAATCTCCTTGGCTACGGTATGTCTAGGCAATTCCTTCAGCATGACCTTGATGTCGACCAAGCTGTCGCTTCCGCCGTAGACGAGGACGATGGGCGTCTTGATATTGCGCGTAGGATACTTGGCGACCTTGTAGTACTTCGAACCAGATGCAATAGAGAGGGGNGCCTGTACCTCGTCATCGAACATCTGGAAAGTCTCGTTTCTGATGATCTGAAGCCAATGGACGACCGACTTGGTGCTACTAAAGGAGAACAAGTGCGGGTAAGCTGCCAGCTTCTGGTAGGCGGTGATGTTCTTAGCGTGCCACCCGAACAGATACAGCAGAGCCTTGTCGATGACCCAGGAGAAGATACCGGGATACAGTAGCGCTTGCCACATGGTGGTACTGCTCAGAATGGCCTTGCGACCGAAGAGCAGAAACAAGACCTCTGGCGATGCCTTAATAAAGCTGCTAACGATGCCCATAGCCAATCCAGGAGGAGCCATGGCAGGTGCAAGAGCGACAAAGACGTTGACCTTCTCATTCAGGTTAGGATGGATCGATAGAGTTGCAAAGGCCTGGGCAGTTCCTTGGGAGAAGCCAACATAGGATAGCGACTTCTGACTCGTTGTAGCAAGGATGTAGTCGATGGTATCAGGAATATCGTGGAAGGCGAATTGATCGATCGAGTAGTTCCAGAAAGCGGCACTAGTGGGAGAGTGGTGGACGTTCTTCTTGGAGTACTTGTTGCCACGGTTGTTGCCAAGCCAGACATCATATCCCTGGTCAACGAGAACAAAGGGCAGGCAGCGTTCCTTTTCAGTCAAACAGACCCAGACCTCGCTGTTCATCATGAGGCCATGGTGAAGATAGACGACCTTCTTTTGGATGCTACCCTCTCCACTGTTGACCCTCTGATCTTCCTCGCCACGCTTCCAACCTAGACGGTGTAGGCCCAACAAGTAGCCATCCTTGGTCTGGACGATATGCTCCTCTGCATAGTAACCAAAAAGCTCACAAAGCTCGACAAAATCCGAAGCCTGAGCAATTGGCGATGAAATGGCCTTCTTCCGGTTCCTTGACCTCCGTCCCTGAGCACCAGAGAGCTGGTTGAATATTTTGCGCGAACAGTTGTAGAAAAATCGAATGATGGGACCTGGCAGGGCTAGGGTGATACCTCTGATAATAACTTCCAGACCGATCAAGACAAAGGAGCCAAGCAGGGCCAGGTACTCCTGAAAGTACAGCCTTCCGATGAACGGAATACTAGGCATGTCGGGGTGTGCCAGACGGAATTTGCGGTATGGATACCAGACTGGAGGCAGTATCTATTGTTGATCAGAGGATGTAGGCTGCAGAAAGCTGTTGGGTCGTGGATTGTGGTACAGAGCCGATTCGAGAAAGCACGAGTTTCGTCGTTTCATCAACGTCATTGGTGCATGTGAAAGGAGCGTCTGTGCGTTTGCGGCAGTCCGGGGGTCGCTCTCTTTCTCGATTGGCACGTGACTCTACTTTCTAGTTGGTCGACCATGGAAATATTGACCAGCCGTCAACACTGTCACGCAGAACCCGGAGGAGCTCACTCGCCCTTTCGCATTGCACACAAACTACTAAGATAGTTTCACCTGAATAATTTCAGTCAATCCTGGGCCAACACACTGCATCTCCTCGTCGCCCTTCGTTTCGGCGCAAACCACTGCAACCACAAATATGCCCTCATCTTGCAAAGACATCCGTATGCATCGTCCAATGCGCTCTCAGTCTATTCACCTTCCAAAGACTAACACGTCCTAGGCGNCGGCCCTAGCCGAGTGTCTTCAACAAAGCGACTGTATTATGGTCCAACGCCACACTGCCGCCGATTGCCTCCGCCCGCCGCTTGTCGATACGCTCCCCACCCGCTGCCAGCAATTGAAGAAGGGATATGGAGAGTGTAAGCGCGGTCTGATTGATATGCGCAAGAGATTCCGCGGCAACAAGCCCGTCGCCTCGAGTGTTGAGCTCGAGGCCGGCGCAGACAACCCGAGCAGACAGCTTTATGCTGGAAAGAGCGCTTTTGGTGACATCAAGACCACAGATGGCAAGGACGCACCCGAGGACGACTCATGATCGAGTCGAAGAGCTACGAAAAAGTCTAGAAGAGGTCGAATGACTTGGAAGAGAAGGAGAGGCAAAAACTTTGCATTTGCATCCGAATGGCGCACATGGGTCTGATTGAGGAAATACGGCGTTTCTATTGCCTGTCTACGGCACTCCACTCGATTTACATATGATACCACTTGATTTGGAAGTACGGCATGTCATGCTTTCTAAGGTCGGTCCACGGCTCCGTTGTCTACAAGACGTCTCTCGCCAATTAGTGCAATGGTCAGTGTACAGCAGAACGTGTATCACCATCATCTGCAGAACACCGAGAACCCCATACGGATAGCTGCTGATCACAGACACACAACATCTTACATCCTTGTCACAGGCATAGATCATGGAAAGATGACAATGACAGCTCTGTGTCATACCTGAGGAGCCCAATATACATACATACACCCACGAACCAAACCAAAACGCCAGGAATCCCGGGTATAATCGTATCACTCATTCACAAACACGTCAAGACAACATCCAGCCTCATCACTTGCTGCGCATGGGACCTTCAAAGTGCCAATCACCATCGCTTGAGATGAAGAGTTGGTTCCAGAGTTCGCGCGCCTTGTTTGCCTTTTCGATGAAAGTCTCCATCGTGATGCCATCTTCGGAAGCAATGGCTGGTCGAGCTGCTCGGCACCAGCGACGAGCGAGATATAGCTCTGTGCAGGGCGGCTGGCAGAGGTACATGCGACGCCAGCTTGCTTTCTCGTACAGTACGGCAGCGTCGTTTGAGGGTAGCTCGTCGCTAGGGTACATGACGTTGACATCCNNCTGCTCTCTGGTTAGATCAAGGACTTCTCCCAAGTAGGTCCGCGGCGTCACCACAAGGATGGGTAGTTCTTACCATGTCCAGTAGCTCGACGGACTCTTTACGGATCGCGAAATGCTACTATGATCATTTGGGTTGGCGTCTGGAGACTCTACACCCTTGTCCGCGTACTCTTCCTCATCTTTCTGGCTTGTCACTCGAGGTGTAAAGGTCGGGTATCGTCCACCCAGCACTTTTCTCAGCATCATATTGTTTCTAGGGCGTTGGCTTGGTCGGTTGGCCTCGCAGGACAAGTGTGAGTCAAAGGGTTTGGCTTTGGGCCAGGAAGGTCTCATGAACAACAACTGTTGCAACTGAGGTGAATTGGAGATCAGATCGTGCCAAAGGATGTTGACGCGCTGGGAGATGAGTAATTGGCAGGGAGGGAGCTCTGCCAGGATCATCTCGAGCAGTTCTGGTGTTTCGAGCACGCGCTGGGCTGAGTTGAGTGAATCCATGTTGAGTACTGAGGGGTGTGAACGGTAGGAGTGTTGGTAGCGAGAGACGACAGATAGGTGATATAGCCGCGGCAGTATCAGGGTAGCAAAGGGTTATACGGATGAATCGGAACAATTGTACAGACAAGTACGAGCAAGATTGTGGGGAGCAACAAGATGATGTGGGAGATTGTGGAGAGCAGAGGAGGAGGTTCAAGATCCGGGGCTGAGCATGAGCATGTGAAGATGAATCACAGTCACATTCGAAAACGGGTTTATTGCCCTGTTTGAGGTCTGAAAGAATGCAAAAGAGCAGAGATGATAGCAAAGTCAGCAAAGAAGGGCAAACAGATCCCCTCTTTAAGTTCCTTTCCTCCTGTCCAGTGCTGTTTTTGTTTTGCTTGCGCGATAAAAGGATGCCCTGACATCGCCATGACTGTGCTGGCCTCGAAAGTATCACGACAACCTCTCACAGCTCAGAGTTTAAAACTCCTGAAAATGCTCGAAAAATAAAAGATAACAACAGTGGCAGGATGCGGCGCACGTCATGCTCATGCACTCTGCATGCGGGATGCACGCGGCCGAGGCTTTTTCAGGGTCTTCTCATCAGCCGATCCAAAAGTGTCCTTGTGACTCCCTCTCGGTTCTGGAAGGCTTCCCTGCTTTGGCTGGCTTCCTTTCGTCCGCGGACAGCAAAAGAAGGACACACAGCCTAACGTTGCGATTCGAATCCAAAGCAATCAGCTTATCGCCGGTGCTTGTTGTTTTTTCTATTCTTGCCAATAGGTATTCTGAGCGAACTGTCTCTCCATCAGCTTATCATCGCAACTGTGACTGTAGACATGTAGCTAAGCTAAGCCTTGCTTGGGCGAGAGATGTGTGTTGCTCACAGAGGCTTGGTTGATTTGCTTATCACCTAGGCTGGGTTACACAAATAGCCAAGTCTCCCTAGTCCGAAAGACCAACAGAGCGATTGCGACGAATCGTCCAAACCCGAAACATGGAGCCTCGGATTCGAGATGTCGAAGCATTTTGTCTTGCGCCTGCACGACTTCGGACTCTGACAAGGTTCTGGTCACTTTTGTGGTATCGCGTTGAACACCCAACTTGGTCTTTGAGTACATCGGGACTGGCGGTTGCTCACACCGATCTGCTTCTGATATGGATACACGACATCTGAGTTTGAACACACGATGAGATCTCCTCGCTTTGCAGCTACCGATTCAAAAAGTCGAGGCAGAACCATGCAAGAATCCGACCCATGTCTCATTCTGGATCTACCGGCTTCCTTCCAAACCTTTCCGAGATTGCAACTGAACAAATACACAAAGGAGACGGCTATTCCACAGAAGCACCTCCGCCCCTGTCTATATCGTAGGTATCCAATCACGATTGATACGGCCCAACAAAAACCCGAATATCGCCGGAACTTCGATATAGAGCACTTCCGCCTCTGCTCAAACGATAGGGAGCCCCGGCACGTCCGTAGTGAATTGCTGCCAGTACTCCCAGAACTCAGGATCGTCCGGGATAGCGATCTTGCTCCAACTCGAATCCAGACTGTCAAGATCAAAATCGAACTCGCTTCCATCGAAAGTATTCGTTGCCATGTTATCAGGAGAGATTATGGGTTCGCATGCCGTCTGAGCCGCTTTTTCTACAGCCTTGTTGCTCGGTAGTTTTGACTGAAGCATTCGTATGAAGTGAGGTACAAGCTGCTCAACATTTCGATCACTTGTGGACTTTTCCCAAGCCTTGAGAGTGAGATTCCTGACTGCACTATAGATGGCATTGCTTTCGTCGCGCATGAGGCGCGGTTGAGACTCGTAAGCCTTCTCTACCTCTGCCCACACGGTCTCAACTGGCGCTGGAAGAGGTTGTCCGATAGTCCGGTAAGCTATCTCTCCCAGCAGAAACATGAAAGCGTCCAAAGGAAAAAATGCATTGGCCTGCCAGAGGAACTTTTGTATTGTCGGGTCTTTCGCAAATCTGTTCGGTGCCTCAGCCAGCTGCAGGCAGAGCAGGAAAGTACAATCTCGTTGCTCTAGAGATAGACCAGACTTGGCAAACATTTGATGTCGTCGAAGAGTTAACCTGATACGCGCAAGGGCGCCTCTGCCAAACATCTGCAACATTCTGTGCATGGGTATGGAAGGATCGCAATACTTCAAAAGTCTGTCTTCAAGACGCTGCTGTAATTTCTGGATGGCAGCGTCTGCCTGACTCATGTCTTGTGACGACTGCCAGTCCGGACTGGTGTAGGCCATCGTGAGCTCACCAATCTCAAATCGGGCGCTACAAAAGCTCATCTCGGTGATGCCGCGTACTTCAAGAATCTGGTTCATCTCAGGATGGAGGTCTGAGTCGTTGACGTTCAAGGGTCGATTAGTATCCCAAGCCGACCGGGAGTAAAGCATAGAAGTAACGCCGCATTGCTTAGCAGCAAAACTTTCCAGAAGTGTCAACTCCCACCATAAGCGTCGACGCAACTCTGCTTGGAACACAGATACAGACGGGCTTCTGAGCGCCTTCTCCCGATGGTAGCCCAGCTGCTGAGCGCTACGAATTGCCACTCCGGTCAACTGCCATAGCGTTTGAGAGTCAAGCCTTGCTCGTTGTGCGACCAGAAAGAGGGTCAAGGCTTGAAGTGTGATGAAACTAGGTGCTTGCAGAAAGCGTGCATTGACCAGGGCTTGTTGAGCCAACCCAGTGTACAAGTCGATCAATTCATTGACTGGTTGATCCATTATCCTCTCGGCCTCAGCATGGTTACATTGAGGTACAGAACCAATAGCAATTAGATATATCGAAAAACAGAGAGCTTGTTTGGGTGCGGATATCTGCTTCTTGGGATCTGAGGCCGCGTTCAATATCAGGGGCTGCACTGTGGGGATATGTAGCATCTTGACTGCGGGATTGACATTCTCGAGGTAGGTCGACCAGAGCCAGAAGATGCGACTTGCATTGGGATGTTGATCAGACAGGTTGATGGTGGATCGTCCAAATAGAAGTCCTTCGACAGACATAGGATGTGGGCTGGTTGTGGGGATTGGATCAACGTCGAGTTCTGAATCTTCNTTCACCGGCCAGAGTGGGAAGCTAAGATCATTGTAAGCAATAGTACAAGGAAGCGAAGAGAACAATACTTCTTTGCCTACGCCAACCCACATAACACTGTATAACATATCAGTAAGAGCCCAGCAGAGGACGTTCGAAGAGAATCACTTCTCGACATAATGTGAGTGACTTCGTTCATTCACATGTTCAGACACAGTTGTTTCGACAAGGTTCGAGCTACTAGGCGTAGCAGTAAGCGTGGCAGTAGAATCTCGAGTTGCTCTGGCACGTCTGGCTCGGGCTGATTGTACAGGCTTCGAGAGACATGGTGTATCCGACTTTCGACATGTCGAACATGGTCTCTGACCATCACATCGCACCTTCCGGTGAGCACAAGCGACACAGCTATGCCCACGAGTAACAGCCTTTGTCGGGTGTGAAAGTGGCTCACGAGCAACGACTTCTGACGCGACTGCAGTATACGGCGATGCACTTACAGACCGGATGTTAGCGTCTGGTAACGACATTCAGAATATTCTATCTATCAGGAAGTCACGATGAGAGGAAGGAATCTCATTAATGCATCAAGATGCAGGAAGGAGGTCGGTCGCGAGCTACGGCTCTCGGTCCCGAATGTCTTGGCATTCGGTCCCGACGACGCTCATCCATTCCAAGACGAACCCACAGAGCCAACATAAATACCAGCCACAACGTCTTCATATCAAGGTCGCTCGTGTGTCATGTCTAAATTCAGGTGGCCACATCTGAGACGCCTGAAACGCCAAACAAACCCTCGAATAGCGCCAGATCAATGCCTTGCATATCCCACTCGCCTTCCATGGCACTCATAGAAGAAAGCTCTCCGCTGTCACCTCCATACGCACAACCGTCGAGCAGATCAGGCTGCTGAGAGACAGTTGGCGCACACCCTTCTACACCAAAATTGATACAACCAAATGCTGGAATATGCAGGCGCAATCCACCTCCATCCGTCGCTTCACTGTGGTATGCTACGTGTTCATCAACACCGGAGCTCGCTTGGATGCCGTACCTCACTCCGCTCGCTGCCGTCGCCTCGATCCTCAGCAGCTGCTCAAGCACGAAAATCATTTGCGATATAATGCCGTCATCGCTACCTTGAGAGGTACCTCGAACAACATCAAGGGTTCTCTCCAATAACCCACGATCGCTTGGGCGTGAATGAACGAGGTGGCCAAACGCGTTGTGAGCATTCGACGTCTGTCTTAATCTTGAGCATTCAATGTGACCAAGGCTGAGCACTGTTGCCGCAATGAAGCAGAGAAAATCAGTGCCACGGCAATAGAATTGCCCGGCATTGTTGATGTGAAAAACAACGTAACGTGACAGTGTCTCTCGACTAGCATTCACCGCCGTCATCTTGCTGTAATCATACGTCCCTTCCGATTCATGTCGCATTAGATATGGCAGATGCAGTCTGATCAACAGATGGAAATGAGCGAACTGATCGTTCAGACGACTCGTATACTGAGCAGTATCGTTGGCGTTCCTGTTGCTTGCCGCAAAGTCAGGCATCAACCACCACTGAGGTGATACACCAGCTGCTGCTGTCTCCAAGATCAAGTCTAATTCTCGAGTATCTGACAGACTGGGGAAGATCGACCGCTTCAGAACACGGTCAGACACGATAACGTGGCTGTACTGCAAACGTTTGACTGGTTGGAGCTTCTCAACTTCTTCAAGAGTGCGTGTTGGAGCCTCGAGTGAGCTTCTTGGCAGACCTAAAAAGAGACTGAGGTAGCAATCCATCCGGACTACTTGTAAGCACGTTTGCTGCGCATCAAAAAGTGTTCGCTTCATGGGCTCAAGGAATCTTAGCGCTGGCGGGTTGGTGCCGCGATGCAGTCCCATTACTTGTGCAACAGTCGTCGCTCTTCGTACTGCCATCCAAGCTTGGTGAAGCTTTCCTGCATGGTTCTGATACTCAGCCTCCAACATGAGGCATTCGAGACCTTCAACAGAGTTGACCAAGTCTTCGTTCTTGGTGACATCGATGGCAGCCTCCATAACACGGAACATCATGTTGTGGTGCCACGATTTGAGGTTCTGAGACGCTTGATCAGCGGGAAGAACAATGCCTTGTAAGTGAAGTCCAAGCAGCAACAACTTCTGTGTGGTCAGCACAGGGTGTGAGCCAGGCGGTGGTAGCTGTAAGATCTCTCTCATCGGAAGTTGACTCCGACCAGCGAGGCTATCACGGAGTCTGCAAGCTTCGCTTTGGAACAGTACTGATGATTCGTCCGGTGAGTTTATGCATTGATCGATCTCGTGTTTGGTTGGCCATGTCGATCTGAGAGCGTGGTCCAATTCGATGTGGCTACAGGATAGCGAACTCGGCGTGAAGTGATCGAACGAACTATGAACAGCATACTCAGGCTGGTTAGATTAGACACGGGGCCAGGGCAAGGTTCGATGGTTTACTGTACGTACCAATGCACCGCCCTCAGATGGACTTGGAGTCGAGATGGTGAACACGTCCGGTAGATCTTGGCTTATACAAGCAGTGCCGCGGCGTCTGCAATTTTGACAGATATTCTCGGTGGAAATGCATCGGACCTTGCGTCGCTTACACTCCCAGCAGCTCTGCGTACCCTTCCGAATTTTTCTGCGCTTCGGTGAACGATCTGGCTCATGGTAAGGAGACATAGTTGTTCTCGGCTGATACAATTGTATGCTCAAAATGTTTATAAAGTTGATACGAGATATTCGGCTCAAGGATGAGGTTTCGGTCGGGGCAGCGGGGTTGGTAAGCAGGATCGCACCTGCTTCGACCGAGCTCGGTGGAACACTGCGCTGCGTATCACAACAACTCCGACATTCATCAAGGACTGACCAGTCTTTGTTGTTTGTAAGGAGTGATCAAGTGATCTTCGCTATCCTAACAATTACGAATCATGCTTTTGGCTGAAGCTTCGACCGAAGTCAATATGCTATATAAAAGGACTTGATATCTGGTCAAGACGAAAGTACTACCATTCCAAGAAGCAGTCCAATAGAAGAATAGCACTAACTTCTGAAAACATGGTCAAGATTGCCATCGCAGGTGGCGCCGGAAGTAAGTCACGAACTGCCACAAACAACCATCTCCTTACTGATCTCTGACACCAATCTANNGACGTCGGTTCAGAGATAATCGATGTCCTTCTTGCGACTGGGAAACATGAGATCTTGATCTTGTCCCGCAAGGTAAGTAAATAGCTGCACTCCCACCAACTCAGATCATACAGCTAACCCATCGATGAAGGAAGCTCGTCCCAACGACNNGCAACAAAGGGCATGGCTTGGATTCAGGTAGATTACCAAAGTCAGACACAGTTGAGACATGCACTCAGCGGAGTCCACACACTTCTTTCGTTCATCTCCGAGCAAGACGATCCTGCAAGTCCTTTACAGAAGAACATCATCCGTGCTGCAGTCGATGCAGGCGTCAAGCGTTTTGCACCCAGCGAATGGGCATCGTAAGTCTTGATGATGATAAATTATCGATTTTCTAACCAGCCGCNNAGTTCTGGAGTCGGTGGCCACCTCAGTTGGTACTCGTACAAGGGCGAAATTCGCCGCTATCTTGAAGAGGAGGTGAACAAGGACGAGCAGGTACACTTCAAGCATTCCAAGTTGGCCTTCTATGACATCTAACTTAGTGCTTTGCGCTNNCAGATCCTAGAGTATACCCTCTTCCAGCCCGGATACTTCCTAAACTACCTGACAAGCCCTTACAAGTCGTCAAATTATCTTCAGCAGATGCAAACACCCTTTGACTTTGACGAAGGTCGCTTCATCATGATTGATGGCAGCGACAACGACCGCATCACACTCACAACCGTTCAAGATCTAGCCCAAGTTGTTGCCAGAGCTGTGGAGTATGAGGGCAAGTGGCCAGTCGTTGGCGGTATCTCCGGAGTCGAACTATCTATGAAGCAGATAATCGAACTTGGAGAGAGCATCAGAGGTAAGCTCGATCTGTGTCAACTGAATTTTTTTGTAAGCTTACCAACACTGGGATCCAAAGGCAAGACATTCAAGGTCGAGAAGATACCTATTGTTGAGCTTAGAGACGGGTCATGGAAAAGCTCATGGTCACCGAAGATCGACCACCCTTCCATTCCACCCCAGAAGGATGATCGGCTTTCGAGAATCATGGTCTCCGGTATTCTCCAAGCCATCTCGGCTGGAGACTTGGTATCCTCGAATGAATGGAACAGATTGCTTCCGGACCTCGAATTTGCCCAATCCGAAAAATTCTTGGCCAATGTCTGGGATGGTAAGCCATGAGGCGGATCTCGTTCGGTTTTCAAGTAGTATCATGTACGGTCTTTGTGTTTGACGTACAATTTCATCTCTCTGATTAACCCCCTACTATTCGCCGACGTGTTCAGCATAGAGTTTGGTGAGACTTGAGTTCATAATGCTTAGCATCCACACTGTGAGCAATCCTTCCAGAGCCTCCACAATACCTACGAACTTGCATCAGACCAGATATGCTAGAGCATCGAAAAGTGTTTGTTTGCGGTTGCAATCTTAAGGTGCTTGGTGATGAATTGTATCTTCACCATGCAGTGTTCATTTTGCATTGCATATATCAGCTACCTGAACAGATGCACGTCACTCGAGACTCCTATCTCATTCAAGCACCTGAGGTCCCAAAACTTCTGGAATCTGGTAGTAGGTGGAGTTTGAGATGTGCCAGGGTGAGTGACTGCCAATCTCATGAACCTCGGAGGAAGGAGCTTCCCCCGCATGACGCCCTTCCGTTCATCTGGCCATACAAAAACACAAGCCATTAAGAGACCATTGAAGACGACTATCCGAGTCCTTGTACATCCCACAACCACAATGCCTATCCGAATCTCTGCCCGCCGGGTACCCACCCTTCTCAAACCGTCTCTCTACACCGCCCGCCTATACAGCACTCCTACATCAACAATAAAAGTCACCCGAGTACCCGCACCACACGCCGGCAACATACGCATCCTCTCTCTCAATCGTCCTACCGCCAGAAACGCAATCTCCAAACAGCTACTCTCAGAACTCCGCCAACAAGTCGAAGAGATCAGCAACGAGCCTGAAGATGGTCCTACAAGAGCGCTTATCCTGGCTTCCGAGTCTGATCAGGCATTCTGCGCTGGTGCAGACTTGAAGGAGAGATTGACCATGTGTGGAGACGAGTATGCCATACCTTTTTGCTCTCCCTCAACAGACATGTACTGATCAGAATACAGGACAAAACAATTCCTCACCCTCCTCCGCGACACCTTTACCCGCCTCTCCCTCCTGCCCATCCCCACCATCTCAGCAATCTCCTCTGTCGCATTCGGCGGTGGCCTAGAGCTCGCCCTCACAACCACCTTCCGCGTCTTCGGCTCCACATCAACCGTCGCACTGCCAGAAACAAGACTAGCAATCATCCCCGGCGCAGGAGGAACTTTCCGCCTACCATCTCTAATCGGCACCGCAAGAGCCAGAGACATGATCTTGACGGGCAGAAGAGTCACGGCAGCCGAAGCCTACTTTATGGGTCTATGCGATCGATTGGTCGAAGTAGACGAGGTGCAAGGAGACAAGACGAAAGAGAGAGAACTGGTGCTCACACAGGCTGTGGCTCTGGCAAGAGATGTCTGCGAAGGTGGACCCGTGGCTACAAGAGCTGCGCTCCAAGCAGTAAACAGCTGGGGTGCTGGCGAGGAGGCTGAAAACTTGGCTTACGAGCGTGTCTTGGTTACACAAGATAGAATCGAGGCTCTCAAGGCGTTTGGTGAGAAGAGACCGCCTATCTTCAAGGGAAGATAGAGACGTACGATGTATATTGAGACCCCCTGTTTCATGACCTCTCTCTCGGACAGACTCTCGCTATCAGAAGCATCATGTATTGCATCAACCACATATCAATTAACTGCGAGGGACTGAAGATAGAAGCCATAATCCAGAAAAGGGCAAACGGTATCGAGATGTTGAGCAATTCGGTATTATAGTGATGGTACAGTAATGCTAATCGCTTTCGATGCAGTAACAAGCCCACTGCGTGAGACAGCAATTCTATCATGAAAACATCCCCAAGCAAACGTGTGTTTCTGCTCCGCCATGCGCTAACTCTTCAAAGGATGCAACATACCATCCTTGCACCTCAAAAGCCATTCCTTTCGAGCGATCGTCTTCTCTTTTAGCCGCTTGTACTACTGTCCCCAGCGACGGGATCCTCCATACGTGCGAAGCGTTTTCTTCTTAGGTTTCTGCTCGGGCTTGGTAACCGCGCCTTTTTGGTTCAATCGATTGCCCTCTGCGGAAGGAGTGGTCGTCGTCTACGAAGAAAAGCAGTGAGTAGACTGCTCTGAATTTCTTCGCCACGCCTACCAGTTGATCTCTTGTACCGGTTCGTCAATCTTGTCCCAGTCTCCTTCCACTTTGATGTCGCTAACTGCTGTAGATGCCAGGTCGAATGGAGTCGCGTCAGGCATTGGCTCGAACGAAGTAGTTGCATCGGGCATCGGCTCATCAGTTACTTCTTCGACGTCGCGACATAGTGGCTCGACATATTGCTCCTTGGTGTCATCTCGAACGTATACAGCGTATGTGGGTGTACCATGCTGCCAGGTTTCCGCGTTGAGTATCTCGTCGAGTGTGTTGATCGGCTCAACATGCTCATCGTTGTATTTACGCCAGATGTTGTTTTGAGCGTCGTAGATATCAGTCCAATAGTGGCCATGACCGGTGCTACCGCGATGGAAGAAGACGGCATGAAGGCGGTATTTGAGCTTCTCGAACTCAGATCCAGAGAACTGCTTTGTGATGTTGTCTTCCAGCTCTCGTACTTCCTGGTCGATAATTGGGAGGCGCGCACGCTGGACATCTCTCTCTTGCTTGAGATCTGATGAGAGTGACTCGGGCACTTCGATCGGGTCAACTCCAGCTTCCGAAAGGATTGAGTTCGATTCAGACAGGTTAGACAGCCAATCACTCACAGCATCGAGCGCAGACGGGCCATCAATACCAACGTCTGTCTTCTGGATGATCTCTTTCTCGGCTTGTAGGCTGCGCAAACGTCTTCTCCACTCCCAGCATTGTTTGCGTCTGGCAAGTACGGCCTCATCGTCTGAATAGCGATCCATGTATAGGGTCTCTTCGAGTCTTATGCGATCAACACTCTTGACTGGTTTGCCTTCACGATCCAAACGGATGCGGTTGATGCTGATTTGAAGGATCGGTGGGAACGACTTCAAGGTTTTGTACACGTTGACCGGCTTGCTAGCTTCTGGTTCGGGGTGTAAATCAAGAACTCGACTGAGAGCAGAGTAGATGTCGGTAGGCTCATAAGGTGGCAGGAGCATCAAGTTGGTGAAATCATCTTCCTTTGTCGAAGGTTGCTCGCCTTCCGGGATGATCGTATCGGTAATGCGCATGTTGAAGATGCTACAGGTAACAAGTCAGTAAAATGTATCAGATGGGTGAAAAGACACGTACTCTCGAAGCTGGTCCAACTGCTCGCCTTGAGAGTCTTTTCCGAGCGGCTTGATTGAGGCTCTCAACCTTGTCAGTAGCTCTTCCATAACTTCGGCGACATCTTGCTGCTGTCTAGCAGCTTCTTCTGCCTTTTGCAGGTTGGTTTTGGTTTGTTGAGATGGAGTTGCAGGCCTTCTAGGCGGCAACGGCGGGGCGAGAAATTCACCCTCTTTCTCGGCTTTAGGGGTGACTGGCGGAGTAAGCACAGCGTTGCCTTGAAGCGTAGTTGAGCTGGTTTGAGAGATTGTGGAGGAGTCATCTGCATTTCCGGTGGCGACCACGTCAGCAGGGTGGTTTTCGTTCTCGGTGGAAGTCATGTTGACGTCTACACCCTCGTCCTGTTGCGAGCCTGCTGTATCTGCTTCAGGACCAGTGGGCTTCAAGAAAGCTCGACAGACCAGATCCGCTTCAGGCTTGACAGCTGTTCCACGGTCTTTGATCATGCGCTCGAAGAGGTGTCGAAGATCGTTAGTAAGGCTTTGGAATGATTCGATCTCATACTCGGGACGATGGAGGTTTCCAACTCGCTCGGCTTTTGCACCTTGAGTTGCTAGATCGTACTTGAACTTGTCGAAATCGAGTATTAGCTCTCTCAGGGGCTTGATGGTGAAGTAATATTGGAGGAGACTGTTGAGATAGCAAGTATTTCCGTGGCTGATCAGTCCGACAGGCCAGCTCTGTGTAGGCTGTTGTCCGGACTGTCGTTCGTCCATAGCTTTGCGAACGACGGCGATAGCCTTGTCAGTTGTCGCTCCAGGTTTTCCTTCTCTGACAAGGTCGAATTGGTATTCAATCATGCTTGGGTCGACCTCGTCGAGATTGTCGATCTCCAGGTGTTTGCACGCTTCTTGGAGAGCCATTGTTTGCGAAGTCATTTCACCAGTGGCAAGCCAACTTTGCAAAATCTCGCTTTTGCGGTGCGCAGCAATCAAGCCAACGGCACGGCGAGCAAGATCTTTGGTCATCGAATCGTTGTAACAGTCATTGACCTGGAAACATGTATTAGTAATGGCGGTAAGAAGAATGTGTGAAGCAACAAGCGGGAGAAGCGCGAAAACAACAGAGAGTGCACAAGGCTTTGTCGCGGGTCGTTGTTTGAATGCGTAAACGATCAGAACACACTAAAGCTTGAAAGCCCGTCTGATGGTAGAGAGACTGTATCACCGGTGATGTTCCGTTCTCTTCTGACACATCTCAGACTCAAGGATTGTGACAAAATAGTTTGCGCAACAAGCTTCTGACTTACTTTGACGCCATACAGCGCTACAATTGTGTCGTCTGCTTGAGATGCATCGGCACCAAGCCATGTAAGTGCTTGCTCATATGTTTCCACGGCTTCTCATGTTAGCCGACCAGGATGCATGTCTCGAAAAGCTGCACTTACTGTCTGCGGCAATGTCAAGTATTGAGCGACTGCTTCTGGCATTGCCTAACGTCTTTAAGGCTGTCTTCAAGTCGGCCTGCCCTGTTTCGCTACTGTCTGACCATCGTGATTTGTAGATTCCGATTACTTGTTCGTCGTCGATAGTCTTTTGCACATCTGGGTCAATACCTAAAGCTTTGTATGCTTGATTGATATCCTGCATGGTCCGTTAGCGTCTAAGACTGCCTCTGATTTCGAGATATGATACCTTTTTGCTCAAGACATTCTCCGATGCGAGTGTGGCTGACTTGGTGATAAGAAGCTCGCTTTGTCTACCCGTCGCGAGCTCTTGGAGGCAATCGAAGTAATAAGGCCCTTCTACGGGATCGCATGCCGCCTGCCTTTCGTAAGAGAAGATAACTAGACGATCTGAGAAATCGCCAAGGGCACCAAGACTGGCAAAGCAGCTTTCTGGAGAGTAAGCATGTGTCTTTACTGTGGTCTAGACTGGTGTAAACTCACGGATGGTCCTCCTCGGTCGGATCCAGATTACGCCCAGGGACTTTGTCATCTGCCAATCATCAGTACGATACCTAACCAAATATGGGATGTTTATCATACAGCTCTGTGCGCTCAGCGTACGAGCGAGATCCAATTCTCGCATCCTGATACGTCGGCCGCGAAGGATTGGGAGTTGCGTGACTTGCGCAATACTCGTCAATCAGGTACTGCAACTCAATGACCAATCTCTCGAGCATAAGACGCAGCAGGTCCGGATCATCAACTGATTTCGGCGAAGGCAGCTTCCATTGATCCTCGCCATGTTGGTCCTCATCTTTCTTGAACCCTATGCGGTAGAGTAACAAGTCGCAATCTGTTCCAAAGGCTTCCATGAATCTCTTATTTCTTGCAGGGAAGCTACGCCTAGCATTTTCCTCAAGCAGGGAATCCGAAACATATCTCTTGAAGCGGGTAAAGACTTCCTGAGGAGTGGCCAGACGCACACCCTCACGGTCCGGAGTAGCCTCGATGACGTGCTCGTAACGTCGAGTCAGAGCTTGAGGATCGGTGAGAACCAGGATGTCTTCTTTGGTCAAGACGGGTCTCTGGTAGGCGACGTGCACGTGTGCTTGACAGGCGAGATTGGAGCACTCAAAGTGGTAGCCGACTTGTGACGGATCGGTGGATGTCGTAGTGTGACGAAGATGGTGGAGTGGGTGATCTCTGTTGGGACATGGTCGTTTGCAGCCAGTTTCCGGGTAGTCTATGGAGAGAGTGAGATAGAGGCGACATTTCCTGCAGCAAGCGGCGACCTTCCAGCGAGTATCCTGTTGTGCAGACTCATCGATACGCGGCAAGTTGCAGCGTGCTATGTGCGAGTAGTATTCGTGCTTGCAGCTGCCTCTGTCCAAGACCAAGGGCGGGCCTGAGCGAGCGTTGCCATCGAATTGCGGAGGGTTGTCGAGAAGGATGTTTCGGTGGTTCAGGCCGATGGCTTGAGGGTCGAGTCGAAGGAGGTCATGGAGGAACTTGGGCGCAGTCTTGCCTGTCGCGAAAGCGTGGTTAGCGGGTCCGTGTTGAAGCATAACTGGAAGACGGCTGGTATGGTATGCGTACCAGGTTGCGAAGCCCGGGAAGGCATGGCCTTGATAGAGTCGCCGAGACTCTGTGGTATAGAGACAAGGGTTGGCCGGAGAAGGGCTCAACAGACAAAAAGAAAATTCAAGATGAGGTCGTAGGGATGGTTTCCTACAAGAAGTTGTGTTAGGCAATCACAAGATTTGGCCCAGTCGCTGCTGTCGCACATTCACATGGAAGGTACGGCATACGTCAGCGAAGCCTACCTAAGTCACCAGCCACAAGGACACCTCAGCACAGCCACTTCCGCTGTTAGCGCTAAAGGTCAGCAGCGAGCGCCAAGACCGGAAAGCGCGACCTCATGCAAGCCGGCGGCAGCGACAGCATCATCTCGAATCGAGCTCGTCAATCCTCCCGCCAACGACGTACTCGACCAACTCCACCATGGCCGCACAAGAGGAGCAACCCTACCGCCCCAAGGATGCCCTGGGCTCCGCAATCAAGGCCGGCATGATCACCACCGGCGCTGGTCTCTTCGTCTCGACCATCCAAAACACCCTCACCAAGCAAAACTATGGCTCTATGGGCGCCTTCACCAAGTTTGGTGGCACTACCGCCGTCTACGGTATGCTCTTTTGCTGGGCCGGCGCGCTCGACTGAGCTAACGAGTCCTCAGGTGCCATGGGAGCTGCCTACGAATTCACCAGATGCGCCTCGGCCAACCTTAGACAACGCGACGATGCCTGGAACTCTTTCTGGNGGNGTCTTGCTGGTGGCTCCATGCTCGGCCTCAGANTGTATGCCATCCTCGACTTCAATTGATCCACCTACGCAATCGCTAAGCTTCATACAGTCCGCACCGCTCCCGCCGTCGCTGGTTACGGAACCGCCCTCGCTGTTGTCCTCGGCACCTGGCAGTACGCCGGTGGCAAGATCACCGGCTACGAAATTGATCCCACAGTCGACGAGGTGGCCCGAAAAGAATACGTTCGCAAGAACAGAAGGAGACCAATGGAGGAGACACTCGAGCAAATTGGCGAGGGACGCGGTATGCATGTCTTGCCTCTACCACAAGGAAATGTATACTGACAACTGCAGNGAATCTTTGGACCCGGTTACCAGGAGAGAAGAGCAGAGAGACTTCAGCAAAACTACGGCATCGAGGTGCCATCAGCTGCTTCTTCTTAGACGTTCGACATTTGTAGATACCTTTCACGCTATTGTTTCCTCTGTTCAACATTCGATCCACACTTGCTTGTTTGATGAAGCACGACACAGCTACCACATTCCAGGCATTGAGTCGAACGTGAGGAGCCCATGAGCTACCAGGAGTGGTTTGAGATTCACACCATGTTTTCAACCTTGTGTACCATAGACGAGCTTTAGCTCAAAGCTGTGACACGGGGATTGAGAGTTACTGAGGTCGTCTCGTTGGCCATTCATGAAGAACGCCTATCTGAACTTGAGAAGCTTCTGACCATATGTTATGTTGCTGTTCCCGCATCCGTTACTCTCTTCCATGTTGTTGAACCATCTAGTATCCGCCCATGGCTCCATAGCAGATTCTTGACATCGCTTGTGCCTCTCGTGCCACGGCAGTTTTGTGGAAGCGTGCCTCCCGCTTCCACTTCTCCAGCCCCGCATCCACGATCGAAGTGGGGGGAGGAAGAGATCAACAACCAAAGAGGCACGAACACAACAACCGCTCATGCGCATCACGAGATCTGCTTAGTGCTCATGTCCTAACAAATAGGCAGGTAAGGTCAACAGTTATTCCTTACACAGCACATGCATGCCACACCGCTCTCACGAGGTACTGTGGAAGAATGTCTGGCTAAACTCTCCGCGGGGTTTTGTTCGTTCGACAAGACGTCTAGTACAACTCTACATACCAGAATCGTGACATCAGGATTCAGCTGCTGTGTTCATGTGCCGTTCAGCGATCTAGTGCACTTATAACTCTCATATCTCTTGTCTTCTGAGGGTTTTCTGCTCTTCGACAATCTCTTCTGACACAATTCTTTCCCACAGACACGCCCACTACCACCGTTTTCTCTATGACTGCCATTACTATCACCCAACCACAGAGCCTCGAGATGAGTGAACAAGAACGTTTCTTCCGATACTTCCAGACCGAAGTCGCCGGTGCGTGCTCTGCTTTTCCTCTATAGCGAACAGTACAGAGTTCCTTTGCTGACCCATGCATCCTGGAGTCCANNGCACTGCAGGAGCAAATGCAGATCATCCAAGACCATGGGACTTCTGGCGGCGAACGAGCAGATGCCATCGACCACTGTCTAGCCGGTATATCGAGACTCTCAAATGATGTGAAGGACATATCCGGTTCCCTCCCAGCACACGATCAGAGAACGTACAGCGAGGTCGGCCACTGATCTATCAGACTTCGCCGAAATATCAATACTAAACCTTGAACAGNNGCGATCAAAGCACTATCAGAGAAACTGCAAAAGACGCGGGCTCAGGCGGCACCCAAGCCAAAGTTCTCTTTCAAGAAAAAGAACGCTTCTGCAATCTCTATCAACGATGCAGCAGAATTGGCGGCGAAGAAGCGTCTTCTCCAACCGAACAGTAATTTTTCATCGGAAGTCTCTTCTTTTGCAACGACGCCATTGACCATGCCTCAAACGCCTGCAAACGGACCCGCTGTCGAAGAGTCCACGCCTGCTGAGTCCAAACCCGACACCTCGAGTGGGATCACTGAAGGTGTACGGAAGCTCTCCTTCTCGAAAGCCGACAAGATACACATCTCCAACCACAACAAAATTCACATCATGCTCCCTTCGTCGGCCACACACGCAACATCCGGAACCTCCGGTACGGTTACCAATATCCGCGATAGCGTGATTGATATGAGCATCTCCGCTGCTTCAGCCTTTGCTACTCTGACCTTGAAAAACATCAAGGGGTCACTTATAATTTGCGGGCATGTTGACGGTGCTGTCCACATCACAGATGTCAAAGACTCGGTTTTGGTTGTAGCAACGAGACAATTCCGCATGCACGAGAGCAAGAATGTCAAGGTCTATATGCTGTGCAAGAGCAGACCAATCATTGAAGATTGCAAGGATATCGAGTTTGCAGAGATGCCTGACTGTTATGTAAGTGTACTTCCACTTCTTCTCCGTCACACAAGACTCTGCAAGGGTCAAGATAGATGCCTGTGCTAATAATCGAATTCAGNNGCCACAGAAAAGGACAAAGACACTAAGAATCTGTATGACCAGGTTGATGATTTCAAGTGGCTAAAGGCAGAGCACAGTCCGAACTGGAGCGTCCTGGACACGGACAAACGCATTAAAGACGGGATCTGGAAGGATGTCGTGCCAGGTAGCCCTAAGAGCGGTGTCGAGGAGATTTTGAAGGCAGTCGGAATCTGAGTCGTAGTCAACGTGCATCCGGGACAAACAATCCTATAATTCAGTGACATCTCAATTCATAACCCTGTGTTGGTGCGATAAGATGGTTAGACAACAACGGCTCAAAAGGAGTGACCGAATATGTCTTGATTGATTAATCTCGGCCGGATCAAAGTCCATGTGACCATTGAACCACCAACCAACCCGTCACCGATGTCATACGAAAGCACGGCACCGTCATGGGTAGACGTTAGGAACTGCCATAACAAGAATAGTGTTTCAGAGGGTGACTCGCGGAGAGGCTGGGAGTGATCAGCAAGCTTCTCCAACCATCAACGCGTGTCGCCAAGTCGGATTCTTCTCGCCCTTTTACACGAAATCCTCTTTGTCTACATTGCTTTGCAATATGTACAACACATCAATCTCAGTTCCGGAGTTTTGAGAGTGCGCCAAGTCAGATGACTATATGCAAAGGAACGACATGGCTTGGCGGTAGTATCGTGAAACAACGAGGCAGGTACCACGACTGCAGATCATGGCTTCTAGCAGCTTGGAGAGGTTGTGATGAACAGGGGTGGACTTCCCCTCTGCCTAGACACATACGCTTGATGTGTTGATCGTTCCTGTCCATCAACGTGAGAAGGAACCACCGCGACCCTGATGATGACATGTGATGCTCCTTCCTGCTTTGCACGACCGTCTTGTTCTTCAACAAAACCAGACGACTGTCCTTTTTGTTGCTTTCAACCACAACAACATCTTGCATTCATCATCCAAGCATTCAACCATCAATTACTCTTCTCCATCATCAGATACAGTTCATCGAGTACCCATCAACAGCAAATACTCCCTCTCAAGAACATCAAGAACAACCAAGATCCTTATCGCTGCCCACACATTCCATCAACACAACTATCTCGAAACATCATGCAGTTCTTCACGGCCATTTTCTCGCTCTTCGCAGCAGCTGCCACCGCTTTCCCCACCAAGCCTGGCTATCTCACTCAACCCATGGCTCGTGACGCTGGCGATGTAAGTGTCGTCTTCTCTTCCTCTGCGATGCCATCATCATCATCATCATCACCGTTTCCCAGCCATCATGCCCAGCTCCACATGCTGGAACGCTGTCGACGTGCACCATGATTTGGAGATCAATGGGGTCATCCACCGAAAGCTTGAATCTACACTACTCATCCAAGATTTGAGAGCTCTCGTCTAACATCTTCTTGATAGGTCTACGCCTGCACTGGTGCCAACTTCACTGGTGATTGCCAATACCTCAAGCAACCCTTCGACACCTGCGTCATCTTTCCCGAAACACTCAGCAAGAAGGTCTCGTCGTTCGGACCTGATGAAGGTGCAACATGCTTGTTGATGCAGGGTTCATGTAACGATTCCATGCCTTACCGGTCCGCCAGCTACCCAGGTATCTCGGACTTGCGCAACGTTACCTTTGACGACATGGCAACAAGCTTCATCTGCTTGCACTAGAAGGAGTAGAGAGATAGAGATGTGATACCCATGACTCCTGCCGAGCAGCTGGATTCTTTTCCCTATGACGACTTTTTTCATTTGTTTCGGCCTTGGGTCTTTGGAGTTGGGAGCCTTGGAGGCATTGTAACATACAGCACTTGAGCTCGGTTGCTCGTGTGTTAACGACTTTGTTTGTTTTCAACGTCTGTGTACTTCTCGTGTGATCCGTAAACTGTGATATGGAATTGATAATCGGGATGTTGTATATCTAAAAGTCCTCCATCTTGTAGACCTCGTAGACAGGAACTTCGTAGGGATGAGCCCTGTTATACCAGCATCAGCACACACTCTTTTGCCAAGAAACCACAAAACTTACTCCTTTNAACACTTCGACAACCTTCTTGACATTGTCTCTTCCTTGCACCTGCATCTCGACTCTCACCTCCTCCAACACCTCCAGCTTTCCCCTTTCTCCAATATCAGGAGTGCTATCAGGGCCAGGGATAAATTGACCAGTCCCACTTGTCTGCCAACACNNTACAATCAAAAATCGCACCCATCAGTACATGGATCGAATCATCAAAATCTTTGCGGGAGAGAGTGATCTCACCACATTGGTATACAAAACCCGTGAAGCATCCGTCAAGGACGAAAACCCACCAGCGAGAGTTGTAGAAAAGATTGCCTCTTTGGTCGCAACCAACGAAGACGGGGGCACAAAATAGCAGAATTTGTATCTTGTTTGGTCGTGGTTGGTGGTAGACATGGTTCGCTGATTTTCAATTCGCGATGGGTCGATATAAGTATAAGGACAGGGTGTGTGATTCGGCAAGATTGAATATTCGCCAAAGAAAAAAAAACTCGAAAAACAACAAGACACTTTCCCACGTGAGGAAATGTTATTCCTTTTATATCTTTGCTGGAGGACTTGCTATCTACCAAAGAAAAAAAGTGACGATATCGGAGATTTTGGCATTTTTTTATCGGTTGAGAAAAGCGTGGTAGTGTGTGGGATTGTGTAACAGCAATCGCTATGGGAAAGACAAGACGGTATTGATCGCTATGGGAAAGGGTAAGCGGATAGAGAAGTCTCATCGGCCTCAACGCGATTCAAGAACGAAATTGTCCATCTGCCGAAGCAAAATAGAAGAAACGAAGGAGAGCAGAGAAGATACCAGTTCGGCCACTAGTAAAAAAGAAAAGTATTAACGCCCCAAGTCCATGCCGCAAACGCCATGTCGTAATCATAACGAAGAGACGAGTCGCTCAATTGGTCGTCAGCACATGTATCCTCATGCCTTGACCTTGTCGCTCCACTCCTTGAACTCGGCATACTCCAAGTCCACCTTCTTACCCTCATAGGTAACCAACTCCATACTGCTAGCAACTTTCCTCCACTCATCCTTCCTGCCCGACCAACCAGCCTTTCTCATCAGACTGACCAAAGCTTCCTCTTTCGTCCAGCCTTGCTCCCTAGCCACATCAGGCAGATATGTGGCTCCCAGTTTTCTACCATGGTAGGAGAAGCTAATCCTAATACCATGCTTACCCACCTCCCACGCCATGATATCGCGGCTAGGGTTGCTGAAGTTGGTCAGTAGCGTAACACAACACTGTAATTGTGGAAGTTGAGACGAAGCAATAGGTGGGAAGCGAGAATCTTCAAAGGCAGAGGTCAAGGCGTAATCAGCGAGCCCTTTTTCTAAGAGTTGAGGTGCGAAGGTGCCGATGCAGCCGCGCAGGGACTTTTGGCCGCTGCGTGGCGAGATTGTGTTCCAAGTCACAAAGAGGGGGTATGAGTCTGAGGGTGAGATGTTGGAGCGAGAGGATAGAGATGTGCGGCTGGAGGATGTCGAGGCTTGGGTCGAGGTGGAGCGAGACGTCAAGCTGGACGAGGAAGAGTTGGAGGTGGGTGTGTCGCTGTTGAGGAGGCGTGAAATGGCGGGTACACGAGATGTGTTTGGCTCTGTCTCGTCATCTTCGCCGTCAAGGTTTGTTGCAGCGTCCTCCTCTTCCCTTCCAGGTTGTTCGGTCCAGAGCTGTTCGACTTGGGATAGAGATAGTGGTTGTCGTCCTTCGAAGCTGGCAACGAGCGATTCGAAACAGTAGGCACAGTGAGCTTTGGTTGCCATGCTTTCTTTAATGAGCTGTAGTGGTGAAGGTGCCGACAGGAGATGTAAGAGTAACGATCAAGGTCGAATCAAGTGAGTTGGTAAACCGACGAATGAGTGAAGGTCAGGCAAGAGGTCAGAACGTCACAGAAGGAGAAGGATCGAACGAGGTCAGAGCTGACGTCGAACGAATGAGAGCGCAAAAGCAAGACGAAGGGAGGAGATCACCACAAGTCCAAGACCGACACTGGCCTTATCTATGATGTGTCGAGTACGGCGTGTGCTGACTGCCTTGAGCTGCTGTCTTGGATCCTGTTACTCGACACGAAGAACGACCTGTTGGCTGCGGATCCAGCTGGCGGCAGCCCTGGCTGTCCACACAGGTCACGCATGATGCAAGCGGGGTCACCGACTGCGTCCAAGCGCGCTGATGATGACTTCCAAGTTGGAAGCCCGTTGGGTACTGCTTTGTGCACAACCCTTTGTGCCACTTTGTGCAAGCTGGATGCTTGGGGTATCACCCTGTCATATCTCTATCTTCGACATCTTGCAACAATATACACTCACCAATGCTGTCTATACCAATTCTCAAGCACATAGTAGCTCTAAAAAGGTATATCTCTATCCATAGCAGTAGTGTCAATATGTTCTGTCTAGTTCTGTGTCTCATACAGTTGTCTCATGCATTTCGTCTGCCCATTGCTGGCTTCGATGCTCAATCCTCGTGCTATCAAGACGAGAGGAACAGCATTCTTCTCTTACTACAGCCGGCCACAACTTGAACAGTCGAGCATCAAGTGATTTGGAATGTTGCTAAACAATCAAATGTGTGTTGGTCATGCCAAAAAACTACTCGCTATGCTGCTATAAGATATTCTGTTCTATGCACACACTCCATTGTGAGACTCATGTCCATCCACTCACAGAAAAATCCGTCATGTCTGCACCTTTCAGTTCGTACAAAACATTTTGCAGGGCAACATGCAAGATGCACGTCGAGCAGGATGACGAATCAGATATAGTGACGGTTCATCCTTTCCTTGTCTCGCACGACAGTACTCTAACACGTAGTCATCAAGCAGAAAGAGAAAGAGGGAAAAGAAGGTCCAAGAAGGAAAAAACGTAACTTGAAAAGAAGTGAACACCCGAGAAAGAGAAAGAAAAAACCACAAAAAAAAACGTCAAAGATTGCCCCTTGATCCATCTCCCCATCGATCACCAGGAAACCTTTCCCTTCCGTCAACTGGTAAGATCTGCTAAGGAAAACCCGCCTCATTCCATTGCAAATGTGCCTCAATAGCAGCCCCGTCCTGATTCGAAAGCGCCTCGTTTCCAAGAGAGAAAAACAACAGACTTAAGACTCCTTACAAGCTCCTCCATCCCCATTCCATTCCTTCATGCGTAGAATATATGAGTTTTTTGCGTGTTGTATAGTCATTGTTGAAGCACTCGTGACGTGTCGTGGATTATCGGTGTCTGTGATCATTCGAACCATGCCCAAAGTCTGCTTCCGATCTCTTCGATTCCTTCTTGACCTTTACCGAGAATTCGGCCAGAAGAGCAATGTGGTCAGAAGGATGGTAGATGTGAGGGAATCCAGGAACTCGGCTGAGGTATTGCTTGTCGATCTCTCCAAGGACGCCGGTGACGCCCAACGCGTTGGTCGAGTACCAAATATAGTCGATGCAGCCAACAAACGTAGGCGTGTAATTGGTAAATTCGAGCTCGCCAATATGAGAGTACGACGACTTCAAGCTAAAAGGATGGGTCATACCCTCCTTTGTGAAGTTTCCGTACTTGCGTCCTGCCAAGTCGTCATGCGAGGATGAGAGCGAGCCGTGGGCCAACAGATCGTAGACACCACTCTCCGAAGTACTGTTGAAATCGCCACAAATAATGAGCGGAATGTCAGTGTTGGAAGCATATTCTTGCGAAGGTGCAGGCGGTGCCTTTTCGACAGGTTCTCCGTCCACCTCATCACCGTTTGCGTAGCGGAACAGTTCCTTGTCCTTGAGTGCGGGCCACTTGGCATACTCTCTGCTCAGACGATTAAGCTGCTCCAGCAGGATGGCAACTTGGACAACCTTGACGTCCTTGAATTGCGGGTCCCAGAACAAGTGAAGGTTGACTACCATTTGACGAGCACCAGTTTGGCGACTCTCGAGGAAGGCGACGGTTGCTATATCGTCACGAGTCATGACACGGTTGAAAATGTCGTGCTCGCCCTTCATGTCGGGACGGTTGATAGCCGTCCGTCCAAACTCGACGACTTGCTTGTCAAGCAAAATGTATTTGGTATTGTTGTAGAAAGTGGCACAACCGTCGACCAATTTGGCGTTCTTCTCTGACATAGTATGAGCACGAGACTTTTGCCAAAACATTCCTCTGTAATCATCGTGTGCGAGTTGAGGGCGGAAGTACTCGTTGAAGCTTTCGGCATCAATCTCTTGTAGACAGATGATGTCGGCTCGGCGTTGTCTTATTTCGCCCAGGAGGACTTCTCTGCGGTTCTCCCACAAGAGGGCATGCGAAGGGGCGTAGCCGTATTGAGCTTCGGTGGTGTACTTATCACACAGGATGTTGTGACTGTAGACCAGGAATCTTTCTTGCTGTTCGGCAGGTGTCTCATCGAGGATGATCCAGTCACGCTCGTTAGGCGGTTCAGGACCCTGAGCATGCTCACGAAGAGTGCGGATCAGTTCTCCTGTGCCGGACTCGGCGATGATGTCTTTGATGTTTTCATTCAGAGGATTGCCCTCGAGACCGAGAGTTTCCAACTGATAGAGGTAGCCCAACTCGCTAGGTAGATCCACGAGGTTGTTGTCGATAAGCAGGAGAGTGCGAAGGTTTGTGAGCATACCAATCTCGGGCGGAATAGTCGAGAGATCGTTTTGCGAGAGGTCGAGGAAAGTAAGCCTGCGCAGCATACCAATCTCGGGTACCAGCCAGTTGAGCTTGTTCTGATTGACGTAGAGCTTCTCGAGGAAGTAATATTTGAAGAGATTGTCGGCAAGAGCACGCAGGCCCTGGCCACCAAAGTCGATGGCAGTGAAAGCGTGCTTCTCATCATGGTACGGCATTCTCCTCCCGCGCTCTTCCTTGTTCTCCTCGGTCTTCCTAGCACCGGGGCCCAGCTGGGCGATAGCCTGCCGGCTGGCGACATGGGCATTCCTGGCGTAGTAGTGGGGCTGCGTGGCGTCACGCGAAACTTGAGCCAGACGCTGTTGCTCCTGCCAGTGTTCGCTACTAGGCTTGCTAAGTTGGCTGTGCGTGCTAAGCGGCGTTTGGCTCTGCATGTGGCTGGGAGTGAAGTGAGGAGTCGAACTCGAGAGATTGTGCGAGTGAGAGGCAAAGGCATCGTGGTGGTGTTGGTGCTGAGTATGGTGGGGTTGCTGCTGCTGTTGAGAGTGGGCTTGGTTTTGGTGGTGAGTCTGCAAATTCTGCTGCGATTGTTGTTGCTGGCCGAACTGCTTGGTCATGTTCATGTGCATCTGGAAGCGCTGGTGACTGTTGCCGTTGAGGATGCCATGTTGATTAAACATGGTATTGAAGGCAGGCGAGTTGGCGCCAGGTGAGCGGTTGGGCGAGGGAGTGTCTTGAGTGTGGAAGGGGATGCGCTGCGAGGTGGTGATGGGCGAGCCGTGACGAGTCTGTAGCTGGCGCTGCGACTGTGGTTGGTAGAAATACTGGCCGGCTCCTTGGAACCGAAAGGCACCATCGGCCATCTAGGAATGGAGGGAGGCGGTGACGAGAGACGGGCGACGGCTTCTTCTTTTCTTCAACATTGAACCAATCCCCGTATCAAAAGGCCAGCCGCTGCTGGATTGGCTGGGCGAGAGCGGCGGCGGGAGGGTGGGTGGAGGGCGCGCTGTCGGTGGAGCTTCGCGACGTGTTCGGGGCGAGTACGAGCAGTGCAAGACGGGAAGAAGGTCGAACGAGGAGTCGGCGCCGGGATCTCTTGTGTACAGGCGGTGCTTTTGGAGCGAGTATGAGCGACAATGTCGTTGGTAGATAGCGAGCGATGGCGATGTTGGACAATCGAGGGCCAAGTACTTTGCTGGAGGACGACGATGGTCAGTGGGAGGTCTTGGTCACAGGCTGGAGGCTCGTACGACGCTCTGTTCCGGCGGGTGCAAGCTTGCCAGGGTACAGAACAGGGGAAACAACTCACCCTTTGCGCTCAATGCTCGTCGGGAAGAATACTACACGTCGTCGCTAGATGGAGGTCGTGATGACGGGGGAAGAGCGTCTTGCCAGCCCAGCGGACAGCGATCCATGCCAAGACACTCGAAAACGAGTCGATTCTGCTGCCAACCCACCCTCCTTCAAACACACTCCAATGCCACAGTATTCGACTTGAGTGTCACCACAGAATAGTCGACAGTGCTGGTATTGAAGCGTACACACGTCGTTGCTTATAGATGCTCAACAACCAGTCATTCTCTGCCAACACGTCAAGCTTCAAGACCGCTGCTTCCCTCCAGTTGCTTTCTGTCCTCTTTCCCATGTAGAAACCCTTTGGTAGCACACCAAGTTGCACCCGTCAAACCTTTCGAAACCTGCACACCAACTGTCCAACTCGCATGCCTGTTTCACGCCTGTGCTGCCATCAATTGAAGACAGCTATCATGTGATCAGCAGCTCTCTGTGAAGCACTTTCGTATCAGATCCTACAGCCACCATCCACCTCGGCCCGCAGCTATTAACGAGAGACAGCATAGCGGCTCTGCGATTTCGGCTTCTGCAAGGGCCATACCTGTCCGATCTCAATCGCTCAACAGACAGCCACGATCCAGACGTTCACAATTGCATAAGAGAGGCTGAATGGAGCAAAGGCTCAAGGCCCCCTTGATTTAACCATCGCATTTCACCCAAACGCGGGGCTGAACAAGCGTGCCAGCTGAGGACGGGTCATGAGGTATACCCTAAGCGACGGCGAACCTTTTTCTTCCTCCAGACGTAAGGGGGTATATAGCCATGCTGTCTTGTCTCTCGCTGTCTCGGATGGGAGTGCCCGTCGTACCAGCATCACCTTGATCTGCCGCCTTCTGTGGACTCGCAGCGTCTCACAACGACACTTTGATCTTCCCGCCTTGCTGACCTGTTTGATCCGGGAATCAAACTCTTGTCAGCGAAGCAATATCGATTCTGGATACATCCAAAGTATCTAGATCCTCAAACAGGTTATTGCTTCAGCATCAAACGGCTCTCTATCTTATCGAAACGGCGTCTTCGAGTGTCTGGAGGAGTCAGGACAGAGTCAGAGACACACCCTCTCCGCACCGAGCCCGTGCACAGTGTTGGAGCGTTCGAGCTTCGCGAGTCGTTGTGGGTCTTGGGTCTCCCAATCCGAATCCCGCCATGGATGGCTTCGCCTATTTTTATTTGAACAATGCGCCCAGACACAATAGTACTGCCCATCGCCAGTCGCTGGGTGCTACTTCTGGCCATGTGAATCCTCCTCATCAGCCCTCCTCGCCCTCTTCTCTTCCCACTTCTCTCCCATCCTCGCCTCCAACATCGCCGCTCTCGCTGTCCCGCTCCACTTCGCCTTTTCGCAGATCACGTCGCAGACGACCCTCCGCTGCAACCACCACTTCTGATCTTCTTTTCGACCTCTATAGAAAAGACTCCGCTTCTTCAGAAGTGACAACAAAGCCCGGGGATATGGAGGGAGCGACGATTCGCGAACAACGGCAGGCCACAAGCGGCAGCATTTCCTCTGCCGCCAGCAGCTCCTCTCACAACCTGCTCGCTAACCCCTTCGAACTACGCCACGGCCGTCGATACCTACGCGATGTGACATACCCTCTCCCCTGCGACCTTTCAGAGATCCAACGTCAGTCTTTGCGAACACTGCTCGGCGTCACTATCCTCGGCAAGCCGTCATGCGTCCCGAATGTCGCAAAAGATGTACCCAAAAGAGTCTTGGAGTTAGGTTGTGGAAGTGCGTTCTGGACGGGTAGCTGCCACGAGTGGTTTTCTAGCCTAGGACACCCCAATGTCGAGTTTACAGGACTGGACTTTGCGCCGCTGGCACCAGATCTTCGACGACAAGGAGTAAACTGGAAATTCATACAACACGATTTCCGACGCTTTCCTTGGCCGTTTGAGAACGACCAATTCGATTATATCATGCTGAAAGACTTGTCTTTGACAGTACACATGGGTCTCGAGACGCAGCGCTTCATGGACGAAATAATGCGCATCCTGGCTCCTAAAGGCACGCTCGAGATTTGGGAATCAGACCATGTATTGCGCTGCTTGCTACCACAACCACTACCGCCAAAAGGCATGACGGCAGAAGAAGAAAAGACATGTCGCGACACGAAGACCTATCTCATCTCCACAGCCACACCCTTCGCACCGGCGCAAAACAGATACATCGCGGACTCCAACACCTGGATTCACACTGCTTTGGACAAACTCAATCTGCCCTCTTCACCCTGCACTCGTATGGCCGAGATCCTGTACCAAGAGACAGCTCTCGTAGACGTTACTTCCCGCCGCATCGCCATCCCTCTAGGCCAGATGCGCTGGGAAANNAAGGATTCGGAGGGCAAGCTCATCCGCTCAGGCAGCAGCGGTAACCTCTTCGGCACCGTCTCGCCCAGAGCAAGCAAACCAAAAGCTAGTGGTGAAGCAATGCTCACGGATGACCAAGCCGCCGTGCGCTCCACAGCCATGCTCACCGTGATCCAAAAGATTGAGTCTCTGGAACCGTTGCTCAAAGAGGCCAGCGGCAAGAATGCTGAAGAGTGGACGCGATGGTGGGCTGGTATGATGACTTCACTGCTCGACCAAGAGAACAGCGGTGGTGGCAGCGAGGTTCTTGAGATCGGAGCTTGGTGGGCCACCAAAGAGAGTTCCTGAGGACGGAAAATCTGGTATTTTCTGTTTCGAGTTGCTTTGCTCATTCATTGCGGTATTGAGTATCGTTGTCTGAGGGCTCTGTAGCGTTTGAGGTAATATCTGTACATTGTCAGTTTCTCACTGTACACGATCCAGAATACATGTAACCATAGACATGGAAGAGGGAAAATGGGAACAACAGAACAGTTCTCCCTCTCCTTGTCTTGTATGATTTTGAAAATAATATCTGTTTTCCCACTGGATGGGGTTATCACTTACAATGCTTCAATCTCCTTCTTTACGTATTCTGCACTTTCGATTCCTTTNTTGATTTCGGTCTCGTTTGTGAGATTTGCCTTGCTAGAAAAGGCTTTGTGCAAGCGAGGACGAAAGTAGTCGTATCCTAGTGGGTATTCGCGGCCCAGATAGAGGAGTTCCTTGTAGATGCGAATGACCTGATAACGCAATGTCGTGCTCATCTTGTACTGTGTGACCTTCAGTGGCTCGCGAGTAAGCCAGAGATTGCAGAGAAGAGGAATGATGTGTAGTCGAAAGAAGCTCAGATGGCAGCAACAACGGGAGTGCAGCGAAGGAGCAGCCACAAAAGTGACAATGAATGTGGATGTGCAAAACCATGACGCCGTGTTGATGTTTTTGCGGGGAGGGGGTGTTACCGTGTTGGATGATGCGAGATGCACCTCGGCAATCCTTCCCGTGGTTCCTGAGGTTTGGAGGGCATCTTTAATTCCACCAAGGTTGCTGTTGAACCCTCTGTTGAACTACAATCATGCGTGTCCCTCTTCGTACCCTCGCTCCTCTACATGCTAGACCGCTAGCTACTCAGAATGTCGCCCGCTCTGTATTTTCGCGCCAACGATCCACCACTACCGAATCAGCAACCGAGAAATTGAGTCCGCGATGGTTGGGACATGTCAAGCAGCGATTGGGAAAGTGCATGATGTTCGGGATGAAGCCTGAGCAAGTGGCCAGAGCAGGTACCGTGCTAGAAACGGTAGCAAGAGATTGGCGAGAATTGGTTGCTGGCAGCGAAGGCTTCTTGACCTCGGAGGATCGCAGGNGGTTCTATCGTCATGCGGTCGTCTGGGGAGAGATGGATAGCATGNGTGAGTCTGCTTTGTCATACACGAGTCGTTGGGTACAGGGCTGACCGATCAAGGGGTGAGTAGAAAGGTGATGCCGAAGAAAGAGACAGGATAAAAGGATGAAAGCTGAGAGGACAAACAGTCATGTCAACAACGTGATGTACAATCGCTATGCCGAGTCTGCTCGCGTCAATTGGACCAGAAACTTTGCCGTGGAAATTGATCCCAAGCACAAAAAAGAGTGGACTGAACTCATGACGCCTAAGAGTCTAGGTCTGATTCTGAGATCTATCACCACCAACTACAAGTTTCCGATGAAATGTGAGTTGAGCTGAGGATGTGAACGCCTTCTCGCAGAGTTGAGTGCACTTGCCTAGCAGGCCGTGATGTTCTTGTATTCCANNAATTGGTAAAGTCATGCTAATTGTACCTTTGCTTTAGGGCCTGATCACATTTCGGTATACCACAAACTCGCATCCGAACCGACAGCAGAAACCGACTCTTTCGTGTTAGACGTGGTCATCATGTCTGAACTGCAGCAACGGCCAGCAGCACGCTGTGTGGAAGACATAGTCGTCTATGACTATCGGGCGGGTAAAAAGGCACCTTTGTTGCCATTCATGGTAGATGCCTTTCGCAAAACTTGGAAGTTGCAAGAGGAAGCAAAAAAAGAAANNAACAGTGAGAAGGTCAGACAGTTGCTCGACGAGGTTAGAGCGCTTGAGAAAGAGACTTGGGACAGGCCTGACGCTGTGGAAGACATGNGTGTTGCTGGGCAATAACAGCAAGTGTTATCGTACTAACGCATAGGGCAATAGATAAGAGGGTCATGTTTATATGCCGGCATTCAGACCTGCTCGAGATTGGTGCCGGGATGTTTAGTGTAGATGCGATCAAGAAGATGGATGGCGCCACAGATTGTGGAGGTGGATAGAAAACCAGGGACTGGCCATATTGCACATGCCCCGCAGTTTGGCATACTCGAGATAGCCGTTGACTAGAAGGTGAGGCCGCCCATACAGACTGTTCAGGCACGGAAATCGTTGGCTTCAAATGCCAGACAACGTGTGAGGTCCAGGAGAAGTCTGGTAAGTTTGAAGAGAAAAGAACAAGCCGAATGGCGTCGGGGAGCAACGTGGACGGCATGAATGATCGACAGCGCCAGTCCATGGTTTTGATTCATGAGTCTTGCAGATACTTGGGATGTGCATGCAGCAGTACTTGAGTGATTAGTTCGGCATGTCTCTCTGGCTGCGCGCGTCTCGCTCGTGCTTTCCTCGGTCACACGAGCTAGATTGTCGAAGATGTGTCAAGTCATGCAGATAGCAATGAATCGGTGAGCATGCGGGAGTGAGGGGAAGCAGAAAAGACGAGGACGAAGTTGGGCGAACATCGAGAACAAGCTCTTACCGCAACGAGGCCAACAGGGAATCCACAAGCTTAGCTTTGGGTCTAAACACAACCTAGTCGGCAGCGAAAAGCAAGAGACCAAGACAGAAGGTCGTTTGGTCGAAACCAAAGACGTCACATGACACATTACATGGTGTCGGTAGCATAGCGGACTTTTCGTAGCGGCTCGGTGGCTCTTACGCATCGCCAGAGGCAGAGGCCGTTTGTTCCCCTAAGAAGCCGCCCATCTTTTGACATTTGCATACTAGCAATTTCTCCCCGCCACCACCCTCTCTCTCTATACCGACACCCTCCCTATCCCGTTCTCGTCCCTGTAGCCCCGCGACCCAATCGCCGGGCTCTGTTGCACGAGGAAACCACACGCTGGCGGCGCGCTGATGCCGCCAAAGGCCAAGCAAAAGAACACCGCAAATCAGCACCGTCATGAGAGCGGTTTGGCCAAACCTGCCCCTGGCAAGCGAGTCACCAAGCAGCGATCCAACAACCACCTCCCGACCACCAATGGTCAGGCAAACCACTCGCTCCCCGCTGCCGCTCCCGACGGCCTAAATGAGCCCGACATCGCCGACGACTCGCCTGCCTCGCTGCCCGACGACGACATGGCTGCAGCTACCACCGCAAGCAGCACTCCGCCCGTCACAGCCGCTCCCTCCGAGTCCTCTCGTCGCGTGTCCGATGCCCCCGCCTACAGCTCCTCTGTCAATACCTCCAAGCTCGCAGGCCGTCCGGCTACCAGTAGTTTCTCCATGGCCATGACCATCCTCAGCGCGTGTCCGCTGTCCGATGCCATTGCCATTTTGATTCTGTTGATGTCGCTCCCCCCGGCACTCGTCATGCTCATTCACAGTCTCTTCGCTTCTCTTACATTTGTCCCCCCTACCGCCGGTGTCTCGTTGAGCTCATGGAACGGAATGCCTGCTCTCGCGGATTGGTTCCATGCCACGTCTGCCGGCGGACCCTCGCTCTTTACAATTCTTTTCACAGATGCGGTCATGACAGTAATCTACCTGTGCAGTGGCCTATTCTTACAAAACATCTACCTGGACCTGGGCCAGGCTGTGATAGCCATCTCTCTAAGCGGCGCTACTGCAGCGCCAGACCGTTCAGGCCAGAGTGTCGCTGCTTGCAGTGTCCTCGTCTGTGTATCTCATTTCCTTCGTTATAACAAAATCCATCTCATGGGCCTGGAACACCTGCGCTCGCTTTTGCAAAATCTTGGTATTGGCCAACATTGGAGTCCCATCCCCTCGGCCGACTTTTCGTCTTCACCCTATGCCGCCTATGGTTGGTACCGTGCTCTGCTCGGCTGTCATATTCTGGCTCAAGGCATACTAACTCTCGGTCGTCGTTCTCTGTCGGGTTATTCTAACCAATCCCGCAGCAGCGCGAGCAAGAAACAAGATCCGGAGGCAGCATCGTATGGAGACGGAGCCAAGTCGTCGACGAGTCCTGGCGATTCAGGTCAGGAACCTGCCGGCGGCCTGGGCTCGGACGGCCGACCTCTCGCACCGTCTTCAGCGATGCGCGACGGCAATCAACGTGTTTCAACAGTCAAGAAAAAGAAAAAGCACGCGACCGTAGTGCGCAGTCGACAGCCGCTATGGGCAGCCATAGCCAGTACAAAAGTAACATTCTTAAAAGAGATGGAACAGAAACAAGCTTCCGAAGACCAAGCAGAAGCCACTGCTCACGATCCGACCAGCGACAATCAGCTCATCCCTCGCATTTCCACCGAAGACCGCATATCAATTGTCGACATTCGTCCTGCCGATATCTTGTTCCGTGCCCACCTTCCCTCCTTCTCCATTGCTTCCAGATCAACGGCAGACCCAAGCCATCCCGTTAGTGCAGGCATCGACAAATCGAAGCCTNTTTTTGTTCGTATGAACGGCGCGGATTGGGGGTCGACCAAGATCAGCGAAGAAGGAGAAGGTCAGGATACAGTGTGGCATGGTGAGATACTTGGTTTGACTCCTTTGACTAACTACAGCTGTGAGCTGATCAGCATGTCTGACCAGAGCGTTCTGTGCAGCACTAGCCTCGTTACCCTTCCTGCTCCCAGCACCGAGCAGACTTCGATTGTCACTGCACCTCCTCAACCGCAATCTCTCCGCCCATTATCGCCTATCTCAACCTTGAAGCAGTCCATTGCCGCCGCCGAGATGAAACGTGAGGACGCCAGGAACAAGCTCAAGCGTGCGCGTCGTGATCACAAGAACGCTGCTTCTGCCGTACGCAAAGAGATTGATCAGCTCAATGCCAAGGTTGCTTCTAGTGGAGGTCAGGATGAACGCCAGCGACAGAGAATCCTTCAATTAACCCAACATCTGCGTCAAGCAAACGAAGCCACAGTTGCTCTGAAGGACGAAACCGACGCTCTTGGCGAGATTCCTCAGGCCGAGCTCCGCGAGTACAATGAGAAGAAACGCGCTTGGCAGGCTGCTTGTGACAAGAAGTCTGCTGCCATGGCCGACCTTGAAACTGCTAAATTCCAAGCTCAGCGTGAAATCTCGCAAGTCACATCTGAATTGACCTCGGCTGCTCAGAAGCGTGAACGACTCAGTACTCGCAAGGGAAAGCTGACGGAGCAACTTGATCGCTTGACCAACCAGAAGAGAGCCGACATGAGCGCCAGGCAAAAGCACGACCAGGAGCGAGCCAACAGACTCTCTGAGTACCAGCGTCAAGAAGCCAACCTCGTATACTGGACCCAGCAAAGCAACAAGGACGCTGAAGACAACACTCTTCGCGCCAACGAGGCATTTGCACACATGGAATACCTCAGCAATGTTGTCGTACATCAGCAACAGACTCTTTCCGGACCTCCTACGCCCGAAGGCAACCTCCCTGGAACCAATGGACCTCCCAACCACCAACCCTCCGCATTCGACTTTAACATGTTTGGTGGAGGGTTCGGACAAGGGTTTGGGGGATTGAGCAATGGTGGTGCGAACCAAGTCAGAGGACGTAGCAGCTCGATGCTTTCGGGCTACAGCGGCTTCACGGACGATGATCTCGACACGCTGGCTGGAGCGGAGAGTGTACAGAACGAGGCGCTGTTGTTGGAGCACGACAAGGGCAAGGGCAGGTTGGCTAGCAGTCCCATCGGTAGCAAGTAACATTGGTCATGAAAAATCTTGGAAGAAAAGCTTGTGCCTCTTTTGGAATCTAGTGCTTGCGTGTCTACATGTATGATTTGGTGCATATGTATGTTCGAGATCGAGCTGCGGTGGTTGTTTTGTAATTAGAAGGGCGGACAGGTTGAGCTTTGATCAACGCCAAATCGTCATTTGGGCGGCCGCTTGAGAATGAGGGGCGTCTTTGCATGAGCCATGAGGACACGCCAGAAGCCAGAAGCCAGAACCCCTACAAACAAAATAATCCACCCGACTCTCTTTACCCAACAACCTCCTTCTCCCTTTCCGCCCTTTTGCCCTACTCATTCCGACCGAAAGACTCGGCAACACTTCCAGACACTCCTTAGTTGCCTCTACCAATCGACGACAGTCACCCCCCCCTTTTTTACATACAGCAAACGACAGCGACAGCTGGACTAGCACATCACAATGGCCGCAATCGCCCAGGACCCCAAGTACGACCACTACGACTTCCCCACCGTTTCCAACACCAACCAGAGCGGACACCCCGGCCACACCACACCCGAGCAGGATGCCCAAGTTCACCAGCTCCGTGCTGCCCTCGAGCAGGCCGGCTTCCACGAGCGCCTCGACACCTTGACCATGCTCCGTTTCCTCCGCGCCAGAAAGTTCAACGTCGAGCATGCTAAGCAGATGTATGTCGCATCAAATGCCAGCGGGCGCATCGCAGCTAACACAGATGCCACAGGTNTCGTTGACTGCGAGAAGTGGAGAAAGGAGTTCGGTGGCGGTGTCGACCACCTGCTGCAGACCTTCGAGTACAAGGAGAAGACCGAGGTCTTCAAGTACTACCCTCAGTACTACCACAAGACTGACAAGGTGCGCAACCGACAAGACTGAGAACCTTGGCTCACCACAAACTGACGACGACACAGGNATGGCCGCCCTCTCTACATTGAGCAGCTCGGCAAGATCAACCTCACCGCCATGTACAAGATCACCTCCGAAGACCGCATGTTGCAGAACCTGGTTGTCGAGTACGAGAAGGTCGCCGACCCTCGTCTTCCCGCCTGCTCGCGCAAGTCCGGCCATCTCCTCGAAACCTCTTGCACCATCATGGACCTTAAGGGTGTCGGTCTCACCAACGTTAGCAGCGTTTACGGATACGTGCAAAAGGCCTCAGCCATCTCCCAAAACTACTACCCCGAGCGCATGGGCAAGCTCTACCTGATCAACGCTCCCTGGGGATTCTCCTCGGTCTTCAGCATGGTCAAGAAGTTCCTCGACCCCGTCACCGTCGCAAAGATCCACGTTCTCGGCAGCGGCTACGAAAGGGAACTGCTCGCTCAGATCCCTAAGGAGAATCTGCCCAAGCAGTTCGGCGGATCTTGCCAGTGCCCGGGCGGCTGTGAGCTGTCCGACGCCGGCCCCTGGCAAGACTCGCAGTGGGTCAAGCCCGCTGCCTGGGAGAAGAAGTCTGGCGACAACGTCATCGAGAATGCTGATGCCTCTGTCAGCCACGGCCTTCCTGGCGACGCTCCTGCTGGCCTCACTGCCGGCACTGCCCCTCAGGGACACACTCACGGCGTTCCCGCCCCTCAATAAATGTCCAAGGCGGGTTGCATATCTAGACAAAACTCGTTTGCGGAATTTGGTGCGCGTGTGTTCTTTTTTTGGGAGGTTTGCTGGTCTAGGGTTCGTGCTGTTCAAAGATATGGGTCCCTCTTGTTAATTAAAAAGAAGTCAAGAGAAATACCATTGGAAGAAAGATTCAGAGCGTGTGCAACAAAAGTCCAAGCAAACCAGCGTTCGTCTTGTTTGTGTTCTAGCTTGTGACGGTGTATCCCTGTCGTTACTCGATCGCCGCTTTCCCCTGTGAAGATGGGAGGACCCAGGGAGGGAAGCGTCAAGAACGCAGAAGTGACAAAGTGTCAGCTCATAGTGAACATGGCTTCTGCTTCTTCAAGGTATTCTGTCTTATCATAGCTAAAGGTATGGCAGAGTCTTAGCACACGAAGAGTATCATTCATTCTGGTAGTGACATCTTGTGTTACCAAGAGGCAGGAACAACCAGGTGCACGGACACAAAGTGTCAACTTCGCGCACTTGCTTTCATCATCCAGACAACACCCAACCATTACACTGCCACGCAAGAATACGAACAATTGGCAGCCCTACAAATCTCTCACAATGATCTTATCAACTTTGCGAACTGTTCTTGATGCATACAAACCACTCTCAGGTGCTTTCTCAACCTCGCGTTTCTTTTAGACCAGCCATGCGAGACATGAGCCCACACATGACGAACCCAAGTTGAAAGATATGAATCCAAGAGACAGATATCGCAGGGCCTTCGAGATTCGACGACTCAAGATGCATACAATCTGTTTCCATCTTCTATCTCCAACTTTCTCCGAGTCAATTCACCTCATGGCAAACTTTCTGGACCTACCACCCGAGATCAGGGCAAAGATCTACGATGCACTACTCGTTGACCCCATCGACGACAGAGATAAGATCATGTTGACTCTGGACAAGGACTGAAAACAACACTGGGATCGTGTCACAGAGATGCTGCCTCCTGACGATGAACGCACCACCGATACCATCCCCGAACCTCTCCAGTCTTCCATCAAACACCTAGACTACAGTGACCTATTGTCGCTCGCCAGAGCCAGCAGATTGATCTATGCCGAAGCAACGCCCGTCATCTACGCTAATGCGCATTTGGAATACACCTTTGGTGAACGTCACGATATTATGAGAGGTCCCACGCTTCTTCACGAGTTCCTCGAAAAGCTTTCATCTGCATCTTCCGCACTCTACCACCACTTGACAATCATTAACAACAACAACCATGCGCCTGGAAGATCTCTGTCCGCCAAAGACATGAACATCCTTGTCGATTTGATCAACTCGAAGCTACCCAACCTGAGTTCTCTGGAAATCAGATCCATCGACCCTGAACTCGACACCTGCTCAAATGACGAAGATATCGGGTTCGTCCAAGACGCTCTTCGGATCATTGCAGCCGCAAGACCCGTTGCCCGTCTCGCCTCATGTCCCAAAGTCTCCTTGGAACCGAGACTGAGCTTTTACCTTGCCGACGACATAACGTACGACGAAGAAATCACGTTGATCATGACTGTTCCGGAGGCATTGATAGTGACAGAAGTCGTTCCAACGCTGGTTGGGATCAAAGGCTGGCGACGTCAAGCTCAGAGTCATTACGCAACAACTCGTCAACAAGGAGATTATCTCAAACTCACCTCTGTTCTGCGCTCCAAGATGGTTGGGGATGAGCAGACTACTGGTGTGAAAGGAGAAGAGGAAGAGAATGGTATGGAGGCGGAGCTGATCAGTCACGGCAAAGTCTTGAACCTAATAGAAAATTGCAAGCATTGGAGGATGACTATGGATGGCCAGTTGCGCAACACGTCTGACTAGTTGTAGCCTCTCCAAGCGTGGTTCGGAGTCCAAGCCAGATATATAGCATGATACTTTCCTTGCCGTCCTTGCAACCCCTCGTGCGTTGTTCGTTACAATGTCAAAGTCACCTCGCGCTCAAGATACAACATAAAGAATATTACGAGTCTGCTCGATAGCTATATGCTAGCTTACTAGCAATACAGAATATTGAATTTCTTCGTTGTAGATGCGAGTCGATGTGTCCTGCAGAAGGCATGGCTTCCCGATCAAGAGCAACATCATCTTGGTCGTGAGAAGTGTGTTTTTGCTTTGTGTGTTTCTCTGAACGAAAGAGAGCGCCCAATGAACAAGGTCACACATTTCAATCCAAAAAGATGCAAAAGACGATCAAATTGAGGATCCGACGTGCGGACTGATACTGCAATTGGAGAAGGTGCCGTAGGAACTAGCACTTTGTAAAGGTAGAATTGCTTTTGTCGAGTAGTGTTCATTCAAGCATTATCGCCGCAGCTTTCCATCTTGTGCCCGATTTCTCGTTATGATACATGTTTGTTACCATTAGACTTTACTCGCCAACCATCAATACAGCATTCAGTGTTCCGAAATAATGACAGAGCAGTGTCTTGTTGCCCAATTTTGCAGCTTGTCCCATGCAAATTTTCAATCTTCTGGCTTCAGGCTGGCTTAGAGCATCGATGCCGAAGTCTGCTACAATGTTGGCCATCATGCCACCAATTTCCTTCATCAAATCAGTAGGTGCGTTCGAAGTAAGCTGCGAAGGGTGGTGCTCAGATTGCAGAGTGGCGGCTGATGTGATACCGTAGTTCTGCATAGTGGCTCTTTGCTCGGGCTCGATAGGCTGCTCGTCTTCCTCATCAAGTGTAAGGTCAATGACGGAAGTACGATCCAGNCTTTTGGCGAAGTAGTTTGGTGTAGTCGTGTTTGGCAACGCAGAATCGAGATTATTTGTAGTATCAACCTTTTCTCAAGGTCAGTCGGCTGTAACGAATTGGGTTGTCAATTAACATGCCTTATTGTGGCTGAGGGCCTCATCTATGAATGCGTCTCCCTCATCGACAGAGTTGGATCTCGGCTCAGCAAACTCAACAGTCATGGTCTTCGAGACCTCACCAGTGGTTTGCTGGAAGCCATACTTGCCATGAGACTTGTGTCTCAGGAGCGCGAGCATGTTCTGACCTTTGATCTTGAAGACTAGAGCGCAGAGCNNTAGACAGCCGACATTAGTTTGAGCAGCCCATGAGTAGTTTGTACTTACGAAGATGTTGACTGGTCCGTTACGAGCATAGTTCCAGACTTTGATGGGAAAGTACTGCATCAACACACGATTACTGTTTTCCTTATCTTTGCAGGCAGAACACTGAGTACCGAACATCAGATCTTCATTGAGCGGGACATAACGCCCGTCGCGGCCATCGAAGGTGGCCACATAGAGAGAAATCTGCTCNTTGTGACCATTCTCGTAGTTTTCCTGAGCCTTGTCGACAAGATCTTCGAGGCGAATAAAGTGACGGTAAGCCTTCGTGGGCTGGTCAAGATAGCCTACCCAAATATTGCTCGAAGGGGCGAAGGGATAGGTCTCAAAGTCATCGTGTACACCGTCCGGATGGCCATTGGGAGCAAAGCAAACAGGTTGCATTGTGGAGAACGAGTACCGGACTATTCGCATAAGTTCAGTACAGACAAGGGAGCGCAAACGTAAGATCTTTAGACGCATACTAAGATTGTTGTCGTGGGTAGGTTCTCAGGTGGACGCGGTCATGATGGAACCGATGTTGTCGTTATGTGAGCGATGTACAGAGTCCGTCGAGAACGTGCAGTTCCGAGAGATGTGGGTAATGGCGTGTGGCCAGAAAGTGGAAGGTGCGATCGGTCCAGGGCTGGGCTTGTCGTCTTGCCGACTCATCGCAAACGACACAACGGGAAGGCACGCTGCAGACTTTCGAGACACACTTCCTGCTTTGTGATACATCGAAAGACACAGTTGAACTACAGTCTACAGTACGGTCAAAAGACTGGCTCTCAAGGTTAAGCACGGTGTGGTGAGTACCATTTGCTATCTAGAGAACAATGAGACAACGAGTCGGCTCCTTTACAAAAAGTTAGCACGAATCTGAGACAAAAGCTAACCATTGCTTACCTTGCTACTCCTTGCCTCACAGCCTCTAATGATTAAGAGCCCGTCCGTGTGTGGGCACCATCTTATGGAAACGAGATGCCCGGCTTTGGCACTGGTGGTTACAGTGCTATTCACAAGGTGGTAAGGATGACACAGGCTTCATAACTTGCGGGATCTTGCATATGGCCAAGAAAAAACAGCGGCATGATACATTGGGCTCAGAGGCCATAAGCAGGGATCTGATCTGTGCGCGAAAATGGGTATCTGTACGATAAAACATTATGTGCTAGATGAACAGAAACAAAAACCAACCACCAACATCAGGAGCGTGGTTGAGGGCAAGACGAGCACAGAACTCGGCCTCGTATAAGCTCGACGGCAGTCTGAAGGGCTGGGTGGCTCTCTGACAACGGTTACTGGCATGCAGCTTCATGACTACAATCGACGGATATGTTGAGATCATCTTGTCATTGGCGCGTGTCTCGCTTGCGCTGAGAAATAGTCACTCAACAGAGTGATGCCCAGGTGCAGCATTCTCGAGTTGAGGGATAGTCCACTTTGTTGTCCAGCTTAGTGGTCAAAGAGTCTCGATAGGGTAGTTCTGGTCAGTGAAGCCAAGTACACACTTGCGAGGACGCTCTCTAAACTGCGCCCAATGTCTGGAGAGCCAGTCTCAACTCTTTAACAGCAGTGTCCACGTCCTCAAAGTTTAAGGCTGACATGGCCCATTTGGCATGCTTCTGGGCCAGTGTGATGGAATCGTCGTCAGTTCGGTAGGTACCTGGGGCCACGGCCTGTACAGGCGGAAGAACCGCCAGGGCAGCAGCTGGTGGAGGCACGGCGGCAGGGGTATGCATAGGTATTGATGCAACTGGTTGTGTAGGCTGTGTGTAATATTGCGACGGCGAGACTGGTGCATCTACAGCAGCTGGCGTTGGCGCAGAGGGCATGAAGGGAGTGGCTGGATTGATGGAGGGCGTGTCAGATGGCGCAGGATCTGAGGTAAAGGTGGGGGCAGAAGGAAAGTAGCCACCACCGATGGAGTTTTGACGTGGGTTTGTGGATTCGACAGGCGAGACGGCGTCTTGAACGGATGGCGGAGCAATGTGAGTGGAATCGGGTTGAGTGACTGAAGCTGGGCGAGAAGGGTACTGGCTCTCAGAGGCGCTCTCGACAGTAGGAGGCTGGTATGTGTCTTGAGTAGAAGCTACTGAGGGCTCCTCTTCCTCTTTGACGGGATTCGAGTCGTTTGGGTCTTCGCCAGCCTTGATGGCTTTGGCGATGCGAACGGCGTGGAACTTTGCGTACTTTGACTTTGCCGTGATTTCGGGATCGATGGGAGCCCAAATGGACATGCTTAGCAGATCGAAGAAGGTTACGGCGGCCTGGAAAGTGTCGATGGTCTGGCGTGAGGCTTTGTTGGAGTGGATGGCATCGTCGGCGCGTTGGAACGTGTCAAGAGCAAACTGCTCAATGTATGCCTTTGCGGCAATGTCGTCGAGAATGGCATCGTTTCCTGCCTGGTCCGTCTTGGTCTGCTCGAGCTTGTCCATCAGGGTCGTCGTGTATTGCATGCACTCATCGTCGGCCGAGTGCAGACCCTTGGAGAGGATCTGTTCGATGATGTAGTAGTTGCACCAGTACGACACGATGGGCTTGTGTTTTTCCAGCTGCGAGGCGCGGACGGCAAAAGGTGTGATTTCTTTGATCTTCAACTTTGCTGGGAGGGAGGCGGCCATCTTGTCGCGATATGTCTGGTGACAAGGCAGTTGCGATGGTCAGGACGCAGATGCATGCAGCTCCGAAAGAGGTCAGGGTTGCCTCGTGCATGCCTGGACATGGCGCGGGGAAGCCTCGGCCTCGGGGGTGCTCGGGCCACATGTCCTTTGGTATTTATGTGAGGCAGGCACCTTGATGACAAGTTGCCTCGAATGGATAGTGTCTCGCCATCTCTTCCATTGACCTTGTCAACCTACAAATCGCCATCATGGTGAACTTTCAATCTTTGACAGTGGCTGCAGCTGGTCTGTTGCTACTGCCATCGTCTCAAGCTGCTGGTCTTTACACCAAGAACTCGGGCGTTCTCAACCTCGATGCTAGAAGCTACCGTTCGTTGATCGCCAATTCTAACCACACTTCTGTAAGTCAACTTTATTGATTACATCTATGTATCATCACGCTGATCGAACGACAGATTGTCGAGTAAGTCATGTCTGTATAACATAATTCTTGACTTGATCTCATCATTCCCTTCAGATTCTATGCTCCATGGTGTGGTCATTGCCAGAGTCTCAAGCCCGCCTATGAGAAGGCCTCCAAATCGCTTGATGGCATCGCCAAAGTCGCTGCTGTCAACTGTGATGAGGAAGAAAACAAGGCTTTCTGTGGCAGCATGGACGTCAAAGGCTTCCCTACCTTGAAGATCGTCCGTCCTGGAAAGAAGGCCGGAAGACCCACAGTCGAGGATTACCAGGGTCCCAGAACCGCAAAGGGCATTGTCGAGTCTGTCAAGGACAAGATTCCCAGCCATGTCAAGAGAGTGACTGACAAGGACATTGACGGTTGGCTGACCGAGAACAACTCCTCGGCCAAGGCCATTCTGTTCAGCGAGAAGGGTGTCACTAGTGCTCTCATCAAGGCTGTGGCCATTGACTTCTTGGGCTCCATCTCGGTCGCTCAGATCAGAAGCAAGGAAGCCGCTTCCGTCTCTCTATTCGGTGTCAGCTCATATCCCACTCTTGTGCTGCTTCCTGGTGGTACCAAGGATCCTGTTGTCTACTCTGGAGAAATGAACAAGGCCGCTATCGTCAAGTTCTTGTCACAAGCTGCTACACCAAACCCTGATCCCGCTCCTGCTTCTTCGTCCAAGTCGAAGTCAAAAGCATCGTCAAAAGACGCTAAGCAGTCCTCAAAGGCCTCGTCTCAATTCTCAAAGGCATCGTCTTCTCATCGCTCCGATGAATCTGCTAGCGTCAAGGCTTCACAGACAGCCGAGACCATCGAGAAAAACAGCAACCCTACTGAGAGCCCCAACCCTCAAGTTGCCACCGACGACACTCAGAAGCCTGTCCAAATCCCCGATGTGCCCCCTCAGATCACCACTCTCGACACTCCTGAGTTTCTCCAGCAGAGCTGTCTGACATCCAAGTCTGGTGTTTGCATTCTGCTTCTTGCTCCATCTGCCTTCATCCAGACCACAGACTCACCCGTCTCCAAGGCTGCCAGTGTTCTGTCTGAGATCCACCACAAGCACACGAAGCGTGGAGCCAAGCTGTTCCCCTTCTACAATGTGCCAGCATCTGCATCTTCCGACTTGCGTTCAGCATTGGGTCTGTCTGATGACTCTCTCGAGATTGTCGCCGTCAACGCCAAGAAGGCTTGGGTCAAGCGCTACTCGGGCATTTCAGATGTCAGCCACAATGCTATCGACTCATGGGTTGACTCGATCCGCATGGGCGAGGGCAAGAAGGAGAAATTGGCCGAGAGTGTCATCGTCGAAGCTGTCGAGAAGCAAACCCCACCTGCTGCCGAGAAGGCCGAGAAGCCCGAGAAGCCCGAGGAGAAGGTTCAGATGCAGATGGAAGAGTTGACTGATGAGCAGTACGAGGCATTGATGAAGGCTCACAAGTTGAAGCCTTTGAAGCCCGAGGAGTCTGCTTCTCACGACGAGCTTTAGTTGTTGTAACCAAGTACGTACCTAGGCAGTTATATTAATGGTTGACAATCGATGAAGACAATGTGTTTCGAACTGCAAGCGTGAAATGTGTTGTCAAGCTGAGATGGGTCATTACCATGTCACGAATTCCGACAGCAGCAAGAATATGAGCAGCCAATTCGTGTCAGTTATGTGTTGAACCCAGCCTCTCACTCATCAAACCAATCAGGAGTCCAAAGTCACCGGCTTCACCGTGTTTCGCGGTGTAGTTGCTAGACCACCTCGACCGATGATTGGATTGTGTTTTTGCCTTCTCAAGGTCCCGAGTTCGACTCAGGGGGCTGATAGTCTGCTCTTTTTGCACAACTCTCGATAGGGGATTTGACATGTGATGATAACTGTTTGCGCATTCTCGACGCTCAACAGCTTGGTCTTCATATCAAAACGTTCTTAGATTTTAAATCTGGCAAACAATTCGGTATACTCGTTACACGAGACATCTAGAGAACTGCTTGCTGAGTATGACGGCAAGCTACATTCTAAACACACCCCACTCAGTCTTCTTGTCCTCGACACTGCCCGAGAGAGCAGCCTGCAAGCCCATGGCCAGGACTCTTCTCGTGTGTGAGGGAGGAATGATCCCATCGTCCCAAAGTCTGGCCGTCGCAAATGTAGATTCGCTCTCACGTTCAATACGATCGCGGAGGTTTGGATCGACCTTTTTGCCCACGGCTTCCATGACGGAAGACAATTGTTCTGCTCCCATGACGCTGGTTTTTGCTGTTGGCCAGGCCCAGAGGAAGCGTGGTGAGTATGCGCGGCCGCTGGAAGATTGACTGTCAGTTGTTGATCTTGGATCGAGGTCAAGAGGATATACTCACCACATGCCATAGTTGCCTGCTCCGGCAGAACTACCAAATACCACGGTAAACTTGGGCACATCGGCACAAGCCACAGCGGTTACTAGTTTGGCACCATTCTTTGCAATGCCTCCTTTCTCGGCATCGCGACCAACCATGAAGCCAGAGATGTTTTGCAGGAAGACCAGTGGAATGCGCCGTTTATTGCAGAGTTGAACGAAATGAGCGCCCTTGAGTGAAGACTCTGAGAACAGGATACCATTGTTGGCGACAAAGCCAACTTGATGGCCTTGAACGCGTCCAAAGCCCGTGACCAAAGTACTGCCATACAAAGGCTTGAACTCTGCAAACTCGGAGCCATCAACAATACGAGCAATGACTTCGTGAACATCGACTTGAGTTTTGAGATTTGTGCCCATGATGCCATCCAATTCTGCGGGATCATAGAGGGGTTCTTTCCAAGGTTCTGGTTTTGGGGACGAGGCAGGGTAGTTGAGGTTTGCGACACAGCGGCGGGCGAGCACGAGAGCGTGGGCGTCGTCGACGGCAAGATAGTCTGTTACGCCGCTGGTTTCGCTGTGCAGTCTACCGCCGCCTAAGTCTTCTGCGCTCACGACTTCTCCGGTGGCTGCTTTGACTAGTGGTGGGCCGGCGAGGAAGATATGGCCTTGTTCTTGGACAATGATGCTCTCGTCGCTCATGGAGGGGACGTATGCTCCTCCGGCTGTGCAAGGGCCCATGACGACTGACAGTTGTGGGATGCCCATTGAAGACATGTTGGCCTGGTTGTAGAAGATGCGTCCAAAGTGGTCGCGGTCAGGGAAGACATCTGCTTGGTGAGGGAGGTTGGCACCACCACTGTCGACGAGGTAAATGCAGGGGAGTCGGTTTTGCTGGGCAATTTCTTGTGCTCGAAGGTGCTTTTTGACGGTGATGGGGTAGTACGTGCCGCCCTTGACACTACTTCTGTCAGTACAGCCCACATAGAAGCTATATTCAGAGACTCACGTGCTATCATTGGCAACAATCATGCACATGGTGCCTTCGACTGTGCCAATGCCTGTCACGATGCCTCCAGCAGGCACTTCTTCTCCAGGATACACCTCATGGCCGGCCAAGGCTGATAGCTCGAGGAAAGAGGTGCCTGGGTCGACTAGGGCGGTGACGCGACTAAGAACATTAAGCTGCCATGCAGGTCGTACATGGTATAAGTCGACTCACTCTCGCACCAACATCTTTCCTTTGGCGACATGCTTCTCGCGTGCCTTTTCTGAACCTCCTAGAGCCGCATTACGGTGTAGAGTGGTGAAGCTTTCAAGCAGCTCTTGCATTGACTTTTTGTTGTCGACATAGCCCGTCGAGTTTGTATCAACAGCAGTCTGCAGCACCGAGATCTGAGCAGCCTGATGGCGAGACGTGTACGTGGCTGCTGTCCTGGCTCCAAGGCATGTTTGGGCCGGGCATACTGGTTGGGAACGAGGACGACAATGCGGTATAGCAGATCGAAGAGACGAGATGCGCAGCCAACGGGCCGGCGCAGCTGCAATCATTGTGTATATAGCTACATCATCCGCCGAAAGGTCGTGGGCATATTATCATGTCCACACAGGTGGTCACCCCGTACCCCTCTCGGCTGCCCCGCATGAATCACAAGCCCTAGCCGCTGCCGAAAGGGCGCGGGTAAAATTTCATTCGCGTGCAGGGCGCGGAATTCAATCCGCCAAACCTTGCCCTCGGTCAGAAGCGCCTCTCCTCCGCAGATAATACCCCCACACGACCATCCCTTCCTTCGACAGAGCATACGTATCATTGGTACATCATGTCTACAATCATGTCTACCAGACCTGTTCTCAGAGCGCTCGCTCGCACTTCAAAACTGCAACACCGATCACTCTCGACCACTCAATCATGTCTTGCCAGAAAGCACCCGAATGGCTACGCCCCACCTGCACGAGAAGATCTAGAAGAACTGCGTGAGAGGACCAGAGAGTTTGCTCGTGTGTGGTTACCTCTATACTGCATATCTGCATGTTCTAACACTGTCTTGTAGNTCCGCGAGATTCCCGAAGATGTTGCTGTCAAGACAGACCATGACAATGCGTTCCCTAACGACATGTGGCTGAAGATGGGCGAAGCAGNNGGTATTATCGACAACTAAATCCTACCTTGACCTATACTGAACCTTTTTAGTCTGCTAGGAATTACCGCTGATGAAGATTATGGCGGTCTTGCCATGGGCTACCAAGCACATTGCACTGTCATGGAAGAGCTATCCAGAGCATCAGGTAATTCGCTCACCTTCTGCCCTTAGGCCATATTGCTCACGACATACANNGGGAGTATCGGATTGTCATATGCCGCACACTCCCAACTGTGTGTGAATCAGCTCATGTTGAACGGCAACACAGATCAGAAGCAAAGATTCCTTCCGGATCTGATTTCTGGTAAGAAAGTGGGTGCTCTGGCAATGTCTGAAGTCTCGGCTGGAAGTGATGTCGTCAGTATGAAGACGACAGCCAAGGAAGTTGATGGCGGTTATCTCTTGAACGGCACAAAGTTCTGGATCACCAATGTAAGTGCATATGGCAGACTTCCTGAGCGTCACTGATAGTTCTGTAGGNGACCCGATGCAGACACAATGGTGGTGTACGCAAAGACGGTACCGGATGCTGGCTCCAAAGGTATCACTGCCTTCATCGTAGACACCACAGCCAAAGGCTTCTCATGCGCTCGGAAACTCGACAAACTCGGTATGAGAGGATCCAACACTGGTGAGATTGTATTGGAGGACGTTTTCGTGCCTATCGAGAATATTCTTGGTGAGGTCAACAAAGGTGTCCGAGTGCTCATGGAAGGTCTTGACTTGGAGCGACTGGTCCTGAGCGCAGGCCCACTTGGACTGATGAAAGCAGCCCTGGATGTGACTCTGCCATATGTTCACGAGCGCAAGCAGTTCGGCCAGCCAATCGGAACAAATCAATTCATGCATGGAAAGCTCGCAGACATGTACACAAAGTACATGGCATCATCGGCCTTCACATACTCGGTGGCTGCGGCAATTGACAATGACCCGGACAATGCTCAGATCAAGACTCAAGATTGTGCCGGTGCTATTCTCTATGCAGCAGAGAGAGCAACTGAATGTGGAATGGACGCCATCCAATGCATGGGTGGTATGGGTTACATGAGCGAGATTGCTGCAGGCAGGATCATGCGCGATGCTAAGCTGTACGAGATTGGAGCAGGAACCAGTGAGATCAGAAGGATGGTTATCGGAAGAGCATTCAACAAGGAGTATCTCAGATGAGCAGTTTGCAGCTTAGCAATCAACACGTTACCTCAGTGATAGACATGAATGTTTTATGCTGTTTGAGCACAAGCTATCGCAACCGAGATCTGTGTCGTCAAATTTTGGTTCCGCAAGCGAGGTCGGCTATCACAGAAGGCTGGTTGCCTCAGGCGGGGACATGTGGTCGTAAACAGCCTCTACCGAAAATCGATCATTTTCGCCTGGAAGACGGTTATTGTCATAGACACCATCTTGCCACGGTAGATGCCACGGTAGTCGCCGTCGTGATACGGAGTGCTCGAGCGGTGTCAGGGAATTGAAAGAATAGCCGTGGTACCTCAACGGAGTTTGCCATTGAACATGCGGGTCCAGGCGAGGTGGTTGGAAGAATCCGGGCGGTGCGTACAGATTCTCGCAGCAAACTCGATGACCATGAAGAATGAGCGTTTCTCCGGGGAGATTGCCTGTAGAGTGCTTCACTACACGGCACTTACCATTCGATGGTCTACTCCGTTGAGGTGTCTCTCTCTGTGTCCCACGAAGACTGGGCTCGTACCATTACGTACGGATAGTGGTAGTATATCATCAGCTCCTATGGTTGGCATCTTTCGGGTGTCCAGAGACATTGGAGACACCATGCAAGATGCATCGTGCACTTCACCTGACAGATGGATCTCGCGGGTATCGATGTCAATTTCAAACTCTAAATTCATGATGTGGAAAGCAGGCAGTGTGATTGGTCAGATGACGACGAGCGGTTCACGCCGAACGTATTACATCAGTGACATCATTCATAGTTTCAGCACAAGCTCGAGTAGCGAAGGCGGCAATTGGAAAGTGCCTACATATATCAGTAGCTACGCTCTATCTGGGTTTGCTTTCCCATAACCTCCATCTCACACCATCACACAAAATGGCACCTTCAGCAACAACACACGCCCCTGACGGCAGACAGAATGGTGACCTCCACCGCGACTACAACGATGACCGCAATGCATCGTCCGAGGACACCCTGTACACCACCAGCAACGGTGTCCCCATGCCTCACCCTTATGAGGTCCAGCGTGTCGGCGAGAACGGACCTCTTCTCCTCCAGGACTTCCACTTGGTAGACCTTCTATCACACTTCGACCGTGAGCGCATTCCTGAGAGAGTCGTTCACGCTAAGGGTGGTGGTGCCCACGGTTTCTACCAGACCACCGACCCCCTCGATGACCTCTGTATGGCCGACATCTTCCAGGCCGGCAAGAAGTGTCCCATCAGTGTTAGATTTTCCACCGTCGGTGGCGAGTCTGGCTCGCACGACTGTGCTAGAGACCCTCGTGGTTTCTCAGTCAAGTTCCGCACCGACGAGGGCAACTGGGATGTCGTCGCCAACAACACTCCCGTCTTCTTCTTGAGAGACCCCGCCAAGTTCCCTCTCTTCATCCACACCCAGAAGCGTGACCCTGCCACCCATCTGACCCACGCCGATGACTCGACCATGTTCTGGGATTACCTTTCTCAGAACCCCGAGTCTGTCCACCAGGTCATGATTCTTATGGGAGACCGCGGTATCCCCGAGAACTGGCGCAAGATGCACGGTTACTACGGACACACCACCAAGCTCGTCAACAAGAAGGGAGAGTGGGTCTACGCCCAGATCCACTTCAAGTCCAAGCAGGGTACTGGTTTCATCACTCAGGAGGACTCCAACAACTACTCCCCCGATGCTCACCAGAAGGATCTGTACAACGCCATCGAGAACGGTGACTTCCCTGGTTGGGATGTCAAGGTCCAGACCATGACTCCTAAGGAGGCTGAGGACCTTTGGGAGAACCAGAAGATCAACGTCTTCGATCTGACACACGTCTGGCCCCAGAGCCAGTTCCCTCTCCGCAAGGTTGGAGAGTTCTTCTTGAACGAGAACGTCAAGAACTACTTTGCCGAGATTGAGCAGATCGCCTTCAACCCCTCCCACAACCCTCCTGGTATCGAGCCTTCGGCCGACCCTGTCCTCCAGTCTCGTCTGTTCTCATACCCTGACACCCACCGTCACCGCATCGGTGTCAACTACCAACAGTTGCCCGTCAACGCTCCCCGCACTCCCTACAGGATCGGCAACTTCCAGCGTGATGGATCCATGGCCTTTTACAACCAAGGTTCTCGCCCTGCCTACCTTTCCTCCATCCAGCCCACTCAGTTCCGTGAGCGTACTCTCGACCTTGACAGAACTCACGGCCACTTCTCAGGAAAGGCCATTACCTTCCTGTCCGAGATCCGCGAGGAGGACTTCAACGCTCCCCGTGCCTTGTGGGAGAAGGTCTTCGATGATGGTGCCAAGGAGCGCTTCATCAACAACGTCTCTGGTCACATGAGCACCTGCCGTAAGGAGGAAATTATCAAGCGCCAGATCGCCATCTTCCGTCACGTCTCCGAGGACCTTGCCAGCCGTCTTGAGAAGGCCACTGGTATCAAGGGCTACCCCGACATCCGTGAACTATCGTTCAACGGAACACACAATGGCTTCGCCACTGATAAGAAGAACAAGTATGCCAACGGACAGGTCCCCGTCAAGGTGGACTCTTCTATTGCACCCAACAACGGCGCTCCTAGAGCTGGCACTCACGAAGAGTACTACAAGTAAAACAATACGACTATCATGTATATAGCAAGTTTACGAATGCACGAACGATTTCTTCAACTTTAAAACGATTGTATCCCTCGCATCAATGTGAATGTGTTCTGAGACTTAAGTACATGTTGGGAGCATGACCCTGTCTCAAGCTACATCACTCTATATCACACCTACATCAGTAGATAATGATGGATAAAGAGCGATCAACTATCAAGAGTACGTTGCGGTCCATTGAATTGGTGTTTAATGTACTCTAGCCGCTGTTGTTAGATATCTATGGCACACGATTCGTCACTCGGTCATTGAATCCAAGGACTTTGTTCTGAGTGTCACCTGCTACTCCTGTTCCTCGTCTTTCCAAACCGTGAGTTTTATAATGCATAGTCACTCTGCTCTGACACTTTTGATATATGTATATATTTTTTTGAACAAATATTCACCTCCATTCAATCAAGGTAATGCCTTGCTCTCTCGACGAGTGACGGTTTCACATGCGAATATTGGAAGCGACCTCTATGTAACATTGAGCAACCCAACCCACCACGTTCGAGGAACTCGAGACCCAACATGTTTGCCAAAGCCCAACAAACAAATGCTCCGTACAAGAGGCTCTGATTCACATGCACTGGATGACGCAAAGGGTCTCTCGCTCGGCGGCACTTCGTTAGAGAGAGGATTGGTTTTCGAATTCGGCCAAGATCGACGGACGTCATCTTCAAGATTTCTGAACCACCATCTCTTGTCGAACTCCTCTACAGCACCAACCATGTAATATCGTCCGTGTTCCTGGAACTGAGACGTCGCATGATCAAGGCAAGTCGCTGTACAAAAGTTAAGTCGTATTTATCATTGTTCTCTTCCGCCGGCAATATCCATCATCAGAAAGAAGTCCCGGTGGTTGTATGTATTAGGACCGATACTCGCAATTCCACCGAGTATTGGCCTTGTGCAACAAGTGATATGATTCAACCTCGAGCAATGATGGTGAAATTTTCCTGCTCAACGTTGCGGGGAGAATATCTATGTCATACTTCGATTCTCTGATAAGACTTTGAGAGTGAGATGGTAGAAAGTTGCCATCTTACATACCCGTTTATCGCAAAGCCATTTCTTTGTCCTTACACCAGAAACATCACACATACAAACCATGGACCCCAACGGAGAAGCAGAATTCTTGAACGTGCTTGTGTTGGCAAGCTTGTTCTACAACACTCTCAAGTCATTTGACAACATTCACAGCTCGTTGAACGACTTCAAGGATGAGAGGGTTTACCTTGCCCAGCTCGGTATTGAGCAAGCAAGACTTTTGATCTGGGGCGAGCAGATGGGCATATTCTCTTTGCCGCCCTCATTGACCTCTCTCGAGACCGAGGAGGGTAGAGAGAACATGACGCCTCGCGACCCTCGTCTCGACGATGACGAGGTCAGAGTCAACCTTGAGGGTTTGATGAACAGCATTATCCACACCCTGAGCAACCCCAACGACAACGACTCCGATCTTGATACCACCGGTCTCAGACCCCTGCCTCGCGGTGGCGCACAAGCACTGGAGCAGCCTGCCGCTGACCTGACCCGTATGAAGAACTTCGAAAACTCTTACAACCACCTTCTCCAGTTGGGTTCTGGGAAGGTGTCGGTCANNAGACCAAGCTCGCTTGCGTCGCAGCAGTGGGTCATCCACGACACCCTTCGCTTCTCCAACTTCGTCAAGTCTACTAAGCGTCAGGTCGACACGCTCTTGCTGGCCCTGAACATCAACGACAGAGTTGAGAACATCCTGCTTGGTGACATCCGTGATCTGGGCAAGCACTCCGGTGGCTCCCCCGGCAGCAGACCTTCGCCGCTGGCAGTCAAGGACATGGCCAAGCTGAAGCTTCTCATTAGAGCATGCAAAGGTCGCTACCCAGCCCTCTTAAACGAGGCTCAGCAGACATTCAACAACCTCCAGAAGGGCGTCAGCGCAGAACACGACATGGCTGCCAAGGTGCACAAGCTTCTTGAGCCCGTTCACCCCGACTCAGCAGTCGCCAGCGCAACGAACAGTGGCACCGCAACACCCGAGAAGAGACCTGGCTTCATCCGTAGATTGAGCACACAGACATGGAACAAGTTGCCCGGAAGAAAGACACCTAGCTCGAGCAGACCCAGCTCACCCGAGAGGCGCAAGTCACTTGGTGGACGCAAGACACCGGCAGCCAGCAGACCTGCTAGTCCCATAGGCGAGTAGGAGAGGATCGTAAGGAGCTGATGAGATACACGAACCCCAGGACAGAGAAAGAGAAGGATACGAGGACAGGAACAGGATATTGACGAGCAACGGATATATCAATTGGTTGACGGATGTAATTACGAGTAATACTTTGAGCGATAGACATGCAAAGCGAATTGATTTGTACAGTACCAGCATAGAAGCTCTTGGATGATCTTGTTGTGACGAGTGATAGACAGGTACAGATATAGATCGGTTGGTTCCTTGAATGACAAGGCGGTCTGCACGGTATCCCCGCATTCGGTCCCGTCGAAGCGCGTCATGGCTGTCAAGTCGGGCACACTGCTAAAATTCGTACGGTCTCGAGTTTCGTTCGGGCATTGAGACGGCAACCTCGAGATGTGGTATCTGACAAAGGACGTTTAGCTTGCAACAGAGTAGAAGCACAAGATATGAACCGAGTGGGAAGATGGGAGGAGTAAACACCTGCATAGAGTGGAGTCGAAGGTCCGTGCTCATCACAAGCGGACTTTGCTAGGTCTGAACCTGCCCTAGCACCGTCTCTTCTGTTTGGTGCCTTCCTCTTGCTGCCCTTCAGCACATCACACAGTCTTCTTCTGCTATTCTTCTTCACGCACCAGCTCTCAATCACACACAATGCCCTCCCCGCGGCGGTCAGGCCGCACGACCAGCACACCAGCCGATCGCAACTCGAGATGGCACAACAAATTGTCACCCCGCCAGAAGTCGCCCTCTCCCACAAACCTCTCCGACGACACTATGCACCCTCAGTCGGGTACCCTCAACTCTCCCGAAGAATCTCGCCAGACACGCAGAGCCACCAGAGCTCAGCACACACACTCCGACGACGTCGATCAACAGAGCCAGCCCAATGACGCAGAGGATGCCGACGGCGACGACGAGATTACCCGCTGTATCTGTGGCCTACAAGACTACCCAGGTCCACCTCTGACCGATGACTTCCCTACCATAACCGATCCTTCCCAAGCTGAAGATGCTGGTGGCCTGTTCATCCAGTGCGACAAGTGCCACGTCTGGCAGCACGGTGGCTGCGTCGGCATCATGGACGAGACAAAGAGCCCCGACAACTACTTTTGCGAGCTCTGCGACAAGAAACTACACAATGTCTTGACCGACCCAAAAGGGTGAGTCCTTGTCTCGCACACCTTCGCCGTCGCTCTTGACTGACATAACCCAGACNAACGCTACTCGCGCTACCTACCCGTCATGAAGCCCGAACCCAAGAGTGCACGGAAATCCTCCCTCACAAAAGAAACAGAGTCGGCAAAAGCTCGTAGAGAACAACGAGAAAGCCAAAACAGAGCCAGCGTGGAGTCGTCAACAGGCAAGAGGAGGTCTACAATGAACAGCCGCCAGGCCTATGACGACGAAGAGACATTACGTCGAATCATCGAAGAGACCAAGGATGTCGGCGAGTCAACCCCAGCAGTGCGCAAGGGAAAGCGCGGACGAGACGACAGCGAAGAGTGAGTAGAAGATCAGCTCCTTACAGCAAGCAAGCGGCTGACAGATTTCGACAGCTCCAGACACGAAATCAAGCGCCAACGGACGGGTTCGGAATCGCCCAATCCTCCATCGACCTTCAACACGGGCTCGTTGGACGCAGATTCAGACGACGACGGCACACACCCCAAGTCGAACAAGAAAGCACGTAGTGCAGCCGCCGAGGTCTTGAGACAAAGAGAAGCTAGAGAACGTGAGCGCATGCGTGATGAGAAGCGCAAAGAAGCTGCAGGAAGACGAAGCGAAAGAGCTGGACGAAGGAGAGCAGATGGTACGCTGGACCAAGACGACGAGCAAACAAGACCAATTGGATTGACTATTCACGCAGAGTCAGATCCGCTTGACGACACACCGAGACCCATGGGTACACCCATTCTGCCTGCATCACAGNCCTCCCAGCCCGCCTGCTTCAGCGCCACCGATGGCCCCAGAAAGTTCACACAAGAAGGGCACGGCCAAGAAGCAGAAACGGCTAGGTCGCAACCAATACTCGGCAGCGAAAGCNCACTTCAAATCCTACAGAGGCCACTTCAGTCAACCCGAACGCCAGCAGTGGCGATGACCCAACGACCAACAGCACGTCCGACTCCAAGAACAGCCCCAGCAGCAACAACGAAACACCCGCCANTAGCCACATCCGCACCTCCTGCCAAACCAAAACCCGGCAAATGGGGCGGTCGAGCCAAGAACCCGCGACAAGCCGCCATCCAAGAAGCCGAGATTGTCACCAAAGATAACCGCGAGAACAAGAGTCAAATGACCATAACCGACATGAAGAAACGGACAGGCATGATGATGGACTACATCGTAAAAGCACAGGTCGACATGGCCGGCGACCGCACACCACTGAATGCTCAACTGCAAGCCGAGCAATCTGCCGACTTCAAGGAGCTCAGCAGTAGGGAGATGATGGACGTCTTGACCAGACACATCATGACATGGCAANAGGAATATGCAGGCGAAGCTGCTACAACCACCACTGCCTCTTCGCTCGTCGTATGATAACAAGGACCCCTCGATGATGCACATTCACGGTGTTTTTACGAATAGGCGTTTTTTTTTTATAACAATTGGACAATGGCTACTACCACTACTATATGGGGCCCGGATCGGATTTGAACCCAGGGGCCATCTGGGTTGGGCGTTTTTCTTCTTTGCTTCTTTGCTTTCGTTTCTTTTCTTCTCTTCGCTTTGCTTTTGGCTTCCTGGCAGAGCACACTATGATACAGTACTGGATCTTCACGTCTTTGCTCTGTTTACGTTAGACAAGGTTAATATGTCATATGTTTCTGCAATCTTGTGTCTATTGGCTTTGATAATAATGAGGTTAAACGTGTTTTGTTCATCATATATATATATGCCCAACGACCTCGAAATCCACTTCTGCTCCTTGCTCATATCTCAAATGTACTCTTAACGCATAGTGGGCATGACACTCTCAGCCTTTGTAGCAATGGCATCCTCGCTCCTCCACAAACTCGTCACGGTCTTTGTCTGGGTGAAAAAGGCAAGACCGGGCTTGCCGTANAAGGTGCTGGCACCGCCGCCAGCGACAGATTTCTTGTTTCCGGTAAAGGAGAACATGGGGAGGGGCACGGGGATGGGGACGTTGATGCCGACTTGGCCGGCTTCAATGTCGCGTTGGAAGCGTGCGGCTGTGGAGCCCGAGTTTGTGAAGATGGCGACACCNCTGGGAGATGTATGGTTAGCATTACTTCTGGAGGGGTTTGGAAGAGAAGGGGGTGTGAATCTTACGTTTCCGTACTCGTTGGCGTTGATGAGATCGACGGCCTCCTCGAGCGTGTCAACTGACAGACATACAAGCACAGGACCAAAGATCTCTTCCTTGTAGCATGTCATGTCTTTTGTGACGTCTGTGATGATGGTCGGGCCAACAAAGTTGCCATTGGGGTACNNCTTTTCGGGCTTGCAGCCACGGCCGTCGAGGACGATGGTGGCACCTTCTTTCTCGGCGCTGGCAATCATGGACTCGATTCTCTCCTTTGCCTGTGGGCTGATGACGGGACCGAGTTCGGCATCCTTCTCGAAACCTCCATTGACGTTGAGAGCCTTAGCACGGTCGGCAATGTCGTCGACCCAGCTCTTAGTATCGCCGACAAAGACGACGGTGGACAGGGCCATGCATCGCTGGCCAGCGGCACCGAAAGCGGCACCTGCAATGGCGTTGATGGTGGCATTTCTGTTGCAGTCAGGGAGGACTGCAGCGTGGTTCTTNGCACCCAGGTTGGCCTGGACACGCTTGCCGTTGGCAGATCCACGGGTGAAGATGTATTCACCAGCCTTGTTGCTGCCGACGAAGCTGATGGCCTTGATGGCGGGCTCGTCAATCATGAAGTCAACAGTCTTTGCAGCACCGTGAACGACATTGATGACACCAGGAGGGAAGCCGGCCTTCTCTGCAAGCTCACACAGGATCATCATGGCACCAGGGTCGCGCTCGGAAGGCTTGACGACAACCGTGTTGCCGGTGATGGTAGCGGTAGGAATGACCCACAGAGGGATCATGGCAGGAAAGTTGAAGGGGCAGATGGCAGCAACAACACCGAGGGGCTCCTTGTATGATCTTGTTTCCATGTCCTTGGCGACCTCGAGAACCTCGCCAGTCAACTGTGTTGTGATGCCGCATGCCGTCTCTGCGACCTGGAGTCCACGGAGGACGTCGCCCTTGGCATCGGCAAAGGTCTTGCCCTGCTCCAGAGTGATCGAGGCGGCCAGACGGTCCCAGTGCTCTCTGATCAGATGGACAAACTTGAACATGATCTGTTGTCTGTGCAGCAAGCTCGTAGCCTTCCATGCAGGGAAGGCCTTCTCGGCAGATGCCACGGCGGCCTTGAGCTCTTCGTCGGTGGACTGGGGCACGCGGGTGACGAGATTGTTGGTGGCAGGGTCGTGGAGATCGATCCATTGGGTGGCGTTGGAGGCTACGAACTTGTTGTCGAGGAAGTTCTGTGTGTCGATGGGTTGTTGGATCTGGTCATGGGTGGTGGGGTAGTCGGTGGCCGTGGATGCGAGGGCTGATGCTGTAGCAGGCCTCAAGTGTCTTGCAGAGACATGGAGCTTCCTGCCTCCCAGCTTGCATGTGTTGAGGGTTTGGCCGAGTCGCAGTGTGCTTGTCAACATGGGCCGGCTGACCCCAGGTTGTTGCACATAGACGCTCTGGAGAGCACGACGTGCTATCGCTCGACGACCTGCCATTGTGTGATGATACGAGGCACTTCTCTGTTTACTCTCCTGCTTTCTTGCAGAGAACAGAACTTGTTAAGAAGGTGCAGACTGCTTAGAGATGGACGGCAATTGCGGCCAATGCGGACTGCCCATCGGGTGGAGCTCTTTCCCTTATCACCACGCCTATCAATTGCGGGGTCCTTGCCGGGGCCGAGGTCGGGGAACGGGGTCGATGTTGGTGACGCCCTGTTCAACGTCAACGTTACTTGCAAATCGCAGACCAGTCATTCATGTCCGCAAGCATTATCTATCGTAAGAGCGAACCATGTTTATATTAGTGGAAATAGACAAACGCTTCGTTAACAACTCGTGAACTTCTTTTTACTTCCCTTCTCTTCCTTCCTCTCCTCATTCTTGAATCTTTATCACACCTTTTATTTGTGCACTTAAAGCTCATCTCTAACTCTAGCACTGACCGACTCGGCCACGCTGCTAGCTGATGAAGCTGCCTCCTGAGCCGCTTCTACCACTTTCGAAACCGAGTCATCGGTCGCCTTGCTTGCAGTCTCGCCGAACTCAGCCAGTCTGCTAGACGCACTAGCCATAGCGACTGACAGCCTGCTCTGAGCGCTCTCAAAAGCTCCCTTTTCGGATCCATAGATGGCACTGCTGGCTGCTGATGTAGCCGCCTCATACTGCTCGACAGCCTTTGAAACAACAGCATCGCGGTTCTCCGATGCGACCGATGCAATCGACGTGTAGATGCTGGCTGCTGCCGCAGTGGAGGGTGTTCCAAACAAGGCTTCACTGATAGCTTGCTGCGCAGACGAAGCAGCATCTGAGATCTGGCTCTGGGCCGCTTCGGCATAACCGGTAGTGGTTCCGTACACAGCCTCACTGGCGCGAGAGGCTACGTCGTTGTACGCGCTGCCAACAGCTTCAGTCATCTGTTCCACATTGCCCTTGGTAGTGCCGTAAATCTGGGCCGAGACAGCGTCGACTGCAGAATTGATTTGTTCATTGACATTGTCGAGAAGAGCCTCGACAGTTGGGGGCGGGGTGAAGGCCGACTCGTAGAATGAAGATGCACTGGCGTAAGCGTCTTGAGCATAGCTCGATGCACTCGATGCAATGGCTGGAGCACCGGTCGAATAAGCAGATTGAAGGCGGTTCCAAACACTTTCGGTAAACTCTGGCTCGCGTCCGTTGACCAGCTCATCGAACAGAGCAGAGACTGCGGCGTACTGTTCAACTACAGCGACAGTAGCTTGAGAAGCGTACTCGCCAGCTTGGGAGAAGAAGGGCGTGGGAGAACCATAGACTTGCTCACTGGCCTTGGACACCAGCATCTCCCAGTTTTCGCTTGCCTGAGAAGCAGCGGCTTCCGTCCAAGGAGTTTCGCTTCCATAGATGGCGGTGCTAGCAGCGCTGGCAATTGACTCGACAGATCTGGTTGATGTTCCATAGATTGCTCCACTCGCCTTGACACTCGCCATTGAAAACTGCTCACCAGCGGCTGAAACCGCCAATTCGTACTGTTCGAAAGCAGAGTCCAGGGCGGGCCCAGCATTAGAATTTGCCGATTCAAGGATGTTGTTCAGATTAGAGCTTGCAGCACTGTAAGCAGCATCGTACTGGCTCTGGGCAGAGGCAAGAAGGTTCTCGTACATGGCAGGCTGAGTGCCGTAAATAGCCTCACTGGCCTTCGATGAAGCGATAACGAGGTAAGAGGAGGCACTCGAAGTCGCAGCGTCGTAATGGCTCGAGGCCTGGTCAATCAAACTCTGAGCTGGAGATTGAGTGGTGCCGCTCACAACAGAACGTGCCGAGGAGAGAACACTGTCCATATTGCTTGAAGCAGCGTTGACGGCACTGCTGTACTGGCTCTGAGCGGCAGCAAGTACATTGGAATAGCCAGAAGTGGATGTAGGACGAGTGGCAACCATGTCTCTTCCAGCAGACTCAAAAGCTGAGTAGCGATCGTAAGCGTAACCCACCATCTCGTAGTACCTGCGCTGAGCATCTGCCAAGACGCCTTGTTGGACAGGTGTTGGCGAAGCGCCGACGGCGCTCTTAGCGTGTTCAAATTGAGCACTCGCGGACGAAAGACCTTCCTGAAGTCTCGAAGATGCTATCGACGAAATGGAAGACAGAGCTGACTGTACCGGATCTGCGATGGAGTTGGAGTAGACAGACTGTAGGGGGTCTGCGATAGAGCTCGAGTAGGCGGACTGCACCTCAGTGTAGATTGAGCTAGCTTGCGACTGGAAAGAGTCCACGTTGCTACTAGCGCCAGCAGTGATAGAAGCCGCTACTGATGCGACTTGAGATGCAACCGACTTAGTGGCAGGGATAGGTTCGCCATAGATAGCACTCGATGCGGCCGAGACTGCTGAGGCATATCTGTCACTAGCGACACTCGACAGTGACTCTCCGACACCTTGTTCGGTACCGAAGATGACACTGCTCGCTGCAGAGAGAGCCCTTTCGTACTGCTCACTAGCAAGAGATGTGACCGACTCGACACTGCCCTGAGTAGGAGCAGGCTTCAAAGCATCTTGGACTGCTTGGGTGAGCTGACTTGCTTGACTGCCAGCCTTTCCAAGGATGTCCTGGAGCTTGCTGGAGTAAGTGTTCTCGTCGTCAACGATATCGTCGTCAAGAACAATGGAACGTGCCGAAGGAACTGCCTGAGCCATCGCTCCGCCCCAAACCTTCTTTGAAGCCTGCGCAGAAACGTCAGATGCACTCTCGGAGACTTGAGACGCTACAGACGAGGCACTTGACGAGCCCTGCTGAGCAACTGAACTAATGCTCGAAGATGCTTCAGACACAATCGACGGAGCCGACACACTAGATGCAACCGAGGCAACGCTAGAAGAGGCATCACTGGCAAAAGAAACAACGCTAGACTTTGCAGATTTCAGACTCTTTGCCATCTCAGGGTCAAGAGATTGGTCAGCAACTCGTGAGCTAACCGAGCTGGCTGCAGAAGAAATACTCTCGATGACGGGTGTGTCACGGCCGACTACAGCCTCAGACACCTTTGTGGCAGCCTGTTCAGCGACACCAGGTTGGGTGCCCAGGACCGATTCCGATGCAATCGTGGCTGCGCTTTTAGCGCTCTCGGAAACAACTGAAATAATGCTTTCGACGGTTGGTTGCTCAGAGCCAAGAACCTTTTCGGACACCTTGGACGCTGCGCTCTTAACGGAACCAGTGCTTGTACCCAAGATAGCCTCAGATGCACTGGAGGCCATCTGCGAACCCTGAGAAGAAATGCTTGAGGCGGCTAGAGAACCCTGGGCGGACATGCTGGATGCAGCTTGAGAACCTTGAGAGGACATGCTGGAAGCTACCTGAGAGCCTTGAGAGGACAAGACCGATGTGGCCGAGTCAACTGTACCTTGAGAACTTCCAGCAACGGCCTCTTTGGCAGCAGAGATCTTGTCAGCAACTTGTTGCTTGGCCCAGGCAGCGGCAGCAGGAGCGTATTTTGTGTTAAAGTCATCTGAAGAGTCTCTAGCTTCCAGCTTCCATTGAGAAACGCTCTTGAGTCTGGCAAGTTCTTTGGCAGCGCCTTCAGCAACGGCCATGGCTCTATCTTCAATTGACTGAGCACTCTTCTTGGCCTCGGTGAGCTCGCTGGAGGTGGCAAGAGCGGCGACCTCATCACGACCCTTGCTCGAGGCTTTCTTGAGATCATTGTATTTGGTCCAGTCTCTGTGGGTGATGGCAGCATTGGAAGCCCAGCGTCTACCAATTTCCTGCAGACGGAGGTCACGAATGTTGTCAATAGTCTCAAGAGTAGAGTTTGCGGCAGCCTCGATGAGACGGGTAATATCCTTGTCAAAGGTCTGCTTCCAATCGCGGACGTTTTGAGCCTTTTGCTTGATGGTCTGACCAGCCTTCTTGACTTCCTTGTTGATGGTGTCTTGAGCGGATGAGATATCAGACTCCGAAGGCTCTTCGGGAAGACGTTCGATAACAGTTTCGACTCTTGCCTTGAGACTTCTAAAGGCTGACGAGGAACTTTCTTCCAGCTGGATAATCAAAGCCTCGCCAACACCGTTGGTTTGAGTCTCAACTTGGCGGTCGCAAATCTCATTAATACGCTCGCGGAGGTGGTCGAGTCCCTCACGCACGGCAATGGAGACATGCTCCTCCCAAACCTTCAAATCCTGTGAGAATTGTTCAGCAGCACTTGGCTCTTCCTCCGTGGGGGCCATTGAAGGCGAAGCAACGACGACGCTAGATGCTTTGGTCATGATGGACTCAACAACGGAACTAGCACTTGAGACGACAGCCGAAGGTGAGCTGGAGACAACGATGGACGAAGCGGACGAGGCCGAGGAGACGGAAGAAGAGGAAGAAGAGGCGGAACTCTCGGCGGACTCGACGGCGGCTTCAATCTTCTTCTCATCGCGGTAGCGACCGAGTCTCTGAGTGATCTTGAAGATTTGAGGCTCAACGTTCTCTCCATAGAGGACCTGTATCCTAGGCCAGATCTGTCGGCGAACAAAGGTGAAAGTCAAGTCGGTGCCCCAACGAGCGTAAGGCAAAGCGGTGTTGACGGAGAAACGATGGGCTTGGCCGTAGAACTTCTTGGCGTAGGGAGCAGTGTGTTTGTAGGCGGGCAGCAACTCGAGTTCGTAGAAGTCAGAAGCCGAGGCCTTGACGTTGGTGTAGTAAGGAGACACAGCGTCTTGAACCTTTTGGACGTGGGGACCTAGGGTAGAGTCGTACTGCTTCAGGGCGTGCTTACGGGCGACGTCCAGCTGGGGGCGGACGGATCGCTTCCACTCCTTGGTCGCGTAGGCCTGGACCTGAGCAGCACGAGGAGCGCCATGCTTTTGGGCAAAGGCAGCAGCAGGGACGTAGGCCTGGTCCTTGACACGGTCAAAGTAAGGTTGGGCTTGTTGAACGTAGGGGGCGGCATAGGTGTTGTAGTAGGGCTGAAGGTGAGGAACGGCAAAGTCTCTCAGCTGAAAGTAAGGCTCGCACACGTTGGGTGAGTCCTTGGTCAGTTGTTTGGGCGATGACGGGCAGCGGAAGACGACGGTCAGGAGCGTGTACCATATGGACAGTCTGNNCGGGCGAGTTAGCAATCACTAGTTGGACCAAGCAACCAATGCGAGCACACACCTCAAAGCTATGCTGATGAGTCGTGAGAAAAAGCCTCGTCTCTTGACCTGACGCCCTCTTGATGATGATGTCGAGATGGAGCCGTTCGGCGCCTTCTCGTTTCGGATGGCCATGGTGACAAGAACAGATCAGACCTGCATAGAGCTTGTTGGAGGGACCAGGGCAGCGCGTGCGGATGAGATACAGGTGACAGACGGCGGACTCGTCTTATTAGCACAAACTTGTTGTGGTGCTCAGGGGAGAGTGACGAGCAAACCGGGCAGCTTGTGCTTGTGCTCCAACTTGCTTCTGCGCCTGCTCTTGCTCGCGTGCGCCGCAGCAAATGCGCCTCGACGTCAGCGTCTCGGCCACTAGCCTGCTTCAAAGAAACCCTGATATCCACACTTGCCCATATCATGTCCCGCTGTGCATTATCATTATTGCTACTTGCTGCTTGAATACATACAGGATATAGAATATTACACACTCTTCTCAAAGCCCTCGTGATGAAGCAACACTGAACCATCGAGTGACCATTGTGAAGATAAATCCGCCAGCAAAGAGATGGGGGAGCAGTTCCTGAAACGCGGTCTTGGCTTTTCACGTGCACGCTTCGGGGGTCCACATCGAGTAGTGCTATTGGTGGTCGTTGTTGCTCTTTCCACTTTGTCTTGTCGTGTAAGCAAGTACCTGCCTGCACAACTTCAGAGAAGCATCGTCGTCCGCTATCTACCAGCCTCGACTCGCCCGTATTAAATGTCGCCCTGAAGACACGATCCCGCCTCGACGGCCTTCCCTAAGCCACTCGCTTCCTCCCTGACGGCATCCCAAAATGTCGACCACAGACCCCGCGTCCTCACCGGACATCATGAACGATCCGCAATTCGACCCTTCCGAGACCAGCGACAAGTCGCCTGCTGAGGGCGACACGTGCAGGATATGTCGTAGCGAGGGTTCCGCCGCAGAGCCGCTCTTCTACCCCTGCAAGTGCAGTGGCAGCATCAAGTTCGTCCATCAGGACTGCTTGATGGAGTGGCTGTCGCACTCCAACAAGAAGCACTGCGAGCTCTGCAAGACGCCCTTCCGCTTCACAAAGCTCTACGACTCGCACATGCCTCAAACCCTTCCGCTGCCCATTTTCGCAAAGAGAGCCTGCCTGCACACCTTGAACTACCTGTTGACCTGGGCTCGCGCTGTCACTGTCGCCCTTGTCTGGCTTGTTCTACTCCCTTGGTGCATCCGTTGGTCATGGAGAGGTCTCTTCTGGATCTTGGACGCAGGATGGGCAAGAGACCCTTGGCTGGCGAAGATGGCCCATGCTGCCCACCAAAATAATAGCTCGACCTCTGCAAACGCCGCTCCTGCCGACAAGGAACCCTTCGGTCTAAGCCTGGGCAAGTTCCTAGTGAACACTCTATTTTATCCATTGAAGCCCCTCGGCCAACCAGCCATGTACTCTGCTCTAAACACACAGCCCGAAGCCTCGTTCGTACCACCTTATTCTAGCTTGCTGTCTGACGTCAAGGCTGTAAATAATCTGACATCTCATGTCTGGCTCAACCGCTTTATCCTCGATGTGCTCGAGGGCGACATAATCACCATCAACGTTGTAGTCGCATTCATTCTCGTTTTTCTGATTCGGGAGTGGGTCGTTCAACAGCAACCCATTATTAACGCTGCCGCTCACATTCGCGATGCAGAGATACAACTGGATGTAGCTGAACGAGCTGCTCAACGTCTACAGGATCTCGAGGCTGCTGCATTGCAAGACGAGACTCTTCGGCCTGCAGTAGAGCGTTATCGGCATATTTTTGACCAGCTTCCGGGCGACCGTGAATATCCCGAAGTTGACAGTACACAGTTCATTGGCTGGTATTCGATGGAAACTCTTATGGATAATGCAGGAATGCCTCATGAATTTGAGGGCGAGGACCATGAGGACTTCATGGAAGGATTCGAGGAAGCTGGCGAGGAACTCCTCGAACAGATCAAACTTGCTGAAGACTCCGGTATATCCCGCGCTGATATTGCGGAGAATTTATGGGCTATTCTGGACAATCTAGATCCTACTGAAAAGGATCTCTGGCGCAAATATCTGCTTAGAGAGGGTGAAACTAAGTACATGTTGTTGAGCAATCTTCCTCATGACAAGATTGGTTTCTCCGATGATGAACATTCTGGAGCAGGACCTGCGCCTGTTGAATCTGAGGCGGAAAGCGACACAGATGATGACAATGCGGACGAGCCCCGCAGACGACCGGCAATGCTTCCAAGGGACGCATCCTCACATGCCCAGAGGGTTATACAGTCGCTTGAGGAGCCCTCAAACAACTCTGAGAATGGTGATCATAGGGATAATGAGCTCGATGGTGAAAGCAGCAGCGGGAGTTGGCAATCAATCACGGCTTCTTCCAACTCAGAGCCACCGGATANNCCACAACAACACCGCATTCTGCCTTGCCCATCACGGACAATTTGCGAAACAATCAGGGAACCACTTCTGATAACACAACAGGCCGTGAGCGTACGACCGAATCTCAACCTGCAGATGCCACCACAGAGTCAAACGAGAATCCTTCTGATGAAATTGTATCTCATAATTCNNACCAGAACAAACAGTGCAAGTCTCAGCAGAAGGCTCTTCGATTGATGCGCAGCGTGCAGCACAAAGTCATACAGAAGACCCAATGATGCCANNCAGCAAAACATGGTCTCTCAGTCAATACAGCCTGCTGAGTCACACAGGGGCCCGATCTCTAGATTATTTGACTGGTTCTGGGCTGACATCGTGGTTGAGGAGGATGAGAACGACCCCTTGCCTGGTATCTTCGACGAAGAGATCGTCCGCAATGAGGCAGAAGAAGCACCTTTTGTTCACGTCCATGGTGGAGAGCATGTCCACGAACCCGAAAATGCGCCGGACCCTGACGTCCTTCAAGCTGCGGCTGACGCTGGTTTGGATGCTGAAGCCATCGAAGATGCTGAGGATCTTGAGGGTGTCCTCGAGTTAATTGGCATGCAAGGCCCCTTAGCTGGATTGGCGCAAACAGCCGTTNTTTGTGGCTTCCTGATCACAGCTACCCTTTGGATTGCCATTGGCGTACCATACTTTTTCGGAAAGATTGCTCTACTCTTCCTCGGTGATCCGATCACATCTATGATCATGACTCCGCTGCGCCTTGTTTCTGCGGTTGCAGATGCGATTGTGGACATCACTGTCTATGTTGGCGGCGCAGCTACGTACTTTGGTTCCCAGATGCTGACGCAACTACTCTCCGTTCTCCTTGGCTCTATCTTTCAAAAGCTGGGCCTCGGATATGTGGAGTCTTTGGCAAAGCGCGCTCACCATGCAGCGAACGGGGCTGGCGTACGTCTGACTGAACTATTCGATGGTGACGGACCAGTTGAGCTTGGGCCATTGATGAAATCCATGCAGGCACGTCAATCCCTTTTGAGCCTGAAAGCGGAAGCTGCTCAGATGGTGGGATTTGTTGTCAGAGGTGTATCGGGTATTCTGTATCACATGCAGAACTCGACCGCACCAGATATGCTCAAAGTCATCCACGAAACAGCTGCAAGATCATTCCAGCATACAGCGGCAAGCTTCACTTGGATCCGTACAATTCTCCGAGAAGGACTGTCTGAAGCTGTAAGCGATGGGACTTTCACCTTCACCATCAAGCAAGATGACAGCACTCTGGATCCCTCGTTGGCTGTCTGGACCAACGAAGATCGCTGTTTGACAGTCTTGGTTGGATACATTCTACTCGCCATGATCGGCACAATGTATCTGTTGCGCAAAGACTCGCTCTTCAGCTCACCAAGCCTGCAAAGTATCGAAAAGAGCTTTGCGGATCTCCTCAAGCAAGCCGGTGGTGTACTCAAGGTCATTTTGATCATCAGCATCGAAATGCTCGCGTTTCCACTTTACTGCGGCATGCTTCTGGATTCTGCTTTGCTTCCACTTTTCGAGAATGCATCACTCGCTTCCCGACTTGCATTTGCCAGCCGCTCTCCGTGGCTGTTTGTATTCTTGCATTGGTTCATTGGCACTTGCTACATGTTCCATTTTGCGCTATTCGTTTCGATGTGTCGGAGAGTCTTGCGTAGTGGAGTTCTTTACTTTATAAGAGATCCCGATGATCCAACCTTTCACCCAGTTCGTGACGTCCTGGAGCGCAGTGTCACCACCCAGCTTCGCAAGATCGCGTTCAGTGGACTTGTGTATGGTGGACTGGTGATCGTCTGCCTTGGCGGTGCTATTTGGGGCACTTCACGATTTGGAGTGTTTCCCATCCGATGGGCCAGGCCAGAGGCGGATCTCGAGTTCCCCATCGACTTCCTAGGATACAACCTCCTCGCTCCTGTGGTAGCTGCCTACCTATTTCCTTCCAAAGGAATGGAGAAAGTCTTTGGCAAATGGCTCAAGCTCTGTGCCCGTTCTCTACGACTTTCTCAATTCCTCTTCGGCGAACGACGCAAGATCGAAGAAGGTCATCTGCAAGGAGAATCGTGGATCAGCAAACTCAATCCTTGGAAAGACCAGCGCGCAATTGTAAGATCCAAGAACTTTGTCAAGGATGGCAAGTACGTTCGAGCACCTGCCACCGATCAGGTTAGGATCCCTCGAGGCGAAAGGGTGTTCTTGGAGGTCAACGAAGACGACCAACGAGTGGATGGTTCAAATATCAGCAATGGTATTCATGGGCGACAACCCGAGAACTTTATCCAGGTGTATATCCCACCATGGTTCCGCGTACGAATTCTCACATTCATCTCGTGTCTGTGGATGTTTGCCATCGCCATGGGCTTTGGAGTCACTGTCGTTCCAATGATCTTTGGACGTCAGATTGTTTCAATCATGGCTCCTCATCGCGTTGCACCCAACGATTTATACAACTTTGCTGTCGGCATCACCGTCCTGGGAGTAGTGCTCCAAGCTCTCTTTAACGGACAAAGGGCATTGGAAAGTATCAGGCACACAACCTCGAGACAGAATTTGGCTGCTGTCGGCGTCAACGTTAGAAAGCAGACTTGGCGTTTGGTTCGAAGCGCTTATGTGTACGGATTTGCTGTGGTCATTGTCCCGACTCTCTTCGCCCTGGTCTTGGAGCTCTATTTTATTCTGCCACTTCGCACCTATATGGGTCCGGCAGCTCTCACTCAGGNNGGGAGCGCGAGTGCCGTTCCGGACCACTCGCTAGGAGCCCAGGTCACACTGAATAACACAACGCTCGCAGACTTCGCAAAGGCACAAACTGCGGAACTGGTAGTGGCATCGCACACTTTCCACATCCTCCAAGACTGGACTTTAGGATTCATCTACGGGAGAGTTGTTTTGCGTCTGCTGCTCCTGTCACGTACTTCTCGCCCCGCTGCGGCATTGCGAATGATTACCCGCGATGGATTCACTAATCCCAACGTCAAATTGGCTACTCGTGCATTTGTGTTGCCAACACTACTGCTGTTCTCAATCATCTTGATCTGTCCTCTCCTGATTGCGTCGGTTCTGGATGTCACGAACTTGATATCTGACAGTATCCGTACCAAGGTCTATCGATATAGCTATCCGATATGTGCCAGCCAGGTACTAGGTTTGTGGTGTACTTGGGAGTTGAGCGAGGGACTGCGTCGATGGAGAGGTCGCATCAAGGATGAAGTGTACCTCATCGGAGAGCGACTCCACAACCTGGGTGAGAGAAGGCCACCAGAGGGTAGCAAGAGCGTCGTTCGCAGACATAGCTAGCAGACCTGACAAGTTGAAGGGGTCATGAGCGTTGGTGAAACAAGTATGGTAACATTCTTTGACGTAATTTTTTGTACAAAACCTGAGACCAGCCTAGGCCAAACGCCGCCCTATGCATAGAATATACAGAAAGTGATAAAAGATGGTTTTAGAAACCAGGAGGGTTCACGCGCTGAGAGACTCTGGTCCACTTGGGCAGCTCTGGAAGAAGAGGGTCAGTGAGAGTTTCAAAGGTCAAGGTTGGTACAGAGGTCGACTCACTGTGGATACCCTTTCTGTACTTCTTCTCCTTGCGGTCGAACATTGTGTATTTGTCTCTTGGCAGCATCTCGGCTTCGGTGGGCATGTCGGCCTTCCATCGCTCGATCAGCTTGATGGTACCCATCTTCCTAGCCTGGTCTGCAGTCATGGTAACGGTGCCCATAGGCAGGCTACCACTGAGGATTTCGCCCTGCCTCGGGCCCCTGCCATGTCTACGGTCGTTGAGAGGAGTGTTGGTCTCTGCATTCATCAAGCGCTGGCCCTGGGCGGTTTGAGCGAGCTCCTCGGTGGTGGCCTGGGTGGCGCCGATTCCCTTTGTGGCAGTGGTGGCGGGTTGTGACTGGACCTGTCTTTGAAGAGCACTGTCGAGGACGGAAACGATGTTGTCGACACGACGCAGGCGACGGCGCTGGCGCAACTTTTGCGGTGCCGAAAGTCGCCATGGGATTTTCNNCTACCGTCGCGTGTCAGTGGTGTTGGCTTGCGCACATGATACGAGAAGCTGTGCATACCAGAGCAGGCCTCCTGATAGAGCCGAGGTGGGTTTGAATGCGCCGAACATGATGGATTGGTGACTGGTTGCAATGCGCAATTCTCAAAAGATTCGTAGTCGTCGCTGACGCCTCGGTGGTGCCAAGACATCTCCCCGGTCAGTCGTGACTTCCTCCGTCAACACCAACAGGGAGTCGCTTCGTTTTGCGAGAGCTCTGAGGCCTGTTTACCTTTTCGCTGTCGAACATCTTACAGAGTCACACGCTTGCTCAGCATACGACTAACGCAATGTCATACTACTTTACTATCATCGGCACGAGGGACAACCCTCTCTTCGAACATGAGTTTGGCACTTCCAAGGCTGGTGGAGACGGCATTGCCCGCTTTCGTGATGAGGCCAGACACATGAACCAATTCATCGTCCACAGCAGTCTCGACATTGTCGAAGAAGTCCAATGGGGAAATAATGGGCTGTATGTCGTTTTTATCCCTTTGAATCTCACCACATTCCCAACTTCAACTGACATTGTCTGAGAAGTTNATCTCAAGAATGTTGATCGCTTTCAAAACAATCACATCCACTGCTTCATGACTGGCGGAAATGTCAAATTCATGTTGCTCATGAATCCTGATCCCTCATCTACCACCTACTCTACCTATCCAGCTGCTGCGCCGCCAAGACAACATCCTTCTATCAACGCTAGGCAGAGCACATTACTGGCCAACAATCCGAGTAGTGCCCAAACAGAGGAAGCCGTCAGGCAATTCATGACCGACGTATACGAAGCCTGGATCAAATGCATCATGAATCCATTCTATGTCGTCAACGCTCCCGTTACCAGTCCGGTTTTCAGGGGTCGTGTGGCTGCTGCTGCAAAGAAATATCTCTGAGCGGTCCAAACGGACGACTTGCTGCCCTTGGCTTTGATATCCGCGCTGTTGGGGCAATCCGAGCTCCGATGCCACGAATTCGACTACACACCAATTTTCCCGCCTTACCACCCATGGCTCACATCTTGCTAAAGGGATTTATTGCGGCAAATCCAGATTCACCTTACAAATCAATCTCACGGTGCGGCTTTGACCTTGTATTGGCATCACATATGAGAGCCCCAGCTTTTGCGTTTCTAGGGTGACCCTGGCATCAATCTCTCCATCCACTCCAAAGAACATTCCGTCTAGAGTCTGATGCGGATCTCAGTCAGCCCTCTCTGTTCCGTCTCGAACTTCCAGAAAGATGCCTGGGTGGGTATGGAGTGATCTACCAAGGTCAGGAACCGTGTCAGCAACAGACGCCAATCTCATGCATGATCGTCCCGGCCTTGATCTACAATGTTACAATCGCAATCTTACGGGATTGAGCCGATTGACGAACATCGCAGCGCTCGTTGCAATCAGCTTTGAGATCCATGATCGCCGATCACTGACCACCGTGTTGCGTTGAACACGAGAGACGAACAATATAGAGCCAGGACTTGGTGGCAGCAGAGCTCTGTCTATCAATACTGAGTAATCTTTCCCAGATCAATTTTTCCTTTTGCCTCTTGTCTCTTTCGAGACCGTCTTTGACATGTCGTCTAATCCTTTTACGAACACTTGTATACAGGCATTCCCACGACTGTAGTTTGATGGTGTTCGGAAATTGCACTACATTGACCAATCGGCATCACTGCTTGTCCAACATTGCATCCACACGGGAAGACCACCAGAGAGGCTCCACATAAGCGCAAAACTTGGCTTTCAGATATAGTCCACATGCTCAGCGCCACGACATAAGCCATGACACGAAGCCTATCTGGTCTCCACTCTTCTTCTGTTCATAATTTGGGAACAAACCGATAGCGACTCTTGGTGCACCCGCTGCTTCGGGCTGACCGAAACACATCTCGTTTGACCGTCTTGGCGAGATATGAGCAAGCTCCGGCGTCATTGCTGTTGAGCCGTGTGATAATTGCGACAAGTACATCGACGCCATTTGATTGAAGTCGACCGTACCGCTGGGAAGCAATGACGACGAGGAGTACACTTGGCCCAAACAGCACAACTAAAAGTTTTGGTTCTCTTCCCAAGGATGCCTTCGATAACAATACGTATTTTCTGGCCGAACAAGACAGATCAAAGGCCATTGCGCAAGTGGCGGCGCCGAATATACCGTGTATTCCCTATAAGGAACTGAAGCGCGAAGTAGGCCACGCCAAGGCAGACCCTCATTTACTGTAGATCCCTACATGTATTCCTTCGTGCAGCCACATGTTAACGGTACAGAGCCGAGCAACTCCGACGAGTGCGAAGGCCACGGCACTCGGTGCCGACGTGTCGCGTACAGCTAGCGCCCGTTTCGCTGCAGGATCTCAGACAACGTCCGGCCAAGTTGAGGCTTTGTGGGGGCTCCAACCTCACACCACCACGACCAGTCGCAACTCAACGACTATTGTTCCTTTACAGTGATCTAGGATCGGTATCTTCTTGGTAGACAGCCACAATGACGAGCATCTCATCTACCGATGGACCTGCATACCATCGGACCAGATCTCTGGGACCGACGTAGCTATACCAACAGCACATAATTTCACTCTTCGATCTGTCTACTCTACGCCCATTGTGTAACAACAGCTGTCAGTCAAACTCACCCCAGACTTGAGCGATATTCATACTTTGACCGACACAACCTTCGCAGCTTGACGTACCGCGCGCCTCCTCTAACCTATAGCGATTGTCCTCATTCGTATAACGTAGCCCACAGTGGGTTCAAAGGACCGCCACAAAAGGTCAGGTGTAGGATCGCCCGTTTGAAGATCTCTATGTTCGCTTTCGTAAACGCTTCTTCTGCCAGGAACTGTATCGTAATTTGCGCCATGTCTTTGCCTATCTGGGCACAGGGTCTGCTGTCACAATGAGCACAGGGTTCGCTTTGACATTGATCTGCATATTTGGTCTCGAAAGAGGATTGGAAGATCCAACAGACACATGTCGCCCCCGCTTCCAGGCCATTGTGCCTAGCCCGTCGATAGTACACTCTCAGTGACATTCCCGATGGCAGCGTGCCGTCCTTTCATGACTTCAGGCCCAAAGTAGTCACGAAGCACCTTTGACATGGCCATGAGCATTGTACAAACCCTTCCAAGACTCGATCTCGTGATTGCTTGGAAAGTGGGCTCCAAGAAAACGTTGTTAAGGATCACGGTCGTTCTCTCCACCATACTGTCTCTCCTTACTGCCCGCCCAGTGCAATCACTTCCAATCTCCCTGAGAGGTTTCACTCTATCAACGGTGGTGATGTCCAATAGACAGACTCCTTACCGATATAGACCCCACAACATACCTATCACTGTCTGAAACATTCTAATGAACGAGTCGATAGTCATAACGAAACACCGCAGATCACTCGCAGATGATGTTGATGCAGCCTGGAGATTGGATCACAACATGGCGAATCTACGACAAGAGGTAGGTATATATGGAGACTTGGTCCTCAGCAAGTCATCCTCTCTGATCATCAAGCGACTCATCTCTTCTACTGTTTGACGACCTCCTCTCATCATTCATCATTTCCCTTATTTGAACAACAAGATGCGTTTCGCCGGCCTTTCGGCGCTTACGCTGCTTTTGGCCAGCTCTTCGGCCATCCCAACGAAGAGACAAGCTCTCATCGATAGCATTGGGGATTCCAGTCTCGATGATGTGATTGCTGATATCAAGAACAACGGCAATATAAGTCTGCTCGGTGACCTTCTTGAGGTTGCTATTGGTGCCCTTTCATCAGAAGCCTCTGCTGTTGCCGAGTGTTACAACCCATCTGCCTCTTCAGGCCTGGGCGCTGGCTCATCGGGCTCTGGCTCTGGATCTTTGGGCGCTGGAGTTGGTGGGGGTGTAGATTCTCCTGCTTCCCAGCTCGGTCAGCTGCTTGGCTCCATTGCCTCTGAGGCCACGTCGGTTCCCACTGCTGTTGGACAACAAGCTGCAGATGCTGCTTCGTCCGCGCTTGGTTTCCTCACAGCAAACCCGAGCGCATCAGTTGCACCAGCAATCAGTGGTCTATTGTCCTCAATCGCCGGTAATCCTAGTGCAACTATTCCCACCGATGTCGCCTCTTCTCTCCTCAACGCAGCAAGCGGTGCACCATCTCAACTTTCTTCCCTCCTTGGCTCCGTTGCCTCTGATGCCACGTCGGTTCCCACTGCTGTTGGACAACAAGCAGCCAACGCTGCTTCTTCCGCGCTTGGTTTCCTTTCCTCCGCAAACCCGAGCGTGTCAGTCTCACCAGAAATCTCCGGTCTACTGTCATCAATCGCCGCCAACCCTAGTGGAACTATCCCCGCCAACGTTGCTTCTTCTTTGGCCAATGCTGCCTCGTCCGTGGTGGCCAGTCTTCCCAGTATTACCGCTGGAGCTGGGCTTGGAGGTGGTGTTGGTGTAGGAAACGGCGGAAACGGTGTTGGAGGCTCTGCTGGAGGTTCTTTCTCTGTGAATCCTGGTCTTGTCTCTTTCGCTTCAAGTCTACTCTCTGACCCCGCCGTTACTGGTGCCCCCGCGCTGTCCTCGGCCATTGGCTCTCTGACCAACCCTGGTGCATCGATTGGACCTTCATTGTCTTCCGCCTTGTCCTCGCTTCTTGGCAACCCATCTGCATCTCTCCCTACTGGCGCTGTCAGCTCGTTGGTTAGTGCGATCTCATCTGCAAATGCCCCCGGCGGAGGTGTTGCCTCGCCAGTGACAAACACTCGTGGAAGCGTTTCCTCGGCACCATCTGCCTCATCAACTCCGATCGTCTGTCCATTCACCAGTGATTCGAAGTACTCAGCATTGGGCTCACAATTCACTCGTTATTGTAACCAGTTCTATGGTGGCACTGTTTTGAACTTGGGCAATGTTGTCTCGAAGAGACAAGCTGTGGGCTCGCTCAATGGTTGTGCTAACATTTGCTCACCCAACGCCCGTTGCCTTGGTACCGCATATGATCCTAGCACTGGCTCATGTACCTTCTACAGCTCCCTTACAAATGGTGTTACCCGCAATGGTATCATGTTTGCTCTGCGCTCGGATGCCGCATCCTCTATCTTGCCTCCCGTTTCCGCAAGCGCGACTGCCGGAGTATCGGCCGGTGTCTCTGGCGGTCTTCCTAGTGGTGTTTTGTCAAGTCTCGCATCTGAAGCATCCACCGCCACTGGTGCTGTTGGCAGCCAGCTTTCTTCCCTCGTATCACAGCTTTCGACCGCTAGTGCTATCAACACTGGTGCATTGAGCTCTCTGCTCTCTCAACTACCCACCGCAACTTCGTTGCCTTCTGGCTTGATCTCGTCAGCTATCAACGCGGGATCCTCGAGTTCAAGGCCCTCTCTTCCAGGCTTCTCTGCTGTTCCCAGTGGTGTTCTATCTAGCCTTGCATCTGAAGCCTCTACTGCTACCGGCATCATTGGAAGTCAGCTCTCGTCCCTAGTTTCGCAGCTTTCGACTGCGAGCGGTATCAACACTGGTGCATTGAGCTCTCTTATCTCCGAGTTGCCTACAGCCACCTCTATCCCCTCGGGCTTGGTTTCCTCCATTGTTGATCCTGCAGCTACTTCCAGAATCCCATCTCAAGTCTCATCTATCATTGGTGATCTGACTAGCGCAACCTCTCTTGGATCAAGCGTACTCAGTTCAATCGCCAGCGAAATCACTGCAATTCCCACCGATATTTTGCCTTCTGGTGTGGCCTCCTCTTTGGCATCCGAGGTCAGCGGAATCAACACCGCCGTGGATCCCAGCAGCGCTCTTTCCTCTGTTTTGAGTCAGATCACGGATCCCGCATCTTCCATCATCAATGTTGGTACTACTTCGGCAAGACCTTCCCTCCCCGGATTCTCTTCAGTCGTTTCGTCTGTCGTAGGAGACTTGACCAGTGCAACATCTCTCGGTTCAAGCGTCATCTCATCAGTAATCAGTCAGATCACCGGTCAGCCGACTGATGTTCTGCCAACAGACGTGGCATCTTCTCTTGCTTCTGAAGTGAGCGGTATCACTACTGCTGTTGATCCTTCGAGCGCCATTAGCTCAATCTTGAGTCAAGCCACCAACCCTATCTCTTCTGATGTGTCTGGTATCACTAGCGGAATTTTCCTGCCCCCTGGCTCAACCGCGTCCTCAATCTCAACCAGCTGCGGAGGCGCTCTGGTCGACTTGTGCGTCACTGTCGGTCTTCTGAACGGTGTCAATGTGAACCTTGGAATTGGCGGCTCTGCAGGCGCTACCCCAACCACCTATTCTGGTGCTAGCGGTCTGTACACTGCAACATCAACTCAGTGCTCAGGACTTGTATGCCTCGCACTAGGACTTGGCCCATCCGCCACCGCAACTTTGGGAGTTCTCGAACGTGATGGCACAATTCTTGAGCTTGGAGCTGGCGCCAGTGGATCTCCTTCAATCACGAGCCCTGCAGTTATCCCTACCAGTACGATCATCGATGGCAATACTATCACTGCTATCTCCAGATCATGTGGAACTGGCGCTCTCCTCGGGGTTTGTGCGTCCTTTGGTCTTGGACCTGCCGGCACCATCAGTCTGGGTGCCGATGTTCTTCCCTCTAGCGGAATCGTCAGTGCAGGTGTCAGCGCTACCTTGCTCCCTTCCTTGACGAACGGCCAAGTCGTACCTACCACCTTCGTGACTAATGGCAACACTATCACGGCGGTCTCGAAATCGTGTACTGGAAACGTCGTTGATACCTGCGTTACCTTGGGTTTAGGCAATCTTGGAACCATTTCTCTTAATGCTGGCGTTCTTCCCACAGGATCATCCGGCGGTCTAGGAAGCGTCGGTATTGGTGCGACTCAAGGATCATCTGGCACAACTGCCGCACCCTCGGTCACAAGCCCTGCTGTTCTGACTACTATCAGTGGCAAACCCATTACCTCTTTCTCCACCTCGTGCGGCACTGGTTCACTCCTTAATGTGTGCGCAACCGTCGCCCTAGGCCCTCTTGGAGACTTGAATCTCAATGCCGGCGTTCTTGGCTCGAGTGGACTCGCTGATGCCTCTGTTGGCGCCACTGTACTTCCTACAGGATCGTCCAACACCATCAGCGCTGCACCATCGATCACAAGCCCTGCTGTTTTGACCACAATCAGCGGCAAGCCCATAACCTCTTTCTCTACCTCGTGCGGAACTGGTTCGCTCGTCAACGTATGTGCAACCGTCGCCCTAGGTCCTCTTGGAGACTTAAACCTCAATGCTGGCGTTCTTGGCTCAAGTGGAGTCGTTGATGCCTCTGTCGGCGCCACGGTTCTTCCCACAGCCTCAGGAGTTTCAGCAGGATCCAACACCATTACCTCTGCTGCTTCAATCACCAGCGCCCCTACTTTGACTACAATCGACGGCAAACCGATCACCGGTTACTCCACTTCGTGCGGCACTGGCTCACTCGTCAACGTGTGTGCTACCGTTGCCCTAGGTCCCCTTGGCAATTTGAATTTGAATGCTGGCCTTCTCGGATCGAACGGACTCGCCGGCGCTTCTCTTGGAGCCACTGTGCTTCCTACAACATACACAACCGTTCGCACGACATCCAACTGTGGTCTCGTGAATCTCGGCGGTCTGCTAGGCTCAACATCACGTTGTTCTACGTACCCCGTCACTGTCATTGTAACTGCGACCGCCAATGTGCAGGCGCGCGCACCCACCACTCTTGCAACAGCTATTCGCAAGTAAACTCGAAATGATTTGATTATTGATGACGGCGTTTTTTTTTTTCCCTGGGCACTCACGAACCTTTTCGTATTACTCTCTCTTCTAATTTTTTCATTTGTCTCTTATCTTCTTTTACTCTGTAGTAGTATTTCTGTAACTTTTATCTACAACTACGAATACGAACCATCTATCAAGATTATTGCCTTTTACTTCTTCGTTCTTTGCTTATTCCTCTGAGTACTGTGCTGATGACATATCTTCCGTCCCATATTGGGTATAAAATCACAGCCATCATGGCGGCAAAGTGCCAGATGATCGCCATAGTCACCCAGCCTTTGAAGAAGGATAGTGTAAAAATCCAGTCTCGATACAAGGGTACCGGCCAGAGAACCACCGTGACGAGTAGATTGAGAACAAAATATCCGGCGGCATAGTTTCTCCACTTCTTGACGTGGCGGATGGTTTGGTCATTGAAGGGGTGAGTGATATCGTCGAGGCTACCACTATTGGTCGAGAATGATGTGGCAGGGCTGACGAGTCCACTCTTTGCTTCTGCATCAATAGAACTCTGGTCTTTTTCGCCGATGACCGGTGGAACAGTCTTAGCTGACTGGTCAAGGTTAGTGATATCCTCTTTGCTTTCTTGGAGTGAAGGTGTGTTGGGCTGAGTGCTATCTTCAATCAAATCAATCCTCAAGAACTCTCTCCAGTCAAATCTGCTCGGTCGTACAAGAGAGATGACGACGGAGAATAATGCAGGCGAGAAGAATGACACGGTCGCTCCGTAGAGACCAGGTAGTTGTTGTTGAGTTGTCTGGATATCAATCTTTCCTCCCCAAACATAGGATAAACTCAGCCAAGTCGCAACACCTGATATCAAGCCTAGGACTGGTGACAAGATGGCGGCTGCTTTTGTTTGACGTGACCAGAGTAAAGTCAGCATGAGAGGGAATATGCCAGGACAGGCCACGATGGGTCTAGAGTATGTCGACCAATTGTTTGTTGCTCCAGCATGCTGCAACATGATTGCAAAGCCTGCCATGAAGCAGCCATGGCCAACAACACCATAGTGGCTAACTTTCAGAACCTTGCGATCAGAAGCCTTAGGGTTGATATATGACCGGTAGAAATCGAGTGATATGATACTCGAGACAGCGATCACGGAAGATGATACCGTAGAAGTGATAGCCATGAAGATAAGCACCAAAAGACCAGTCGTGGCACCTTGGCCGAGCAAAGAGCGAAGCACGAATGGCATAACCAGTCCACTATTGACTTGTGTCTCTGTCAGAAGATTCGGATAGTCAAACCAGATTGGTGTTTTCTCGATAGCTCTCGCAGCGAGTCCAATGATGGTGCCAGTGCACCAAGGTACAGCAAGGATGACCACAGAAACCAAGTCGTAGGCAGGCACGACCGACTCGACCTCGGAAGCAAAACTCTTCTGCCTGAAAGCTGTATCCATGAGCACCAGAGCTAGGTTTCCGAATTTGAGGACCAGTCCGAAGAGTACAGCTAGGTTTGATCAATAAACAGCATTGGTTTTGACAGATTGAGACAACATACCCTTCTTCGACTTCATGGTCAACAAAGAACCCATGTAGTTTCCTTCAATATGATCATCGGCTGCTTTGACTTTTTGGTAAAGACCAGAGATTCCTCCGATATGTTCGTTGGTAAGAACAGATAAGGAAAAGTAGATCAAGAGAAACAGGGCAATCGCGGTGTGAAGGTAGTCCGTAATAAAGGTTGCTTTGAGGCCACCGACAGCTGTGTAAGTGACGACNTGCTCTCAGATCAGTATCTGCCTATGTTGCCTCGAACAAATTGACTTACCACCAGCAGGGATCAAGATATAAGCTGCAATAACGTGCATACCGGTCATACCAGTAACCAGCTGAGCACCAGCCAATATCATACTACCGCATCCGAAGATGTTGTTGACGAGATTCAAAAGAATGAATATCATATGAGCGTACTTGCCATATCTCATACGAATGAACTCGAGCGAGGTATGGGCGTAAGGAACCCGCAGTTTTGCCACGATACCAAGGATAGCCATCAAGGCGATTTGGAAGGATAGGCCGGATACCCACCATACTGGCAGTGCGATGCCCCACTTATAAGTATAGGCGGCACAAATGACACTTTCATTGATCCACATCCTGGGATCGATAGCGTTAGTATTTTTGGAGAAAAGAGTCAAGAGCATAACTTACCAACTCGAGAAAACAGCAGATGCGGTCAAGCCGGTTCCAACAGACCTATTGGCAACCATGAACATTTCAGATTGCTCGCTATCCTCGGACAGGTATCGTTTTTGTACTCGGACGGCAGCGAGGATGATAAGACAAAATAAGATGGAAAGGCCGATGATAATGCCATAGCCGTGAGCTTGGTTGAGGAGTGCCTCTGCCATCGTGATGGTATAGTGTCTGTTATGTCTCGATAGCGAGTCTGGTATGGGAATGTCTGCATGTTATAATATACCATATGCATCACAGATGGGTACAGGTAGCGAAGTGTACCTGCTATCGATACTGACGTGCGAACGACTGGCAATGGAATCATCCTCAACGCGGCAAGTACGTGCTAAACCTTGAGATATACTCCGAGTTCGCATGCATGCAGAGCTCTAAACAGAGTTCATTCAACTCCAAACGCGTCGATTCAGGCGAGTTGTGATAAGCAAAAGTTGACACGCTTGTCATGTCCGCTAAGCTTTGCTATTCGTCCTTGAGAGTGATGTGATACGCTGGAGCGATGGCGTTATATGATGAACACGGCAGTTTGGAAAAGTCCATGTGCGACTGCCGATCAACAAAGATACACTCGTAGGAAAAGCATTTGCCAGAGTGTTGTGGATCGCAGCTGCCGGATTTTGAGAGCTCCCAGTCACAATCTTGCTGGATGCTGAAAGAAAGTCATATGATGGCTACAGCATTGTACAAGTCTGTTTAGAAAACAATAATGCGATGCAATAGATTACGAGATTGCTAGCTGCGTCCATTCATCGCTCAATCTGCCTTCCAATGGAAAGCCGCTGCAGGATGACCCTGAGGAGGTCGAGCCAGCCCCTTCTTTCCGTACAAGTTCTCTCTGTATGTGCCTCCCGGAACAGCATAATCCTCCCAGAACAGCCCTCTCTCCCTAAGGACTGGTAGTAGATGTTCAATCACCTCCTCAAAGGTCCTGGGGAATAACGCGTAAGCGATATTAAAACCATCCACATCGGCTTCTCGAACCCAGCGTTCCAGTTCATCCGCGACAACGTCTGCAGTGCCGACGACAGTAGCTCCAAGACCGCCGACCTTGATATGGTTGGCAACAGTGTGCTTAGTCCACTTTGCAACCTTCGGTGTAGTCTTCGACCAGCCTTCCACAGCTGATCTGACAGCATTGGATTGTACGTGGCGAAGCTCTTCATCATCACCGTACTGTGAAAGATCAATGCCAGTCCAACCTCCAAACAAAGCTGAAGCGCCATCTTCAGAGCCATAGCTAAGGTATTCCTGGTACTTCGCATCTGCATCTTCCTGAGTCTTGCCGATGATGGGACAGAGTAAGGCAAGGAATTTGATGCTCTTTGGGTCGCGGCCATACTTCTCCTTCGCCAAAGCTCGAATCTCCGCGATGTTTTTTGCGATCACCGAAGGACTGTGACCAGATACAAAGATAGCTTCTGCATTCTTTGCTCCGAACTCTTTACCAGCTTTGGAAGTACCTGCCTGAAGTATGACTGGTGTCCGCTGGGGAGAAGGTTGGCAAATATGAGGCCCGGGAACGTTATAATATTTGCCCACGTGGTCGATCTTTCTGACCAGAGTTGGATCGGTGTAGACAACCTTTTTGCGGTCAAGCTTGACAGCATCGTCTCTCCAGGACGACTGCCATAGTTTGTACATTACTTCGATGTACTCTTCAGCCATGGCGTAGCGGTCATCGTGTTCTGGTTGTTCGGTACGTCCGAGGTTTCTAGCTGCTGAATCGAGATATCCAGTGACGACCNNTATTGCAGTTTTATTAGTCCTTGTGGTCCTCCCAAGAAAAATATCGAGACTAACATTCCATCCGACGCGACCGTCAGACAAATGATCAACTGTGCTCAGACGTCTAGCAAGATGATAAGGNCTAAAAATTGTTAGTCCGATTGTCCTGTCACATGTTGGAGGTAGCTTAGTATTGCTTACCTGCTCGTACGTGGTCGAAACAGTAACGCCAAAGCCAATGTTCTCTGTAGCGGCCGCCATTGCAGGCACGGTCGCCAGAGGCTCGTTGACTGGCCATTGAGCACCAGAGATAATTGCCGGGTCAGGATTCTGAGGTCCTTTGTAGACATCATACGCGCCCTGGAGAGAATGTTACTATTAGTCCTTGATCGATCTGTCATGTAGACCCTAGATGCACTCACCAAGNACATCGGCGATAAAAATGCCGTGAATCTTGCCCTTCTCAAGCAATTGAGCCAGCTTGACTCAATGTTGTATCTTATTGAAGTTTGTAGACTGGTCATCAGGGTGTCGCCATAAGCCAGGAGATTGATGTCCGCTNACCTGAAATTTGTTAGTCGACGTGTGCTAGTGTGGTAAGTTCGACTCACATGACTCCACGAAAGCATTGAGAATGAGCTGCTTTTTCGCAGGGGTACCGTTCGTAGTTGGTTCGCTCATGGTCGTGAAAGTCTGCTGAAATGAAGAGTTGTTGAGTAGAGCGAGACTCAAGAAACTTCAGAAGGTCTACAATCTGAATTACACCTTGATGAAATTGTAAACAAGACCGCCCTCGGCGACCCCTCTATCACGCAACATCCAGGGACATAGCGCAATATTGAGCGGGGTCATGGACTTGATGGTTGTTGAGGTTGATCATTGACAAGGAAGGAGATGTTGAATCCTTATCCTGATGTCCAATGGTTGCAATAGCACGTGTGAATTGGGAGCGATGGCGTGCTTACGTCAGTCAGAGTCTGGGGCAGGCACTCTGCAGATACGACGATGGATTGATTCAAGCAGAAAGGACCATCATTTCGGGTCGAGTGCGTAGCTGTTGGCTGAAACGAGCACCAAGAGAAATGGGTGACCACAATCAACGGATCCCGGCGGTGGACGTCTGAGCTCCTGCTTATCAAATTATTTTGGTTGATAGGCAGTGTGAAAATCGTTCCAGGGACTTGTGTCTTATTCAAAGAGCTGTTGAATGTCTATTGATAACCACAAATACAAAGCGGCTTATGACGGCTTCATCTTTTGACAGCTCTTCTTAGAACCATGATCATTCGCATCACAAGTCCCACCAGCGCTCGTGCAAGTCTCTCAAGTCTAACTCTTCGGGTAACCTCAAGTAAGGTGTCATATCGCTTTCCGGATCAATCTCTTTCTTGGCAACACCATTGCCCCAATAGGCGAACATGTTATCAGAGTTGACATAGGTGTACTCGTAGTCTTCCCAGCGTGGTTCCCTCTTGATGTTGGTCAAATGCGTAGCGCTTCCTGGCCACAGTCCATGTATTCTGCCGCCAGGACGCCGGCCATTTGCCCAGCTACTACATTTTCTAGACAGATTGGTACGAGGGAAGCAAGCGTCGCAGTACTCCACAAAGGCGTCGGCGGCATGTTTCTTGGGCACAATGCTTGCAATACCCTGGCTGCTGACTTTGCGAAGCACTTTGGCGATGTATGTTGCTTGTACTTCAACCGAGTGTGGGACTGTTCCTGACGATCCATAGCCGTTGGGACCNTACAAAAGGATCAGCGCAAGTTCTTCTTCCAACAAAGATGAGCACATACCATGTAGTTGCAGAAGATTGGGAAGACCAGGTGTCGCGACACCCATATAGGTGTAGGGAAAGCCAAACTTCCCTTCTGGCCGCCAGTCGCGAGACAAATCGTATGGTCCAGCAACGATAGGAAAAGGAGGCGCAAAGTCGACGTTTGCACCTGTGGAGCAGATAACAGCGTCGACACGGCGATGTATCCCGTCGTTTGTCACAATTCCGTCTTTTGTGAAGTGTGAAATAGGAGTTTGGATGAAGGTGAGATTGTCCTTTGTCAAAGCCTCTAGGTATCCAGGGCCAGGTGTGAGACGGCGGCAATGTGGAGGAAAGTCAGGCAATATCTGCTCCAATAGTTCGGGCTTCTCCGCCAATCTCTTTCGCATCAACTCTCTGAAGTTCTGAGCGGAAGTCTTGCTGGTTTCAGAATCTCTGAGCTGTGCATCAAAGTTTCGCCAAAANGAGCCTTCTAGTTTCTTGCGATATTCGAGGTAAACTTTGGGGTCTGAGAACGACTCAAGCTGCTCTGGAGGGATATACATCGGTGTAGATTGTCTGTCTTTGGCATTTGGGTTGAATGACCCAGCAATCCAAGTTCGACTGCGTGCATAATGATCGACGTGACTGGCAACCTTTTGTAGCTCGGGAGTTATCTGGATGCCTGATGCTCCGTTGCCGATGGTGGCTATGCGTTTGCTGCTTGGGTCAAAGTTGGGATCCCAGTTAGACGAATGCCTCAGATGACCTTGAAAATCGTCGATGCCTGGAATATCTGGCAGTTTCCACTCGTTGAAGTGACCGATAGCAGGAATCAAGAAATCGAAGTGTTCCTTCTTTTCTGTCCCACTCTTGAGATCTCTTGTTTCCACTCTCCACTGCGATCTTTCTGGCTCCCAGTAGGCCCCTGTGACCTTCGTTTGCAGCCTGACTTTCGAGTACACGTCGTGCTTTCTGGCCACATTTTGCCAGTAATCGCGGATCTCCGAGCCTTGAGCGTATTCTTCGCTCCACTGGGAGTTTGGCGAGAATGTGGATTGGTAAACATGGGCAGGGATATCACACCGGACCCCTGGGTATACGTTTTCGTACCTGTGGTTGCTTTAGTCATTGCAGTACTCGCAAGTGTAATGACATTACCATGTTCCACCTAGGTCGGCATTCTTTTCCAGAATAGTCAGTTTGATGCCTGGAACTTTGGGAGGCAAGAGCGCGCCTGCAATAATCCCCGCAAGACCGGCACCGATGATNGACTACCTATACAATGGTCAGTTGACCGTGGCAATTTGGGTGTCTGATGCCTGTACCTTGAGCTCGCGAGTTTCATCAAGAGTATGCTCGTGTATCTTGAAATCAGTAGGATAAGGATATACGCAATCCGCCTGAGAAGTGTCCAATTCTATCAAGGTCGGTGACTTTTCAGTGAAAGTCTTTTGGCTGACTTCGGTGCCACTTGGTTCGAGAACTGTGATAGCAGACATTGTTGTTTACTTTTCTTTGAAGACAATGCTACAAGAGACACACCAGAGAAAATATACATTTACGATGCATGGGATCAAGCAATGTGGAAATACTGGCGTTTAGGCAAATCGCGCCTCGGTTGAGATGCAGGATCCTAGAGGTATGGTGTGCAATTGCGAAATGATCTCCGTCAAGCAGCCTTTGGTATAGCGTGCGAGCTCGCAATGTGGTGTGCATACGTGGGGTCAAATTGCAAGCTTCAGTAATTTACGACCCGCAGGAGCGCAAGGCGATATACTCGTGTGGATCTGAATCGTCGTAGGCGATTCATGTTGAGAGCTCAGCATTGTGTAGTGCTATATCGTATCTGAGATAGTGCAACTTCTGAACATTGAACGATCATTCTCGAGGACGCGTTGACAAAGCAGGAGAAGACGTGGTACGCGTGGTGGAAGAAACGGCGCTTGGCTGACGGCTGTTTGTTTTGTTTGCTTTGCTGACTCCACCTCACGCTCCTTCTATCCAAGTTTACAACGACACAAGAGTTATCAAACAATCTACAAAGAGACCACCAAACAGCGACCTGAAATCTCGCCGTGCCGCATTCTGTCCAATGCAGCGTTGAGAACGCTCAAACCTCCTTCCATATGCTCAACCTCTGGAAGTGCAACTGCTTCAGTCTCCAAAGCTCTTTCCAACCAGTTCATCAAAGCGAGACCGATAGACGGAACCTCGTGGAAAAGCTTGATCACTACGGAATGGAACATCACTCCATCGGTCGACTCTTTTGGTACGCCAGTTAGCCCCACGAGATGAGCTCTCTTTCCTCCTGGTGCGTCTGCTTGCAACATCTGTACCAAGTATCCCGCTGTCTCTTTGCCGACAGTATCAACCGCAAACCTGAGTTTTCCTTTTGTAATCGATCGAACGATCTTTATCGCTCTCGTGGAATCATGGCTGTCAACTAGAACGCTTCCTTCTCGGTCACCCAGTCGTCCACCGTGCTTCACGCCATCAGCCAGGAGTATGACTCTGAGTCCTGCCAATCTGGCGATCTCTGAGATGAATAGCGCGCTCGTGGATGAGCCACCGTATATGGCAATCCAGTCACCAGGCTGAGGACGTTCTGCGCTTTCGATCCCGGACAAACACTCGTCCACGACGTCGATAGGAATTGCGCCGGAAGGCAGTTGACGGACTGCCTCCCAGAGATCGACTTCGTCTTGATCAAGTATACCAGACAGTCTCAGTCCGAGACTGACGCCCAGAGCGAGTGCGGCAGCCACATATGCCACACCAATTGAAGCGGCCTGCGTGATTCGAGTATTCCTCGGTATCTTGGCCACGTTGTGATGCGTAGAGATTGCATACTCTTGAAACGCTGATTTTCTGATATCGCGAAAATCTGTTGATGGACTGAGAACCNNTGTCATGATTCTTAGCTACCGAGATATCTTGCTGACCATGTATCATCTTACCAGATCACCGACTCGAAGACGACTCGGAGCGGCAGGCGCCTGAACAACAATGCCGGCAAAGTCGCGTCCCGCAATGTACGGCAGCTGAGGGATTCCGAAGTTGTAGTCANNCTGGACTCGTTGTCAGTCATGTCCGAGATTTTGCATGTACGGAGAAGCCTACATTGATTTCCAGTCCACTGGGTTGAGCCCAATTGCTCTGATCTCTACAATCAGCTCGTCATCCTTGATTGGAGAAGGGACTGGGTAGGCCTCCGTCAGAACGAGCCGCTCACGAGCTGCTTGCAAAAGCGCCACGTTTTGTTGTAGAGGCAATTCGCTTTCCAGTGGTGAATCTGCTCTGCGGTTTTTTTTCTGAGTCGCATCCATGCTTGTTGGAAAGTCAATGGTAGTTTTGATATGCGACAGCTCAGAAGCGTAAGGGTGCTCAGTGACAGTATCAGTATACATGTTGGCGGTATGGTAAAGGACAAAAGACAATAAAGGATGAGAAAAGTTCTGTGAAAGATTCAAAGTCGCACTCCCCTTGAATGTATCACACAATCTCGAGACCTCATATGGCGGGGGTCTGATGGGATCTGCGCCCACTAATTGCCGTGTTCGCCCATACCAAGCCTGGATGGCGCAATAGTAGATGGCGAATTGCTCATCCTCAACAACGCTTATCAGTATTACGATCGAGCAGCGACTGAGCACCACTTTGCTCCACACTATGCCGATGTTCGGATGTTCTAATCAACTACAGTACTGTCGTCTCGTCAACTGACGGTATTGGTTATCCTGCAAAAAGTTGGCGCAAAAACCGGCCCTTATTCTGTCCGTTCAAAAGTCTGAGTTGGTAAAGTGCTGTCAATGTTTTGTGTCTTTGTTGCAAGGAAACAAATTACAAGCATCGAGTTTCTCCAACTATACCTGAGTGTGTGCTCTTTCATACTCTCTGTGCTTTGTAGAGCGCATAATCAATCCTCGAATACAAAACTCTGTTCAGAAAGAGCCGCGGGAAACAACACTCAGTGGTACTCCGTCTCTCGAGATTACTGTAGAATGTTCCATCCACCTATGGGAAACATGGACTTTAGTATGGCAGGGGTGTCATCCATCGACCTTGTCACTTCTGGCTTTGCCTATAAGTTCAATTCTAAAATAGTACACTCTCCACTTCCCCACTTCCCCATATAGCCTCTCCAATCCGACTTTTCAACCGACAAAAAGCGGCGGTGGTCTAGGGGTTCAAGACGCTGTCATCATTGTTGTCTTGCAAACACAAGCTCGGTAATGATACCACCAAAAACCCCCTGTACGGCCAACGCCTGCGGACATCTTTGGGGCCCCGAAAACCCCGGTAACTAGAAGATGCAGAGATCGTGGGTTCGAATCTCACTTGCTGAGATGTTTCTTTTGTTTTCTTTTTGCTTTGATAACTAGTTGTACCAACTCTTCCGCTTCACTTGCGACTGGATGTGTTCAAGATCATGGCAAATGGGATGAAAAACTGTACGCCTTTCGGATCTGTGTGAGCAGACTGTTGCACGTTGAAGTTGGGGAGGATTACCAATTGTTACAAAGCCTTATCAAATCCTGTAGAATGAGCAGGGCGCTCTGCAGGGGAACGAGAAAGAATTAGTCGCTGTCCTCTTCACTGATGCTCGAGATGGGAGTGTAAAGATGGGACTGGTTTTCTTGTCATGCTATTGATGAAGAGTAATGTATCTGCGACCGCGGAAGCAATAGCCACCAAAATCATAGCATCACACTACAGTATCTACCCTTCAAACCACTTCTTGCCATGCTTGAACTCGCCGACCCACTCCTTCATGATACCGACAGCTTCATCGATGGCAGCCTTGGCTCCGGCATTGCTCTTTGCATTCTGCGTGACCAGATCACTCGTATGGAAGCCGCCAGGCACAATGACAACTGGGTTTCGTGTAGAGTTTGCCAGTTTACCGTTGGGTCTGAAGTCCGAAGAGACGCTAGCTTCACGCCAGGGGTCGTAGTCACCGTTGACATAAAGGAGCCCAGGCGAGTAGTTGTTCCAACCCTTGTTCTTTGCATTGACCTGTGCTGTCGTAGCACCTCTGTCGAGTCCAACAACAGAGGAGTTGGACGGAGGGAACATCAAGGCGCATTGACGGGTCCAGTAGTCAGCGGTGCTCAAACGCGACACTATTGAAGGACGGTCTTCAGGGGCCCCAGTTTGATAGTATCCAAAAGGCTCATTGCATGTCATGAAAACCCACTGCCTGTCGAATTGATTTGAAAGTGAGATATCAGTGTACATCGGTGACGATGTGTTGTAGGTATCGAAGCACTTGATGTTGCGTTCGCCTTCCCACTCTTCATAGCCATAGCCCTCACAGCTGCCTGGCAAGTAAGTTGTGTTGAACCAATCAGCATAGCCAGCCAGAGCCTTCTTGAGGCCGACACCCTGGGGGCCAGGGAGAGTGGTGTTGGTGCTGTTAGGTTTGACGTTCTCTACGGCATCACAGAAGTCGAAGAAGCCAGTGTTCCTATAGAACTGATTGCCCTGCCAGAGCCAAGGACCATTCTGAAGAGCGGCGGCGAAATCATCATTGTGCTCTAGATTCTCGAGACCGAAGGATTGCTTGAGCGAGTGGATCTCGGAAGCGGTACCATTTAGGAGCACTGAATCCACATGATCGATCACCAGAGACACGTCAGACGAGCAGTTCTTGGGCATTCCCTGCTGGATTGGCACGAAATATTGCCAATAGTCGAGGATCGATTGAACAGGGGCACTTGAAGCCCAGTACGCCCAATAGATACCAGGTTGAGTTGAAGCAGTCCAGGCAGACAAAGCTCCAGAGTAAGAGCCGCCCATCATGACCCAGGGTGCACGGTTTGGCGAAGACTTTCTGTGGTAGTCGAAGGGGAGGCGCACATGTTTTGCAAAGTTTGTCAGATCGCTCTGTCACGAATATCAGCAGGTCACTTGGAGAGTGGTTGTAACCAGATCAAGACTAACGATTGAGTTGTCGAGTGTCAAGTATTGCAAGTTTTCGGTCGTGAGGTCAGCATACGGCGAACTGTAGCCCCAGTATCTGTGTTCAATNGCCTGGAGAATGTGTTTAGCACGGTAATCGAGAATCCGATTGTCATTATCGTTTGACTCACAGACGATGGCAGCACCAATTTCCTTTGCAAGAACACCAGTAGTCCTGTTGAGAGTGAGGTAGCTCGTATAAGCGCTAGCGTTGGTCTCTCCAGGAGTGAACAAAATGATGGGCGAGCCTTCACCACCATAGAACTCGGTCGAGTAAAAGTAGAACTGCTCAAAGGTTCCGATATCCTTGTTGCCGTGGTCAACGTACTGTCTGAATGTCGCATTGCCTGTATGGGAAGAGGCCATGACTTTGGCCAACGCATGCTCGTCTTCACCAGCCAAATGGTCAGAGCGCCATTTGGATGCCTGCGCAAACGGCACACTGCCGATTAAGAATGCAGAAAAATACGTCCACACGCTCTTCATGATGATCCTGAGTGATGAGTGATAAAAGAAGAGGGGGGGAAGAAATCGAAAGATGTGCGTCTCGCTTTGGTCTTATAGATTGGCTTTCACCTCTCGGGATCCAGCAGATTGGGTAGCTGCGAATGATGGCTCCGCCCTTGCACTATACCTTCCATATTTGATAAGGGCCATGCTCGGCTGCTAACTCTGCAAGAGCAGATCTCCTAGCTTCCTATTTGGGCGATTGTGCCTTGGCGACCCCTCTCTGCTCGTATACAGTCCGTAGAGTGCGTTACGGCCGTGACATATCAAACAAACATCTATGATAGAGATCATTGGAAGAAGTGTGGTATACAAGAAACCAGACCTTGATGCCCAGTAAAGACAACAGGTACAAGTGGTGAGACAAGACGATGAAACAAGATGGAGTGGCTGGGCTAAAGCAGGGTCTCCCAAGGCTTATCATGGCGGTAGATATTCGGCTCGGTTGCTTCTACTCATCCGCTCGCATTTTAAAATGTGCCCGGAAGAAACATGGTAATCACATGAGCCGATAGCAGTTACGATGGTCAAGGTAGAAGAACTATAGTTTCTGACCTCGAGATGATGCAGAAACAATATACTAACATACCTAGCGAGGCACGGAGTTCATGTTTGGCCACTTCGGAGATGCTCGCCGAGAGCAGATATATATGCATTGCTCATCTCCTCCTCTTGACTTTCCCAATCTCCATGCGAGGAAGAAGAAACCAACTTGCTCTCAAACTCATAATGCTATTGGTTGAAAAGAAAAGAAAGGGGCGTTCACATCCACACCTTGCCCATCTCAACAGCGACCTGACACCTGAGGACTCGCATCACGTCTTCGGGCTTGACGCTCTTGCCCTTCATATACACAGCACCAACTCTCCAGTCCCAAGCTCTCTTCACCTGGATACCCCCNATCACACCAGCACTGGAATCGCCATTGCCGGTTTGTTCAGAAGCGATGCTGCCACTGCTGTTGACCATGTTCCAGCTCACGCTCTGCCTCAAGCCTGCAATTGACTTGCTGAGATCGGGAGTCGAGGACGATGGCGTAAGGGAAGCAGGTGTCGTTGAGTTTGAGATATAGCTGTTGATTGCAGCATTGAAGACGGCGGAATTCTGACCATATATGCCCGGAGTGATAGTCTCAAGGTCTTCGATTGCGCGGATCAGAGTGAGGAGGTGCGGTGTCTTCAGTATTTGCTTTGTCTCTGCTCATTGGGTCAGCAAAATTTCTTCTTTACAAAGTATGGCAAAGGTCCATAGACAAGACTTACGGTTCATTAGAGGCAATGCTTCACACAACAGAGTCATCAAAGCGTCCACCTGCACCACGGACTGAGCCTCGGGATCATACAGACCACCTCGAATACTATCCGCGGCAGACTCTATCACAGCCATCAACGCCCTAGCCGCTTCACGCTTGCGGGCCAATGGCCTCAACATGCCAGGCTTGCGACTCGCAACTTCTTCATCATGTTCAACATCAGCTTCAGCTGCATCTTTGGCGGTATCCGCGTCGCGCAAGTCGTAGAAGCGGCGCAGTGTTGCGTAACCACTGAGCTGTGATGCAAGCAGTTGAGCAGCTGCAACGTCTTGACGTGCAACCTGGTGAAGAGTAGCGTGTTGATCATTGAGAAGAGCGTCAAGTTGCGGGTCGATGATTGCTTGTGGAGGGAATGCAGCGCTCTGCACCAGGCACAGTGAGATAAGCAGATCAATGGTACTGCGAAGCTTTTGCGAGGCGTGTGCCCGGGCGTAGTAGATCAGCGCACTACCATAGTCTTGACTAGAAGCTGCCAGATCATCGGCATAGCGCTCGGCAATCTCGCGAACCTGATCAGGCAGACCAATCTCATTGAGAACAGCGAGGACCTTATCTACTCGCGTCGTCGAGTCAAGGGTGATCTGGTTCAGCAAGTCTGAGATCTTCCACTTGGCCGTCTCGAAGCTATCAAGACGTCCAAGTACACGACAAGCAAGATCCCAGCCCTCCTGCACAGGTCTGCCAGTTGCACTCTTCAGGGAGTCCTTCTTGGCCAACACTGAGGCATATTGTATCAACACGTCATCGCGTTTGATCAAGTCGGGCTGTGATGGCTGGCCGTGGCTTAATACCATCAAGTCGTCTTGGTCAAAGGCGTCCAAGATGTTGCTCGCCGAGGATGGCATCCAACCCGCGACGGTAGCCAACTCAACAATAGCAGAAGCGATAGGCAGGGACCAAGACTTCAAGATACCCACGAGGCCCTGGATATCATCTTCACAGATGCAGGCAAGACCGACGTGGAGTGGACTGACAGTATTGAGGTAAAACTCTTCTTCATCCGGTTTGTCGGTAGTAGCAGCGAAAGCCAGGAGTAGCTGTTTCTTGTATGCAAATACAGGCGAGATGTCGACCTGGCGCATCGACTGTGACTGGCGCATTGAACGTCTGCTGGCGGCGAAATCGTCCATGACATCGTCGTCTTCGCCATCCCACCAGGCAGTGAGGAAGATGACAGCTTCCAGCCAGTCCTGAGTTGCGACCATAATCTCGTCCCTCTTGCCCAGAAGTTGACCATACAAAGTTTTGAGACTTTCGTAGATGAGCCAAGGCACCTTGCTCTCGGCACGGCGACTGGCTGTGCTGAAACTCATGCTCACTCTGCCAAAGGGTGCAGGCGGAAACTGATCCTTGTCACGACTGTCTGCTTCTGCAAAGTCCTGCAAGTCTTGAAGTTCGCGACGAACACGATGGCGGAAGATGGTCCAGTCAGAGCCCTTCACATCCCAGTCATTCTCAGTAACAGCAGGACAGGTGCTGAGCAGATCCACACAGCGGCTGATAACTTCACGAATAGCGTGAAGGTGGCTTCCAGAGTATCCGGGCTCATCGTAACCGTCTTCAATAGCTGATTCCGCTTGCGACCAATCCGCAGTTTCTAGTAATCTGATAGCGTTGAGGATGTCGCCGCGCAATGTGCAGGCATAAACTATGTCCCAGAATCGATCATGGGCAACGGGGGTCGGGCGATAGCGCAAGACGTCTGTAAGATCATCGGGAAAGGGGTTATGGTAGGTGTTCAGCCAGTCGAGCAGGGCACGGGGGATCGACGTGGGGTGATCTGAAGACATGACGAGGTTTGAGTAGGTGGTGTTTGGTTGGTATGAGGAGGGCGCATTGACAGATGTGGAAAAGGGATGGTGTAGGCGGAGAGCGAGTTGTGCCAGATAGTTTGCTTTGTCGAGACCAGAGTTTGATTTGGGACCGATTGAGCCTGATTGCGACTTGATCTGAGAGTGCTTCTGCCAGAGCTGGCCCAGCTGTTGTGCTGTGCGATTGGGCAGAACGGGTGTGGTTGCGAGCTTAATGTCGGCGTCCAGCTGGGCCATGAGCGAGTCGGTGCGCAGGATCATGTCGTCGCTTTCGCTCAGTGGTGGAGCTTGTTTGGTAGCCATCTTCTTTGCAATGCCAGGAATGGCAGTCTGTCTGTCCTTTTCGATGCGCAGGCCGGTAGACTGACGCAAGGAGTCGCCCATAACATTTCCGTAACGCGAACGCTTTAGACCACGGGGTGAGGAAACCATGGTGGGCTGTTGTGTTGGCTTGTTGGCGGAGCGGAAGGCTGATGGAAAGGCAGAATTGAAGGCAGGTAATTGATTGTTCGGATATTCGTCTAGGATGCTTTCGCCGTCGGCATCCATGTCGTCGTCAAAGTCTTGGTGATGGTTGCGCGGTGGACTGCTAGGCATTGCAAAGGCAGGCTTCGTAGCTTTGGATTGCGGTTGAAAGTTGTTGCGGGATTCGCCAAAGAGCGAGCTGCCATAGACGCTGGGGGCGGAGGCCCGGCTGGANGTGAACGAGGCATTTGTGTATCCCGTTGGCGGTGGGTGTGCGGGTGTTGTGGATGGATGGTCATTGTCGCGGCGCGAGTTGGGCGTCGACGGCGGGTCTGAGTCGGGCACCTTGAACATTGTCGTCTATCTCGCAGGCATGTGATGTGTATGGAGGGCTTCTGTTTGCGCTCGTGTGCAGATGGTGTTGATGATGTGTATATTTCCAATGCATGCAATAAATGCTTGCTCTTGCTGTTTCGCGTCTCGCTTTGATCGCGAATCTTTGGAGTTCGGCGCTTGGACCACCTTCCTCTTTGCGCCTTCCCTGCCAGTCTCCCTGCTTCCCTTGTCTGCCTCCTACCTGCATCGCCCTACTCTGAATGACTCTCTTGAATTGTACCAAGGTAAGCCAACCCGCTTCTCTCTTTCTTATTGCCCCCTGATGAAAGACGCTGGGGCCATATGATCCGCTTGTTCCAACAGCCTCACTTGATGTCGCGCGTTGGACGTTTGCTTGATTTCAAAACCAGTACTATCAATCTTCTCACTTTCTGATCCGCCCATCTACGTCCTCACATGACACTTCTGACGTTATCGAACTAGAATATGCTAACTCAATAACGCAGAAGCTTGACTAGATATTCTCATTATGCATTCTGATCATTATCAACATCTAACCACTCTTTTCAATCTCCTGTTCCAACTGCTTGAGTCCCTTAAACACATCACTCCAGTTGCTCCACTCTTGCTCACCACCCTGGAAACCACCCTGTAGCGGTAGTCGTGCTCCCTCCTTGTCGCCAAAGCCCCAGCATCTTGCAATCGCTTCCTTGATACCAACAGTGCCCCATTTGCCAATTAACCTCTCACCCTCGCAGATCTTGAACTGCAGTTCGCGCAGCTTCTTGTTGTCTGCGCCTTCTTGGAACATGTTGAACAGCTTGACCACGACACGAGGGAAGATGCCTGCGAGTCCATCGATGGCACCTTGACCACCAATTGTGAGGACGGGAAGGAGGTTCTGGCCCAGACCTGAGAAGACCTTGAAGTGCGAAGGGTCGATCTTTGGCGACGAAGCAATCAGAGTGTGGTCGGGGATGTCGCCGTGCGATAACTTGCAGCCCACAATGTTGGCGTGCTGGGCAAGGCGTTCAAACGTCGAGGGAGCCACAACGATGTTGTTGGTCACGCCAGGGTAGTGGTAGCTATCCAGAGTATCAGTGGTTGTGCGGAGCGTGAAAGGCTTCGGTCAAACGTACATCATGATGGGGATGGGACTCTTGTCGGCCACTGCCTCGAACCACTTGGCAATGCCCTGCTGGCTAGCGGCCGAAGCAAAGTAACCCGGTGTAAGTACCATGCCGTACTCGGCACCAGCCTTCTTNGCATCCTCGAGCTGGATCAAAGTCTCCTCGACGTTTTGTGTGGCAGTGCCGGCAATGATAGGTCTGTCCTTGAAACCAGCATTGTCAAGCTCCTTGCGCTGGCTGCTGATGAGCTCGTTGCGCTCCTTGTTGGTAAGGTGGATAGCTTCGCCAGTCGATCCAAGAATGACGAGACCACGAACTCCACCCTTGGCAAGGAAAAGAGAGTGCTTGGTCTGGGTCTCGAGGTCTAGAGGGTTGTTGACAGGATCATAGTTGGATGCCGATTGGGAAGCGAAGAAAGTGGGCACCTGCAAGCTGGGTCAATGTCATGAAGCCTCGATTGGCGGGGTCAAAGATCAGAACGTACGGGGNACGTAGATGCCCGAAGGAGGAGGAGATGAGACCATTGTGATGTTTGAAGGAAGGGTATATCAAATTAAGCGGAGAAAGCAGAACAAGAGAACCTTTTCTCGAAGTACAAGCAAGATGGGCAGGGCGGCGTTCTTATTGCACCACGGCGGGCTGCATTTACCGCGAAGAAGACCGAAGGAGCGGCGCACGATGGAGCCCCACGTTCCCCCCCCCAGAAGTTTCCCTCGGCCTAGCTCTGCCCGAGCCACGAGTGCCCGCAACAAGCAGTGTCGATCAAAACACACCGAGCACGCCGAGTCGGCGAGGAACGAGTCCAATTGTCGGCTGTTGAGTCCATGGCTTCGTTTCAACCTCTACCGACACCGTAATTGCCCTCCGAATCCCACCGAAGACAATATCCCACTCTACTTTACTGCTACAGGACAAGACACCAACCATGTCACCAAGTTACCCCATCATTGACAGCCACATCCACCTCTGGCCAGCATCGGCCGCAGACGCCAATGGCCACGCGTGGATGAACGACCCCGACTTTATCCTCTCAAAACAACACATCCTCTCCGACTACACAACAGCATCATCCTCAAACCCGCCCACCGGCGTAATCTACGTAGAAACAGACCGCCGCCTCCAAGACCCCTCTACCTCATCTTTAGAGTCTTGGGCTGCAGAGCCCATCAAAGAATTGCAATTCTTACGCAGCATCGTCGAGGGCGGATATGGTGCCGAAGCTTCTAACTTGCTTCAAGGCATTGTGACATGGGCACCTGTACACCAGGGCCCGCAAGTGTTTTCCCAATGGCTGGAAGTAGCCGAAAAGACCACCGGCCCAAAGACTTGGGAGCGTGTAAAAGGCTTCAGGTTCTTGCTGCAAGCCATCCCCGACAAGACCGAATTCGAGAACCTGGTTCTGAGTGACGATTTCATCTCCATCCTAAAATCATTCTCCCAACGACAGAAACAGTTCACCTTTGATGTTGGAATCGATCAACGCAGCGGAGGAACCTGGCAACTGGAAACCTTTACCAAAGTCTTGGAGAAAGTATACGACAATGTGCCAGAAGACAAAAGAACAGTTCTGGTCTTGAGTAAGCAACCACCCTCCGCTATCATCACATATACAAAAATCAACTAACAGGAAGACAACACAGACCACATGTGCAAGCCAAACTACACATCCACATCCTCCGACTCCTTCTCGCGATGGAAAACCTGCATCCAAACATTTGCTTCTTATCCGCAAACCTACATGAAACTCTCGGGCGCCTTTTCAGAACTCAGCAATGATGCTTCTCCAGTCGACACCGCAGATCCCAAGGAATTGGCTAGCAGGATACAAGCATGGACGGAGGTTGTCTTTGACGCATTCGGGCCGCAGAGAGTCATGTTTGGCAGTGACTGGCCGGTGTGCAATGTCAAAGGTCCCAAGGAAGAGCAAAGTTGGCCCATCTGGACAAATGTCGTGGAAGAAGTGCTGAGCAGGAGAAACTGTACAGAACAAGAAAGGGAGCGAGTCTGGAATGGGACAGCTAGAGAAGCATATGGACTGTAAGGAGAAACAATGCGGGCACACGCGAAGATAATTGAGAAATTGTTCGGACACGTAGCGTGAATATACTAGTATAGACATGGTATCCAAAAGCGTGAGGAGGACATGTAAGATATGAAAAAGAACATCCACCCAGATAACCCGAAACCAAGAATTCTGATTTCCCACTGCTTGCCGCCCACCATACGCCGAGTCATGCGTGATCCATCTGCAGGGAATAAGATGATGAAAAATCCGCTGTCGTAACATCATTGAACAAAAGAGAGAATTATAAGATCCAAATGTAATATCTGCACAGAAATTGTCGCAGATTCTGATTGGTGACTTTTGATAGCACCGAAGATAGATGCGTACTATGCGTCTAGGACGCGTGAGCGCCCTCTCTGGTCTCGTCGGGAGTTGGAGGCAAAGAGTGGAAGGTGCCGGGCATATCGAGAGAGTCTTTGCTCTCATTTCTCTTATGCTCTGCCAGAATGTGACCCCAGGGGTTTCGTTCTTCGCCAGGGCTAGGTGATGGGTCTGCAAAACCAGGACTGACATCAGCGCCTAGCTTGTTGGGGCTGGAAGGTGCACTCCAATCAGGCTTGTTGGTTTTGAGAGGAGACTCTTCAGGACTTGAAAGCTCCGTGGAAGACGGACGCTGTGCTCCAGATTCGGCGTTGATGATCACCGGACCCTTGCCACGATTGGGGTTGCGAGGAGGAAGTTTGGGTGTGATGCGCTTCGGCACCTCGACGAGACGAGCACGAGAGATGAACTGAGGAGCTGTGGCTTTCTGGACCGAGTGCACGACAGGCTCTTCAATGATGGCTTCGTCAGCGGTGTCCTCACCGTCTCCGTCAACGTCGCTCTCCTCTGCAATGTCCTTGTTTTCGGATTTTGCGGGAGTTGGTTGCTGTGGCGGAGAGTCTGAGCGTGAGTCGCTGCCACTGTCAGTGCGGCGATGCGACGAGCGAAACGAAGATCGTCTCGGGCTCGAACGGCTTGAGCGCGAGCTCGGGTTGCGATCAATCTTAGGACGTGGCTCGGAGATAACTGTACTATCTTCGGCTATCTCATGAAGACTGCTTTGGCGACTACGGAAGCTACCCACGCGTGGGCTGATGGGTTCGGGGAAGTCGGTCTGTGTGCACATGTCTGACATGGAACGAGTGACACTAATGCGTTTGGGCTGCTCGACTGCTGTGCTGGCAGTCGAGATGGCAGTTTGTGAGAGGTTGGAAGTTTTCCAGGTAGAGTTGCTGCCGCTGCGATTGCGGTTGCCATTCTTGTCCAAGCTCGGTCGGCTGAATGTGGTGAAGATGGGGCTAGTCGGGGAAGGCTGGAAATTGAACTGTTCCCAACTGGCTCGTTTTTGTGTGCCAGCTTCGCGGATGCTCATTCCTTCTTTTTCGAGTGCCAGAACGCCGTAAGGATCAGGATCTTCTCTGTCTGGAATACCGAAGAAATGGTCGGGGTTGTTGATGTCCAAGTCAGACGGCGGTGGAGCTGACGGAAGTATAGACTCATCGACATCGTTGTCGCCTTGAGCAGCCTTGATGGTCTCGAGAAGGGGTCGACATTCGATAGGCGGATGGCGTATCCTGCCAGCTAGAATGTCGCCTACAGAAATCTTTTCGTTGTAAAAGCGCTCGTTTTCGTCGGTTCTCTCAATGACGACGGTGCCGTCGATCTGAATACCGGCGTAGAAGCCACGCGACTTGAGATAAGTAAATATAGGAGCTTGTCTCTTGTGGATTTCGGTCTCGAGCATGCCGCCGGCTCCTACAGGGCCTGCGACAGCACTGACTTCTCCTCCCAAGGTGCATCTGATTTTGGAGAAAGCGTCAAGGGCTTTTTGGGAGTTGATGACAACGACGCAATCATAGATGTCGACTCCGACCAGGAAGCCAAGGCCGGCAGTATGTAGCATGATGCCGGAGGGAGGTGACCAGCTACCGTCGGGAGTTCTGGCGACCAAGACACCGGAACCGCCGGCACCCGAGACCCAGAGACCGGTGCGCATTGTTGTGAAGATGGCGAGACCTTTTGCATTCTTGATGACCTGTGGGGTGTCAGATGGGGAGTGTGGTGGGGATGTGGAGATTCGTAGACGCACTTCTGGTGGAATGTGTTTGAGGACCTTTTGCTTCGCCGTGGGACCGTCGGTCGTCGCGGTCGTTGCTTCCTCTTGGTAGAAGCCATCCTCTGGCCAGGGTGGTTAGCAGAGGTGCAGAGTGGGCGGTACAAGGATGGACATACTGCAGAAGCTGCGCAAGATGCGCGCGGCCTTGTCGCTCTCCTTGTCGAGGGTGGTGGGCCAGAAGGCTTCGGAGCCCAGTTTGTTGCTCAGTTTGTTGACGGGGGCACCGAGTTTGTCGACGAGATTCCAAGCCTTGTCGAAGCCGACCTTGCCTCCGCCGCTTACTCGAGACCACCAGCTGCTTTGTTGACCCGGCATGTCGAGGGCCTAGGACGCATCAATCTCCGATATGCGTGTGTCGTAGGCGTGCGTACATGGCCAGCGCCAGTCTGAGAGGGTGGGAGTCAGAGGAGAAGGAGAAGATGATGATGGTAGGAAAACGGTGCACCACTTCACTTGGTTCTGCTTGCCCTTGTCCATCACCGTTGACGTATGCAATGCACAGACCCGAACCCTCTTCTGCCTCTTCCGCCGCTTCCCCCTCCGCCAGAAGCCTCGACACAGATGCACACATCCTTCGATACCAAGACGAGCATTCAAGACCATTTCTCCCTCAGCTTCGCCCTAGCCACAATCTTCTTCTCCATCTGCTTCTGTTGTTTCGCCGTCAGCCTACCAGCCAAAGTCTGTTTTCTAGTTGGCAAATTGTCCGCCCGCACGCCTAATCTGCACCCGCAACGGGCCTTCCGGCGTCGCTCCTACCTGCTTGTGCTTGATATTCCTCCATGGCTGAGACATTCAATGCAATCCCACTCAGATCCCGCTCGTATCATCCACCTGACTCCTCTATAAGGCTTGCCCTATGCCAATAGTCTTGATCGTATCCATCTTTTGTGCTTACTGCTTCGGCCCCTCATCTCAGCTCTGAATCTCTTGTTCCTTCAGCTCTCCACGCCCTGCATCTCATTTCACAAAGCTTCAACGCTTGTCCCCGGTCCGAGCCTTGAGCTCTTTTGGCATCCATTTTTCATGCCTCGCTTAAGCGGAATTCTCATCTCGTCTTCTTGTTCGACCATTTTCATCTTTGTGATGCGCATCACTGCCGTCGCAATACTGATGTTTCAGCTCAACATTGGAAGCCGCTCTCTATTGCCAACGGCTCAAATGTTCGGCCATGCTTTATCTATGCCGAGTCGCTCGCTGAGATCGTCTTGGCTAGTCGGCCGTTGACTATCATACATAACAGTCACGCAATGGTATACTTTGATGAGCCCGAGTCGCTAAACAAACAATGTCTGCGGTCAGATCCGACTCCAAGTGGCATCTCTACGTGTAATAAATACTGTCACAGTAGAGTGACAGGAGTGCACGACGCCTATATACTCAGAAATCCTCTGAGCTAATGTCTGTCTACGAATATCACTTGGACACTGTTCTGTATCAACGTTATCACCATTATCACTATATCTTTACTGAGGAAGAGGGGTCTCGCCTCCTCCACCTGTCGCCTGCTGGGCGTTCTCATGTTACATGCAGGTGCCAGCGCTTAGCAAATAGCAGTCATTGGCCATTCACCAGCCCTGAAACGTGGCGAAGAGATCTACACCTTAGGCGGCTAATCCAGACCAGGATAAAAGAACCAACCATGCACCCAAACACGTCTTCGCGACCGCGAGAGATTCGTGTTCTTGGTGAGAAGAAAAGAACATTAGAGCCCAAAGATCATGCAGGTGCTTTGCAAGGGTGTAACTTTTTATTGTAAGAAGATGAGGGGTTCATCATTCTGCCAGCAAACGTAGGTCTGAGGTATAACTCGATGCCTTTTCGTGACTATCACATTCATCTCTCCCCCCCCCCCTTTTACGTTTTCTCATCACATTGTCCAACGCAATCACTCGGAGAATACCACGAGTTGTTTGATCTCAAAGCACCATGGAGTCTAGCAGCAAGAGTCTATCTGGCACAACATTGACCAGCAAGCCTTCCACTGCGTTCTCAAGCTCATCGTCCAATACTTTGGGTTCACGGCTACTATTTGGTGAAGTGGATAGCTCTCACAGCCGATGTGAGATACAAATAGACCTCAATGAAAGTCGAAGCTCTGACGTTGATCTATGCAGCANNTTCACGAGTGCAAGATCCACATGCGGCCTTATACTCTGCTCCAACCCTTCGTTTCTAGAATTCTTGAGTGCTGAAGGATGCCGGGAAACACTGTTTTCCTTTCTTGCGCGCTCAGATCTCTCTACGCTGCGTCTTGTGTGTCATGGTATCAGCGAAAGAGTCACAAATCAAATCTTCTCGTCCATCGAGATCACCTTTCGAGCCAGAACTTTTAGCAAGCCAACCAGACTTGTCGCTCTGCAGAGGATAGGTCATCACGTCAAGGAAGTCACTTTTCGCCTACCGAGGAGTATCGACACTACATTGCCGCCTCTTATAGATCCTTGGACCGGAGAGCAGAAGAAGTTTGTTTGGAAGCCTTCTGTCCCTCAAGGCCAGAGTGCTGGCACCTCGACCAAACGACCGAGATATGGCGATGCGGACACGACAGAGTTATTGACTCGACAATACCCACCACTCTTCCATGCCGCTACAAACGTGCAATCTCTCGTCAGTGCAATCTCCTGTTTGACAAACTTGCAGCATCTGCGAATCTCTTGCTCGAGAGCAGATGAGGCAATGCCATCTCGAGCACAAGGCGTAAATATCATGGAGATTGCTCTCACATCACTTGTTCATGCTATCGAGAAAGTCAAATTCAAGCATCTAGACACAGTCACCCTGTCCAATATTCGCCCAACAGACATTACGGCTTTATCTTCTTTGGCGATGGGCGCGCACCCGGGTTCTGCCAAAAGTCGGTCTAACATCCGTGTACTGGACATTACCATGTCTTCTGGACCCAACCCGATAGTAGAGAACGACCAGATGAAACTACTGCGCAAGTACATCCGCAGTCACAAAGGACTACATCGATTTTCGTTCCGCTGGATCGGCACCAGAGGACCGTCGCCACTGCCTGAGTTGGCAGTCGAGCAAAACACCCATCCCGCATTCAGGAACACAGCACTTGCATCCTCTACACCACTGTTTCCACATCTCAAACATTTGACTCTGAGCAATGTCGTTATATCAGCCCTTCACATCCAGCGCTTGATGCAGACCCACAAGACCACACTCACCGAAGTCGAGCTCGAGAACGTCGTCCTAGTAGACGGAACCTGGCATGATGCGTTGAGTACCACAAACGGCGTAGAACTTGGAACCAATCCAGTTCTTCCCACAGAACAAGGCGATGTGCCGATTATGCTCGCACCCGGTATATTTGCACCTCATCCTCAGCCAAAAAAGTCCAAAGCAGAACACAGAGGTCAAGCCAGCGAGGCAACCAATCGAGCAAGGAAGTTACTACTTGCAGATGAATATCAACAGGTGGAGTCGTCTAGCCTCCAAGCCAGAAAATTCATCGCCAGAGATCGAAAGAGGAAGAAGGTGAAAGAGGTCACGACGTCGCCGGTGCAGCAGTTGAAGAGGAAGTGTGGTGATTTGTTCGGGTGGAAGATGAAGAATGGGCCTACGCTGGTCGTTGGCTGAGTATCGTTAGTTTGATATGATACTATTTATGATTCATGAGCTATCTGTTGATGCTTCTCAATATTACGTTCTGTGGTTAGGATTACCACCGTGGTGAAGTTGGGCAAAAACTAGATTCGAATGATATGTCCCGTTGGCAAATAGCTATACATAAGAGACCAAGACCAAGACCACGGCACTAAAATAGCCCTGTGGATCATGGTGCGGAGTAAGAGAGACAGTACGAATATATACAATGTATGAGACCCCTCTACCATTAACGCCTTCGCTCAATCAACTAATTTCTGTTGACCCTTCAATCGGTCTTGATAGCACCATATATCCTACGCACAAAGGCATAGGCAGTCAGAAACCCGATAGTTCCGGTCAAGAGAGCGTAAACAGCGCATGCAAGACCCGAGTATGCGAAGAAGAGCAACGATGACACGAAGCCATGGATGTGCAGGTGGTTGAAGTAGTAGTAAACGCAGTAGGCGAAGATCCAGAAGCTGCTCGAGGCACCGACCATGAAACTATGCCACCACCAGTGATAGTTNCTATGATTGAGATTAGTTTGTGGAATCATTTGATGGGTGGAGCGAGAATTTACCTCGGAGCATAGCTGGATATACACAGCTATGACTGTAACCTCCATTACCACTGCAACAAGCATGACTGCTACAACAGCGAGGAAGCCGAATACGTAGTAGTAGCCACTCTTGTCTTGCCAGATACTCTTGAAGACGAACATAAGTTCAATAGCCACAACAAAGAATGCTGGCAGGCCTGCAAGAAGGATGCTTTGCCAGCTGCGGATATACCAGCTCTGTTGGGGAATTTGACGAGGGACGGCACTTGCTCTAATGGGATGAGACCAGGCTCCAACGCGCACATATCCATACCAGGAGCCAACATAGACGAGAGGAAGTTGGATGAGGAGCCAGAGAGCGACAAGACCAACGAGTGTTCCGAATGGTAGGGCGGTGCTCGAAGCCTGTGCCCAGACGAAAAGATTAAGAATGAATATGATTGTGAAGACAAGACCAGGGAAAAGAGTTGCGGTGACGAAACAATTCTTTTGCCAGAACTGACCAGAGAAAGTCTTGTACACACGAGCACTGAAGTATCCGGAAATGAGGCCGGCGAGCACGAAGAGAGCGACGGCGACGCTGATAAAGCCGCCTCTAAAGGACGGGTTGAGGATACCGAAGCAAGAAAGTATGATCAGACCAGCGACAACGAAGACCAGCTGAGTTCCAGATCCAACAAGGGCGGCCAAGACACCACCATATGCAGGGGTACGGAAGACGTCTGCGTGAACCAGTTTCCAGCCAGTGAGGTCTTCCACAGCCTCGTCGTCTGACGAGATGTCGGTGTCGGCATCGCCTTGGTCGAGCAGTCCTCCCATTTTCTCATCGGGTTTGCGAGGTGAGCGAGTGCCAGTCCTACCGCGCTTGACCCTGAGCTTACCGTCTTCAATGTTGGCGGTCTTTAGATCACCACGAATGGTGCGTGCAAAGATGACTGCAACAACAGCCGTGAGCAGTCCAGAGATGATGATCGAGTTGACAATAGCGAACCAGTGGGTGCCGGTGGTATCATCCTGGTCGGCGAAGAATAAACTCCAGCGATTCTGCCACTCAACGTGTGGTTCTTCTCGGAAGTAGACGGAGTACGTGTAAGGAATGGTAAGAGTGGCATCTTCGTCAACGTCGTCGATGGTAGCTGGATGGTAGGTCGAATCAGAGGAGTAGTAGGCGGCGGCGGCAGCGGTGCCGTTCTTGCGCATGGTCAGCTCCATGCCATTGCTGACATCTGTGATGGAAGCGGGTATGCCCTGGGCGTCTCTGTTGCCAGCTTCGATGCTCTTTGCATAAACCTCAAACCCGACTATGACCTTCTTGCCTCGTTGTCCATCTCTTCCTGGAGCCATGTGGTAGCGAAGAACGAGCGTGACGTGGTTGTTGATGAAGTAGCGCGGACGGCCGGTAGTGGGATCCCCGTCTTGGAAGCCCATCTTGAAGCCTGAGGCGTAGTATTTGCGAGTCTTATCGGTGGACACGAAGTTGGTTGCGCCGGGCAGGTTGTCGACGACCCACTCGGCCACGTAGTTGTCTTTTACAATCTCTTGGGCCTTCTGCAGGCCTGCCCTGTTGACTTTGTGACTGCAGAGGTAGTGGACCTCATCGTCTTTTCCCATCTCCAGTTCATAGTCACTGACAACGATACGATCGCCTCGGAGTACCTCGCCCAGGTTCAATGCGATACTCGATCCAGAAATGAGACCGCCGACTCGACGACGACCGCTAGGTGGGCATACGAAGGGAAGTTCGGCATATGCGTATTGGATCTGTGTCTTGTCCGAGTAGACCTTGTTGACGAGCAGCGGTATCACATCGCCATCGCTGTAACTCTTGATTGACCATCCTGTGTCGTGTCAGCGCGTCTTAACCTGCACCAGCCAGATGAATGGCATACCGGGTATGTAGAAGGCCTGTGTGAGGGTGAACAGGAGGAGGAAGGCAGCCCAGAGGCTGGCGCTCGGTGATGGTACGGTGGCCATGTGTGTGTATGTGTACAGTATTAAGGTGAGTGGATTAAACTATTCTTGACATGCGACGTTTTGCAACGAGGGAGCAGACATGGGCTAAAGCTTTTTCTCGCCTCGGCCGACAGAAGGTTGAGCAGGCAGGTGTTAAACGTTGTTCCTGGGCCGAAAACGAGGGTATTCGACACTAGTTTTACAATACGCGTGTCAGGATGGAAAGGCCAAGATGTCAGCAAAGGTTGTGCTGTCGGTAGGAGTGAAACTCAAAACAGAGCGGTTAGAAGGAGAGATCGAAAAGCAGAAAGAAAAGAGCGCAAGAGGAAAGCGCGATAGGGTCGCTGGTCCATGGAGAGCAGGGGTTGCACTTTCTAAAAATGCATGCGCGCTGCTGCTGCGTAAGATAGGGAAAGCTTGTCCCGCCAATTCATCACCCACCGCTGCGGGACCCCAGCTTTTCCACGCACACGGCCCTCAACTGACTCGCCCCATCACTCAATCTCTAATCATCTGAAACGTCTTTTGTTCGTTGATTGCGCAAGCCATTGTCCTGTGCTGCGCCTGTCTGACTCCTGTCATCCTCTGAGCCTCCATCTCTCACAAGTCAGGCTCCAGTGGGAGAGGTGTGCAGTGTTAGGCGGCTCAACCCGTGTGTCGTTCGTATCACAATCCCGAAGGCTCTGAGACCACCTCGAACAAGTCACTCTCTTGCCGCATCAGGCCATGATCGCGTTGCATTGAGGGCTCCTGCAACGTCTCTGCGGCCGATCCTCTCGGTCAACTATTACCAAGACATACGGATATCGTGTGTCGCATGCAGGAGAGACGATACATCAACGACTGGCATTTTCTGTAGAAATTAATCTCACCAAAGTCTCTCATAAGCCTCGTAAAAAACTGACAGTTTGGTTTGACTATTCAAGGCCTCCATCCCGTGATCACGCTGTTGAGATGCTTGACGCACAACAAAAGCATGCGGCTGACAACAAGAGCTCTACCTGCATGTCAAGCTCTTGTACTTGCTCGGCTTGTGTTGGCTTCAAGCTTCAGCTCTGACCAGTGCAGCTGCCGTGAGCTGCCTTGAAAATAGTTGTTCGCAAGGATCTTGGCTTGGGCACTTGTATATACAAACGGTTCTTTTTATCTAGCAGCAAGACCTTTCTCCAAGATGCTCTCCAGTCGTCCGCCAAGCTCGGAATACGACACTGTGCCATCCTCGTCCGCAGTTGCCACAGCATCGCTGTACAGAGCCTCCATGTCCTCTCTTTCGACTCTGACCACCCATCCATTTGCCGTGATCATTGTGTGATATTGTCCTTGACTCTCGGCAAGCAATCCCGAGGCTCTGACCAATCCCTCGACCCATTCACGACCGACATTACCACCAATTCGTCTTGCTACATCCTCGAGATCAACGATTCGTCTGGTTCCGAGCTGTTCCCTCACAAGTCGCACAGCTCCCTCTCGTCTCTGCATCTCTTCCTCTCTCGCCTTCTCTTCTTTTAGCCTCTTCTCTTCCCTCTCCTTCGCTCGCTTGGCCTCCACCTCTGCCTCTTTTGCTGCACGTCTAGCTCTCTCGGCCGCGAGCTGTGCTTCACGTTCCTCTGCTCCCTCGGCATCTCTCGCACGCTGAGCTTCGCCCTGCGAACGCATGAATTCGTGGTAAGCGCGGCGTTGGTCACGACGTTGCAAAGACTTTGCCTTTTTGGCACCAATCGTGCGATTGTTGTTGCTGCCTGGAGGTGCCTGAGGACGTGGGTTCACGGGACCGGGCTCTCCATCGTCGTCATCTTGAGGCGGACCTGCAGGTCCAGCGAAGTCGTTGAAGGGGGCGTCTGGTTGCTCTTGCTCGTCCTCTTCGGCGTCTTCGATAAAGGGCCGTGGTGGAGGTACTGCTTGTTGCTGTCCCGGCTCCAGAGCTCGAGGTTCATCATGGGGAATGTGTTGTTCGGATTGATCATTTATATGATTATGCGTTTCTGATCGTTGCTCCTGGATGTAGGCCTGGATCTGTGGCGCATAGTACAACGCTGTACATAAAGCAGCAAGATGCAGTAGATCTTGATATAAGGGTGTGCCAGGCGTCGCGAAAGGCAGCAGGATGTTCAAGCCGCGTTGAACAAAAGAAAAGGGATTGACCATATTGCCGATATTTTGAATCCGATCCAGACCGATTCCGGATCAAATATTGCGCTTTTCGCGCTTGACGAAATCTCGCGTGTTTAAAAAATGAACGTGAGATGATGTCGCAAATATAGATGGTTTGCGTGTATCAACCGCCTTCACAATCGAAAGAGGCTTATGAGCTGATAGCTTTTGCAGTATAGGTTTGGAAAAGAGTCCAGTAGTCTGGTGTTTCTGTCATTGAATCCTTCGAAGTTGTGTAACAGGAGTATTGACAAGATGATCAGATCGTCAAATAAGTTCACCATCAAAGACATTTTGTTGCTTGGCGCTCGGACGTCATGTAACGCACGGACGCAAACGCGGCAACAGTCCCTCTTACCAGCCCTGGACACCCTGGACAAACACACGATCTTGTCCCTCTCATTGAAATGAAGCATCCTGATCTACAACGGTGAGGGCGTCATTCTATCGATTCAGATCAATAAATTACTCCAAGAAATTCCGATAAGTTGTCGATGTAGAGAAAATAGAAGGCATATTGGATTCAACAGACATAATTCGCTACATGGATGACAAAAGATATAATGCTCGCTCTATGATCTCGAGGCAACAACCCCCTTCTCAAGCGCAACGATACTCTCGCGGACTTGAGGACAGAAATGTTTTCTCAACAATTCACCCTCCCATACCGTCGTTGCAAAGGGNTTGCTTCCTTCTACTTCTTCCCTCAAGGGGTTGAAGACACCATCTCCCTTTCTCTCCTCAGTGTACCATAACGCTGCGATCTTCTTGCCTTGTACCTTGGACACTTGCTGCAACAGACCCATCATGGCCAAACATGACTTCTCAGGTAGTTGCAAAGAGATAGTGAGGAGTTGTTTGGCGAAAGCTGCGAGACGAAGCGGAGGAACAGAACGGAGGTTTTGCGGCGGTAGCAGGACAGATGACAACGAGCGAAGGAGCAACACAGTTGTCGTCTGAACGTTGATCTTGTGCTTGGCCTGCTGAGGGAGAAGAGCTTCGTCGTCGTTGCCATGGGGATCTCTCAGACGCAGAGATTTGGCACTCAACTCCAAGTCGGGATTCATTGATGATGGTAAAAGCGTCTTGTAGAGGTGAGTGATGAAGAATTCGAGATCCAGATGTAGAGAGCCAACACTCTTGACCACGTCTTGGCCTTGAAGAAGGGCGAATGCTGTAATGATGCAAAGAAGAGATTCGCGGTTGATGTTCCTCGGCGCAGTAGAGGCATCCTCGTCTTCTTCAGCAAGTGCTTGCTCAGCAGCCTCGGTTGAGATGACGAGTTCGCGAAGAGCTTCCAGGATATCACCGAAGAAGTCCTGGTTGATCAAATGAGCATAGCGGGCCAGACCTTCAAGCACAGCACCCATGAGCTGAGGTACTCGTTGCTTGAGAATACGGAAGTATGCAACGAAAACCAACTTCAGCATCTCAGACTGGTTCTTGTCACGCTCTTCGTGTGAAACGGTCGCGTCGGCTTCTCTAAACTCTTTCTCTACACCCTTGACTTCGCGCAGACGTTTTCTCTCCTTTTTCGTTCTGAATTCTCGCTTTTGCTTTTGCTTGACGGCCGGCTCATCCTCGCTTTTATCGGTACGAGTGCTACTGCTTCTGTGTGCGAACTCGGAAAGTAGTCGTAAGTGCAAGAAAGTGTTTAGCACAGATTCGTGGATGTTGTAGCTTCGCGACTTCATCATCTTGCATAGCAAATCGACAGCCTCGCGAGAAGCATTTCCATCCTCGTCGTCGCGGAACAGAGTCTCGAGGCACTCGACACATTTGTGGAAATCTGGGTTCACCTGTCTGATACTGAGTCTGCCGACCAAGATGTTGATGAGATCGCCACGGAAGTTGAAGTGGGGAACGGTATTGAGAAGAGTGCAGGCGCAAGAGATGGCAACGGTGGCGACAGAAGCAGCTTCCTTGTTCTTGTCACCGCTCTTCTTGGCAGCTCTTGTCAAAGATCTGACATACTCATGGTATCCGCCAACAAGCATTTGCTCAAAGTTGCGTAGTTTGCGGACGTCCTTGGATAACTTCTGCTTCAACTCTTCCTTGGAAACGGGACGGATACGGTAGCCGGGAATGATGTCGCGGTAGATGGCGAGTTGCGTAGCCATGCATAGCTTGACGACGGTTCTGTTTTGTGACGTTGCGTGAACTTGCAGTTTCTTGAGTTGGCCAATGTGTTCTTCCGGGTCTTCTGAAATCAAGCTGGCGACGCGCGCAAGGTCCTCCTTGGCCTGGAGAATCTGTTCGCGTGGTGAAATTTGTGGCACCTCTGGCTCCTCATCTTCCTCTTCGTCGTCATCTTCGTCAACAGCCTCGGCCTCGTCGCCGCTTCCCAGAAAACTGTCGGCGTCCTCCTCTTTCTGCTCAACAACAGCAGGGGCCTGCTCAACCCACCCCTCCGAGGTCTTGATAGGCAGCCTTGTTTCTTCCTTCTTTTTCTTCAGGTTGCGTGGTCGGTTTTCGTAATCCTGTTCCAGGTCCCATCCAGCGGCGTTGCGGTAGAAATCCTCGATCTTTTCCTCGGATGAGACTCCATTTTGGGTAGAAGCAGGAGGTGACTCGACCTCTGGGCTAATGCGACGTCTCTTTGCAATGGGAGCCATTTCCAGATGTGTTTTTGTTGGTTGATATATTGTTCGACTGGGAAGAATCAGCAAGGGAAAGAAAAAAGATAGGCGCTTGTGCCAAGTTAACTTCTGAGCCAATCAGAAGACTGGATTTGCGGCGAAAACGAAACTCCCGAGCTGCCGTCTCCGCAGTTTTTGGGAAGCATCCGAGGATTCTTTTTTCTGCCTCGCTCCTTCCTCGCATATTCACCCGAACATTGTCATCTGATCGACCAGCTTTGCGCTTGCCTTGAATCTTCCGGATCTTATCACCGTCTCGTCAGACTTTACACCTCGCTCGCGCCTACTGCACAAGTCAACTTCGCACACATCGCAAACATGCGTCCTCTTACAGAAGGAGAATCCAAGACCGTCTTCGAGAAGCTCGCCAACTACACTGGAAAGTCCCTTACAAATCTGTTGACCGACACGGCGCCCGGCAAGGATGGAAAGGCCTCAAGATTTGTCTTCCGTGTCCAAGAATCAAGAGTCTACTATGTACGCGAAGACATGGCAAACCTGGCCACCTCGGTAGCCAGAGACAACCTGCTGTGTCTTGGAAACTGCATCGGCAAGTTGACCAAGACTGGCAAATTCCGCCTCCACATCACCGCTCTGGACATCATCGCCCCTCATGCCCGCGCAAAGATCTGGGTCAAGCCCAACGGAGAGATGCCCTTCCTGTACGGTGGTCACATCGTCAAGGCTCACGTTGGCCGTTGGAGCGAGGACTGCCCTGAGCACCAGGGTATCATCGTTTACTCGATGAACGAGTATGTCATGCCTCTCTGCCCCATCTCCACAAAATACACATACTAACCTGCCTCAGCANCCCCTCTTGGTTTCGGTGTCACCGCCCGCTCTTCCGCCGAGTCAAAGCGTCTGGACCCTACTGGTATCGTCGTCTTCAGACAAGCCGATTGCGGCGAGTACCTCAGAGAAGAAGACACCCTCTTCCAGTCTTGAACGTCTTGACGTTTTCGCTTCACCACTGCATATCTTGCTACGAACCGCCACCTACCCGCGCCCGAAGAGTTGCCACAAAAGTTGCATTGGAGATACCCGTTGATGATTCCGGGATAGCAGGAGTTATGGGAGTTACATATTAGTCATAGGGCCCTTCTGAGAGGAAATGGTGCGACGGGAATACAAGGCTCACTTAACCAAGAGCTAGACATGGGGCTTGTATAAAACACCAAGCCAGTCTATCCATCCGTCTACTCGTTTCTCTATGTGCCTCAATCTACCGTGTCGAGTGATACCCCGTGGAGTATCCTCACAAGCTAATGTTGGTAGGGGATGTGCTCTGCAGGAAGATCAGTCATCTGAACACACTGGCATTTATCGATTCAAAAGAAGAACCTCGGTCTCACAACACCGAACGATATTCACTACAGAGATTCAAGTGTAGTTCTAATTCGTGTTGACGTGATTCCCAGTGCCACGTCCCGTCTCGCAAGACTGCAACGTCTTATGCTATCCGCCGTTTCTTTTTGGTCTGAGTCACTGTGATAGCTTCATCTGTTCTAGGCCGCTTGTTGTCTGGTTCTTCGGCCAGCTCTGGTTCTTCAGCTCCAAGTCTCTGACCTATCCGGTTTCTGAACCTCTGAGGCGCCCATGCGAGTTCGCATTGCCGAGGTAGGTCCAAGTCCAAGTCTTGATATTGTTCGGCCAGATAACGATCCTCGAAGTCGTGAAGGAACCACAGTTTGCCGGCTCGTGCTCGCTTGAAGATGTTCGCTTTAATCTCCCTTTTTCGGTCGTCGGTCAGGATGCCCAAGTTTTTGTATTGTTCTGCGACCCAGTCCTCGCTTCCCCATGTGTCGATTCCATGGATGTGAGGGGGAGAATCCATATCGATGGCGTACAGTATATCCTCAGGAGCTGGTCTGCATTCGGGGTCGAATTCCTGACAGCTCCTTACTAGCTCAAGCAGCTCCACGCTGTAACAAAACTCTGGTGCGGCTGCGAAACGTGGAGGATGACTTTTGATATCTGACTCTCTGGCATCGGGGTCTTCGTAGTCACGGTCGTTTGGGCGAGTCTCTAGTCGCATCATGGCTTCGATGGTCTTGCCGAGCTGCCAGACGTTGGACCATGAGTCCAAGGACGCGTTCACGGTTTCTTCGTATTCGAAGTCTTCGTCGTCCATGTCGACATCCATCGCATCATCATCGGCCTCTTCCTCGTCATCACCGTCCTCTGGCTTCTCAACACGGGGACGGGGACAGGCATGTTTCATATCAAATTCAGGAGCTGTGAACCCAGGCGTGCAGTAAATCGGTAACCGTTTCGATCTGTTTGCCGTTTGGTCTGCGTAGGTCAAATGGGCTGATCCGAGATCGCCTATCACGGGCCTTGGGTACACCTTGAATTCAGGCCCTCCCGCGCCGTCGAGGAATATGTTACCGGGCTTCATGTCCAGTAGTACGATAGTCTCGTCCTGTTCTTCGCGTGCGTTGACTCGTGCTCTAGAGAGATCTTCCATCTGTTTGAGAGCAGAGGCGAGGCACTTCATCGTCCACCAGATGAAGGGCTCAGGGATGAGTTTCTTTCTGGCGGCGTGCCAGGAGATTAGTTGATGTAGATCGCCAGCATACAAGTGCTCCATGTAGAGGCGCCAATGGACGCATTTCCAGTAGCCTTTCACTGGGTGGGGCTCTGGCGCATCGCCCCTCCTGTACCCACGCAGCCGCACAGTATTACTCTGAATCGCAAGACTCTCCGGCGTAAGCAGTCCTTGAATATAGGCTTCCTTGTAGAAAGGTACTTCTATCGATTCTCCACCCAGTGCATCACTCATATCCATCCCTTTACGCACCAACCCGCCATATATACCTTTGTAAATCTCGGGCTCCTCCAAAGAATCCCAACTCCACTCATCTTTGATGACCACGCGATCGATGATCTTTTGGTTTGCGTCGGCTTTGACCCAGTAGTGTACTGCTCCTTGGCCTCCTTGTCCTAGGAAATAGCCTCCTTGCCAGTCGCCTTCCGGTAGTCCGCTCTTGTCGTTTCGGCCTGGAGGCGGTCCGCTTTGGCTGCTGTGTGGCGGCATGATTGTTTTCGTATACGTGCTTAGAAAGGGTAAGAAGGACAAGTTGTTGAGCTAGGAGAATAGAAACATTGGCCTCGGAATATGCTGGATGATTTTCCTCGACTTTTTTCTTTGTTCGAAACTCGAGGTGACCGGATCCGGAAATTGTTCAAAAGAATCAAACGGCATCTTGAAAGCTAGTCAAGTTCTTTGTTCTTTGAATTCAGAACGCAAACGCGATAGAACTAGGGGTAAAGCGATAAACAACAAAGTGGTATAGTACAGTCCAATGACCGAAAGCAAATCCAACCGACAGCTCCTCTCCTTTCATACTTGCAGGCTCACATAGTTATCCTCGTTGGTGACTCCTGACTCTCTAGGACCCCTCGATCGGTCTACACTGTCTCACTCATCGATCTTGGCTTTCTTGCTTTCTTGCTGTCCGTCGTCCATGTTGCTGCGCTTCTTCGCGGGACGAGAAGGAAGCGAGACCTCCTTGATGAGGACAAATGCCAGAACTGGAGACACAAGGGCCATGGCAGCGCCACTCAGAGGGCTAGGGAGGAAGCAGGGAGGGGGCAAGTTGGATACAGGAACCGGGGCCATTGAACCGGCCCCTATGTTCCAGTCTGTGGGTCGGCTCTGAACCTTTGCTGCAATTGCCAATGGTATATTTTGGTCGGCAGCCTGTATGGAAACGTCAGCGTGTAGACCTTCGGGGTGCATCGAAGCAGGACAGGGGGCTCATCAAGCTCTCGTATCCGCATGATGTAGCCAGTATTAGCTATGAAAAGGCACAATGTGTATGAGAAACAGAGCATGTCCACTGAGAGCTGTCATATCGAAGGCTCTCAGTGGACACGACTTTGTTTCTCGAACATATTGTGCATTTCTATGGCATATATGACTGCTCCATTCTGCGGCGAGAACAGCGGCATAGATGAACTTACACGAATCGAGAAGACCACGTGCTTGGGACGACCTTTCATCTGCTCGTAATTTTCTTCACACAATTCTGTCCAACACTCGGGGTCAAGAGCGTCCAAGCTTGGTGCAAACTGGTATTTCCATGGACCAACTGTGGGATTTGAAGTCGAGTATCCGAGACGGACTGCTTGTTCGCATCTGGAGTAGCTGAGAAGATCGGGAAGCAGGTCGATGAATTGCTGGTATGATGTGTAATTGAGCTTCTTCATGACCGTGTAATGCGCAGGAGTGCCGCCGAGTAGGTGTAGGTGTGTGATGAGGAGGACTCGAGTCTCGTAGAGGCAGGAAGGAATCAGAAGCTTGTTGTTTCGATAGTGTCTGTCTGACACAATGGCATACCAGGTACCGCAAAGGTCAGCTTCCTTGTTTTGATTGTACACTTCTGGAACCCGTGCGCCAGAATTCCAGCTGAGCGGCTTCAAATTACGCTTGGCTGCTCTGTCCACGTTTGGATACAACTTTCGTATGGCACGAGTAGTTTTGATAACCTTCTGAGCAGGCCCATCTGCTTCGGTGATCGTGACATTCCCCTTGTCGATTTCCAGAGTCTGCATGGCCATCATGAGCTTGGACAGTTCGGTCTCAGTCTCCTTCACATCACGGACGACGACAAATTTGGCCAAGGTCAGTTTGATGTAGCGCGCAACGAGCTTGCTGCGAGCGTTCTTGTTGCGGAAACGGTCGTCAAGCTCGCGAAACATTGTCAGTAGGACAGGATCTTTGTATACCACGGGAATCGACTCTAAGTCCAGGGTATGTGCAAGGTCGTCGTACAGGTCGGCAGCAACAGGCGCGTTGTTGATGTTGGAGCGGTGGATAGTTGAGGAGAGAAAGTGATAGTCGGTATGATCCTCGGCGCATCCCAATTCGACCGCTCCAGACTGCTCGACTGGACAGTCTTGCTCGTGGTCTGCACATGGCTTGTTGTCAGGATCATAGTCATCGCCATAACCATCAACTTCGTAGAACGGAAGGTGGCTCAGGCTAGCGTCATCTGTGGGTTCCTCTGGTGCAAGAGCCTTGGTGTGCTCGGCGTTGTGTTTGGTGTCATTGAAGGTGATGTGGACATCCATCACAGTGATGCGCTCAGATTCCGTCATTGCTGGTGAAAGAGCAGTAGACTTGAAAATTCCAGCAGCGTCTATGGCGGAGACTGACAATGCTTGGGGGCTTGGAAGTTGAGCGAACGAGTCTTTGAGGGGTGTGCGATGATCGATGCGCAGAGGGAAGAAAGACAGACCGCGGCCAGCTTGTTTCGATGATGGCTGTGGACGCGGTGTGTGTACGGAATAGAATCTCGATGGCTGGAAAGGTGAATGCTATGTGAAGCGCGATGGACGAAAACTTGAAACAGAAGTGAAGAGAAAATGGAGCGCAAACAAAGTCGTCACGATCCACGTCCGCAATCCTCGGCGAAAGTTCTTGAATTGTTACGGTTGCATATACAGGTAGTAGCCGAATAATAGTAGTCGGCTACTAGAGTAGGCCTCTGCACTTCGTGATGAGAGCAGCTCTTGTCCCAGCGCGGATGAGAAGGTTTATGCAAAAACAAGAACAAAAAGGTGACCAGGATTGGATTCGAACCAATGACTGTCATGACGGCACAGCTGTTGATAGTCTTGATTCAAGTGAACCGGATACTGCCAACAACTACACCATTTGACCGCTGGACGGAAAGAGGACCACATAACAGAGATAAGTACCTCCATGCATGTGGAATCGGCACGGCAATGGCCACTGGATCCCAGCAGCAGGAGTCAGCAACGGTCATGCTATAGACACACTACTTTCGCAGAAGACGTGAGCTGACCGGAAATTGCGCCGCTGAATACTGCCAACCACCTCAAGAGATGTTGATAGGGACTTAAAGGCATCGGCATGATCTTGGTACGTTTTCTCCAGGACAATCCCTTATTTCTCTTTTCGTCGGGAATGTCAAAGAAAATCGCTCACCTCAAATTGTAGCGGACGCTGTGATGAAGAGGTTATGAAAAACGTGAAATTCTTCGATTCCTTGTTCTTGCTTTGACGAAGTTGAAATGGCTTACCAAACTGAACCCACCAAAGGAATGTCGAGAACAGCAAATAGGCAATTATGTCAGTGAGCATTTGTAGTCCGCTCTAGAGCAAGTCGTATTTCCTGTCGTGATCCAGGTAAAATATCGGTAAAGGGAAACTGTCGTACTGAAGTATATCAATTTCTATTGTTGCCTAATTGCAGATAATATCTTACGCACTGTGAGTTCTGAGATGCACCCAAACATGCCATAGGCATCGTACAAGATATGGGTTATCTATGAGCAAGGCTATCAGGTGGGTTGTGCCCAGTGATTGCCGAGCAAGGACATCACTACAACCTTTTACATTTTTGAGCACTTGTGCAACACAGTTTCTGGTAGTAATCATACCGGAACATATCAAATAGCTGTAGATAAAAAAGAAGAACAGGAGGTGGAGTTGAAAACAGCTACCCCATTCCTTTCTAGTGCTCGCCCGAGATTTTCCCGTGTCAACTTCATCTCGTGGCCACTAACGACGACTAAAATAGAGACAATACATCAACTTCGAACATGAATAATAATAGCGAAGGATGGAATGAAATTCAATAAGCGTGTCAATATCGTCGACTATGACGCTAGTGAGAAGGACCAGGCGTTCCCAAAGCTACGTGACGCCCCTACCATACAGCAATTGGAAAGAACAATCATTGGAATAAGACATCCAAGATCCCGTCGTTCTGCAATCAGTAGACGTAAAATCCACTGCGTTGTTGCGTGGTACTCCAAAGAGCGTTGGCTACAAAGTTGGAATCGGGTGGCCACCAGTAAATGAACTGGCGGCATGATCGGTTCGAAATCTTCGCCCCTTGTGTGATGAGTCTAGGATGTGGCTCTCCCAGTGTAGAAGACAAGGTTTGAAAAGTTCTGAGGACGAGAGACTGAAAGCAACAGCAACGCAAAACAGTTGTTGGTACCGCTTTATGGATTGGCCTCAACGGGTAAAGAAGCAACATAACATGAACATGTTATTTGGTAACTGTTGAGTTCCTCCCCTAAACCCATATGACCAACAGATAAATCTGCACGATTTGTGGTAGGGACATTGGAGGAGGACGTAAGCAGCCGTCAACGCGCATCCCAAACTTCGGCCAAGCGTTGTCCAGGACAACATAAACAATTGCATACGGAGTGACGCGCTCCCGGAGCCACCCACATCACACTTTCTACGCACACACGTTCTCATTCCGAACACACTACGCTTTGCATCGATCCCTTCGTTATACGCCTTCCAAACGGACCAGTAGTGCGCGCCCAGATGAAATGACAGCTCTATCAACCGGCCTCAGTCTCAACTGCTTCGACGCCATGCATCCCTCGAGCCACCCAGACTCTGATGGTCGTTGATACGACATAGACTTCAACGAATCATTGAAGACGACCCTGTGCACGAACGCATGATGCAGCTCATTCTGAAGCACGCCAGCCAGCCAGAAGTCGTTATCTATGCCAAAGTTAGTCTGATCAAGCTGTCCATTATCAACAAAGCAAAGGCCGGCAATGTCCACGAAGTAGCGCTCTCATCCCTTATGGAATCCGTCAGCTTTTCACAATGCCACGAGACCACACGCGACGAAACAACCAAGGAAGAGAGCATTGTTCGCGACTGCCTCGGCAAGATCAATCAGCTCAGAGTAGTTAAGAATTTTGGTAAAAGGTTCGCCTGTACTCTCAGAGATATCGTCAAGACGTTCGACTACGAGATCCATCCTGTGATCACGAAGTGGAGGACTGATGATCTCTGCTGCATATTCTACGCCTTAGTTTTAGACGCCTACTACAGAGACGCATCGATCACCGAGTCAGAAACCTCTGTTGGGCTCAGATTAATCACGCATCTAACGCTCGTTGGAGGTCCTCCCATGCACATCGAGACCCTAATCACTACCAACATCGTCAGCCACCAAGAAATCACACGTCAACTCTCGAATTCCCTGGAAACCAGCCAAAACGGTCATCCCAAGCGCCGGGGACTCTCAGCTCCTCAACAGATGGGTCACACAAGCTGGTTGTTTCAAGGTGCATCAGACTTTGAGTCGCTCAAAATGGGAGAAGCAGCCTGGAAGGAATTCGACGAGTTCAACTTGATGCCAATGACTAAAGAGGAAAAGGTTTTCATGATCCATGTAAGTTTCGCTATTCTTATACAATCATTCCCCCCTTCCTGCTCGCATTTTGATACCCTATCAAGATCTACAATGTAGAGTGTACAAGCATGCTGTCCACTGAGAGTAATCTCAGCAGAGACTCTCTCTGGACACTCACCCTGTTCAAAAGAAATTCTGCATCTTTACAAGCTACTACAGGTGCTAATCGATTCACAGGAGTACCACCTAGGTATGCCCGCCCGCATCGAGGAGAAGGTCAGAGGCAAGCCCAGGGTGTGAAATACCCGGAAGCTATCGGACAGTCCCACCCTGACCTCGCTCCCAGCGCCTGAGTTCGTGCCTTCTTCCCGTGCCATCATCGTTGCACGTCCTACTTTCGATATGAGTAGCTTGACAAGGGCTCTTCTTCACCCTGAGCGCATGGGTCGCACTGAAGAACAGCAGCAGGGTGTCAAGAAGGAGAGAAGGAACAAGAGGGTTAGACACCGCAAGAAGCAGAAGGGTGTGGCTCCTCAACCTACAAGTACCCAACTCCCTCTCGGATAGAGAACCTAAGAGCAGTAGAAATTGAGTGTGAGCAGAGCACAGGAAAGAAAGAGGGTGACTTTAAGATCAGGAGAAGGAGAAACTGTATTATACATTACATAAGCATCAACCGAACCCCTATTTCCAATCACTGCGGACGAAGAGAACACTCTCCTCGGCCAGTCTTCTCACTCCAATGCCATATACATCCAGTCCGCGAGCTTTACAGGCCTTGACTACCTTCGAACACTCCATCAAAGCTATCTCGTAGCTTGTCTCGTTGAACTCTTTGCTATCGGGTGGGGATGAGCCTTCAATCTCATGCATCTGGACGTCAGGGAACTCGTTACTGTAGGCGTAAGCGGGAGAGTGGTTGTCCATAGCTTCTTCGAAGGCGGCGGCTTGCTCAGGGGTGGAGGGTCTGGGGGANGCAATGAGACGCAGTCTTGTTGGTCTAGCAGGGGCTTTGGTCGGTGCAGTGGCGGTTGATTTACGAGGACGACCTACGCCGCGCTTGGGTGCAGCGGGATCTTCGGGTGCAGGAGTGTTGTACTGAGGAGGCTGAGGTAGCCTTTGGATGAGTTGATTGCGTGAGATCTGAGTAAGGGCAGATGCATTTGACGATGCTCCGGCATAGTATTCTTCTTCTTCTGCACCGGCGAGAACATCCGGGCTTGAGAATCTTGTGTTCTGGCTACCGGCCTGTCTCATTCGATAGACATCTAACTCGTGCAATGGCATAGCGACCTTGCTGCTGCCGCACTCAAGGTTCTTCAGGCTTTGCATATCGTAAGCTCTCTTACGGGCGAAGCTTTGGTGGGCAGGTACAGTCATAGGCGTCCAGAGAGTCCACTCGTCAGGTACGTCGTCGGGCAGGTCAGGTAGGAGAGACACAACACCACGGAAAGGCTCGGTCTGGACGACAGTGCTGGGACCTCTGGGACTCGCAGGCAATGAGGATCTTGACACAGCCGGTGTGGGATACACATGGTTCCACACGTTGCAAGGGATCTCGGGCTTTTCAGTGGATATCACGACATTGTTCCAATACTCCTCACTGACTTCTGGCGTGGTCTCTTGACCAAAGATCGAGGCGACTTGATTGCAGGAACGACCAAAGGGGAGTTTGCGCTGCTGATACAGTCTGAAGACGTAGATGCATGCTCTGACTTTGCCCGAAAAGGAGACACTGGTCGAGCCATCGGCATGGCGATGCAGTTTCGCGAGTGAAGATGGCGCACCGCCGCTGAACAGCCATTCCGTGTAGAGGCGGGTGTATGTCGGGATCCTGAGGTCCCGCTCGCAGTCGAGTATGAACTGTCGCGCGCCCCGAGGGTATTGCTTTCTGACCTTGCGACTGTCATCCTGCCAGGGCGATGCATAGCAGTACAAGAAGAACAGAGATGATGGGATGGAATAGCTGCAGGCTCGAGGATCGGATTGGCATAGGAAGAAGAGTCGAGCTGCGTCAGGAGGGGAACTCGGTACACCGGTGAACGGATCGTTGAAGAGTTCAGAGTTGTCGACGGGTTGGGAGTGTTGTGACGATCCAGTTGTGTCGGCCAAGCCGGAAAACGAGGTGGCAGCAGTCTGAGATGATGATGCAGAGGCTGAGGTGAAAGAGTTGGCAGCGACTCCTGATGAGGACTGAGAGGACATCGACTGATCCATCGTGCTGAGACTGGTGGTTAATCGACAGCACGCGCGATGTTGCGCGAGTCTACAACCGTGACTAGAGTTTTGAGGAATACCCAGAGTCAAGTGAAAGAAGACAGTGTGAAGCAAAGAAACGAGCATCCAGAACATCAACGAAAGCGCGAGTGAAGTGATCGTCGAGCATTTCATGCGATGCATGCGCAAGTGAGCGAACTTTCAGGTAACGATATGAAAGTTCTAGGGAAGACACACAACCATGGAGCAAAGTCCTGAAATGGCCGGACAAGCCAATCGAGATATAACATGCACGAGCGATGCAAGACATGGACGACGAGAAAGAAGAATCTGAAGAAAATGGACATTTACATGACTTTTTTCAACGATATGGACTGACCACGAAGGAGCAAAGTCGTTTTATGGAAACAACCAAGACCAAAGGAAATAGCATTGGCACCCACCATAGCAAAATTGGAGAGGAGAGTCGAAAGGGAGACATGTATTCGAAAGAAGCCGCTGTAAAAGAGTAAAGAAGATTGATCCGTGACGCCTTGCAATGCCCAACCCGCGCTTCTTTTTGCTTTCTACTGTACACATGTAAGATGGAGGTCGGATCGAGCGACGAGGGAACGAGGTGATGGTCATGAAATAAGTCATGACTGCCATTTAAGGAGGAGATGTCCTGATGGCGGGGGTATCCGGCTGCGGAACGTGGCAAGATTAAGGTGCGAGATGGAAGTATACAAGAGTTTAGATCATTTGGCGGACGAACTAGGAGATGATGAGTCAGTATGAGTCCGAAAAGACAAAGCTTATTGTTGCAGGACTTACAGTCCAGGCACCAGCGGTACCAGCAACCAGACCACCAGAAATCATCATGGGCCTGATGCCCTTTGTGCTCTTGAAGAGCATACCGCTCAAAGCGCCAGCAGCAATGCTGTTGGCGGCATCGTGCTGACCACGGTAGTGACCAATGAAAGAGTTGAAGCCGTTGTAGACCATGGCAATAACACCAGCTGAGTTGCCCAGGAAGGGGCCGCGGCGGGTGATGGCGTTCAAGGCCGAGTTGAGGCGGAGCTTTGGCGGCGACGATGCTGGTAGTCTGTTCAGACCTTCTGCAAGACCCCATGCTCCACCAACAGTGAGACCAGCAAGGTAGGTAACGCCAGTGCCGTAACAGAGATCGTCGGACCAGCCGCGCGAAGGCAGGGCACTACGGTTGCCAGGGAGCTCCGACAGGGCTTGGTCATCGAGCGACAGGTAGTCCAGAGTGTCCTGGTTAAGGCCAGCAAGGGGATGTAGTGAGGCAGGGTCAAAGGCGCCGGGTGTGTTGAAGAAGGAGTTGACGTCCTGGGCCTCGAATTGCGGTTGCGACGATGTCGTCACGGCCATGTCTTGCATGGGCGCATCCTGTGCAGGTTGTTCGGGAGTCTTGCGACCGGTGAAGGAGTCCCAGATGCCCATTTTGGTGGTTGCAGTGTGTATGATCAAAGAGCGATAGTGTTGGTTGACGATGTCGCGCTCATGGCGGCGATCTGACGAAACGATTTTTTGGTCAAGCTTCGGCGTTTGTCGGAACTTTCCACTTCCATCTCAATCCATGCCAAGCTGTTGGTTTTGCTGGTATACCGCTCCGACTCGGCATCAACATAATCTTACAATCTCAACATTATTGAGTCAACAGATTGGTTTGGATATCTTTAGAACTGTTGCGTGGATCTGTTCTGCAACGTACAATCATACCTTGCTTGAAATTGATACCGGCCTGCATAACATACCATCGCACAGAAACACCACCTGCCCTTCGCAGATGGAACCCATCCAGCAATAAAACATAGTTCCCTGCAGAATGGTTACGATGCTGGCTGTTCACCACTCCAACCATGGCTGGCCACGTGCCTGCATAGCTCTACTGTACATCACCACTACACACGACGTTCCGGCTTGGTGTCGCCATCAACTCAACCACTCATAAGCGCCGACGCTCACTAGATAACTTGTGTGAAAAAGGCTTTGAGACATGGCCTTTCGGAAATTAATGCACAATATCGTTGAAGCTCTGACATGTGATACACGCGACGCTTGCGTTCACACGTATCTTCCAGCACGCACTCTATCGACGAGTGTTCGATACCATTCGACAGGGTCGGTTTCAATCTTGACCATTGAGTCTCTCCAATGCGAAAGTGATCATTCTGCAGAGTGCCTGGGGCTCACTCAACATTGCGACGCGAGCACCGTACCGTATTCGACGCTTTTTTCGACCGTGGTGTGGGGTATAGGCTGAAGATTGCGTGCCGCTTCGGCCGCGAGGTGTGTGGACTTGCGGTAGAGGGCGGGGTCAACCGCGTAGTAGAGCTATCGATGGGGTGGAAGAAGAAGCAAACGACACCTCTCAGCTTGGGCGCTTCGCTATTCGCCTACTGCAGGAATAAACCCTGTTTGTAGTATGCTTGCCCTTCTATATGGTTCATCGTGTAGACTGATAAGCTCATAGAGGCACCAAGATTGCAACATCGAACGATCAATATATTCAAATAGGTCTCATGGTCACGGACAGCAGCATATCGGAGTTGGTTAGCGAGAGCCTCCACACCGTTGTGGAGCAAGAGACGGACAAAGCGTCTTCTCAAGCGCGAACCCCATCACGGACTCTGGTCACCACGTTGTTGTTGAAACTTTCCTGATCAAAGAGACTCAGGATGTGACATCTGAAGGTGGTGGTTGTGTTGGAGCATCATCATGCATCACGAGCGGCCACTAAGCGAAAGGGATGAACAGAAGTCGCGCACTGGGTGAATGCATGTGTGCATGATGTATCAAGTGGCTCGGGTCAATTATTGTTTCTGTTCTGGTCTGAAGCCTCGGCGCCCCAGTCTCGTAGATAGCCCAATGGATGAGAACACAGAAGTCAGAGGGACACAGCACCAGCTATCACGAAAGCTGCGACGGGAAAGCACTCGTATGAGGGAGCGGATCGAACGCAACGGAAAGACGGCTGTTGAAATCAACTCGACAGCATCTTGTTGAGAGGACATGGCCAAGGTGAGGATGGAAGAAAAGGAGCCGGCCAGCCAAACCAATTTCGGTTCCAGCCGTGCCCTTCTCCCTCCTCGAGCGCACCGCCGAACGCCAGCCCACGCCTGCCAAAGGCTCCTCTTTTGATTGAATCCCACTCTTCCTGGCCTTGGACCACGTCGCACTTCCCCTTCTCCCTTTTCCCTCGAGATCCGCATCCCTCCAGGACGAGATTCCACGGCCAGCTCAGTCATTCCTTTTGCGCATCTTCTGGTGAGTTCTCGAGTGTTTCCTGCTGCTCTGCTCTTTCTTGTTTCGCAAGTCTCCGATGGTCAAAGAAGAGGAAAAAATTGGTTAGGGTTTCAATGAAAGAGGACGACGCTCGGGCTAGACACGGTGCACGCGAACTTTGACTTTTTTAGCATGTCGACACCAAGTTGACCCGTTGTGCACACCAGCGGCTTTGCTTCAATCTCCCGCCGTACTTGTCCCTACTGTTTGCTGCTGCTGCTGTTGCGACTTCGTCCGGTCTGTCGGTGTCCATCTCACTGTCCTTCCTTGCTGCCCTCGTCGTCGCCGGTCGTCAATTGCCCTCCTGCCACTCCTTTTTCATTCCTTGGGCCCTCGACCAAACTAACGGTAGCCGTTCAACAGTCCGCATTTTCTGCCCCTTCGAATTTCTCACCTCTCGAGTCTTTACGAACGGCAGTCACTCCGCATAACGACCTGGACTCTTGTACATAGCCAGCCTCGACCGACGCATACATTGTTATAGTCGCCATGTCCGCCTTTTACGAGCAGAACCAAGCCGCTGCTGCCACCGGTGCATGGCCCGCACCTGGCCGCCAGCCTTCGTGGGAACAGCCTGCCCCTCCTTCGAGATCCGGTTAGTAGACACGACCACTCGACAACCGGGACCACATATCTGAGACTTTGATTTGCANNGGAACCGCTTCCGCTTCGAGAGACGAGTCGGCCGCATTCAGCTCCCAATTCGAAGGTGCGTAGGACAAAAAGATAGCAATTCAATATGGGGTCAATCATCCTGGAGCAAGAGGTGGATTAAAATTTGGGATGATGAGAATTGGCTCTGTTGGGCTGGCTGTACAGCAGGGAAATGGGAGCAGTAGCTGACAGAATATCGCAGAGATTGAGCGTGCCACCGACAACCTCGTCAAGAGCGGCAAGTGGATGGCTGGCGGAGCACCGCAGTACAACAGCCGCCGTGAGTCCATGCCTCCCATGATGATGGGTCGTGGATTCAACGCCGACTATGGTGAGTATCTTAGATTTCTCCAAGTTGAGCTAGTACTTACAGTTGGATGTAGCTNNGGATCCAAGTCCAACTCTCCCGCCGACGGTCGCGTGGGCGGTCCTGGACAGGCACGCCACCACTCGGTCAGCGAATACGACGGTATGCGATCCAACTCGGCAGCAGGCCTCCAGGGTTACTATGCGTCGCAGCGCTTTGCACCGCGTCAAAATGAGGCAGAGCAGATGATGCAGGCCAAGCGAAGGATGGCTGCGCAAAGAGAGAGGGAACTCCGCAACTATCACCAGGAGCAGCAATACAACAGGAGTAAGAGCATCGCAGAACAGCCTTAGACAATTAGAATGGCAAGTTGATTCCCGCCTACAGACACTACCGCCCAAGGCCCCAAGCCCGACCGCGCCCTGAGCCCTGCAGCTGCTACAACCATGAGTGAAGACGAACGCCGCGATCTCATTGCCCGCCAACACCGTGCTCTCTACGGCAACGAATCCGCCCTGTACCCCACCTCTGAGGCTGCCGCTGTTGCCGCCCGCCGTGCCTCGCAGGACGTCAGAGGCTCCATCTCGGGTGATGTTAGAGCATCCATCTCTGGAGCATCCAGAGGTGGTGCTTCGCCTCTGGCTTTCGATCCTTTCCACGGCGAGCCTGCTGTCCAGATGCCTCCTCGTGATGGTGTTATGCTTCCCAAGTCGCCCAACAGCGCTTCGTCTCCGCAGTCGAACCCCACCACTTTTGGTAGCCTACTGGGCGAGACCCAGCAGTCGAGCCGTACTTCAGTATCGTCGCCCAGCGGTTCTCCTCCCCTTGGTCAGGNNGGCTCAAAGGGTGCTGCAGCTGCTCCCATTGGCACCCGTCCAGCACCCAATGCTGCACAAGCTACCGGTCTGAACAAGCGCTCGACCACTCCTCTTCCCTCGCCTCTCAGCTTCGGCTTCAGTGCCAACGAGCAAGCCAGAAATGAACGTTCCACCTCTGCTGGCCCCAATGGCTCTGTAGCTGACAAGGGCGTCAGCCTCGGTTCCTGGGGCTCCAACAGCGGAGTTTGGGGCTCTGCAAAGAACAGTCTTGGTGTCCAGGCTCCTGTCTGGGGCTAGGCCAAGACCGGGTCTCTACGCATTACTAATCCTCTCAATCTGTAAGGGGTACGTCGGAGTTTGTTTTCGTGTTTTCTTTTTCATCATCTCTCATACTGCATGGGTCATCGTTNTTCAAGCACGGCGACAGACCATCNGAAACTGGACAAGGAGGTGTCTTTNNTGTGGGTTCATGGGAAACAACTTATACCACCGTTCATGCATCGAGTTGTGGGCTTGGGTCATTATCATCATCCCAGGATAGCGGATGGAGCAACCGGATATGTGCAGTGGATATCAGCAACTGCACGACACATCTCTCTGTCCGACTGTCCTGGATCTGATCTTTTTCTTTGTCATGTCAAAATGTCGTCGGAGGATAGNNGCAGTGGTTGTCGGAACAGGTGCCAATACATGGCCTGGCGGCTGGAAAGCGGCCGTCCGGACATGTTTGATCTTTTGCTTTTCTTAGGGTTNNGTCAGGTGGTTAGGTCATGGGGATTGGGTCGGAGTCTTCATTCAGTACGATGGGATCGGAGGGGTGGTTGTGTGTGTCATGGGTAATTTGTATGGACGCATAAAACAGNGACGGGTTTACGAGTCGTCTTTTCGGAATGTATCAANNAAAAGCATGTTTGGCTGGGTCATGATGTTGGTGTTTTGTCGGNTTGTTGTGACTTGTGAACTGTGGAGGGNNGTCTGCTGTTCCCCAGAAAGCGTGAGAGCAACAAGAGTCCAGATGGCCGTGGCCGGGAGCGGCAAGGGAAGGAGCTTGCGCCAAGGCCTCAAATTGGATCCGTGCGCAGCGCTGGCCGGGNACGAACAGCTGGTGTCAACTGGAGAGCAACGANGGGAGAGAGTTCAGGAAGCTTTCGACTGCACAACGACACCCTCACGCCCATCAATTGCTGTTCTGACTCAATCCTCGCCGTCTTTTGTATTCGAACCTTCTAGCGATCCAGCTGCGAACCACATCTACCTCCGGCTTTCTGTCACAACTCGACCACCATGGTATGCCCACCTGTCCCTATTCGCTCGTCTCCATTGTGGTCTACGGGTATCCTCGACGAAATACGTTGCGCATACGCCTGTCGCTTTATCTAAGAGTCGTCCATGGACAGACATGTTCTACGCATGGTCTACTGCAAGCGAATAGCAAGAACGTGGCAGCAACAAACGACACTGTTCTCAAATCGTCACACGACTATACTTCAAGCACCCTTTTCTGACACCGCCGCGCTCAACAGTCTTCCCCTCGCCCTTCTTCCCCCGTCAACGCCGCTGCCTCGACCGGCTCTACCACTGCTCGCGCCGCCTCTCCCAGAGCCCCTGGCGGTCCCGCAACCGCTATCCGCAGAAAGGCAGCCGCTGACCGTGCCGACCGCGCCGCCAATGTCAGACCCAGCAGCACTCGCGCCGCAGGTGCCGGTGGTAGCAGCAGTACCATGTTGAGACTCTACACCGACGAGTCACCAGGCCTCAAGGTCGACCCCTTTGTCGTCCTCGTCCTCTCCGTCGGCTTCATCATCTCGGTCGTCGCACTACACAGTACTACTCTCCATCCGTCCAAGCAAGAACGTACTACTGACACACGACGCTCCANNGTTCTGGCCAAGATCACCAAGAAGTTCTCCTCGTAGACGCATACCCCTACATCGGGCTCGCGCTTGCGATGCCGATATCGTCCTTTACTGTACTCTTCCACCTTTTCTTGTATCTCCCATATGGTCGGCGTCGAGTTTTTGTTATTTGTGCTGGGTTGGAAAAAGACAAAAGTCGCTTTTATACCAGATTTCTTCGCCCTAGGTTGTCTCGTCCTTTTTCGAAATCAAGGAATACCAGATTTTCGTCGTGGATGCTTGTTTTGCTCTCTGCTTTGTTCACACAGTCTCATCATTGTCTTGTGCATCTTGAGGGCATGAATCAAAGACACCAACTAGCAGCGTCGGTCAGTATAAGCATGCTATAGGAATACTATTGTCTGCGGTGTGATTTTCGGCCCTTTGGCGGTTACTCCTGATTTATCCATAGTTTTATCCTCAGCCGAGCGGCTACTTGTAGCTTATCGCTGCATCATTGTACCGGGAAGCGCGTGGGGATGTTTGAGATGCGGGCCGAGTTTTGGCTAAAAGATGCTCCCCACTTTGTTTTTCGGTTGCGTAGTGCCCCTCCATGGGCAATCCACTCTTCAGATGTTTTCCGCCAGCCTGTCCGGGTAGAGTGTGCTATCTGTTGCGGGAGAATGCATCGTCTCCTTTCTCGAAGATCAGACGTGCAGAAAGAGGAGACGGGATTGGAGCATGGCAGTTGATTGTGGCACAAAAATGTAGGCAGGTGCCACCAAGGTGCATGCAATCTTTCTCGAGATTCGACTTTGTTTCTCTGTTTTCTCGGAGGCCAGAAAGTGACAGTGACATCTACTCCATCTTCGCCTCTCCCGCCTAAAGTCGAAGGTCCGCTTTGTCCACCACACTAAAAGCTATCCTGTACGCTGCCGCCGTTGGCTGCCACCCAGAGACCATGATGAACGTGCTCAAGCCTTTTGCGCGGTAAGTGCATGCAATGTTATTTAAGACGTGAAGCCTCCCCCTCCTCGGATCGCTGATTCTACTCTTCTCTCCCTCTACAGATCTGCTCCTATACTCGCCTCTAGAGCTACTCTACGCTACTCGGCCATTGCAAGACCTGCCTTTACCTGCTACAAGAGAATTGAACCCGTTGCATTCCGCCACTACTCATCCAAGATGCCTTCAGCCCCTACTGTCAAGCTTAACAGCGGCCACGAGGTGAGATTTTGTTGGAGATTAACCAAAGTTGCAAAAGACTAATTTCCAGCACAGATGCCTCTCGTTGGTTTCGGTCTCTGGAAGGTCGACAACGACACTTGCGCCGACACTGTCTACAACGCCATCAAGGTTGGATACAGACTCTTTGACGGTGCCTGCGACTACGGCAACGAGAAGGAAGTTGGCCAGGGTGTTGCCCGTGCCATCAAGGACGGACTCGTCAAGCGTGAGGAGCTCTTCCTTGTGTCCAAGCTCTGGAACTCTTTCCACGACGCCGACCAAGTCAAGCCTATCGCCAAGAAGCAGCTCGCAGACTTGGGCATTGACTACTTCGATCTTTACATCATTCACTTCCCCGTCGCCTTGAAGTATGTCGACCCCAGCGTCCGCTACCCTCCCAGCTGGACCGACGAGAACGACAAGATCACCTTCTCCAAGACTCCCCTCTCCGAGACATACAAGGCCATGGAGCAGTTGGTTGACGAGGGTCTCGCCAAGAGCATTGGTGTCTCCAACTACAACGGTGGCCTCATGCTCGACCTTCTCCGCTACGCCAAAATCACTCCCGCCACTCTCCAGATCGAGCACCACCCTTACCTCACCCAGGAGGGTCTCGTCAAGCTCTGCAAGGAGAACAACATTCACGTTACTGCCTACTCATCCTTCGGCCCCGCTTCCTTTGTCGAGTTGAAGATGCAGAGAGCACACGACACCCCTCTTCTCTTCGACAACGAGACCGTCAAGAAGATTGCCGACAAGCACAACAAGTCTGCTGGCCAGGTCCTGCTCAGATGGGCTACTCAGCGTGGCGTTGCCGTTATCCCCAAGTCCAACAACAAGGACCGTCTTGCCCAGAACCTCGACGTCTGCAGCTTCGATCTTGCTGAGGACGAGATCAAGGCCATCAGCGAACTCGACAGAGGCCTCCGCTTCAACGACCCCGTCAACTACGGCCTCAACATCCCCATCTTTGCCTAAGGAGTGTGATCGTCTCAGGAGTAAGAAGAAGATAGGAGTCTCTCACACTTTGATTGGAGAAGAAAGAAGAATCATGTACCTTATATCCCTAGTGCACTCACACTACGAACTGAACGAATTTTAATTACTTTATCCTCATCACGTTGTTTCAGGCCGACTTGTGCCAGGCAGATTTCAATGCTAATGATCGGTTGAAAAGAAGACGTGAAATCAAAGATACTGTACCCATAAGCCACCATCTCATCTATGTCCTCCTCGTGCCGCTCCTGCATATCAAACATGCCACTCACTGCGCAGAGTCACAGACACATCCCTGTCTTCGAACCGTGTCTGGCCAAACATGCCCCGCGATTGGTAAACAGCTCCCCAGAAAATAGACGTCATCGCTCACCTCGTGTATCCACCTTTATGTGTTCACACGCTTGACCTTCGAGTTACAAAACAGCTGAGCTTCCTGCATCGCATCCTCTGATCTTTCTCCTTCATCTAAACACTTCTTCCAAACATCGAAAAAGATACACATCAAGTTTCGATCTTTGAAATTTCGACGAGATCACACAAAACCCAATACCCGAAACTCTAAACACAACCTTCCAAACAATGTCTGACAACAACAACTCTGCCCAACAGCCCAAGCAAGGCGGTGGCCTGTTTGGCACCCTCGGCAATGCTGCTGGTGGTCTCGCTTCTGGCGTCGGAGGTGTAGCTTCAGGTTAGTCCTTTTTATGCGTCTGTATCAGCGGTGACAAGAGACTAATCCATTCTCGTTAGGCACCGTCAACACCGTCGGAGGTGTCGTTGGCAACGTCGGACGCGGTGTTGGAAAGACTCTCTCTGATGCCTCTTCCGGACTCGAGAACACGGCCAAGGGTGCTGGTGGTAGCATCAATGACGTTACTGGAGCCAAGAGCCAGCCTGAGAAGAAGTAAGGTTCTTGGAAGGATTTGGAGGAATGCTCGGCAGTATTGATAAGGCATGAGGATGAACTCTTCTCACAAACAACGATGTTGTTGCTAGGAAGTAGGAATGGCTTTTCGAGAGAACGACTTTTATGACACTCTGTTTTGTTTTTCCCTAAGGCTGCCAATCACTTTGCTTTGTCCATTATGTTAAGATCATGTTTCCTTACAGCTCTGGTAATCTTGACCGAGACGTATGTGCTTTTCGACATCTCCAGTGTTCCTGATATATGGTGGTGGATGTGACCCTGTTCAACAACAATCAGTCACGCCACGATCTAACAATGTCCTCAGTTCCATATCTTGCCATACTACGACTATTGACATCTGACAAGTCTCAATCAATCATGACTACGGCTCTCATCTTCGGTCCCACAGGCGCAGTGGGCTCTCAAATCCTAGACACGCTGCTTTCGTCTCCTTCTCGCATGTCCCTCACAACCATCTCGCGACGCGCCTNNCCACAGACACAAACTCAACATTCAAACTTCCAACCTATAGTGGAGGCCGACACTGCGAAATGGGGTCCTCTGATCGCTACACTGTCGCCAACTCCTTCGGTAGTCTTCAATGCAGTCGGCACCACCTACGCCAGCGCCGGATCCGTTGCCGCACAATGGGCAATCGACCACGATCTATGTGTCGAAAACGCAAAAGCCGCAAAGACTGCCGGCGTAAAGACATATGTGTATTGCTCGAGCGCAGGGACCAGCGGCTCACTAAGTCCATTCGCGCTCACACCGTATGCGAGAATGAAGAGGGGTGTGGAGAATGCCATCAAAGAACTTGACTTTGACAATGCGATTATTCTGCGACCTGGGATGATTCTGGGAAGAGAGAGTCCGAAGAACAAGTGGCTTGAGGATATATTCGACGGGTTCAAGAAGATCTCGCAGGGCTTTCAGGATAAATGGGGTATGCAATGTTTTACTATGTTGATGATGTTCTGGTGTAAGTAGGAACAAGACTAATGAGACCGTGTAGCACAAGATCAGAGCATCATTGGAAGGGCGGCAGTAGCTGCTGTCAAGACAGTAGAAGACGGCAAGGCTCCAGAAAAGTTTTGGGTATTAGAACAAGCAGACATTGTAAGGCTAGGAAGGGACGAGTGGAAAGACTAAGGTAAACACCCCTCATAGAGGAATTTGGGGTTGGTGATCGTCATTCGGAAAGCACGACCGATTTTGAATTTACTCTTTGGGGGCTCGAGTGGTGTTATATCCAGAAGCCAAGTAAGTCTCGATACCAATCCACTCAAGAAGATTGGACCAAGCAAATGCAAAGAACAAGGCCGGTCGTTTTGCTCAAGAACACCTGACCAGAGAATGCTTGGCTACCGTTATTGCCTATATGCATATACCTGCATATCCCGGACCAATCGCTAATTGGACGCCGATTTTTATATGAAACAAACAGCCTGGAGCCCGTACATCTTCGACTGATTGATCTCGCCCACAGGTCACAATCACTCGCTGCACCTGCCTCAGAGAATGCATATCATATACAGTGCGGGGCAGTCATGCAGCATGAACTTGGCCTTGCAGACCAGGCATACTGCACGAATCCTACACGGGCTGTGTTATAAGGCCCTATCCCACCTTGTTTTACCAGTAACATTAGTTTTGATCGCTTGTACCGCTCAAGATGGTTTCAGCGTACACTGCCTTTGGTATTGTCCTGGTCTTTGCACTTGGAGCATGCTATCTGTTAGGTCTGGGCTCCAGACCAAAGGATCTCCCACCAGGCCCTCCTACTCTGCCAATTATTGGCAACTTACATCAGGTATGTAACAACTCTATTTTGTACAAGAGTACAGGACTGATATCGAGCAAGATTCCTAGCAAGGACGAATACCTCCTGTTCACCAGATGGGCCAAAGAATATGGGCCTATATACAGCATCATGGTTGGCAGTCAACCCTTGATTGTCCTATCCAGTGTGGAAGTCGTTAAGGACTTGCTTGACAAGCGTAGTGCCATCTACTCTGATCGTCCCGAGGCATATGCAGCAAAACATGCTCCCATCAGCAAGCTCCGCCTGGTGTTCATGGTGAGTCGGTGTTGCGATAGATGAATTGACCTCACTAACCTGATATCATCAGCCTNNTATACCCCTCTGTGGCGTAAATTGCGCAAGGTGACCCACAGTCTCTTGTCTATCAAGGTCGTGAAGAATTATGATCCCTACCAGGAGTTGGAACGCAAGCAGATGCTGGATGAGATCCTTGAGCACCCTGACGATATTTTCTCTTCCCTGCAGAGATACACAACTTCGCTCACTGCTACTCTTCTATTCGGTTGGAGAGCTCCGTCGACCACCGATTCCAGAATCCACAAGCTTGATCACGAGCTGACCGTTCTGCAGCACGCTCTTGGTACCGGAGCTGCTGCATTGCTCAATGCCTTCCCTGTTTTGAGATTCCTGCCTGACGCTATTCTTCCGGTCAAAGGGAGGGTTCATCATGCGCTGCAGGTAGGTCACGAAGTGCACATGGAGAATTGGTTTGCGGTCAAGCAAAGCATGAAAAATGGAACTTCTGGCCCCTGTATGAGTGTTGGACTTGCCAGAGCACAAGATAAAGATGGTATATCGGACATCGAAGCTGCGTACACAGTAGGCAACATCTTCGAAGGTGGTATGGAGACCACATCAGCTACTTTGTATGCCTTCATCCAAGCCATGGTACTCACCCCTGAGGTTCAAGCAAAAGCACAGGAAGAACTCGACAGGGTAGTTGGAAGTCACCGCTTACCAGTAATGGCTGATGCAGCTAACCTACCCTACATCAGAAGATGTGTCAAGGAGCTGGTACGCTGGTTCCCAGTCGGACCTCTTGGAGCTGTACCTCACGCCTGCACCCGCGACGATGAGTACATGGGTTATAGGATTCCCAAGGGAGCACCCATCATATTGAATGCATGGGCAATCATGACCGATCCAGACCGATACACAGAGCCCCGCCGCTTCAATCCGGATCGCTTCACCGAGGACAGCGACAACATGTCCATGCCTGAGATGGCCGCTCACTCTGATCCAGACAAAAGAGATACAGTCGGTTTCGGAGCCGGTCGGCGTATCTGTCCTGGCATGCATGTCGCTGACCGAAGCTTATTTCTCGGTATTGCTGGGATTCTGTGGTCGTTCGCAATCACGCCGAAGAAGGACGTTCAAGGTCGAGACATGCTGCCAGACCCAGACAACCTGATTGTTGGTGGTATTGCAGCTAGACCCGAGCCATTTGAAGCAAACATACTGCCTCGTGATGAGAAGAGAGCACGTATCATTAGGGAAGAATGGGAGGATGCACAAAAGCTGCTTGACTCTGATACTCAGCAGTGGAAGGAGGTGCCTAAAGGTGATTGGGACGCTTCTCTCAAGTTGTAGGATGCGTCAAATAAAAATTGTGCATCGATGGATTGAATGTCTGAGGGTACTCATACAGAAGGTTTATCTTCGTACAAACAAGCCAGGGTCGGGCCTCGGCTCTGGATGATTTGGCTTGGCGCAACGATCTCTATGTCATACTCCTTCCTTCTCATCCTTCGATCTCCATCCTTATTGCGGTGGGCGCAGCAGATCTTCACCGGTGTTCGAAAGGCTTGACAGGAACAGCACCTGGGCTCACAGCATGGCGCGTGACGTGCTGTTGATCGGAGGATTTGAGCTTTCACAGCCCCTCAATCTGTAGCGAACCATCGTGCACTGAAGTTGGTCAGGAATGTACGATGAGCGCGCATTATATCAAAGAATGCCTAGGAGGCGTTTGATAGCCCAACTTTACCACATGGCAGGGAACATCCATGAGGCTAGGTAAGCGTGTATGTCATAAGTATATAACCAAGCGACCCCATACTATCTATACGTTGTTGATTACCTCACGCACTTTTACAACCACACCGATCACATCAACATATCACAAATCATGATTAGACAAACCCTCCTTCTCGTCTCGGGCCTCGCTCTTGCGTCCGCCGCGGACATCATGTCTGGGAGCATCTTTGGAGATACCAACGACACTGCCCTGGTGGCCGCGCGACACAACCCCAACCGCACAAGTGCAGTAGGCTTCCAGATGGGCGACCAAAACTTCACATTCCGCGTCGATGTTGCAGAACTGACGCCAGACTGGAACACCACCGTACAAAACCCACGTGTCGTGACTTCTTTCTACGCCATTGAGTGGCAGAGCGGCAAAAGTCTGAACGATACTGTGGCTGCTGCGGAAGCACTTGCGGAAGGAGTGACTCCTCGCATCTGCGCGGCACTGCCTCTGAGTCTGTTGTCGGCGTCAGTCAACAACGGCTACAGTAACAATGACAATGGAGACTGCACTGGAGCACTCGGAAAAGATTGCGTGGAAGACCTCAAGAAAGCCAGTTATGAACCAAACCTCCCATGCTCACCCACTATACCCAAAAGCTGTGCTTCTAAACTCGGCACTGGCGGTATCGGAAGCGCTCGTGAGTCCCTGATATCTGTATCTTTCGTATGACACTTTTGACTGACTCTTGTAACAGCACTGGTCGCTCAAGGAGAAACTCAAAAGTCTCCACTGAGCTTTTTCCGCTGGTCATCACCGGCATATACTGCTGGGAACGACACAGAATATACACGGGAAACGGAACGCCTGCACGTGGTCATATTTTCAGGAATGAATACCTATCCTGTGTGTCTCCGCGTTGAGACGGATCATGTCGACAAAAAGAGTCCCGCAACTTCTGGGGCAGCAAAAAGCTCGAGTGGGAGTTCGATGTTCTCAGTGATGCTGGTTATCAGTGCCGCGTTGTGGTTGGCTTGATGTAGAAGTTAGTTTTTTCGCGTATGCTCCTGGGTGATGAGATCAAGTGCTTGGTTCTTTCCATACCCCGAAAGTCCTTAGTCTCTCTTTTGCTGAAGACCGTCAAGGTGCAGCTATATAGAAATGCATGATACTTCTCTACAACAAAGCAACATCCATCGAGAGAAGGTTATCATGGGATATCTCCACGGCCAAGTGTTTTTGAGTAAGCAACTGTGCATGTTTTATAGTCTACGATGACAACACATGCCATTGTGGGAGAGGGCCGATCGGGGTTATCCATCGGCTGTACTAGTAGGGGTATTTGATTGCACCCGTGAATATGTCCTTGTAATTCACGCCTTCGCCCTTCGACTTCTTCTCGGCATTACCCAAGACGGGCTCGATTCTGGCGTCCCAGTTCGGATCGAAGAAAAATGGAATAGATATGCGCATATCTTGAGATGCGTGCAGAACCTTGTGCTGAGTCGACTTGTAGATGCCATCAGTCCAGACAGATAACATGTCGCCAATATTGCAAATCAGGGTANNTCCTGGAAAACGTTAGTAAAGCAAGACTATAAGGAAGTGAAAACGTACTGGAATAGGATCGGCTGATATCCAATCCTCTCCATTCGGAGCCAGCACTTTGAGAGAGCCTTTGTGCTCGTCGGTCAAGAGGAATGTCAGAATTCCGAAATCGCTGTGCTGATACAGTCCACTTTTCGACTGGTCTACTCCATCGGTCACTCCTGGATATGCAGCCAAACGCAGTTGCCAAAACGACTCGTCAACTCTGCTGGCGAATATCTCTTCGGATACGTCCAAGGCTAGAGCAAAAGCTTTCATGATCGCAACACCAAGAGCCACAAGATGTGTCGTGTACTCTTCAGCAGTTTGACGAAAAGATGCTGGCGTTTTGGGCCATTGGTTGCGACCAAGACCTTTCGTGTATGGTGGTCCTTCCGTAGCGAGTTCGCGAAGGAAATCAACAGCCNNTGTAAAGCAGGATGTTATTACAGCTCTTTATCAGTGCTCATTGACTCAACCTACTTCATAGCCTGCATCAGCTCTCTCGACTACCCTGTAGCCTCTGCTATCATCGCCAGAACCTTCGCCACTAGGTTTTGCTCTGATTTCGTCTTTCTCCTCAGGCGTTGCAGTGGTGAAGAACTGTTTGGCGTTCGAGAGCATGTCTGCGAACAATGACGACTCGATGCCATGACCAGAGAGGTAAAAGAAGCCCACTTCACGGCATGCTTGATCAAGGCTCTTTGCTACCTTGAGCTTTGCGTCGTTGCTGCTAGACGAGTCCAAGAACGCCGAGAAATCGATCACGGGAATCTGCATGGTGATAATGTCCAAGGACTAGGCAAACCAAGTCTTGATACGAGATGGTAAGGTGTTGGTAGGCCGGCTAGATATGTGTCCTTTCGATTTACCTTCCCCACACACTGAGGCTTGCGGTGTCTACAACAGGTAGCTGCCATGATAGAAGTTCTCGCTCATGAACCAGGTTGCCGAGCAGATCTATGTTACTAACCAACGAGCGAACTGATATTGATGACACGAAGAGAAACGTACGATTGGTTGCGGCGAGTGGCATATATAAGGCCAAGCCAAACGCATGAGTCACGGTAGTCGTCCCGTGCCGGGCATCCGCAGAAGAGTATCCTACTTTGTCGCTCCTCGGAAGTGTAACAGACAACAACGCGACCAGGATTTCGATAACCTTTCATCACTTTGATTTCGATGGCAGATCAAGTTCGCGCTTATACATACACGTTCATGTTGCCTATATGAGGTTGAAAGGTTGATGTCGGGAGTTTCATGCTGGCGACCGACAACAGCTCTTGACCTGTTCTCTGACCTTCCTCTACTCGTTCATTTGACACCTCATAACTTGACTCTGCGGTACAAGCGCTATCTGGCTGGAAAGCACTGCCTCTTCCCTGCAATGACCACGATGCGGGTCCGCGAACAGTCTTGGCAACTCGCCGCAATGATGGTCTGTAGGATTCACGGCCGTATTGGCTGCCAGTAAGGCCGCGCTCATGAACAATATAAGTATGCTTGTATCCACGTGCTTTTGTATTTGCTCCAAAGAATCTACTTGCTATTTCGCAGCACCCACCTTGCCGTAACAAAACATCTTCGACTGCTGGCAATACACACATCAATCCATCACCGCTATCTAGGACCTGCAACATGGACGCCCTTACCTCAGCTCTGTACACGAGTGCAATCATTGCTTCTTCGATAGTAGTCACCGTCGCCCTCATCGCCGCCACCTGGACTATCGGCGTCAAGCTTGCTGAGCCCTTTGGCGTCATATTGTTCAACGCACTCATAAGCCACGAAGACGTGCTCGACGACCAAGAAGCCTCAGATGGCGAGCAAAAATCCACCAAGGCTTCTCAGCGCGAACATCGCAAGACAGTTGAGAGACTGCTTTCAGGAGCCATTGCGATGTTTCTTGTCATTGCTTGCGTGTCTTTTGAGCAAGGGCTAGCGCAAATCGGCGCGCGTGATGACTCGTGGGGCTTCGTTCTTATGGTACTCAAGGGAGTCTTTGAAGCGTTGGCTGCTCTGGGTATGCTGAGACTAGCCCTTGCTGCAGTCCGAAGACTGGTTGCGAATTGAAGTTCGCAATAAGGCTGTGGCTGTGCATGAGGTGGTGCGAGTTTGATATGACTGGGGAGGCAGAACAAACTTATACAACCTCGACGCTCAACTCGGATGATTCACATCGTGTACAAAGTCTTCCGAGTGTTCGACCAAACTACTTTTGTGTCTTCTCCTCGTCACTACTTGGCCAAAACCACGACGACTACAAGCACAACAACATTTTCTCACGGCCAATTCAACACATCTCCTTTGAGCTTTCCATCATGGATATCATCCAATCGACTATCCTTCACGGCGCCACCATCGCCTTTACAACCATAGTCATCACATCCTGCTTCTCAGCAACCATACTCATGTCCCTCACACTCGTCTCCTCCTTCCTGCGCTTCCTCTGCCACCCGTACGGGCCGTGCGGAGAAACCGAAATCGTCTGCAAAGTCTTGATGTCCATATGTCTAGGATTCTGGGTAATCGTGACTGTCGTCATGGGGCTCGACCAAACCGGCGAGTCTTGCAGTGGATTTGTCGTCAAGAGATGTGCAGAGACTTGCGTGGTTTTCGGGTCGCTGATGTTCTTTTTGGTTGTTGTGGATGAGCTTCGGGCAATAGTGCGAGACAAGGTAGATGCAGCTGGAAAGCGTGAACAACAAATCTAAATGAATCGCGACTCGCCTTTATTGTCTGGTTGGGGAATTAGAATTACTTGATTCGATTACAACAGGATACTCAAAGTAGAATGAACGAACCACTTCACAACCACTCTCATCAAACTTCCAACTTGATCCACACAGCCTCTGAAGGAATCCCCTTCTCAATAACCCAAAGCATGTAAACACCAGGCGGCATAACAGAAGGGTTGAATGGAGAAGTAACATCAATCATGTCATCGCCATCAGGGCTCAACACAGCATCCAGCTGCACCATTCTCGCTCCCATATCAACGCCATGAGTGTGGAAGCCAGAGTAAGAAAGTCGGACAACTACATCCTCGCGTGCCCCCTCGGCTGCTATCTGAAAACGCTCGTTGTACTTGACAGAGAGAGGATATGCGGTGATGAAGGGGCGGCGGGTGGCATCCATATAAGGCGGTGCGAAGATCTCGACGCGGTATTCCGTGGGATAAGCCGTGTCAGTTTCTTGTTGCTGATGCAGGTACGAAGTATGACCGTTGTTTCCAAAATATGGGTACTTTTCGTTCGCGAGCGAAACATTGCCAATGGGATTGTAAAAGACATCGGGATTGCTGCCGGCGACCAAGACTTCTCCTGTGGGTAGCAGAATGGCGACTGAATGGTACATTCTCGGAATCCCAGAGCTGGCGGACTTGGTAAAGCGTTGGCCGGCAGGCTTGTGCGGGTCGTAGATTAGTGCTTGCAGTGCTGGGTCTTCGGCTTGATAGCCTCCGGCACTTCCTCTGTGGGCGCCGTTCATCATGGCAACTGTTCCGTCGGGCAGTTGGATGGGTTCGATCATTGTTTGGCCACCATTTGGCAAGGCATCATCCTCTTCCCAGACAGGATTGTCATCGTTTGGTCTGATTCTGTAGCAGTCAGGTAGGGCTTTGGGGTTCGGAATGTCTCCTGAGCTGCCACCGCACACTAGGATAGTAGGCTCGTAAGCGCCCACGCCAAGAGGCAATAGTACGGCAGCGGCAGATCCTGGAAAAGTTCTTGGGCCGCCGGGGATATCTGGTAGTTCCTTGTGTACTGTATCGGTAGCATAGTTGTAGACATTGGCCCGAGTTCCCGCAAGCGTGAAGACGTGGTCCTCGCCCTCGGCATTTGGGATCAACTGGACNTGAGACGAAGTCAGTAAAAGTTTAGTCTTTTCATAGTTGCTGCACATACGGATAGGATAGAGGTTGAACGACATGTCAGCGTTCTGATTATCCTCGGCGCCAAACTCCAAGATAGTCAAGTTTCTCTGCGGCGGTGCCTTGCTACCGTCAGCCTTGATCAGCTCGTAGGTAGGATTGTTGATGGAAGCCTCATTCGTGACCAGAAGACCAACATCTGAACCACCAACAACAAGGATGTCGCCGTTGGTCATGGTGATAGAAGTCGGGTACCACCTGCGAGATTGCAGCTCGTCGACATTGACCTCAAAATCCATGTTACATCCCTCAATCCCGCAAGGACCTGGCTTGTACCTTCGCACAGTCTGGCGTCCGTCCTGGAGTCTTTTCGTATTGGCGTCACCAGAGTAAAGTTCCGCACCTGCAACGTTGACCATGGTTCCATCCGGGAAGAAGGCGCCAGCAGCACAAAACGTGTTTGATTTCGGTGTCAACTTGCGGAGGTTGTTGGTACGCCATTCGTACTCGACACCAAAGACGAAGAGGCCCGAGTCGTCATCCTGCATGAATGGTTCCCGTGAGTGAGCGCCATTCTCGAGATCCACTCCTGGACCACCAAAGTTGCGATGATAACTANNTACCTCGTTAGCATCTGCAATTCAATAGATACGAGGAATGGCATACTTGTCGAGGAAGACCACTGTGTCGGTGTATGGAGGCACGAAGACCATCTGAGCAGCACATCCTGATGAACCGACAGTACGATAGCTCGCTGCATGAACCAAAGCACTAGCGAGGCCTAAGAGAGCCCACACCCGTATCGTGAAAATCATGATGAAGGTACCTGCAGCAGGTCATGTTGTAGATACTAGGTATGGAGCCTCTTTATGTTCTCGGTGTAGAGGCCGGAACCCGCACTGCCATGGCTCGACATCCACAATACAAGCATTTGTAGCTATAACGCCGGATTGCTAAAAATGACCACGCACCATATTTTGCGAGCCATGTTGAGTAAAAGACGGGTACGTAGTCTACTAGAAATTTCAACAGAACTGGAGAATTGCTGATGGATGGACGTCCAGACTAGCAGAGCCGAGGAATGGTGGCTGTCCAGTGTCGCGATTAGATAGATTAAGCGGTTCTTTGCCGCACCGAGTCAGAAAATCAGCGTGACATGCTTGTATAGAAGAAGCTGTAGTTAGATATCGAAAGTCTTGTCAGGACCGTTCGACTGTGCAAGCGATATTGGTGTTTGAGATTGAGCTTTGAAAGTGCCGGGGATGCTCTTGCGCTTGTGAACATCTTTCCAAAAATAGAACTTGCTTCTTGTATTCAGCATCGCAACATGAAACACATCCACTGCGGAGTAACACGGTACCAAAGAATGCAGTTTCTTGCCTATCCCTTGATTTGATATTAAACGGTTGTGGTGTCGAAACATTGTTAATTGACCTAAGTCGCAAAAGCAAGAACATCATTCTCCAGATGTAGTTTTGTAAACGGCGGTGCTTCCAAATCCCGCAATCCTTGCACAGCAGTGGCTAGCATAAAGTTTTCCTCAAAGGCTTGCAGAGTCATTTTGACGTCTTCGACTTTCTGACCATGCAGCACGACCTCGACATCGCTGACCTTTTCTCCCCAGGTCCCGTGAGTCGAACACCTGGCAACTGTTCCTGGCTTGGGACTCCTGACGTTCTGAAACTCGAGTTCTTTGAGCCAGGGCGCGAGGAGAGCTTCACCGGCAAGCTTGATGTAGGCTTCCTTGTAGCAAAAGAAACTGTAGAAGCGCCGCAACTTTGCATCAATCAATACATCACTGTTGAAGGAATGGCTTTCTCCAGTGGGGAGTGTGATGCTCAGGTCCTTGTTTCTTTGTACGCAGCGATCGACTCGGTCAAGATTGTTGCCCTGAACGATCCTGCCGTCGAGTAGGGTGATGTAGTCCACATTGTATTTCATATCCCAACGTTCGGCGTCTGAGAAGATGTCTTCGTAGATGTCTATCCATGGGCCGAAGCCTTCTTGATCGATAGTGCGATAGTCGTCGCGCTCGTTGACACATACGATATCTGCTCCCACAAGAGCGGATTGCGATTGACCAGGTGGTGGGTTCCAGCCGACCAAAGAAACTAAACCAGCTTGATGTGAGATGTTGAAGTCGATATGGGCAAAAGAACCATTAGCTAAAACAGCGCAAGGCTTTCCATGCTTTGGGTCTCCTCTACGAGCAATCTTCACGTCTCGCCAAGGTATGCTCAAGGCTCTCGAAATGTAGAGTCGTTTCAACAAGGCAGATGCAAGAGACATGCGAGCGTCGGCGATGAACATCTTTCTGCGCACGGCATCTGTTTCATCATCAGATAAGAGGTGCAGAATATCAGAAGCNCTGGGTCGGTCAGAGTGGACAACAGGGTGTCGTTAGAGTGCGAGAGCACTAACAGCGTCCTTGATATCTTGGCCAGGCCATAGAGATCGAGTGTCGATGAGCCAGCATGTCAATCCTTGTAGATTCGAGTTGGCCATTTTCAAGTCGTTGTCCGCAGCGATCTAACATGTAGATCTGCTAAAGGTTTTATAGCAGAGAGAATGACAATCTGACACTGTCAGATCAAGGTCCAGGTGTTGGTTGATGGTAAGGTGGGGCCGACAAAGGCGGTGAGCACGACGACCTTATCGATAAGGGAAATGTGTCATCGTCGTGTTTCTTGCCTGTAACCTTCAAACAATCAATCACAGCAACCATGAGCGAAATCACCATTGGAGTTCTGGCGCTGCAAGGCGCATTCAGCGAGCACATCCAGCTTCTACAACAAGCAGCCAACTACATCGATTCAGAAGCCAATGCGACACCACGAAAGTGGCAATTCATCGAAGTCCGAACCGTCGAACAACTACAATCATGCGCCGCCCTAGTCCTTCCCGGTGGTGAAAGTACTACAATCTCCCTCGTCGCCGCAAGATCTGGCATGCTGGAGCCCCTACGCGACTTTGTCAAGGTGTCGAGAAAGCCTACCTGGGGCACGTGTGCAGGTCTTATTCTTCTCGCCGAGTCGGCCAATCGCACAAAACAGACGGGACAAGAGTTGATCGGTGGACTGGATGTGCGTGTCAATCGCAACCACTTTGGTCGCCAGGTTGAGAGTTTCGAGGCAGCATTGGATCTGCCTTTCTTGGTTGAAGCGGGCGGCGAGGACTTTGCTACCAGCAACAAGCCATTCCGAAGTGTCTTCATCAGAGCACCTGTTGTTGAGAAGATTTTGGCGACACAGTCGGGAGAGCAAGAGGAGGAAGCAAAGTTGGACGATACAGTGGTCGCACCTTCAAAGGTAACATCAAATGGAAAGTCACTTGGCAAGGTTGAAGTCATGGCACGATTGCCAGGTCGAGCGAAAGCATTGAACGACAAAAAGACAACAGCGAGAGAGGTGGGCGAGGAGGGCGACATTGTGGCCGTCAGACAGGGCAATGTGTTTGGTACCAGCTTCCACCCAGAGTTGACGGGAGATGCACGGATTCACGTGTGGTGGGTCAAGCAGGTGCTACAGGCTTTGCAGTAAGCAGAGTGGACATGGATGGAAAGTGGAAATGGGTATCGACAACTAGATGATATACGAAAAATGCATGCTGCTCGGGCCTCGATCCTCGGAGAGTAATGGCAGCGCGTTTTGGAAGTAGCAATGAGAATTCAGAACGCCGGAACGCCGTGGAAAGGCTTGAGAGGGAATGGCTCATCGGTAGTTGTCGTTGTAGACATCGTAGTCTTCCTTGATGGCTCTGCCGTAGCCTCCTCTGCCAGGGTCAAACTCCTCACGGTACTCGTCTCTGACCTGGCCACCGCTCTTGCCACGACCGTACTGTCTGCCCTCGTTGAAGCCCTCGTCGAGATCGGTACGGATGATGCGCTCGTCGAGCTTTGTGCCGCCAATGTATTTGAGGCAGTCGAGGGCGTCCTGGTGGGTGTAGTACTCGACGAAGCAGAAGCCGCAAGGGGTCTTCTGGAAGCGGTCCAGACCCATGATCAGGCGCTTGATCTCGCCGCACTTTGAGAAGAGTTCGTGGATCTGCTCCTCGGTGGTGTAGAAGGAGAGGTTGCCGACGTAGAGGGTGGTTGCATCCTTGAGCTTGTCTTCGGGCTCGGGCGTCTTTTCCTGGGGAGTGTCGTCGTCGGGGGCGCGCTGGTATCTGCGACGCTTCTGCGAGGGGGTGAGTACGAGTATACAGTGACAAGAAGAGTGATGGTGGTCGAGGACGCACCTTGGCGACAGTGTATGAACTCGGGCGATCCAGACGGTCGCATGTGGTGCGCAACATGATGTTGGCAGCCATGGTTGCCATGATCAACGATGCAGTTGTTGGTAGAGAGACAGAGTCGTGGTGTGGGGGTTGTCGTAAACACAGAGCAGGTGAAAGGCTCTCAAAGTGACGTGGTCCAAGCTTCCGGTATGGGCTACGGCGCGTTGGAGTGAATGTTTGTTGGTTGCCTGCAGCTTCCTCGAGCTGCGTCACTCGACCCACGACTTGCATCTCTACACGTCGACCATGGCCAGAGTCATCGGCCACACCCCATCGTGGCTCTCCGCACCGTCGGCCGGCTTCAATCTCTTCCAGCGCAATGCCGACACGAAAGCTCCTGCCGCCCTGGCCAAGGCACTCTCCAACCCAGAATCGCGAGGTCCCACGCGCACCATCGCCCACCGCGGAACGGAAATCTTCGTCTTGGTCGCCAACGAGATTCGCTGGTCCGACCTGGTCTCACTGAAAGATGCCGGAGAGAGCACCCAACCGTCCTACAGAGTGCTCAAGACATCCGTCACAAACCAGATCAAGCAGCTCGTCGTCTCGCCCTACGGCGACTACCTCGCCATCCTCACCCACCACACCGTCCACATCGCCGTCTTGCCCGATTCATCCCATCTCTCAGTCCAGGACGCCTCACCGCTGCGCATCAAGACTTTCCAATTGGGCCCGACCGCACATGTGCTCGAACAGGCCCCCGTCGTTTCGGCCCTCTGGCACCCTCTCGGCCACATGGGAAGCTGCCTGGTCACCGTCACACAAGACGCTTGCGTGCGTCTATGGGAACTGAATCGCGATTCGCGCGCCTCTTTCGACGAGCCCGAGCTCGCTCTTGACCTGAAGAAGCTTGCAAATGCTACCTCGGCCGACCAGGATTTCTCCACCAGCAAGTACGGCGCCAGCAAGGGCTTCTCTCCTGACTCGGTCGAGATGGAAGTTGCAGCTGCTTGCTTTGGTGCTAGGGCCACCTCGGACGAGCACGGCTGGTCTCCCATGACCCTCTGGATCGCCATGACCGAAGGAGATGTCTATGCTCTTTGCCCTCTGTTGCCTTCCAAGTGGGAGCCCACCCCAACCACCATCCCTTCTCTGTCGACCGCCGTCGTAGCCAAAGCCGAGGTCAACTCTCAATCGGATCCCACTCCCGAAGAACGCCGCATTGTCGACCAGCAACAGCGATGGCTCGCCGATATCGACAATCAAGAGCCTACGGTCGTCTCGCATGTCGACACTTTGGCCGAGTTTGAGGTTTACAGCCGCCCTGCTAACCCACCTGCCGTTCCCAAGCTACAAGGCCCCTTCTACCTCAATCCTGAACCCGATTACGACAACATCACCGACATCTTTGTTATTGCTCCCCGTCTCGACGACGATGCCCTGATGCAGGAGGAGGATCAAGAAGATTTCCTCGGTCACGATGGTCTCTCTGTCGGCATAGTGTGCTTGGCAACTGCTTCTGGCAAGGTCCACATCTGTCTGGATCTTGACGGCGTTGAGGCTCAGTGGCTTCCCTCTAGACGTGCTGCATTCCGTCGTCGCTTTGATGAGGAAGAGGCTGTCTCCGAACTGCTTCTGGTCGAAACTTTGACCACCCCTGAAACCACAAACTCATGGCCCACTTTCACTCCGACAACTACCAGCCGCTATGGCTTCTTCCTCAGCTCCAATGAAGGCATCTTCAACATCTCGCTCGAATCCTGGATTGCTCCTCTCGAGGACGAGCTAATCAGCCCTAGCGATTCTGGCGCCGCATTCCGTCTCGATGTGCTCTTTGATGTCGAAAAATCCACCATTGACCGTATTCTCAAACGTACCGCCGATGCTGGAGTCAGTCCCTCTTGTGTCTCGATAGTCGATTCTGATCTGGGCCACTTTGTCCTGACCGCTACCTCTTCTCAGCCCCAAGCCGTAATGCTCGACCTTCCAGTCGACCGATCGATCTATGCCTCATTTGCTCCTGATGAGGCACCGTTGGCTCTCCCTGCGCCCGATCTTCGTCAACCATACCAACCTCCCGAGGCTTTCTTTGCGTCATCCGCTCTTCCCGGCTTCCTGGACACCGCTGTTCAAAGAAACACTCAGTTGAGAAAGGCAGATTTGAAGACACAAGTCCGCTTCTCTCCCGCCACTCTGGACTTGCTCACAGATGCACACCGTCTGCTTTCCACCGAAACAAGCCGACTGGGTGCCGCAGCTGCCGACCTCTTCCGTCGTTGCGAAAGAATGCGCGCCGAACTGTCAGAGCAGATCCGCCAGGTCGACGAAATCTCCAAGCGCGCCGAAGCAGTAACTGGAGACGACGACGACGGCCAAGACGCTGAACAACCTCGTCTCGTCGGCAAAGAGAAGATCGACGAACGCATGGAAAATGCACGCAACAGATCCAAGGAACTCGCCAAGCGCGTCGAAGCTATGCGTCGTCGTATGGCAAAGGAACTGGGCGGCAAAGAACTGAGCATCAAGGAAGAAGCCTGGGCAGCAGAAGTCACCGCCCTCTCCACCAGTCTCGGTCAAGCAGAACCTTCTACCACTACCACCGAAGACCTTTCCACAGCAGGAGAAGACGACTTGACTTCTCGTCTTGAAGCAGTAGGCGAACTGCAACGAGCACTCGTCGCCCGCGCAAACGAAGCCACCGAACAGCAANAAGCACTCGCGCCCTCGACGCCAACTCAAGACGATGAAAACGCCGAATCGCAAGATTTGAGCGCCAGTGTCAGTCGCATACCCGCAGACTTTAGAAAGCAAAAGATTGCACAAATCATGCAGTTGTTGCAGCGCGAAACGGCCTTGGTGGATGCGGTCTCTGATCGCTTGGGCAAACTCACGGGGCTAGGGAACTCTTTCTCGTCGTTATAGAAGTGGGGGAAAAGGTGTTTTGCTGAATGGAGAAGGCGAGTGTAGAGTTGGATGATTGGGTATATGGCAAGTTCAGGCACAACACTGCATGGAGAATGAAGGAATGAAGAATCTTGCATATATCACATAAGAAGAAGAAGAAGAAGAAGAAGAAGAAGAAGAAGAAAATGGCAAAGAACCATTGATATCCCCTTTTTCCCCCGAAGAAATAACGCCCGTATCTTGAAAAAAACTGTGATCCATTCGGCATCCCTTAACAACCAACCAACCCGAACCGTATTGAATGCTCCTCCCCAGGTAAAGGAAAGGAAAAGGAAAGGAAAACTCCAAAAATCGCCATGTTTCACCAGATTTCCCTGGATCCGTTCTCGTTTTTCATCGCCCATCGCGGATGCATGCAAGATTGCTAAACCCCACCCACACCACCCCCAAACGCACCTTCGAACCCATTCCCCTTGCCCTCCTCATCCTCACTTTCTTCCTCTTTCTCTTCCTCTTCTTCACTCTCGTCTTCCTCCTCGAGCACCAATTTCCTCAACACGCTCCTCTCGAAAAGATCCAATACAAACCTGCACGCCGGCAATTTATACCGATGTGAACTCAACACTTGCAACACCTTCTGGAACAGCATGGGACTCCTTAGGCCTGGCGCTTTCTTCTGCTTGAGCATATTGAGGTCGGCGGCTGCTTTGTTGGAGAGGACGGTGTTGCCGAGTTTGGTTACTGCTTTGAGGATCTCGGCATTTTGAGGTGAGAGGGAGGGTGATGTTGATGAGGGAGGTTTTGANGAGGGCTGAGGTGTGGAGGTGGCCGAGGGGGAGGTGAGGGTGGAAGGGGGAGGGTGTGAGGGACCCCATTGGCGGACCNNTGCGTTCCTTGTTAGTCATCATCGGTAGCAAGATCAGGGAGTGAGAGAAAAACTTACATTGAAAAGCTTGGTAAAGTCAAGGGGCAAGCAATATCCCAGCGACTCTCCAAGCATATTCACCGTGCCGTTCCAGTGATGACTTGCCAAGATCTCTTGTCCATGCAGAGATCTAGAAATCAGTCCGAGAACAAAGAAAGCAGTACCTCTTAATGTCAACACCTCGGACTTTTCTGCAATCTCGATGATGTGCTGTGTAACATCCGATTGCTCGAGGAAAGGTGCGCCCAACTCCATGGATCCTACGTTACCCACTGCCCATAGACACCCCTTGACTTTGACAATCGTCTCTGCATCTTCCTCTTCCATACCAAAGTCTTGGATGGTAGCCACAAACTCTTCGAAATGTCCTTTGGTGCTTAGCAACTCGCAACCCTCTGCTGTACGTGTGAGTTCGCGGTAGAAGTGTGGAGGAACAAGGCCAAAGTCCTGAGGCTCGGGTGTTTCTTCAAACATCGAGACTGCTTTCTCAGGGATATCGGCCAGGGCACGGGCGAGCGAGGCTTCTACCAGAGTCACGTAAGTGTCGTTGCGGCCAAGGAACCAGTCGTCCATTTCCTTTGTGATATAGTCCAGGCCATCAAGGTAGTGGTAGCCAACCGAAGTTGAGAGGAAGCGCAGTAAAAGGGGTGCACCGATTTCGCCGAGATGATCCAGTGCTGGTCGGCACTTCACGACATACTCGAGCGAGTTGTTGTCATTACAAGCTTCTTCGAGGATCTTGATTGCGATCTCGCAAACCTCAATCTCTGGATCATAAAGCTGTGTCACCAAGAGTCGTATTGCCCATGCAGCGCACTCTCCACTGCCGCTTGACTTGGGACTGGTATCCAGCGGTCTGATGGCGTACTTGCGTAGTATTCTTGTGGCAGCTATGCGGACATCTTTACATCCTGATATCATTGCTTTCGACAGGATGATCCGGGGNTGGCTATCCAGAGTGTAGTCAAGATTTGTCAGAAGTGCCATGATAAGGTCATCTCTCCCTCTGAGCTCGACAATGTGATAGAACATGTTGATGATCTTCCATCGTTCCATCATTTGCAAGCCCTTCTGGTCGCTACAAAGAACACCCAGGATGGCGAAGTACCCNCCTACTAGCGTATCTGCTAACCTGTCCGGAGAAAANAGAGGGGTGGTAGATGTGATACCACTCATGCGGTCGAACTGAGCCAAGCACTCTGCAATCTGTCGCAACATTTTGTTGTCTGCCAGATACTTGGTGCCTTCCGGAGTCAACAGCAGCGTACGGACGAGCGCACAGCCAGCTCTAACATATCGTTGGTTCGGTTTCGTATTTTTGGCGTCCGAGAACCTGTACTTGAACGGCCGAAGGAAGCCCAGCAGACGATGGACAAATTTTGTCGCCTTCATCGCCTCATCCAACCTCCGTGAGTTGGTCAGTGGTCCTTCGATCATGGGTTGAATCAAGTCCCATCTCCATTTGGTATAGTTGACTGTGTTCAGGACTTGACATTCCATAAGCAATCCTCTGAACTGTGCTTCGTCCATGTTGGCACTCATCTGCACTTTCGGTTGCTCTGCAGATTTGATAGGCTCAAACTCGTCCGCCCGAGTGGACTTGACGCCTGGTCCTCCGCCCACAGATCGATACAATGTGCGGTTAACACTGTCGACTTGGTATACCGTAGCTACCGCCTGTGACCGTTCATCTTGGCCGAAAGCTGTCGCTTGGTGAAATAGGTCAGGCAATACCTGAAGCTCAGCGCTCCACTCGCTTGGTAGTAATTGGTTGGCAAGTTTCAGCACTTCGCCAATGAGTAATGTGGTTTTTCGTTTCAAGGCAAGGTTCGGTGCGTCACGTTCAGCATGCATTAATGCTGGCAGCAATCCGACTCGCAGGAGGATGGTCAGAACGACTGCAGAAAAGTGTTCGATCAAACTCATTCTCTTCGAGATTTCTTCTGGGTCATTGCTGGAAGGCTTGTGATGGTCATTCGCTTTGAGATTGGTGACACGACCATATGTGGTCAAACGTCTTCCTGCTAGGAAAGAAGAGGACCAAGACGGAGGCTTGATACGAAGAATATCAAAAGAAGCTCGAGAACGATCGATNCTAACCGCCACGGCGTCAATCAACAGGGAGGAGACCACAGAACGAGCTGGCAAGAAATCATGCAAGGATATTGTCATGATACCAGACCAACTCTTGAAAAGTGCTGCTACCACTTTTGCGCTTGATCTCATGCGATCCTCGTGAGCGCTCGAAGTTGGAGGTTCAGTGAACGCCGCGAACGGAAGACTGAGTTCAAAGCCAGAACGTAAGAGACCTCTCCGTGCTGGTAGGTCTAGCAAATGCAGGAAGACGGCAGCCAGTGTTTCTGGGGCCTGGTAAGCACCGTTGCCCATAGCATCTGCAAGAGTGCCGATGCCACCAGCAGCGACGACGAGATCGGGATTGCGTATGAGCAATTCGGCGAGAGTCATGATAGATATGGAACGCAGACGATCCTCTGGATGTTCGGCAATAGCAACGATGATTCGGACGACGGACGGAGCAACCTCGTGGACACCATCTTTGACGTCAAGAAAGGCGCGAACAAGTTTCAGAGCCTGCTCCCGCTCCACCATGGCTTTTGCTTCCTTGACCAAGGACAAGATAACGAGAAAGTCTGTATGATGTGCTCGGATGGTCTGTAATGATTTGCGATCTGTTATAGCATGCCGTAGGACGCGGTAGCCTGCAGCAATAACCTCCCGACTATCGCTGAGAAGCATCATCTGCATACGGAGACCAAAGATGGACCATGCCAGATCATATTTCAGGGCAGGATGGCGCTTGAACAGGCCCACTAATTCGTTTGCATGGCTCACGTAATAATCTGGCTTCATATCCTCGGTCTCGAGGGCCTGGAGAATCTCTGCAAGGATATACGTCGGCGATTCTGATTCCGGATCCAGGTCATCGGGTTCAGCATTTTGTAGCAGGGTGAGGTTGGAGGGGGATCTCTGGGGTATAGCGAAAGACAGACGATTGGCAGGACTTGTGACGGACTCCTTTGCTCGTTGCAGTTCAGCTTCGAGGTCAAGCTTCAGCTGAGCGATCTTGCGATTGGATGTGTTGAGCTCCGACTCGACCAGACGACGCTGGTCACGACTCTGTTTCGCATTCTTTGTGTTGAGAGCCTCGAGCAGGTTCTCACTGCCAATCTTGATCTTTGTCTCTTTCTCAATCTTGTCGCGATAGTCGGCAAGGCGCTGCTCGGTTGTCACGGTGGCAGCGGATTGATCCGAGTCAAAGGTAGAGAAGTCGATGCGGCCATTGTCGACGCGCGAAACGGTTGGGCGTAGCTCGGTAGAGAAGCTGCCAGGCGGGAGCGTCTTGGACACCAGACTCGTGGCCGAGTGAGAGCGATGGTCCTTGAACTGGGGCGGCAGGAGCGATTGATCTTGAGTGTGTCCGGTCACAGAATGCGCCGTGGGCCTTGTCATGGGCGGCATAGGGTTAACAAGTCATGGGCATGTGTCGAGAGCCGGCAGCGGCAGCTACGAGGTCCAGAGAGCGCATCGGCTCCGTCCCGATAACCAGATCTCTGTAGGCGGCGACGGCGATGCTATACGTATACTAAGTAGGTAGTTACAGCTGTTGATGCGATGATGGAAGCGCCAAGCCTGTTTCACCATGTCTGTGTTTCGAGCCTCCCAGCTCCAGCCCTCCGCCCTCGCTGGTGCTGTCTTCGCTGGCCCCGCGACTGCCTGTTTCGGCGAACCCTCCGCTCTTTACCGCGCCATTTTTCCTTGAATCTTCACAAAAGTCCAATCTTGTGCATACATGCTTTTGTTGGAGATTGAGCCAACATCTCCTGACATTCTTCTATCTTCCACAGTCGCGTCGCCGCGGTCGGATACAATTGCCTGTCGGCGGACACTCCCACCTGTTCACGTCGGGCTTCGCCGATAGACTGGCCCAGTCGAGTACACCAAATCCCGTTACTCTTCGCGGGCGCACCCGCCCAGAACAAGTGATAAGCTCTATCTCCCATGGTTATATGTACCTGGGCCTTCCCGTCGTCTTGTGCCTGCTCTCAATCAAGTAGTAAATCCTTTATACTTATCCTTGCATTCCTTCAGCATCTCATCTATCTGCTTCCCCACACGTTTTTCAATCCTCTAAGCACAAGACACGTCCAAACATGTCCCAATCACAACTCAGCTACGCGAAGTACGGCAAGGACAATGTCCGCCTGTTCAAGGTCCGTCGTGAGGAGAACGGTGTCCAGCACGTCACAGAAATGACTGTCTGCACTCTTCTCGAAGGTGACATTGAAGAATCGTAAGTCGCACCAAAACATCAAGGTGTTTCGTGAATTGTTCTGACGACTTGCAGCTACACCAAGGCAGACAACTCGCCCGTCGTCGCAACCGATACCCAAAAGCAAACAGTCTACGTCCTCGCCAAGCAGAACCCCGTCGACCCTCCTGAGCTGTTCGCTGCCATTCTCGGCCAGCACTTCATCGACACCTACAGTCACATTCATGTCGCAAATGTCAAGGTCATAGTCCACCGCTGGAGTCGCATGACTGTGGACGGCAGCACCCACCCTCACTCTTTCCTCCGTGACGGTACCGACAAGCGCACTGTTGAGGTTGTCGCAAGACGCGGTCAAGGCATCACAATCAAGTCGGGCATCGACGGCCTGCTGGTTCTCAAGAGCACCGGGTCCGCCTTCTATGGCTTCCACAGAGACGAGTACACCAGACTCCCCGAAACCTGGGACCGTATTCTCAGCACCGAAGTCCAGAACGCGTGGCAGTGGAAGCAGTTCAAGAATGTCGAGCAGGTCCGCAAGGAGCAGGACAAGTTCAACAAGACTTATGAGGCTGCCAGACAGATCACTATCGACACCTTCGCAAAGGAGAACAGCGCTAGCGTGCAGGCCACCATGTACAACATGTGCAACCAGATTCTTGCCGCTGCCCCTGACACAACGGACATCGAGTACACTTTGCCCAACAAGCACTACTTTGAGATAGACCTCAGCTGGTTCAAGGGCTTGAAGAACAACGGCAAGGATGCCGAAGTCTACGCTCCTCAGAGCGACCCCAACGGTCTGATTCACTGCCGTGTGTCGAGAAAGGGTCCCAAGGCCAAACTGTAGATTGACTCTTGGTTGACCTGGGAACGATAGAGGAGCATTCATGATATGAAGATGATATGATTTTTTGTGCTGGGCGTTAAAAGTGGGCTGGCAATACAGCGTGGTTATATCTACATGAGTTCTGATACAAGAAAGGAAAATTTGGACAAACCAATCGACACCCCAAGTGGAAGATTTTGCCTTGAACGCCGTGAAGAAAAGTGGATGCTGAATGATACAAGGACTGTGATGCGATCATTGCTGCTTCTGCTGGGCAAAGGCAACCTTGACCTCGGGCTGATGTGCTATTGAAGGGCGGGTGTAGTCCTTGATGATGTTTTGCTTGTAGGGGTGAGCAACGCCCTCGAACACNTGTAGGTCTAGTGGTTAGAGGAAGTCAGATTTATGTAGAATGGGTGAATACTCACTCTTCAGCCGGGCCATACGGTCATCTCTCAGTCTGTTCTTGGGCAGCATACCCCTAACAGCTCTCCTCAAGACCTCTGAGCCACCCCACTTCTCCATCATACGGTCCATGGTAATCTCCTTCAAGCTACCGGGACGAGTGGTGTGGCTGTAGTACTTCTTCTGGTAGCGCTTCTTTCCAGTGGTGTGTAGGTCGTGCAGACCGACAGCAACAACATAGTCTCCGCAGTCGGTTGAAGGGTCCCAGATGGGCTTGTGCTTGCCCATGAGGGTAATGGCGATTTGCGAGGCGATGCGACCGAGAGGACGGGGGTCAGAGCCCACATCAATGAGATGCCATGCGCGCGAGTAGGCGAGATTTGTCTAAAAGTGTCTCAGTTCCCTTGCTCCTCTATCTCTTGTTTCTCCAGGCTGTGGTGTGTACCTTTCCGACGTATTGCGACATCTTGAAGTGGTGAAGGCTCGGTGGCCTGGATGGTGTTTCGGAGAGGGCTCAGGCGCGCGTGGGCGTATCGGCTATGACTCTTGGGCGAGGACTAGGGCGATCTCAAATGTTGTGTGCTCGAGGGCGACTGGGCGTATGTGGTGGTATGGCGATGGCTCTCGAATGCGACAATCAATTCTCGATGGAACAAAACGTGCCAAGACCGAAGACGTCCGCTGCGGCGGCTTTATAATCACGGAAGGCGCAACCGGCTCGCTCTCTTGCCATTGTGAGGACATCGTCCATCATGTTGTCTCTCTGCTTTCTTGTAGACCTGTTTGATATCGCTTGTATACCACCATGATTCCTCCGTTCGAAACAACCTTCGCAGTGCCTCTCAGCTGTGAGTCGTGCATCAAAGACGTCTCAACGTCCTTGTACAAGCTTCNNCCGGTACATGCTCTCGCTACCCCTCCATTTGCTTCCACTCTCTCTCACACTCTACAAGGCATTCAAAATGTTGCAGCCGACCTTGCGAACCAGCTCATCTCAGTGAACGGTACTGCCGCTCCTTCAGCCATTGTTGCCGCCATCCAGGACACCGGTCGCGATGCCATCCTCCGGGGCTCAGGCAAGTCCGAAAGTGCCGCCGTCTGCATCCTCGAAACACACTCTTCTTCTGTCAAGGATCAGGTTCGCGGCCTGATTCGCATGGTCCAGGTTGCTTCCAACATGACCATCATCGATCTTTCTATCCGTGGTCTTTCTCCTGGTACATATCACGCGACCGTTCGCGAGACTGGCGACATCTCGCGCGGTGCTGAGAACACTGGTGCTATCTGGGATATGCTGCGTGCCAAAGAGGAGGGCAAGCCTCAATCTGCGAGAGGCATCTTCGGGACTGTCGAAGTCAACAAGAGTGGCATTGCTTCCGTCTTCCTCGACAAGCCAATCCAGATTTGGGAGATGATCGGTCGCAGCATAGTCGTTTCCAGGCAACAAGATGCCAAGTTCGACAAAGAGGATCCCGACACTCTTGTCGGCGTCATTGCTAGAAGTGCCGGCGTCTGGGACAACGACAAGACTGTTTGCTCGTGCTCGGGCAAGACTGTGTGGGAAGAGAGGACGGAGCAAGTCGGAAAGGGCATGCTCTAAGCCGTCGCGAAGAGAGCGAAGTACCGTGTAGATACCCGCTCGCGTTCGAGCGTGTCAGCAAGATACATGGTCTTATTTGTCTTGGAATAACGAGTTATGAAAAATGCCAACACAGCATGCACCCAACGCCGGCAGGACACCTCCATCTAGGAAACTCACCGACTTCGTCCAAGAAGTCCGTCTTCGAAGCGGGATATTCGTAACCTCGAATCACAATAAGCAATGCAAAGATGGGACCGGCAATTGGATGGTCGCTTTGATTCCGAAGTCAGCCAAGCGGCTTGAGTCGAAACCAGCATCCTCTACTCGGTTCTTCACACGCTTGTATGTATTGAAATGTCCGTTCTAAGCGCCGCCCACCAACCGAGTCGACCTGCATGATATGCATCGCTGCCAAGTGCATCAGCTGTTTCCGTGATTGGCCTCTTGACGCTTTCTAACCAATGCGATCGTCCGCTCAAGCGCCCAAGTACCCCACGCTTTTCGACGTAGCACACTGTTCTTGGTCCGCTCAGGGCTGCATGTTATATCCCCTGGTTGTCCATGTAGGTCTGTGTCTCTCCTCAATTGTTTGTTAGAGTATTGCACGCAGATCGACTCCTCAATTCGTGACTGGAAGAACGCATGATCTTCGATTTGTCGTATTTCCTGTATCATCACAACCATTGAGTATCAGGCAACTAGCCATATGTTCGATCGGTGAATTATCTTTTGTATATCCCTTTCTCGGTCATGTCACTCAAGCAAGTAAGTCTTGTCGTGTCTCTGGGGCAGAACACTGCTGACAATCTCCCAAGGAGATTGAAACATGGGTGCGAGCATTGGAGCATTATGACTACAACGAATATGATGCTGCACTCCAAGCGTTCATGACAGTGGCAGACACGTCGAAAATACTCTTCAATTGCGCCGTGATACACGCGACACTAGGAGAGCATACTCAAGCTGTGAGCCACAATACGATGTCGTTTTCTGTTCAATGCTTACGCGTGCCATAGGTCCAATGCTATCAGAGAGCAATACACTTCGATCAATACATGGCAATCGCCTATTTCCAGCAGGGTGTCTCGAATTTTCTTCTAGGCGACTTTGAAGAAGCTCTTGCCAATTTCAACGATACTTTACTCTATCTTCGCGGCAACAGATGGATTGATTATGATCAGTTGGGTCTCAAATTCAAGCTCCACTCTTGCGAGGCGCTCTTCAATCGTGGTCTCTGCTACATCTATCTTCAGCAACGGAGTGCCGGTCTTCAGGATTTGTTCTACGCGTCCAAGGAAAAGGCTGTACCTGATCACGATGTCATCGACGAAGCGATACGTGAACAAGCTGAGGTGAGTCTTCGGTCGTGAACACACCGTTTTTCGGCATTTCTGACAACAGCAGNNGGATATACCGTCTTTTCGATTCCGGTGGGCATCTTGTACAGGCCAAACGAGGCAAAGGTTAAGAACATCAAGTCCAAGAACTACCTTGGAACGTCGACCCTTGTCCGGGCTCAAGATCGATCTAACCAAGTGTTCCTCGATTCTCGACGTAATTTTACTGCCTCTAGCTTCGCGGTAGACGACCGTCCTGAGGAGAAGTTATCATATGCTGCCATAAATCTCGTGAAACCAGGTCTCGCAAGTCGTTCACGTCAGCAGTCAGAGCCACCGATTCACAGGAACATGTTCCCACCGACTCCTCCACCAGAAGCCGACAGGACAGCTTCGACGACAGCGGCAAACACAAAACGTAAATCGTCCGAAAGCACAGCAAGCATGCCAACAGGAATGCATCAAAGCCGTCCGTCGATATCGAAACCTGCCAAACTGGATCTAGGACTCGCTGCTTTCGAGCAGGCATCTTCATCAACGACGAGTCTTGTGATAGAGAAGCCAAGACTAGGGACCAAGAGGTCCGCGTCGGAGAGACCTAGGGCGCGAGACACACAGTCATCACGTTCGAGTCCACCAAGTATGCTTGAATACGACAGACGCTCTGATACTCACCACCAAGAACGTGATGATCCACACGTCTTGCGACCAGATGTGTATACACCAGACACAATAGCCACAGCTGTACAACAAGCACTCTCCGAACCCGAGAAACTACAACCGATGACTTTCCACCATCAACGCACCAGATCTGGAGGACAATCCTTGCGCGAATACCCTCGATCCATCGCTGAAGAAGACGAAAGTCCTGAAGAAGAAGCCAAGGACACGCAGCCATCCTTCAAGGAAGACCCTTCTCTTCAAGCTCTCCAGACCACTATCACAAACGCACTACCCTATGAGATCACACCTGCCATTCAACAACAATCACAGCCGGCTCTTCCCACGCTTCGCAAGATCCGCGTCAAGGTGTTCGCGGCTGATACACGCTATGTCATGATCCAGCCCGACGTCTCTTACGACACATTTGTAGAGCAGATACGCAAGAAGTTCGGCCTCACAGGCAAAGAAAGCTTCAAATTGAAAATGAAGGATGAAGAGGGAGACATGGTAACCATGGGCGACGAGGACGATTTGGAAATGATGGTGATGACCGCAAAGGAGCAAGCGGGTAAAGAAGGAGCGGACATGGGCAAGATGGAGGTATGGGTGCAAGAGCTGTAATGTTTTTGAGTGACGGTGATGGTGGTGTTGCTGAAAGCTGATGGTCGTGTTCTGGACTTTGCTTTATTGATGCCGCGGCATGCTGCTTATCGGATGGCCGTATCCGAGTACAAGTACTGTAGATGGTTTCTCTAAATTCAGATACCCCTTTCTTAACAGATGGCATGCTGGTTGAATAGAATCATTGCTCTTGTACAATGTTCAGATGAGGGCTTGCTCGGTTAAGCGACACGAGGCTATAGCATGAACAGCCAAGGCAATATGAAGCCATGAGATAGATTGGATATTAGGGGTCTAGAGAGAGCTGAAACAGGGGCGACGGCGCAAGGCGGGGTTCACGAAGCTTCGCTCTTGTGAGGACAGTTGTTCGCCGGCTTAGCAAGCAGTCAAGCTGATCTGTCTCCTTTGACTCGACCCTCTTTCAAGAAGCACCCACCAGACATTGCACTTTCCCATACTGTGCTTGTCCTTGATCTGTTCCTCTTCCTCCCACTTCTTCACACAATACATCACAATGCGCAACTTCGCAGCTCTGGGTCTGCTCGGCGCAGCCGNNTCCCTGGCCGCCGCTTCCGACGTTGTCGACCTTAAGCAGGACACCTTCAAGGGTTTCGTCGAGGAGAACGACCTCGTCCTCGCAGAGTGTAAGCACCGCTCCCTGCTCCGCTATACCACGAGCACGCATCTGACAACATCACACANNGTCTTCGCCCCCTGGTGCGGACACTGCAAGGCTCTCGCACCCGAGTACGAGGAGGCTGCCACCACCCTCAAGGAGAAGAACATTGCCCTGGCCAAGATTGACTGCACCGAGGAGGCCGACCTCTGCCGTGACCACGGTGTCGAGGGCTACCCTACCCTCAAGGTCTTCAGAGGCCTCGACAATGTCTCTCCCTACAGCGGCCAGCGCAAGGCCCCTGCGTACGTTATACCAGCGTCAGCACGACAAGAGAGTCTAGCTAACTTTTCTGCAGCANTTGTCTCATACATGACCAAGCAGTCCCTGCCCGCCGTCTCCATCGTCGACAAGGCCACCATTGAGGACTTCAAGACCGCCGACAAGGTCGTCCTGGTCGGTTACTTCGCCGCCGACGACAAGGCTTCCAACGAGACCTTCACCGCTGCCGCCAACGGCCTCCGCGACAACTTCCTTTTCGGTGCCACCAGCGACGCCGCTCTGGCCAAGGCCGAGGGTGTCAAGCAGCCCTCGATTGTTCTTTACAAGAGCTTCGATGAGGGCAAGAACACCTTCGACGAGAAGTTCACCAAGGAAGCCATCACCACCTTCGCCAACACCGCTTCCGTTCCTCTGATCGGTGAGGTCGGTCCCGAGACCTACTCCACCTACATGGCCGTAAGTTTTGCTCTGTAACCTCCTTCACTCAAGCGCATAGCTGACATAATACTCACAGNNGCCGGTATCCCCCTCGCCTACATCTTCGCCGAGACTCCCGAGGAGCGTGAGACTCTTGCCACTTCCCTCAAGTCGGTCGCCGAGAAGCACAAGGGCAAGGTCAACTTTGCTACCATCGACGCCAAGGCCTTTGGCCAACACGCCGGTAACCTCAACCTCGAGGTCGGCAAGTGGCCCGCCTTCGCAATCCAGGACACCCAGAAGAACCAGAAGTTCCCCTTCGAGGGCACTGACCTCTCCGCAAAGAAGATCACCAAGTTCCTCGACGACTTTGTTGCCGGCAAGGTCGACCCCAGCATCAAGTCCGAGCCCGTCCCTAAGAAGAACGATGGCCCCGTCACTGTTATTGTTGCCAAGAACTACGATGAGATTGTCATGAACGCCGACAAGGATGTCCTGGTCGAGTTCTACGCTCCCTGGTGCGGCCACTGCAAGTCCCTTGCTCCCAAGTACGAGGAGCTCGGTGAGATGTTCAAGCCCCACTCCAACAAGGTCACTATCGCCAAGGTCGATGCCACTGCCAACGATGTTCCCGATGAGATCCAGGGCTTCCCCACCATCAAGCTCTTCCCTGCCCACGGCAAGGGTGAGCCCATCGAGTACAGCGGTGCCCGCACTGTTGAGGACCTCGCCACTTTCATCCGTGAGAACGGTAGCCACAAGATTGACGCCGACGTCAAGAGCGACGATGTTGAGACTGAGGGTATGCCCAAGCAGGCTGAGGCTGCCACTGAGGGTGTCGCCGCTAAGGTCGCTGGTGCCGTCAAGGACGCAGTTGTCGAGAAGGCTGGTGAGGCTGCCGCTGTTGTCAAGGACGGTCTCGTTGACAGCGACGGTGATCTTGCTGAGCACGATGAGCTTTAAGTGATTCGCCTTGAAGATAGCAGATCGAAAAAGCTGAGTGGTGCATCGACAAAAGGCACCCTGGCGTTCTTTAGGCATTATGGGATTTTTTATGGGTATCTTCTAGTCGTTGGCTTGTCGCGACGACCATTTTTACAGAATACTGTACTCTAGAAGTAGTATGAACTTTGATGCAACCCAATTGTCTCTTGTCCTTGGTTGTGATAGTGAACGGTATTGATGTCGGCTGACGCCGAACGTGTGCTTGAGATGCGCAAGTTATCGTCTTTGCTGTGTATCACAAAGTCATCTAACACTCACTTCTATATCTTGCAACAGCCTTTCACTTCTCATCGACTAGCTGAACAAGCACCCGTGCTACGGTGTTCTGGCAATATTCAAACAACGTTCAAATACAACCATTAGCCCGGACAAACAGATCAGACGCACACAACCACGATTAATGTTCGCACGCGACAGCACCATCTTCTGCCATACTGAACCGGAACCTTTTTTTTTCACCACATACACACAATCAACATGAGGCGAGGACACATCAATCATCCGAAGCAGTCGCGACACCACGATACGACTTCCGGCCTCTTCTGGAACGAGACTGTTGTCGTCACGCCATCACGACCCGTGTCCTCGCAGATTCATGAGTTTGTCCATCGATCTGTCGGTGGACCTCCTCGCCAGGAGAGTGAGACAGGCGTTGATGCTCTAGAGACGATGGCTATGCGGTGTCTGTTGAACCACTTGGATATGCTGGAGGTGGAGAGTCTGGAGCCTTTGCCGGAGATGATGTTGAAGAGGATTTGGCGGGACATCTCAAAGAAGTAAGTTGTACTGTACTTCCTTTTGCGTTGCTTGTTTTGTGGGCAGCCCGTGGCGTGTGTTTTTGGAAAGGTTGTGATATGGACAGGGTTGCCCTGGTGACAAGCATTTTTACCTCGACGGCGTGATGGATGCCACCACTGAGGGTTTGCGAGCGATCTGAGTATGTTGTGGCCTTCTTGTAGGGTCGAAAATGCTGTGGTAGTAGTCGTGTCTTACTGGATGCTGTTGTCGATGAGAAATCGCTCAATATGTGATTCAATCTTGGTTGTTTCGGCTTGACGATACAAAACATGCTCGACGTACTCGGCCTTTCAGTTCCCTTTCAGTTCAAAGAGAGCAAATCGTATTTAGACATCGATATCATTCCACTAATACACCCTTATCACAGCGACCTCCAGTCCTTACATCTCTGGCAAACATTCACAAAAATTTCTCCCTCCTCTCCGCCGACACCAACCTACAAAACAACAACTCAACACCATCTTCCACTCTCCCTCCTCGTTACACCAATCTCTGCCTCTCCACTCCAATACCTGACTTCGCTGACCCTCATCACCACTATCGGAGACTCAAGCTCATCAATCAATGTCCTATCCACTCTACCCAATTTGGTCTCTTTACACATCGTCGGCAGCTCCTCATCCACAAAGCAAACCTCCATGATCACCGACGACACGACAAGATCCTGGAACAAGAAAGCAAAACACAGCTCTGCATTCCCCTGTCTGAAAGTGCTGTTTCTACGATTCCAACCAGGAATCACGGAACTTGCATTGGGTGAATTGGATGCATTCGAGCAGTTGGAAATGGTAGTCACCAGTCGCTGTGGTGTTAGTGTTAGAGAAGGGAAGAAGATTGCAAAGGACAAGGGATGGAAGATGACGAGGTAAGTTTTCTCTTTTATTTTTCTTTCGCTTTCTCCTGCTTTTGGGCCTTTTGGGTGAATATAAGATGCCAAAGTGCTGATGAGAGCCGGAAAACAGTAAAGCTTTTTATGCTCATGCGGAAGCAATGCTCCAAGATAAACCGAGTGGGAGGAATTATTTGGATGTGGTGAATGAATATATCACCAGCGCCTTGACCTCATCCTCTCCCTCGCCTTCAAGCCCGTCGCTACCTCTATCTCTTATCCAACTGGGTCGCCAGCCTCCGACCGCATCAACGAATATACTCTTCACAACAAACGAAATAGAATGTTGGATCAGAGACGACGAGCAAAGCAGAGCGATAGAAGCAGAGAGAAAGAAACGAATACAAAGAAAAGGAAGACGCAAAACAAGAAAACGGAAAGAAAAGAAGGAAGATCAAGGAAGCGAAAAGAAGGGATTTGTTTCAGCTTTTGGAAGGCATGTGAGAAATCAGAAATCATGTCGCTTGGGTACAAAGTGTAGTCTCTACCCTTTTGAGAAGACAATGACAACTAGAAGACGAAGAAAGAACGACATTGAATAAAGTGGTTGCCTTCTTCGTTACCTGCTTCTGTGTGGAGTTTAGAGAGGAGGTCTCGATGGAGAAAGGAACGAGCCCTGCACAAGGGAAAAAAATTAAATCACTTCTGGAGGAAGATATGAGTGAGACGCTGTCATAAATGTCTTCTCGTTCTTCCACGCTCCAAGGAGTGGGAATGAGGATCAACGAAAGGTAGTGCAATGCAAAGACAAGATACTTTTCAAAAAATGCTGAGACTCCAATTTTTTTTTGTGCTGTCTAGTATAAAATAGCTTTGTTCCAGAGGTCCAGGTTCAACCTGTAAATCCTTTCTTCTTTTCATCACATTATAGTAATATAAACGCCATCCGCTCATGATCAAAAGACAAAAGAAAAGCTGGTGTAAATCATCCATGTGCTCCAGGCACTAACATGCTGTGCTCATGAAAAGTGTTTGTTGTGGTGGGTGGAAGAGAGAAAGAGTAAAGCTCTTTACATGCAGGCGGCACCGTCAATGCCAATGACCTTGCCGTTGACCCACTCACCGTCCTGGGAGGCGAGGAAGCAGACGACGCGGGCAATGTCGACGGGCTGGCCGACACGCTGCATGGGGGACCAGGTCTTGGCGTACTCGTCGACCTGGTCGTCGGAGAGGTTCTCACCGCCGGGGATGTACTCGCGGCAGACGGCGTGGTACATGTCGGTCTTGATACCGCCGGGGGCAACGGCGTTGACAGTGATGCGCTTGTCACCGCAGTCGATGGCCATGCAGCGGACGAAGGTCTCGATAGCACCCTTGGAGCCCGAGTAGACGGTGTGCTTGGGGACACCCTTGGCCTGGCCGGTGATGGAACCCATCAGGATGATGCGGCCGCCGACAGAGAGGTGCTTGTAGGCCTCACGGGCAACGAAGAACTGGCCACGGGTGTTGATCTTGAAGACGCGGTCGAACTCCTCCTCGGTGACATCCTTGAGGTGACCGAAGGAGACAACACCAGAGTTGGAGCAGACAACGTCGAGCTGACCGAAGTGCTCAACGGCCTGGTCGAAGAGCTTGATGGTCTCGGAGACCTCACCAACGTTGGCCTTGATGGCGATGGCGTCGGAGCCGTTCTTCTTGATCTCCTCGACGACCTGGTTGGCAGCCTCGGCAGAGTTGGCGTAGTTGACAATGACCTTGGCACCACGCTTTCCGAGCTCAATGGCCATAGCCTTACCGATACCACGGCCTGTTGACACGTGTTAGAGAAGACGATATGATGAAGAGGTGGCAGAAGACTTACCGGAACCAGTGACAAGGGCAACCTTTCCGTCGAGGCGAGAAGTCTCAATAGCAGACATTGTGATTTCAGTTGTTGGGTTGGTTGGTGAAAGGTGGAAAAGTGGTGGTTGAAGCGAGTGGCTTTTGAAGAGTAGTGGATTGGATGAGGAGTTGATTGATGAGGAGAAAAGAATGACTTAGCCTGGTGATTGTAGAGCTCTATATACCATTGATGCTCGCTCTTTCGTTCTCAAGAAAGCTCCGAGATGTTGAGCCCTTGTTCGGAGAATATCCCAATGATAGAACATGACGGCTCCACTCGGGTTTGATAGAGGCAATGGTTCAGACAAGCACTGGGCAGCGAGCGTAGCAGATGGCAGTGGACCGACCTCATCGATAGCTAGCTAAGCTTGAATGGGCGACAAGGCGGAAGTGTGCAAGGGATCTTCGCGCCGGGCGAAGTCACCGAAAGCGCGAAGAGCGAACATGCTCTCAATCGTCCGTGTGAGTTTCGGAGAGGCATTATCGACAAGCAATGGCCGGCAGGGCTACACGCAGAAAGTCGAGCGTGGAGGCAGCATGGCGGGCAATTCGCGCTGGGGCAGTTGCAGATTGAACATTCAGCACGGACGCGGTTGCCAGTCAATCTTCGGACTTCGAGTCTTGGGTGCAGGAAGAGGCGATCATTGCCGAACGGTCGAGGGACATCCATGCTCCCGAAGATAGTCGTCTACCTCACCACTGCAACAGCTCGTGAAACCTCAGGTACAACTGCTTGTCCTAATTCTAATCCTTTGCGAACATGTGTCTCCTTGGCGCTAGTCGCTCCAGGCTCTCGAGCCAAGCCTGGCACCTCTTGTTGTTTTTAGCATTCCAGAAATACATGATGCATAGGTCTGTTACGAAGTGTGCAAGTTTAACGTTAGCCGCGGCTCTCGGAGAATTCTCATGCGGCTCACACTCGAGTGCTTCAGATTGGCTCCACACCGGCGCTCCGGCAGTGCCCGAGTTCGTCGAGGTTTAATACGTCCAACTACGGAAAAGTTCGACGCGAGAGGAATCGTGGTCCGTTGTGCGGAACCCGTTTTGAGATCTGTGGGGTAGTTTTCGCTCCAACGGTCTAATCAGATCTGGCAAGTGCGCCAAGTCCGAAGTTTGTTTGCACGTCGTCGCGGGTCGGGGGCTGTTGAGGAGGAAGGAGCAGGGTGGCTTTTGCATAAGCGCTGGCAGTGTTGCTTGCAGCAATTATCGAATGCTTGTCTGTTCGTCTCGCCCACCTTGCTCCTTCCACGCGCTATCGATTTCCTCGGGGTCCAGAAGTGCTTACAGGGCTCGTTTATGCATTCCTGAGCTTCAGCTCTGTCGAGGCGAGCCCATAAGCCTCGAAAAGCCGCTTCCTTCTCGTGTAGTGGAGGCAGCGGTACCATCGCCGCCGCGAAGGCCTCGCCAAACAATCATGGAAACGGGCAATGCTACAGCAGATTGTTGAGTTTCTCCACTATGATGATAATGGATCGCTGAGAACACAGCATGTACTGTTTTTGTCAGCAACGTGGTGATGGTGTCCAGGCGAAAGCAAACACTAGAACTCGTGGCTAAGTGCAGCGTGAGAGCGTGTTCGCCCAACGTGATACTGCGCTCGTGGTGACTCTACTGAGCCTTGGAAACCACGAAGATCTTCGTCAGATTGTGCTTGGCAGATGATGGAGTGTTTGTCATCTTCGGTATGACAGCTTTTCCCGTGCTCTTGTAGTCTTGGACGCCGTCTTGGAAGTTGACCTTGTTCAGACGTACAATTGCGCGGCCTCTTGCTACCCTCTCACTCTCACTCTCGCTTGTAGTGTCACCTTCTTCTCGAGCTCGTTGCATATCTCTTCAGGATAATTTTGTGCACTCCATGCATCATGCAGTGTGTCCATAGCTTCGGATTGTTATCGGCTGCCCGCTCTGTCCGCTGCAGCAGCGACTCCCATTCCTGGAACCTTCCTCACCAACACCAAGACCATGGGGCTTCTCCCGGTCCCCGGAGCTCTCTACGAGGACCAGTGTGTTGCTGCTACGCCCAGGCCTGGAAAACCGGCTTTGAATAGAAGATCACCACCGTGATGGTGATCCTCTTGCGGGACTCCATGAGGTGAGGAGTTCACTCTGTCAAGCAAGCATGTAAACAGTTCACTGAAACGCGATGAGTAGCTGCGATACGGCCGGAGAGAGCTAGGAGATCAGAAACGCTGTTTCCTGAGATGCATGAGGGAAAGCATGGTAAAAGTGTTGTCCGTCCGGCAGAGGCAAACTAGCAACATGGATGGTCTTCTCGCTTCTGGACTGTTCAACATGGCCCTCAGATAACATAGATAGCACAACAACACAGATAACAGTCTCATCTTCAACACCGCTTGTTCTCAGTGTTCAATGAGAAGAGCATGGTAGCCAGAGTCAGTGTCGTGGTCTGAGATCAGGTGGTCTGTACCATCTCCAGACTCCGGATCACCATACTAGACACGAGACCTCCTCACCTCCGAAGTGCACCTCCGGACATTGTTGGTTTGATCTGCTATTTTCAATTTGCGTCACGCTGTGTCAGGGGCAAAACAAAAATCTGATCATCCATGCACACCGGACAATGTTGGTTTGTCCGATCATAGGAATTGTTATAAAGCTGTCCTTTCTCAGCGTCTTGAAGTTGCTGTTTTCCTATACTCTGAGTTATATTTGGACTTGTACACCAGAGGACCTCGCCTACTATGACGAGTGAGCAGTCCCAACTGAACCACCCCGCCATCACCAAAATGGAAACAATTCCGACGACGAAACTCGGCGCAGAGTCAGACAAGGCATATGGTTGGGTTTAAGGGGAGGGATGATGATGCGGAGCATGGTTGGACATGACAAGGAAGATGATGGCACTGAAGAGACGGAGCAAAGATTCAAGGAAGATCAACTTGGATATGTTGCATCAAGGTCTACTTGAAGAAGAGGAACAGAACAGTAAAGGACAACCAAACGCCAGTGACCGCTTCCGCTGCGGTTCGAGGTTGCCCACCCCTTTGGTATCGAAGACATTATCGTCAAAACAGGAAAGAACAAGAAACAAACGCAATCCCACCAACGCCGCTGGCACCAAGCCCATCTATTTTGGACAGAAAGAGTAAAGGAAAGGTCGTGAAACATGAGATGGAAGCGCTCAGCTCCTCATCAATCGGTCGAGCTTGTTACGGACGCCATCAACAAATCTGTTGGAAGTGCCTTCGTCCATGAGCTCAATACAGTGAGCAAGGACAGTGACACCATGGTCCATTGGAACGTGAGTACCATCCCTCTTGCTGAGGGCAGGCTGACCTACACGCTTGCTCAAGAAGTGAACGACCATAGGGTGATCAACTGGCAATGCATCAACTGCAAAACTAGGTCCTGGCGAGGGGAAGCCGCCAGTGGCAGTTGCAGCCGGGGTGTCCTTGTTTATTAGACTGTCGGTCCAAAGCACAAGAGCAGCGCGATAGACTGCACCAGCCCACCATGGAGGGCGGATACCGCGGGGCATAGAGCGGATGATGCGCAACACTTGACCGCAGTGGAAGACAGCTTCCTCAACATCGGCGATGCATCTCTTGTGTGTCCAGACCAACTGCTGGTAGGTACCATCGAAACCTTCGCGACG